GTCAATGCCCTTCTCGGCCAGAAGAATGGTACGAGATGGCTCGAGCACCGAGTTTAGTCTTTCTAGGACGGAGTCATCGGCAAGGGATATTTCGTCGAGAAGGAAATATTGTCCGCTCCTCATGGCTTGTACCAAACTTCCATCTGCCCATTCAAAGAGTGCCTTGCTCTTAATCTCGTTTGCACGAATTCTCAGTTGGAGATCAACCGGAACATTGACGACTTGAGCAGGGTCTAGCGCGCGATATAGCTGTAACAACTCCTCAGTTTCGCCTGCGGCAGTCTGTCCAAGCAAAGCCAATGCTGTGATAAGATCATGCTGGAGAGCATCTAAGACTGCGGCACGGTTCCTCACTGGACGCTGTGATCCAATCAGATCACCGGTCTCCGTATTCTGGTGCGCGTTGACAATATGTAGCTCCTTGCCCAAGGCTTCGGCTAAGAGCTGACATACTGTGGTTTTGCCACAACCAGTCTCACCGACGAGCAGCACGGGCTCGCTGTTTTCCATTGCTTGGGCCACCAAGACATAGAGGCGACGCATAGCATTTGTCCACACAACGCCTTGCGCGTTCTGCTTGGACTTGAGCTGTGATAGATAAGGCGAGGTGTTCACATCGTATAGCTTATCAGGGTTGATCGTGACTTTGAAAACCTTTTCAACGACTTCCTTGACAGCAATCCGTTCTTCTTCATCTCGCACTCTCTCAGCAAGAAGCATAAAGCCATGGTTGGCGATTTCTTCTCTGGGCTCAGCATGCGGTACCGTCGGTGTTCGAATAGCAGCGCCGCGCAGAGCCCAGCGAAACAAGTCTCGAAGTGTCGCAAAGCTGTCCTTGTTCTCGAATAATCTGCTTGACTGCCTTAACCGAGCAAGCTCCTTGTAGACCTCAACAATTCTCCTGCAGTCGGATGGAGCGGTGTTGATGCTGCGCCTCTCAAGGATAGTCTGTAATTCGTTCTCAGGAATATCATCGAAGTGCAATTCGAGGAAACGGTTACGGAAGGCGCGAGACAAAACTTTTCGACCTCCGTACAGACCTGGTGGATTCTGGGTAGCGAACAGCATGAAGTTCTCGTGTGGTCTGACAACCTCCTGCGTCTCGGGGATGAGCAATTCCCTGTTGTCGTCGAGAAGACGATTGAGAGCTTCCAACACGTCCGTTGGCGCAAGGTTCAACTCATCGAGAACGATCCAGTGACCTTCGCGAAGGGCCTGGACTAGAAGACCTTCCTGGAAGCGGAGCTTGCCGTCAGCGCCAGAGACATAGGTGCCCAAATACTCTTGCAAATCAGTGTGTTCATGGTTGTTGATTCGCACGAATTTGTTGCCGGTGAAGTTGGCAAGGAACTCAACCATGCTCGTCTTGCCGGACGAGGTAGGACCTTGAATCAGAACGGGAAATCGTCTAGTGGAAGTTGCCCGAACAAGGTTTAAGAGGTTTCTCTCGATTGACTTCGTGATAATATAGTCCTTCCTCTCGTGTGGAGTCTCATCTCCCTGAAGCAGCCAGTAGTGTCGATCCCTGTCGTTGTTCTGGAACCGAACATATTGCTTGCCGTCATCTGGATGCTTAGGCGGCTGCGATAATATCGATTTTGCGTTACCACGCTTATCTAACAAGTGCCGCCGGATTTCTGGAGTCAAAAGGTCCTCGGAATCTTTGCTTAGGAGAGTCAAGAAGCCCATAGAGAAGCCTTCGAACAGAGCTCGGCGTAGGCCGTAAAACGGAGCGATATCGTTGACGTAGCTGAGCACCCGAGTAAGTGTTCTCAAACTGAAGTGAGGTACTTCACCAGCTCCGTCGACCAGCTTTTTCTGTTCCGCAAGCTCTTTGGTCCTAGAATACAACCTCGCAATGTCATCTGCTGCCTGTTCATCCTTTGAACTATTGCCCTTGAGGTAGGCTTTGATAATGGTCAGTAAATCCTTGTGGTCCTTATCCGGACTGCTGACATATAATTCAGTGAACCGAGATCGAAGACCAAGAGGCAAGTCCCGCTTGCCAATATCAGTAGCTGGGTTCATGGCACCAAATATGCGGAAGTCAGGGTGCGCCTTCACTCGTTCAATCTCACCCGTCTCGGAAAGGAGTATTGAGGGCTCGTCGTTCGGACCAGAAGCAAGCAAATCCGCGATGCTCTCTAGTGTGTCCGGCGATGCCAGGTTGATCTCATCCAGTAGCACCCAGTCGCCATTCCTGGCGGCTTTCACGATGTTACCCTCGACGAAAGCAAATGCGAAACTGCCGGAGTTCCCCAAGATTTGAACATCAAATTGATCAAGACTCTTGTCGAACATATCCCAACGTGTTCTGAGATCACGCAACGACTGCAGCTTTGACTCGGTTTTCCTCCGTTTTACGGGAGGTCCTTCAGCGCCATTGGCCTGCTCTGCTCGTTTCTCAAGCTCGGCGAGAATCTTCTTGAACATTTTCGGTGCTTCCCGCCACAGTTTCGAGACTCTCGTCCACTGGCCTTTCGCGACACACTTGCCGATTGACTCAAGGTATTTCTGATTCTTCTCCGCCGATATACCGGTCGATGCAAACAAATCTTCAAACTCCTCCTTCAAAGGGACTGCCAGGGTACGCACATTGACTGGCTTGAAGCCTCCAAGTAGATCGCCGACTTCGCTCTGCTGTGATAAGTTGACAGCAACGAGCTTGTGCCCCATGATCTCAGCGAGTTGCTGTACCACGGTGGTTTTACCTATACCAGTCTCTCCAACGAGAAGGGTTGGTTCTCGGAGCTTGACGGCCACTGCGATCTGCTCCAATAACCGTTTTGCGTGATTAGTGCTCGCGAAGGGCTTTTTTGACTTGTTTATCCTGTTGCCACGCATCTTGCGACTGAGCGTAGTCCGGCCAACTCTGAGACTGGCGGGCGTCTCCTCCAGTTGCGGCACATACGCCTCTAAATAGTGCGTCACTCTCTCTGCAGGCAGGTGCATCTGCTGAGCGATGCTGCTGACAAGGTTTAAACGTGCATCCAAGCTGGGGATGCTCCCACAGAAACAGTCGACAGCTTCCAGGAAAATCCAGTCCTTGGCCGTTTCACTAATAGACTCATCGCCAGTCTTGCAGCCGGCAGCAATCAAGATCTCGTTCAGCCTCCTGCACCACTTGAGAAGATCTCTAGGGGTGATTGTTCGGTCTGAGATGCCACGGCCAGCGCCGGCAATGGATCTTGTAGGTAGGCTGGCAAGTCGATTATATACCGAGATAATGTCGGGTGAATATCTGTGGAGGAGCGGGTATTTCCCAACTATAATTTCCTGTAGCTCGTTGGGTGGTGGCATTTTGATAGCAACTGACTGCCAAAATCGCTGGCCTAGCAGTGTCGGAAGGCTCTCTTGGCCGTGCATGCCTCGTGAAGTTCGTACAGTCGCAAATAGGCGAAAGTTGCTCGGCGCAATGATCCTCTCTCCTCGGCTTGGAATCAGGAGCTCACCACGTTCCACGAGAGGAAGCAGTGTACTCATGACTTCGTTGGGTGCCCTGTCTAAGTCCTCGATCAACACCCACCGGCCCTCCTTGACCGCGGTCGTCAACACACCAGGTCTCCAGGAGAAGGAACCGGGTTTCGAGTCTGTTGAGTATAACCCGATCAACATCTTGGCATCCGTCTGCTCGTTGAGATGCAGCGTGACCAAGGTCTCGTCCATCCCTAGCTCCCGCGCAAGTTCATTCACAGCGGAGGTCTTACCCGAACCAGGCAGACCTTGCAGCAATACGGGCCCAAAACGTTGAAGGCTCTGCGAAAGACCCTCAAGATTTACAATAGTCGCCGTGGTATGTACCAAAGCCGAGGCCGATTCGGGGGCCCTCGAGGTCTCGGAAGGAGAGTTGCACCATAACGGACGACAAGCGGTGTAAGTATTTGTAAAGACAGGGGTTCGATCGGTGGCTCATCAGAAACAACTTTCAATTGTTCTCGAAGATCTTCTATTTCGGTAGCGCGCTTCTGTTCGTGCAGGGACAGAAAGCTATAGTCCACTTGTTGACCATCAAAATCGCCAATCAGTGCGGTGCTCTTTTCCTCAGCGGCCTCCGGGGCCGCGGGTTGCGACTCATGATTAAAACCCGACACGTGCTCTGTTGCTATGTGCTTATTGATAAGTGACTCAAGCTTCGCATCCGATGCGGAGAGCAATTGACAGAACACGCGGATAGCTAGATATCTCACAGAGCGCCTTTCATGCTCGAACAAAACTTGCACCTGTGACGGCTGGACCAGCAGACTGTAAGTCCTTTTATCGAAACTGAGCAGCCGCCATACGGCAATAAGGATAGGCTCAAGATCTGTGGCCTGCAGACCTAATATCTGTGGTGTGTCCAAAGAATTGATTTTAAAGTTTGGTGAATCGCCTTCACCCGAGTCGGTGGTCTGTCTCAAGTACTGCTCAAGAAATACCGACAGGTAAGGCGCAAAAGGAAGGATTCTCGCGAAAGCCGAGAGAATCTGGTCATCCTGGGCTCCTGACCGTGGAGCGAGAAGCCATCTTGCGCAGATGTCGGCAAAGATGGCCTCGAAATAGACGAATATCTGGTTGCTCGCCTTCGGATATAGCGCCGCGGCAGCTACGGCATCCAAGAGATTGGTCGCGGAATAATCGCGAATTATCTGGGATAATTCGGCAGGCAGACTCGTCACAAGCTGCTCGTCAGCTAGGAGATGTCTCCAATGGGAGCTGACATCAAGAGTCGCCATGGCTGGTCTGAAAAGGCATGGGAAAATGCGTTGACAATGGTGGAAATCCGCACTCTTGGGACCCTTAAACTTTCGCCCTTCACTTTCGCGATGGGCAGCCCGCTATCGATAACCATAACTTTTTTCTGAGCAGTAAAAATTCTGCCACCCGGACGCCAGAGGCTTGGAAGCCGCGACTGCGTGGGCGGTCAGTCTTAGCGCAGAAAGTAATGGCTAGCGGTGATTCGTCGGGCCGCGGGCAGCCAGGACCCGCCCCTGCCATTGTGCATGGGGCAAGCTCCCTTACCAAAAGAATTTCGATCCGAAGTCATCGCGACGAGCTTCGCTGCAAAAACGTGACCAGTTGTGTATATCCAGCACTCCGACAAAGCAGCCCACCCCCCCTCTTCAGCCCACATCATGTCGTCGCCGTGCAGAATAGCAGCTCGCAGCTGCGCTCGCTCCATCCGCGCCCGAAGCTCCTTCCGACCATCCACATCCTTCATCCAGAGGAGGTGCGAATCGACCGATGCTGCTGTTTCCACCAACCCCAAGATCGCCGGTATCGTCGACCAGATCAGCCAATTGACTCTGCTCGAGACTGCCGACCTTGTAACGACCCTCAAGGTAGGTCATTCAGCTTGAGAGTTGCACTCCTATAGCAGAGCTTGCGATCGGCGGAAGCTTTTCTTTATTTTTTCTTTATTTTTTACTCGCCCCCTCCTCCCCCTGGACTCGGTCACTGTGGTTACAGATCTTTACTTTTTCCTTTTCTCTTTCTTTGGGAATGCCAGAAAATTCTATGACGCGGTACTAATGATTGCCCTCTAGAAACGCCTCAACATCCCCGACCTCCCAGTAGGAGGCTTCGCCGCTGCAGCCCCCGCCGCGCCCGCAGCCGCAGAAGAAGAGGAGGCGGCACCGGCCGCGCAAGAGAAGACGCTGTTCTCGGTAAAGCTGCAATCCTTCGACGCCGGCGCCAAGGCCAAGATCATCAAGGAGATCAAGGGCCTGCTGGGCCTGTCTCTGGTGGATAGCAAGAAGTTCGTCGAGAGTGCGCCCAAGATGATGAAGGACAGCGTGCCCAAGGACGAGGCTGAGAAGATCATGGCAACCATGAAGGAGCTGGGTGCCGTTGTCGTCATGGAGTAAAGGATATCCTTCCAACCAAAGTGGACACGGCCAGGAGAAAACTCCATTGATCATTGTGGCAGGCATGAGACTCTTTCATGGGAACAGCCAGACAGCAATTGGATGAGATGTACGAACACAGATATAGAAGGGAGGCAGAGGAAATGTGTATACATGTATATCCTACCTTGTAACAATACAAACTAAGATCAAGCATCTCAATTATGGCATGAAAAAAAAGTATGTTATTTGGGTATCATATCATTCGGCACTTTTTACCTTCCAATAGCTTGCAAAGCTCTGGATTCACGCGCTTGTCCTAAACGCCAAAATGCCCGTGTCTTCAATTCTTGGCCAGCATATCGAGCAGACAAGACCGATCTCCGTGCAACCCGCCAACGCCAGCAAATGCAGTTACACGCCATCCCAGTCGAGAAGCACACTGCTACATAGCAATCCAATACCTTGCTACAAGTCCTCGCGGGAGACGTCACGCTTCTAGCGCGAATAGCCACCGTTCATCCTCACATCACGCTCTGCATCGCTCCTAGAACCATGATGCTCTCCTCGTCCGTTGCCCGTCTTCCTCTCCTCATCATGACCCTGGCCTGGCTCGCGATTGTCCTGCTCCTGACCTGTGCCGGTGAGGTCGATGTTTTCATCCTCATCCTCCAAACCAAGTCGCTCGTCGTCATCACCACCGTCGCTTTGGTCATCCCAAAGCTTGTGACCCCTGGCAGAGGCATCCTTGGGCGTGACCCACATGTTCTCGCGCATCTTCTTGTGCCTCTCTCGATCTTCCTCGATGCGCTGCTCAATCTGGCGCTTCTCCAGTTTTGCGGGCTTCTTGCTGGAACTGGTCACCTCACTGCCACCGCCCATGGAGCCATTAACACCAGAACCTTTCGTTTTGCCGTCGAAGTTGCCTCGTACGGGACTCGAGAAACCCATGTCGCCGTGACTGGCAGCGGCACGATCCTTCAGACACTCCTCGATCTCGTCGACCGTCTGCTCCAGGAGAAAGCCCTTGGACGTGAGGCCTCGCAGGACCTTGCGGACGACCTTCACGTTGGCGGCGCCAGAGCCGTCCTCGGGGCACACTGCATCGACGACGCGAATAATGTCGCGCTGCATTCGGCGGATATAGTCGTTGCCGTTTCGCTCCTTCTCGGCTAGCTCGAGAAATGGTTCGATGAAATACATGATGTTGGCTCGGGTATTCATAGAGTTCTGTAAAACACAAGGCGTGAGCAATGATCGTTATGCAGCTTTAGGTGGTTCCTGCCCGACCCGTCACTTTTGTGAAATGCGCGGCGCATGTGAATAATCCGAACCGCCAACATGATTTTCACATTCCTCCCACCTCCGAGTCACACACCAAAAGGATTGCGATGACTTACCCTTTCAAGCTGCTCCAGAATACAGCTGTGTAAATCCTCGCTCTGGTCTCTGTGCTTTATCGCATACTGTGCTGCCTTCTGTGCGGAAACAACACTCGCGTTGAGGTGTTGCAGCTGGCCGCTGAAGCGCATGCGGACTTCAAACGGGTCGGCCATGTCTCTCTCAGCTTGTGTCTGACGCTGAGCACGCTTGTCCTGCTCAACTACCACGGGCACCTGGGGCCAATTCTCGCCGTTTTCTGAAGTCCAGAATGAGACGTGGATGTCGGAGTATAGCAACGTGCAAGCCTCCCTAAGGGGGATGAGTCGTCCGTTTTCAGGTAGCGGATGCGCCTGTGCGGGTTGATGATTGTAGCCTTGAGCAAGGCTGAGCTCGTCTGCGGCGCTATTGCGACTCAAACGGAGTTTGGGTATGTACCTGTGCTTGTAGGAGTTCCCTTGCCAGGTCTGGTCACCATCCGCAGGAGCAGGAAAGTGTTCGCGGCGGTGCTGTACGCTATGCTCGCCGACAGAGTTCTTCCAAGGAGGACCAGACAGAATTGACGAAAAAGCTTCGTTGTCGTGATGCTCGCCGTAAGCTGGGTTGATGCCTGGATGATGGTTGTTGCCAGAGCTATCTTTATCACTGCGAACTAGACGTTGGCGGGGCCTGTCCTGGTACTCGTCGAAATGTGCAGGCCTGTCGTAATAGCTATCTCTGTATCGCGTGCTGTTGTCATTCGGCAGAGGCTTGACAGCGTAATCGTCCCGCTGGCGATAGCTTCGAAATGGGCTCTGCCGAATTGGCGACGGACCTCTCGAGGACCCCACACCGTCGAGATGAGAATCCAGCGACCTTTCCCCTGTCCGTGCTCGCGAACGGTCAGAATGGCGGGCTCGGCGGTAACGCATCGTGACCCGTTGGTGTCACCTACAATGCCGATCAATCAGACCAGGCGCTAAGCGAGTTCGGGCGAGAGCGTAACGCAGAATTGCTAGTGGTGGTCCAACAAGCACAAATGCGACGTGCGACGTCGGATGATATTTTTATGGGTTGTCGTGTGGGGAAAACAGGGAGCGATTTGCAGTGATGTGAAAAGACGTAACGGTTGGATTTGATTGTGATTGGGAATTGGTTGTTTTGGTCAACACCTAGAATTGCGTTTGTTCTTTCTGGTTTGTACTGAGCGGGTCTCTCCTGAATTCAAGACCATTGTTGATTATCAGTTGGGTGCTCAACCTCTAGCAGAAAGAGATACCCGACGGCCCAAGCTCTGACTTTGCTCCCTTGGAGTCGACGATTATACTCGACGATTATATAAAAATTTTATAGTCGCCAAATATGTTGGCACTTCCTTCTCGGCCCAATGAGGGCGGCGATCTCACTATGGCCGTCCTTGGATGTGGTATGCTTTGAACCGTTCAACAACAACAATGTCACGATTTTTCTATAGCTAGGTCGTCTAAACTGATCTCTTCTGTGTAGGCAATATGGGTATCGCGATTCTTTCTGGAATTCTTGCCTCCGTGGAATCACTTTCCGGCCCAAAACCCTTGCAGACAGACCCTGCTCATCCACCGGAGGAGGTTCCAGCTAGTTTACCTACCCGGTTCATTGCGTGTGTGAGAAGCACAGAGAGCGCGAAGCGGGTCAAGAAGGCGCTATGGCAGCATACTTCTTATGTCAAGGTTGTCACCAAGGATAACTTGGCCGCTGTAAAAAGGTAGGCCAATCTATATCTCACGTGGGTCAGGTTTCGCCCCGATATTGGATGCGATGTCTCATCAAGCAAGTGCTAGATGCACATTGCCGAACGAATGACTGTTATACATGCCAAGCTTCATGGATGAGCCTCAGACTCCTTGCCCCAGGCCAATGAGAACCGATCGGTTGAGCCTGGGAAGGGTCGTCACTTGCCCATAGTCAAAGAATCATTCTAGTCCGCTTCATAAGCGGTACTCCCCCGTCGTTCGACAATGGAGCAAAAAACAGGCGCCACCTAAGGTATACACACTAACACCATCCCAGGTCCGAGATCATCCTCCTAGCCTGCAAGCCGCATGCTATCAAGCCCATATTGTCGGAGCCGGGCATGGCCAAGGCGTTGGAGGGTAAGCTGCTGATCAGCATCTGCGCCGGCATTACCGTCTCACACATCGAGTCGATCTTGCACGGCTCCGAGCCAGAGCTGTTCACCAACCACGACGACGCCGAGAAAGGCGACGAGCGGGCCCGCTGCCAGATCATCCGCGCCCTCGCCAACACCGCCAGTATCATCGGCGAAGGTATGACCGTCATTGCCGACAGCAACGCGCCGCCGCCACCCGAGATCGCCAAGCTCGTCACCTGGATCTTCCGCCGCATCGGTGCTGTCGTCTACCTGCCGTCCCACAGCATGGATGCCAGCACGGCGCTTGTCGGATCCGCACCCGGGTTCTTCTCACTTGTGCTCGAGGCGGCCATCGACGGCGCCGTTGCTATGGGATTGCCCCGTGCTGAAGCCACCCGCATGGCTGCACAGAGTATGCGCGGTACGGCAAGTATGGTATTGGAGGGTGAGCACCCGGCTACTCTACGGGACAGAGTTGCTACCCCCGGAGGATGTACTATCGGTGGCCTGATGATCTTGGAGGAAGGAGGTGTTCGAGGTACAATCAGTCGGGCTGTGAGAGAGTCGGCTACTATTGCTAGTGCACTGGGACGCGGCGAAAGGGGTGTCAATGCGACCAGAGGTCGTGGCGATACTAAAGTAAACGGCTGGGAATGAAATCGAGTAGGTCAATAGAAACAAATATGCAGTAATTCGAATTGAACACGAAACCTTTCTCCCGTAAAATACATGTTAAAATATGTGCGAATTTCGGTCAGACATGAAAGATAAGAAGGTTCAATGATGCGTTGACATTTTAGAACTCTATCTGGTTAGTATTAGTAGAAAGATTAAATACAGAAAGTAAAGAAATTGGATACTCTGTTTTCATGGCCATAAGTGGTGATTTCTGAGATTATCAATACAGAAGGAAAAAAAAAAAAAGGGGGGGGGGGGGGGGGGGGGGGAAAGAAGAAGAAGAATTTAACACAGAGGATGCGCTCAGGGCGTTGCCGTACTCGAACTCTGGTCTCCCAGAGAATGAGATTATGCACCCTAACATCTGGACATGCAGGCCGGGGAACGGGTCCATCAGGCGATCCTGCCAGTTTACCATCAAGGCAACCAGGCTGGTGGCTGTGTTGGGAGATTTAGCCATTGTTGTATCTGATATCCCTCTTGACTTCCATTGTGTGCAGTATACCGAGCTCTGGCCCTCCACATGTGCCTCATTATTCTATTATTTACTACATTGATATGAAGCAATCAACTCGTGGCCATTCGCAGGTTTCTCGTTTGATCACTGAAAGAAAGGGTATTGTTTTTCTTTTACCAATGCGCCAAAATATGAGTACAACGAGCTTGGCCACCAAGCCAGCCAGCCAGCCAGCCAGACCATAACATCTTATTCCGTGCGCCGTCACGTACATTTCACTCAAGCGGCTATTCATTCCTGGGCTACCTTCAGAATATTGAAGACACACCTATGCCGGGCAGGACTTCTTCCGAGGGGAAGCGATCTGATCTATGATCATTCATTTGTGGCTTCGCCAATGGCCGTCCTTTCCCCTTATGGCCACTTAAGCATCCTCCACTCTCACCTTTTTACTAGAAGGTTCAGCACTCTCCTCGCCATCAGCTTTCCTTTTTCCATTGCCATTCACAGCTTCCTCGCCGTTTCCAGCACTTGGTCTCGGGGCCTCAAGTCTTTCAAGGATACGGGCATACTCCCACTCGACGTTCTCCAATGTCTCGTTGAGCTTGATGATACGTTCTGTGATCTCAAACTCGCCCAAAATTGCAGCATTGCGCCGGTAAAGTCGTTGCTTCAACAGAAGGCGCCACAACGTGTAGACGTTCTGGTCCTGAGGTGAAGGCTTGGCAGTCTTGGGAGGACTCATGCTCTCGTCAGTGGTCTCGGGTATCGGGCGTACAGAAAGAGGTAATTTGGACATCAAGTGCATCTCTATAAGTCGGTGGAATTGTCGCGGTGCGATCTTGGACTTTTGGCGGATTTGCTCGAGGGCGTCCTTGTCGACAATAGCCCTTTGCGACGTGGCGCTGTTGGCATGTGTGACGTGAAGATTGTCGTGTAATATGCCGCCTTTTTGCGGGACGGAAATGCCGGGTGTGATGGCCAGGTCAGCGAATTCTGGGATATTGGCACGAAGGTATTTCATGTCACAAAGATCGCGCAGAAGATCAAAGGCCTCGTTAGGATCCTCCACGGTGATTTCCTTGGTGGTGGGATTGTTAAGGTGTGTCTCGAAGATGGTGTTGTAGAGCATGGCACCGCAACCTTTACCTTGGTAAGGAGGCAAGATGACGAACTGCGATATCCGCGCCCGATGAGGGATCTCGACGTAGGGAAGGTCACCCTCGGGTAATTCCCAGGTATCGTCCACACTAGGATGGATGAGCGTAGGTGGTGTGGAGGGTGGTGTCGGCGACTGAAACAGCCAGAAATTGTACACTGTCGAGTAACCGTGGAAAACGTAGTCGGTTCGGCCGTCATCACGGGTCTGGTACTTGTAGAGAAAGTAGACGTTCCATCGGGCCAGGGAGTAATCAGGCTCGTCCTTGCCCTCGGCATCCTCGCCGATGTACGAACCGCCCTCGATGTAGAACAGTACGAGAACTTGTATTCTCTTGACCAACTGCTTCACGGCCTCGTCGGCTAGACTGCCCTTCCATACGCCATAGGTTTCGCCCTTCCGTTGGAACGTCTTGATCTGTTCGCCCGGCGGTGACCAGCTCGATGGTAGCTGGTTGACGGCAAGCTCGAAATCTGCTTTCTTCTGGAAGGCAACTATGGGCCGTGGGAGTTAGCACAAGTTTGAAGCGGGAGCCCATGTGAAGCTGAAGCGAGTGGGTGGATGCGACTCGACATACCTCCAGGCAAGTACTCCTTGAGAGTGCCGACAACATCGAACGCCTCCACCTCACTGACAGTTTGAAACTTCTTGGTGGATGTGACGGATGCATTGGGGCGCATGTCGCTGGCATTGTACTGCAGATTGATCTTGAGACCCTTGTATCCAAAGATGGTCTCATGCTCGCCAAAGATGGGATAGGTGAACTTTGGATTGAAAGACTCCATCTTCTTCAGGCCCGAGTCGCCCTGCCGTACCAATGATATGGTGAGGGCGTCATTGGCACCAACAGTCCCTGCAAGATTGTCAGCCATTCGATACTTGAACTGCGCCTGTGTACTAGGGAATGTCGCATACACTCTTCCTCAGTCGACATGGTGCTCGATAGATGGAGCGCGTTGGGTTTCGGGAAAAGTTGGAGGGGCGAAGAAGAAGAAGAAAAAGAGAAAGAAAACAGGCGAGGGTATTGTATCAAGGTCCAGATCCGAGCAACTCGGCAAGTCGTGGAGAATTGGGAGGAGCTTTGAATGTTCCTCGGGCGCAAAGAAGTTGAGCTTTCTCTTGCAATGCGAGGTTCAAGCACTTAACGCGATGCCTGGGGTGGTCAGCTCAAGCGCGTTCTTTTGCTAACCTAGATTAGACTAACCTGGACTAGTCTAAACTGAAATCAACCTAACCTTGACTTATCCCATGCGCGTGCGGTCATGCCACCAAGGTTTAAATCAGTTGGAGCACAGGTCACTACCGACCAACTAGGTTAAGCACTCAAGGCAATCTCGTACATAACTTACATGCATACATGCAGTAACCTAGGTTAGTACCTTCGTTCACTCTCTGTAAGACTAGCGGGTCCGCCCCGAAACGGCCCCTGCAGTTTCTTGCTAAATTTGTCTTTAGCGGCCATTGCAGTGACGTTCTTCGCAGGTCGATGTCGGCCAACCTGCCGGGAGGCTTAAAGAAGGTGGCAGGGGTTGGAACGGGGACTGGAACTGGGGACAATCTGGCTGGACTCCCCGACTCGATGCCCGGCAAAACGGTTCAAGCCGCGCTAATGGACAACTTTCTCGAACTGGGAAGCGCAGAAGCGGCCTGCTGCAACTTCCCAACGTCGAGAAGTTGCTGTCGAGGGGTATAGTTCTTGGTCTTCTCAATTCGAATCGCACAGACATTGTGCCAACGTTGAACCTCCCACACCGGTCCTGCTGCTGGAACTGTGTCCTATCCTATCTATGTATTCGTAACCCGGCCGCCCAAGTTCCCTCTCTGAAGCTGCTCACCCACCCATCCAAGAAGCCACCATGGCAGGAGTACTATTGCTACTCGCCTTGACGGTCAGTCACCACCGGACAAGCTCACTCCACCATCCTGAACCATGCTGACCAGAGTTGCTGCAGGCTGTCATGGCTCTAGCGTACGCAATTCCTCCCAACCGGCCCAACACGAACAGCAACTGACCTCAAACCAGCTCCTTCCTGGCAGGCGCGCTTCCTCTGTCCATGTCCCTGTCGCAGTCGCAAATGCGTCTCATATCCAGTATAGGAATCGGTATACTAGTCGGCACATCACTTATCGTTATTATACCCGAAGGTGTGTCCGCCATCTCAGAGGCCTCCCTGGCAGCAGGCCACGTACACGGAGCCAAGCGACACGTCATAACCAGAACCAACGATTTGATGCACTGGAACCCAGAGACGGGTACTTACACCATCACCTCAAAAGCCAGGAGATCCGATGGTTTGTTGCAGTGGGACGGAGACGCAGCTGTCTATACAACCACTTCTAGGGCCAAAAGAGCCAACGACCTGATGCAATGGGACCAAGAGGCAGGTGTTTACGCAGTACCGGACAAAGCCGCCAAGGAACCACATCTGGGGCAGACACTGCCCGTCATCATGCCCGACGTCGACACAACAACCCCTAGTGCTGCTATAGTGGGCCAGCCAAGGGAGGAAGACCCCCCGACCAACACGCCCTCCGATCATGCTCCAGAGCCGCCCGAGTCCGTACCTACCTTCTGGGTAGGACTCTCTCTGATACTGGGCTTCGTCCTGATGTTTCTCATCGACCGCCTGCCGCGCCACGCATCGGACAACTTTACGCCTCCGCCAGCACCCCGCCATATCAGTCTGAGCAACCTAGGTGCTTCAGGCCTCCCAGGTGACGACGAGGAGAGCGACGGGTTCCTGAGCAGTCTAACACCGACACCCAAGCAATCGAGGAGCCTAGCAACCACAACGGGATTGGTAATTCATGCCGCAGCCGATGGTATCGCGATGGGCGCCTCAGTCGGCGGTTCGGACACGAAACTCGGCTTCATCGTGTTTATCGCCATCATGGTACACAAGGCACCGGCAGCCTTCGGTCTGACGTCGCTTCTACTGAAACAGGGCCTATCGAAACGGGCTGCGAGAGGCCACCTCATTGTTTTCAGCCTGGCCTCGCCGGCCGGCGCTTGGGCAACATTTATACTAGTGAACCTCCTGGGAGGTCGAGGAGACGGAGGCCAGCCTGGCGAGTGGAACCAGTGGTGGACCGGCATGTTGCTACTGTTCTCTGCCGGAACCTTTTTGTGAGTTCAATCCCGATACATGATGTTCCTGCTGCTGCCGCCGCCCGAGGACTAACGGCAGAACGTGTAGATACGTCGCTATGCACGCGATGCAGGAGGGCGACGCTCACTCCTCCCACGACATGACCAATGGAAATGGCTATGGGGAGAGCCCGACGCTGGGCCAGAGAAAGCAGGCCAGACCCCAGATGAGAGATACGATCGCGACGGTTGTGGGCATGCTGTTGCCGTTACTTACACAGTTTGGGCATCATCACTAGGACTGGATGCCATGGCTGTATAATTTCTGAGTCGCTCTGTACAGCTATCCGGTTTTTGATTTGCATTGTTGGTTCAAGGGAAGAAGAAACAATCGTCGACTTCTCCAAATGTACTCAAATGTTGATGATCATGAAGCCCGTCGACCATAGCCAAGTGGTAACAAGATGGTTACGACAGCTGTATAGTATTAATTACCCTCTATTTGCTACAAAGGAGCCGAAGGGCTTTTTCATGAACGGCGGACTTATCGAGGTGGTAACGCTCTGGAGTGGGTAGTCACCGAGGGGGCAATGCACGAGATGATCTGTTTAGTTGTAGAGTCGCATAGACGCTCCTGTTAATCTATTAAACAGAATCGTTCGAAAAAGCATTCCAACGTGTTCACATAAGAGGTCTGGTATCCATGTCCGTGTCCTGGGCCCCGTATTGAGCCACGCCATGCTCAACCATTCGCTTCTATCGTGGTTAAAAAGAAAAAGAAGAAAAGAGTTAATCCATATCACCCATGATGCTCCAAAAATGCCAATCTTGTGTTACCAACGCCTAGCCATGCAATTTGTTTGTTCGTCAAGAATGCTGCCCTCAAGATATCATGATTTAGGCGAGATGCATTATGCGCAGGCCCATCCTTTGCGGGCTTGTCCCATGTACCATTAATCCTATCAAGTAGTTGGGTTTATGAATCATCTTCAGTCATCATGGAAGAACGTGGTGTTGTGAGAAGGAGCTGTTGAGGGCCCAGCATCTCTCATGTCCACATCTTGGTCTTCACTTGGAGCAATACTCGGTAGACCTAATGTGGATCGGCGGTAATCCACATTCAAGGGTCGCAACGACGACTTTTCTGCAGCTTGAGGGAAAGAGACTGGCCGCTCAGAGTACGCATCCTCGGGCGGGGAGAATGACCAGACCTGGGATAATCTTTAGATACAGCGCTAATCGTAGTGCTTGGTTGTGCAACTTACCTCCATCATTACACGGCTTCCACGGTTGGCTACCGCAACACATTTTTCGTCCTCAAAGACGACTCGCCAGACGGATTCGGCTGCTTATCAGTTAGCTTGGAGAATTTTCGACAGCCGCACTTGAACATACCAGTGATCAGCTCTCGGACGAGATGGCCGGTCTTGACATCCCAGACCTTTACTCGCCCGTCGCTACCACCACTCACTACCCGCGTGTCATCAAATTGCAGGCTCGTAACGCTGTTATCGTGTGCAGCAAGTCGATGTATAGGACACATCTTCTCCAAAGACCACACTCTGACCGAACCGTCTGAGCCACCTGTGACGAGAGTATTACCACGTAGTTGCAGTTGACCGACGAGCGAGGTGTGGCCTTGGAGGACAGCAATGGGTTCACCAGAAAGAGCATCCCAGACTCGGACACTGGTATCGAGACTGCCAGTGACAACCCGCTGGCCGTCAAAAGCTATGGCATAAATCTGGCTGAAGTGTCCGGTGAGCGTGTGCAAGCACCTCCCTTCCGATATGCTCCAGATTTTGGCTGTCGCGTCGTAGCTACCAGAGACCACGATATCCCCCTTGATTTCGAGACACCGTACACTGGCTTGATGGCCAACCAGGACATTCTTACAGACGCCTGTTCGGATATCCCAAACTCGAAGGGTGGTATCCCTCGACCCGGATATCGCAGTATTGGCGTCAGACATCTTCAAGCACCGCACAGTTGAAGTATGGCCCCGAAGTGTATGAACACATTGCCCTGTGGTCATATCCCAGACCCGAACGTCACGATCACAGCCGCCACTGACCAAAATATCCTCCCAGGGAACCATAGCCCACACGCCCATAACATGCCCTTGCAATGTCCGTAATACATTCCCTTCGCGGTCAAAGATATGGATCCTCGCGTTATCAAGAGCCACAACAATGTATTTTGGGGTCAAGTGTAAGCTAGTCACGACCCGACCATCCTGAGTGATTGTTTTTATGGTGTTACGACCGCCAGTGCGCCACGCTGATTCGACCAGATACCTCTGTTTGAAGTGTGACTTGTAAGACCGAAGCTTGGGTCTATTTGAAGCATCAAAACTCCGGGACGCTTGATGCACGGGTTGGGCCGTCGGATATGCTCCGGGGAAGCTATGGTTCGGTTGGTCGGAGTCGCCTAAAGGATTCACACTAGGACGAGTCGTTGCGTAGTTCGGTACACCGTAGTAAACCTCGGACAACCTACGCCCGTAGTCGTGCTTGACACATAGGTTTTTCCATGTCACATCATCGCTCAGGAGATCGCGCCACCTCCGCGAGACCTGTGAAGCCCTCGCCAATACTTGTGGGTCGTCAATAAAAGACAAAATCCGTAAGCACAGTTCGTCCGGCAAACTTGTAAACGGGTCCTTCTTGAGCAGTGGGCTGACGAACTGATGCACAAAGCTGAGCTGTTGGGTCGTACACATATTTAATAGATCCGCCAAAAGACGATTCCGTGCAGATCCAGAGCAGTTCTGGAAGTGTTGGCGCACATGGGCTAGGAAGAAGTCCTCATCTTCGGCGGCTTCGCTCCAGTCGGCCTGGGGGTGAGAGGGTCCTGGTGATGCTGCAGGAGTAGGAGGCGGCGGAGGAGAGCCGGTCAACTGCTGGTCGTACTCTGGAGCCGGCGTGTTCATACTGGGGGTGGGCGGCCCTCTCGGCCTCGGTTGTACCATCTTGTCCATCCTGTGGTTGATAGGACCGTTGCTTGTGTTCAGGGTCATCTCATCATTCATTATGCTCCCCCTCCTTTCCGAGAAACTCATTGTGCGATTATAACCAGTCATCGCTAGTGGCAGTCGTGGTGATCAAGCGATCTCGTTCCAGATACACCTGATATTCTACTCATACATGAGTCGCTTGGGGCTGGCGTCAGTCTGCGTTACTTGAAGCGGCGCAGTCAAGGTATTGTCTCTGTGTGAGCATCAGTAACCGCTGAACATCATATTTGGGCAACACTGGTGTCGCTGTAGATCTGCAGCGACATTCCAGTCGTGTCTTCTTATTGCGCGCTTGCGCCACTCGAGAGTTTCTGTAGCGAGACGAGTTGCGAGAATGATTTGCTGGCGGGCTGGCAGGGGAGCAAGTTTCATACCTCGTGATGGTTGTCAGCGACGTCGGCGACAAGACTAGTGCAGAGCGTTTGCGTGAGAGAGGGTCGAGGGTCGAGGATGGTCTAGAGGCATTGGCTTCGTTGGGGGGATTGCAAAAAAGGGGATCAAAAACAATTGACAATGTCCGAAGAAGCCTAACGTTCGATTGTTGCTTGTTGTTGCTCCAAAAATTCAACTGCACGGCTGTCCAACAGATGCTATGCTGTATGCCCAACCCCTATGACAGCGCAGCGGTCCAGGTCCAAGTCGAGGTCCAGGTCGAGGTCGAGGTCGAGAATGAGATTGGCGAAAAGACGAAACTCGAAAAGAATGGAGGATTGGAACTGGGGGGAAAGGACAATGCGACCGGACTGGCTTGCTTTTGTCGAATGGGATGAGCGACAATCGACTGAAGGCGGGTCGGGCCTGGGGGGGGGACTGGGGGACTTTGTCTGGCTGGCACCACTCACGCCTCTGCGGTGCCCAGCGCTGCACTGCAAAGGACGCTAAAGCGCACTGATCCGATCCTGTGGGGACTGAAACCAACCATCTCTGTCTCTGAACTGACAGCCCAGACAGACGGGCCTCTTTCCAGTCAGGAGATTTGCATCCAATGTACAGTCATTATGTATAGCGGTGTTGGTGATGGCATTTTCTATAGGTACATACAACCGAACCACGGAGCACATTGGCTGGCTGTCTTCACTGGCACCAAAACCCATATCGTGCCCGCGATTAGACTATTTGGAATCCAAGTTTGTAAGCTACTCTGTCGTCATTCTGGATAAGCCTGACTAGTGCCTCGACTCGGGGCGAAGTATGTATGTATGCAGACACAGACACAGAGTGTACAGTACCTAGGAGAATTAAAACGGCTCATATGCAAGCCTCAACACCGCTCAAGAGTTTGTCGGTCTTGTGGCATACCTAGTCCGCATACTTTTGCGAGACGTCTCCATCTTAATTCTCTCGCTCCCGTCAGTAGTACACCGGATCCTCTTGCAATTTATCGGGAACTTTACGGCCTTGCCGAGTTAAATATAGCAAATTCTTCTCATAGTACAACATGTCCATGCCTGTGGAGGTGTACTTGGCCTGGTTATGGAGGCATGCTTGGCGCACATAGGTGCTGAAACGAGAGCGGCCAACCCCTGCTGCTAACTTAGGTTAGGTTAGCAGGGTTAGTCCGCAACGATTCCTAGTTCCTAAAGTACGCTCTTCACAAATTCACTTCACTAACCTACGGAGAGGCGCTTTCTCATATCTTTGTGTCTGACATTCTGCAACTAGAGCCTCAATGTCGTACAACGCAACCCGTTTCATCCATTAATGCAACTGCTAACCATGCACGTCTCGCCCAACCACTCAGTCTCTCAAGTATGCTTAAAGCGGACATCTACTTTGTTTGCCCATGTCAAATAATGACAAGACTCGGGCCCGTGATTGGCAGTTCAAGGCCACAAGGCCAGATGAAATGATACAATACATACAAGTTGAGATGTTCAGTCAGATGGAAACGTGTGGAAGATTGGACTACAAAGCTGCGTATGCTTGAGCATGGAAACCCGTCATATCTCGGTGTGAAGCTCTCTTTCCCGCGCAAATCCCGTTATTTTCTCCAGTGATCATGACTACCCTCACCTGTGTCGTATTGATCTCCGACAGGAGGCAACCAAGAACCAATTAGACTCGGCATTGCCTAACTATACTCCCAATCAGCAGTCCTTGCAAGTCAGACTCACCTCACGGAAACAGAAACAAGCAATTTAACATAATAATAAAAATTTCATTTGTCTCAAACGGCCAATAGTACGACTAAATAGTCGGTGTGCCGACTAGAAGAAACCTCATGAGATCTTTATTTCGAGGTCATGATGTTTCTCTAATTGGAAACCACTCAAGCTATACACAACACATAATCTGCACACAAAAGAATGCTATTTAGTGGTATGGTATGTCAATACGGATGCTTCGATCCGGGTGTGTAGCGATAGAGTGCTCAAGGGTCGCCATCCTCCACCCAGCCGCCCACATGATCCAGCAATTATCTATCAGCGGTGCACTCTTATCCCACTTCTCCGCATTCCAGACCGTCTTTTAAGCGCCGTAGCTGCTGTAATGGTGTGCGGCTGACCCGCGAATGGAAGCTCTGCGGCCACAACAAAAGTGCTTACCGGCACATGAACGATACCTTTCCACGGGAGGTCACTCTTGGTCGAAGTGTCAAATGGGCAGTCTTGGTCGTGGCAGTTTGTCCGTGTGTAGATGAGGCGTTTCAGTAGCGGCTGCTCCCGTTCTAGCGTGGAACGGGACGACTCCTCCAAGGATGATGGGAGCAATCGACCTAGGTTAAGTCAATTGACGATCCGCCACACGGTGCTCTTCCTGTCGGCTATGGTCTGGGCATGTCAGACAGTATCGCGATACAGCGCATTCGCTGTGTGTAATCTAGGCTAATCGTTTGCGCACTTAGGATCAAGGCGAGCATAGGTTTTTATGTATGTTTGGCCACGATATTACGCAGTTTTACATTCCATCTGTCTTGACCACAAAAACCTTGGCCAGATTTGGTCACTCCGTGCCGGCTTGGAAGGCTGATGCAACGCTGATTAGACACTCCTGACGTGTTCTGTTATCGTACATAGCATAATCTGCAGTGTTAAAAATCAATATAAGCATCATGTTATCAATCCATTCACGAACAAAGAATCAGGAGTACATCATCAAAATCCAGCGACTTGACATACAACTTGCAAAGCCACCCACCTTCTGGGTAATCCATTCCATCACTTTCTATACCCAACGCTCACCAGTGGACTTACTAGTCTTCATTAATTTCTTGTTTGCCTTCGCATACTCGTCCCAGTCTCCTTCGAGCTCATGTGTGAGAACACCGTCATTACAGCGCGAGAAGCCCTCAGAGGGCCGCCATGCGTGTCTACCGCTCGTAGCACAGTGCCGAATGATACGAATGAAGGACTGGGCATAATTCCTCAGTCTACAGAGCTGCTCTTCCGTGTTCTTAGCAATCGTGAAATACAGGGTATTGCCGCTCTGCTGCTCGTGTTCGGCCCGTCTGCGTGACAAGAAGTTTCTCGACGAGGGCGAACAAGCAAACCCTCCGATACACACAACTTTCCGAAGCTGACGTATCAGGATTTCGAATGAATAGCTACAGATATGTACATTCGAGCCTACTCAACTTGACTGGGCAGCCCTGTTCCTCCGACCTCTTCAGTTGTCTCAAAGGCATCTCTCAAATGGGGTCAAGACTTCTTAAAATATAAGTCTTATGTGCTTGCTCTAATGCGTTATTCGGGTCTGCCCATGATGGAATGGTGTGGTCGAAAGGAGAAAACCACTCAGGAGGCACTGCAGTTTTGTTGTTTTTGACCCTGTCGTCGGAATTCCTGAAGATGTATGTCAAGACTGTTCATTCAGATACCTCAGCCAAAACAAGTCACCTGATAATCAGTTCTAACCACATGCGGAATAACGCGATACTCTACAGATTGTCTACTTACCATGTGTGGGACTCCTTCTCTCTCGATTTGTATGGTGGTGGTATTACTGACAGTATATATGTTCAAATCGACCATTCCGCCGCCGAAAACATACACGGAAGGTGGCGCATGGGTACGCACAGACTCTAGGATTGAATCTATACAACATAGAACAGTGTTCCTCGAATCCTGATGAACAGTCAGCAGCGGCGATGACATCCTGGCAGCTAGCGGTTGACACTACCATCGCTGCCGGCAATCCAGACGCCCTAGATTGTCAAGATTTATCTCGTTCCTGCCATATATTATCTTATTGGCCCTTTTGTGACATTCAAAAACAGTGGGCCCACCGTCCATAGAACGATGGTAATCTCAGGGTGTATTTTCGTTGCCACACCTTTGGAAACGCAATGAGATGTTAGATACGCAAAAGCTTTTGTTGAACCACCACATATTCGTCCTGCAGGCTCAATTCATGGACAGGAACTGATTATATTGTCGAAAGTAGTTATGATTATTTAATGAGTGTCGCAACGGAAGCTTAAGTACCTATGTGATTCAGTTCATCGTTTGGGCTGGGTGAAATTCAGCTGTTATGTGCTCCATTTCCCCAGAAGATAGATTCTAGCGTAATTCGAACCTGTATGTAACTACTTGAGGAAGCTTCGTACCTTGACGATAGGATTGAATGCTTGCGCTTGCTAAGTTCTATTTATATTATACTGCGATGGCCTTGGATGTATGTGCATGCCTATGTTGATGACACAGACGTATATTAATCCTACTAAACTTAAGTTGTGCCATACAATCTTGTTGCATCCAAAATATGCACTACAAAATTAGAAGTATACACACCGGAGTTCGTGAGATAAGTGGTAATGGGCATTAAACCCCTTCGTGATATACACCAGTGTGACGCTGCAGATATGATATGTAGCATAAAGATAAACCAACCATATACACCGACTTATTCCTAGGGGTCATTAGAAACATGGACAGAATAATAGATAACAATGAAAAGAGCCGAATGGAAAACAGCGCATTTGATGAAGCCGCAGGATTCAGCGATCAGCGTACCTTCCACCCCATTGTGAATCATCACCAGAAAAAATTAGCAAATTCACGGTCAAAACTGTTATTCGGTTTATTACAAACGCTACAACTTTACTCATGGATCGCATCTATAAATTCCTGTTACACCAACAATCAACTACTGACCTTCAGAAAGATCATGACACTTTCGCAACTTTCCCATACCACTACACTGTCTAGACTGCGTCGAGGACAACTACGTCAAACCGATCTATCATTTCCTCACACTGAAGCGACCTACAAAGATGTTTGACTTGGTCGGTCTCCTGGTTTGTGTTTTCGCCCACACGCTGGAATACGCACCACTTGCTCTCATCGGTTACTGGTAAGTGCGACAGCGCTTTCGTGCAGAAGACCTTATTCCGGATACTTCTTTTTATTAACCTGCGTATTATGCAGCGTCTGGTTTCAGGTTGAACAAGTTTTGTTTAAGCGCAAGTTGGCTGCCTACAAGCCAGTTCCAATTCCTGAAATCTGTCCCTACACCTCCGACCAAGTAAGTGTCATTGCCTGCACTGTCGACACTCTCCTCGCCAGCTCCCTCCGTACTTGGTTGGCAAACAACCCACTTGAGGTGATTATCGTCACAGTTCCTAAGCACATCGAGCATATTCGCTTAGTCGTGGATAATGCACAGCTCACACCTGCCGACTTTGAGAAAGTCACAATTGTTGCCTCACCAGAAATGGGTAAGCGTCCGCAGTTAGTACTTGGAATCAACAATGCTCGTGGCTCGGTTTTCGGCCTTGTTGATGATCACATTGCATGGGGACCACGTTTCTTGGAGGCAATGTTGCCTTGCTTCCAAGATCAACGCGTCGGTGCCATTTCCCCAGAAATTGATGCCATCATTCCAGAAGAGCGTCGTAATCCTGACATTATTTCGCCCTGGGAGGTAATGGCAATGCGGGTACGATGGAACAGCAACCCACGACTGAAGGTTGCCTATGCTGCAGCACGATGGGCATGGGGTATCTGTGGCGTCACTGGTGTTTACCGCGCTGAAATCCTCAAGGTAAACATTTACAATCAGCAATTCCTAGCGCAAGGTACTGGTAGTAGACCGCACAGACCTTTTGACCATGCGAAGGCAACGGTGTGCTGATGTTTCGCAGGACCCTGTCTTTATTGATGCCTATAGAAACGAATTGTGGTTTGGCAAGAAGATCGACATCGGTGAAGACAACTTCATTTCTCGCTGGTTGCAATCACATGACTGGATCATCGCTATTCAAGCTCTACCAGAGACTGTTGTGTCCCGCACTGTCAAGAGGACATCCGATTTCCTGCTGCAGATGTGTCGATGGGAACGCAGCACAATCTTAACCCACCTGCGACAACTATTAGAGGTCAAGCGAACTCGGAGATCCCTCTTTGTCTTTCGTAAGACTTTGGGTCGGATCATTCGACCTGTGATTACATGGACGTATATCTTCTTCTTCACCCTATCGATGTGGACTAAGCCTATTGTACCGTAAGTCATTGCATTGTCCTAAAGAAATATCCCATCAATATTAATTCCTTCTTAAAAGCCTTATCATCTTCGTCTTCTACGTTCACAAGACTTACCCAACTTACGAGTTCTTCTTCGCTAAGCATCCCTGTAAGTATAGCAAATAATTGTCTCTTGCCTTGGGAGCAGGATAAATCACGCAAACAACACAACGTTCGTCGGAATAACTAACTTCCTCACAGATATGCGACGATACTGGTGGGCTGTCATAGCCCAGGACTTATTCCATGTCGTTCAGGACCCCATATGCTGGCTTACGCTAGGCAACGTCACATGGGAGGCGCGCAAGGTCACAGCTGAGGAGCAGAACAATATCAAATAGAGCATACGACTCTCTATGGTTCGTGAGGTTGTTGTTTGCGATGTGTTTCTTGCAGACCTCTACGGGGCTGCCTCCTGTGTCCACTGTTTCGGGCATCAGATGAGCCATATAAATTAGTAATGGCCAAACAATTCCTGAGACGACAGACCGATTTATGAATTCGATTATCAGCCTCTATATTTTCTCTTCTGTTCCTGCCTTGAAATTAACCAAGAGTATTGCACAAACAACCCGAGCGCAGAAACAAACGCTATCCGCAAAATTGTGAGGTGGTCTATATTACACGGAATATCTTGAAGCCACCAGGCACGCGTGTTTGGAACACACCGGCGGGGTCGTACTTTGCTGCGAGATTGCGAATTTATTCCACATTCTCAGCACCGTAGCTGCTCAATGGGTCCTGGCTCGGATTGACATAGTTGAGAAATCGAAATGGTAGATTGTTGCCTGTCTTCTTAGCAGCAGCCTCCACATTGGCAATGAAGGTGCTTCCATAAGCATGAGCAACGGCCTCACTAGAGACCACCTCGGTTTGGATGATCAGGAGTAGTAAAACAGCGTTAGAGGTAAGCAAAATGCCAAGACCGAGTACATTGCCGCCTTTCTCGACGCCGATCTGTCCAAAGTATGATGGAATCGGTTGGAACAACAACTGAGCATTAAAATCGTCAGTCGATAGTGAAGTTGTCAGATTAGCGAACAGCGTTTCGTAAAGTGCAGTGACCCATTTGAGGAATTCTAAATCGGCCGCAAAGGTCAAAGAGAACCATACGGTCCTGTGTTCGTATCAGCCAATCTAATCAAATGTTTATGGCAGATGGTTTGTCTACCGCAAAACGGCGGGGTTGATGGATCCAGCCGCAAGTTCAGCCATGCTGAGCGTGGTCATACTATCAACTACCGGAGGCAATGCTGCCAGCTTTGCAAAACTGGAAGAGTCCGTGACACCTTGGGTGTTGACTTGTGCTGTAGAAAGCGTGATGCCTTCGCCACTGGTCACGAACAAGACGATAAGTGCATCGTCGGCTTGAGACTGGTCTGCGGATGCAAAGTCAACTAAGGTCTCAGGCGCAACCTCAGCGTGGAGATCATAGTCGTAAGCACGTTGGCCTCCATACAATAGCGTGTTGGGTAAAGTGATAACATCGTAGCGAGTCACGATGCCAAAATACCTGTGCCACCTTTGAGAGCCTTATGTAAATCTGCATTTGATGATGCGTTGGCGTTGACGACACTACCGTTGGCTAACACAACCTCGAAATTGATGACATTGTCACAGCCAAATCCTTGTTTGCCGGTGTAGTAAGAGTTCTAGGCGCGACTTAGTCACATTTATTTAGCGCCGACATCAAATATACGTCGAAACTTACACCTCCACCGATGAGAAAACCGCCGATACCAACATGACCTTCGCGGCCTCCTACGACTGTGACATGATCTGGGGAAAAGCATGCAAGTCAGTCGTTGGTTTCTACCGAAGTTTTTCAGGACTGCCAGTCGTGACAAAAGTGAACCCAGCAAATATGTAATCCTCGTACCAAGAAGACATATGAGTAACTCACACGTATCTGCGAGGCTGGAAAATGCAGCTGCCCAGGAACCACCAAGCCCAAGAGATGCCAAACCAGTGTTAAAGTCATAAGTTGAAAAGTTCAAAGAGCCCAGATCAATGGTGACACCGTTTTCAATGTTGTTCGCTCCCGGCCAGAAACTGTGGCCACCACCGCGGACAGCGATGTGCCAACTACCAGCGCCTTGGTTGGCATTCGTCAGTGTTTTCAGGGCAAGAGACACTTCTTCAGTATTTTCCGGTTTGACAATGCACCAAGGTCGCAATTGAGCACTGGCGGACCAATAAGTTGAGATACGATCCCCATACTCGGGATCGATCGCTGTCAAAACACGCTCGCTCAAGCCGGCTGTGATCAATGCATCGCACTGCGGGACAATAGTACATATGTTAGGACAGAGAAAAAGCTGAATTCGGCTTGTGCTACTCACAGGTACATTTGCCGTAATCATTTCAGTCGCGTTCTCGTGTTGCTGATAGGGAAAGTCAGCCACGGAACATCCTGATATAAGTAAAATACCAAGAGCCAGCCATTTGATTGGTAGCCCTCCTCCTAATATATTGCTACAACCAAGATAATTAATTGAAGAAAGATTTTGTTCATGTTGAATTGCAATGAAGGGGAGGGGGCTTCTATTGTCTTTTATATTACGCCAACTATCTCATCTCAGCGCATAAGCGAACGCAACGGAACCAATCAGAACATTGTGAATGAACGTTGATAGGCAACTTTTTGTGGCTAATAGCAACTTGGGAGCATGCGGGCACATACAACGCCAAATATTGGCAGGGTACAGTATAGGCCGTCCAAGTTCCTTTCAAATCATAGAATATCCTACACATGTTGTCCTCCAATCGCGAAGAGAATTTCTACTGAGCGTGAAGTAGTCCATTTGACGGACAGATCATGTGCCACATAAAATTATTTGTGCATTTTCCCCGAGGAGTTGCGAAAATCGATCTTGTGCACCAGGATTTGGTTGAAATATTCGACCGCGGTGCCTAACCAAGAACATGAAGGAAATAAACCTCAAAATAACGAGCCAAGACAACATGGGTGTATTTAGGGTAGTGGTACATAGCCAGATCGTACGATGTTTGATGTGTAAAGCGTTGGGCTGCAGCAGCATGCGTGTCTTGACCGAATGAAATACCGATCCTTGACCGAACTGTCCGGCCCGCTCCAAAACAAAAAAAAAACCTTGTGCACTCTCGCATTTCACCGATGCTACAACGTGAGTTATTATGCCGTTGAAGCGAAATCTGCCCCTCTTTTTTGTAAAAAGAAAATTTACTTGTCCAAAAGAAATCAATCATGTCACTCTGAATTGAAAAGGTCCCCGCGCTAACGGAATCAGAATGTATGGTCTAGTAATTGATTTTGAGTAACTCTTGCAGGGGTTGGCTCGCCATGACAGATAACCCTGGATATACATTGCCCTATGAATGCTTCAATATCTTGCCTCAATAGGCACGTTAAGGACTACGCTATATCTCGAAAGTCCTCGCTTTCGGGGTCAACAGCTGATCAAGCGATCTGTGTCTTCATTCGTCAGCGAAGTCGCTGTATGAACGTCTCTTGGCCCATCTTGAACCGGAAGGAGCACGCTTATTGTTGTTGTTGCCGCCTCCGTTCTTGCCTTGCCCCTTAGCATTGTTGCTACTGCCCTTTTTGCCTGAGTTTGAGTTGGACGCTGCGGCCTGAGATGTCGTGGAAGGATCGGCTGATATTATGGCAGCAACCACAGCAGCGTTCTGTTTGCCCTCATTCGTCAAAGCGTCAGCGTCCACGTCCGCGATGGCTTTTTCAGCAGTACCTAAATCTTGCTTGTTCTGTGCAATCTGCTTAGTGATACCGGCTTGATCTTGAGCTGTATTAATGTTGCTCGGGTCGTTATTCCCGTCCAGGGGCGTGGTGTCGGTTTGTTGAACCGCGAAGCATCCACCGACATCTTGCTCGTTGACACAACGGACGGTACAGACATTTCCGGCAGAAGCTGATACGGTATATTAGCGCTCAAAATGCTCGAGAATCGTCGACTTGATGAAACTCACATCCAATACAAGCCAGGTCGCTGGGCATGGTTACCGTCAAGGTCATCTATGCAACCAAAGACAAATTAGTAAACCGGTTTCACTATGGTCAAACAGAATCTGATTCTGAGATCTATAGCATTCATGACCGTAGTTTCAGTTGCTTCAACGACCTCTTGACTTGTAAAAAGAAAAGAAAAAGAAAAGGCTACGATATAGTCCGCGTGGTACATACCGTGTTACCGCTGCTGGCCTTGTTGGCTCGGGCGACAACAGACTGTCTGACGACAAGCCGTCTGTTGTTATTTCCGTTCTTGTTGTTTTTATTATTATTGTTGTTGTTGTTGTTGTTGTTGTTCGTATTAGCGGTATTTTGAGAGCTGGTCAATTTGGTTTGTCCAGTGGCACCTTGAACATTCCCTTTGGGATCGAGATCGCATGTGTAAGTACCACTAGCCATTGTGCTGTTTGCGCTAAGCGTTACAGTCACATCGGTACCCTTCGTCACCGAAGTCACTTTGCCGTTGGCGAGGGCATCCTCTTCTTTCGCGCCAACATCGATGTTGCCTCCATTGATGGTTCGACCGCACTGATTAACTATGTTGGAGGAAATTTCGGCGACGTTGATAATGTTCATATCTTTAGGGTCATTGAGATCCACTATATATACATGTTCTATCAGTGAGGTTGTACTATGAGACATTGAAGCTTGTTGCTTTTACTCACCTTGTAGTGCCTGGCTTGTGTTGCTGCCCTTGGTTCCTATAGCGCTGATGATGTTTTGACCGTTCGCCAATGCGAACAAGGCGGATGTGACAACGGCCTGCCGTGCTAAGTACATAGTGGCGGTTAAAATGTAAAATATGAAGTGCAAATAAACAATATGTATAACACTTTGGAAATGTAGGTCAAGAATTGAAGTGAACAGACCTGCTGATGATATGGTAGAGAAGAGAACGACAACAATGATCAAAGATGAACGAATAAATCAGATAGTGTCATGCTTCCGTGATGTCTATTTATCAACATGCAAGCTCTTGTATCCCACAGCGCAACATGCATACTTGGATCGGGCCTATAGCCATCTGCAACTGATGTTGTCGCGACTGGGTGGGTTATATCCGGTGTTGCGACAGGATTCCCCGGTTTTCGGACCCGATTATAACTCCTTGGCGGATCCTTCTACAACCGCCTTGGCCGTAAAATAACCGCATTGTTTCTGCTATTCCCGTAATACCACTAAAACCAGCCGTCTGATGGCATTGACACTTGTCGGACGACAGTTTCGTCCCGCTACAGCAATGTGAGTAGTTGGTCTGAATTGCGGAAGTCGTCGTGTGATACGATGGTGATAGTTCGGTTGAATCGGCACACGCTTGACAAATGCGTTTGTTTCTCTCCCAAATATGTTTTTTGAACACCACCGCATCTCCCGAGATCTATTCAGAAATAATATGACAGCAGCTCTGAAATAGTAATGGTTTGCATGGGAATGCAAAAAGTCTTGGAGCAGCTGCTGATCGACATTCAGATTGACGCCCCACACGACATTGTGCAGCCAAATAAAGAAGTGCCTAAACGCGTAACTAAGTTGCAGCTTGGAGACAAGCTTTTTGATGTACTCTAATTTAAGGCTTACGTATGGAATAGACACCTGTCAAATCAACATAGTTACGCTGTCGGCCTGGTAGAATACAGTCACTTTGCCAACTGAGAAAAAGCCTTGATTGTAAAGGATTTGACTTAGATTGACATATTACAAGCCAGGCGGTGCTTGTCGATCGAGCAAACGTTTCTTAGGTACTACTGTAATTATATTCTAGGAATTGCAAACACATTGCTACTAATGTATACAAATCCTCCAGAAAGTAAGTCATCATTACTAGATTGGTCGTTGATTTCAAGCCGAAGTAGGTATTAGATAGGCCTGCGAGTAGTTATGGTAATCTGGGGATGGACGAGATCTGTGTACGCGCCTGCAGAATCATAGTTGATCTGTCGCAAGTAAAATTCTCTGCTATGATTTTGGCATGGTCATACTAGAGGTTTATTGAGATAAGGGGTAATGGGCATTGCACCCCGTTAGTGATGTACGCCAGTGCGACACTGTAGATGTGGTTTGTTGCATGAAAATAAGAAACGAATAAGACACAAGAGGTTTCCCCCATCTGCGCCCATACACTTCTCGAAAGGTGTATGCGCGTCCTTCGCTTCTCACGGTCGTCTGGTAGGTAATGGTTGTGCGTTTTAACGTACAACATAAGAACATAGAGTAGGAATAACAAAAAGGATGAGCGCATACGGATGACCAATATTTCCTTTGATGCACATGGACGCGAAATAAACACCTCAGAGCGCGAAATTTGTGTGTCCTGCTTCTTATCCAGGTGTAGGACGCCCATAGTGGGCGATGGTTTGGGTCTTCAATCTGGATGATCGACTATCACAAGGCCACCCTTGGTTGTTGGTGAGTTGGACGACTTTGAGGCTACAGTTTGGCATTCAAGAGTCGAGACGACATCATGAATTGTGCCCACGCAGGCGCAGCCAGGAACAAAGTGAAATCAGCCTCAATGGCCTCCCTAACGGAGAGCCCGCAAAATGCTATCATAGACTAGTGTTTTAGGTTTTGCGCTCGACGTCATGATGGGTAGCCCATGCCGAGCATAGGAACAGTTAAGAATTTGACATGCCCTTGTTTTATCTGGTGATGGACAACTCCGATATTAACGCTTATAGCATACATCCTAATTTGTCTGACATGATATCTCTTCACGAAAGGCAGAGGAATGGAACAATTTGCAGGATCGGCGGATAAGCTGTTCCTAAGTATGGGTTTGTGGGTACTTTTGCATCTCAATGTCAGATGGCAGCTGAGGTTTCCAGGGCTATTTTCGGCTCTCTCCGTCTCCACTTTTTAGATACTCCTGGATCTCAATGTCCAGACATGCAGACTTGAAGTGGGTTGGAGCTTCTACTATTTCAGTGCAATCACCAGCCGTCCTTCCCGTCACATATAGTAAAACTCAATCAGCACAACGACGACAGCCGGTGTCCGCAAAATGTTCAGCCTCCTACCAGAATATGCCTTGCGTCAATGCAGGCTTCGAACCCGCTTCCTGATGGAATGTTCTGCAGCCCACCAACCTTTGCTGCGGCTCCGCAGCCACGCGTCCAGCTCGAGTGCCGCGTCACTTAGCCTTGTTTAATGACGATGGGCATGAGAGTCCTTTCATCTGGCGACACCAGGCGCAACTCTGGATCGTGTGTAACATGTGATTATTATAGTGCATTAAAGATATCTTCAGTGTGCGACAACGTGGTAGTAGAGGGGAAGAAGATGTAGAGTCTTCAGATGCAGTCTTCACAACTGTTGTGAATGTATCTCGCTTTGCCTTCATCACGAGGAGAAGCGCACGGTTCTAAAGCTGGGAAGATATAGATGCGCAAATACATTCTACCAGCTGGGCAGCGATTCACCACCCTTGCTTTGCTAAAGGTTCATCCCGCTGCGTGGACTTCACATAGCACATGGATCGCCCCAATCTACCGGCGCTACGGTACCCTGTTCCAACGGGCCCGCGGGCTCATGATGGATCCCGCTGTCGTTTATGTCAGCCCACAAACTATCTGCACGGCAATGTTACTAGCACGACAATCAGTTGTGGTCCAGAAGCATACCAGTGGCGGAGCACTGCATACCCTGGACATATCGCACCCCTTCGTCATTTACATGACTAGGTAGGCTCAAGGGTTGTTCCGCTTCACTCAATGTCACTTAGCTACAACCACCACATTACGTTATTCATCACCAAAACTTACGCGGTCGATCTATTTTATTATGACTTCGGGCCTTGATCTAGTTCCTCTATGCTCGGATCGCCGAGCAGGAGATCGTATACCGATCATGCGAGTATGGTATCCCGAAGGTGAGGTTATACTTAAGAATCATGAATACCAACCGGAGGATTAGTCTTGGTTATTCACAATCAACAAGTATTTGCTTCTACAGTCCTTTCCGTTCTTCGATTGCATGTGTCCTTCTGTTTCTACCGCTACCACCACAGCAGCCACCACCGCCATGTCGTCGCTCGCTGATCTCTGCACTGTATCCAATGTGCAGGCGGCTCTTCCCGCTAACGGAACTCTGCTCGGCATCAACCTGTTGCCCGAGACCGTAACAGCAAGTCCTCTGTACAATGTCACCGCTGGTATGGGCAGCACCGAGAGTTACTCGTATTGCAATGTCACCGTGTCATTCACCCATACCGGAAAGGGAGACGTCATTCCTATCAAGCTAGCTTTCCCGGAACCTTCCAACTTCGAGAACCGATGGTACCTGGCCGGAGGTGGAGGCTTCTCCATTTCATCCGATGCAACCGGAGGTCTTGCTTATGCCGCTGCTTCCGGTGCCACTTCTGGTGGATACGATGCCTTCGACTACAGCTACGACGAGAAGGTCTTGTATGGCAATGGATCGATTAACTGGGATGCTACATATGGTTTCGCCTATGTTGCTCTTGGTGAGTTGACCAAGATCGGCAAGCCCACCACCCAGGCTTTCTACGGCTTGGACGATACCAAGATCTACACCTACTTTGAGGGATGCTCCGACGGTGGGCGTGAGGGTATGTCCCAAGTTCAACAGTGGGGTGAAGAGTACGACGGTGTCGTCGCTGGTGCCCCTGCTTTCCGCTTCGCCCAGCAGCAGGTTCACCACGTCTACCCAGCCACAATTGAGCAGGTTACCGGTTACTTCCCCCCTCCGTGCGCTCTGGAAAAGATCGTCAACGCCACTATTGCCGCTTGTGATCCTCTTGACGGACGTACCGACGGTGTCATTTCTCGTACCGACCTTTGCAAGATAAACTTCAACTTGACCTCGATCATCGGCGAGTCCTACTACTGTGCCGCTACCAGCAGCTCTTCCCTTGGCTTCGGTTTCAGCAAGCGCCAGGCTCAGGGCAGCCAATCTAGCACTTCCCCCGAGCAGAACGGTACCGTTACTGCTGAGGATGTTGCTGTCGCCCAGTCTGTCTACGATGGTCTGCACTCCAGTGATGGCAAGCGTGCCTACCTTTCTTGGCAAATTGGTTCCGATCTTGGCGATGCTGAGCCTACCTACAACAATGACACCAACGAGTGGGAGTTCAACATTCCTTCCACCGGTGGCGAGTACGTTACCAAGTTTGTTCAGCTGCTTGAACTTGACAACCTCTCAGACTTGAACAACGTCACATACGACACTCTTGTCGACTGGATGAACACTGGTATGATCCGCTATGCTGACAGCCTGCAAACCACTCTGCCTGACCTCACCCCCTTCCAGTCATCTGGTGGCAAGCTTCTCCACTACCACGGTGAATCTGACCCCAGTATCCCTTCTCCCTCTTCCGTTCATTACTGGCAGTCAGTTCGTGCCATTATGTACCCTGACCTGTCCGATGAGGAGGCCCAGGAAGCTCTTGCCGACTGGTACCAGTTCTACCTCATTCCTGGTGCCGCTCACTGTGGTGCCAACTCTCTCCAGCCCGGTCCTTACCCTGCGGACAACATGGCCACTATCATTGACTGGGTTGAAAACGGAGTTACTCCTACCCGCCTGAACGCCACCGTCTCTTCCGGCGACTACGCTGGTGAAGTCCAGCAACTTTGCCAGTGGCCCACTCGTCCTCTTTGGTCCGGCAACAGCTCCACTTTCGACTGTGTCACTGACGCCGACTCCATTGCCAGCTGGACCTACACCTTCGATGCCTTCAAGCTTCCTGTCTACTAGAGCTGATACCAGCGTCTATCGGGCCCTTCTCTCAAGCGAACGGTTGACAGCGGTCCCTGACAGTGTTGCCCGGATCTCGGGCAATAACGGCAACCATCCCATCAAAATTTTGTGTTTGATGCCAGAAACAAGTATCTTCTTTGCTGGCACTTGAAGTTTACTGTATATACTTGCATTTTGGCCTGTGGCCGACGGTCTAGATCATAGCATAGCAAATATCATTTTCAAATTTACAAAACTCGTAACAGTTTCAACGACAACTCAATATGACGTGAAAATCTTGCGTAAGCGGTTCTATGCTAGCACTGTATATGAGTTGTGCTGTTTGTCGCACTATATACATACTGCCTGGAGCGATGAACTATCTCTAGCTGAGTTTCTAGGTACCTTGTCCGTGAGCTACCTGCGCAAGACCTCAAGTACAAGCCTACTTATGGCGGGATGTCAACTGGTGCGACTTCTTTCCCCCCTGTCACGGAGTGGACGAGCAGCTGCAGTAGTAATCTTCCAAATAACCCGGTCGATTTTTGACAATGGGTAATGACCTCGGTACACCTCAATGATGAGAGACGGTCTCGGAAAAAGAGGTGATATTCATAGACCTGAGCTTACATATTGAGCCAGAGCACTTGGTGTCACTGTTAGGTATATTATAACGTACGATGTTCGGAGTTATATGAATTGCGGCAGTCCATGTCAAAATACCAGTCCAGGACTTGAGCAAAACCTTGTGCCAGATCACGGGACTGGACCTCAACCAGACTGAATGGTAGCCTACATCTCTTCAATGAAGTCGAGGGCATAAAAAGACCAGGTAATTTCGACCGGCCATTTTTGAACACTTAATCATTCATGCAATTATAGCAACCCTCCGTTTCTGCTTGCCTAGACAGTATATAGCGATGGTCCGTAAAGCAGTCAGTCGCTGTTTAATAAAACCAGTAACGACGAGTGATGTCAGTCTTAATGACGTCTCGTTATGTTTCTAACATCTCGTTTTACCATCAATCCGGAGTTACTTCCAATGTTGACTTTGGATAATCGATTCATAGAAGGCCGTTCTTGTCGTGGTAGATACTACGAGTAAAAGCAGGTCCAAAGCAAGTCCGTTCCGAACTGTGCATTTCAAATTTCCCGTTGTTAAGTAGATAAAAACTACGGGTACTCTCGTAAGAACTCATGCATCATCAAGACGTGCAATATTTGAGCAAATTAAATTTTAATGAAAGCGCATTAGAGACTAAATCCAGCCGTACTTCAAAACGCTCGCTCACCTCTCAGGATTATGGTTCCTTTCTTTTCCATCTCTCTTCATAACCGTAACTTATTAACAACACCATTTTCCCTATGTTTACACGCGATTCCCCTACATATACCCAGTATGTTATGTATGATATCTTTTATATCCTCCTACTTAATTCCTTCCAACCTAGCTCAGCTTATTATCCATCATCTAAAAGGTTTATGTCTAATTCATATTACCGCAAAAGTAAGAGTATATGCCACATTTCATTTACTCACAAAATTTCCAAGTCAACCAGATTGTACAACCGCCAAAGCAATTTCAGGCACCTTTCATCCTATTCTCCTAACTCTAGCATCACTACCGTATATTGGCTACTCGTGTCTCTTTTGATGTCCTTTTCCTTGCCACCTCTGGTTTCCAGCAGAATAAATACGTTTATTTCATTATTTTGGTAATACTTGGATCTCTGTCAGGACTCATCCCCGGTGATTAAAGATATATTTCTTTTTACTAAGATAGGTCTAATTCTAGTAATCAACTCCGCTGCTAGCACTCCGAGGTGCTTGCACTAATTAAGATGTTTAATTGACTTCAAAGTTCTTGAAGTCCTCAGCTTTTGTTAACGCATCATGTTTTGTTTCTAGCTCTTCGATTGTTGCGTGGTAGGGATCAGGTCGCGCGATATACGGCTTCCAAGCTGTGACCATATTTGTAGGTTGGACCTGGCCATCGCTTCCTGACAACAACTACTTGTTGGAATAGAACGGCTAGAAAATGGGTCTTGTTGGTTGTGTTGAACTAATGAAGAAATTGCCGGGATAACTGAAGTTATTGGTGTCTTGAACGATTGCACTATTATTGCGGATGGCTGTTGAACAATTCTTCATGGGTGGCTCCAGTTGGTGAATTGTGCATAGTCAAGTCCACAGGTGGAAGTATAGCGTAAACACAAGTCAGTATTTCTAAACTGATAAAACCAGAAATCCCGGCCAAATTAATGTTTTCTCTTGCAGTTGCTTGAGAATTTTAGGTGTTTCTGGAGTTGTTCAGTGAAGGCTGGTCCTGCGAGAATGGGGACTGATTTGTGTATAGTAAGCTGGATCTGAATTTGAGCAATTTGGTAGTAAAGTTGAGTGGATTAGCGCCCACAAATGAGTACTTGCCCACTAGAACTAATTATCTCTGACAGGAGCATACAGCTCGACTCATATCCTACACATATTAGCGGAAGCCCCTCTAATATGAGTCATGTGTGATACTGCCTTCATACTAGCACCCATCCTTTCACATAATGAGGTTGAGGGCTATCACACCATATACTGAGTTATAATATACACCGCAGATTTTAATTTGAGCTTTCGCATCTATGACTCCACCATTGCGGTACTCGATGAGCAACACATATCTCATGAGCCCTTTACTGAGTACTGACAAGCCTTGATTCTTCATCTAGTAATTTCCATATCTCCAGGGAGCTCCTTGAGCCCTATATAGTTAATGTCAGCCAGTGGTATTGCAATCAAACGCGAGCTGGGCAGCACGCTTAGTTAGCATGGTGATAGAAAAAGGCACTCACAGCCGTCCAGCTGCTCGTCCACAGTAGCCTTGACAGAGCACTGATTTCCCTGCTGAATGCTCTGCGACTTCAACTCGGGGCAGCTGACGCAATTTGAGTCCATGGCCTTCTGCAGGGCGTCGCCCTTCCATCCGAACACGTAGTCCCCGTGATTCCCATATCCCGTCTCGTCGCCGTTGCTCCACACGAACGGCTGTGACCCGTCCGCGGGCCAGTCGGCCTTGTTGTTGAATGCGGTCGTATCCCAGATGACTTCAAAGAACAACTGTGGGATCTTGACGGGATGCGTAGCGGGGCAAGGGCCGCCGCTCTCAAAAGTTCCACTGGTTGGATAAGCTACGTGGCTAGAGTGGTCTGGTGGGTCGAGGTCCACCCCGTTCCAGCAACTGCGAAAGGGGAATTAGTCAGAATGAACAGCTCTATTGAACCTTTTTATTGAAGACTGTGGACTGAAGCTTTTTGGTACTTACGTAGGAAAACGGACGTTTGCCATGATACCAGCCGGGCATGGCTTCGTGGGCATATCCTTCGTTTCACCCGTTCGGGTCATCGGGTCCTGAAGACATGTATATGTGAGCTGGCGCGGAACGGAACTTGCATTTCTGTTCATTGGATCGCCGACGATCATGCGGAAGCCCTGTAATTATGGTTAGATCTTGGCCGGGCTAGCTGACATAGGCAATCCCTATAACGCGAGGATCTTTAAGAGCATAACTGGCTTACAGGCTTGAAGGCAGTGACTTTCGCACTGTTCTGTAACGTGGGTATATAGTACACGGTCATCCCGCCTTTGGCGCTCTCGAACCCGACATTCGGCTTTTGCGGAATTCTCTTGAATGTGCCATTGCGAGCGCGGAAGTACATAACTGCGGTCCAGTAGTTGGAGAAGTCCTCGGCAAACGTGCACGTGGTACATGTAGCGATGCTGGGGATATCTGGCACGCTTTCTGGCGTCATATCTGCACGGAATGTATTCTACACATCATGACGATCAGCCAGTGATTTCGGTCGTCAAATAAAAGTACAATTCTGATAAGCTTACTCCGCCGATGATCTGGTGTAGATGAGGAGATGGCGTGATACCAGGGTTGACTAAGGGGTCAAGGCGCTCAACTACAAGTTGGGAGCATGAGAAACGGAGGAGTCCTGAGGCGCTCTGAATCAGAAGCACCAGTCCTCCAATGATGGAGCCCCAACTCGGTTGCATCATAGCTATCTCAAATCAGATAGTAATCTCTTCGTTTGGACCGGCAGGCACGTTGATTCAATAATACTCAACGCTGAACTCAAAATAATATCATACTTATTGTTGGGTAACAAGAATTGGAAACTTTTCTGGAGAACGACTTAAATGCATACTCTCACTATTACTTCTCAGCTCGTGGCTGCTATATCACACTCGAAAATATGTGTGGGTCGTGCCGGTAAATCTCAGAGGTCTCGGCTATAAGTCCATCAAACCAGTCAATGCTATTAGACTGCATACATCATCGGAGGGCTTACTTCCGTAGTATCGGCAGGGCTTATCTTCAGAACTATTAGAATACATCAACTCATCCATCCAGTGGAGTCAAATCCATTCATTTACAGTGGGCGTCCTGTCAATAGTGGTTGGTAGGAGTGGCTTTTAGGCAGAGAGGTACAACCTTTGAGCGTCGAGATGTTATTTTAGCGAAAGCACATCTGAACTGCCGCGTTTGCACAAATATTCGAAAATAAATTATTAGCATGCATGTGTGATTGATTGTTGATTCCTGCTGATGAGTAATTTCTCTTCTGGAGTACATATTGGGTTTTGATAGAGGTAGGATTGGGCAATGAGAGCGCAGACATTGAACGCAGCGACGCACAAATTTTGATACCCAATAGAAACACAGACCTCGTCGTCATGGTAATTTGCTCAGAAACCAGTAATATATGAACTTTTGCGATAAACCCAATGGTTGATGTAGCCTTTTGGACTGAAATATGCCTTGCTAACATGGCCATGAATATATGTCAACCGAAAGTAGCTGCCAGACCCGAGCTGACAGAGCAGCGCAGGCGCTATATTGAGAATATTCCTAGAGGATGAAACTGGCTTAAGATCGGAAGAATGGATTGTGGCATCCGAAATAACGCTGCTTTAATGCTACGACGGCACTGTCGTCACAGAACGCTGACGCTGTATAGGCGTCACTTATATCAATGAGGGGAGAGCTCCCCTAGAAGAAGAATGGGGTAGAGTTCAGTTTGGGAGGCAGTATCACCTGTACTACCAATATACGCTGCGCTTACGCATCTCTTACGCCTATATTATAGTATTTCACTCTGCTGTAGAGCTGATCTGACAGTAGCTCTGTAACCTTACCAACTGCCAACAAGGACTTGATTACCGCTAACTGAGCTCCTTTTCCAACCTGCCGCTTTTATTGGCCATGAAAAAGCACTCTTATCATGGTCCTTCCATCCATTAGGCCGTTGGTCAGGAGGGTAGCAATTTGGGGTCGGGAATACTTCTTCAAAAGGTGCCCAATCGCCCTTCCGGTTTGGTAAGAAAGAATTGGACAGGTCGACGTCGTATTCCGTTATCCACATGGCATAACTTATGAAGAAGTACTAAGTCCGACAGCCGACAACGAGGAATACTACCTAGCAGAAATAAAATGTGATCTAATCATTATTCCAGCTTGACCCGTTCCGCGAGACATGTCTGCGGTGCACTCATGCTTGGACAGTACGGCCACGGATAACTCAAGAACAGAAAACACGCTCGCTAAATTATACACTTATTTGTACCCAATCTATGAACGAGAGCACTTTAGTGCTTTGCAGTGTCTAATGTTGGGCTATATTTGGATATCAGCAAGCTTCAGACGCGAAATCTTGGTGCAAAACAGCTAGGAAACTTAAATAATGAACAGTTGTTCATATGCCACTGTCCTGGTGCTCGGCTGACTTGAGAAGGCATCAGATCATGAGAATGAAGTCTGCAATAGATATGTGGGAATTACATTAGATTTGCCATACTAGCGATAGCTTGGGTAATGTTTCCAGTTTGAGAAGTGTTTTGTCCCAAGATATACTATCGGGCCATAAAATCACAAATGATATAACAGGCTAGGTTTATGCTTGCAGGGTATGCTAAGCGCAAGCGTAAGACTATTGAGATAGACCTTAGAGTATACTAAGCGACGATGATTCACAAGTGTAGTCGTCAAAGCGTGCGCTTCACCTATGGATAAGATAGTTGTTTAGATAGATCACTAAGGTAATGACTGTCTAAGTAAATATAGGAGATGGTATCCTTGATATACTCATTCATTCCCTTAGTCCTTGTTAGGATGGATCACAACCAAGACTATGATCCTTCCATCCTATTGGTCAGCTCGTCTCCACTCGCTGGAAGGAGAAGGCATAGAAAACTACACATTCTTATAAGAGATATGGACGGTGAGGTGATGGCTTTGAGCAAACATGTTGCTATGATCCAAAGCGTGAAAAGAAATTCAAAGAAAAGGGGAAGTTCTTTAATAGCGGTATTATAAGAAGAATTGGGACGTGACCTTAGGGGGCCCAATTTCGCTACCCTGTGGCTGTAGGTTGTGGATGCCCGGAGCATCCAGCTAGACAGGAGTATAGAGCTGCTGCAGATCCAAGGATTGTTGCTTCCCTGGTATTTACGACCCATTGGATATAGGGCAGCTCAAATTGAATAACAGCATTCTTATAAAGATGCTCGTCGATGGGCATGTTGCGACCACGGGAATACTTGTGGCACCGGCGGCAGAGCACGTCCTCGAAAAGCCTCGTTTGTGGAGCCGATGAAAGAGAACCAGAGCGACAAATAGGATGAGAAAGTCGACGTTGGACTAGGTTAGACTAGTCTAGCGCTACAGTGAGCTTAGAGTGTGTCTGTTTAGCGGGGGCCGTTCTCCGGGCCGCTGCCGCCGCTAGCAAGAAACGGGTCCGTCTCTTCGAACGTCGCCCGGCGGTCATCCATACGGGATTGTTTGACTGGCATGATCCCCTGTCACTTGCCAATATTTTGGTTATTACAAAATGATGATGCAGCTCGTCTCAAGTCACAGTCACATGACCTCAGGAGTTATCAAACCGGGGGTGTGTCTGTACATTGTAAGGACTGGGGCTGGGGACTCCAGAAACCTCGTCCCCGGCCGCTGCCCTGGCTGTCCGACCACCCCCCACGCGTGGACTTCTACGGATCCGTATGGATACCGAACTTGGGTCGTATAGGCTCTGTAAGGGCGTGCCTAGCGACCTAGACATCCGGGCCGCGACAAATCCTCATCTTCACACCGACGACTCCTGCCCGTTCGGGCCGTAGGATCCATCGCATCCTACCCATAGCGACATCGCCCCTGGCACCATCAAAAACCAGAAAACCCATTTGATGCGTGGATACAGTCCTCAACGTCTAGATTTTCGACAATCAGTTACTAGTTGTCCCAAAGATACCGTATCATAATTACAATAAAGGATAGCTTATAACAAATTAGAATTAGGGAGTATATTTACTTATATGTCTGAATGTAGAGTCTCGATTTTGGTTGTACTTCTGTATTTAATTGCAATTACATGCGTGTTGGACGTTCCTGCCTCTCGAAACTCTTTAAGGCACTAACTTATACGCCGCGATGGATCCTTGGACAATATGCTCCTTCAGGCTTCCGTAACAAATGTGAAACCGGCCAGGTCGTGCAAGAGGGCAATCTGTTCCGGCCCAAAGCACAACTCAATCTTTCTTACTTCTTTTAGCAAAGGGTCGCACTTCATATTTGACACTGTGATAGATTTAGACCATGCAGTAGCTCTGACCGCACCTGCGTTATATCTTGGTGCTGTCTCTGATCGAGTTACGCGACTTCCCCGTTGCATTCTTTAACCGCTCAAGCTTTCAGCTCTGCTCGCTGTAAGTTCGAGATATTATGGCCAGCCACGAGGAATGGAATTGCTAGTTTTGAAGTCAAACCGTTCTGGCTTGTTCTCGTCATTGTTTTGCACAACTTGAAATCAACCCCTCTTCCGATTGAATCTTCATGAGTATTCGTGCTGTCGGCCGCCTTGTTGTAATCAGTCCGCCCACAGTTTGACGCCATTCCCAGCGTGGTTCTTCATACTTGTTTGAGCAATCAAAACTTTTTCTTTTTCATTATCGCAGTCTAAAGTTACACGCCGAACTTGCGCAATATACGTAGCGTTCGGAAATAGGTGAGACGCAACCACATTTTTTTCAGAACCATTGCCAACCAAAAGCTTAACCGCACCACAGCTGAGACCAGAGTCACATGCCGAACTTGCAAAACCAGCACAGCCGTCGGAATTAGGTAAGATTGAACTTACGAACGATATTTGAATCTCTTATCACTGCCATCTCCTGCTTTCCCAATATTTGAAACTCCACTCTTTGATACAGTCGTAATAGGGTGGTTCACATGTGTACTATCTGACAACTTTCAAGCACATCCATCGAGTACACTCGTTCGCAGCCTTTCCAAAATGGAATATATTTTAAACGAGCTTGAGCTTATGGCTCTGGGTGCTACTACAGATTACCAAAATGACACCCGCGACTTGGATATGGTCGAGAAATGGCAAAAGCTTTTTGGTTACGCTCCTCCAGAAGCAGCAAGCAAAATTGAACAACATCGAAACGATCTAAATCGAACAGTCATCACTTTGGCACATTGGGGCATGGTTCGAGACGAAAAGGAAGCTGAGGGGTATGACAAAGAATCATACGAACATTCGATCGATATCCTGAAGCACGATCAGTCTCCGTCTCCAACGTACACGGCGGCAAATGTGTCAAACAAAACGAAAGCGGCAATGTTTCTCCTCAAGCTAGAAGGACCACTAATGGACGTAAAAATGGTTCAGGAAGCTGCAAAGCTAGCACAACCGCCGGAGCTATTGATGGGGCATGGCGATTCTGGTTGTCAAACACAATTCTACAAGATTGACAGCCTCGCTCGGGATAACATCCTCGATTTTTCCGGACAACAAGCACCGCCATTCGCACCTACTATCATTTCATATTGCATTGCAGACAAGGACCTGTGTCCTATATCTGCGCACCCCACGCTAGGTATAGAAGCGACTCTACCGCAATTCCGCCACGATAGCAATGCAACACCACAGAATGACGAGTACCCTGTATGGTATTTCTTCTATGGAACACTCGCAGATAACGACGTCTTGGGAGGCCTTGTCGGAGTTCGAAGACCGCATTTGGTGCCCGCACAGACGCGTGGTGGTGTTCTGAAGACTTGGGGAGGCAAATACAAGGCACTTGTTGATCAAATGACGACCGGATCAGTGGGGATTATCGATGGACACGCTTTCCTTGTCGAGACCTATGAACAGGAGACGGCCCTTCGAGCGTACGAGACCGATAATTATGAAGTTGTACGGTGCGGTATCGAGATGAAAGGGGAACGCTACGTGAATGGTCTAACGTTCAGATTCGTCGGAGAAGTGGACTGATGCTTCAAAGACACGGGGTAGAGAGCCCAGGGCTGAAAATAGACAAGTGAGACAGAACGACTGCTATGGCAGGGAGTTGGAGGATATCTTTAACCGGCCAGTGGCGATATGAGCTCTAGGGTGCGCTAGACCTTCTAGTGAGTTCAACCAAAAAAAAAAGGGGGGGGAGGGGAAGGCAGAAGAATCCAATCACGATTTCTCTATTCCTCAAGGCCGTTGGTGCTCATGAATTTCATGGTTCCTCATTGCTTTTATCGAAACACTACCTAGCAAAGCGAAAAAAGATCTAGTACAAGGTGAACCACCACCAATCCCCATCTCCATAATTCAACAACCCACCACTATAGCGCATAATAATACCGAAGACAGAGCAAGTGTCTAGGATCATTGCGAAGTTAGTGGTCGCAGCTCTAATGATATTCAATACCGCGGCGAGTGTCATTATAGCTCTAAAGCCATGCGAGCGACTCAGTGGTCATAGCAGTGATATGTAACTTCGATGAATATTGTTGTTCCAACCTAGCATCCAGCTGCACGGCGACGCCTAGTTCCTCTACGCTTGCGATGATTCGTTCTTTAAAGTCTGGATAGATGACTTCAGAAATAGTGGTATTAGTCCTAGCGCAATTATCCAGCATGTCGACAAAGGTCTATAAATCGAAGTGGATCATCATCCATACAAAAGCCATCGTAAATGCAATACAGTGCTTGACCTTCTTTACACTAATCACCCCTAGTGGTCTTCGAAACTTAATCGAATCAGCTTTTCCAGTCTTCCAAGGTAGCAAATTCCAGCCATAAGATCTACTAGGCGAAACAAAATCAGTAAGTTGGTCGCGTCTCAGCGCATCGATTTGTGAGGTACCCCTCTAGCGCACTACTGTAGTACCTATATATATGAGCAGGCTTCGGTGATCTTGGTGCATAACTAATGCGGATAGTATAGCAACGTTTGTGCGTAAAACCAAGAGAGTGGAACGGTAAGGCCCAAGATGAAAAATGCATCCTATTTAGTAGCGACAAAACAATTTGATTGGCTCTAAAAGCCGTGCTCTATTCCCGGGATGTCTTTACTGTAAGCTTCGAGAACAAGAAACCGCTCAGGATTCCCTGGTTTTTTTAGCCGCCAATAATACCTATTCCAGAAACTGTCCCTGTCTCGATTGTGGTTTGTGGATCTCCAAATTTTCAGACAGTGGCCTCAGATTTTCTTCAGCAGATCCGTCAAAACTGATATTCTTGATCAAGTACAGATCGTCCCAAAAGCCATTACATAGTTAAACAAGAATGGATAACGAAATTTGAACCATTTAAGATTCTTCGCGATAAATTTGTAGTGCATTTTGCCCCGCGTGATCGAAAGACTATTTGACTAAGGACGAAGTTGGCCAGACGGTTGCACTGTTCGGGTAGAGCTGGATACAAAGTGCGGGCACAGTCGACATCTTTGCTGATGGTGGACGCACTGCAAGGACGTCTTAGATACTTACCTCAGTCTCAGGTTTGATCAGAAGTTCAAGTTCCTAGACAAGCTGGATCCTGCGCAGAAGAACCTTGTCGATCTCGAGGACGAACATATAGCGACAGCACGACAGCGATTTGAGTCCAGGCCTAGGAAGAAGCAACTGCTGGGTGAAATGAACAGATCTATCAATAATTGGAAGTCTGTACTTATCATCAGCCTCCCTGAAATCCGGCAAGAAATTCAAATTGCTCGAGTTCAAAGCCCCCGGGCTGGAATTCATACTTATGGGGTACAACTCATCTGTCACAACTTGAAAAATGGAGCATTTCGAATGCCGATAAGCTATCTTTAGAACCATTTCGGGGAAGGAATACATCTAGAAATATGCATCGAGTTGCACAGCAAGTTTCTAAGGAGGGAGAAAACGTCACTGATACAAGCTCAAGTTGCGCTGTACATGTCCTTGAAGACTGTCGATCAAGGGCGATCTGTGCTCGCACTCACCGTGGTGACTATCAGCTTTGTGAGGCTCCTCCTCCTCCTTCATCGATTCTTCCAAAGTACAGCATATCTAGTTGCTCTTCTCAACCCAGCTTCCTCTAGGCTTCTTTGCTACATTCTTTGGCATGAACATCAGCGATATCAACGACGCGATATGGATGATGCTGATCGAGCAGATAACATAAATGTGTAAATGTTCCCATGTGTACCTCAAATCTGCGAGTGTCACTAAGCATTACATCTTAACCTATAGTTGGGCTTTCCTCTGCCGTAATTGCAGCGACCATGCTAATAGCTTTCAATTCCCCGCTCCGAGCCTTGGATAGTTTACTATGGGTTATGGTCAGGTAGCCGTTCATGTATTTGGGCATTCAGGAATGGTGGGCTTGAAGCGGGTTGAATCCAGACGACTAGGCACAACAGATGGAACAGACCACTTGGCGGAAATGATGGGTCGGTCGTCGTCGGTCGTGAGTGAATGATTTATCAAGGTATCAGGCATATCAAGCCACTGTCTGACACGATAGAGCTGGCTAAAAGGGTTTACAATGTCCCTCCAAAAACAAATAGCTAGTATGGACAAGGGTTACTGGATGAGTAAAATCGCCTGGAGATCATAAATTAGCTAAGATTTTTGACGACTTACGATTATATAGCCACTTCTCTAGCAACTATGAAGAGCACTGAAGTACATAGGATGATACAGTCACCCTCGCCGTTGATCCCATTTTTGTTGGCGTTTTCGGATAGATAGCGCCAAAGTGGTGGTGGTGGTGGTGGTAGAACGCCATCTGAAACAGTGATTTGTCAATGAATAGTCGTTGAGATAGATATGACTACTTACAACGGCGTGTCCAAAGCTCATCTATGAAGACAAGTTGTATGAAAAGTTGCGATTGTGGTCTGGCTGAATAGTATTGGTCGCAAACTCCACAGAGAGTCGCCAGCCATTTTTCACGGCCAAATCCTGCGTCAAGCTTAGTCTTCATAGTTGAAAGATATGTCTTGAAGTTAAACTGTACGGAATATGTTACTCATGGTAGCCACGTATCCGAATCATCAAAATTCATGGTATAATCCGGGTGGAAACAAATAGCTGTGGGTTGATGAGATAGCTATGAAATGTGTGCTGTCAGGGACATTCAACACTATTACAAGACTCAAGGATGTGATTCCGGGCTACCAAATATATGCTTATTCCAATTCGTGCCCGTCTTAAGTCGCTGTTTAGGAGATATTATTCCGTTTACGGCATTCCATATCAGAACAAACAATATTTTCCAAGCGTTTCTTTCCGGATAGCTGCAGCCTACTATGCACGTAGGTGTAAAAATAAAGACAAAGCACAGCTCAACCGCCCAGTTATAGTACATCTCTAATAGTATGCTATTCTACATGATCATTATTGGAGCACCTGTTGTATATGTGATCGGTGTACAGATGCAAGTATGCGCTGAAAATGACCTGCTTTATCGTACACGGCATACATATGACACTACCGGTCACAAGTATGGGCATCTACCTTCTACCGAGGCCCCATCTATAGATTCTATCCTGGATCTCTTCCCAACTCATGGCTTTTGCCGAAGAGCCAGGGTTCTGTGCCTCTTGCAAGACAACAGTAGGATGGCCACTGCCAGTACCTGGGTTCTGTACCAGACCGCCAGTGACCTGCTGAGCGACGCGGCGCAAATCTTGTACGGTAAGAGCCTCGATCTTGCGACACATCTCATGGACTGGTACCTTGCGGCCATGGACCTGGACTTGCCTGCCAAGGTCCTCAAGCTCGACCATCCGGCTTTCGAGGTTCATCAAGAGGCTTGATCGTAACTGGTTCTTTGCACGGTTGACTTCGACCTGTCCCAGTGCGGCAAAACCAGTTTCAAGTGTCAGCGCACGCAGTTCTTGGCACATGACATCAAGCATAGCCTGTGTCCGTCCAGGAATACACATTGCCGAGATACCAAACAAACCGGAGTCGGTGTAGGAGTGGTTGAATGCAATGCATGATTCGACCCATCCATGCTGGTTGAGAACATTGGTGTACAATCGTGAGTACATGCCCTTCCCGGGTCCTCCGGCGGAGAAAGAACCTCCGCCTCCAAGAAGGGTGTTCAGCGTCGCTAAGGCGTAGATGTCGTCCGAGGCGATAGGAAGTCCCTCAAATGCGAGGTGGATATGTGTAAAGACGGGCTGCATAGGGTTGTATGAGGGAGGTTGAGAGGGGAGCGAAACAAAGCCACCCGTGTATTGAGCAGGGGCAGTCAGTTGCTGTTGTGTCGGATAAAGCTTGCTCGGCTCGACGACGGAGGCGTTGCTTGAGGCTGAAGTAGAGAGGTTCTTGAAAAGGGGTATCCTGGACAATATGCTGGGCTGCTGAGATGACGTAGAAGATGTGGACGACGCACTCGACGAGTACGAGCTCTCAGTTGGTGTTGCGGACACGTCTGATGCTGCCGAATCCAGAGACGTTTCCGAGCCGCTTCTTGAGAGCACAGGTCGGCCTGAGCCTTTCATATCGCCAAAGAACTGGGTCGCTAGTCGCACTGCTTCCGCGTGAGGTACTCCGGCGAAGGCAACGACGGTGCGTTCAGGTCGGTAAAAAGCATTTCGGTAGGTGTCAACAACGGACTTGTTGATTTCGGGTATCCTTTCTGCAGGGCACAGCAGTGGATTCCCTAGCGTGTTATCCTTGAAAGCAGCCATGTGGACAAGCTCCGGTAAGATGAGTTCTGGCTTCTTCCAGATCTCTGTGATCTCGTACTCGGCAGTTGCCAGCTCCTGGGCGACTTCCTCCTCGGTGATCTGGGGGTTTCGTATCGTCTCAGCGAGAAGTTCCATGGCAACGGGAACGGCTGAATTGAATGTGGCGGCTTGGTACATCATAGACTCTCTGCTCGAGACGCATTGTATGTTTCCGCCCAGCGACTCGACGGTTTCCTGCATTTGCTCGCCCGTTCTCTTGTTCGTTGACGCGAAAGCTAGACGGTCGACGATGTGACTGACACCGCTGAGGTAAGGGTTCTCGAATCGCGAGCCGGCTTCGATGTATACGCCAACGCCCGAGAAGGACCCCGGAAGGGCCTCGGATGCGACGCGGACGCCATTTGGCAATGTGGAAATGTTGTCGAGCTCAGTAGGTTCCTGATAAGGGTCAGCTTGAGGCTGCGCGAAGCCCAACAAGGCTGTACATACCTGTCCGGCGGGGACGTTGACGGACGCAAGAGTGCGGACTGATAGGCGAGCAGGAGAGGATCTGACTAATGCGCTCTGTGATCGGGCGGACGAGGTCAAATTCCTCGTCAGGAATCTAGAGGAGCTTGCCCGAAACATTTTGCCTGAAGGATGTGGTACTTGAGAGGTTTGCGACACGGAACGCTCATGGAAAGCTCGCGGCAGCATATGGAGACTTCCAATCACCTATGTATGGAGTCTAGGTTAGGTTAGTCTGACCTACGGTTAGTCTAGTTCCAGATCAAAAGTTGCTCCCATTCGTTATCGATAACAATTTGCAGCTGCTTGCGTTTGCGGCTCCAACAACGGGGGCTCCGGTGGCCGGCTGGCTTGACCTCGCCACATAAGTAACTTCGGTATTTTCGCAACAACTTTCACGACAACTACCTCGCTTGCTCCTGGGCTCTTTCTCTCTTTCTTTATTTCTTTCGTTTTCCCAATTCCTGGTTATACTAAACACGATCACGTCTTCTTCGGTTGCTGCGTTTTGGGTCACAACCACATGTAAACGGCACCGGCCCATGCAAGTCCCGTCCGGTAACGTTATTCTCAAAACTCTGACTAGGTTAGACTAGTCTGAGCCGCCCGTCACATGTGCCATGGCAATGCCTCAAGCCAAACACAACTTTGAACTCCTTTCGAGTGACTAGGTTTGTTTGTATAAATAACTTAGTCTGAGCTGTGAAACGAGGCGATTTAGCTGATCCGGCCTCTTCGGCGTGACTCTTGCCAAGCATGTTATCCATCAGCGAAAATGCGGCGCTCCGTGCAATTATCGTGTCAACGACACTACAGATTTACATCATTCCCACGTCCCGCGCGTTCCGTCATGTCGTAGTCTTAAGTAGACATGCGTTATACTACGAATAGCCTCCCTCCATTTGAAAAGTCTCCTGTTTGTCCCAAGATTAACAATGCCATTCATCCGTGGACACTGTGCCGCTTCTGCGGGCTCACGGTTGGTCAGGCATGCGGCAGCTCCCACTCGTCCATCCACAAAATCTCCCAAGTTGCCATGTGCCGCTGTTAGCTTTACACGGTATGCAAGTGTAGAATCGGGCAGTAAAAGTAAGATATCACACCCGAAAAGCCATATTTTTTTATAACATCTTTTCAAGACAAAAGAGAGCGCGTTGTCGTCCTGGGATCCGGATGGGCCGGATACGGATTTGCACGCACTTTGGACCCAAAGAAGTATGAGCGTGTCATGATATCGCCTCGTTCATACTTTGTGTTCACTCCATTGCTGGCAGGAACCTCCGTCGGCACGTTGGAGTTCCGAGCTACGACTGAGCCTGTCAGGAGACTTAAATTAGATCACTTCCACCAAGGTTGGGCAGATGACATCGATTTTTCCAAAAAGATCATCCGTGTTGAAGCAAACACGTCGGATGATCTGGCATCACGGACCCATTCAGGACCAACAAAGCCTTCCGAGCTGCAGTCCACAAAAAACGAAGTATTTGAAGTTCCGTACGACAAGTTGGTGATTGCGGTGGGCTCGTACAGTCAGACTTTCGGGATCGAAGGTGTGAAAGAACATGCGAACTTCCTCCGAGATGTTGGCGACGCCAGGAAAATTCGAATGAGAGTGCTGCAATGCTTTGAGAAGGCTGCACTGCCCACAACAACAGACGACGAAAGAAAGAAGCTACTGCATTTTGCGGTCGTTGGTGGCGGCCCCACGGGCATCGAATTTGCGGCAGAACTACACGACTTGATCCAGGACGATTTGAAGAAGCTTTACGTCAATCTCGACAAGTTTGTTGCAATCACCGTGTATGATGTTGCGCCAAAGGTTCTCCCCATGTTCGACCAGACGTTGGCCACTTATGCCATGGATCTGTTCCGGCGGGAGGGTATCTCAGTGAAAACCGAACATCATCTGACTCGCATCCGACCTGATGAGGAAACCGAAGGATGTTTAAAATTAAAGATCAAGGAGTACGGTGAGGAAGAGGTCAACGCTGGCATCGTTGTGTGGAGCACTGGCCTTATGCAGAATCCTCTTGTGCAAAAGCTGGAAGAGAGTGTCTTTACACCAGGATCAGCGGTCTCTGGGGATGCGAGTTCCGGCACGAAATTCAAACTCCAAAAGGACCCGAAAACCGGCGGTCTTCTTACTGATACACATCTCCATATTGGCGTCGTGCCTACAGAATCGAACCAGGAGCAAGAAAGCACTGCTAGTGTCTTGCCTGATGTTTACGCGATCGGTGATTGTGCGATCATCGAGGGGCAGGTTTTGCCGGCTACTGCTCAAGTCGCCAGTCAAAAGGCTACTTACCTCGCCAAGCGCTTCAACAAGGGCGACGCCGACGTTAAGGAGTTCAAGTTTCGCAACTGGGGAACGATGACTTATTTGGGCAATTGGAAAGCAATTCATCAAAGCAGTACTGATGACCTGAAGGGTTGGGCAGCCTGGGTCCTGTGGAGAACGGCCTGTAAGTAAACGAAAACAACCAGCGTCTTCAAATCCCTGTTATCCTTCGGGAAAGTATTGGTGGATGGCCTTCTAAACCTGCAAGGCTTTCGAGAAATGAGATCAGTGGTCTCAACAAACCAAACTCCCGAAACATACTCCTCCCTATCATAATGGAAAATTTAACTAACCGGGATGTCTTAACAATGCAGACTTAACGAAGAGCATGTCTGTTCGCAACAAGATAATGGTACCCATCTACTGGTGTATCTCGTGGATCTTCGGTCGCGATATCTCGAGATTCTAGGTGGAGCCGGGTTGTCAAAACACCACAATGTATACCCTTAATGTAAGCTTACTGCGATAGAAATATTCAAGAGTTTGGCAACGGATCGTTTTCGGTGGATGGGGTTTAATTAAGCACTGTACTCATAGGGCGAGATAGAAGAACGACAAACAGCAACATGCAAACCTTGATCGAAGTGCCGTCAATCATGAGAATGAAACGTATGGGCTTGGGATTCGACATGTCGTAGAGCTTTGTGTTTCGAAGCCTGCCATGAAAGAGAGCTTCATGCCACAAAATCATCTTTCTCGAACATAGGTTAATTAACCTCAGGCAGACGTCCTTCCTGGAGATAAATTGTTGAACACACCAGGAGGCCGTTAGGGTGTCACTGCAGCACGCTGCATAGTTACAACGCACTCTGCCGGCAGATGGCTGCAGGGCACCGGAATAATTGAGCGCCACCAACAAGCGAGCTGTGAACCTTGCTATTTTTGAATTTGGGCAGGATGCCAAGGTTAACTTTTAAGCCTCATCACGGTAGTCCAACACCGTCGGCAGGCACCTGGCACTATATCCTCCCGAGGCCTGTATTCTAGGAACGGCATGACGACTACTTTAATATATTTCAGATCGGCGTGGGTCGTTATTGCCGTAAGTTTGTTGTCGCTAGAGGTTGAAATCGGGGCGCCAAGCGGCTGATCGCGCTTGGCAGTCTCATGTCCTCTTAAAAACTGGGGTATGTCAGCGCCTATCCCTCCTTCTAGCGACTCTCTGGTCGACAACAATTCTAGAGTTTCTCCGCCGTTCACAGTCCAGAACCGACAATGTGGTTCAACAGCAAGAAAAATAGAGTGAGAACCCCTCAACGTCATGACCCTATTCACCGGAGCCAGATGGGTCACCTCATCTCAAACATGCGGTACTAGCTGGGTTTGTGTCTCTCATTCCGCATCGAGCCGTCACCGGAGTCAAGAACATTGATTGGCAGATTGAAGATGTTCGTAACATACATCTCCTCTCTGTTACCCAGTCTGACTTGCCAAGCCCATTCAAATTAGAACGCTAGAACTTCGGTAGGCTTTGCCCAGGCTGTACCCCAGATTCCGGGCTGTATTCGTCAGCGATCATCTCCTTATTGGTTACTGCCTCCGTCTTTCACCTGAACATGGCAATGGATCTCCATAAATGTTCCTGCCAAGAGCAAACAAAATTGTCCTGACAATGGTCTTGGTGGATTATTCATTCAAGGCGTCGAGAGTCCACACCAAAACTGTTGAGATGAACTACAGTCCGCAGGGGTATGAATTGTTAGTGTCAGAATTCTACGCAACCACAGCCTGATATTGGCCAACTGTAAGCGTTATTGGGCTACTTTTCTGGACTTTCTTGTCGATTTCTAGGAGAAAAGCAACTATTTGGAACCTCGCCAATACCTCTTTTCCTTGGGAAATAACAAAGGACGTAGGTTCTGAGAAGTAAATAGTAAAAAGAATTAACTTGTTATATATCTCGTGGCGTATCTTTAAGTATTCAGTTCTAAACTTACACCTTTTTGCTTCTTTTACCCTCGAGGCTTCATAAAATAGCCCGATAGTGTATGCAGACATTTTACACCCTCGTACAGATATTCGTATCACTCTAACAATTCATACCCCTGCGGACTGTATACTAATCCAATTTCGAGCTTCAAGCATCCTTTTAGTCCCATGTCCAGTCGGTGGCAACCGAGGTGTGCCAGGGCATCCATAACATCCAATGTTGGGTGGTGCCCACCGAGTACCGAGAGCGCCAGGAGGTTGTATACTCCGAATAGGGCTTTGACAGCTATATAAGATGCCGTCTTATCCGTACAAAATGTTGACCACTCTCTTGCTTCACTATCACCACCATTCCTTCAAGTCTTACGCCTCCTTCCCTTGGACTCCGTTCACTCACTTGACAAGCAGCGCTTGATCTTTCTTTCGTCGCCCACTTTCAAGCAGGCTTTGAAACTCTATCGTCTTCTCCAGTCATCAGTTTATTATTATTCAAGATGCAGTACGCACTCATCGCCGCTGCCCTCGCCCTTGGCGCCACCGCCGCTCCCGGCCCTATGATCACCTCTGCCCCTAAGGCTCTAAAGGCTCGTGATTCGCTCCCCGCTTCCTCAGGTACCTCGAAGCTCTCCGCCCCAAAGACAATTGCGGCTGGCGAGTCATTCGACGGTAAAATGTACCAGATTGACCGTGGCGTCTCTTGTACTGGACAGGACGAGGGCGGCGACTCTGATGCTGTTTTTATCCTTGAGGAGGGCGCCTCCCTGAGCAACGTTATCATTGGCCCGAACCAGATTGAGGGTGTCCACGTAAGTTGAGCCACCTAGTACCCATGTGAAAAAGAAATTCGCAATTTTGATGTTGATATGGAACTTCGTAGTGCCAAGGTGGCTGCACTCTCAGCAACGTCTGGTGGTCTGCCGTTTGCGAGGACGCCTTCACTGTTAAGTTGCAGGATGCTGGTGACACCACCTACATCAAGGGCGGCGGTGCTTTCGGTGCCGATGATAAGGTGATCCAGCATAACGGTGCTGGTACTATCTCAATCTCAGATTTCACCGTTGACGACTTCGGCAAGCTGTACCGCAGCTGTGGTAACTGCGACGACATGTACGAGCGCCACGTCATCATCAGCGGTCTCACCGCCTCCGGTGGTTCCACCCTCGCTGGTATCAACTACAACTACGGTGACTCTGCTACCTTCTCCGACGTTACTGTTTCGGATGTCGATAACATCTGTGTCACCTACAAGGGCAACGACAACGGTGACGAGCCTACCAAGTACTCCAGTGGTGCCGACGGTACTTACTGTATCTACGATGACAGCGATATTACCGAGTCATAGAGGGTGTGGGAGACATCAAAAGTCTTGCGTGGATGTATTCCAGGGGTTGGGGTCCAATGGTTGTTGGTCGTGCCCTTCTTGGTTTTTTTTTTTTCTTGTCAGATATTTTGACCTATTATATTGCGTATATCATCGCATGTCGCTTGTTATAGAAACGCAAGCGTTTCCTTTCATACCAAAATTTTATTTATTTTGCGTTGCTTAGCGACGGAATGTTATTAACATCTCATCAACTGTTATCTATGCGACATGCGACAGACTTTTCCTTGTCTAAGACATGTTCTCCTTCCTCGGTGGAAACCAATCCAAAAGGGTTGAGCTGTCTAATCTGGTATCCTCTAAACATAAGTACAGTGAGAAATAGCCACGAGAAAACCTGGATAAAAGCCATAGTGCCATACGCCCAAGCAAAGCCGACCTTGGCTACCCAGGGGTTGATGTAGAAAACAAGTGACAGGCCAAATCCCACTCTGAAAGCGTTCAATACTATCGCCGTCTCCTCGATATTGTTGGTGAAACACTCGGACAGGTAGTTGACGGTGATGGGGGTAACACAACTAGGTGAATGAGTTATAGTATTGTACCGATTGATGAATGATTCAGGACTTACAGTGAACCAAACGTGACAAGGATGTGACTAAACCTAAGGAGTCCCCATGGAAGCTGATTCTGGAGTGCATAGCCAAAGATACCAAGACCGATTGGATTGCAAATGAGAGCCGGTAGCCAAAGCGCGTGCAGTCGATACTCAGGCTTCCAATTTCCATTGTTGAAGCGGCCAGCCAGCGCAAGAGGTAAGTGATCGCTGACTAGTTGACCATACAATAAAGCCATAGCTATTCCTACCCAATGAAAGAATTGGACTGGATTTCTGTTAGTTATATCAGATATGTAACCTTTATGGGGAACTAACACAAAGCATTTTGGTTGGCAGTAAAGCCATAGCCGCCCGACTTCACTGGCCTCTGAAGCCACACCGGTGCCACACTGTTCATACCAACGTAGAAGCCGAAGTTCAACAAACAGAATAGACTTGTCAATATGGTCACCGGTGTTAAAGCAACTCTGAAAGGAACGACAGCAGGTCTGACCTATAGATACTCTTTAGCGTCAACACAGAATGTTCGTCTCATTAATGCCAGACTCACTATCTCCACTGGAGGCTTTTTGGATGTAACGTTCGTCCCGGGAAGGAACGTTTCGACACGTTCCCTAAGCCATGACCGTTTCGGTTTCCGATTAATAGCTCCTTCTCGACGATCCCAAGTTGTATCGGGCAGGAAGCACCAGATACTTAGTACAGATACACCACATAGAATAGCCACCCACCAGAATGCCCATGTCCAGTTTGATGCAGAGGCTATCTAATTTTTGAATCCAGGTTAGCGTAAAATCTAGAATCTCAGCCTAGAGAAACTCTTCCCAGCTTTGTTATGTCAAGATATGTTGATGTCGATCTTGTTGGAAAGAAGATGGCAGCCTACCAAAGTACCTCAAAAACAAGAGGGGAGCTGTCATGTAGGTATGGGATGAAATACTCACAAATGCGCAAATTGAAGGCCCTACCGCATTTCCTACATCCATCCAAAAATAGAAGATAGTATATACCCGACCTCTCTGGTGCAAGAAAAACAGGTCAATTAAAATTCGTGGCCCCAGTACACCTACGATTGTTCCGAAGAAGCCCGCGAAGCCCCGTGATATAATGTAAGCATCGTAGTTATCTGATTTGGTCATGAGAGCGGCCCAGATTTGTGAGAGCGTCACGCCGATCATAGACCAAAATATTGCAGAGGGTCGGCCGATAACATGGGAAAGAGGGTAGAAAATCAAGCTGCCAATGATCATCCCGGTGTTGGCCGCTGAGTTCTGGTACGCAACCTCCGATGTCTCGACATGGTATGACTTGCTGAGTGGTGCGACCTCAAGTTGGCCGGCGAGCGCGCCAGTGAATTCGGAAAATGTGGCGACGGATAGTACTGCAAGAATGACATATTTACGGGTTTGTGTCCAATTCTACCAATGTTATCAGTTTGCAACAAGAACCAATGCTGGCTAACGTATGGCTCACCAGAGGATCATCGGGGTCCCCGCTTGGCGTCGGGATTAACACGACTTTCTGGTGCAATATGTGGCTCGACTTTATGTCAGCGCCGCCATGGGGTTCTGAAGAAACAAGTGTCGAAGCAACATGGTTTACTTCATTGAGATGTCTGGATTCAGTAATATTTTGTTCGGGTTCCGTCATTGTGTTTGGTGCTTCCTGCATGAATGTTCGATGTTGGTAATGTAGGGCTAATCACACAAGTATTTGCAGGAGTTCTCAAGCGTTCAGGATAATAATGGGAAGCGAAGTAAACGCCGATTATGATAGTGTGTGCCATACCCTTACCATTAGCCGTGGGACGTACAGCCGTACTCCAATCCAGGCATGTGCGTTACAGTCAGGCTCCATCATATGCACCAGCAAGGGTGTGGGACCCCAGACCATGCATCGAGCCAAGCCTCTCGATGTGGCGGCTGTCAGTCGAAATCAGTGCAATATGAACACATGATTTTAATACCAACAGCCTCGCAATGAACATTCTTTTGGGTACTATCGATGGCAGACCCATGCGAGCCGCGGCGGCGTTCTCACAAAGCGTCTTATATATGATGTTTGTGATTATCAGGCTTGGTTCAAAAGGTATGGACTCGACAGGAGAAACCATTTCGATTTAATGAAGCCAAAATTTTCATGAAATAACCAGAGTCGTCTCGACCATGAGCGGTGATTTCTCAGAACAAGTAAAGGTTATGTCAACCCGACATTTCGGACTGGTCCAACTTGTATGCCACGGACGATATAGCCCGGCTAATCTAGCATTTGTGGCGTGTTATAGCAACTTTGTCACAGTGTACATGCATGAAATCTTGTGCTATATTGTTATATTGTTATATTAGTTCACAGAACTACCAAGCTCGTGATGGGTGTTTTCGTGGACGTCCCCAATATCCTAGCACCATCCGTAGTTGCTACGTTTCATGATTTGTGGAGGCTTAGGTGATATTGTAGATCTAAGTATTAATGGAAGAGCCCTAGCGATCATCCTGGTGTGCATCTCAAGCTATCGAACCGTACCTTTGCGATCACGCAATTTCCGTGTTACTTCGCCATCTGTAGTATTTGTCTCTGCCCCGCGGAAATGTTCCCTCATAACTTGCATACGTATCTGGTTGAAATAGTCATGCATGTGTACCTAAGTAGTGAGTTATACAATATTTTGGCCCTCACAGAAAAGGGTATCGCCGGCTGAACCACAATTCTCTATGATTAAGGTCCCAGCGACCATACAGAGTCGGACGTACCATGCAGCAAGCACTAGGTGTCTTCAAACTGGCTGGATATGAACTAAAGTTTATACCCGGCCCCAAAAATATCACCAAGTTCACCACGTACTTGATCTTATTCTTATATATGCAGGTATATGTGACTATCATGACATGATAGGTAGCAGTGCAAGAGGCGGTCGCATTTGGTATTGACTGTGGAGTTCCCTGCCTGCTACTTTTCGGGGTGCTAGGTACAAGTCAACTAAGTGATGACACATTCCTGGACCAGTTAAGGACAGTCAGCGAGACTGCAAATCAACATTTGGAGGGCTTTGCACAGATATGTAGAGAGTGCGTAGCTGTCATGGCGGAAAATATGGGTTGCCTCACGACCAACAAGAGCTCTATCAAGCGAGATTAAATATATCGCGAGTTTGCTGCCAAAATCGACGCAGTCTACAAGTCGCTCGAGAAAAGAAAATCGAAATGCGCACTACAAAATTGGTTCTTGAATGTGCTGGGTGACACGGGGGGGGGGGGGGGGGGGGGGGGCCAAATGCCGAGTGCAGAAGTACAATTATTCGTTAGTGGTGTTGATAGCCTTCAAGCTGTCCAGCTTCGAGCAAAAGCACTGAGGCACATCGAACTTGAGGGCCATAAATGTGAAGTGCATATCTACAAATATTTATAACTGTGACACTCCTGACAAACTGACCCACAGACTGTACGATGTGCGGACAGGTGCATCCCATAAACGAGGCAGAGTCTGTCCAGCTTGTGAAGAATCTGATCAAGGACCATTCAGGATTCAAGGCTTGCCAGACTGCTAGCGGCACCAAAGTAGAAAGCTCTGATGCGAACGATATCATAAAACATCCTAAATATTTCATGTGCACTGACATGATACCAAACCCATGATAGCTTTCCACAGACGCAACTGAGTTCTTGTAGCTCGTATACTCGCAGTACTGGTCGCCAACGTGAATTTCACCAAATTTTACGCTTTCGTTCGACACAGCAAGCAACAGGCACAATTCCCCCTCCGCAATGCTCCAGAGGCACCAAAATTTAGGAGCCTGAACCTCGATTTGACCAACATTACGGTATTACCCGTTAATACGACCACAGCAAGTTTCGGCCTTGATGAGACTACTATTGACGTTCTGAGAGTCAACACTTCTCATATCATTGACTGCGCGCGGCCGTTTAATTTCACCCTATCCACTTCATTCGAGCCATATCTACAAAGCCTCCAGCAGGTTATTGAAGCATGGAGGAAGGCACAGGTCTTGTAGAAGCCTGGGCAGATTTTCGTGTTGTAGCGCTCACAATTTTCAGATTCATCACAGATGAGAGAGAGAGGTCAGTCACTGCGAGGAAGATTTGGATGATTTCAATGCCTCTCATTGAACAAAACGCAGCTCCTTGCAATGATTCCATATAATTATACCCCCAACTCCCGATAATGCGCCACAGTCCGTAACCAACAAAGGGTATCAGTGCTTTTCCCGTTGCGCCCCAAATTTGAAATATCAACAACTCCATGTCCCAATGCGTTTGCCCAAACCCATGCCCAGTCTCGTACAATAACCTCATCTATCGTGGATCTTGCCCTTTGCAGGCAAGTGTTGCGTAATGATACAATAACGCGCACGGTACGACCCCGTATTTGCCAGCACAACGTGTGATTTACACAGGTAGTGGTGTACACAGGTCTAGGTGTTGTACATTTTAAGTTTCCTGCTCCCAGGTTTTTGGTGAACGCAATACCGCAAACATTCCCAAGCCAAACCACATTCCTGAGGCAAATTTTCCTCGTGACACACGTGGTCACAGTGGGTCTCGACAGCGTCCAGCGCGGATAGGGGTGTCTCCGACTACGAGAATCTTCCCGGGCACCCACTGACTTGACGACGGAACGTGGTAGCGTCCCTCCATGGCATCTCGGAATCTCCTTGTTGGCACCCCAGGATGCACGGTCTCTTGCTGCAAAAGTGAGGCCTGCAGCGCGGGGACACGTTGCCGAGCGCATCATAGTCTGAGTCCTCATCATCCGCGTCGTAGCCGAAGCCGTTGTCTGTATGCTGGGCTGGCCGCGGTGGGGCGGCCTCGGACATCGGCTCTGGAGATTTACATAGGTGAGAGGCAAAGACAGGTCGGCTGGTTCGAGGGGATAGGCCAACCTCATAGTCTTCGTCGTCAGCAGGCAGCTCGTGCATCTTAGGGCCATCGACGTCCATGCCGAGGTCGTCCAGGCCGAAAATGAAGTTGTTGTCAATCTGATCCTCCGGGAGCTGATGCATTTCGGGTCCGTCGAGATCCTTGCCCAGGTCATTTAAGCCGAAGATGAAGTTTGAGCCATCCTCGGCCTTAAAATCATCCTGGGGTTTAAGTGGCCCTCGGGCGGATTTGCTGCGAGGAAATTCTTCTGCGATGAGATCCTCAAATTGATCGAAACTATCCTCATCAAGCTCGGACATATCATCATCCACGATGGCCCATGTCTCATCCAAGTTCAGGGGCACATGGACTCTGGTGGTCCCGATTAGAACTCCCGGGTAGCCCTGGTATTTCTGGACAGCCGGCGTGTTCATGATAACAGCCTTGTGATGATGAGGGAAATGTGGTGAGAAGAAGAGGGGATGGTGAAGAGAGGTGGTGGTTTAAAAAAGAATTAAAAAAAAAAGGTGATGGTGAAAAAAGGTGATGGTGAAAAGAGGTGATGATGTACGGGAAGTTATACAATAGCAGTTTCAAACTATTATCTATACAACTTGTTTCGAATGAAGCATGTGAAGAAGATCTTTCGACGACAAGATGGGAAAGGAGGCTTGGTAGCAATACTAGCCAAATGGTGACTGTAATACTATTTGTGACTGAAATGTGAAATGTGTCAGAGAAGATCTTGCCCAAAAGTGTTGGTGAAGAGGGAAGAAAACAAAACACATGCCGCAGAAGACGGCGGCTGTATTTGAATATAGATGAGAAAACCAGCGGAGAAAGGTTTAAATGGTTACCCACTATCACAGTAGGAAAAGACAGTAGATTGTCGTTGGAAAAGCGTTTAGCGGTATCAATTTTTCGGCTTTCCTGCTCATATCTTGGTTGAGAGCTGAACTCGTGACCACTGTGCGAGGACTCTAAGGATAAAAGTTTTCGACAACTCTAATGATAAATTTGCTACAGCGAAGCGGGTTTGGTATCTCCACGTTCTACTCCCATTCAATCTCGACAGAGACACATTACCTGAAGACCGACTACAGGGAATATGTCAGAAATGCAGGAACAATGGCTTGGACTCGAGTTCCCTTGAATGTTGCGTATAGCACAATGTTTAAGGGGCTTCTGTGTTTTTTTTTTCTTCGAGAATATATTGCGAGGCCATTCCAGATACATCGATGTTGGAAGGAAAGATAGCCCAGGCAGTAACAATTAACCCGGATAGACACTGGAAATGGTACCATGGTGGTTAGGGGGAAACCCCCCCCCCCCCCCCCCCCCCCCCCTCTGTCCTCCCCCCGGAAAAGAAAAACTATAAAAAGAAAACTTGTTTGTGTTTTTCGGTAGTCAAGCCGGGATCGGCCTAGAACAAAACAGTCGTAATAGAGGGACTCTATCTAATCATTACGTACTAGCTGACTTAAAGAAATCTGTAGAAGAGCCATAGAGAGCAAGGTATATGATAGCTAGCGAAGATAGATCTTGTAAAGGCATTGAATGTAGTGAGTTTAAAGTAATTGAGTGTTTATAATTGCGGAGAAGCCTGGCTGGCATTGAGACAACACTATAGGTCATTACATAATATCACCCTACCATGGTTGTTAGTGTTTGTATGTGTAGTTGTAGAGGGGACATAACTATTTCTGCTAAGAAGTACGAGCGAGTCTCTTTCGGGTACCATTGGATGTGCCTGCTTCAATTTAGACTTTTGACTTTTTGGATTCCTGTTGAGCAAGTTTGTGTCGTTAAGGAACGGCGGCTGTGTTCCTAGCTTCACTTGTTTGGCAGCCTGGGGCATCATGGAATTATGGTTCGATTTGACACAGTGAGAGTTGATATTAGGACCTTAGAAGTTTATGTTTGAATGAGTAGACCAACTTATGTGCCCCTCGACTACGAATGCTACACGAGTACAATCTAGCCAGAGTAGTTCTCCTGACAATAACGAGAATACGAATGTACCTGATATCACAGAATCGAATCCACTTACTCTATCCCACTCCTAAGCGCTCGAGTTCGGTGGGCTTTCGTTGAGAAAACTGTCGGAACTGAACACTGAAATTATAGAACAAAGACGTTTGTACGATGGTAATGTGAATAGTATCCATCCATGATTGGAATAAACTGTGAAGAATAATGACATGCTCCAACGTCGTGACACTGGGCTCAGAGAATGGCCAAACCAATTCGTTAGCTATCCAATGGTAACCTTTCGAGGTCTATAGATTTTTCTGTCGGCGGGTCAAAGCAGACACTGGCAGGTACTGCGTACGATGGAGCGACACTCTTGCTCGGTCAAGTCTACGTCTGGCTATAACAACTGGAAGACTATCACGAGCGAGCCATGCCGAATCGATTGTCATGACCTATTATTTGCGAAGTGTTCCTTCAGTGTAGCTGAACAAATAAGAGTCAAGGTGCCGATGTAGCCCTCAGGCAGATTGTTCTTGCACATAACTGCATACAGAGCTGATCAAATATCACAGAAAAGACAGCACAAGAGTGTGGGATTTGTCCATCATACTGATTGATGTAGTGGTGTGCACCGTGTGCTGTCTGTCTTCCTTAACATTTGACCGAGTAACGAGGCATCATGTTGTGCCGCAACACAATCGCAGCTCTCCGCTTCGTCGTAGAAATCCCCCATGGAATCGACTTGCACGCGGGGCGAGGTGGTCCATGAAATGGTTGGTTCATTGTTGTCATTCGTAGATGTATTTCATTTTTCTAGCACGAAATACATGCCAGGCTCATGACCGTCCTTGACCATAGAGCAAAACCATTCCCATGCATCAATGCAATGATTGCCGAAAATCGAGAAACCGTACACCCTAAAGTCGCCGCATTTGCTTTCACCGTTGATCGTTCCCTTAGATCTCAGTAGTAACCTTAGCCTTGGAGTTCGTAACCTTAACACCGAGTTGCTTAGCGCGGGAGATGATGTCAATTCGCTTTCTCGACGAAACGTTGTGGGCGATCCTAGAAACACATGTCAATATCCTCCACTCTGTATGGACTTGTAGCAGCTGAGCTCGGGAGAGAGTCGACATACTCTGCGGCGTAGGTGCGGTTGTGCATCAACAACAACTCAACGTCATTGGTGTTGCTGACGAGGAAAGCCTTGTGGCCGGAGGGCATCATGTGGCGGGTCTTCTTGTTGGAGCCGAAACCGATCTATGAGTGCATCTCGAGTCAGCCTTCAAACTTGTTCCTTGGTGATGCAGCAGCAGACTTGTTCGTCGAGATATGCTGCCGGAGTGTTGGGTTCAACGTACCGAGGGCATGACCTGGTTGCCCTTGAATCGTCTGCGGACACGGTTGTCGATACCCTTGGGCTTACGCCATGCAGGGTCAACACGCATAAAGCGGTCGCTCTGGTGGCGCTTGAAGGCCTTGGTGCCTGTGAAATAATCATGTCAACACTTCTGGTCCATGCCTGTCTGCTCAATCGTCTCGTCGATCGTGGTTGCTCTTGGTGGAGGTCGCGGGTTCGAGGTTTAACGTACGCTTCTTGACGATAGGAACATGCTTCTTTGCGGAAACCATCTTGGGCGATTGTCAGTACAGGATGTTCGCAGCTGATTGACAGGATACAAATCTTCTGGCAGCAACTGACCTTGACTGATTTTATCCTTACCGTGTCGGAGATGGGCGATGTTGTCGATGGGGTTCGGGTGACTGCAAGATCGCGGAAAGTTCGTTCGCCCTCCAAGCGGTAAAATTTGGAAATTGATTGTGCCCGTGGCTCCTTCCCAAAACCCTACGAGCAAATGTGGCTGAGCTTATCGATAGCCCACTAGCCACACTGTAGAAGAAGTTTTTTTGACCAACCCGACTACTAGTAAGATAGCGCTAGCGGTTGCTTATGTAAATACAATGGATGCTTTCATTTCGGAGTGAGCCACCTTCTTTGGCGGGGTTGGCACAACGTAGAATATGCAGGGGGGCCTGTATACAATCGAAATAGTCTGACGCCCGGGCCTTTCGCCGATACACCTACGCTCACACGCCTCAAAGCGCCGACACCGACATGAATCAATACCCTGATAGCAACTCGTTGCGACAAGCAACTACGTCTTCTAGATAGCTGGATGCTGTGTTCCATTTCCTTTCTCATCATCATCTATACTTCATCTGTGATCTTCGCTTCTCGAATTCAATTTCGGAAAAGAAAGAAAAGAAAAAGAAAGAGAAAAGAAAAGAGAGCGACTTCAACGTAATCCAGCCATATATATCAGAATAGTCAACCATGTCTCGTCTACTAAGGAATACTACAAGTCTTGTGATATTTCGGCGCCCTTCGTCAAAACCATGACCATCTTTGGGACTTTTCTCACCGCAATGTCTACTCTTCAATTTATTTGTGTCTCAACGGGATTTGATCCAGATATTCAAAGGGATGCAACTACGACTTCGGGGAGATGTTCCTCTGCATCAAATTAGTCTATGTGCATTAACTCCCATTCAATCATGACCACAACGCCAAAGCGCACTTCTATGACCGGGCTTATTTTCATGTCTCATCACTCATTACTGCTGGGCGCATTGGGCACCGCCAGCCTCGTCTTCATCATCAGCCCACTCGTTCTGGTATCGGGGGTCTCCTGACTGAGCGCCCATCTGCATAGTTGTTAGAACATTCAGGATGAGAATAACTGGGGTTGAACAAGCTTTACCTCTTCAATGTCCGCATCATCATCGTACTCCACCTCATCCTCCTCTTCCGCCTTGATGGGCTCGGGTGGGCCGGGCAAAATTTTCGAGAGAGCATCGTATTGGCTCTCGTCCTTCAACCATCCATCTTCTGGGAAGTTGATCTTGACCATGAGGTACAGGTCACCCTTCGCCTCACCTCGCTTGTGCGGCATACCTTCACCCTCTACCTTCAGCACCTGACCTGGTCGCAGGATCTTGCCTCGGGGGTGCGAGATCTTGATACCGCGACCGTCCAAGTGTGCCAAGACAACCCGCGAGAAACCACCCAGAGCCTCTGCAAGCGTGATATCAAGATCTGCTGACAAATCGGCGCCAATCCTGTTGAAGACATCATGGGGTTCCTCCTCCAGAACGAAGACGATATCACCAGGCCGCATGTCCGGATGCTGGTCTGCTTCGCCTTCTAGCACAATGCGGTCACCTTGCAAGGAACCACGCGGGATGTAGATCTCAAGCGGCTTTCTCTCCTTGATGGTGCGTTTGCCCTTGCACTTCTTGCATCGGTCCTTTTCCTTGATGTTTGTGCCAGAGCCCTCACATCTGTCACAGACAGCAGCCTCTCTAGCCACCATACCAGGACCGACTTGTCGGAAGGCTTCGACCTTGCCGTGACCCTTGCAGCGTTGGCAGGTCTCGGGCTTGACCTTCTCCTTGGCTCCTGAACCCTTGCAGGTACCGCAAACAATTTGCTTGTCGGCGGCGAACTTGACAGTCTTGCCCTTGTAGAGATCTTCGAGGGAGATACGGTACGCGTTTTCATCGTCAGGTCCCTTCATGGGACCTCTCGGCCGGCCGCCTGGTCCGCCAGGTCCGCCACCCATTCCCATGCCGAACATTTGTGCCAGGATGTCGTTGATATCGACCTCGGGGCCGCCCATACCACCACCTCTGCTCGGGTCGAAAGCGGCCATGCCGTGGTGGTCGTACATCTCGCGCTTCTCCTCATCGCGCAGGATTTCGTAGGCTTGTGTAACGGCCTTGAACTTGACTTCGGACTCTTCACGTTGGTCTTCGGCAACTTTGTCGGGATGGTGCTTGAGGGCGAGCTACAGAAATGGTGTTAATAAGGTCTAATCAAGCAAACGTTGACTCCAAAGGCAGTACTCACTTTCCGGTAAGCCTTCTTGATCTCGTCGGGCGTTGCGCTCTTCTCAACGCCGAGCAACTCTGAAATTTATCAGCAAGCGTTACAGTTTGGGGCCTATCGATAAGTGCAAACTCACCGTAAAGTTCGATGTCTTCCTGGCCTGATCCGTCCATCTTGGCGGCTTTTTATGATGTATCGACCGGTATAGCGTCACGTATCGATGTATTGTAATGCGACCGCAGATTCACCCAAACTTGAGAAAAGGAAAGGGAGTTTGAGCGCAGAATCTGCGGTGTTGGTTGGGACGGCACTTCCAAAGAATTTCCAACAAAATAGCGGGGCACTCTGACGCTGCTGCCAGTTCAACCTTGCCTATGTAACAAGGCGGGCAACTGCTGGATTTCAGATTTCCGATTTCAGAGTTCAGATTTCGGGTTTTCAGGGTCCCCCCCGTTAACTCCGCTCAGCTAGACTAGACCTAGGTATGTAAGACAACTACTTTTGCAATTTTTGTCTTACGAGAAAGCTCGAGAAATCAAATGCCACGCGGCTGACCGTCAAGCCAACATTTCAACGAACCCCAAAGTACCCTCAAGCCGTTGATAGTATCCGTCTCCAGAATTAGTTTGCTACCGGGGTAGCGGGGCAAGCAGCAAACTACCGGTAGAGTAGGACTTCACGCAGTCGCCCGAATGTGGCAACACGAGATGGCGAGATAATCATCAAGGACTGAATAAAGTAGGTTCTGTATAAACAATCCCATGCCACTCTGCTCTTTCTGTTACTTCAACAACATTCCACATTGTCCACGGTGTGGTATTCAGACGTCAAGACAGAGATATCGTGAACCCGATAGCTTTGCCTTGAAATGGTACTTACAGTGACACTTCACCAGGGAAATTGGTCTGAAGGCAACATTGGCAAACTGTAGCTCATTGAATTTTCAGAAGGCCCTTCATGAAAAGCCGGGGCACTATAATAATCACCGCATGTGACTTGCCACATTTTAAGATTCTTACGCATTGTTGACCTCGTAGGGCTGTCCAATTAGCAGTGTCGCAAATCTGCAAACTTCAGGAAGCCAGACGGTTTAGTTCATACAGTCTTGTTAGGAGCAAATCCTTGCAAATAGCATGCCCGATTAGATATGCAATTCCTCGACTTTTCTTCTTCCGGGCCATTCAACTCGGAACACGATTTGAACTTTTATTAGACCGTTTTGCGCTGCTTCCTTTTTTGTATTGATATAAGTAATGGGAAATTGGAGGCCATGAGGACTCTTTTCCAGCTCCCCGGGCCTTTGCGCGGGCAAGTCTGGGTGCATCCGGCGCGAGTCTTCAAGCGCCGATATGCGTTCAAAGGTCGGCCTGCGCATCTCGACCAGCCGGTTGATGCAGCAGCAGCAAAAGACAGCCTGCTGCCAGAAACACCCGCCAGGACGCGTTTTGCTCCCTCGCCGACTGGATACCTGCACTTGGGCTCTCTGAGGACGGCTTTGTACAACTATCTGCTGGCAAAGGCTACCGGCGGCCAGTTTCTTCTCAGGCTCGAGGATACCGATCAGGTGAGAGGTGGACCTATTCGTGTGCCCCTGAGATGACTTGGGCTGGACGCTAACACTATCTCAAAGTCACGACTTGTGCGAGATGCTGAGCCAAGGCTGTATGAGGACCTAAAATGGGCCGGCCTTAATTGGGACGAAGGTTTGTTTGTCTCGATATGCGCAGGTTGACCATGGAAACTAAGACACGAGGCAGGACCCGATGTAGGGGGTCCCTACGGACCATACAAACAGGTACTCCCGCCAACACTTTCAAGCCCACATGACAAACACTGATCTCAAGTAGTCCGAAAGGCTGGACCTGTACCATGAACACGCCAATGATCTTCTTGCCTCTGGCCAGGCCTACCGTTGTTTCTGCACTCCCGAGGACCTAGAAGCCCTCAAGCGGTACAATATGGAGACTAGCCCCAACGGCAGTGGTCAGGGCAATTATAATGGCAAATGCACCCACGTCTCGACATCTGAATCTGACCGCCGCGCCGCCAACGGCGAACCGCACTGCATTCGATTCAGGAGCATCGGTAAGCCGGAGGTACGGGATCTTGTCTATGGGAGATATAGCAAGCCCGAGAAGGAAGACGACTTTATCATCATCAAAAGGGATGGTTTCCCTACCTACCACTTCGCAAACATCATCGACGACCATGCCATGGGAGTCACCCATGTTGTTAGAGGGGCTGTGAGTTATCCTAACCCTTTCAGTATAGTCTGGGGAAATGCTGACCCCTGAGACAGGAATGGCTGGTGTCAACGCCTAGACATGCCATGCTCTACGACGCGTTCCAGTGGACAGCCCCGATATTTGCCCACGTAGGCTTACTATGCAACAGCGCCGGTCAAAAGCTGAGTAAACGCTCCGGCGACATCGACATCTCGTCGTACAGGGACAAGGGAATCCTGCCCGTCGCTCTGCTGAACTACGCTGTTCTGCTGGGATGGAGCCCTGGACGCGGCGAGAAGGGTACGAGCGAGATTATGGACCTGGAAGAAATGATCAAGAAAGTAAGTCACATCTGTCTCTTTTGGCCCTCAACGCGTCTGTAGTTCATGCTAATGTCGATCTGCTAGTTCCACTTGCGCTTCACGAAGGGCAACATCAAGATCTCAAACAAGCTCCCCTTCATCCAGACCAAACACACAGCCCGGCACCTCGCCTCACTCACCGAGCCCGAGTTCGAGAGACTCTATCTCCCATCCATAAAAGAGACCGTCGCCAACATCCACTCCTCGGAGGACACCAGACCCGGGACGCTCGTGCCCGCCCTCCGAGCCTCCCCGGGCGCAGGCGGTGACCTCGATCTCGCCACGACAACAGCGCACTCCCACCTCCTGTCCTTATTCGCGCTCGACAGGAAGGCCTTCGACGGCGACGTGTCCAAATTCGTCCTGCGAAACCGCTACCTGATCTGGCAAACGCCCGCCGACCTGCTCTCCGGCGCGCTCTCGTCGTCACTCTCCTCCTTCTCCTCCCTGCACCTCCTGCCCTCCTCGGCTACCGCCACCACGAAGCCAGACAGGGACCAGGTCCTCGATGGTGCGGAGACGGCCGTCTCGCCGCGCGCGCTGGTCAGCATGTTCGACATGGTCCTCACGGAACAGATCCCCGAGGAGGCGTGGAGCTCGTCGTCGTCTGGCTTTGCGCTGGAGGAGAGGATCAATGCCCTATGTAACCAGATCTACGCACAGCCCCGTGCCGTTGATGATGGCGATGCCGCATCACCAAACGGTGCGAAGCGCTGGGGTCACCAGCTTCTGCGGTGGGTGTTGTTTGCGGGTCAGCCGGGGCCGGCGATGGTGCAGAGTATGTTGCTGCTGGGGCGGGATGAGGTGCTGAAACGTGTGGGCATAGCTGGTGAGGCTGCGAGGAAGTTCAAGGTCGCCGACAAAGGCACGGTTTAGTAGCAGATGGGGACATGGTTGATGATGTTCAAGTGCATCATTTGGTGTACTTCTAGACTCGCTGTACCATACTGTATACATACATACATACATAGAGCCAATCCAGTCCAGTTCGAATCTGGCCAATGAATAAGGGATCAAATTTTGGGGATCCCCATTTCTCAAAACGCCGTCTAATGCTTCGTATCTCATAACAATGTTGCATGCCTTACTTCTATGCAAGGCGTCTACCAGGAAGGCTTTCTTTTCCCGCCTCGTCCCGAATGTTGACCTAAAACCACGGTTGTAGGCTAAGCATTCTGCGCGGGCTGTGCGGGAGTAGCGACGGGCGGAACGGCTCCGGCATTGCCTAAGCCATTGAAGAGCTTCGCCTTGACGTCAGTCGCTGCTAGACCCTGTGTCTCCTTGCCCACGACCGCCTGGCTATCTCGCACGAGCTTCTCGAGCTCATTGTCGACCGTCTTGTTATTAACAAACATCTGACCGCCGCCCCTACTGTGCCGGCCAAGCATCGTCGTGGCCTCGCGGATTTTGCTGCCAAGATCCAGCATTTGCTTCTTGCCATAATCGCGATTGGAGAACAATGGTGATTGTGAAAGCGTCTGGACCCAGTACTTGTTCCACAGCAGCTCTAGCAGAGACGTATCGAGTGTTGACTTGTAGTGGGAGACCTCGAGGCTGTAATATTTGTCGGCATGAGCGCCAAAGTCTGCTGCCTTGGCCAGGGGTACTGAACGGCCACCAGCTGCGGAACCGTCCTTGTTTGCGTTGGCTGAGCCGTCTGCCTTGTAACCTTCTGGATATGTTCTGAAGGCACCGATTTCCACCTTTCCTGCACTGATTGTTCGATCGGGGTCAATGACGACGGCACAGAACGGCTCCTGGAACTTCTGCTGCAGCTCCTGCGTGCTGACATCGATACCGGATAGCCAGCATCCATAGCCGGGGTGACTGTGATACCAACCGACGACGTTCTCTTCCCGGGAACCTTGCTCTCTGCTCAGCCGTAGGTACTCGATCATGTACTCGTTCGCATCGTCCTGGGCGTTGACTCTGGTCTCGGTTCCTTCTACGGGCAGGCCGAAGGCGTCGGTCACGATGAATGTGTCTTCGGAGACATAGCCTTGCATGAGGCCCATGACTTCGATCTCGCCGCCGGAGCGGGCGTGCATGACCATCTTGATGAGTGCGACGGCGCTGATGCGTACATGCTTGAAGTGGTTGGGGTTCTGGCGCCAGGGTTTTGCGTTGTCGATTTTCTTTTGGGCAGCCTTGTCATAGCGATAGAGAGCATCGCGGGTGGGGTCGACCAACTTGACGTCGTTGTCGAGCTCTGAGGAAGAGAGGGTCAGCAGTGTTTCTTAGTGGGGGTGTAATACAATGCAGTAGAATGTGATGTGTTGGGCATCGGCTCGGCTCTCATGAGCGATAGACAGATGCACATGGCGGCGGCAATAGGTCAACAAGTGCCGAATCAGGTGTAAATACGGTGTGAATGGCGGGTGTTGCTTACCCCACGACTTCATTGCCACATCCATCTTGATCTGTGGGGGGCTCCACGAGCTGTTGAACCACAGTAGCAATGAATATATTCAAAGCACTTAATGGAAGCGATGGGTGATGTTTAATGTTGTCTTTTGGAGGGGTGAAAGACTCCCGAGCCCGTTCGTATTGGGGGGGGGGGAGGCACGACTTGAATGTGGGGAAAGGTGGGGGGGTAAGCTACAGGCAGCTCTTGATGTCGGGTACATATGCACGGATTACACATAATACATAACTTAGCACTAAGTTCTGAGTTATGCACTCAAGGCGAGCAAGTGATAAGATAAGGCCACTTTAAGCGCGAGCCGCCTTCTTTTCGTTCGTTTGGCGTCTAATTTGTCTCGTAGCGCGACTCGACTCAAATTCGGCCCTGGCTTGGACTTCTTGAGGGTTGAGCCTGGGGATTGACACTTGAATTCTAGGGGACGTCTAGAGTCACAAACAACTGCACAATGACGAGATCACGGATAATACAGACTTTTGCGAGGCCATTGGTGAGCTGCGCATCAAATCACATGACGCCTCTTTCCTGCTAACTTGGCGTAGGCTCAGCAACCCCGAAATGCCTTTGCTGGCACCATTGCGGCCACCCGGACGAGGGCGGATATGTTCGTTTCATTCATGCCAGCACCTGTTGGCTTAGCATACCAGGCTAATTTCATGCAGCGCAAAGCTGTCTTCGCAGAATGCGCCTAAGACAATGCCCGGCGACAGCGACCTTCCCCCTTCTCTAGTCATGCAGTAAGACCTCCTCGTCTTCTCCCATTCCAACTCTTCCCGCGCTCTGCTTACACCTCCCCAGGTCTGAGATCAACTACATCAAGGGCGAAACCGATCAAGACCCCGTCCGTCTACCTCGTTCCGTCCAAGCTCTCTACCTACAGCCTCTCCGAAGGCAGGAGACATACGGTGTGCCCGCCTGCGATCTACAACTACGATCATACAGCATCCCCAACCTCGAGTTCTTCTGCGACTTCGCTTTGCGGTCCGCCTACTATCTGGGGCTGCCCGCGTTTGGTCCCGTTCCCTTGCCCAAGATCACCGAGCGCTGGACAGTACCAAGGTCGCATTTCATCTTCAAGAAGAGTCAGGAGAACTTCGAGCGTATCACCAGGCGAAGACTAATCCAAATCCGTGACGGTCACCCTGAGACAGTACAGATCTGGTTGGCCTTCTTGCAAAAGCACGCGTACTACGGAATTGGTATGAAGGCCAACGTCTGGGAGTTTAGCAAGCTTGGTAAGTGCTTTTACAGGAGGCTGGAAGTGAAACAAGAGTTTATGCTAATGCGGTACAGATGTCGCTGGTGAGTTGGAAAAGGACGCGAAGTCGATGCAAGAGCTTGTCGAATCCAAGATGGCAGCCCATTTGGGACGTGACAAGATTGAGGGTACAGTGAAGAAGGTCCAGGAGTTGTTGGAGAGTGAGAGATTCAAGAACCAGTTCAACAAGCAGCAGGTCAAGCCGTACTGAGACCACTATGTATCTCGCTCAAATGTATAAAGACTGTACTTAGATGTAAAATAAAGAGGACATATCATGGGGGCTTCTTTTCCCACGGTAACCGAGTCGCTAAGCACATATTCTATGGCTTTAAAGCTTACGGCGTCTACGTCTTCGTCTTCAGATGATGTAGTTTTATACATCTAGTCTCAACTTGTTTCTATGAGTATTTATGAGCCTTGATGTGATGTTTTGGGATATGAGGTCGAGCATCTCAGAAGCTTGAACGCTGACCCCCTGAAATCCATTCCGTGTCGTTTGATTGGTCCGTGCTTCTGTCAATTTCGATGCCTGCCAAGACATCTTGTTTGCCGTGCATCATCGTAGTCTAAAGAATTGGACCAACGTGAAGGGCCCGCAATCTGATATACTCATGAGTACTTGCATCTCTGATAAATTCTTCGAGGAATAATTGCTAATCTTTCTCAGGAACCCGTAGTTCTTGTGGTAAACTTTCGTTCAAATCTGCCTCCTGGTCACAGTTTTGCTGTTCTGTTACATAACTCAATCAACCTTGAGGAACTCCAATGAGTCTCCCGAAATGCGTGCGCTGCAGGCCAAGTACGGCCTCAAGGCATCTGAGCGTACTGCTTAGGGACGCCGCTCAGGGTCGAAGCCAACGACGCTTCCACTCAAGCACTACCTCTGCTAGCACTACCACACAGGGTGAGCCGCAATTTGCGACAATCTTTTCGGGCATCCAGCCCACCGGCGTGCCGCATCTTGGGAATTACTTGGGCGCCATGCGGCAATGGAAGCGGCTACAGGATGCTGCTGGCCCTGAAGATCAGCTCTACTTCTCCATCGTTGATTTGCACGCCATCACCATGCCGCAGGACGCACCACTTCTGAGACAGCGGAGTAGGGAGATGCTGGCGTCACTTATGGCAATTGGCCTGGATCCAAAGAAATGCACCATGTTCTATCAAAGTGCTGTACCGGCGCATGCAGAGTTGATGTGGATCTTGAGCTGTACAGCGAGTTTTGGCTACCTCGGGAGGATGACGCAATGGAAGGTACGTCGGCGGCGCGCGGACGCATTATCTACCAGGGCTTGTATGGGCTCAATGATGCAGTATGTGAATACGAATGCTGATCCTGTTGGTAGAGCAAACTTACCATGAAAGACAACCGCATGTCCCTTGACGATGAGACTATCGGCCACAACCTCAAGTTGGGCCTTTTTTCGTATCCGGTGTTACAAGCTGCGGATATCCTCATCCACCGCGCGACGCATGTGCCGGTGGGGGATGACCAACGACAACATCTCGAATTTGCAAGAGAATGTGCGACTAATTTCAATGCTACGTATCCAGGGGGCAACTTGATCGCGCCGGAAACTATCACGAGTACGTTTCTCTCTCTCTCTCTCCACATCTCCACATCATCTCAATCATTCACCGTCCGGCTAACAAACCTATAGCCGAGACGCCTCGGGTCATGTCCCTGCAAAATCCCAATAACAAGATGTCTAAATCAGCACCTAACCACCGCTCGCGGATCCTCATTACTGCATCGCCAGATGAGATTAGATCTCGCATCAAGGGCGCCGTGACTGACTCGGAGAACATTGTATCCTACAACCCAGTAAGCCGACCTGGTGTAGCAAATCTTCTGGAACTCTGGTCGCAGTGTGATCCAGAGGGCCGGACACCTGCGGCTCTGGCTGCCGACTGTGAGAACCTGGGCTTGGGCGATCTAAAGAAACGCGTCGGTGATGCAATCGTGAAGGAGCTCGAGGGCGTCAGGGTTAGGTATGAAGAGATCCTGGACCGAAGTGGTGGACGATGGGTTGAGCAAATTCAACTCGAAGGTGCGCAGAAGGCAAGAGATAATGCGGCTGAGACCATGAGAATGGTACGAGACGTCGTTGGGTTAGCCGGAATGTAAAGATAAGACATCCAAGTGTATAGTACGGAACTAATACTGTAAGAGTAACAGTAGATGGGGGAGAAGACGTGTATACCAGTTGTGTGGTGTGATTAGTGTTTTATATCATTCAGAATGCCATGATCATTTTCTGGATGCGAAAGATAAACTGGTCATGCTGAGTTCTGAGTACATATCTACAGCATTGATACATCCTCATTCGAAGGATGTTGCGAGATAGCGGACGCAAACGTTCGCGCACCCGTGGCAGCTAGTACGAAATAAATACATTCACAAAACAACTTGGTAGCGACAACAAGGTAGTCAAGGCTCAATATTGATCCAGTAATGGTTCAAAATTCATGAGATGATTTCATGATCAAGAATAAGGTGGGTTGTTTTGTGTGATCCCTATGGTATGGCGACCTGATTGAATGTGCGTCCACGTATTATCCACTGGTTGATTATTATCATGTCGACTTGACGACCATTGTCGTACGTGATCTTCTCCCGGAATCTTTGTGTCTCAGCTAAATATCCCCGGACTGAGATTTGGAAGGAGCGCAGGTCTTCAGGAGACAAATCAACAACCTCCAACTAAATCCCTTCAAGCCACCAGGCATAACGGAGCCTTTGCATTCTCGCAACAATTCTCGCAACAATTCTAGTATCTTCGTCTTGCAGCGTAACTCGATCTTGACACAAGAATCATGATGGTGCAGGCCACGAGCACCGCTCTCCGAAGCCCATTATCTAGTCATCCGGCCCGAGAGGCCGCCCCGCCGCACCCTCACCTGAGTGCAGTGTGTGATGCGCTCCCTGGCGCCGCCGAACCCCCTGATGTACATGGCCCTGGGGAGTTTCACTAGCTTGACCGAGGGCCAGTGCCTCCTTATGAACGCGACCAATACGAACGACACGCTGGTGCCCGTGTCGATGGTGGCCTGGCATAGCTTTGCTGCGGGACTCGGACTCAGCCGTGGCGGACAGGTTGGTGCCGACCTGGCCCTCGAGCATGTCGATGTGGGCGGACTTCTGGACTCGCCATTCCTAGGCGAAGATGCCCTGAATCCCTACCTACAGCGCCACGTAGTATTCTGTAGTGGACATGCCTTGGAGGTTGTCGATGGTGGTGGAGAGGTGGCGGAACTGTGTGAACTGGCTTCCTAGTAATCTGGCGGCGTCTTGTACCCGCTTTCGAACACCTCTGGCTTTGTATCCTTTTGTTGTGGTGAAGCATAATACATAGCGGAAAAGGATAATGGATCACAATAAATTAAATTCCTGTAAAATTATGGCTGAACGGAGAGAGTCGCCATTGTGTTGCACCAAAGTTTGCTCGCAGATGTTGCGATTTGTAGTAGGTAGGCGATATATCCAGATGGAATAGCTGAAGCTAATAGGAAGGTAAGGCCGAATAGCTTGCAACGACATGATCAACAGGGAGCCGTCGGAGAAATAACTATTGCCATCAAACGTGAGGTATAGAGCAAATTTACCACTCATGCTACGCTCGCTTTGAGAGGGAAACCTCTACAGTAGTGCTGGTTAGGTGACCAATTCACACTGCTAAATTCTTCCCTACACCGATAGTTTTCACATAAATATAGCGTTACGGAACGTTAGGATTAGTTTCACGTGTTAGCATTCCGTACTCCAAGTGCCGAATGATCTCGAAAAAACCTTACTTTGTTCCAAGATCACGATACTTCTTCTCACTTCCGCTACTAATGATAGTCAGATGTAACCCTCACTTATCCTCCTCTGGAATTTTATTAAAAGTACATCATTCTAACAACCGGTACTCTCGGCCATGAACCTTTTGGGATTAGCAAGAGATGAAGGAGAATTATTCAAACACCTTCCAGCGGAAGATTATTCGATCTTCGTCCATCTCAAGACCATAGATGTGGCCATGGCAGACCCGGCACATGTGTGCGACAAACCCAATTCTAGTCCTCAACGGTCTCAGGTTTGACTGTACATGCGCCTATTATGCAAGGGTTGGGTAGCATTTCATGATGTGCTGAATCAATGATATAATGTGACCAAATTTTATTTCATGATCACTGTGGAAGGGCCGACTAGGGACAAATACAGTCCGTGGTACGGAAACGGTCTTCTAAAAAGTCCTGAAACGGTTCAAAGACAGCCTCTCCTTGTTGACTGTGATATATCGTCAAGCTCAGAGACCCTGGCACCGATGAAAACTAGAGTCGTTGCGCTATCCAGTTTTCGTATGCTCAAGGGCGTCTTTCTATTCCACCAGATATCACTTCGCTTCATTCCACGAGAGGTCGGTAGAAATTTCGCAACCAACTCTGTGGTTTCTTTTTCTTTTTCTTTTCACTCTTGACGCGCCAGCGTAGAATACATCAATAATTCTCTACCCTTCACCAGTAGGCATCCGTCGACGTCCATTAGTTTGTGTCTGAAGGCCAGGCACAGGTCCGGAAAGTGAGATAATGCTAGTAACGCTTTCTTTTCTTTTGCCAAACATGATTGCACCCGGGGCGGCAATCTTCCGCCTAACATCCATGATAATAAGATTTGGTACATAGCTGCACTCATGAGAGCGATACAACGTTTCGGAGACCAACTTGCGATACCATATCCGAAGTCTAGTCCCGCATCACATAGTGGTAGAGATTCTACGCTGTGTTCGCGCAAGTTGTTTGCTCATAGTTCATTGGCATCTAAGGAGGCTGTGACTTCATTATTCGAGTGATCGAATGCGATCCCGCCAGTCATACAGATCAGGTACTGAAACCGGATTGTACTGTTGTGATGGTAGATCCATCCTAGGCAACGATATTCCACGATAATTGGTGTTGGGAAGCGAGGAGCCGGACAAGCCGGGTGCCTACGATGTTTCCGGGTTGTATATACTCGTCATGCATCTTCATGCAGTCTACTCATCTTTACAGAGAACGAAGTCCACACTGCCGAGCTTCGACAGCCTATTAGCACGCTTTTGACCATATTCCGGCCTGATTTCACACATCTGCTAGCCTTATTATGTCCATGCTGCGTCAACCGACGCCGGTCAAATCAAAAGTCGGTCGTGTATTAGCGCGTGGCCATATACCTCCTACTAAAATTTCATACTTCAGATTACATGCTACGTGGTATCGCAAGCTATGTCCTCGAATTAGGCATAATAATCCAGCAGGAAATGGCTTTCAGATAGAGGCATTGCCAGCGTCCTGTGGGTTTGGTTCGGAAGTCTGTGTACTTGTGAGGTGTAGATGAAATACTAGTCCATAAGAATGGTATTTTACAGCCTTGCCGGAGCCATATACGAAAACACTCAGCCAATCCATGTCATCGTATCTTCCGGGAATGACTCCGCACAGTCCCAGTACGATTTGCACCCCACCGCGCAGATTAAGGATCGACATACCGTAAGGTGGCTGTTCATCAGCGCACATACCAAACACTGACCATATAAGTCAGCAATTGGGGCCGGGACGACCGAGCAGTCCATCTCAGCAAAGCACTTTGAAATGTTTCCTAGGTGTTGTCCTGACTACTCCGTAGCCTCTTGACGGTGCGGTCAACGCAGGCCAGCCCAAGGCCCGTGTGTAGACAAGCAGGTTTCGCAAAAGGCCATTAATTAATTGTTATGAATTACAATATCCGTGTTATCAACTAACCAATTCCTGAAATTTCCATGCGTAGATCTTCGTCGTCGCAGATCTGCGCGACTGCCCAAAATTAGATCTTGACAGGTACAAGCTCGTTTATGCTCTCAGTCAGAGCCCCTAGGTTCTTCCACCAGAGGAATGCGCCCACGAAGAGCAGGGCGTAATATACTACAGACCATGCGATCGACGCCTTGACTTCTGGTTCTCCATTCTCGTTGATCGGCTCTACACGGCCCCAGAAGCGCGGAAGGCCCATGCAGTTGCAGAAGGCATGAACCACGAAGATCGCCAGCAGGCTTCCAGTGCGGAGAAAAAGGAACGTGGCATAGGCACCGAACAGCGATGTGTAAGTTAGCTGTAAGAGCGAGCGAAGCAACGATGCCGACACGGGTACATGTGGATGCGAAACCCTAAACTCGTAGAAGTGGTGCAAGTGCGCCAGGCCGAAGATTACAGGTGTCAGAAAGATGATCTTTGTTACCGAAGTCTGGGCCAGCAGCATGAGCGGTACGGAAGCGGAGCGGAAGAGCAACTCTTCAGTAAAAGGGCCCTACAGTCGGCCGTGTTAGAGCATGTAAGAAACATGATGCGACGGGTACATTGAACTCACGGCAATTATGTTCCGCCACATAGTCCACTCACTGAACAACTCGGTAACAGGCCTTAGGCTTAACCATTCACGCCACACTCCATGAACAACAAACGTCTCGTACAACGGGCCGGCGAAGAGGATGGCTGTCAAGAAGAGGGTCTTCCCCGTCTCCGCCAGGCCCAGGGGCCAGTAGCCCATTGAATGGACCGCATCAGGCCTTGTTGCATGGCCTTGAGAAGTGAGGACCAAGAACGTGCATATGGAGCAGAACATGCAGGTGAGGGTCACCGATGTTATGCGTGCCCGTATCACGGATGGGGCATCTCGTGAAAGAGTCCTGGATGGCCTGGTTCTGGATGACAGGTAGAACGGGATGACATAGACCAGCGTGTAGATCACCTGTCACACTTCAATAAATTGCCCACGGCTTTGCCGGTACGGGAGCATAACTTACAAGTAGGATGGATGCCGTGCCGGTTGTAATTGGTGGCGGTTTAGCTAGTTCACGTCAGCAGCGTCAACAAACTCAAATGCATCAATGACAAGCGACTAACGTTTCTCGTGGTTAAAGTAGCGCGACAGAAAGCCCGCAATAGACGGCATTGTGATGAATGGATGGGATCCTGTTTTAGACCGCAATCTCATGAGCTGGCCCGTGAGGTTGGGTCTGTATTTGCTGAGTCTCACAAAAATGAGAGGGATAGCCTCGTGTCGATTTTTGATATTGGATGCTCCAGGAACAAGGTTCCGACAGTCTGGTAGTGTTCAATGTTCCGGGATGCCCGCGTCTGTGGGTGGAGGGGGTGGATGAGGCGTGGGTAGGTTCTAGCGCCCGAGCACCCGACGATGATCGGTGACGCTGAATCATGAAACACAGTTTTGGGACAATTAGGAAAATTGATTGGTATGAACGATTCTCTATGTTACGTGATGGATCACCTGGACAGACCTCAACAGAGCATTATTTAGTGCATCAACATCTGTGATCTCGTTGGAAAGTTGCATGGTCTGCATTAGCCGCAAGCGCAGGGTGGCCTGGCGAAAGGGTCAGCATAAGCGCGAGCCGCCTTTCTGGCCGTTTCACTGTGTCAAGACAAGACAGGCGCTGTATCAAAGCACGAGTATCAGAGCTCAATGCATTGGGCAAAAAGCAATCATCATGGAAAGCACTAAACTATCATTAATCGCAGGCTGCGTCACTAAATATGGCTCCCAACACACAGGTACCATAGTACCATGACACTGGCGCTCAGACTGGCAGTACATAATGTGTGGAGCTTTGTTTTTTTTCATGTACCTTTTTCAATGCCGTGAGACCAGAAAAGGCCTCAATTCGTTCCACTATGGACAATCACTTAGCGATTGAAACCAAAGCTTGCATATCCAATCGGCTCATGAATTCCAATGACAATATTTATAGTTTTCTAAACTCTAACAACCTAACAACAGAGATCTCGGGTGTGTTCTCCAGATCGACCTCGCCATTCCACTCAGGTATCCACTGAAGGTTGCATAGTCCAGCGATCTATGACATGGCTTGTCGATTTATCCTGCATAATTGGCAATAAAAAGCAGCATTAACACGATACTGACGGCTGGGACGCGTCGTGCAGCACAGCCAGCACAGCCTCTGTAGCCGAGCCAAGGACCTTTCGCGTTGGGCTAGCAGCTGTGATTTTAAGATTAAAAAAAAAAGTGAGCAAATCGCCAGCGTTGCTAAAGAATGGGCCATTGGACGAACCCGTCCAGTTCCAAGGTTCGCCTGCTCGCGAAGGGGCCGCGGTGGACCGAGTAACCGAACTGCACCATTCCCTCTGTGTCTTAATCACCCTGGAAAGCCAGGTTTTTCACCGCTATCACTGCGCAGTCCCCTCGCTCGTCACGGTCATGACCGGGTATCTCAGATGGAGAAAGTGCCTATTTGTACAGAGCAATTACAGACGCCTGTAAGAACTGGCAGGATTGTCATGGGGATAGAGCACAGGCGTAGCACAGGACAGCAGTTCTAATGAGAATACCTTCGAGGTTTGAGAGGCTATACTATGGACAAACCTAGGCGCCTTGTGAGACAAAAGCACCAGCTAACGGCCATTAGGGTCGAATGGCTTCGGCTGGCTCTGCCTTCCCTCCCACGACTACTGCAGGAGTTCGGGTCGTCGCGCGTCAGATCATCCCCTATCAAGTCCTCTGATCCTCATTTCAACGTACAGCAAGCCTGCAGGAGAACTGCAGCCGCAACGCGCTCCCAGTGGATTTCGTCCCAATTGGACCTCTTAGAAACGGACAGCGTTGACCTTAGTGGGACACCGCGCATCGCTATTGAGCTTCTAATGCAGCCAAAAGGATGTCAAATGTTACGGGCAGTAACACTCGCGCGTCAAAACACTGAAGCACAAGTGAGAAATACAGTTGCCAAATCCAAAGGCCCAGATCCTGTTCAGTTCCCCCCCCCCCCCTGCTCACCAGCAGACGGTGGTTTTCATTCCTCACTAGTGGTTGGACTTCCCAGAGCTCCATGCTCGCTTTTAGTTCATCTATGAGCCTGCTCGATACAACCCTGCTCCGTTAGGTCGCATAGCTTGACAGGCGCCGTCGCTCTGGTTCCTGGCCAATGGATATTGACTCGTAGCTCGTCGGTAATTCAAGAGCTAACATCCTCCCACACTCTCTCTGCGGCCTCGTTTCTGCTGTCCTTACACTCCTTACCGTTGTTACGCCTTTGTGTGGAGTGTGGTACATGACAAAGGGGCCTTACATTCGTTTTTATCCAACCCTTCGCCTTGTCTATGCTCTACTTCACGCTCATTCAGACACTATTTTCCTCTTAATTACGGCGGCATCTATATCTGGTTATGCGGTCCTAACCACCAAACCTTGTCCCTCCCTTGTATGATATAGCTATAATCGCCTAGCTACCCAGACCTCAATATCTGTCTTTGTCTTCCTTTTCCTTCTTTTGCTTCTTTTTTGTATGAGATCACGCCTGGCTTTATACTTGACGGCCCTGGAGACCCGCTGCAGTAGCAAGCGCACTGAAGACAAAGTTACACAGCATTTCTGGATTTGGTTGAAGAAACAGCAGGCCATTCTACAAACCTTTGATGACCCCCAGATACCTGGAACCCCGGATCCCTAGGACGGTCGTTATGGGCATATTTGTGACGTTATGGTAGTCATTGGTTGTGAATATTTACCATTGTGACAGCTTAGCTAAGCTCCCGGGCCGGGCCCGACGAGGAGGATGTCCTCCACGAAATCTTCTTCATCATCGTCATCCCGATCCTTCCCTAGGACACCACTACACGAGAGGTCGACATCGGAGAAGAACAAACTCGCCAGCGGTATTCGACTTGTTCCGTATTCTCCACCGCGACTCAGCAGCGATGGGGAGGCAGCAGGGGCCTCCCATGGAGCAACCACGGAACACGGGCGCCGTGACAATTATCATGGCACCGAGGATCCATCAATTTCCAGTCCGACTGAGAGAAAAACCTCTCACCACTCAGAAAATGAGTTTCATGCAACACAGCCTGGCTCCGCGTTGTCATCGCCTACCTCTTCTGCCAGATCATTTGCGGCAAGGGCCAAGGGAAGAGGCGTTTCAGGCACGAAACTTGGCCCCGAATCGTCTGGTGTTGGACCCTCCACACCAACCCCTGGTCTTAACAGGTTCTCATATGGAAGCAATATGAGCAACTTCAATGCACCTGCAGATGCTCAGCATGACGAAGGGCCTACCTCACCAACCCCCAAGTCAAGACGCAGTAATCATATTGCATTGAATCCTGACAGGAAGACTTTCTCGATCGTGTTGAGGCCGACAAACGCTCGAGATTCCCATCGTTCGAGTTCGAGGATTAGCTCCCCTCCGGTGTCGAATTACTCGACGCTCACGTCGCATGACGGATTTTCATTTGATGCATTCGATGACGACCGGCCCAGCTCCGCATTGAGCTCGCTACCCGAGCGTGGTGTCTCGCCTTATACACCTATTTCTCCGGTCTCAACATCGACAATCAAAGCAGAAGATCAATCTGCCTCGCCCTGGAACTATCGTATGGTAGGTGGTGTTCGGAAGGTAGCGAGCACACCTGATCCCACAGATAAAGGCAAAGACAAAGAAGTAATTGCAAACACGAACACGAACCCTGGCCCGTCACTACTCTCCCCGTTACAGGAGGTACCTTCGTCACCGATTCCGCAACCCACACCCTTGGCAGCAAAACAGTCTTTCAATTCGGAGACTTCTGAACTGACTGAGTCGACGCTCGACGAGAACACCAATGTCCAAGTCCTAGCCCAGAGTTCACCGCCAGAAACCGACTCAGAGGGCTTACCTGAACCTCCATCATCGAGCGACTCTAATTATCGCGTCATCGGGGAATCGTCCTCTCCACCCTTCTTCTCGTCGCCCCCTCCCCAGGGACTGCTGGATACGCCTGGAAGTAAGAACTTCGTGGTCCATCCTGGTTCTTCGCCTGCAACGTCATCATCGCTTCCACCTACAGTTCAAAGAGCAAGACCTCAGTATTCAGACGACAGTTTAATACTCCGGGACAAGTACTCACAGGAGAGCTTGATTGTACCTCCATTGAATACGGCTAGGAGAAGGACAGCATCTGATGCATTTGGGTATTACGGTCAGAAATCACGGGACACACTTCGTCGTGCGAATTCTTTTTCCTCGATTTCAAGTATAATAAGCGACGCTGCTGCGTCGTCTTTCACTGGGAGTACACCGAATGTTGTTCTCCTGGCAAGAACACCATCAGCTTCGTCGTCCTTGCAACAGCCACAACAGCTACAACAGCCACAACCGCAAACTTCATGGGAACCTCAGCCCAATCTTGCACCCCCAAGATCACGCATGGAAACTCAACCACATGTGTGGAGCTCTCAACTCTCGACAGTCATGTCCGAGGACGAGAACAGCGACAGAGGCTCGCGCCAACTATCGTCTCCTGGGCTGGACCGCAGTAGTATGAGCTTTGGAGGCAGTAGCAGACACAGTCGGCAGATGCTGAGTATAGGATCATCACTAGACGTTATGGAAGAGCTATCAAGGGACTCGCTTCGATCGCATTCCAGATCGAGATCCGGGGACTATATGATGCGTGGAGGTAGAGAACCTTCTCAAACACCAGCAGTCCGGGACATTGACGAGGATGGTGACGGTCTCGCAGACCTGTATAATTTGCATCACAAGGGTTCTCGACCTCGTCTTACAGGTCGCTTGAGTAACAAGTCCTCAGCTGGCAGCTTACGTTCCTCGATCAGTTCTCGCCATGGAAGCATGACTGGCTCAACTCTTCCGCAATGGGCCAAGTAAGAATTCACCTTCGAATTGTCTCGTGATTTTGAATGCTAACACATACAGAATTTACTATGGCAGTGGCGAACGTAAGTGGCTTGCAGCGCCATCCATCCGTTCATATGGCGACGACAGCCGGCCCGCCAGCTCCTTCGGCCGCTCAGAGTCGCCGATAGACGACCAATTCCCACCGAATATCTATAATCAGCGGAGACGTCCGCGTGAAGTGCACCCGGGAGACCGTCCGATTTCGACCGAGGTCAGGCGCTTCTCGGGCATGCAGAACAAGATAAGAAAAATGACTAGTAGTCTCTGGTCTCCTCATCTGGAGGAGGATCTCCGTGCAAGAACCCCGGGTATGTGGCAAGGACCCCCCACTGCTGCGGAATCGGGATTCTTTGGGCCGCGCAACAGACAAGTCGTCCTATTTGCTTTAGGATTCATTTTTCCCTTCGCGTGGATGATCGCGGCCTTTTTGTCGCTGCCTCCTAGAGTCACGCTCGACGTGGTTGAGCGAGACCACAGCACAACCCAGTTCAGGATTCCTGAGACGCCAGAACCACTCGCGCGGCAAATGCGATTCCCTGATAACAAGCGGTACCAGAGCGCCCGATGGTGGCGCAATGTGAACAGGCTCATGAGCGTTGTCGGACTGCTTGTCGTTGGAGCCATCGTTGCTCTGGCAATCGTCGGTTATTGGCAGAACATGAAGACGTCATGAAATTCCTGCTGCCTCTCGTCTCACGTTATTCGTTCCAACCCCGTTGGGACAAATGGCACTGTCTGGGCCCGTCTGGGCCCGTTTCATTGGTTGTTACATATAACATCACGACTGCACGAGGTTCAACGACCTTATAGAGCTCCGGATCGCATCGAATTTCCTATTTACATTTCCGCTTTTGGCAGCGTCGCCAATGCAACTCACAAAAGCTTAACCACGTCCGTCGACACAACTATTCACATTCGACTTGTATATTACTTTGCAATTACATCTTTATTGCTACCTTGACAACAAGCCAATACGGCTTCCAGATTTTTATCACTTCAACAACTCGCATAGACACAACGAACTTGCGCTATTGCACCCTGATCTTAATGGGGGAAAGACCACAGGGTAGCCCGCGCAGAAAACGAGGGAGTTGTACGCATTCATGACGATTATAGATACCCGGTGTTTTGGGCGCTGTTAGAAAAGGCCAGGCAGACAGAGAGACAGACTGCAGGACTGCAAGCATCTAATGATTTTTCTTTATTGACGTCCAAGAGACGCACTCGCATCTATATAGGATTTAGCCTTGGGAAACGGGTGCGAGGAGTCGGGGGGGAAGGGGGATGTTGTGGTATTAGTCGTAATGACCTGCCAGACGTGCAAGCGATATCTCTGTACTAGAGAGCACGCCAGCCATGGTTGTAATGAATATCATTATTCTTATATGTTCCTTGGTGTTTCCAAGTGCAATCTGTGACATATTTGTCCGTGTCTGAGAGATATGACGGTACACGTCAGCGTATACAAGGTTCTTTTTCTTCTCATTTTTTTAACACCGAACATGTCAGTCGACTTTAGACCCAACGTCATAGATACGTCCGAGCGCTCGAAACTGGGCATTCCGGATTGGTGGGTTGAAATATCTACCAAATATCTAATCCTGCCCTTCCTTATTCCTCGGCACGAAGCACAAGGTCAACCACAGCCTGGTTCGGCCCCTGCCAGTGATTCCTCCGGACAAACCAAAACGACACGGCAAAGAGCAGCACCGCCCCGAGCACGGGCCCGCAGTAGTTCATGTTGGACGCGTCGACGGGCAGGTCCTGCGGGAACGGGAACCAGACGAGGACGTAAAGCGTGTACGCCAGGGCGCCGGCGTTGATGAGCGCGCCCCTCCGGGGGCCCCAGTTCCAGGGGCCGATCGGGAGCCGGCCCGCCAGGCGCGCCTGCAGCACGACGGCCAGCACGACGCCGTAGGACAGGTACATGGCCATGGACGACAGGGAGGTGATGGCGCCCAGAGCGACATAGGTGGCGCTGCCGAGGTTCAGCAGCGACAGCAGCGCCACGATGGCCGAGGTCAGCCAGACGGCGCGGAACGGGATGCGGCGCCGGCCGTCGACGTGCCCAAAGTACCGTGGCAGGCCGCCGTCGCGCGCCCACGCCCACGTCAGCCGCGACACCGAGGCCACGTTGCCCATGGTCGCCGAGTAGGCCAGCAGGAACTGCGACGCGCCCAGCACCGTCGTGGCGGGCGTCGAGCCCGTCACGTGCAGCAGGAGGGCCACGACGGGGCTCGCGGCGTCCAGGATCTCGTCCACGGGCGGCATGCAGAAGAGCGTCACCACGAGCATGACGAAGCCCAGGGCCGCGTTGGCCGCCATGGACCAGAAGAGCGACCGAGGCACGATCGTCTTGGCGTTCTTGGTCTCCTCGCCCATGTGGATGATGGCCTCGAAACCTAATATTCCAAAAGAAAGTTGCGTGATTAGTTCTTGCGTATAATTCGAGGCTTGGATTGGATAGTAACGGCTGGTCTTGACTTACCGATGAATAGCCAAATATTTGATAGCGCGCCCACCTGCGAGGCGACGAAGTAGTTGTCCCAGCCAGAAGACACGTTCGACATGGTGAAGATGTCTCCGCTGTTCTTGGGCGCCATGACAAGAAACACGATGATGAAGACCAGGAACAAGAGGACGTTGATGACGCCGGCAACCATTTCAAACCAGGGCACAATGCGGAAAGCGTACAGGTTGACCAACGTGAGCAGCGCCAGGGACGAGAGGGTGATGACCGTCGTGCGCCAGCCCACGACTTCATAGTCGGGGTTGTTGAGCTGGATCAGACCCTCCAAGATGGAGGTGCCGAAGTTGAGGGAGCTTGCGAACGTGGCGACATATGCTGTCCAGGTTATCCAGCCCTGGAGCCAGGTCAGGAACCGCTTGCTTGAGCGCGGTGCGAATGCGTACGTCCAATAGTATTGGGCACCGGCTATAGGCTGGATACTCGCGATCTCGCCGAACGCAGCACACTGCAAGAGCGCACCCGTGGCGACAATGACGTAGCTTGCGAACCACGCCGCGGGTCCGCCGTTGTACATGGAATAGTACATGTTCCTGCGGGGATTCAGTCAGCTAGATCGTGTCTCAGACAGTCAATGGGTAGTTCTTACGCAGGAACACCACTCCAAGTGCCCATATAGACAAGGGAGAATGCAAAGAGTTGCTTCTCATTGAAAATCCTCTGCGTCCGCGTCTGGAGAAATGCAACATCGTTCTCTTGAGAGCCATCTGCGGTGCGAGGCGACTGAGAAGGAGAAGCATAGCCCGTTGATTCGACGGCAGCCAACTCGTAGCCATTCTTTTCGTCCTGGCCCATGCTGAACGTCTATCGTTGAAGCGGGACGGATGTATTATTCGATCGGTAGGCTGTAGAGGGGAGCGGCAAGTGAGTTCTGTCCTATGAATTCATCTCTCCGTTGCTCTATTTTATACTCCCGATAACACAATCACCATGAACGAAGGGCTCGACCGGGCTATATATGCAGCAGGTCTCGGCAATGCAGCGGGGCTTACCGGGGGCTGAAGAATAACGAATTGCTCTAACCCAATCCCCTATAATCCTGTTCTCACGGTTCTCCAAAAATTAAAATGTTTTACCTTGCCCGACCTAGCTGCATGCTGCCAAGGAGACGATAACCGGGTAGCTACAGAGGGCTCGTTACATCGGCGCTCTGTAGACGGACCCTACATGGATGCAGCTCGCTTAGATATTGAATCTTCACGATGAAAACTTTGAAGCAGCGTCTGGAAAGAGCGATAACGGTTGTTCAATTACATTACGTGAATAGCTTCCCCGAAAAGCGAACTGTCCGCGTTCCACTCTGTGTTGTTGTATCTACCTGTACTAGACCCTGTTTTAATGACAGGCATATGCCCGAGGTTGTTGAGTTATAAGTGGAGTTATCCCAGGCCAGCTGGGCACAATCTGGGCTGGACTCCTGTAGCCTCTGTGGCCTGTGACGCACCATATATTACAAGTATGCCATATGTTGGATCCCCGTTGCGCATCTCTCTATGCTCGGCAAGGGCAATGCACGGGCGGTCATGCGGCGTGTACCCTGTGTTTCCGCTGAATACGGAACTGTGGAATCCGTTGCCGGCACTGTTCTCTGACAATTTTGACTGGTCAACGAAGGAGACCATCATCGCTTAATGCTCCAAGAATATATGGTACACAAGACGCCCCTCTAGGCAGCCTTGGGCTTCTCTTGTAACTTTATTTTTGCAGCATCGCCCAAGCTCTGGCCTCTGCTCCTTCTCCTCGCCTGCTCGGCCTTGACTCTTTCGATCTGAGCCTTGATTTCGTTGGCCATGTCCTGAGCATCAGCACCCGGATCTTGGCTCAGACCCAGAAGAGGTTCATTCTGTCCTGCCATGCCGTTCAGGCTATCCGTGCTCAGATTCCTGATCATCTTGACGCCTGCCTCGCGACTTCTCTTCTCGTGCTGAGCCTTCACCCATTTCTTACCGGGCGAGGCGAAGAAAGCGAGACTAGCAAATGTCGTGACAATGCCATAGAAATAGACGCGGGACCAAACAGCGATGGAGTCGCCAAATTCGAGAATGACAAAAGGCGCCACGACGAAAGAGAAAGTCGCTTGCGTTGCGAACCAGGACAAGATATCATAGTAGCGCTTGCGAGGCAGAGGGGTTTGGTTGACAGGGTCGAGGAAGAAGGGGCGGATGTTGCGACGGAAATCTTTCGTGTGAATCAGCATTGAAGGTCACCAAACAGTTTCGGAAAGAAGGAATACAAGACGTACGTTTGGCAGCGGTCTGCACGAAACTTGCGAGCACGAAGGCTAGATAGTAGCCTGGATAGAATCCATGCCAAAATGCACTTGTGCTGAAAGTAGCAAGACTGGCACGGAAACCTGGCTTCTTACCACGCGGCGTCACGCGTAGGTAGATGTAGTATCTTAGCCACTTGTTGGTGTTCATGTTCCAATTTTCGAGGTAAGCACGACTGTTCTGGGCCGTCTCGACGCCCCATGGGTTGATGTTCTGCAAGCGATCCCAGCTCACTCTGCCCGTCGTCGGGTCAATGCCCTTGTAACCCAGACCAGCGAGAATACAGGCGCCTTCAGCCAGAGTCCACACACCGTAGTACTTCAAACGGGCTGTTAGGCCAACCATATGAAGGTAGAAGGCCTTGTGCACAAAGGAGTAGGACTCAAAATCTTTCTTGAGCATGAAGTGCCAGTCATACCATGCGCTGAACTTGAGGAATGCCAAGATCCACAGGAGACCTCCAGCAAGCTTCCACATAGCCGGAGTAGCGCTGCGAGGAATCTTCCTCTTCTTACGTGTGGGGGGCTTCTTTGAGGGATCGACAGAGGCAGGCACGTCGAACATGGTGCAATCAATCCACCCCTTGTATTCGTTGTAGTCGAAAGAAGGGCCGCCCATGAGCGAGGGGAAGAACAAGACGTAGCCGGCATAATCCAGCAGGCCGGGCAACCTCAAGATCCTCTTGTCCTTCTGGAAGTCTGAAAGCTGGTCTTCAGGCAACGTGCCATCGGCCACGTTCCAGCAGAAAGCCGACAGCTTCATGACCAGGACCATTTGTGCGCCGGTGATATCGACGGCGGCGGGGTTGTTCGCAAATTGTCGCGAGAGCTGGTTCACAGCCATATGGCCCATGAGGAAGACGAAGCCGATCCATGGCATATACGGACTCGTGCGCAGGAAGTAGGCAAGGGTGTACGTGCCAGCAGAAGCAATGATCAAGGTCTGAAGGCCATCCCAGAGGTCGAACAGTCCCACAAGGTAGAAGAGAGCACATCTGTAGGAGACCGCGTCAGTGCTGCGGAAGCAAGTGATTTCGGGGTTCCGAGTGGTGTTTGAGGAGATAGGAACAGGAGGGAGGGGGGTCCCTACGCAATGATGAATCCATTCTTGTATTCGGGGCGCGCATCTGGTACGCGCTTCAGTAGACCGGCAAGCGGGTATGAGACGAGGAATGAGAATACGAGCTTGACTGTTTTGTGCGGCGGAATTAGCTGTCCGTACCCGGGTTCTGCAATGTGCCAGCTGTCTACACAAGGAAACTTACGTTCATCTGGGGAGGCCCCTATGACTCCTGCTAGGAGCTCAAAGGCTTGAGAAGATTGTAAGCATGTTGCACTCAAGGTAGTTGCGGCCGGAGCAGCTTCTCACGTTTGTGTATGAAGGATATCATTTTGCCTCCTAATTCGGCTTCAGTCACGATAATATCGTGGAGTCGCAAGCGGAGAGGAGGGATGGTGAGGGCCGAGGCTTCAGATTAGACGATCAATTCATGGTATTAATCGATCCTGTGTGAGCAGACTGAAGCCGTGGCAGGCAGAGGTGTCTCAACTTTCGGTAAGAAACGTTGAGGGTGTCCAGTTTGGGGCGCCACATGCAAACAAATGATCACTTTTTCCTCTAGACTACATAGTAGAGTGATGTCACCTGTCAAACCCCTTGATTTTGCCCACATGCACAGGACTTGGCGTTGGGGTTGGGGTACGGATTCCGTCCAAAGCACAGTATTTAGTTTGTTACAGCTTGCCGCAGGCAGCTTGCTTTTGGCTTGTACCTGGTGGAAAGTTTCCGTCCTCATGGCCCCCAGCAAAGCCCCAGCCAAGCCCCAGCCAAAATCCAAGCTGGTGAACAACGTTACTGTAAGCTGCCGGGCCGCACCTCTTAGCGCTTTCCAGCTCTACCAAGTCCACAACTTACATAGTTCAAGCACCACATTATCGCATAGTTACTGCACACCTTTAAGTTAGTACCCGCTAAAGGAGCCGCTCGCTCGCCTACCTGGGCAAACCGTTGAGGATAGGAACAAATCGTCATCTTTTCGTCAGCAATGCCCCTTCAGTCTACTGGGCGACTGCATTTCAACTCAGTCGAATGTCTGCATCTAACCAGATTCGATTAACGCCCAGATCAGGGCTGTTGCATCGGCGCGTCCAATGCCTTCGACTTGTTCCTATCCTCAACGGTTTGCTCGGGAACCCAACGCCGCTCAAGCTTGACGCTGAGCCGACGCAGGTATTGTGATCTTGCAGTGAGGTTGCGGAAAACATGATCACTCCTGTTCGGCAGAAACGTACCCGTGAAAGCTTATTGATGCGCGGTAGAGTGGCCCTGACAGTTGGTGAAGAGTGCAACCTTCGGTTTCGTTAGAGCTTGTCCCGGGGGAACCGGTTATATGTTGATCTCCCGCACCTATCATCTCCGCCACGGCGATCGCTAAACCTTCCGCGATTACAGCCAGCTCGGCTCTTTTAAGGTATGCTGTATTTTCGGGGGTAAGGCAAAGAGACTCTCTTCCCAGACTCTCGAGAGTGGCTCGGCAGCTGCTCGGGAGGCAAGTAAGTGGCTGGACCCAGGCTCGGAAGCCTCGACGCCCGCACGAGCGGCGCCATCTCTGGGCTGGACTATGATGTCGCCGCAAACGAGGCAACCCGTCGTAGTAATTGATACAGCCATTTTTATTTGGAAACATGCTTTCTTGCTGGCCCTTTTGATGCGTGCCATGTGGCATGCGAGTTCTCGAGCAATAGCCTTCTCCTCTCCCCTCCCCTCCATCTTCATACTCTCGACGTAAGCTACATGGAAAGTTGCCTAGTCGCTTCATGTCTATAAGATATATATATATATATGTATATATATGTATATTTAGAGGACGTCGTCTCTAGATACTTCCGATTGCTTGGTAGTCTATGGAAAATATTCTTCGGTAATATTCCCTCCGAGGGACTGTTCGGATTATGTACAAACCACCAGATTAGGAAGAGCAAAATTGTGACTCAAGAGGCCTGGGACAGTTTGGTCTGCTGCATGTGCTCACGCAAATTTCAGATGATTATACCCGGTGGCTCGAGCCTGCCTGAATAAATATCTGTTGACAAGACTCTGAACTCGATACTTGGAAGTAGGTTACGGGCGGCTTCCGAACCTAGTGTGCCGCTACCTAGAGGCATATCTGTTGTGTGCTGACAAGGCAGAGGCCGGACAGAGAAGATATACATAATTGGAAGACTACCGAGTCTTTTATCAAGAAAATATAAAAAAGTAAAAAAAGGAGAGGAAGAAACGCCTGCTCATGTTTCCCTGATCGAGCCAATTCAGCGTGACTCTTGCCCAGCCCCCATCGTTCTGCTGTGCTCAATAGTGTCACAACTCGAAGTCGAATCGGGCGCCAATGGCGCTCACGCCAGGCTCGTGCTCGGTTGTGGTACGCAGCCGGCCTCGGCAGCTTTATATATGGGGCAGTTGTCGTTGTGATGGGCAGTCTATGTTGACATGTTCATGCAAAGAACAGATCTAGCACATATTGAACGAGAGAGCTGCAGAGAGTATAGCTTATAAGAAGTTCTATTAGGTTTTCCGTACTCATGCAGTAAACATTGTATCGTCAAGTGCTTCCCAAATAGCACTGCAACAACCGTGTACGCCGTCCAATGTGTAAAAAAGAAAAACGAGCAGAACAGGCTCGAGGAGCTCCCGTCCTCATACAAAACCGAGGTATTCTATGCCAAAACCTCCCCACCGCACTACTCGAGTAACCCCATGAAGACGAAATATCGAATATTATACAAGTATAATATAAAAGGGGGTTTGGAAAATGCGACAGCCCAGCGCATTCTCGACCCGGCTTCAAGACACCAAGGCAGACACGTCACAAAAACAGGTATTAACAATCCGTAGCACAGCATGGCTGTGCTACTGGAGTTTGAACATCACACATGATCTGGAGGGTATAATAAGTTTCAATCATTCTAGCATCAATGTGGCTGAAATAAATCACAGCCCTATCCATCCCTTGCCCTGTGATGATAGGATAAACGTCCAAGCCATGGTCTCCGCGTTGCGCAAAGATATTTACGACTTAGCGGCATCGCGGGTGCTCTGGGAGCTGGCGCTCATGGGCTGCGTAGTAGGCAGGATGGACTTGCTGACTTGCGACTGGCGAACCTTAGCCCAAGCGTAGACAATACCAGAGACGAAACCGATGAAGATGGCCGAAACGGAACCGACGGTGACCGGGGCTGCGAAGAAAACGAGGCCAGAAACAGCGATCGGAAGCTTGTTCAAGGCACCAACCATGGAGTAGGTGGTCGAGGAGGTGACTCGGATGCACCAGGCAGAGCAGTAGGAGATGAAGATGGCGGCCATTCCCGAGTAGATCATGCCGATCATCAAAGCGTTACGGGACTCGACGGGGAAGTTCTTCTGGAAGTTGACGCTGGACCAGTCTTCGGCAAGGAGGGAGCCGATCAAGAGGACGGGGACGGTGAGCAGGTTGTTGTAATACATGGCTTTTTCTCAGTTAGCCCAGTGGTCTAAATACGGGCCTGGAATGCAACTTACTATCCCAATCCTTGAAGTTCATGTTCTTGATGACCTTGCGCATACCCAGAACGTATGAAGCAGTGCAGAAAACGTTCAGACCCATCCATGCATAACCGGCGTTCAGAGTGGCCAGGGCCTCAGCGGCCTCGGCGGTCTGGGTGCTGGCATGGCTAAGATCAGCCCAAGCGGCAACGACAGAGGACAGAACCATGAGACCAAAGGAGAGCAGAGCCAGTGGGGTGACGCTACCACCGAACCAGAGGACCTCGCCGTATGCGATGACAATGATGGTCAAGTTCTTGAAAATGGTGTAGACGGGGACCGACAAGAACTGCAGGGCCTTGGTGGAGGTATAGATCATTCCGACGAGCAGTAGCGCAACGGGGAACCAGCGCTTGCCCTTGGTCATGTCGAAGGGGGCCAGGTTCTTGATGAAGCCCATCTGCTTGCAAGCCTCGATTGTGATAACGCAGACTATCGACTATCACAACTGTCAGTACAGGAATGGCTAGATTCCGAATGATGTGGAGGTGCGGCTTACCTGAACAGCCAGGTAGAAAAGGTTCAAGTTCCATGATGTGCCGGAAACAACATATTTGTTCACCACAGTCATGGAAATCGAGGACAAGCAGTACGCCAAGACGGACAGCGGCGGGCTGTTTTCAACTTTGTGCAACGAAGCCATCTTGTTCTACGACGGGATCGAGACGAGACTGGAGTCGAAGTGGTGCTGTGAGAATTGGATCGACGGACACGGGTGCGCAGCAATGGTGGACGTCGAAGGCGACCAAATCGATCGACAGCTGAGCGGGCTGGCTGACTTGAAATTGCTAGATCAAGATCAGATGGAAACGAAGGCGCACGTGAGTGTACGTGTACGTGTAAGTGTATCGGGGGGGATCTATCGAATGCAACAAAGCACGAGACCCTACGTTCGAACACGATGGGAAGGACTGGCACAAATGGGCTGCAGATGTCTTGAGTATCCTTTGTCGTGGTTCCGCTTAGGTTTAAGGGGACAGATTGGAATCGATGGAAATGAATTGGCCAGGCTTCCAGCAAAAAGTGTCTGGAATAATAGTACAGACGGGAGTAATCCATACAGCTACTAGACTAACCTAGACTAATGGAGACTGTAGCACGCGTGTCCAGTGGGCGGGCACCCCTTTCCTTTTCCTTTCCCTTTCCTCCCCCCCCAGAAACCAAGGATCCCACTCAAATTTATCAAACAAGGCGCATCTGCTTGCGCAAAAAAGCAGAAATTCACTTATGCATATCGGGGCTAGCTCGTAAACTTTAGCCGGCTGGAACCTGTGTAAAATTAGAAAGTGCCATGCAAAGCTATTGCATCGCCATGCGTTGGACATAACTTGAGAGATGCTAACGTGAACACCATCTTGTCAACTAGAAAATACCAATTTTCACTTATGGTCTGGTCAGCAAACGCCAGTCCAGACCGCTTGTCTTTCCATGAAAGCTTCCAGAAAACCTTCGCTGCTGCGGATGCATTGAGGACCGACCCAAGCTAAACAACCTTCCAGTCTAGAATCGCTGACGCAGCAGCAGTGGACAAAAATTAGGACACTTCGCGTGCGCTAGCTCTCTCAACTCTACGGATACCGAATCGTCACCTTGCTCGACTTGCTTTACATGAACCTTGATGTCCTCGCGTGTGGTTTCATTTCTCCACGCTGTTCCTTGTGTGTGAGACATTTGTCTTGCCTGTAACTTGATGCGGAAAGTAATCATGTGCCTTATGTTGACGAAAAGACCGTCTTGATTTGCATACATCCTGTAGGGGCATGAGCTGTTAGCTCCAAAGGTCGATGGAGGCTCGTGGTATGTTTCTACTTCAGAATGTCGTGATCTCATGAAGTTTACCAGGACTTTTTCTGCCATATTCCCTCCCCTTGTCTCCTTATTACCTCAAAGCACGCAGCAGGTTCGTACAGATACAAAGTTTAACACAACACATGCCTGTGCATGACTCAATGTGCGCTTCTATTGGCGGGCCGTATCTGACAAAACAGAGTGACGGATTGGCAACCCGTTTCGTGCTGGTCATAATAATGATATGGTTGCAAAGAATTGGATTGCTGAGGGACTGAAATTTTTTTTTTTTTTTTTTTTAAAAAAAAACCCGGTTTTGTTATTCCGATAGTGAAGCTTCTAATCAAATTCATAATTTATGCCATCACGAATCAATGTGCTATGTTGTACTTACAGGAAATTAAGTCAACCCGGAAGACATAACTGTAGCCTGCTATCAGGTCATATCGTGATCTCCGTCCTCGTCTCCTTCATCGTCGTCGTCCCTGTCCCTATCAAGCCTATCCGTGGCGACCGTAATACTTGTGTCATCCCGCAGATCGTCCTGCGCCGGAGGGAAATTGAGATGTTTCCAGTCCTCCAGCTCCTCAGTCACGCTTCGCAACCGATCCCTAATGCTCTCGATAGCATAGCTCCCGAGTACTAACCTCAACGGTGGATACGAACAATGGCCTAGCTGCCACACGAGCTCCGCGCACTTGACCGCACTTGTTGGCTGCCGGTCGCCGAGCCACTGCACCATCCTCTTCGCATGCAGCGCCGGGCTCGTCGCATGCGCGTAGGCCTCGCTCGCGGGTTTGATCAGAAAGTGGCCCCAGGTCGGCAGCGGATTGTCCTTGGAGTCCGGCTCGTCCCTCCTCACCAGCCCGGGCTCCACCAGCGTGGCCTTGACGTTGAACGAGTCGATTTCGTACAGCATGGCCTCGATGAGGCCCTCAACGGCGTACTTGGTCGCGCAGTACGGTCCCAGGCCAGGGACGCCCAGCGCGCCGCTCGTCGAGCTGAATATGAGATACCGGCCGGCGCTCTGGGAGCGGAAATATGGCAGCGAGGCCTGGATGATGTGTAGGGTGCCCATGAAGTTCGTCTCGAACTGGTTGCGGATCTCGTGCTCATCCTGGTCCTCGCAGGCCCCGATCACGCCGTACCCCGAGCAGTTGGCGACGATGTCAATGCGGCCAAAGTGGTTCAAGCAGCGCTCGACGGCCCGGGCCACCGAATCGCGGGCGCGCACGTCACAAAGTAGTCCCAGAGAGTTTGGCCCGGTATGATGTTCGGCCATCGCCTCGGGGGCGGTCTCAAAGGTTCGGCCCACGGCGCATACGAGGTCCCCCTTTGCAAGAGCGCTTTTTACAAGGGACCGGCCCATGTGGCCGGTCCCGCCAAAAATCTATTCACATACATGAGCAAGCACATACAATCGGGATCAAGGGATCTAAACACCTACAATCCATACCAATTGCTTCCGTGGCGCATTGTCGCGGGGCGGATCGCAACTCGCAGGTAGATTAAGCTGGGGTCGTGGAGCATCATTCGTGCTTCCTACCTCTGGTGAGTCCATAGTCGCATATCCTCGGGTGCGAATGACCACTCCGAAAGTTCTATATTTAGTTACAGATGCAGACGGATGTGTTTGTCTCACATTTTGAAGCTTGATAAGACCAAACAGAAAGGGAAGAGTGCTGGGGTGGCTCCGGCATGTAGTTCAGGTGCCAGAGCCCCGCTTATCCAGGTACCGTTACGCCACGGACATGGGGGATTGTTTCGGCAATTCTAGACCTTGCCATAGGTTTGTCCTTGAAACGCTCGAGTGCCTAGATCAGCTCTCGCGTACCTTTGAGTTTTTCTTTTAAACAGGCCGGCTTGACGATGTAAATGATCGGCGGCAATTTGGAAGTTTAACTACATTCACATGATGTGATCGGCTTTACAAGGACATTGCGCGCTCGCCGTATAGTTCGGACATGTTTCCAAGAGTACCATTTGTTCAGCATGGGCAGTTCAGTACCATAAAACACAACTCTGGCAAAACGAAAACGATGGGACTTGTTGTTGTTGGTCATTGATTTTATTCATCATATAAGCACGCTATGTTCATACTGTCGTACTGTTCTAGTTTTCAGCTCAAGTACTGGGAAACGTAGTCCTTGCGGTGCGGGTTAGCATCCAACTCGTCGCTCCTGTTGAGTGGCGTCCACTTAGGGTCTTCTTTGAACAGACGCATTGCCTTGATATACTGTACCACTGTGAGCCAGACGTTCCAAAAGAGGGCAGACATTGAAACTTACGTTGTCTGCATCAGTCGTAAAACGGTGGTAGATGCCGGGAGGCAGGACAATCAGATCGTCCTGGAAAATCGTTAGCACGCATCTCCGATGCATCGCCCTGCTGTTCCCCAGTGTTCAACTTGGCGCGAAGCAGATGGCTCAAACCAAAAGGCACGTTGACTCACCTTCTCAAGCTGGATACGAACCCACTCGTCACCCTTCGACCGCACGTCAAAGTACCCTTTGCCATCACGGATGTACCTGATCTCCTCGTCCTCATGCAGATGCTCGTGGAAGAAGGACTTGACCTTCTCCTCGTAGATATCCCCCATCTTCTCGGGGCTCACCGTGATCTCATCGCGGTTCTTGTAACTACGCTTCAAGGCCAGCTCGTCGACTCCGGACAGCTCGGGAAAACAGTAGTACAAGACTCCCAACCGCTCCAGCTCTGAGGGTGTAAGATCACGACCAGAGTCGTGGGGCAGGCGCTGATCGCCCTATAGAATTGTGAGAACTTGCGCGACGCCGTGTCTCTTGAATGGAGCGGCCAGAAGAGAGCCTCAGAAGTTCAAGATGCCTTCATGGAGGGGCAGACTGGTGTAAGATTGCGTGATTGCGGGGGATTGCGCTCACCTCGAGGTTGTCGTACCAGTATGCTCTCATATTGGCTTGCTTTCGTATCGCTAGAAATTAGGGATGTATACAAGAGCTGTCACTTAAGATTCTTAGATGCAGCGCTGAGGAAAAGAAAAGGCGATAATCTCAAGCGAATTTCAGGCGCAAACTGCCTGATGAAAATGATCAACTTGACTTGCAAGATTTGCCCCACCAAAAAAGGTACGACTTTAGCGCGGGTGACGTCGAAGGGTCCCCAAGTGCAGATAGTGGGGTGGCGTGTTGGCTGATGAAAGCCATTCACTGGCCGTGGTAAAGGTCAGCACACGTCTGGGCCCAGCTGCCGTGCCCATCTACTGTGATATTATCAAATCATCAGATAGAGTGATTACACACGGGTACACAAACAAACGAATGGCAGAGTTCTGATCAGCATCATGTGGTTTAAGCGTATCGACTATAGCGCTTGTAGTACCGTCCACTATTCAGCTGGTAGTATACGCAGCAGAAAATACGTACAAAGCGCATTAGCAGGATCAGTTTCGATTGCTTCCAAGCTGTAGCAACAGAAGAAGTATATTCCGGGGCATTTGACTGTTTTTTAATCAGCATATCCTGACTTTCTCAGGGCCAATCTAGCCACTTGCCCACTGCCATCATATTTAATCCTTGTAACGCCGTACGAACATCATCAAGACTCCAATATGTGTCTAACGAATAAATGAAACGCCATGGAGTGAATTGCAATGAGCGCCATACCAATCCCAAGTTCGAGTCCCTCATCGAACATCAGCAGCAGCAGCCAGCTCAGGTCCTCCACCGACCGCGAACTCATTGTTGATAGCCGTGGCGTCGTCATCTTCATGTTGCTCTCTGGCGGGTCTCCCTTCAAATAACCTGCGCCAAAATCTGGGCGGGTCCATGGGCCTCGAGCCGTTGTGCATTGGCGGGTACACATCGTTGAAGAAATACCAGATATGGCCAATGACTACACCCATGATTTCGTCCTTGGGAACAGTTCCATGCATAACTAGGCTGAACCCCATCAGAACCCAGGGCAGGTACGGCGCTGTGAAGACCAAAAGCCCAAGAAAGCTCATTCGCGTATCGGGGTTGCGGCGCGACCAGATATAGACGAGGGTGGAGGACAAGGGGTGGCCGAGGAACGGCATAGAGACGAAGGGCGAGACGACCAAGAGAAAGGCCATGGAATAGACGAGGAGCCATGAGAAGTGCGCCGGTGATCGGCCGTTGGACTCCTCGAGGAGGCGGGCGTAGCGTTGGAGGAAGTAGACGTGGAATAGGAGGTCTAATGAGAAGGGGCCGAAGTACAAAAAGGTGGTCAACAATCTCCAGTACTGCATGTCGTTCGCTTGTCAGTGGACTTATTCGCTACGCCAAGTGAATGCGATTGCTGCGCTGCGCTGCTTACCTCTCCTTTTCCAAACACGGTTCGCACGCTATAGAATAGTTGAAAGGGTGTGACCATCTGGCATTGCACCAGTGCGCTCGTTAGAACGGTGGCCGTCGTCCACCATCGTGTGCATAATGGCATCTCCCAGAACCAAGCCTCTAGGGGGTTCCGGCCGCCCTCGCCGGGCATGAGTTGATCCATTGATCGTGAGTTGTGGATAGTTGCGTCGCGGGATGCTCTGCGGACCGGGGGGTTATCGGGAATTGATAGGAGGAAAGTCGCAAGTTTGAGACCGATGTCAGTTTCACACAAATGGTTTTGTTTATAAAAGCATGGGTAAATATGTGCAGAGAAAGAATAGAGGAAATGGTGAATGGCGCGGTATGAAGGACGTTTTGGGAGGTGTTGGCAATGATTAATTGCAGCCTTGTCCCCATTCGATTATCTGGCTTCAACGCATGTATCGCTTGGGATATGCGACGCCGTTGCTTGCTCCGATACATCCAGTCAGTCACTGGGGCACAGTCGGCAAAGTGGCATGGTTTCCCCCATAATTGTGATGATGGCTGACGAAGCCCCTCGTTAGTTACATCGGCTATTGCTTAGTTGCAAAACACAGGAGTCGGTCTAAGGCACACCCCACCATCGGTAGACCTTCCGCTAATACACCGTCCGTCCCTTCTGTCGGCTACTGGCTACGTAGCTCATGCTTGCTCATGCTTCTCTGCAAAAGCCACGGAACCACTCAAACAGATCCGCACATAGCATACGCTAGCGCTAGCCATGACCACAAGTCAAGTGGGCCGACAGGTGTGGCTTAAGAATCAATTAAACAATTTTAATGGAGTGGCTGGGGGCGACGCGAGTCTGAGGCCTGTCAGTTTCGCGTTTCGCGATGCGCCAGCCACTAGATTAATTAGAACATCTCCTCCCTTTCCCATTCCCTCGTTAACTTTGACGAACTCGCCTCTCTCGCAGATCCAGGCTCTCCAATTCCTCTCTGGAATGTGCTACTAGATATTCTGCAGCTTCCTGTCTGTTCTTGACCATATACGATTTTTCTCGTCCTTTCCTCACAACTCAATGCTCTAATCAGTTTTCGCTTCTTTGGCCCTGCATCCCCCTGTCACAACCAACAGTCGACAGAAGAGCGCTCGACGCCAGCTCACCACATCTGCCGCTTAGCTTGGCCGCACCACAATGGCAGAGCAAGCACAGAGGCGTTCCTCAGCTGCGACCGGCGGCTCAGGCCGAGGTCGCGGAGGCGGAGGCAGTCGCGGTCGCGGTGGCGCTTCGAGGAGAAGCGGCGGAGGCTCAGGTGTGCTACGTAAGTTCCCAGCTTCGCTGACGCTGACTGGTGGGCTTCGATGGCTAACCCTTTCTTCTTCTTCTTTGCAGCGGGAGATCCAGTACCACAAGGCCGCAAAAGAAGATATAGGCCCGGAACAAAAGCTCTGCGCGAAATCAGGAAGCTTCAAAACAACACCGACCTCCTCTTGCGAAAGCTGCCCTTCGCGCGCCTAGTACGAGAAATCGCCCTGACATTCCGGCCACGAGACGAAGGCATGCGATGGCAGTCACAAGCCATTCAAGCATTACAAGAAGCCGCCGAGGCCTTCTTGGTACATTTGTTTGAAGATACGAACCTGTGCGCCATTCACGCCAAGCGTGTGACGATCATGCAAAAAGATATCCAGCTCGCTAGACGTATTCGCGGCGTCTGGGGTGGAATCGGCTAAGGCTACATATCTTTAAGCCATATAGGCGGTCTGTGTATTGGTTTGTCATTGTTGCAGTTATATGGACATTGCTCCTGGGTCTAGCCGGCGTTCAGGGAAAGTAGGGAAATCGAGAAATCGAGTCGAGCATATATCACTAGGGAGGGCGATTGTGCCTGTTTTTTTTTTTTTTTTGATACCATATTATATATTTGCTTGTTTGACAAGTTACCATTAGAAGCAGTAGATTCTAACAGTGTGCTTGTAGACTCTGCACTTGAGACAATTCTTTAGCATTAAATCTTCGTTGCCAAATGGCTGTAAGGTTTGATCTTATCAAAGAAACTGGCTGGCATGCATCAATTCTCAGCTTTGGCTATTATGTTTGGTGAAACTACCGTGGGTTAAGAGGATCAATGCTCCAATCATCAGCGCTGCCGCTAAATGCAGCCTCCCCGACGGAGCAATTCCAGGGGTCTGCCAATGAGAGGTCCGTCGTGACGTCAACGTGTTATTGGTTACCCATCAGTTATTACAGCTCCCGAAAGCCTCATCATCTGACACTTGCATGCAATTCATTTGCTTCGGTCTGACCCAACCAAAAAAAAAAAAAAAAGAAAACCCCCTCAATTCAAGCTCGCTTTATTAGAGCAAATACGTTTGGAGTTGGAAAACACACACGAGTCCACCGGCTTTTGTAACAACAATAAAAAATGTCAGCACCTAGACTCCTGCTCTCTCGCACCGCCTTCCGCAGCCGGGCCCTCGGCGCCGGCATTGGCTTGTCCATAGGGTCCGCGCTGGTATACAGACAGCCCATGCTGCGGATGGATGCGCGAGCTGTGCCTCGCCCTACGACGCGAGAGGCCGCTGCTACTGCGCCCAAGGAGAGATTGGACCCTGAGATCATCAAGCAGCTCTCTGGTGGAAGCATCACAGGTTCGTTTTGGGGGGTTTGTTGGCGTTGTTACGCCTGGGTAGCATTTACTTATTGCCTCCACAGGATTCCTTACCGGATTGGTAATCAGCGTCTTTTCAAAAACGTTGGTGCTACTGCTGGGTGCTTCTATAGTGGTGGTACAGGTATGAACCTTCAAAACCTGGTTTGACTGATCGTTGTGATGCTGATCTGTTTACAGGTCGCCGCAAGATACGGCATAGATCTCACCAAGCAAATCAAATTGAGAGAGCGAATAGGAAACTCGAAGGTATTGGCAGCTTTGGAAAAAGACCCGGCCTTTAAGCTGTCATTTGGCTTCTTTTTCGCCATGTCTGCCTTTTTGAAGTTTCAGAACTTGTAAGACTGAATGTTAACTAAAATGATACTCAACATCCACACAACTTGGGCTCGTCTGTCTACCACCGTATCATGCAGCTTCGTCAAATGGGATACGTGATAATTACATTTTCATCCAGCGGGGCCCTCATTGCCTAGTAGTGCTTGGTCTCTCTCTCGAGCCATGCCTTGGTAACGTCATCCTTGACCAAAGGGCTGATCTTTTCAAGAATCTCATCATTGTAATCGTTGAGCCACTTTGTCTCTGTAGCGGTAAGGAGGTTTGTGTCGATGAGCTTGCGGCAGTATGGGACCATTGTGACGTGCTCAAATGCAAGCCAGGGCTTGTCACCGAAAGAGTATTTCGTTTCCACTTTCTTCACCATGATAATGTTCTCTATCCGGACGCCGAATTTGCCGTCTTCGTAGAAACCGGGCTCGTTAGAGAGGACATTGCCCTCCGCCAATGCAACCTCCGAGTACTGTATCCTAGTGCCGATACCCATGGGGCCTTCATGCACATTGAGGAACGATCCAACTCCGTGGCCGGTACCATGTCGGTAATCTAAACCCTGTTGCTGTTTATTCGTCAGCCAGTGTTATGAAACAGATATGAGTTTACGTCTTACCCAAAGATGCTGTCGTGCCAAACAATCAATTGCGAATCCTGTGGTGCCTTTGGGGAAGATGGCCACGTCCAAAGCGATGTTGCCCTTCAACACTAACGTGTATGCTTCGATCTCGGCCGCGGTTGGCTCACCAAAGTGTAGAGTTCGTGTGGTATCCGTTGTGCCGTCTAAATACTGTGCACCAGAGTCGCAAAGATATATGGCGTTAGGATCAATGGCTGGGCAGGCGCCTGGCTCTGGCTTGTAGTGGATTACAGCGGCGCTTTGGCTTGTTAGCATGCCGACCACATCAGAGAAAGTAAACCTCACTTACTTTGCACCTGTGGAGGAAATTGTTTCGAAGGATAGCCCGACAAAGTGGTTCTTCTTGGCTCGGAAGGCCTCCAATTGGTCCGCTGCTTGTACCTCATCAAGTGTCGCTTTCTTGTTGATGAGTTGGTCCTCAAGCCAAGCAAAGTACTCGACCAGGGCGGCCCCGTCTCGAATGTGGCACTGTCTCATACCCTCCAACTCGGTAGCATTCTTCATAGCCTTGGAGTCGCCTATCGGACTGCGCACTTCTTCCACCAACTCATCACCGCCTAGAGCGAGCTTCAGAGCCCAAGAAGCTCTGTTAGAGATGAGATACTTCTTGTTTTCCCCAGGTGTCGCGGCGCTGCTCGACTTGGCAGACTGACCAAGAGCGGTAGCATCCTCAAAGATGGCACCGTAGGGCTTGATCTCGACACCATTCTCTGCTAAGATCGATTGATATTGGTCGCTCAGCTTCGAAGCATCAATGTACAGTATTGCCTTGTCAGTTGTGACAATAGCGTAGGAGAAAAAGACAGGGTTGAAAGGAATATCGTTACCACGAAGGTTGAACAACCAGGCAATTTCGTCGAGCATGGAAACCACAAATCCAAGTGACTTCTTTTTGTCGAGTTCCTTGCGTAGCTCGACAAGTTTCTCCTTGACGTCTTTTCCGGCAAATTTGCCGTCAAGAACATTGACTTGCTCATTCGGCCGAGCAGGCTTGTCCTGAGACCAGACTTTGTCGACCAGGTTCTCTGTCACGGCCACGAGATCCTTGCCTCCGCTCTTCTTGATCTTTTCTGCCAGCTTCCTCGCCGCTCCCCCGGTAAGGAGTGTTGGGTCTACAGCAGCAACCTTGCCCCCCTCGGACTGCTCAGCAGTCCACTCTTGCCATGTTGGCACATTCTGTATTCCCTGCTTCAATAGCACCCAGTTGTCATCGAGCTGCTTTGCAGCCTGATTGAAGTAGCGGCCATCAGTCGCCAGGGCGGCCTTGTCGTGGGTGATGACGGCACATCCTGCCGAGCCGGTAAATCCAGATATGAATTCTCGCCGCGCATCTGTCGGCGCAATGTATTCCGAGGAGTGGCTGTCTTCCGAGGGAACAACTTGACAGCTTAGGTCAGCTGTGGTCCCCGTGGGATTTCGAAACGAGGTACAATGGCCTTCTTACTGTATACATCAATATTGTTCTCTTTCATGAGCTTGCGCAGCTCGGCGAGCCGGCTAGATGTATCGATCTTCTCCATGTCGAGTGCTGGGGGGGAATAGGTGCTGTATCGTGGACGATGATTGAGTGATGGTGGAATTCTGAACTGCTTGGAACCGAGGAGGGATCGATGCTTTAGAGCCGGAACTGGTTGCGCAAGTCGAATGACTCTTGTTGACAAGGCCGACAGTGGCCGAAGATATCGCATGGGAAGGGACAAAAGAGCTTGTTCACGTTGGCTGTTTCCTGTAAGTAACCTCTCCGTGGAGTAAGGGCACCAAGGTATGTAGCTTGAGGCAATAAGGAAGGTGACACGCGACACTGTCTACTCCATCGGTGGCGCGTGACAATGCTAAGAAGACGTCTATGTACTCTGCCAAATTATACACAAATTCAACCCATTGGTAGCTTGAACAACGTCGAATGGTCTTGTCGTTATTATAATCCAGTAGGTTACCTTTTCCTGTATACCAACGTACACAACTCAAGTCAAGCAGTTGTACAGTATTGAAGCTTGCGCATCATCGCTGCATCAACCCCACTCGTACTTATTCAAACCTCTGCTACAGTAGCAGAGTACTGGAGACCTCACTTGTTAACGCCAAGTCGAAGTCTTATGTATGTTGGGGGGGCAATGCGGCTGCCAGATTGTGCTGTAACTGTTATTGGGAAAGTCGACAGGACCTAAATTACCCCTCCATGGCGCTGCAAGGTGGGCTGAAGCTGCCAATTATTGAAATGCCGCCTCACCCTTGACTTCCCGCTTCAGAGCCTCACAAGTGTGTGCAGTGTGCATGGTGTCTAGATTCTCGCTTACATGCGCACTTCCAACGCTCTCCTTGTCTACAACGCACGACGTATTGGTGAGGAATTAAAGCCGTTATTGTAACACAGAATATCGGTCTACCAAGCACATAAAAAACAAACAAAAGCAAAAGGGTACAATTTCTCTTTGAGCCCGCCGCCTGCGCCTAAATCTTGCTTAGGCGCATTTTTAAGCTGGATAGTACATTTTATCTACCAGCATATTGGAATCCATGCTTTTACAAACTCTTGGGCGATAATGGACAGCTTTCCCCAAACAACTCACAAGCATGGATCAAATACCTATACCCGGCAGTCTCGATGAGGTTGAGCATGTAAGATTGCCTCAGGTCCAAATCCTATGAGTGATGCCTAACGTTCGGTTCAGCTGGTCAACAGGCTCTACGAGCAGAATTCCTCCTCAGCTATTTCTCAAATCCAAGAGGTTCTCCAGAGACTACAGAAGTCACCCGAGGGATGGCAGGTAGCCGAGGGGCTCCTAGCGCGACACGCTGATAATGTCAGATTTTTCGGTGCTTTAACTTTCATTGTGAAGTTAAACACTGAGCCGCTCAACGACGACGACGCAGGCTCAGTGCTTCAGAAACTCATTGACGGGCTACTGAAGAGCTTGGATGCTGGGGCTGGAGCTATCGTTATAAGGAAGCTCTGTTCCGCTCTGGTCACCCACTTCATCCAGTACTCTCATATATGGCCTTTGTGCCTTCGCTACGTCGTGTCTTGCCTCCAGAACAGTCATAGTGGGAGCATACAAAGCGCCGCACCTGTCGACCCCGATGTGCAAAGCCTACCACCACAGAAGTCTGTGGCAGCGATATGGTTTGCCACAGCTCTGGCTGAAGAGGCCGAAAAGACTGATTTGAAGTCTACGAAATATATCAGCTTGCATGAGCGTATGCTGAGCAATGCACAAGATCTAGGGTCCTTACTAGTTCGTTCACTCGCAGGGCAAGCAGATATACAGAGCCAAAAAGAGGCCATACGATGCTTTCAAGCCTGGCTTCTATATGCTCAACGTGCGCCCAATGAGGAACTGACATCAAATCTACGGCCTTTGCTCCAGCCAACTATCCAGTGTCTCGTCAACGATGAGCTCTATGAAGCCGCCGTCGAGGTACTGACTGACACGCTCAGCAACTGGCAGACCTTCTTCAAGCAGGTTGACTACAGTCTGCTTTATGCTTTATTCGACAGTCTTTGGGCCCAGGAAAAATATCAAAGTCTGCTCCAGGGTGATTTTGATTTCGACTCTGTTCAATTCGGCTCGCTGATGGTTGCCTTTGGAGATGCCCAAATCACCGAATTGATGGATGGAACAAACGAGAGGTCGCAACGCTTCCTTGCTGCGCTGGTAGGCTTGCTCAAAGCGGATGGATACCCCGTCGCCGAGGATAAAATTTTCGTGCCGGCGCTTGAGTTCTGGTCTCAATTTGTTGAGAGCATGGTTGACAACATGTATTCGGAGCCACAAGAAAGCGTCAACTGGAACGCACCGCCCCTGTCCTACTTGACACAGCTTGTATCCCATTGCTGGAAAAAGATACAATATCCTGCCATGGGTGTCTACAACTCTTGGGATTCCACTGAACGCGTTGGCTTTGGTGATGCCCGAAAGGATGTCTCTGACTTGCTGCAATCGGTATTCGCGATCTCGGGGCAGCCCTTGATAACACTTTTTGTGAACCTGACTCTTCAGGGCGTTTCAAACGCAGCCTGGTCTGAATTGGAAGCCGCTGCGTTTTGTCTGGGTTCGCTCTCTGATTGTGTATCCGACTCTACTAGCTGTGATGACATATTGAGCAAAGTTTTCGGGTCTCAGCTCTTTGATCTTCTTCGCCAAGGCCAGTCTGTGGTACCTGTGCGCGCAAGGCAAACTTGCCTTTCCTTGATTGAACGTTACTCGGAATATTTCTCACGACATGCAGAATATCTACCGGCAGCATTAAACCTCTTATTCAGTGCTGTTGGTGACTTACCGCTAGCAGGGCCCTCTTCCAAATCTATCCACAGATTATGCTCGTCATGTCGATCTGTACTCACTTCAGAGGTCGATGCCTTTCTTGACCAATACGAAGCGCTTAGAGGTGGGATTTTAGACTCACTGGCCGAAGAACGCATAGTTGGGGCTATCGCCTCGATCATTCAAGCATTGCCCAATGACACCGATCGGGTTCATGCTTTTAAACGACTAATGTTGGCGTTCGGAACGGACGTTGAGAAAGCTCTTCAACTGAAGGCCTACAATGCCAATGTCGATTCCCAAGATCCCATCGTGGCTCGTGCATACGATGCGGCGCAACGTCCAACGGAACCAGTCTCGTCATCTGAAATTGGCCTTCAGATAGCAGTCAGGGCACTACGATGCCTACTAGGGAGCGCCAAAGGCTTGCAGTCGCCATCAGAATCATTTGTCGACCTCGAAACAGAACAGAATGCTACTGTAGTTGCCTCTTCGGCCGAGCTTGCACAAGTACAACAAGATATCGTGGGAATTCTGGCTCGTTTGAAGGACGAGTTTAGTGTCAGCACAGAAGCTTTAGTAAGTGTATTTTAGCAGCCTTGTCCTAATTCAATCTTAATCATACTGCTCTTAGTATGGCTAGCTAACACTGGAACTCATAGGACGTCATCTGCTCCATTTTGAAAGCAGGCTTTTCCGAGACAGAACCAGGTCCCTTCGTCCTGCCACCACAGATTGTTACTGAATTTATAACAAGCACCTGGTATCATCGCGTTGCTTCGGCTATAAGCACAGCTTGCGTCTTCGTAACATCTCTAGCAAATGGGAACTTTAAGAATCAGGTGCCGCAAACCATAGAGCGCTTACTTCCATGGGTCGCTGGGCTTCTTCAACAGCTGCAAGGTAAGTGACACATCTGTTATGACGCGCAGATTCCAACTGAATCTTGTTACCCGAATGTACCTCGACATTTATCTGACACAATTAGATCCTGAAAATGACCCCGAGTTGGCGCAATATGGTATCGAATTTGCACAGAAAGCAATGACTAAAGCTCCAGGAGTCTTCCTTCAACTGCAACCAACCAGTTCTTTGGAATACTTGTTCATGTTCGCTATCAAGATGCTCAGTGGCAATGAACCGCTGCCAAAAGCAGCGGCGGCCGAGTTCTGGGTATGTATTCTAGGAGGATAATGCGAGTGCCACTAACGTTACTGCAGACCAATTTTATCACATTGAAATCGTCCGATCAGGGTACGCAGGCAGCAGTTGACAGCGCTATTGGTCACCTTGGACCTATTCTGGCCCATACGCTCGTCCAGAATATTGGTGGCAAGGCCTCTCGCAGCGAACTGGACAAGATCAGTGATCCATTAAAGAAGCTAGTTGTCCAGCATGCTCGTGCTAAGCAGTGGCTAGAGGCTGCTTTGAACGATGCCTCATTTCCTAGTGATAAGGTGTCAGCTGGTGACAAGGCTCTCTTCGTGAAAAAGGTTATCAGTCTGCGAGGAAGTAGAGCGACCAACCAAGTTGTGCGAGAATTCTGGCTTGCCTGCAGGGGATCCAACTTTGCTTACGCGTCATGATCAAATAGCCCTTCTACCAGGGCCAGGTTTTAGAGATGGTCTACCGCTCCAGAAGAAAATCTCAATTGGTAGGGAATAAATAAAACACATGGCCGAATATATTGACCCCCTCTTATCGTTGCTTTCGATGTGAGGATTCATCGATCTTTCTAGCTGAGACTCCGGTAGAACAGGCTTCCCCCAATTCTAGGGAAGTGGTGACCTGCAGGTCCGTGACAGAACATGCTGCTAGTCACCTCAGTGGCGAGAGCTTAACTGTGCGATATACTCGGCCCCGATATTCCGTCTTCTGACACGGCTTACTACCTTGGCTCGATGATAGTATCGGGAAGCAGCAGATATTTCGAGTTTACACCATGTATATGCAATTCATCTCAGTTGATACTTGTGGGCACAGTTACGCAGGTGGTATCTCATATTGTGCCGGGGCTCAAGCAGGACATCCGTGCACTAGAGTGCAACCTTCGCGTTAAGAGGAACCTCTTGAGGACGAGGCTGTGGACGAGGCTGGGGATGCTGAAGAAGAAAAAAAATAAAAAAATTCTTGGTCCTCATGGTGTTTTGCGGAAGTGTTATGCATTCCTCAATCCAAAATCGAGGGGATGAAGCAATGTTCCATCTCCACAAGGCTGGTAAGATGTAAGACCTGGGCAATTAACCATACAAGGCAACATGAGTTTAGCACCATCACAACGCCTAATCTCAGACGGTACCACGTCGTTATTCCTGTTGTATTCATGTCGAAAACAACCGTAATAGCACTCCCACCCAAACCCGAAAATCATACCTTGGCGCCAAATGCGGTCAAATACACTACCACTACATTATCCCCTCAAAAACGCCCGAAGACGACATTGCCTTTTGAATCAACCTGCCACGCCCAGCGTTTCCATGATCAAACTGATAGACCGCTGCTCAGCCCCAGACATGCCTGCCTTCGGGCCGCCCATCTCCGCCCTTGACGAACTCTGCACCCTTGGCACTCCGTAGTACGCAGAACATCTAGCTATGGGCTTTAAGAGAAGCGCCGGAGTACTGCGGTTCCACATCATCCGGTTTCACGCGGAAGCGTTGCTGACGACTGAGATGGCAGTCGTCGAGCCGGAAGTCGTAGAATCTATAAGTCACATTGGAATATCATGAATACGAGATACCATGACACTTTCAACGAGGCTGTGACCAACGGCTCGCATCTGTAGGAGACCAAGGACTATGGGACCAAAAAAGAATCTGGACGTGCAGCAACATGTGACCATCGATCACATGCGGATACGGCAGGGTCAAATTCAATCGCATCGTGGTATTTCGGACCAGGATAGGAGATTGATATGGGAGAGGTCAGGCGTCAAGCTGTGGCCATGTGCGCGAGGAACGGCATGCGGTGGCTGTCCTCCCAACAAATCGAGTGATCCAGGAAGAATGCGCCAATGACCGAGACCAAGGGTGCGGCATACGCGCCGTTGTTGGATGTCAGCGGCTACGCGCCGGTTTGTACACTGATAATCGAGGAGGCATTGTGAACGCGCGCATCTCATGTTCCAGGGTTTGTTGTGCTAAAGGAGTCGAAAAAGGGGAGCATACCCTGATTTGAACCTAACCCCTATAACCAGGTATTGTCTGCCACAGCAGGAAGCCCAGTAGGCATAGCAGCCCACAAAAAGTGTTGTCGGAAAAGACTAAAAAAGCCGAAAGATTTTCTTTTTCTTTTTTTCTTTTGAGGGACATTTGGGACTTTGATTCGAGAGGTCATGTTTGGCTTCTACCATTCGATCAACATGCCCTTCGATTGCCTGAAGGTGAAAGTACACTGAGCTATTGGTGGGTATAAGCTTAATGTCGACTGCTAGTCCTCAGGGGAGGGAGGGGGGTGGTCGTTGCCCAGGGGTTGCTAGAGCAGGGTCGCTAGGGCGTTGTACTTCTAGACACCGGTAGTAGTCATTTTTAAGACGCGAAGGCATTGGTTTCTTAGAGGTCTTGTTGTATTGAGTGAAGTGCTGCGAAGCGCCAGCGTTCTAATGCTGTAGATCTAATGTCATACCTGGTAGGCTTCCGGGCATGCTAGATTGTCCTGTGCTGTTGAGACGGCTTCTCCTTCTGTATCGTAGGCTGCTGGATTCGGGTCCCAAGTCTGGTCTAATACCCGATTCGACTTCCTTCCTAGCTTCCTCTCTGAGGTCTCGTGCAACTTCGCGGCCCTTGCCCTTGCCGATGCTGGCCATGTTGTTGTCAAGCACATCATCAGCGCCTCGCGTGTTCTTCTTGCGTGGCCACAAGCTTGGTAGGGCAATCTCCTGGAACCTAGGCTCAACACACCGGTCATCGAACCACTTATGCAGACGATGTTCGATAAGCTGGGCGATCTTGGGGACATCCTGCAACCTCGACCGGCTGCCGACCAAGCTCCGTATGGATAGGTCCAATCTGTAGTCATCCAGAAAGTTGAAGGCCATCATGGTAGGGGTGGATTTAGAAGGATTGCTCGGAATAAACGATATGCACAAGGTACCGCTGAAGCGGACCACGCTGACTGCCAGTGCCACCGGTAGAACAGCAGTGAGGCGCTTAGGGTAGTTGAGGAGAATCTTGGTCTCCAAGGCTAGAGTGATCATGTCGCTCAAGTCTACATCCATACGTGCCTGCAGTCTGGCTCCTTCCCTTGTGGCTCTGGAGCTGTTGGCATCGAATCGCTTCCCGAGACCGGGTCCCGAATCCATGCTCTCCCCATCTTCGTCCACTGGGATGATGCGGCAGTTGCTCAGGATGGGGAAGTCCTCGCCGAGGGTCAGCTCGGTGACCTTAATCTCGTCGAGGAAGTCGGGCCTGCTCGTGCCATTCAAGGCCTTGGTGAGCGAGGTGAGGATGGCATCGTCGTGTTGCGCATCACTCCGGAACTGGGCAATGGTCTGCGCAATCAGGACATTGAACCAGTCGAGAGATTCGGGCTGGTGGCTGTCCACGTTGTAGTAAGTCTTGTTCAAGATGGAGCCAATGGTCAGAGTAGGCGGGTTGCGTAATATGCTCGACTTCTTCTTGTTCAGAGTGCGCTGAGGTGCGTTTTCGTTTTCAGTTCGCAGAGTGAGCAGGGAGTGCTTGTGGGCCAAAGTGCGCGACCGTCGCTCAGTCGCTCGTGCCTGGGCTGTGACATCAGGAGAAGGAGCTTCGCCGAAGATGAAGAACTTGATGAAGGCGGCTATGAGCAGGACGACGGATATCTGTCCGACGATGAGCCCTTGCGTAAATGACAACCTGTGTGCGACAATCGTCAATGATGGAGTTGCACTTGGTGGGGTTCGCGAAGTCCTACGTGGGCTGTGGTCCCGCTGGGCACATGTCCTCAGCAGCCATTTTGGGACGAGACTGGCATGGAGCTACCCTGGTCTTGGACGATGAGGTTCGTGAGGCTCCGCTACGAGCACATCATGGTTGAAGTGGAAGCTAGAAGAAGCGACGAGGTCTCTCGTGATGACGAAGTGAAACTCGAGAGAGAGCATAAAATCCTTATCTTATCGTGCGTATTTCCGTTGTTGGCGTTTGGCACTGGCGGTACGTGGATGCATACATATATTACATACATGACGTGGTAGCTGGGGACGTAGGGTAGCTATGTACTATGTACCGTGTATTCATTAAGTGGAGAACTCGCAGACGGCAATACATACATGACCGCTGAAAATGCATGTGCTAGGAAACACCGCAGCATGGTAATCGGAATTGATCACCAAATCAAAGTGCACGAGTCCCGGGAGATATGGATGGATGCCACGATCATCTTCTCAGACCAAAGTTATTCTTGGTGTGTTGACTTGCAGAGATGCATGTACACACGTTTAGGAAGCACAGACCATTTGTCCTTGTTACCTTGCGGCACTACGCTGAACGCTGGCACCTGCGTGCTGTTCACAGCTGTTTGGAGCCGCAATGGTCGCTGCCTCCTAACCCAAGCTGTCAACAATAACGAAGCGATAGTATAATAGCCGACATTCCGGTGGATCTGTTGAAATTGGGTGTACTCGGTGCACACGGAGCAGGGCAGTACTAGTACTGGCTTATGCATCAACCCAGTTCTTGAGCAGCAGAATAGAAGCCTACCAAGTAACACAGCATCTCATCGGCCAGCATGGATGTCGTTCAAGCCGTTTCCGGCTACATCACCAAGATGGTGTCAGCCGGAGACAGCGCCACCGGAGGGCCATCCGCAAAAATGAAGATACTCCTCTTAGATAAAGACACGGTATCAATCGTGTCGACTGCCATTACGCAGTCATCGCTACTCAACCATGAGGTCTACCTTATCGACCGCCTGGACAACCAGAATAGGGAAAAGATGCGACATCTGCGCTGCCTTTGTTTTGTCAGGCCCTCTCCCGACTCAATCCAGTTCCTCATTGACGAGCTGCGTGACCCAAAATACGGCGAGTACTACTTGTACTTCAGCAATGTGGTCAAGAAGTCTTCATTAGAAAGACTGGCTGAGGCAGACGATCATGAGGTCGTCAAGGCCGTGCAAGAGCATTTCGCCGACTTCCTGGTCGTGAACCCAGATCTGTTCACCATCAACCTTACTTTGCCACAGCAGCGGATATGGAGTGGCAGCCCCGATATGTGGAACACAGACTCGCTGCAACGGGCGACGGAGGGACTAATGGCTGTACTGCTATCGCTAAAGAAGAAGCCCCTGATCAGGTACGAAAAGAATAGCTTGCTGGCAAAGAAGCTAGCCACCGAGTTACGGTATAGTATGACGCAGGAAGAACAGCTCTTCGACTTCCGCAAAGTCGATACACCACCAATACTTCTTATTCTTGACAGACGAGAAGACCCTGCAACTCCACTCCTGAATCAGTGGACGTACCAAGCAATGGTGCACCACCTACTTGGGATTCAGAACGGTCGAGTAGACTTGGGTGACGTCCCCGAAATTCGGCCAGAGCTCAAGGAGATTGTCCTCTCGCAAGACCAGGATCCATTCTTCAAGAAGAACATGTACCTCAACTTCGGCGACTTGGGCGGCAACATCAAGGACTATGTGGAGCAATACCAATCCAAGACGAAAAACAATGCCAATATCGAGTCTATCACAGACATGAAACGATTCATCGAGGAGTACCCCGAGTTTCGGAAACTGTCCGGAAATGTCAGCAAACACGTCACTCTGGTGTCCGAGCTGAGCAGGAGAGTTGGCGGTGAAAACTTGTTGGAGGTCAGTGAGGTCGAACAGAGCCTTGCATGTAACGACAACCATGCAACAGACCTCAAGGTACGTAATGTAGATGTCTGTCATGATGGTACTGATCTCTAACGGCCAGCAGAACGTGCAAAGGTTGATACAAAATATACAAGTCACGGAGGATGCAAAGGTTGGACTAGTGGCCCTATATGCTCTACGCTACGAGAAGAACCCTTCGAATCAACTCCCAATGCTAGTGGATCTCCTCACAGCCGCAGGTGGCGTATCACCACGCCGAGCAGATCTTGTAGCGAAGGTCCTCATGTACCACAACTCACTACAACAGTCACAAGCAGCTGGGGGTATTACGGATATCTTTGAGCCTGGTGGCATCTTCTCGGGCGCCCGAGGTATCAAGGGGCTCAAGGGCGTAGAAAACGTTTACACTCAACATTCACCTCATCTCGAAACGACACTACAAAACATGATCAAGGGCAGGTTACGCGAACAGCAATATCCTTTCGTGGAGGGTGGAGGCACGACGAGGGACAAGCCTCAAGATATTGTAGTTTTCATAGTCGGGGGAGCGACGTATGAAGAGGCCAAGATGGTGGCAGGCATCAATGCTTCGTCGCCAGGCGTCAGGGTAGTCCTCGGTGGTACTGCGATCCACAACGCCGCAACATTCCTGGAAGAGGTGGACGACGCTGTGTCATCTTGGCCAGAACCTCCGCCCACGACAGCAGCTGGGAGGTTACGAAAGGAGATTGGCCGGAGATAGTGTACTTGGCCAGGGGAGTCGTCGTGCGCCTCTGAAGTCTCGAGTAACTTTGTCACCATTAGAACTCGATCTAATCACCAAGACGGTTGATTCCCACTTCCCGGGGTTTCTGTAGCACAATGGTCTCTCGTGAAGCTTAGTAATAAACGTAATAATGAGGAATATGTCGAGGATCAACCGCGTGTACCACTAGAACGTGGCTGATCATCTGACCTCAGGATATTGCAGCTTGCTGTAGCTCATCCATGGGGGGCTTTGTACCGCCTACCGCAGTTGGCCGTGTTAGCGCACACCGCCTGCTCTAAACAAGCATCAGAACTGCCGGCGCTATTACAATCTTATCGAGAATTTCCAGCATTGCCGTCTTCGAATTACGCAATAGGGGTCCTTACAGCAGCACTTGGTTTCTATGCATGTCCAGTGAATACGATGCAGAAGGCTTGGGCACCGCGCGGCTTGAGCAGGCCGACTGTTATCTCCCGGAGGCGATTTGCGACACCTTGCGCCAGGCGCAGGACATTTGCGTCGGTTGCGCAAAACGCCAGGTTCGCATTCTTCCCCAAAGGTGGCGAACACAGTACTATGAAACTAACGTGGCCCAACAAAACACCAGACCGTTCGATGTCGTCGTAGTAGGTGGTGGCCATGCCGGCACCGAAGCCTGCGCTGCCGCAGCCCGCTCCGGCGCCCGCACCGCGCTCATCACGCCCAAGATCGACAACCTGGGAGTCTGCTCCTGCAACCCGTCCTTCGGAGGAATCGGAAAGGGCACCATACTGCGAGAGGTTGATGCGCTCGATGGCGTCGCCGGCCGCATCATCGACAAGGCCGGAGTACAGTTCAAGGTCCTGAACAGGAGGAAAGGCCCCGCTGTCTGGGGCCCCCGAGCGCAGATCGACAGGGCGCTCTACAACAAACATATGCGCGAGGAGCTCGAGACGTATCCGAACTTGAGCATCATCCCTGGGAGCGTCAGCGACATCGTTCTGGACAGCGATGTCGACCCGGCCAGTGGGAAGCCGAGGAGCAAGATCACCGGGGTGAGACTCGAGTCAGGGGAAGTACTCCCGACAAGCCAGATCATCATCACGACAGGCACCTTTCTAAGCGGCGAGATACACATTGGACTTGAGAAATACCCGGCTGGAAGAATAGGCGAGCAAGCGACGTTTGGCTTGAGCAAATCACTCAGGGACGCCGGCTTCCAGCTTGGAAGGCTAAAGACTGGAACACCACCACGGTTGGCTAAGAAGAGCATCAACTACGATATTCTCGAGGAGCAAAGGGGAGACGACCCGCCGAACCCATTCAGCTTCTTGAACGATACCGTCTCGGTACAAGACCAGCTGCTCTGCTGGGCGACATACACAAACGATGCCACCCATGACGTGGTGCGCGCAAACCTCGACAAGACGATACATATCCGCGAGAGCGTCCGAGGGCCCCGGTACTGCCCTTCGCTCGAGTCCAAAATCATCAAGTTCCCAGAAAAGCCCCGGCATATAGTATGGCTCGAGCCCGAAGGCTTTGACAGCGATCTCATATATCCCAACGGCCTGTCCATGACCGTCCCCGCCGAGGCACAGGAGCAGCTGCTGCGCACCATCCCCGGCCTCGAGAACGTTGAGATGGTGCAGGTGGGCTATGGGGTGGAATACGACTACGTGGATCCGCGAAGCCTGAAGTCTACTCTCGAGACGAAAGCCATCTCGGGCCTCTATCTCGCCGGTCAAATCAACGGCACCACGGGCTACGAAGAAGCAGCTGGTCAAGGTGTCATCGCTGGTATCAACGCGGGTCGCGCTGCGCAGGGCAAGCCCCCCGTTTCCATGACACGCGCTGACGGCTACATTGGTGTCATGATTGACGACCTCATCACAAAGGGTGTCTCGGAGCCCTACCGCATGTTCACAAGCCGATCAGAGTACCGCATGTCCCATCGTGCCGACAACGCAGATCTGCGCCTCACCGAGAAGGGCCGTGAGTGGGGTGTCGTGGGAGACGAGCGCTGGTCACACTTCACCGATACCCGAGCGCAGATGGACGAGCTGACCGAGCGCCTCCAATCATACACGCTGACAGCGCCCAACTGGATCGCCGCCGGTTTCAAGGCGAGATCCGACACCAAGCACCGCTCTGCGCTCGAGATCTTGCGCCTGGCGGGCGTCAAGCTCTCCGATCTGCGTGACCGTATCCCGGAGGTTGATGGCTACTCCGCGATCATCCAGTCCCGCGTCGGCATCGAAGCCGTCTACGCGCCTTATGTCGCCATGCAACGGACCGAGCAGGCCCTCTTCGCCAAGGACGAGTCGCTACGGCTGCCCACCGATCTCGACTATGACAGCATCATCGGGTTGTCGTTCCACGAGAAGGCCGTACTGAGTGCAACTCGTCCGGAGAATCTGGGTCAGGCGAGGAGAATCGAGGGGGTGACGCCGGCCGGCTGTGTGAGACTGCTCGGCTTCGTCACCAGGAGTGAAAGATTCAAGGATGCCATGCAGGGAAGAGACGAGTTGGCGCCTATCGGCAAAGAGGTTGATACCCTGGACGCAGAGGCCAGGTCTAGCGACCTTCCTTGAAAGGAGGCACAGACTTGATGGTACTGTGACACATGTATGGAGCAAGAGTTGTAAAGATTACGGTGTCTTCGGCACGTGCATTGATAAATGGAAGCGTTCTGGGTTTGGATGAGATGTATGATGAACAAAAACAACATGCTAGATAGCAGAACAGCTTAAACAAGTCGTACATATATACATCTGCATATAAACTAAGATCTACGCTGTCGCAACCAGATCTGTAAGCTGAAGGCGAGATAGGATATCGACGACTATTCCCAGTAGAACTTGGTTTCGGAAAGTCGTATCGTTCATTTCACCATGGAGCCGTGTGCCTACAGACAATACCTAGCATAGCATTTGTTGTGAAAACAATCTGCTATTGTTATGTGAAGCATAACCTTGACCTCAGTTTTGACAAGGGATGAGAAAAAAGGCACCCTTTCTGAATTGCACTTTTGAGCATCAGGCGGCCAACTTGGCATTGTTGCTGGGCTACATAACGCGACAAGATGCCTTTCGGAGGAAGGGTTGAGCACGCAGAAAGCCGTTTGAGAATCCAGCAAATATGGTCGAATCTTTCAGCACAAGTACATTGCTCAAGACGATCCTCTGGATGGGCCTTTCGAAAAAGGCCGTCATGGGTTCGTTAGAATCTTTCCGCCAGCAGGTTAAGCTCAATACCTCTGCTGATGGCTCAAGATGTTCACCTCGTTCAGCGACGCGGGCATGAGCAAGAACCTTTTCTACCTTCGCAAGGATCTGGGAAGCGTGCGAAAGAAGAGCCCAGGTTTCAAGAGAAGGGTGTGTGGTTTGGAATTGCTCATGATCAGATTCTATTTCCACGTGATGACGCTTCTTGATCCCATCTGGTGAGTCATAGATTCAGGTTGTCGCAGCTACGGGCGAACGACTTCTTCATTCCCATCGTAGTAGTCTTCACTGGTCTTAAATTATGCCCTTACAGCACAGGTCCCAGAGACATCCGGCGGTGCTCCATCCCTTCCTGCATGATTCGACGCCCTCCACCCAAGAGCAGCTGGTTGCGCGTAAACCTGTTACTTCATGTGATAACTGAGTTGAGAATGATTACATACTGTAAATGGATTTAGAGGAATTAGATCATTTCCTATCATGACATGAGCTCCCCTTCGTCAGTAGCCACATGCCAGTGTACTGTGTGCACAAACCTCCATGGCGGGCAGCATAAAAAACGTTGTCCTAGATCTGGACATACTGAGGCACTCACGACTGATACATGCCAGTATTCCTGGTCAGATTTTCCCTGGATACTCATACGATGAGCGGAGCAGTAGTCAAAAGCCCTCTGCGGCCTCATGGATTGCCGCACTGGACAGACTCTCTCTCCATGAGGTCAAAAACAGAACAAAAAAGCCCGTTGTCACTTGGAGATTTTTTGGATCAAAAACTCCCTTCTAAGAATCTCCCATCCAAACTCTTCAAAACTAAGGCACACTCTCTCTCCAGCTCATTTCCATGACAGGGCCATTCAACAGATCTCATTCCCCCCTCACCACCCCATTCTTGGTAGAAACTTTCACATGTGAATGGCCCCCAAATGAGTCGTCGCCTGCAGGCTAATTAACTGTCGCCCTCTCAGCGCAGATCGCAAGAAAGTTCCATCTAATCCTCGACCCAAGCCTCGGATGTTGATCAGTCCTCTTTCTGCTGGCTTCAGGATGATCTCAGGACATCATCAACTTTCTATTACCCTAAATTTCAGAGACGATATTATGTGGAGTTGGAGACTGGGGGATCGAATCAAGCGCTGCAGCCATCAAGTCTAGACATTCCAGGAAGACCCCTGATAGCCTTTTCTTTTCTTTTCTTTGTTGAAGATAATAAGTCCGATCCAGGGTTTCGTTCAGTGAACTCCCACAAAGCCAGCCAAGGTACGTGGTGTGAGACCGAGTAAGTACCTGTGTAACTCCAGTTACTTGTTTGTTACTTCGTTATCAAAAGAGTCCATTTTGTGGAAACAAGGTAATTGGCTAGAAAGGAAAAGAGAGACGGGGAGAAAGAGCAATGTCTCAGACGTGCATATAATGGTGTACGGCCGGTAAACGTCGCACTAAAAGGCAAACTGTACATCAGCCGCAAGATTGGGTAATCTTCCACCTGGGGATATCTCCGCGGCCTGGAAACATTAACACTGCTATCATACATCGGGGGAAGAAGAAGAAGGAGAAGAAGAAAAAGAACCAGCACTAGCAAAGTGTTTTCCTGTCCTGCCCCACCCCTGTCCTGCAGCAAGCCTAATCTGTGCTCGCCGTTGCATTTAAGTTGGCGTAGCAGCAATCAATACCTTGGACCGCGTGTGCCGTGCCGGGAAGGGCCATAACTGAGTAAAGATGCAATGGAAAATTTTGTGCAGATTTTGTTGACGCACGTCATGAACCTTATCGGAGCAATTACCGCGAACGGCACGGTATGCATATATTACTTCTCATTCCAGCTTCATCTGCGTAAGACCTAAAGAAGACGAGTTGAGAGGTAGCTTCTGCGGGCCAGTTTCTTTTTATCTTATGGAAGAGGTGGTGATTCGCGATGATCGTTTGTTCCCACTAGAAAGGAACATGGAATAAAAAGCAAGCAGACCTTATGGATCAAGCAAGAGTGCCGTGGCGTGTCAACATCATGGTTTCATGCAGCGCTAGCTCGGATCGGCAATATTTAGATATGCTGCATACTCTCGGGGCTTTGGCCAACAAAAGAGGTTCTGGAGAATAAGGTACTGTACCTGCTCTAGTGCATGCAATTGATTGATTTCAAGAGCCGGATCAACGTCTGCACGCCACATGGAGTGTTGGCATAAGCGTCTTTTTTGCTTTACTAGCTGAAGTGAATCGAGAGCATAACGATCTTCCGATCCTTGACACTGGCCGAACACTCACGCCATAGCGGGCTGAGTGAGAATTTCGTGGTAATTCAGTGCGGAGATGAAAAGAATCGGGGGTCGCAGAAAAGTGGCTGAAGTTATTCATGTCCGAAGTCCTGAAACCGCCAGCGAATTGGTCATTGGGATTTCATTATCCTCCGTCGCCCTGGCATCCTGAAAGAGCATTGTGCATAAGGGAGGAACAAAAAGAAAGTAATTGGTGCAAATAATTGGTTATTCAAAGACGGCCAGCTCATATGTACATGAGCCTATCAAAAATAAAAGCGAGCCGGATAGGGACCGAAGCTAATCATGCAAACGATGCGGCAAGGAAGGGTCACCGGCTGCTATTGAAGTGCAGCCGCGGAGCGATAGCAAGCGAGCCTGGCGAGATCATTGCTTGGACCTCCTCGCATACTCGGCGGAATCCGCCACCGCTCCGCTCCGCTGAGATCTCGAGCCCCACAGCACCGGAGCAAATAGTTCGTGTAGCTAAGGCAGAAGCAGTCTCACTGCTTTTTGGGATCTTCTGAATCCGCTGGCTGTTCCTTGGTCTTGGCGTCTGAAAGAATCTTGACGGCATCCTTGCTGAAAACATAGCTCAATCCACTCCAGATGGTGGTTGTTGCGACAATGTACCTGTCAACTGTTAGCATGGCTCGAGCTCGACGATCATGGGGATACTGGGTTCAAGCAGTCGCATCTCAGTCATTGAAAGAACCAAGCACTACCCGCAAGTGACAGGTGCTAGCCCATGATGATCTCTATGACAATGCGCGAGAAATGGGGCTATGCGCCTGAAACTTGAAGTGGCTCATGGTTGTATGGCCTGAGGCAGCTGTCCGAATCGATTCTCGCTGATGGAACAAAAGGATGAAATGGAAAAACCAAAAAGCATTTCGCGGGCATGACTTACTGCAGTCCAATCAAAGCTGGTCCAACCTCAATGGCGGTCACGAAAGGTGCTACAATAGTTGAACCCATGAGCGCGAGCTGCAGGAATGTGTTGTACTTGCTGATTGTGGTCGGACGTACTTCCGCCGAAGGTAGACTGAAGTCCCAATATCTGGTAAAGGTCTTGGGGGGCGGAAGGGAAATCCAGCGATAATAGATGGCAGAGATTGCGAGCCCTACGTCTCGTCCGAGAATGATGACTGCCAACCACACTATAAATAAGAATGTTAGTGGTTTGCTTCCGTCAAAAACATGCTTTTCTATCCGATTGGTGTGACTCTGTGAGAGGAAGTATCAAGCCAACCGAACAGCAAAAATCTGTAACTTACCAGGCAATGCCCCCTTGGCCGCTAGGCAGACTGTCAGAACAGTCATCAGTATCTTGTCAGCCATGGGGTCAACGATGCTGCCAACAACCGTTTGCAATTTCCAGCGACGTGCGATCCAACCATCAAGCAAGTCCGAAACGCCAGCATAGACGAAAAGTCCTAGAGCCCAAGTGTGAGCATCTTGGAGGAGGGCATAGCCGATAAACGGCGTCGCGATAAGTCGACTGAACGTCAACAGGTTCGGCACTGTGTAGATGTTCTCATGCGGCGTCAAAGCAGCAATGGACTTCGGGAGTACCTTCCGGATACCGGAAGACGAAGTGGTCACCGGAGCCGGCTTAGAAGATCTAATATTCCGGGTCAGCTAAGAGCCGGATTCTTGATTTGCTACTAATCAATGGGATACACTAGCATCAAATATAAGGCAAGAACTAGTCAGACCCCGGGACAGAAGCATATGCTTCTCCTTGAGTAAAAAGAAAAATGATGGATGGCCTCGTAATGGAGCTGCAACTGTGCCAAGGCCTAGAATTCATTCCTTGAAGACAAGGAGGACCGGAACGGAGGAGGACATACTGTTCGCCAATTCTCGTCTTTTCTCCCTCGAGGCGTCTTGTTCTAAACGAGAAGTGCCTGCGTATGCTCCGAGGTCCGGTGCAGTTACCAATATCAAGACCACAGCTTACATCCCTGGAGGCGGTGCCCAGAAGCCCACAGTGAGCTTGGAAAGGTAGGGGGCTGGAGGACCCAGCAATCCTGCCTAAGCGAACCCCAGTGCATCGAGCTGCCTTCCATGCAGACTGGCCAGACACGGAATTGCTACAAGGTTGCGAGTTTCGTGGGGCAGCTGTTGAATATGTCGACTTCCAGATATGCGCCTTGGAAAGTAACGAAATCGGGGCTTGTCTGAGCATGGCGGGCATAGTTGTGGCTCTGCGAACTGAAGATACGTTGTTAGAGTTTACCAATGATCGCAAGCCATTACCAGCACCAGAACCAGCAGCCGTCCAGGTACATCCGCCTCGTATTGCCGTAGAGCTCATGACGACCGACTACTTCATAATCCAGCGGAATTGCTGATGTGTTTCCCGTCGCTGCTGCCCCTTGACCTGCGTCTCCACTCGTTGCAGGACACGATCAAGTCTGAGAACTGGTTAATTAGGTAGCGTATGATGTGCCACAGTAAGTAAGCTCCCCTATTCGCTGGTAAGACACGTGACGTAGGGATGGACAAGTCCACAATAGCGCAATAGTTAGCGAGCTGACTGAGGATGAGCTGACGCTTGGCAGTGAAAGCCGTCGATGGCGTGCAGCAGTCGGAGCTGACTGCAGGTGGGTTGTTAAAGTTTATTATTTCCCCGCGGCTCAGCTTCCGAACGGTTACGCTTGTGTATGATGGATGGTGTGCATGTTTGTTGGGGCCAAGTTGAGTTTCGAGAGAACCAACAGCTGAAGAGCTCTCTCCAACACAGTGAGGAAAAGCTCTGGTGGCACAGTGATGTAGCGCCAAAGTCTATCTCGCTTAGTTCATTCTGGCAGCCTGGATGGATCTTCAGCGTGCATGGACCACGGAGTACAAGTACAAGGGGTTGCAGGTGGTCAGCGGGAAGGAATGGTGGGGTAAGATTTACTTGATTACTATGACTCCATTGGTCGCCGAACTGAGCATGAGCAACCGTACCCTAGTGCCTGTTAGTGCTTGCATTCCACTGCCTGCCACCAAAACGGCCATGACTGACGTACTGCAGTAGGCACTGGTAGAGATCTGATCAGGATGGATAGTTGATATGTGACAAGCTTAAGCATCGGGTTGTTACATGGTACGAGAATTCCAAACCCCTCCCCTCTATACCCCACTCCGAGAACGTGGCAGCTAAGTTCATGGTTGAGCACACGCTGAAGTTGGCATGTGCTGGCATGTGCAAATGACTTACAATGATTGAGGCTTGTGGAACGACACGATGCATCTCAAGCCATACATGATTCCATTTGTACGATCCTGTTGATATGATATCACACCTTCTGCATGAGCACAAGCATAAGTCGGTCACATCGTGTCCAAAGTATAGCCAGATTTGCAGACATCCATAACACGAATGGCACATAATGTACATCTCGACTTTGACTCAATGGATTGACAGATAATGCCCACTCCATAAACAGAAAATGCAGTATGCGAACACTCCAATCCCGTACAGCGGTACCTGAGGCGACAATATTTTTAATGTCAGAACCGATACTCCTCTTTTGTCCCCCTTTTCTTTTTGTATAGACAAATAGATGCCGCATACGCCATGTATTGGAGCTAGAACCATTTCGAGTTGAAATGGCAGCTTGGAGCCGTATCAGACAAAAAGCAAGAACACCCAACTCCATTATGAACCGCCCCTTTTCCTTCCATGCAATAATCTCAATCCAAATGCGGCTCGCAAAGAACTAACCCCTCAACCCGGAATGCAACACCCCCAGTCATGCCTGTTAAATTCGACCAATCCGGGGTTTCCAGGCGATAGGATCTGCGTCTACCCCTTTCAATATCATCGCCGGGGCTGCTAGTGCTGATAGGGCTGAGAAAAGCTGCTATTTCCCCATTCCGAACCATGAGCTCTGGGCGGGAGCATTTCGTCTGGCGCGGCTCCCCCATTCGTGGAATGGAATGCCGCCGTTCCGTTAGTACTAGGCATCTGCCCATCGTAATCTGTGGTTGGAGGGACAGCCGCTGCCGAGTTGACGTTGTTCTGCGGATGCGGCATAGCGTCGAAGGAAGATGTGGCCGAGTTCTGCGAGGCATAGGGAGCGTTGTTGGAAGCGGCCGAGCTTGAATCGTAGTTTTGGAGACCGTGGTGGCCCGAGTTCGTTGATGCCGCCTGCCCTCCGTAAATATCATGCGTAGAGCTCAATGAGCCATTACTCAAACTGTGATTTGCTTCGCCATTACTGGGAAGGACCGTGCTGTTGCTGAGTTGACTCCTTGGAATTGTTGGGGCCGTGAAGGACAATGGAGTTGTGCCGTTATTGAGTTCATACACTGAATTCGCTCGTCGGAGAGTGTTAGGGGGAGGATTATGAGCCATTGCGTAATTTTGATCTTGTGAGGGATATCTCTGCTGCTGCTGCTGCTGCTGCTGCTGCATTGAGCCATGCGTGTAGGGGTAGGTCGAGCTTGGCGAAGACGAGTATGCAGTTGACAGTGCATGTGCTGGCGGCATTGTCGTAGTTGGCGAATGCTGAACAGGGTAGTTCTGTTGTGGGACATACTGCGCCGCATAGCCTCCTATATGTAGGCCTGGAACGCTGGGGACAGTAGGTACCGACATTGATCGAGGCACACCGGCATGATACATGCCTTGCATCATGTACCTATCATCGTAAGCTCGCGGGTCACCATAGCCACCGTATCGGGGATCATCGGGCATGACGAAGATATCGTTGTCGTCGACTGGTGCGCGAAAGTTGCTAGATTGTATGAGCTCTGGGCGAGGAGGGTAGCTTCTCAGGAAGGTCTCGCTGGGTCTGTGCAGAATGTTGGATTTGACATCTTCGATGGTGTAATATGAGACGATATGATGGGTGATGTTGTTGTAAGAGAGACTGATGGTTTTCTTAATGAGCCCGTCTTGTTTGAATTGATAACTGTCAACTAGTGATCCAACAAGAGCCCGTGTCTCGGCATCGCCCTGACTGGAACCATTTTGGCTGCTGAATGAGCCAGGCGCCGACGAAGTCGTTGCTGATCCCATGGCCATCACCCCGGCATGGCCAATGGAATTCGATCGTTGGTTACTGGTGGCCTTGGTGACGCCATTCTCCTTCTTTGGCTTGGCCTTCTTCTTCTGTCCAGGCTCGAATGGCTTGTCGAGCTCTCGGTAAATAAGAAAGTTGCCTAGAATACGGCTTGGACTCCATGGAACACCATCAGTCCAACGCTTGATGCCGCTAGCATGCTCCTCGTAGATGAAAATATTGCCGCTTGCGATCAGATCGGCCCTCTCACGATCATGAGGTCGACGTGGAACATGTTTGCCGTTACCTCTAAGACACCATTCGATGAGATAAAGGGCATCCATGGTGCTTCCACAATAACCTTGCCAGGTAGGTTCCAGAGGAGCCCCAGCACCAGATTGACTGGTCGCGGAACCCACTCCGGGCATTCCTCCTCCTGCTGACCGGTTCATTGTAGTAAGGGGAGACACTGCCTGAAGAAACGTTGTTGCAACGTTGTCGATGACTTGAGTTTGAGGCTCCAGATAATTGCCTTGGACGACCTCTTATGGTTCCTGACTAGGAAACTAAGTGATGAAGAAGGAAGTTTGTTGTCTGAAATCCTCTGCCAAAGCCAAATCGACCCCAAGAAAGCTAATGTTGTCAGTGACTGGTAGGCCTTGTACCACGCTTTGACGATTGGTTGATTATCCTCCGAAGCCGATTAAGCGAAAGTATGTTGCTAAAGCTTGAGGCTGTCGCAGATGGTCAATGGATTGCGAACAATTTGGAAATGGACAAAATCTGATATATGCGCAGGTTGTCGGATGATGGAAGTGCGACGAAGAAGTGCGCAGAATATTATGGCAGCCCAATATTGAATGTCTTTTGGTGTGCCCAGTGGCGGACGTTACCTAGGAAGGGACCTTGGGAAATAGACTCTGGCTCTCCTATGGTTTGTGTCTGTCGAAGGTGGAACTTGCGCAAGTAACATTGAACAGCAGGAGTGCAGGTAACCCAAGAGATGAGAAGGTTTACCATGAGCTATTGTACAAATGCTGATATGCCGGAAATCCGTATGTTGCAGAAAAGGCGCGAACTGGTGAAGCTCCAAGTGGGAAGGTCTCGGAGCACAGTGGCTGCTCGTGCTAATTTAAGTTTCGTCCGGCTTGGAGAAGATGTAATGGCAGTCTCACATATCAGTGCTTTTTGGGGTCGAGAGAGCCCACAGCACCGCAAAGTACAGGTGCTCCAGATGGTACCAAGCTTGGACTCTGTAATGAGGAGGCTGTTGAGGAGCGTAATTAAGCTTTGAGGAACTCGGGAGAGCCAAGGATGGTCTATGTCCGACCTCGATCACGGCCTGGATGGATAAGAACCGGTACTATCCCGTAATTGATGCGGGCTCGGTCGGGAAGCCTGGTCGAAAGAAAAAGCAACGCCAAGCGGTAGGTGTTGCAGATGAATAGAGTGAGAGATCGGGCTGCTGGCGTCTCGTCCTATACTGCTTTTTGTGACCTCGTCGCGATCCAATGACTCGAGTAACGTCACAAATGTGATGTTGGGTGTTACTGAGTGGCTTTCACGATACCAGATAGATGCTGGAGCATTCGGAGACCTGGACTAAAGGCAAGGACTAACTGTTGCGGGTGAGTTCTTGAGTCGAGTTGCAAGTACGAGACATCAGATGTAGTTGCGAGTGATGCTGAGGTTATCCTAGTAGCGGAAGTCGATATGTTTCAGTCCTCATAAGGTAGACCTTCTCGATTGTACGATAAAAGCTAAGCTGTAACTAGAGGGTCTGGTGGAAGAAGAACCAGAAGAATTGTTAAATTGCAATGTGTCGAAAGCGAAGGAGAAAGAAGAAGAAGAAGTTAAAGACCCTCCCTGTCAGCTAATCGAAGACCTTTGAGGCAGAAGTACTCGTGAGAATGGAATTACAGTCAAGGCAGCGGAAGTAATGGCAGTTCGTGAGTGGGTAGTGTCTGTAATAATGGTGGTGGTGGTGGTGGTGCTACTGCTGCTGGTGCTGCTGGTGCTGCCGGTGTAGTTCCTGTTTCTGACTGGAGGCTGATCCTGGGGAAAGAATATCAATGGTCAGTGCATGTTCCTGGCATTTGATACCGGCGCAGGCTTGGGGGCTTGGAGGTTCGTGGACTGGTGGGTTCGGCAATCTCCATGTTCGAAAACGGAGTCAATGACGATGGAGCAGACGAATTGACTACCACGACAAGATCGATCCAAGTCGAAGTAGTGCCGTGGTAATAGGTACAGTACGGTTGGGAGAGTAGATAGCTGCTAGCTAACGAAGCCGGACCCAGTAGCGACTTGCCCAGGTTCCGGTTCGTGAGTAGTTCGTCAAAAATTGGGTATGGGTAAAAAGTAAGTAAGTACTGTACGGTGTAGTTGTGCTCGTGCTCGTGCTCTCGCTCGTGCTTGTGATTGTGCTTGTGTGGGAAGAGGTAAGGTGCAAATTAGCGGCTCAGGCTAGTTCCAAGCGGACATGGAAAAGCTACCGAGAGCGAGAGCCACTGAGGACAATGGACTCTGATCTGAACATCCATCCCCCATGACAGACACCCAACGAGAACAGGCCCTTTTGTTTTTTGCGCATGGCCATCTATTGGACTAGACGTCTGATCTGCCATGTCTTTTTGTTTCTGTCAGACTGAGACATGACTCTTGCCGCAAACACCTAGGTATCATCCGGTACACGAGTTTCCATGTTGCTCTCTTGAAGACAGATACAGCTGCAAACAAAACAGAAAATCAAAATGCTCATGGGTTCCTTGGTGGCCGTGACAAAAGTGGTCGCCAAAGAAGTGGTCTTATGCTTACTTACAATGATCCTTGTACCAACTCGGCTATGATTGTCCTTGCTCGGCCGGGTTTGTAGGCGCTCTCTTCGGCAACCAATCTGAATGGTCTTTCGGCTCTCAAATCTAGTGCAGCTGGCAAGGCGGAATTTTGAGTTTTGCAAGCCTCTGGGCCCCTTCGGTACGGATAACGCTGCTGCTGACGCTCACAGACACTAGAAAACCTTATAATCAGCATTGGCCTGGTTTCATCTGCTACTGGTGTCTCGCAAGGTGAGCTACGTTAGTTTTGCTCCTTTATGCAGCATGTCCCATGTCCAATGGGCGTTTGGTCGGGTCCGTTATCAACGGGGGCTTTTCATGGTAGGATTCGAGTGACAGGACACCGACTTACACAGGCGCTACGGCGTTAACGGGATCTGCGAACTGGTTAGATTCGAAAACCCCAGGTGGAGTTTGATACAGCAGTCGACAACCTTAAAAAATAATAATAAAAATTAAACCAAAAAAAGCCAACTACTGGCAATTTCCTGGTGCTGATCAAAGATAATTCCCATTATGCAGCATACTCGAGGTGTTCAAGTGCGGCTCTTTGTTGTCAAATATAAACTAAAAACAGTTGTATGTAGTACACTAGTTCTTAAGACTGAGACTAGTCATGTGGCAGAACAACAAAATAGTCACAACATCATTTACATAAGAGGCTGATCAGGAGTTACAAATAATAAGATTATTGCATCGCCTGCTTCGTGCATACCAAGAGGGCACGTTAGCTACTATTTTTCTTGCCGGCAATGACGAAGAAATGATAAGCGTTGACCCGATGCCCTGCAGCAAGGATCTCTAACTCTGTGCAGTCAACTCGAAAAGACCGGGAGAGCAGACATCTATTATCACTCCGAAGTTGCTTTGTCTGTTCACTCGAGCGTATCCAGTGGGGTTTGTAAGCTGGATAATTGGTCTCTGCGAGTAACAAGCCAATGTTCGCTTAGGGCAAGCAAGTTCTTTTTTTTTTTTTTTTTTTTTTCTCCATCCGCTATTACTTTTCATTCACCGACGCACCACATTCTCGCATTGGTGGCTCGCTTGAGTAATGTAATGTAAAGTACCTAATTCCTGCCGAAAACCACACATGGCAAACGCATCTGTTGAACCCGGTCGACGTTTGATCAGCGGTTTAGACACAAGAGCGGTCATTCAAGATGCTCCCGGAGGTGCCGTTTGGGCAGCAAGGTCAACAGACGATCAATTCCAGGGGGGTATAGCCTGACGGGCCATCATTTCCCTTCTCGATGTTTTAGGCGAGCTGGATACTTTATTTGTTTCTCGCCCCATTAGAAAGATATCTGGCATGCGCTGTTGTGTATCTCCCCGTACCTGATGGTCACCGCCTTACTTACTGGCGAGCTGAGAACCAAGGATGTTCAACAATGCCGAAAGGATTGCTGCGCCGGGTTTATTATTGACGCAACCGACCGATGGCCAACGCCCTGGCTTTGCTCGGTTGGATTTTACACCGTGAGTCTGCCACCGCTTCCACGCCATCACTGGCAATCTGACCCTTCTCAGAAGGGCAGCCAGCACGGCTGATTCTAGCGGCACTTATGCAGACGGAGGGCCCAGACCTGTTGATCAGCAGGGTCTTGCGCCTCCAAGAACATTGCAGTTCAGTAGGTCAATATATGCTGTGCGCCGGTGGGAGGGTAGGGATGCGGACCCCGGCGTACTGGGGAAAGCGGAATAGGTAAATCAGAGCAGCAAAACTCGCTGCGAAAAGCACAAGGCCAGGATACTCCCCGGTCTAGTGAATGACCCCTACATTTCAAATTACAGCTGATGATTGGCAGCCGCTAGGCAGGGCATGCTATAATGATGACGGAGTGAACCTTAAAACGGGAAAGTGGAAGACCCGGCCAGTGAGGACACCGAAGGCTTCGTGATATTGGGTATACATAGTATTAGGGCTCAAGGATGGACATTTGCAGATGAATAAATCACTTCGAGACATTGCTGATTGGGTTGTTATGCTAGAACTGTTGGTCAAACCCGTTGTTTCCTTTGAATCAGCGTGTCTGACTGTTCACTCATGTTGCTGCTAGAAGTTGCAGAATCTTTCACCTGTTCACTTCAATACGTACATGCAATGCGATTACAGCGGAGACGACCCCGTGGGCGGCCTATTTAGTTCGGCAATTTTGCCGACTGGCCAAGCGAACTTTCTGCCGATGGTGTACCAAGTATGTTTGGAGCTCCTCGTCCATCTACCGCTCCGTTCATCATGGATAGCTCGTACAATCATTAACAGCGTATATTTTTCTTACATGTTGCAAATCGCTAAAATGGGTTGAGATTTGTTAGGATTTGCAACTTGGAATGAATACCTCGGGTTTCCTACTGGGGTCTCTTGCACAGCCGCTGCAGTATCTTCAGCATAAGACGCATTGCGTAAGCGGATCAATCAAGAAAGTCAAGCAATTTGGGGAGCCGTGGGCCCGTATTCTAGCGCGGTGCACACTTTGCCGTCTAATCGGCCATTCCTGGAGCTGGATAAATTATTCCGCAGAGACCCGCGAGACCAGCTCAAGGCGGGATAGTCCTCTTCTTTATTCACGCAGAAATCCAACCCCGGAAGCATACCCGAGACAGAAATGAAAACCAACGACAATTGCAGCATGGCTCGCGTGGATATCATTGCGTGTTACGCTACTTAGGTAATCATGGTATGGCAAGCATAAAACTCGGCTTTAGATTGCGGCTTTTGTTTCAAGGATGTGTCTTCTACGTAGATACAAATCTTCTATAGCCTGCCCTGAGGGTGACGTTGGTGCAGCTCGTTTCGACTGCGGGGTCCTCCATGGCCCATTATTGTTGAAATTACTTGGTTGCGGGCGTGAAGCTGCCGCCCAACACGAAGGTGGCTAAGTCCCTGACAATACGAAACTCGTCCTGCGTACTGGACGGCACTCGCTGCACCCTCCCAACATCGACTGCCGTGAACTATTGTGGGTTTCTTTAAGCAGACATGAAGCATCAAGATGATAGCAACCCCTTGCCAAGATCCCTTAGGCCTTACCCGGTCACCGTAGATAGGGAAACTAGGGTGGGTTATCATTGAATATGGAGACGATTCGTACTTTCTACCCGGGTATCCCGTGTCAAAAACAATAAGAAGTCTTCGCAACACATAGTACTTTGGACCCAAGCTGGACAGGCCCCTTAGTGCAGCGGAGCTTCGGCAGTTTCTATGGATCGTCCGAATCCTAGGTATGTAGATGTCAGAAGGAACTGTGACAATTCGTCTTTATTTGCGCTGTATGGATTCGGTAATAGTCGCTCGAATTACGCGCCTTGATGACAACAACAAAGCAAATCCAAGTGACAGTTGTGACACCACCAAGTGCAGTACCATATTTGGTCAAATCAGCAACTACGGCGTCCACGCCGTCTGACCAAACAAATTCTTGGGATCCCCGGCTATGATTCTTGACAATAGGTGGGTACCTCAGCTACTGTAAAATCTACTCAGTCTTGCGGAAAGAAATACATGATCAGTTTGATGCTGCCTTTTTGAACCACTGTTGTTTTCGTGTACTATATATATTAATCTTCAATGAATGGTATTTAGAACACAGCAGAGTGATGGAGTAGGTTTTGCACCTGGCGCGCTTGTGAAACCAGTGACGTAGATACCTGCAAACTCCTTTTGCATAGTATCTAAACACTCATGGAATTCATTTTTACAATACTTCCATGCTGGTATTATAGGCTTGCTACTGAGTATTTTAGGTTCAAAAGGTTCCGAATTGGCACATAGGTCAGGCACTAGACTACTGCTTTACTGCGAAGATGTGGCCTGCAAAGAACCTTTTGTTGGTAATACATGTATTGCATTATACATAATAGCTTCTAGCATTGTGGTCGAATATTATGGCCTAGTTTTGACACCACGTATAGTTCCACGTCTCACAAAGTCAATCTCAGTTATATGATCGATATCGTGCAGATACCCCAGTCACATACATTGCATTTGCCACCATACTGCTCACTTGTCATGCCAGCCATCGTGATCTGGCCGGTATATTTGCCGACGGTTGATAGATTGCGTTTGCCTTGACCCAGGGATACAACAGAGTACAGCCCGCCAACCCCACCACATGCCTTATCTTATGGTACCAAGAGCATGGCACTTTTTGTTTCTGCCAGATGATGATCATTATGCAATTAGATGTGCAGTCTCGATATGACACTTACGTTCAAGCTAATTTTACGGCACATCATGAGCCAGTAGCGATCCAACTCGCATCTTCGACCATTGTCTAGAATCTCCGAGCAGGCCAGGAATTACTTTACGTGAGGTTTTGCGAAAGCCGGATGCAGTTCATAGACAAGCCGCATTACCCTTAATTGGCTGCTTGTGGCCACCTTTGTAACAATGACGATTACTTGATTATTGGACGTTGGCAGAAGAAGAAAAGTGCATTAGTCATGTTGTGTCTACAGACGGGTTACGGATCTACTCCGTACATAAGTGTAAGTTACAGTGCCATGTTGCAGCCCCGACAAGGCTCCCCAGCAGTCGGTAACTTGCTAGTGCCCCGCGAAGACTAGATCTGCTCCAACAATAGCCCGGAGCATTGAGACTCCTTGGCATGACAGAAGTGCTATTTTCATCTGAGCCCATCCATATGCTTTTATGTATGTACTTGCAATTGCACTTGAGCTCACCGCACAGACGGTGGATCGCGACGTATGATGCAGGCTATGGCATAGGGTGACAATTGAGCCACTAACGACGTACAGGAACATCACCCGCGGCCTGTACTTGTATCTGCTATCGCTGCGTCTCGCGCATGTCTAGGCTTGCGAGTGATTACAGCACTATGCAACAAGCCGCATGAGGACACCCAACTCGAAATTGAGTACTCACCCTTAGCCTGGAACCAAATCGATACAGATACTGCAACATTAATTAACTTCTTCATGGTGGGTAGCATGGTGCGAGTTCTCAGTTCTCAAGAAAAAGCCAAGGCCGCTTAGCCCCGGTCCTGCCATACGCCTCGCTGGGCCAAATGATCGGCACTGGAATGCTGCCCAGGAAGACAGACATGTCGGGGATGTCCGTGTTCAAAGTTGCGCGGCTATTGCTATTCAATAGCCGAGTGCCGTTTGAATTGTCATGGTTGTCCGTGACTGGCAGCACTGGCACAACAACACCACATTCCCAATTGCGACAAGTCAGCTTAGGATTCCCTGTCTGCTTTTCCTTGGTTAGACGACCCCTGGAAACGGCATGAATCAGTGGTCTGGCGTAAATCGTATGATTCACAAGAACCGTCGGACTCACCAAGCGCTTTCAGAGAGATTAGCCGAGCCTACATAAGCCCAGGAGACGAGGTTTTTCCCGGATTGTTTCGATCGAACAAATATGAGTTTGCTGTGCATCAAAAGGCCCGAACGTACGTTCTGGCTCTCATGAACTAAGTGTCGCGGGAACGAATCCGCGTCCCACCATTTCAACTGAGCGTTGATGGTTCCCGCACACTACGCACCATTAGCGTTGAACACAAGGAGGACGTGCCATTCCATCTGGACAACGAACCTGCCTGCCTCCACGGCTTTGCTCAATCATATGGCGGGACGGAAAATATACGCGGAAATGGTCGTTGATTCTTCTCAGTGCTTCTTCGACAGAACTCGCCTTAGCCTGTTTCGCTCTAGCCGACCGTTCGCGATACTCCCCGAGGCCATCGTCGCCCTGAGCAGCATAATAGATCGCAGTGATCAGGTCGTGACTGACTGACCCAAGTGACGAAACGACGTAATCTAGCTCGATGGCGTCTGCCGCTAAGCCAAGAGTTGCTACAGCGCGTCCGAGGCCGCAATAGCCTCCAAGGCATGTCAATCAAATTGTGCCAACATGTATTGAGACCGTGAAATGAAGACAAGACATCGAACGATTATGGACATTGAGAAAGGAAGCCAAGAGAAGCTCATTAACTCACCCGTCCGCTTCCAGTCGTCTCCAGTATGGGTTGTCCCGCTGTGCATGCATTAGTAGAAAGCAAGAAAAAAAGTTTATCAGGGCGATACTCCGTAGACCTGATTTAAACTTAATATAACACTTACATTGTATGAACAAAGGCGTAACGGCTCGTTTCCGTGAAATCATACTTTTCTAGACTCTTCACTAGACTATGTTCCAGTCCCTGTGAAGTCAAAAAGAAAACGAGTTCTTGACCAAAGGGGGTGAGGGCATTAGTGGCCCAGCGATCTGGTTCTTCGATAACCGGAAGATCTATTATGAAGACCATCTGCAAGTCGGTTAGCAACCATACATGGCATACGATGTTATTCCCAAACGGACGTTTTCCATGACCCCTGTTTCTCCCCAATCGTATGGGACCAAATTCCCGGTTGGCACCACAATCCGGAGGTGGCTGGCGAATTTCAGCAGTTGCAATTTAGAGTGCATGTTTCCCATCGCAGATGTTGGGGGGAAACAGAACTTAATGGTGCCGCCAAGAGCGTTCGCTTTCATTTCTTCTTGCTACCACGAAGTCAACCAGAAGATCGGCTTGATGTAAATGCTACTTACTTGCTCCTTGCTGTTGGCAAAAGCGATCAGACAGATATTAGTTTTCCGAACATCGATCTTTGACAGCATCCACTCCTCATCCCATTGGAAGGAGCTGAGCACAGCCATTTGGAGCTCATCCTTCTGGAAAATCTCCTCGATCTTAATGTCGTCGTCCGTTCTCGGCACACCGCGGGCGAAGGTTTTTTTTACCACACCTTTGGGGAAACGCAAGCATTGTGAACCAATACTACTTGACAGTGATGGGCCCACAACCTTTATCTCGGTCTTGGTGTCTGGAGCACGTCCTGGTCCCCAAAGCTGCGGAGCAGATCCTGTTCGTAATTTATTCTCCTTGCCCTGAGTTTCCTGGTCAAAGCCCGGAATTTTGCGTTTCGAAGCAAGCCTCGCGAGGCGGTCCTCCTCCATCTTCTTCCGGTCAACCCCTTTCAGTCCCAGTGGCCTGCCTGCTGGCGGGCCAGATGACTGCCCCTTTGATTGTGACGGTTCTGCTGATGGCTGTTCCTGCAGACGTTTTGTATCTTCCTTGGTTCCGGCTGGACAGCCATTCCCCTGTTTGGGCTGGTACACAATGCTCTGGCCATTCTCGTCCGGACTACCTTCGCTTTCGCTAGCTGTAGCATCCGGATCATCGTCGGCGAGTGATAGTGCGATAGCACGATTCAACTCCTCGTCATTACTGGAGTCGTCTGAACTCAGTTCAATCACGTGGTTTCCAGAATGCGAGCTGCTGCCAGCAAGGGATAGCTTGATGGCTCGTTTGAGGTCCGCATCATCATCATCGCTGTTATTTACGGAACCTGCCATAGTCGTAGCAAGACACACAGCGTGAAAATAAACGACTAGTGTCGAAGATTAATTAATCGATCTTAACGTAAGATTTCAGGTGTTGTATTGATCAGTGAAGAGGGAGTCTTGAGATGTGACAAGACAGTTAACCTACGGTAGTGGGGTTGTTAGTAATGCAAATAGTGCCCCACTGCAACTGCTACCGCAACTGTGACACAAGACTGTCGCGCAAAAACGTGACCTAGTACTAGTTAGACTAATTGCAAAGTGTTTGCTTAACAAACTCTCACCGTCCATCCTTATCCACAAATGCGATTTACGATTACCATGTTACACTTAATTGATAAACCAGGTAATAAGCTTAGTATCACAGTCCATATGCATATTTCAAGTTGTCCTTGGTATGTGTTACGAGGATTTGTATACCATTGCTTCCAGAAACTCTTTGTTGAGTGACTGCTTCAATAGGAAAGGTATTTCAAGATTTCGCTGCTGCCATGTGTAGTAGATAATGTACTCTATAAGCACTACTGTTTGGTCATATGTTGTATATGCCGGGAAAGAACACAAAATCTTTCCAATCCTATACATCTTATCTACCAATACTACCTCTTATCAAGACTGCTTATGATCAATTCATACACAGTTGCACAAGGGCTGCAGCGCACTTTCTGCACAAGCCACACCGATGAATTCGATCTCAGTCGCAGGGTCTACCTCTATACCGCTTCGCCTCCTTCTCTTTCGTGTTCGTGTCCTAGATGTCTACCATATTTTCGATGAGGGTAAAGGTAATCCGCGCTCAACGTCCAAGACAATCGGATCTCTTGCTCGCTATCAATGACTATCAGACTCCAAGGGCTACTGCAGTGGCTCCCTGGTCTCGTATTCGCAAACCCCATTTGACCAACGGCGTCCTCTGCTCTATTCCCGCCCCTAAATAGCCACGACCATGTCTACCCCAAGCAACCGGTGGCACGGTACTGCAACGCACAGTCGTAGTGCTTCCGCATCTATTCCAACAGGCTGAACATCTATCATAATCATACACATGCCACCAATTACTACATTACCATGCTCGAATAAATAGAGAAAAGGTGAAGGCTGGCTATAGATCGAATCTGTGAGCAGCATCCATTTCATGACTAGGGAGACTGAGTGGCTATAACATTCACAGTTGTGCCTTGTATCACATGGTCTGCGAGCATTAAGGGCGATTTGACGTGGTGGCTTGCTTGAATTGGTATCACAGGTGTTACAAAAGATGTAATCTATATTACGTCAATCAAAGCCTATAAAGTATTGTTTGCAAAATCCGGAGAAAGACCGCCGTTCTGTAACTATGTGGGTGCGTGTGGTTTTGGTACGCAAATTATATTTGCTTGATAAGCTGGTAGAGTTGAGCATACAAATTCAAGGTTTGGTATGCTTACAGAATCCCTACGGTCACGGTTGAGCTCTGCCGGGTTCACAGACAGGGCAAACTTGACTATACAAGCCTCAAAAATTACGAAAACGAAATCTGCCTGAGAAACGATGTTCTTCCCACAGTTCCCACTGTGCCGCGAACGATTCTGCCTCGGTAGGTATCCCTTCAACTAGTGGTGGTTGGTATCTTTCAGGAGAATGACGCCAACTTTGGAACCGTCTTGTAGCGTTCGGAAAGCAAAGCTTGACAAGTCTTTCCAAAAACTGATGTATTCCTTCAATTGTGTTCAAGTTCTGCTTGTGAGTGACAGGAGCTACAAGAAAAGTAATGTACATTGAGTCTGCTTACAGGTGGATCTCTCGGAAGGATTGTAAGTCCTTCCCCCAATTCGTTACCAGTGTCATTTGAAACCCCATTCCAGACAAGTCTACCTTCCTCTAGGCCGCGTATTGTCACAATCGCCGAGATTGGAGTGCTTGGGCCAGGTAGTAGTGACGACGGGTATGTGCACGGTAATGCAATATGGCAGCGCAGAGGGGGCAAATTTTCCCAAGTTGGAACTGATGTAAACAGTCCATCCTGTTGAATAATCATGTCCGCCTCGTGGACGCCTCGAATGTACGTAGTTTTTCAGAGATACTCACACTCATATGACCGCTTGCATAAAACATATATCAACATTTAAGTTGATTGTCTAATCTCAAAATTTGATTTCGAATAGCTTCTAGTTTCAATTTGCAACAATTTCTATAGACGGTCAAGTCATTCACAGCGATGTATGATCGTTGTACACCATTGGGGCACCAATGCATGAGTAGGTTTCCTCGTCAAAAACAGCCCACTTTCAAAATATATTGTTGAGCTGGCTCAAAACATGGATTTACTACTAAATAAAACTACCTTGCGACTGTGGAAAATGATTCCTGACCATAGCTTATAGCTTGATCAAGTCTGGCGGCAGAGCTTGCCTGTATCCATATCGTACTGCCATTCGTCACTACTTACACCACTCCACACGAACAGACTATAACTCGGATCGTACCTCTTTTTTATCTCTACCAACCGTTGGTAGCTCGATCCGTAGTAGTCGTGTTGCCACTGGCCGTTGAAGGGGTTTGCTTCATTCATGTAGGCGCCTGTGTCCGGCGCCCAATCTCGCCAGACGGCTTCCTTGTTGGTCTCAAGCCAATCAGCCGCTTTGTGTAAAGCTCCGCTCGGTGTCGCATTTGTTGTGTTCACATTGGACCCTCCCGCCAATGCGTGCACATATACCTCTCGCCAGATGGGGTTCACGGCGCCCTGCCGCCATGCCGGCACATTCCGTGGTCCTGGTCCGCCCTGCAAGCCAATTGTGAGCATGCTGCCTGATCCCTCAATCTGAGATGCCAAAATTTTCTCAAGATACTGGCGTACGTTTGAGATAGAGTGATCAACGAGCTCGGCTCGGCCGAGGAGACGACTAGAGCCCAAGTTCACTTGACCGGCCACACTGGGAGACGCATTTATGTTGTCAAAGAATGTTGTGAAGTTTGCCGTTACAGTTGGCTCCGAGATAGAGTAGTTGATGAGAGAACTCATGTTGCCAAACTGTGCCATGTAGTCATCCCGAACGTGTTGTAGGATATCCTTGAGCGCCTCCGTCGTAATGTTATAGCCCCAGAAACTCATCGATGTGATAACGCCCGGTGGTACTGAGGTTAGGCTCAGGATTGATTTCGCAGATCTTCCAGTTACGGCAAGTCCACTACCGGTGATACCCCCATCCATGAGGTCTGGCATGTTGGCCATCAGGTGGGCAAATGCATCCCAAGTGGCGTTCACTGTGACATCCCGGAAATCAGACATGTTGCCAGCTGTGATGGACACACTCGTAGCTATAATAGTTGAAGGCTGAGGGTGGGACAACATGATATATTCCGTGACAACGCCATATTGTCCACCTCCTCCGCCACGAATTGCCCAGAACAAGTCGACATTCTCGGCAGCATTGCATGTGAGGATATCACCTGTGGTGGTGACAACAGTAGCCTGCAACACATTATCTGCGGAAAGGCCATATGTGGACGAAAACGGGCCATGGCCACCACCCTGAATATACCCGCCGAGGCCCACTGTCTTGTCCACACCACTGACAAGGACACGACCGCGTTCGAGGGCGAAGTGCAGTGTTGAGTCCCAGTTGTTGCCACTCCCGGCGATGATGACATCTGCCGTTGTATTCTGACCGGGAATAAACCATTGGGCATCGTGCGACAAATAATTCAGATTCTTTGTCCAGATAGACAATGCATTTGCACCAGTGGACCTTGATATTTGTATTAGCAAAGAAAGCCTGTAATTGCGTTTAGAGAGGTTAATTACCTTCCGTTCAGATCATGACCAGTGCCCTTGATGACGATACGAATATTCCGTGCCGCTGCCCATTGCATAGCGGTTGCAATGTGGACATCGGTTGTTGCATTGACGACATAGGATGGGTATCCGCCAACGTGGCAACCGACGTCCTGGGTATATCCGGTTGTATTGGGAGGGAGACAAGAATTATTGGCCCAAATCGGATAGTTGACTGACTCTGGAATACTTGCATGAAATGCTGAATATCCCCAGTTCTCCTCGACGTATGTACACGATAGCTCAGTCTCGGAAGAATTGTTGCTGTAGCACGACGAAGCGACTGGAAGAGTTTTGATTAAGGTGCCTTTGATGGTCTCGTTGAGCCTCGTCCATTCCAAGTCGCTGGGCCATTCTGTGTCAGAAGGAACAACTTTACATGATCGCGATGTTGAGGCATTGGACGACTTTGCGAGGTCATACAAAGCTGAAGCTTGACTGAGGCTCGTAAGAGCTAGGACGTTCAGGATATGTTGAATCCTTGCTAAAAACATTACTGTTGTGCATAGGTCGAGGAAAACGAATATGTCGGAGTCTGTAGAGAAGCTGGATCTAGATGTGAGCATAATGTCATTAAATAGTCTAGATGCCACTGGGTGGCTGGGGATGGACGGAAAAGATCGTGTAATATCCGGATTGATTAAACCACTGCCAGTATATCCATGACCAAAGACATCGCCACATATGCGGCTATGCTAGAACAATAATTGGCTCGGCACTTTCACAATACACTCCACCTTCAATATGATTATGGGAACCCGACTAGGCACTGCGGATCCCCCAAGTCATTTTTCGGTTATGAATACGAAATAATTCTTCTAAGAACTCGGGCAACCAGACAGCTATCAAAGAATAGCACATAACCAAATTACAGAGACAGCAGTGAAGTCTCACCAGAAGAAATATTCACGACCAGAACTCTGAACGTACTTTCGTTTTCTCAAACTTCATCGTGATAAAGTACTTTAGTTTCAATAAATGCCGCGGCACGACCGAGCGTATGACCTGCATAAACATAGACTCCAGTCGCAATCTACATATTTACGCAACCCATTCAAGATAGTGATACATCATTCGTTGCTTTAATGTGAAGTCAACCACACTCTGGGGGGTCTCTCCCAAGTTGTTGAGCTACTACTATCTATTTTGTGCTGGGGAATGCTATAGGTCTTTCCATCCTTGCTAACGTGAAGCCTTCGTTGCTGCGTCAACATCCTGACTCTTCGTCTGACCGTATCTTCTGTAGCGGTATATCCGCAGTTTCTGAATTCTCCTGTTTTCTCCTGATCGTCCGCACCGTACAGCAGAGGATACATGCCTCCATGGCTGTCGCGAGCCAAAGCAGCATGTTGATTATGTCGAATGCGAACGAGACATGAATATGCGTGTCGTGCGCATTGATGCCAACGGCAAGCTGTTCGTCGGGGTCGCTGAAAATCTGCTGGCCCGCCAAAATGGCCACCACCATCCACATGAGAGACAAGGCTGCGTCCCATGAACACCAGAGCAGATGCGTGACGGTGAATATGCAGTGAGCGGCGCCGGTAATCGCTGAGAACGCCACCAATACTTCTGCGAAGAGCCACGTGCTATTTGCTGCTTGGTGTTGTCTGGTGAATAAAGCCAAGTCGGCTCCGTAGAGCCCTGCAGTGATAATGGCCGAAAGGAATTGCGCAGTTCGAAGTGCGGTACGGAGGATGAGTCCGTGACCTCCCTTCAGTTGCCAATATCTGTCCATCGGTCGGGTGGTCTAGGCTCGTTATAAAAATCGTGTTACGTCTTTTTGATAGCTGATGTGTTTGTATTAGGGCGGCCACGAATGAATATATGAGGCAATCAATGTCGTAGCAAGTAAGAGTAGCCAGTGGACCAAGATGATGAGCCGTTATAGAATTCAACAGGCAAGAAACAGAAGGATTTTAAATTAGGATAGCAGGACAAGAAACGTAGATCCAAGGCTTGATATCACTACCCGGAATGGACCCGCTTCACAAACAGTATGGAGTGGACCTCATAAGCTCGATCCGGCGCCAGGGCGTTCAACGACTATGATGGTGCGACGCTAATAGGGGAAGATCTTTCACGGCACATGCCTAGCGCATGAGAAGCAAGCAGCCCATTGGTTGTCTTTTCGCATGGAATACGAATAATGCTTTCACAAATGTATAGGCACGTTTGAATCATCTATTTTCGGCCCAGCCGAGTCAGGAGGCATAGAAACAGATTTGATGCTGCCTGGTATAGCCTTGCTCGACCCGACATCCAGAAATGTCTTCAGGTGCGCACATACGTTACCTTTTCTGCGCGGGTTTTTATTGAACCGGTTATGCCACCGCATATCATGATTCCCGAAGATACTCTATCCTGTAGCACAAAACACCACAACCCGGGTTCTCTAGTAGCTACACATTTGACAAATGGTCTCGTGATGACGAGTAGCCTCGATCCTAAGCAATGCCAGGCCTCTGCCTCAAGCTTGGATGGAGGTCCTGCACCGTACACATCGGACTGGTCGCCGAATGACCAGATCCCACCTTACTCTCCCTTCGAGCCCGGTCACCACCATAGTGGCATTCCACGAGCTGAATCAATAGGATCAGCACAAACAACCAACTACGTCGTTGATGCTCCAAAATTCCCGCGCCTCAATATCATAGTACAGGTTGTTGGCAGCCGCGGTGACGTGCAACCCTTCATCGCCCTCGGCGTCGCGCTGCAGAAATGTGGCCACCGCGTACGTATCGCAACACACAACACCTTTGAAGCGTTCGTGCGATCCTCCGGGCTCGAATTCTACCCCGTGGGCGGCGACCCCGAGGACCTCATGGCGTATATGGTGTCCTCGCCGAGGCTGGTGCCGGACCTGGCCACACTACGCGCCGGCGCAATCGCGAGGAAACGGAAGATGTACCAGGTGATGCTCGAGGGGTTCTGGGAGGCATGTCTGGCGCCGGACTCCGTCACGGGCTGCCCGTTCGTCGCGGATGCGATCATCGCGAACCCCCCGAGCTATGCCCACGTACACTGTGCCGAAGCGCTCGGGATCCCGTGCCACCTAGTATTCACGATGCCGTGGACCAGTACCGGGGCCTTCGCGCAGCCCTTGGCCGGCTTATCTGCACATGAACCGGACGGTGGGGGCAAGAAGGTCAGCACCTTGAGCAGGACGAATTTCATGTCTTATGCAGCTGTCAATTTCCTTACGTGGCAGGGGCTGGGGGACATCGTTAACCACTGGAGAATTCGTACCTTGGACCTCGAGGCAGTGCCTGCAACAGAAGGGCCTCACCTCATCGAGACTTATAAGGTTCCGTTCACCTACTGTTGGTCGCCATCGCTTGTACCAAAGCCCCCGGATTGGGGCGAGAATATAGGTTTGCTTGACAAGACTACCCATGTTTGACTGTAGGGCTAACTAAGTTGGCAGACGTCTGTGGGTTTTTCTTTCGCGAACCCCCCGAGTACAATGCGCCTCCCGATCTAGAGAAATTTCTCAGCTCGGGTCCTGGGCCGGTCTACATCGGGTTCGGCAGCATCGTAGTCGGCGATCCTGCCGGCTTGATGGCAATGGTTCTCAGCGCCGTGAAAAGTCTGGGTATACGAGCCATTATCTCGCGCGGTTGGAGCAACCTCGCCGGCGAGGAGTCCGAGGACGTCTTCTTCGTGGGCGACTGTCCGCATGAGTGGCTCTTCCAGCGCGTAGCTGCAGTCGTGCACCACGGCGGCGCAGGCACAACCGCTTGTGGGCTGAGGTACGGGCGCCCGACGGCAATAGTGCCCTTTTTTGGAGAGTGAGTTTCTTTCATATGATTGTCCGGGATATTGTCGAGCTAGCTAATCATCCTCATAGTCAACCCTTTTGGGGAGAGGTTATCCATCGCGCCGGAGCAGGTCCATCACCTCTGCCATACAGATCGATCACATCACAAAAGTTAGCACAGGCCATACGTTTCTGTCTGTCGTCAGATGCCCAAGAGGCTGCAGCGGCGATTGCATGCAAGATGGCCGCAGAGGACGGCATTAACTCTGCAGTGGACTCCTTCCACAGAAATCTCCCTCGCAATCGGATGTTTTGCGATTTCTTTCCCGAGCAGACCGCAGTCTGGGCTTTCAAAAGTGGGAAGAAAGAGATCAAGATGTGTCGCGAAGTACCTGTCGTGTTACGCAACCACGGGCAAGACTTGAAGCATCTAAGATTGTAGATTGTCCCGAACTCAAAAACTCACGGACTAAGCGCTGACTCATCTCCCAGACTCAAAACCGGTGATATCAACATAGACTATCGGCGTTGGGATCCCATAACGGCGGTGTCAGCTGCATCGCTAGCTACGATAGTGGGCGTGGCCGACGCTGCCGCCGACATCATTCGCAAGCCGATCGAGGAATATCATAGGCATAATCCTCGGGACGTCGGAAAGGCAATGCAATCTGATGGAGTCGTTCCGGCTGTCCCTAGCGGAGTGGCGATGCTACCATTGGACAATGCGGGGGTACTTGCGAAGTCCAAAGAAGATAGAACCGCTGATTATCACGAGAGAAAGTCGCTGGATAACCAGGATCAAGCGAAACGATCCGCTGCTGCTGCGATGATAAGTGCTTCGGCGCACGGCGCCGGCAAAGTGGTGGTCCGAACGACTCGCGGTGTGTTGGTAGACATCCCATTAGCAGCCACCGAGGGATTGCGTGCAGTACCGCAGCTCTGGGGCGAACAGGTAGAGCGACATGAACATATCGAGGGCTTTCGTAGCGGTGTAGGCGTTGCCGGCCGCTCATTTGTAAGTGGTATCTCGGGAGCTGTTAAAGGAATATTTGAACGCACCTACCATTTGAAGAAAGAGGGCGGCGCAATGGGAGCAGTCAAGGGGCTTAGCCAGGGAGCTGTAGGGCTGGCGACAAAGAGCAGCTCTGCTGTCGTCGGCTTGGCCACCTATCCAGCTCAGGGCGTATCGAAGAGCATTCGGGCACGAGCCAGGGCAGAGACCCAGCGAAGAATCACACAAGCCCGGTGGCGAGAAGGTGAATGGCTGGTAGAGAGCGGCAAATGGAAGCTTGATGAGACAAGCATTGTACAGGACTTTCAGGGACTCAAGGGCAAGCGTGTCTGATCACGTTTTCCACGGGATAGCCGTCACACAAATTGCCAAATATGTTCCCCCAAATCCTGGTTTTAGCAACCCGAGCACTCCAACCACATGAACATTCTTACCCGAAAAATTGCACCCCGCCGTCCGAGAAAGGAGTTCAGGCAGTCGTAGGGCCAATGGAGATCAAGCTCATAACAAACGCTGGCCCGACGGGACGACGATGAATGTCCATTACGAACGTTTGGACCGAGGAGGATCGCAAGAGTATCACTGCCTATGGGAACCATGCCTAGAGTTCTTGGTAGGTGGAATTACGACAAGCATGCCGAGATCAAGAAGCTGCACCAAAGTGAGCGGGAACAACTACGCTAATTCGAAAGGGAGGGCGACCAAAAGAAAACACCCTAAAGGAATTCATGTGTGTGCATGTGAACTTGTTGTTTCCTCTGGCGAGCCGATGCCAACGTGTTGGTCACATCAAAGGACAAAAGCATCATGTATGGCGTCTTGGATATTCGTAGTGATTCACAACTGTACATTTAAGCCTCATCGGTGATGACATATGTGACCGAGCCTTGTGGGCCAGTCAAATTTATTAATAGCGTAAGGTATATGGATAGCCGTGCCTAAACCGACCACTGCAGTGATATATCACCAAAACAATTTTTTTCTTGTTTTGTGTTGTTTTTCTTCTTTGAGCTTGACACCCATGAGAGCACTTCGCATGAGTACAATCCAAGGAGATCTTTGGTGAATCATTCCGTGCTCCCCGTCACTTAGTACTGTCTTCCCACCGAGTCTTTCAGAGTGACGCCCTTGAACACATTCGTTTCATGACTTCATGCTTATGAAGCCACAATGCTGCCTTTGAGCCATCCCTAGGAACAAGTTTTCTTTGCATGTCGCCATGAACACCGTTCCGATGCAACGCTACGTGCCAAGTAGCTCCCGAATCCTAATCGCAAATGCCGAGTCTAGCCTTGATCCAACCAGAAGCCTGGATGATGAACCACAAAAGCTTGCAACATTGGGTATCTGATAGAAACGCCCCCCCTACCACCTAGGTTATATCCATGAAAAGAAGAGCTGCCACAGGCGAACAGAAAGTCGTATGTATGCTGATATACATTATCGAAGAGCCGTAGAAACACGTAGGCAGTGCCTCTGAAATATCTCAGGTAAAGCGAGCTTATATGTTCGAAATGTAAACCATGACCAGTCATGCGTATCGTAGCTCAACAAACTCCGTCTCTATAATGACCGAGAACAAAGTGCCAAACCCATGAACCGAAAGAAAAGAGAGGTCAACTCGTAGACTAGAGAGTTCCACGAATGACAAATGCTAAACGGAAATGGGCCATTTCCGCTCCGCGAATGACGTAAAGACGCCTCAAACTCCGTGCCGAACGCCTTGAATAAATGAAAACCGCAAGTTTCGGGTCTGCGTACATAATGTTTGCACACAGTAAAACCTGCACTGGCACTGTGTCAAACACTGACCTCAGTGTGGACAGGCCAGATAACTTGATTGATTGAAATCCGAATTAGTTGGGACCGAGCTTTAATACCCGGCGCAGATTGTCCTCCAATTTTCGAGCCTGTTCCTCATGAGGGTCTTCTGGGATACCATGCTGAGACTGGCCTCCCCGCAAGCGTGTCCGATCATAGTTGGATTGGCCAGGAGCTGGCTGATAGTAGCTGCCACTGTGAGGGCTCGCCTGGCCGGTAATTACGGATGCAGGAAACATGCCGCGGGGTAATGTAGCGGGTTGACGTTGTTGAAGGGGTGACTGCTGCTGTGTGCTCGACTGCTGTGTTGCATCGGGCACTGCTCCAACCCCGAGAAACCGTTTCAAAGCCTCGCTACGGTCTGAAGCATCATTGCTCGCGACGGATGGTGTGGCTTGGGCAGATGGGTTCTTGGGGCGCGCCACTGCCTTGATACGCTCAGAGTATGGAGTTGAGAAAGCCTGGCCAAAAGGCCTGCCAGGGGTACCGTCCAACTCGCTAGGGGGAATTCCAGAAGACGGGTTTCGTTGAATGATCGGACGACGTGGCGGGGCGATGCTGCTGCCCCCCTGAGGTCTAGGAAACGTTCTAGGTTCATGAGGAGACTCATGAGGGGGAGAGAAAGGGCCAGCAAGGAAGCCAGCTGCATTAGCGGAGCTCGCTCTACGTGTCCGAGCCTTCTCGGCACGATCAGCCTTGAAGAAGAACTCCAAGGGAGAGTCGCTATGAGCGACAGGTGGCAAAGGGGGGCTAGGAGAGCTGTCGCCCTCTGAATCAGTAGTTGGCGGCGACGGTTCCTGGCTGGGACCTGTGGCAGGAGGCTGCTTCAGGCAGGGGGAGTCAGGCGCGGAAGTTGTCCTTGCAAGGAAGCTGGGCATCGGTAAGGAGTTGGGCGCGGGCGAAGCGTGGAATGATGCGCCAGCAAATGCAATGGGAATAGCCTGGTGTTGAGTCGGACTGATACGATCTTGCTTATCTCGGTTCTTCTTAGCAGAAGGGTTCCGATTTCGAGACTTCTTTTGGGTTGTTGATTGGATTTGCTGCGGTTGAGCGACGCCGACATTCGATGCTAGCTTCTGGGGAGTATAGGGACTGTCGGAGAGGACATGTCTGTAATTGGCAGCGTCATTCTCAGATGCATATGTCTTTTGAGGAGTACCATTCCGGGGGCCGCCGCGACGTCGGCCTGAATTCTTGGGGTGAGGCGATTGATTCATTTTGTTGAATTTGTGGTTGTGGGGTTAGTTGTTGATGATGTTGTTGTTGTTGTTGCAGCATGTATACTGACTGCTCTGTGGAGTATGTGAAGAAATAGTGTGCAGCCGATCAAGGCCCGACAAAGATGAAAGAGGCGGAGCTCTCTTGGATGAGACGAGATGGCTGCGAGATGCCAAGTAGATGTCGCGAGACAGTAGTCCAGGGGTTTGTCAATGCGGGGAGTGTTGAGGCTATGCTAACGTGAATGCTAATGCTAGCACCAGCAGAGACAACACTGACACTGTCGGGAGCTTGCTTGAGGAGGGGAGGCTGGAGATGATGGCAGGCCAGGGTTTGTGTCGCAAACACAGCGGGAAGTAGATAGCTTGGGGGCTCTGTGCGGGCGCTACGTTGGAGATCGATGTGATGTGGGTTTATGTGTGGATGATGTGGTTCGAGTTGATGGCGAAGTGAGATTTGTTGGTTGTGATCTTTGTCTTGTCATATTTGTTATTGTGTTTTGTTGATGTTTAAAAAGAAAGGAAAAGTAAAAGAGCCCCAACCGGCTCAAGAGTACCTAGTTTACAGGACAGTAGTAGTGCAAGGAAGGTTGTGACAACGTGCGACAAGTGGGAAAGAGGAACTCTTTGGGCTTTTGGAACTCGGGCTTCCAATGGGATTTTGAGATGCATGACTGTGTACTTGCACTTGACCAAGAAAAGCGCCCAAATTGTGGAGTGTGTCGCCAAGTTGCCGGCCCGTCCGCCTCACAAACATACTTGCACATACCTGGTACGTACTGGTCATTAATAACAACACGGAGGGAAATGCGGAAATGACAAGCGTGAGGCCGGGTCACTTCATGTGCTGAGGGGAGAGCGCTACCGCGGGTACTGGCAGGCTGGGTGTGCACCAGTAGATGTGAGGATTTGCCTCTAAATCGGGGCTGGCTTGACTTGGGATGACGACGGAACGTCTGGTCCCAACAAGGGTTGGAGCACTGTATTTGCAGTAGTTGAGCCTGATGTATTGGCACGAATCAGGCACTACCCGAGGCAGGTGTATGTAAAGGTGCTTGTCAAGATCTAAGATCGGTAAACATCAGAAGTGTTCATATTCCGGATTTGTTAGTAACCTGTTTGACAACTAAGTTACTACACTGACCTTACCGGACTGCAATCGGTATCCCGCTGAGGACATCACACCAGGCAGTTATTATGAGCTCTGGAATATGCCGTAATATATCATGAATGAGATGCCGTCAGTAGCGCATGCATGCATACATACACACATACATACATACATAGTCCTAGGCAACGAGGAGCAAGTGCAGGTGCTTTCAAGGTGCTTCAGGTGTTATTTCGTCCTAGACTAGGTTAGCTACTTGTACGGCGCAGCTAAAAGGTCCATCGCCATGTTCATCCCGACCAGTATCTGGTGTCTAGTATGTGGAACTTCAGCCTGTCGTTGTAAAACACAACCATGAAGGCAACTTTATTTTAATTTTATTGAAAGAACGAGCTCCCGAGACAGCATATCTGGTGCATTGCACAACTGTGACAGCTGTCCAAGGCATCGGATATTCTCCTCCTCTCTTCTTTCTTGTTCCCATCAAGGTTCTCTATTTTTGCAAGGCTCTAACCCAACGGAAACAAAAGCTCGCCCACGTCTTCGTCCGCGTCCGCATCGTTCACCAAACGGTCCCTCCGCAAAGCAAGCTTACAATCCTCCGACAGCCCACATACTACAACCACCCTCTGACATCACAACCAAGCTCAACCTCCAAAATGGCCGACGTTGACATGACCGACGCTCCCGTCGAGAAGAAGAAGCTCGCCAAGGGCGGTGACGCCGACAGCAAGGGCGATAAGAAGCGCTTCGAAGTCAAGAAGGTTGGTTGGCACACACGTTCACTGGGATGCTTCATGCTTCGGCTGCCCCTCCCCTCTCGCCTTGCTGACTCGGTACTTGACAGTGGAACGCCGTCGCCCTCTGGGCTTGGGATATCGTCGTCGACAACTGCGCCATTTGCCGAAACCACATCATGGACTTGTGCATTGAGTGCCAGGCCAACCAAGCATCTGCTACCAGCGAGGAGTGTACCGTTGCTTGGGGTATTTGCAACGTGAGCAGCGTTCTCTCCGTATCCATGATCGACCGCTGACAAGTCTTCTCTACGCTACAGCACGCTTTCCACTTCCACTGCATCTCACGTTGGCTGAAGGCCCGTCAAGTCTGTCCGCTCGACAACCGTGACTGGGAGTTCCAAAAGTACGGCCGATAAAGGGCATGGGTTGGATGGGATGGGATGAGACGAGATGAGTCAACTGATGTACGGTACCATTCATTCTGGTGGGGTTTGTGGTTACGATAAGTCCGGCTACGACAGCCAGCATCGCTGTCTCGCATTTGGTCCGGTTGTCATCCTACCTCGATTGGGCATGGACATGCATGGGCACTTAGGACAGGCAACCTCACATGTATTGCCTCTATTTCTTGAGGCATGCATGATTCATACATGGCACATGATAAGCCAGAAGCCGGGATACCAGATAGAACTTGGTAATTGCCATGCTATGCGATACATGAATGATGCACAAATCTGACTGCAGCTACTTGAATAGGCTTTTTTGTCCTGTGACTCGCGTTCATCCCCCACCGCATTATCACTCAGTTTGTGGGCGCGAATATCTTTTCGTCAATGACTATGTTCTGATGCGTCTGAGCTACGCTTTGTCCTCCCCCTACAGGTAGCCATTTGACAGGGTGTTGGTTGAAGAAGGGCCACGGAGGGACGATTGCGAGGAATGTGAGGGCGGTGCCGGCGAGGCCAACCTTGAGTGCAAGGGTGATGTTCTGGAGGAAGAAGCCGACGAGGAATGAGACGACCTTTTGAGAGGATTAGAACGATAAACAATAAAGAGATGACGACCGGTGCCACTTACTCCGACGGCAGACAGCAATACTGTTGCAAGAAGTTCGGCCAGCTTCTGTCCCTCAAAGTCCTGCATGCCACGTTAGTTATAGCGCTTCCAGGCAGTAGATGCGAAGGTCCGCAAGTCTCACGATCTGTCCATCGACGATGTCTCGGACCTGGTCGAGGAGTTGCTCAGCCATCGTGCTGCTAGGCCAGGCCGTAATGATGGAATGAAAGATGAATCTGTGCGTTGTCGTCGGTGAACTGGGAGTCGCGTTGCGCCGCGCTGGTGTTGCGATGCGTTTGTGCCGGTGATACCAATTCGTTTGCAGGAAACGATCCGGAGATGGTGTCCACAGAAGTACCAATGCGCAGGATTGCGGTGCTTAACCCGCTACGTGGTACTTTCAGCCTCAAGAAGCTCGTCGGGGACCTCCCCTCGGCACAATGCTAACTTGTGTGGATACATAGGTACCTAGCAGCCTAGGCTCTGCTACAGTATGTACACATGTAGGCACTGGAAGGTTAGCTTTGCAACACGATGTGGGGTCCAAGCAGCGAGGCTGGAAAGGGGAAAGCCTAGAAGCCTGTTCCTTTGGCACGCTTTCCCTTTCCTTGTATGAACTGACGGCGCAAGCATTTCTTCTCGTCTACCCCACCTCCACGTTAGGCTGCATCACACACTAACAAGACGAACTCAAAGTCGAAAAGCCGCTACGTGTGACATCGTCAACTTTAAGACCTCCAGCCGCTCGAAGCCCGGTCCATGAAGCATTCCCTATTGTGCTCGCTACATGAGCTGATTGTGCAATGTGCCTCGCCTGGGGGCCATCTTCCTCTTGATTCGATGAACACGGGCTTCTTGGTGCTATCTTGCAACTTGCGACTGTAGTTGCCAAGGCGACTCGGCCATGCTAGGGAACATCCCCGTACTCAGAGCAGAGCATGCTTCGTTTCATTCAATACATAATACGTCCGGACCCGTACTCTTAAGATTAAGTCCTTGTGTCCTCGCAAGAGGAGAGAGAGCACTGATTATTCCATGCCAAACCACAACAGTCACGGAAATCTGTCAATGTCGTCAACTCAAACGCAGTGACAAGGTGAGGCCAGACTTTGACGCCTCGGTTTCCAGAATCCAATGCCTACAAAACAATGATCCAATCACGGCGTGTGTAATTCTCAGTTGAGTTCCCGTCCCGTTGGAGCGGCTTCTGTGGCGTGTCCCAGGGATGTCTGCAGCTTCTTTTCCCGGCTGCGAACATGGAATGCCAGATGTCGGTTTGTGCATCTGCAAGGATTAGACGCCAATTTTTTTTTCCTCCCTCACTTTTGACCTCCATCATGACCCACCCGAGGGCCGGACTCTCATCTAAAATCTTTCCCCTTGACCAAAACAATTGTTATTTTTGAACACCACAACCGCCATCTGCAACTGCAGACGTTTCTCACTTGCACAGTCTGCACTTCTTGCTACCCCTGATCATATTTACTCGGCTCTTTTCTACAGCTAGAAGATCGACCCGACTGCTCGACATCACAAGGTCAGCAACAGCACCTTTCCACTCCAGCTCTTATCGGGGAGGCCGCCAGCATCCAATCTTCCTGCTCAACGTCATTCGCATCCTTGCAAGCACTTTTGACCACGCTCACGACCCCTTTGTATCCCGTGCAACAAACATAGCATTTGTTCCGCACAGGACCACGTACTTTGAGCAACGCAACAATCAACTCTGCATAACAGGAGTTGCCACCTTTAAAATCTTGTCTTGGCACGTCCTCGCTGTCGAGTACACGCTCTGCGCCATTTTTCATCGTCTCATCCAGATACAATTTGCGGTATAAGCCCGCAAGTTCCTCGACAGTCATCAAGTTGGCGGGCCTCGATAGCATCAAGTTCTCTTTCTCTCGACCGCTTTTAGGCCCGATTCGCTGGGTCTACAGCGGCATTGATACGAAACCTCCTTAACTTGACCTACGGATCACAGCCATATTAATTACATCACTTACACGTCCTCAACCACCACGCGAACCATCACGGCCCTCGTTTACCTACTGGTACTGCCCCAACGCCACTGGCCTGCGGTCCAAAGCGGTTTGTTTCATTTTGCAGTCGGCGTGCTGCTCACGCCCACTGCAGCCAGACTTATGCGCTGAACTGGGTCTCGAAATCCAGCATGAGCGCCTTCCCTTGACTCATCGTGGAAGGCTTTCCCAATAACTTTCGACTCGATATCACGCTCCATTTACTAGCGCGCCATTTGCGACCCACGACCTGCTAGTTTACTGCCTCGATTGCAGCGCTCGAAACGAAAACCAGAAACAGGATATCGAACAGTCCCAGACTTCACTATGTCCGACCACGAGGAGGTCTCTATACAGGGGGGCTACGATACCCCTGTCCCCGAGTTGGACGACCATCGCCATCAGTCTGCGTCCTTCCAGCGCCTTGAGCGGCCCAGACGCGGCACTGTCGATACCCTTTACGCATCGCGCACCGATCTGCCCGTATCGCCCTCAGACATTCGCGTACGTGACTTCGAGGAAGCTGTTATCGACGAAGATGGTGGCGATATGTCTCCTTCTCCCATGGTGCCTCGCATCCGCCGTCCTACTGTTGAGACCCAGCGGTCTGTATCCCCTCCGAACTCCGTCAAGGCTTTTGCCGAGGCCAGGCGCCGTGAGCGCCTGGCCTCCGTATCATCGGACCCACGGGACAAGGAACACGGATACAAACTTCAGAGAACCATTTCGGCCAACAGTCGCCGCAGCGAGCGCACTCATAGGTCCGGCCGCACTGGGGCCAAGACCGCGGACAACGATGCAGCCAGCCTTTCTACGAACAAATCAGCTGAGGAAGACGTCTGTTTCCCCATGCAGGACGAACATCGTCGGGATGAGTTGTACATCGACTTTGACTATTTGGAGAACTTCATTGCAAGCGACGAGATTAATCGTGATACTGGAGCGGATAGCGCCGTTCGCGTATTCTCCAATCTTCAGGCAGATCCCAATGTGCCTAGTGCTCCTCCTATGATCACGATTGATGGTGATATCATTCATCCTCCAGCCCCGAGCTCCGTAACTTACGAGAAAGGAGACATTCCAGATTCACCTGGTGTATCCGAGATTCCTGCACGAGAGCATGTTGATCCGAATCGTTTCAGCTTCTTCTCTTCAAGCTGGGAGTCAACCATTCACGCTGCTTCCTTTGGAGGGCTTGTTCTTCCAGGAGAGTCTGTCCGCGGGCTCTTCTCTTTCCCCGAAGACGAGCAAGATGGAGTTTGGTGGTTGAATGTCAACAACCCTACCGAGGATGAGGCTCGAGCCATTTGTAAGGCTTTTGGTATCCATCCGCTGACAATTGAAGACATCACGGTCCAAGAAACCCGAGAAAAGATTGAGCTTTTCCCCTCGTACTACTTCGCCTGTTTCAGGTCTTTCACGATCATCCAGGAGGAGGATGGGCCTGATTACGAGCCTTTCAACATCTACGTCATCGTCTTTCGAGAGGGTACCCTGAGCTTCAGTTTTCAGCCCAACGAACATGCTAAAAATGTTCGCGGGAGAATTACTATGCTGAAGGATTACCTCTCGTTGAGCAGCGATTGGATCTGTTATGCTTTGATGTAAGCATATTAATCCGAGTGGGCGCCTTATATATATACAAGTACTAACAGGCATTAGTGATAACATCGTGGATACATTCGCGCCTGCAATTCACAGAATTGAGCTTCAGACCGAATCGATCGAAGATTCTGTATTCATCGCAAGAGCCGAGGATATGCATCAGTTCCTGCGAAAGATCGGAGCAGTCCGCAAGAACACTCTTGGTCTCATGCGCATCCTTGGTGGCAAGGCCGACGTGCTCAAGGGTTTTGCAAAGCGCTGCAACGAAAACTACAGAGTAACGCCTCGAATGGACATTGGCATGTACTTGGGCGACATTCAGGACCACGTGGTCACCATGATGACCAACTTGACGCACTTCGAGAAGATTCTTTCGCGTGCACACAGTAACTACCTCGCCCAGTTGACCATCGATAGTATCACGCAGGGAACAAAGACCAACGAGGGTCTGGCCAAGATTACGTTCTTGGCTTCAATCATCGTCCCTCTAAACGTCATCACCGGACTTTTTGGAATGAACGTCAAGATTCCTTGGCAGAACGACGAGAGCGAAAACCTTAATGCGTTTGGTGGCATCATAGCCACCATGGTTGTTGTTTCCATTCTGGCATTTATTATTGCGAAACGAGCCAAGTACATTTAGGTAATCCAGCTTCTTAGAAAGGCTCTGTTATAGGATGGAACTTTTCAGGTTTTCTACATTTCGATCTTCGTTAACCGTAATGATGGAATGATTGATTTGCTACTTCTAGAGTATTGCATTGCGTTCAGGAGCCAGGGACAAGAGACTCATTACATGATAGAAGTACTGAAAACACTTAGAGTAAAGGTAAATAAATAATCAAGGGCCACTTTTCAGCGTGGATGTTTTTAAATGGAGGCCGTGACGGTTACGGGTTTCGACCCACTTTCAAACATTAGAATGTTTTGGATATCCAAGCATATCGGAAATGCCTCCAAACCCTGGTTATGTCTATCTTACGCGACCATCCTTTTGGAACAGGTGACGTCACGATCAATAATTGCACGCATGTCCAAACGACAAGTCCAAGATTTCTACCGCCAACTACCACCTCGGGTGGTTGTTGTATTCCAAGCGGTCACGTTAGCGAGGGCGGTACAGTAGCAACGCTTGACGGTGACACCCGTCTGACTACACGTCCACGGCTTACGAGACTGCTACCATTCGCCGGCTTACGCACAACCACACGCTCGAGGAATCGTCGGCTGCCAAATCAAATCTCCCCATCAGCTGTACACCCCAGATCACAATACTCCACACCGTAACAAAAGTCCCTTCGTATCCCTGCAGCCCTACGGGGCTACACTGCAACGTGCGGAATTCCGCACCCTCGACATGACGAGGCCATGCGGCCGGACGGACTGACTAGGTGCAGAATGATGAGGGCCGCACTTGGTTCTTGCCTAGATAGCGAGGCCTACTGTGGCCAGGGACCTCGGGGGCAAGGAGACCATCGTCCTGATTCGCTGAGCATTAGCGGACTTGGGATAACCGTGATCGGCGTCACCGGCCCATGCCGCGGTCTACATCGCAGAAGGCAGAATGCAACATGCAAATTGGGTACAATGCTACGAGGATGAAAGACGAACATGTCAGATCTCATATGCCGTGTTTGGAAAGGTTCCTGGAGCCAGTCATATTTCGTCCAATAATTAGTTCAATCAACCACTCGCGAACCATTTCCTATACGAAGCCCATGTTTCGTTCCATACGATCATGGACCATAATTGGTGGAAGATGGGGGAGTCTGCCTGACAAGCATGATGAATGAAACAGCAAGTTCAGACTGACCGTGGAGTAGAAGTCTACCACAGGGAAGGAGCACTACTGTGCCCGCTACGACGTCGGATAACTACTCCCATCGCACCTAGTCATTACCCATAGATTCTTCTAGATGCATTGCCCGTCTTATCCGCCTCACATCAGGACCATTGACCATATAGGGCTGCATATGCATGGCCTCCCGCACACGAATAGTGCAGGTGTTTTTCTAATACCGTCTTCCCCTGTATCTGATATTCCCCAAGTGGTGAAGGATTTGGCACTTGGCAGTCACGCATAAGAATTCATAACAGAGGTCTCACTGCGGAACAAGTTCGACGGACACTACATGATCAAAGGTCTAATTCCCAAGGATTTCCACTTGTTTGTCATATTCGTCGGAGAGAGTGTCTTGATAAGCAGTATTTACTAATAAGCTTCGGACCGTCAGTGGATACAAGTCCGAACGCTCCAATCAGTATTATATACACCGTCGTTATAGTGTAACCCCTACTTGCAGCTGTTACACAAGCAGTCGTAGATAGGGCTGAAATGCAAGGTTCCTCATGCCGCCCACGAGTACAGCACGTCACGGGTCTGTCCTTGAGATATAGTGTAGTCATTCTGCTCCCACATTTCTTGAGGTGAAAGCCAGCTTTGCCTTGCTCCTTCTACCCTTGTTTGAACAACGAGTCTCAGCCCGGAACTTTCCAGATAATATTTCTCGATATCCCATTAAAGCAGCACCAGTTGGAGCCCATCCGTTTATCAAGTGGCGAATTATAAGCGAGAGCGTAACCCTATTGCTTCGTCCGCTAACCCATGAGGACGACGACATCTCACAGTCCCGACCTCAATCCATCTGAGAGATTCCTGGTGTTAGCGACCGCAAAGAGGTTCCCCGAAAACGCGGCAAAAGAGACTGCATGGACCGAAGAATCGAGTCGATACCACACAGCTTGTTCATCCAAAATGGTTGGAGTCAAGGGCAAATACAAGGGTTGCAACACATGTCGGAAAAGGCGGGTTGCGGTGAGTCTGAACTTGTCTTGGGACCACCCCGGAACCCTGGGTGGTTTTTACATGGTTGTAATGCATTATATTTATGATACAATGCAAACTGATATCACTACTAGTGCGATAACACTCGGCCTTATTGTAAGAAATGTACCGACCACGGTCGGAATTGTGAGGGTTATCAAACAGAAACCATTTTCATCGTTGGAACCATCGAAGACAAAGGTCGATGCGCCTCACATCCGCCACGGAACCTCGAAAGTCCCGGTACCTCGTCCTCTTTGAGAAAGAAGAAAGCAGTTGACACAGTAACACTGAGCCCGGGTCCAGAGCCAGCAAGGAGCAGAAGGCGGGCAGCCTCCGAAGGCCAACAGGAGGACGTGAAAATAGAGTTCAAAGAGGTCTTGCCAACAAGGTCAAGATCGGAGGATCCTGTGCTGGTGGCACAATCCAGTTGGCAAGATTTCATTGATGTCGCATCAGTTGGTGGACTGCACAGGTTGAGATTTGCAGCCATCCATACCAGGCTCAAGAGCGTCAAGCGCCAGCACGAACGATTAGGAGACTCGGAAATGAAGTTGAGTTTACATACTTCCAGAAGAGTTGATGTCACACCGACATACAGCGATGAGAATCTCAAGCTGGAAGCAGAGTGCTTCATCTATCTACCCAGGAGAAGTCGACAGTCGAGTCAAGCGCATAGTTGGGATGCAAACGCAGAAGAGGGGTTATGTCTGTTCCTATATGAGGTGAGTAGATAAATATCCGCTTATTAACTCTTCTTAACAAGATGTCCCATGTTAATCGCCAAAACTAGCAAAACCGCTCTTCATCGTATAATAATAATAAGACTCCATGGGAAGACCCGGGCATGCAAAACGATCCGATCCGTCAATTAGGGCCGGGTGCCTTCCAGGCGTTTCCCAGACACCACTTCTTCACACGGGTATACCGCCCAAATGCTGTAAGTATTGTTGTAATTCAAGTATAAACCCACCAAGTCGTCTCGTTGCGATACCTCATCTCCACGCAGAAACTTTCTACCTAAAGTAGATGTTGTTAACTATGGCACCAGATTTTTGCGGCCATTTTAAACCACAGCCCAACCCACATGTCAGATCCAGAATGGAACACTACGCCATGGGAACACTCGCCAAAGATGCCACTCGACACCCTCCTTGACATCATTGTGAAACTACCCTTACTACTTTCCCGCTCCGATCGCATAGTGTCCCTACCTTCTTCGTTACAGCGCCAGCTGCAAGCCTTGGACCTTATCAAGAACTGTACAACTATCGAGGCACAGTTTGAGAGCTGGTACTCAGCTTTAGAAGAGGCAGCTTTAAGAAATGTAGAATGCCCCTTACTCTACTGGGCCTGGAGGAGAGCAGTCTCTACCATCGAGTCTGAGCCTTGGAGCCACGGACAAGTGCCCTTCGAGGTCACCTACGATTTCCCATGTGCCGGAATAGGACTGTCACATATATACTATTGGACCGGCCTGATCGTACTCTATAGGATAATGAACCGACTTTTGGCAGTCGCGGAAAATGACAACCCATTTGGCGGCTCATTAGTGGCAGCGACGGTCCCAATGCCGGCGGTGCCTGCGACGGCCGGCCCGGTGAACATCCCCGCGCTTTACCTCACATCACAACTACCAGAGTACGTCTACGACTCGCCTGCAGACTCGGTGCACAGCTATACTTCTGCTTCAGGCTCTGCCGACGACCGATCCTCATTACCTACTGCGGCATCTTTTCCATACCAGACGAGCCCCGACAGCTCATACCACCCATCGTCAAGCCCTCATATCCCATCTGCAAGCCTTGTCACTGATGATGTCCCACCGAACACCGGCCATGTCAAATATAGGCCGCGCGAGATCCGACAGCTCGCAGCCAACGTGTGCCGAAGCCTCGACTGGGCGATCAGGCGGTTCGAAGGCGACGCGCTGGGCCCGCTGTGCCAACCAGACCTGGTCGCCGCCCCTCTGTATATTATCGAGAGGTACTATGAGGACATTGCAGCGGTTGGAGACGGCGAGCTCGAAAGAATGTGGTGCACCGTATTCAGGGAACGATGGGAACAAAGAGCGAGCGAAATAGAAAGCGCTATATTTGGTCCCCAGGAAAATACGACGGCGGCTGTGCCGGGCTCAGCCGTCGGAACGGAGGAGAACGGTGTTGGGAAGAGATGGATAGGACTCGGAAGATTTGGAGCATAGGATCGCTTTTTATTTTATTTGTTTTTACATCTTCTTCTCATAGTAGCAAGGCCTACTAATCATTGTTTTGTACCTCCAGGACTGCTATTGTCGAGCTCCTCAAATCATCAAATGTTTATGTGAACTGGCTTGTTTCTCATTTCATCAAGTACCAGGCATTCAGAGAAATCCACGAAACTTGACTCAAAGGCTATATCCTCTGAGCTCTAACATTTAAAGGCACTTTAAGAGAAGCAGATATCAATGTGTGTTGGTCCCAAGATTGGGAATACTCAATGCCGCGAGGAGGACATGGCTATCCCCCCATACTAGTGATTGAGACATTTCGCAAATTCGAATGAGAGATTCTGGATCGGGCAACCGGCAGTACGATCCGGGTAAAGAATCGACATAATAACACGATTTTCGGCTCACCTGTTCCGAAAGACTCCCAAAAGCTCCCGGGGCGTACCGGATCCTCCTTGCGTAGATGGGCTTTGCCGTGTATAGCGCATGACAAGGGGAAGAAAATAGCCTTTTTTTTTCGTCACATGTCCATGAGTCTGAACAGGAGAAGCCACGTTTTTGTCCCTTCTCTGTCACACTCTCTCTCTCTCCTGCCTCACTTCTCCTCACCCTTCCTTCACAGCTTTGATTATTGTATCCGGAAAGGACATAGCGCAGGAACACGCCCCCTCCCCCCGGATTGCAGGCTTATACGACGATGGTAGTGATGATGATGACAAGAGCCGCATTTGATACTACCGATATACTACCGGATCGAACCACATTTCTGGCAGGGGATATTGCTGTCACGAAGGTTCCGGTCCAAGGTTAGGAAGTTTGTACTGGTGGCATCAAACGACGTGATTGTTGAGTAGATATTGTCAAAGTTGTTGGTTATAGTCAAGTCAGGCGGCGAGAGAGAAGTCGAGGCTCTGGCGGTCGTAAAAGGAAGAGGAGTTCATTTGTGCTGCTTAGTACACCGTGGAAAACTCCGGGTAACTAGACCAGTGAAAGACGTGAAGGCTGTGGTTTCTTTGTGGCACTACCACGTGTGCCCGTGGTCGTGTCTGCGATCGTGTCAATGGCAAAATGATGGTGGTGTCCGCTGGTAATACTCGTTACGTCCTTTGCCAAGGTCGTATCGTCTGATGTGATACCACTGGTTGAGTTCGGTAAGAGGCGTTCCTTTGCTGACGGCTCAGCCTTGACTTTTCTAGCGGCGCTCGCCAACTCTTGTCATCTTCATCGTCATCCTTGTCAGGTTTTATCATGGTTTATGCCACTGCAAGTTATTGTGTCGTCGAACTTTGTCGTCGTCATCAGCCTTGTCGCCATGGTCACTAATTGTTTTGAGCGATTGCTCTATCTCGCTGACGAATCTTTCGCGATGGATTTGGCAGCTACAGCCAATGCGACCGGAGAGAGCAAAGAGCATGATGATGGACAGATAGGCTTCAGCCATCAGCCTTGATTGTCGACGATCAGCAGCATGAGTGGTTCGATGAGACGAGAGAGTTGGTGCATTGCCTATTAATGGATATACTACACACCAGCTGCGGAGCTTTGCTGTGTCAGATGATCCTGCACCGAGTCGCGGATTAAGTATCCCATTTATGCATGTCAGGAACTTTTCTCATTGGGGCTTCCGCGAGGTCGCACAGTTTTTGACAACATGGTGGCTGCGATAGGGTTTCGAGTGTGTGTTGTTACCTCAGAACCGGTTTGAGCCAGGGCATAGAAATATGGCCACAAACACTGTCCTGGTGTTTATTCAAGACCCGATAGCGGTTGGAGAAAGTACTGCATGTACAGCCCTGGTAGCGAACGGATTAATACTTCTCGAACCTTGTGCCAGTTGACCAGACCGTATTACTCCGCATATATTTGAGATTAGACTTTCCCTGGTCCTACATTCTTCTGGTTTTTCTATCAAGTCACAATTCAGAAAGAGAAATTTGGTAAAGAATTAACCACTTCATCTTTCACAACTAGAATTGTTTTATATTCAATGTAAAGTTCATGATATCTCATTGTTATGTTTATATGCCGAGTGCTAGTTGCAGGTTTATACATTCCTTATTGATGCTTTGTTCGTCGAGGCCAAGTCCTGCTTTCTTAAGATTCAGCTCATGTTCCTCCAGGAATATATTCGTTTCTGCCCTCAACGTTTCAGTCGCTGTCCGTAGGAAAAGCTGCGCTGCTTTAAGAACCGTAGTCTCTTTGTTAAGCGCTTCTAACGTCTTCAGTTGGCTTGAAATCCACTTGTCAGCATTAAATATTTCCGCATCCAAACGATGGGCTCTGTCCCTCCATGACAGGTTATTAGAGATGATTGCTTCTTTTCTGGGGTTTAAGACGAGAAACGCAAGTTGGTGTGCATCTTTGGATTTTCGCCTGCTAATTTTCGAAATTACTGCATATGTACACAGGCGACGGAACATGGAGAAGTCGTCTGGCTTTCCTTGGTCTGGGGACTTTTCCAATACCGGTAGCTTGGTTTCAGTTCGTGAGATCTCGGTTCTGAGTTGGTCAGCTATTTTGTGGTGCGCGTTCATGTTCATTTCAAGCCTTTGGAATATTGTCCCGCAACGAGAGATGTTCCGGTGTCAATATTGTATATTCGTGATCCGTTGGTGACTTACTACTCTATCTTTCTGCTTGTTATCCCACCAGGCTCGAAGTCACAGCTTGGGCATTTCTCATCAAAAACCGCCTTGAAAAGGACCATGGCCATTTCAACTCGCCGTCCTGGTCGGAAGCATGATGCCCACGGGTTCTTCATGTCAATAACGCGACTCGTTATTGAGTCTTCAATTACAAACTCGCCGCGATCAAGTCTCTCGGTGCCAACGCGGGCCATTTCAAGATGTGAACGAAGGACATAGAGAAAGATATGTTTAAGGTTTGAGCGACGTTATGGTCAAGCTAGCTTAAATTATACAAAATGAACCTCGGCAGACGTGACTGTCTCTGGATGGAATGGCCTTGGAAAACCAGGTGCATAAAAAAATACTCTGGTTGCTGTTTCAAGATCTGACCTGGGATTTGCAAGACAATCTCTTGTATTTTCAAGACTGCTTCAAATATTTCGATGTTTATTCTCCTGTGAATATGAGTTCTCGTGCAGCATGTTACATAAATGAAGACAACCCACGTTGACTCGATAGAAATCTCCAAGATTCTAAGCAAAGTTACTTGGATAAGTCACAAACGGCCGATGCAGGTTCACACCTGCTGGTCCGCGATGTAATAACCACTAACCTTTTCATCCATGAATTTGAAAGCATCTGAATCATTGAGAAAAAAAAAGAGAAAAAAAAAACTGGTTGACGCTGTGAGTCTCGCCTTTTGTTTTCCAACTGGTCGCTTTTGCCGTAGAGCATGTAAGGGTCACATTCAAGATGGTCTAGTTCGAAAGATCACGCTCTTACGGCAGCTAAGAGTTTACTTAATGCCTGGGCGTGTGCCATCAAATGTGCCGTAAACTTGTCAATATCACCGTCCTTGCACACAGCCCATCTGGTTTTTATCCAGCCGTCCTTCAGTTTAGAAGAGCCAGCTGTCTCTCCTAAGTGCGGCTGGTATCTGCGTATCCCCTAAAGACAGGCATCAACTGCACGCTGACATTAGACGATATATTGGCCAGGTGTTCTAGGCCGGTGCGCGGTGGCACAACACAGCCTCACCAGCCAATTATGATATCAGCCTGCAAAGGGATGCGGCAACACCCATCACTCATGCCCTCCACATTCCTTAACCTATATGCCAAGCGGTAAGATGTGTACAAACGCCTATCTACCTCAGCCAGAAAGAAGATCAAACCTCGCAGATTTGTCCACCAGCCACGAAAGGAGTATTGGGCAAGCAAGTTGATACTGACGGATCAACAGTTGTACGACGACATTCGTGGTACAGCTGAATGACTCGATCGAAGGGTCTGAACCTTTTCAACGCGGGCGGAGATGAAAACATGGTTCGGATATGGTATACAGGCAGAATAGAGAATAGAGATAGCACAGGTAGAGATGAAACGTGTGTAAGATTGTGGTTGTTCAGGACAGGCTGAGCTGTGGAGGCACTATTAAAATATACCATTGTACGGATCCGTGTGTAGCAAGCACCCCGACATCAGCATAGTCGCCTTTTCACGTAGCGCTCTCAGGGGCAGCGACAGGGATGCTGCATTTCCGGCAACGCCCGCCCCCCGCGTTGGCGATGCTCCCAAATTTTGAACCCCCGATTAATTATTAATTAACTATTAACTGTCAGACTATCGAGCGACTCGCGTTGCAGTTCATCACAACCCCCACCATCACGAAACTTCGTTTCTTTCCTACAACCGTCGAGCGGCCAGTATACAGTCCTGACCTCTAGACCTAAAAATCCGCAACACAGAGCCGTGTTAGGCTAACACCCAACCATCATGTGGTAAGTTATCCTTCTCTCTTCCTCTCTTCCTTCCTTCCTTCCTCCTCCCCCTTCGCGACGACAAACCCGCCGACTCTTTCCCTTTCCTCATTCCCACGGCCTCCCCCCTGCTCACACCCGCAACCCTCCAGCAAGCACGTCCTCAACGCCCAGGTGTCGATCCGCAGCCCGTGCTGCCGGAAGTGGTTCGACTGCGCCGAGTGCCACCACGAGTCCGAGTCGCACGCGCTCAAGCCGACGCTGGAGATGATCTTTGCCTGCAAGAAGTGCCGCAAGTGCTTCCGCAAGGACGTCGAGGAGTTCGAGGAGGCCGACGAGTTCTGCCCGCACTGCGACAACCACTTCGTCCTCGAGGCCGTGGTCCCCAAGCCCGCGCTGCGCGTCGAGGGAGAGGACGCGAGGGTGGACAACAGAATGCTCAAGGACGACAGAGTCAAGGAGCAGGAGTTCAAGACAATATTCGACCCTGACAAGGATGCCAACAGACTGGGTTAGATTTCTACTAGGTGGCTGGTGCATTTGAAAAATAAAACATCCTCTTGAGTGCTCGCTACATGGTCCGGAGAGGCCTCATCACAGGAGCAGGAACGGGGACAGGAACAGAAACAGGAGCAGGCGCGGGTGTGCATGCAAAAAACAGGAGCTGGCGGGGGAGAATGATACCACATAGACGAACATGACACTAATGAAACGAAACGAAACGAACATGATGACAACGCAAGAGGACCGAGAACGCCAGGTCTGCATTCGTTTTTAGTGTACAGGATCGTGACGGCTAATTGCCGCTCTATGGTTCATTCTTCATCACATATGTGGCGTGGAATGGAATGCATGAATATCCCTGCTGTCCACAAGATCGTTCTACTTCCGCATGCCCGCCCGCTTTCTTTCCGGCGTCTATGCATCAGTGCTTCTCGTCAGTATGGCGGCGCTGCCGGTACCGGGTGTCCGGCCCGTCTTCTTCTTGGCAGCCTCCTCTTGCTTCTCCTCCTCGATTTGCTTGACGTAGTTCTCAATGTCCCCCTCGGGCAGCATCTCGACCGTCTTGCCGGGTGCCATGATGGCGATCTCAATGTTCTTGGCACCCGTCTGGACGACCTCGAGCAACGACTTGATGGCGAGTCGGATAGTAGCCTCTCTGTCCATGTCCTCCTTGTAGTTGCGCTCCAGGAACTCGCGGACCGTCTTGCTGGAGCGGCCGATGGCATTTGCCTTCCTGTTTCCGTCAAAGGACAGACTCTGTCAGTCTACCGTGGTCTTGTCTCCATCTCACGCCATCTGGCGATGTGATGAGGACGGATGGGTTGGAACATACCATGCACTGTAGATGCCACTGGGCTCCGTCTGATACAATCTCGGCGTCTTGGTGCCCTTGTCGAAGCCCACGATCATGGTGCTGATGCCGAACGGTCGGACACCACCGCTCTGTGTGTACCGCTGCTGCACACCGGCGATATACTTGGTCATGTACTCGATGGATGCGGGGTCTTCGACGGTGAGTCTGTGGGATTGAGCCTCTAGGCGGGCCTTGTCGACCAGAATGCGGGCGTCGGCGTTGAGGCCGGCGAATGCTAGGCACACATGCGTATCGACGAGGCAGATCTTGGATGGTGTGATTCTTGTGTCTTGCAGCTTCATGGCTGATCTCTTCTCACAACCCAGAACGACGATATCGGAGCCCTTGACGCCCACGGCGCAGGTACCTGTAATGTCCTGGTCAGATGCCATGGCTGGAAGCGGCCGGAACGCCAAACAGGACAAGCCTACCTCTCTTTACGGCCTCACCGGCATACTCGACTTGGAAGACGTGTCCGTCGGGACTGCAGCATGTTAGAAAGACTGAAACGATTCCAACGTTTGCTAGAAGCCAGGCTGAGGGGGCGGTTCGAACCTGAAGACTATAGGTGGCACATTAAATTAGCTGAGTTGGAGGGACAAGTAGTCAATCAATGAAAGGCGACCTAGCTTACCCGAAAGAGCTCTATCGTAGCCAGACGCCATATTTGCGAGGTGCGTTTGTGAGTATTGTTTGTCCTTGGGAGAGTTTGAGCTGCAAAAGTGGTGTTTTGGAGGGGGTATCTTTGTCGTGATCAGCTCGATGTGTTTGGGTGAGGTTCGATGTGGATGGTACGAAGGTAGTAGCACTCCAGGCGCAAGGCTGCCGGAAGTTACGAAGCTCCAAAGTCCCTGTTGTGCCCTGGAGCTGACCTCCAAGCTCCCTCCAAGCTCGACCTTTTGCGGCGGCGCCTTTCCAAATCCAAATGGTGGCTGGCCTGGGGGGGCGCGTCACTGCACTGAACGCTTCACCCGCTAAGCCACAGGTTGCACCGCCACAAGCCGGGTGCATTATATACTTGTAGCATGGGAGCGTGCATTCCTCTACGTGCCACAGGGCAGAGAGTATACAACACGCGGCAGTCTCCTGGAAAACCAACTGCTCTGTCTCCGTAGTTAACATTCGACACTCTTATATTGCACTTATAGGAACCTGCGGTTTGACCTAATGCCAGATCCTTTTTACGAGCGCTCGCTCTTTCCTTTTTCGTTTGCTACAGCTTGCGACCCCAGTTCAGTAAGGGAGATTTCCATTTCCAAACCCGGAGCAGTGTGGTTGTTTTGATTTGATTGCTAGGATAATGTCGTTTCTGCATTGCCCAGCAGAGAGCGTCTGAGGTGTGGAACATCTGCATCAAACTGGCTCGCGTCCACGTGAGAAGGAGCAAAGTTATGATACGAGAGAAATTGGCATTCCCTCAACAAAGCTTCCCGCCTCTTCCTGTCTCTTCCTGTCCTCTTCATGCCACAACCTTCATTACCATGGGGACTAGCGACGCGTTCAGCACAAGCCACCGGTTCTCATGCATCATTCAAAGTCCACCCAAAGTACCTAGAAACCTCCCCAAGCGCGGACAACTGTTTGACCAATGACTGGAGACCGCGACAATACTATCTAACAATCAACCATGCCTTACCCCAAGCAATGGACAAAGCCTACCCCCCAAGAGTAGTCAGTGGTGTTGAGGCCAAACCATGAGATAGTAAGATCATTCACAGATCACCGCGACGTCTCCATGTGCAATTCTTTTTTGCAAAGATGGCAGACGTGCACATTTGGGAGCCTGAGTACCGAATCTCACATGGAAAGCTCCTCTGAATGTCTTGCATTAGCGCACTGGTGATACTTCTCCCTTGCTAAAAAGAACTTTCCCATCAGACATAGTGAATCACTTTGAGGCGTCGTTAAATTGGAATTTCATTGCAGTATGTGTGGTATCTGATACACTGACGCAGTCACTAGGTCTTCTCTGGGAGAGTATTACTTGATGGTTCAAAAGCCAGCGCTATCAGATCAAGTGTACTGCGAACACCATAACGGAACACGACGTTACTAGACGATACAAACCCATCAAAACAGCGGCGAACATATTGAGGTCGTGGTACGCATGCGTATCTTGGCCCTAATGATGTCCGAGGACCTTGTACAGAGCACGAACGTACGTCCTCTATCACAGCACAACCTTATGATTATGATGTCCCAGCATTGGGTATAGTAGAATCGCTCGACGCTTGGGTCCTTGTCGAATCAGGCTCTATTCCACTCTCTTATGGTCATGGTATTTCTGGTTCTTGTCCAGCAGACCCGCCAGATATTCCCTCCTTCGTGGGGTCGGATCCTATGCCATTGTCAAGAGTCGTTACACCTCAAAACTAGGATGATTTTGATCGTCAAGTCTGAGTGGCTAGATCTGGATATTGAGATAGAGAGAAATACGAGTCTGGTGTATATATGTTCAACTATGAGGCAACCAGTGCCCATGAGGGTAAATTGCGGCCTGGGGCGCATGCAAAGTCTCCCGGGTAGTGCCGTTGATTCCTATTGGACCTCCACGAACATAAGTCGGAACAACCGCGACACTTACTGCGTTGGAAAAATGGGTTGAGCAGGAAGGCAGCATGATGCTATGAGATAAGTTGAACTATCACAGCTAGATCAGCAAACTTTAGAATTAACCCGGCTTCGTGGAATTTTGCGTCTGTAGCTTGGTTACGCCTAGACTGAAGGAGTGACATATTGTATTTAAGCGCAGCACGGCATGGAATCTCATCGCTATTGATGCGGCACAACAGCCATGCTGGCATCGCGTGACGTTAGAATCCCCGCTCGTAACCTAGGTAAGCCATGAGGTTGCCGACGGAGACATTTCCACCGTGTGGGGTCCCCGCAATTCCAGATAGATCTCTGGAAGTGGCCCCCTGGCGCCCGCTATTGATGCAGGTATTGGCGTGTAACGGCGATTGGTGCATTTGAGGATCAGTATACAGCAAGTAGTCTGGTTCCGGCAGATAGTCTCTCTATGGCGCGTCATTACCCATGCGCACCAATCAACTATCGTCGCGAATAATTCGTGGGCATGCTTGGACTATGGCGAATTTTGAGATCGTGTGCGTCGCTTGTAAGAACCCACTGGCCGAGATGGGTTGGCGGATACTAGACTCATATGTCTGCCGAGTATAAAAGAAGCCTCCTCAGACCGGTTACTAGAGCTGACGATATGCTTACCAAATTTCCGCTCCTACACCGCATCTTTGTAACCGCTCCAGGTTCACGATGAAGGCGTTTTCCCTATTTTCTGCAGCCTGTCTAGGCGTTTTGGCTGTTGCGAGCCCGGTAGCAGAACGAGCCACAAGTCATGTTGGCTATCTGGTCTCTACCTTCACCGACGCCAATCCCAAAGTGCAGCAGTATCTCTCGAACGGGAACAACGCGTACAGCTTCAGATTCCTGAACAAGGGCAACCCCGTCCTCGCGTCGACTGTGGGCACCAAGGCCGTCCGAGACATATTCCTTGCCACCAACACCGCACGGTCCGGGTATTACCTGCTGGCCACAGACCTTGACATCAATGCCTCTGGATTCTCTTGGGACGCCGCAACGCGAACCGGATCCCGCGGCATCGTGGTGTGGAAGTCCACTGACCTGGTGACATGGTCCGCTTCCAGCCTGCGAACAGTAGAGGCTTCTACTGCAGGCATGGTGTGGGCGCCATCAGCTGTTTGGGACGACGCGACCTCGCAGTACTACGTCTTCTGGTCCTCGCGTCACTACTCGACCTCGGACACTGGTCATACCGGCACTGCTACGTTGGACAGAATTCGTTATGCGACAACGAAAGACTTCGTCACCTTCAGCCCACCAGCAGATTATGTCGCGCTCAAGGATACACCATTGATCGACCAAGAGTTCCAGTATCTTGGTACGAAGGGAAGCTATGCGCGGTTCTTGAAGAACGAGACAACACTGCAAGTGTACGAGGAAACGACCACCGGCGGTCTGTTTGGAACATGGACGAGGGTAAGCGGATACGTGACAAATGATAATCCGAGGGAGGGTCCTGCGAGCTTTGCGGATAACACGACGCCCGGGCTGTACCACCTATGGTTGGACAACTACACGGAGTATGTGCCTTTCAAGACCACTTCCATAAAAACCGGAGGGTGGACCGCGGAGACCGTGTCTGGTTTCCCAACAGGACTGAAGCATGGAAGTGTGACGCCGTTGACGCAGGCGGAGTACGATAGAATTGCTGCGAAGTATCCTTCCTAGGGCAGCAATCATGTGGTATGTCGTCGTCCATAGCCAGCATAGGAACGCTGCGTATGCAAAGGTTTATAAGCACCACGAAACATAAAACGTACCTCAGGAGCTGTGCATGTCCTCAATATGCCAGGTACCCGTCTGAACGTGACGGCTGTCGTCGTCGTTGGTTGTCACTTTGCTGCGATGTTGTCTGAAAGCTTCTGCGACATCATCTGTTTGTGTAAGGTTGCGGGCCGTAACTAGGTCGGCGGGAATACAGCTGTGTTCCAGCCTCAGCTTGACACGGATGAGCCGCTACATAAACGAGACATTGGGCTTGTTTATGTCACTTAGTTCAATTATGCCGGCAGTAGAACAATATACTCAAAGGCCTAAATCACGGTGATTGAGAAATTAAATTTCATCTCACAACACTGAGGACGTCATTTCCTGCGCTTATCCGCTGCGTGGAAAGTAAAGCGGCACTGCTTCCCTCCGTTAACAATGTTTGAGAGTAAGTCGCTTGTGCTGACTTATCTCACGTAGATTCGGTGTAATACACAAATGAAAAGGCTGAATACTACCGACCAAATAGAATGTCCAAACGCACATCGATGTCGCACTCAGACCTGAGCCACGCTGCTTTAAGCCTGAGCGTGACAAGGGCCAAACCTGAGCTTGGCTGGAGCTTAGCCTGGGTTGTGCCACTAATGAACGTGTTCTGAAATGGAAACGCGCATTAAAATAATATACATAAATAACTTTAACGTAAGAAACCGGCCTTACCGTTTAAGTTAATTTAAGCTTGTAATATGTCTTGACTAGAAAAATATTCTAGGTAGAGATCGTGAGATCTTTCTATAAAGCTATTATAACACAAAGCCTTAATATAAGTATTATAATAATAAAAATTTAAGTTTCAAAATTAATAATAACTTTAACTTCAATAATTTATTGAATCTTTTTTTAACAGGTCACCCCGTTTGCTAGGAATAATTCTACGAGAATTATTAGAGTGTATAAGATATTGTTTAGGCTTAAGTGAGCAGTATAGCCGTAAGGGGTGTATTAATGGATAGCAAAAGCCTAAAGAATCTTAAACCTGGTCGTCTTCTAGGCTCCCTAGTGTTATAATACCCACATTGGGGCTGTGTGACATGTCAGCTATATAAAGAGATCTCACAATCTCTACGTAGAATAGTCTTCTAGTCAAGACATATTACAAGCCCAAATCAACTCTACAATTCGTGACGTTGTAGGCTTGTTGTCTCACACCATTATTGTCAGCCCTTACAGCTCAGTGCTATTCGCACCCATACTCTTACACCTAGACTAGATATATATACTCACCCGTAGTAAGAAATTTAGGCCTCCTTAGTTCTATTATACTCTGATAGCGTGCCTTTCGAACGCATCTCGTTATATCTTGTTCTTTTAAAAGGCACTCTTTATCCTCGTTATCATTTAGGAAATTTATAAAGGAGGCCTATTTTGATTCGAAATAAGTATCGCGTCGATCGTAAAATTGGCGAAGGCGGATTCGAACTGTATATTCCGGTGCATGAACGTAGGTGTGGAGTAACAGAGCAAGACTCACATCGGCAGGTGTCGATATCGCTTCTGATGAAGAAGTTGCAATTAAATTGATGGAAAATAGGGATGGTTCAACTGTATTGAAAGACGAAGCAGAAATGTACAAGCAGCTACAAGGAAAAACAGGATTCCCGAGGGTCTACTGGTCTGGATCAGACGTGTGCTACGACGTCCTAGTCTTTGAGCTTCTGGGGCCATCCTTGGCGGATCTTTTCGAGTACTGTGAGCAGAAGTTCACGTTAAAGACCCTCCTGCTGATTTCCGAGCAGGCAATCACAATGATCGAATGCACTCACATGCACTATCTTCATCGTGATATCAAGCCCGAGAACTTCCTAATTTCAACAGGACAGCAGGGCAATATCATCTATGCTATCGACTTTGGTCTAGCTAGAGAATTCTCCGAGGAGGAGGAATCTAAGGGATACCAAGGACTTGCATTTGAAGGAACTCATCGTTACGCAAGCATTAACTGCCATGATGGACTTGGTAGGAGTTTCATATACGTCACGACAGGACCTTCACTGACTGGGTTGAAGAGCCATCTTGGCGAGACGAGCTGGAGTCTCTGGGCTACGTGCTCTTGTACTTTGCTCGCGGTTATCTGCCGTGGCAGGGGCTCAAGTCAGGTACTAGAGGCGAGAAGAACATGCTCATCAGAGATAAAAAGGCTAGCCTGTCAGGGGTAGAACTCTGTGAGGGCTTCCTTCCTAAGGAGTTTGCCGAGTTTATCGACTATACAAGGTCTCTCAAGTTTGGCGAAAGACCTAATTACGGACATCTGCGCAAAAAGTTTCCGCTTTCGAGCAGAGGGGTTCCAATATGACAATATTTATGACTGGATTGAGAGGAAGTTCCATGAAATTCGGGGCGAGCTCGGTCAAAAAGATTCGACACTGGCGCTTACTACTCTATATCTAAGAGAAAGTGGAGTTGAAAAAGCTGCCAGAGAGTGAGATTGTTCGAAAAACGGACTACTGGCTAGTGCTCTCCGATTTGCCCATAAGCATCTTGGCCAACCGGACCGGGGGAAGACCAGTGCCATGCTGCTCAGACTTGCAATGAGAGGCCCGGTATTCATCCATCATTTGCCGTAACTGCTAAGTTAACGTGATGCACAGCTAGCATGTTAGCCGCAACCTTACCCCCAGGCGCAAGCTCTGTTACCTGCATTGCTAACGTTGCAGATGTCACCGACACATTGAAGCGGCTTTCCAGTCGCATCTGGGCAATGATTTGGTACCAGCTAACTCCGGGACTGAAGTGGCAGATTAGGCGCAGAACCCTTGGGGTGGTTGGGCCAATATCCGAGCATAGTAGTATCAGTAATGGAATGAATGGATATAATAAGGATTGAATTTCCCAGCTACTACATAGCCATTCATTCCTTCATTGATACTGCTGTGTTCAGTAGTTCTCAACTGATCAGTGTGTCAACAATGATCACTTTTGCTCACTTGACTTGGGTCCTGTACCTTTCTTTTGTTCAATGAGATCGCTGTGGCAGTGATTGCTCCTCTCAAGCGATCTCGCGTTCGAAATACATGCCCGTAACAACTTTTATAAGAAATCATCAAGTACTATGGCCACTCCTTCCGACCTTGCCCATGCCAGCTGAAAACTATCAACCGCACGTTGTGATAATTCCTCCACCCGTTGCTTGCCATCAAGTAGACACTGCGCAGATCGCATGGTTTCCTTACAAAAAATAAAATAAAATAAGCTCTCTCTCATAGCCATTGGCCTCCTTCTTCTTGAATAACAGTAGATCTTTCAGTGGCAAGACAGTTCCCGGTTTAGAAGACTCTAAGTTCTCCCGAATGGCATCTATGGCAACCGAAGACCCGTACGCTTCGGCGATAGCCTAATCCACGGGGCGGGGCGGCGGTGGGTGGTCCAGATCTCGGACGGGAACAAAGGATTGACTGGTGGTGTAGTGTCCACAGGCAATTCAGCCGCTATGGTGTAGTCCAGGCGCTCGGTCACAGAGCCTCGCCTGCTCGAGCTCTCTCATGCCTTTGCGGGAATTGCAAATGGCAAGATAAGACAGTTCCCTCGCGTACTATACGTCTTTGAGTAACTATTCTCCCGCTCGGATAGCTTCTCCATATGCAGCAGGGATTTCCTTGTACATGTTCACCTCTTCCTACATCAGCTTACATTTCTCTTCAAGAGAGAATGAAGGGGTTTGCCGAGTCGGATGGCGCCTGCCAGTCGGCCAGTTACGAGTCGCAGCACTGCGGCTTGTCTTTACGTGGTCGCACCAACCATGAAAGCTGCTAATCGTAATTTATAACAAGCTCTCGATATACGCAGTGTCTTCACATAACTGATTTCCTAGTCATATAGATTCCCTACTAAATGGAAGCTCATATTTGCAGGCACTGGCTTTGCGCTCTACAAATACGATCAGGTCTTGAAGTGTTAGGATAAACTAAACTAGAGAAGGGTCCATTAGTACAAGACATCAGGGCATATACCGATATACATATTATTAAGTGTTTGTGAGAGTATGGCTGCGAATAGCACTGAGCTGTAAGGGCTGACAATAATGGTGTGAGACAACAAGCCTACAACGTCACGAACTGTAGAGTTGATTTGGGCTTGTAATATGTCTTGACTAGAAGACTATTCTACGTAGAGATTATGAGAGATCTCTATATAGCTGTCATGACACACAGCCCCACTGTAGGCACTATAACAAAATATCCTTATTTTCTTTTTAAATGTTTTCATTAAACAAACTTATAAATCTTTTTATTCTATTTTTATAATTTGCTTTTAAATATTATTTTAAATTAAATACTTTTATTTAATTAATATTATATAATATATAATTATATATAAGTTATTTTAACTTTATTTATTTAAAATTATTCAAAGTATATAACTAAGAATTAATTAAGCTAAGACTAAGTAAATGCGGTAAATGCGGTAAACGCGCTAGTCCCGGTTTGGCCGAAAGAAAAGGTGTTTTGGACATTTGACTACCCATGTCGAATACCGACTATTTGTTCCAAACCTAAATTTTGAATTAGACCATAACTTAAAGATCGGACCCCACGATATTGATGGTTTGCACTGAACCACTGTTGAGCAACGGCCCAGTCATGTGATACTTGGTCAAAAATATGAGCGATCCTAAAAAATGCTGCAACAAGGCCTTCGCACTGCTGGCTGTGGCGATTGTGCTGAAGGATTTCTGTCGTACCACCTTCCGACGGTGGCAAAGCGGCGCTTGAGCATCGATTTGAGGGTAACTACATACATATACAATCCAAAATGAGTGATGCCCCCGAAGAGGTGAACCGAGTATCGAGCAAGGGAGAATAAAAGCTGACGGGAGAACCCCAAGCATTACTGGGACGTTGTCCGGCGCCGTTCAATGAAAGCTCCCGGAGTAGTGTAAGTGGTGGAGAGAGTTTGGTCTAGACTAGGCCCTGCTCACGCCCACGAACTTCTCTGCATCAGGTAAGACGCCATGTTAAGCACTATTCGTTTGCTACTGCAACTCAAGTGTTAGAGTGCATATGTGAGCTGCAAAGCTGGGATCATGAGATGGAGAGGGAGGAAGTGGCGTCACCCCATGTCTGCAGTCTACCCAGGTCGAATGTGAAGACCTGCCAGGCCTATCGTTGCTGCTTTGACATCAGTCACGTTATGTGCCCCGAAGCTCTGATGATCTCCTGTCAATTCAATCGAGTCCAATCGAGTCCAATCCAATTCAAATGGCATGGTAGTTCCCAATACTGGAGACCGATCGATTTGTTCTTACCATCTTTTGGATTCATGTTTTCTCTCCTCTCTAGAGATCAGCTCCCTAGCAACGCAATTTAAACAATTTGCATCCCTCATTTCCTTCCTCTGGACGCGTCCGGACTCAGCACAACCATCTGCGCCGAACCCCACCCTCGGAAAGCGGCTCCTCCAGTCCAGTGGAAACGCAACGCCTCACTGACAACTTTGTTGATGATCCGCTGGAGACGAAGACCCTGAGTTGATCACGGGCTGTTTGTTGATCACCAAGACATTCCATTCGAGCTCATCGACTGTCGAGTTGTCGCATTGGCTCGCTAGACAGATCAGGTGCCTTTGTTGGTCTATTTGATAATAAACAATCCCACATTGGCTGTTGCAAGCTTGGGCAGCAAACCAAAAACCAAAAACCAAAAAAACAATACCGAGCACATTTTCGCCCACCTCCATTCCCAGCGGCACGGTGCCTTCTTAGCTGTAGCTGCAGTCGTAAGGTAGCCTGCCATCCATAACACAGGACCCCCCCCCCTGTCCCCACCAGACAGAACAAGATCACCACAACGATTAGAAATGTTTACACAACCGGCGCCTTCGTCCACTACGGCTCTTGTAACACCAACTACAGATTCTACAGCATCGCCCTCTGCGCCGCCGGCTACTAGACCGAGCAGAATACGGGGCCTCAGCTACCTGCGAAACTACACGGCAAACCACCTATTGTCGCGTGATAGTGGTGTTAGCGCTCAGAATAGTGCGTCAGGCTCTGCCTTGGGGTCATCTTCACAGCATTCACCGCTCACACGAGCTACAACCCACGCAACCCTCAGTGTCACCGGGAGAAGACGCTCGCGCCATTCAGCCACTGCCGATGATCCACTCAGGTACTGTACAAAACATGGAAACCAATGCGGTCGTCGTTCTGACATTACTCTCCTAGCACACCGCGAGACCGGCTCCTTCGAACTACGTCAGCACAAAACCCCGGAAGCAGCAGCTCTCATAACAACGGACCGGCGCCTGAACCAGCCTCCAACTCGGACTCGGACAGCGGTCGCGCCAAGAAGCACAAGACAGGCGCAGAGAGCGTAGAGGACACCGAGGATCACACTGCAGGCGAGGTAAACATGACCCGCACGCGCTCAGCAACTACGGGCGATTTGTCCCTGGACATGTTGCCCTCTATTCGATTTTCAGCGCACTATGATGCTAGATCGACTCGGCAATCCTTGTCCTTCACCCCAGTTTCACGAACTCTGCCCACAGGAAAGGAGATCATCAAGGTAGGCCGCTACTCGGAAAGGGAACAGCAGCAGATAGTGCCTGCCAACACGCCGTCAGCAGCACCCGTCGGTTTCAAGAGCAAGGTCGTCAGCCGGCGACACTGCGAGTTCTGGTATGAGGATGGCAAATGGTACATCAAAGACGTCAAGAGTTCATCTGGGACCTTTCTGAACCATATCCGGCTCAGCCCTCCTGGCAACGAATCTAAGCCATTCATTGTTAATGATGGCGATATTGTACAGCTGGGCATCGACTTTAGGGGAGGGGAAGAGATGATTTTTCGCTGCGTCAAGATGAGGATAGAAGTGAACAGGGGCTGGCAAAACAAGCCAAACAATTTCAAGCAAGGTCCCAACATTCTTTGGCATCCGACAGAAGCTAACCAACACCAGCATGGCAACTCACAAGCGACTCCGGAACTTGACCTCGGCAGATCCCGCCAACGCATTAAATGCCCAGGACTGCTCGATTTGTCTAAACGCGATTGCGGTAAGTTATATGATGCCCTTTACAGCAGCAGCAGCAGCAACAACAACAACAGCAACAACACCACCACCCCTAGATAAGCCTATCGGTACTGATGACTTCTTGCAGCCCTGTCAATCCCTTTTTGTAGCACCGTGTAGTCACACGTGGCACTACAAATGCATTCGGGAACTGCTGGTCGGTCCATCACATCCTATTTTCACCTGCCCCAATTGCAGAGCTGCCGCAGATCTCGACGCCGATATCGAAGAACCCGATGAGGAATGGCAGCAGCTGGACTCTGGTGGAGAAGACGCGAATATGGATACAAGCGACGCTCCGCAAGAACTGACAACGATTCCAACCGATGACAGTCCAAATATGTCGGACATGGCCGCAGACGAAGCCCCCTCCCCAGTCTCACCACCAGTGTCTCCGGTTGAAGCGGAGGCGGAGGCAGCTGACGTTACAATGATGCTTGATCACGCTCCAACAGTGCAGGAAATCCCGATTAGACCAGCATCCAGACCGGAAGCATCGAGTCCCGTACCCATTCCCCGGTCAAGTCCCATACCAGTCAACAGGTCGAGGCGGACGCCATCACCGCCAAGCGGTCAAGAAGGGCCGCTGACACCGCGAAACGATGCCGGCCCATGGGTCTTCGATGGTGATGCCGGACGCGCCTCACAAGATATATCGAGGCCTGGCGCAATGGTGAACTTGGACGCAGCTGCAGCGCAAGTGGAGTCGAATGCGAGTTAGGACCCTTTTTTCGAAAGCCCCGATCATGCAGTTGTACATAACTCGTGCTCCAAGTCCAGTTCTGATACAGCCGTCTCAGTCAAGAGTACCAGATGAAGCTCTGGCAGAGTAGACGGCCGCATTTTCTTGTTCACAAACATGACTGACCCTTCCTGTCAGCAAGTGTAGAAATGTCAGGATGGCTGGGCTTTAAGCCCCGGAACTTATTGGAACCACCAGTTCCATAATGTATTGGTAGTGGTGGGCTATACATAGCGACCTGATCTGTTGAACCGTGATTTGGGCATTGGGAGGATATTCACCAGGGGCGTTCGGATTCTGCTTTGTGAGACGCACGACAATGGGATTAAGCACCACGATGGTCAGCATTTGTGGCGCACGTTGATTTAGGAAGATAACTCTTTTGCTTTATGCTGCATGAGCTGGAAACTACTACAAGGACTAGCACGAATTAATCAAGATGCCTAGCGCATCGTATAGACACGCAGACATGCTGACATGCAGACGGCCATGCCGCAGAACAGGATGCCGTTTGGCAGCATTAGCTAACCTGTCTGGATTTTCTGTAGTATATGGCCAGGGCAGCGATAGATGGAGTATGAACAGCCATGAGCGAGATGAAGACACGTTCAATTCTACTACTTTCAGAACAATGGTATCGTGTAAGGACGGGTATTTCAGTGTGCAAGCCTTGCCCATATCATGTCAAGATGTTGATCGGCCCAGACGCTAGAGTCGGTGACCGACGAGAGACGTCATAGTGCATGTCCGACTGGAAGCAAAAAGGCACAATTTTGTTACATCGACATGTGTCAGAGCTGCAGAATCTCGAGGAGAGAAGATCATAGAGATATTTGTTTCGCATGTTAGACGGGATAAGACCCTTGCGGCGGGCACAAGCTGAAGCTTCAAGATGCTGCCGAATAACAATGCAAGCATTCGTGAGTTGCTGACCAAGTACGGATACCCACAACTAGCCGAGCTCTACAGTAGGGGCTTTACCACATGGCTGGAGCGGGCGGCCCGGCTCCCTGGAAATTACAAAGCGACCAAGGTCTCCACCATCCTTGCAGCGAAGTCGGATCAATCTTCAATGGCTGGAAGCATGTATGTTGGCTCAGCGCGGTGGGCACAAGGCTCACAGGAAACGTTTGGGATTCTGTCAGAGTAAGCAACCCTGTTTGCAACGGTGAGCAGACCGGCTTTGTATCATTCCTGCTATAATTGCATGCTTCTCTTTGTCTCGTCAAAAATCACTTCGCTCAACTATTTTGTCTGTTGTTTCATATTTGCCAAGAAGTGCATACATCGGCCTAAATCTCATTGCAAGTTGCTATATCGGAGCTTGGTGAAATAAGTTCCGCAGCTACCCTTGCCTGACCTCATTCCGCGAGCTCGCTCTGCTATAAACCAACTACTGCACCGTTCAGCCATAACGAATTGAACCCCTTCACTCTGTGCAACGTATTACGAGCGCATCAGAGCAGCCGTGCTCGAAGAAGCGCAGAGATGTCAACGACTGGCGGGTGAGCAATCCTCTGGCTCTGCGCTCATATTTGGGCGCCAGAAGCCAAAGAAAGGCAAAAGCAAGTGCAAAAGCAGGAGAGACCGAGAGCTGACCGTATCGCTTGAGTACAGTGCGTTCTTAGCCGGCGGCATTGCCGCTTGCGGTGCTGTCACGGCAACACATCCATTCGAGACGGTCAAGATTAGGTATGCGATTCCACAGTAATGCCTTTCGACTGCCAAGGAGAAATATGGTGCACATGCGATATGCGATCCTTCATGGGCACAAATCTTCGTTGGCGCGTCCGCCGCCTTCGGTGGTGGCGGATGCGGTTCGCCGAGAAGTAGACAAAAGGACCAGCTAACACTGCTCGCGCTCACAGGATGCAACTTCAGGGCGAACTGCAGTCCAAAGGTCACCAGCCGCACCACTACCGCGGGCCTATCCAGGCCGTTTCCATGATCGTTCGGAACGAGGGCGTAAAAGGCATCTACCGTGGTATTGGCTGCGCCTACATCTACCAGGTCCTGCTCAATGGCTGTCGTCTCGGCTTCTACGAGCCCATGCGCCATACTCTCACCTCGGTCCTGCTCAAGGACTCGACGAAACAGAATCTCGGCATCAACATGTTCTGTGGCGCTAGCTCTGGCATCATCGGCGCTGCGGCCGGAAGCCCCTTCTTCCTGGTCAAGACGAGACTGCAAAGTTACAGCCCTTTTGTCGCCGTCGGCACGCAACACAACTACAAGAATGCCATCGATGGCTTGAGGCAGATCTGGGGCGCCGAGGGCATCAGGGGTCTGTACAGAGGCATGTCGGCGGCCATGATACGGACAGGATTCGGAAGCAGTGTCCAGTTGCCGACATACTTCTTTGCCAAGAGAAGACTGCAGAAACATCTCGGCATGCAGGAGGGCGCGCCGCTGCACCTGACCAGCTCGGCTGTGTCTGGTTTCGTGGTGTGCTGTTTCATGCACCCGCCTGGTAGGCTTACACTTGACTCCCAATCGTAGCAGTTCGAGTTGCTGACACAGCGTTATAGATACCGTCATGTCTCGCATGTACAACCAGAACGGAAACCTGTACACCAACATGTTCGACTGTCTCGCCAAAACAGTCAGGACTGAAGGCCTCTTCGCTATTTACAAGGGTTTCTTGCCTCACTTGGCAAGAATTCTACCGCACACCATTTTGACGCTAAGCCTGGCGGAGCAGACGAACAAGCTGATTAGAAAGTTGGAAAACAGGATATTGCCCAGCACGACCTTGGAAAAGGCTTAGGCAGGCTACCGTCAGTCCCACTTACAGATCTAAGCGTGGGCATATCGTATAACATCTTGCCAAAAGCATCTGTTGAAGGAGTTTTTTCTGTGCAATATAGCGTGGGAATGTTATGTGTGGGCGTTGAAAAGAATTTGGTTCTCCTGTTCGGCCTATTTTGCGTTGGTTTAGCGGAAGAGGAGGCTGATCTGCTGCTCATAGATTATCAGAGGCGCATAGGTATAACTAGTGAAAGTGAATCAAAAAAAGCCGAAACCTATCCAATAACCGTAAATCTCTTTTTGAATTCTTCTAGTCTCCTGCGAATAGACTATATCACCATGCTACCCATATACTGATCTTTCGCATCCGTAGCATAACCGTCCCCTCGCTTCCCTCCCTTCATCCATCTGCTCGCCGAGCTCTCCCCTCCAGCGCTCATCGCCCGCCTCGTCTAAACCCAGACCACAGAGCCCACAGCTTCCGCCCTCGCTGTTCCCAGACCGGTTAAGCTTCCCCGTGGTCCGTACGACGTTGGCGACGACGCTGGGATAGTTCTCCTCCACCTCGGTGAAATACCGCGCCATCACGTCGTCGATGCTCAAGTCCTTGTGCGACACCACAGCCGACCCAGCCCTGCCGGACCCAGGCCCGGGCGAGAGGAGGGGAGTCAGAGGCGGCGCGGTCAGCGTGCTGTAGAGCTGGATCTCCTTGCGGAAGAGCTCCCGCAGGGGGTGGTAGATGGGCATGGTGACGGACCGGGGCGCAGCGTCGTCGGGCGAGGATTGCTGCTGCTGAACCCGCAGCGGCAGGGTCGCCACGCCATCGTTGACGCCCCAGGGGACCGCGAACCCGCGGCCCTTGGCCGTCTCCGCCAGCGTCAGCTCCGCCAGCGACGTCGTGTTGTAGCCCAGGAGCAGCACGTCGCAGGCCTCGCGCAGCGCGGTGCGGACCAGCACGTGGCGTGTCAGGAGCCGCAGGACGTCCGCCCGGGACGAGACCGACGGCAGGCCCGCGAGGAGGGCCGCGAGCCGCTGGCGAGGCGGCAGGGAGGCGGCCCCCGCCGCGGCCGGCAGCGCCGTCCAGTCTATCGTCTCGGCGCCCAGCACGTCCTCGAGCCCGACGCGCGCGAACTCGACGCCCTCGAACCTGGCCCTGTACTCGTCGAGCACGGCATCCGTCGCCGCCCCGCGCGCGCTGCTCGCGTCCGCATCACCCCCCTGTGGTGGTGGCGGCGGTGATGATGATGACGACGACAATGATGCGTCCGCGAGGCTGGTGTCGACCACGGCCACCAGCAGCTCGAACCTCGCCTTGATCTTCCGCTCGCGCTGCTGCCGCGCGTTCTCCCACAGGATGTTTAGCAAAGCCGTCGAGCTCAGGCCGCCCGGCGACAGCGCAAGGAGGTAGCGCTGCGTCTTGGGCAGGCCCCTCTCAAGGCGCGTCTCGCGCTGCAGCAGCTCTAGCCGCTTGACGACCTTGACAGAGACGTAGGATTTGTAGCATTGTCTATCGGACAGGTGAGCGATGAAAGAGTATGGGTGAGAGGGGTGGAATAGAGGGGAGGGGCAAGGGAGGGAAGGAGAAAGGGGGAGCGCGGGGTGTGCAGTTGGGGAGGGTTTGGTGGGTGGGCACTTTACGAGCAGACGGTCTCCTGGCGCAGATCGTGCAGCGCCGGAGAGGTTTTGCAGCGGATGCAGAGCAGGGGCTCTGCGTCGGCGGACGGCATTTTAGGAGACTTTCCCAATCAGGTTGCTTTTCACAAAGAATATCTGAAGTTTACGATGTCGCAAAAGAAGTTGTGGAATGGGTTATAATTTGTTTGTCGCAGAGGCAAAATTCTTGACTCATCACATCATGATGTGGGGATAGTCATTGGATAAGCTTCAAGTTTTCTTAAAAGTCGCGGGTTTCGCACTCACGACTAAATGTCTACATCAATATTGATATTCACTCACAAGAGAAGATCCTGTGCTTCATTCGTTTTCCAAGACTTTTTGGGGTTCGTGGGAAAATGTCACAACTCATGCCGACTGTTATGTCTGTGCTACATGAAAATAGTAGCCATCATCTGTATTGAAATTTCGGTTATATCAAATGAGCAAAAAGACATGCTAGGTCACTCTGTTCGAACCAGAGGCGATCGCGTTTCCACGCATGTACAATGAGATCGCGGCCTACACGAGCACATTCTTTGCCCTGCTCCGGCGTTCCCCATGTCGGAATCACTGAGTCGAATGCGACGAGATGGCATCCTAGTTGCGCTGCAGTGCGGAAGGCTACTTTCTCATCTTTGAGATGAAGCCCTTCACAGAAGCCCTCCAAAAGCCACAACCCGGTTTCGCTCCTCCGGTATACCCACAGTGCATACATCTCTCCTAGCATCTGACCAAAGTCTAAGCTGTGGACACCGAGTTGTGCCATTTCCCAATCAATAACGAACACGGGGATCTCGTCGTCTTTCTGAACAGGCAAATTGCCAATCACGATGCTGTACAGTCGGATGTCAGCATTCAGCAGGGAACTAGGACTATAGAATCGAACGCACTTTCCTGTCCAAAAGTCGCCATGGATTGGCATTACCTCTCCTTTTAACTCCTCCTTTGCAGCATTCCTAAAGTCCTCGAACACCTCTCTTGCTTCCTCCAAAATGTCAGGATACGTCTTAATACGGTCAACCAACCAGTCGTAGTTTATCGTATGTTTAAGATTTTGCATCCACTGGCAAGCCTCTAGTTCAGCATAAAGCTGAGACTTCTCGCCTTCCACCTGGGCATCTCGTGCTTCTTTGCCGGTCTTCTCATGAAACCCAATGATCCACCGCGCAAGCTGCTTTCCCAGCTGATGAAACTGCGCACGATGTGCCTCTGGTGTGGGCGAGGCGAAGTTTTTGAGAACATAATTTTTGAGATCGATGCCGCTGGGCATATACTCAAGTATTTGTGTATGCGACTTCTCATCATAGAAGTAGCATTTTGGTGTCCTAACGACGTACTGGACGGAATCTTGTGCACCACTGACGCGGAAATCCGCCAGGGCATTCAAACATTCCACTTCGACTTTCTGTCCCTATGTCAGCTTTTGGCGGTACACAAGGGGAATAGCGAGGTGCGCCAAAAATGCATACACAGCGATCCAGGGTTAGTTCATTTTGGGGATGTGTTGCAATATAGTCTTCTCCATGCTTGACTGCGACTTCTGTCGTACCGTCTTCGAGCGGTGTGGTTAAGCGTGCACGGAACAGGAAATTACCCACGCCGCCGGACAGTGATTCAAGCGAGCTTACTGCAAATCGGGTTGTCTCGAGGGATTTGAGGACCTTTCCTTTGATTTGTTCTGGTGTCTCTGTAGCCATTGGGAGGTACTTAACACTGCTTATGCTTTAGAGGTACGATTTGTGGAATGTTAAAAGAAAATGAACGCAAGTTCCATACGGCGAGAGCAATTCAGATCGCAAAAATTTGTGCAAAAATTGTAGTATGATGGGATGAATCATGGTGCTGTGCTGTAATTGCGTCAGCTGAATTTGAATATGGTGTTGCCTATGCTATGTATCATTCTGAATCATCCAGCCTACAGCCTACAGCCTACGCTTATGCTAGCTAGAGCACCGATTTGCTGGGAAAGCGCTCTGGAGTCGGTCCAACCCCTTGTGCAGCAACGTATGGTGAATGTCAGATTCGCTTCTTTGCGTTGTAAGCTCCCCTCACGCCAAGTTCTCAATCAAGCGATGAGACATCGGTCTTACCTGCATCACCAGTTGCATGATCAATTCTTGAGCTCAGCTTGCTCAAAGCGCGAGAGGAGGTGAAGGAGGAGCGCTGTTGCTGAAATCTCCAGCTCAGTAGGTTAAGGTTAGACTAACCTTAGGTTAGTTAACCGAGAGCTTGGCCAAGGGACATGCATGTGGATTCTTTTACCCCGGCCATGATGTGAGAAAGCGAAACCAATCAAATGGCTGGCTCTTATGATGTCAAAGCTAATCCGTAGAAAACTTGCCAAGTCGTCCAGGGTCCCACCACCTCAAACACAACTGTTTCGAGTTTCATGTCGACGTATGACCACCATTGGCCAACAACACTCACGGGCCGGTTGTAGGGGCAAACCACACAACGAGCGTTTCTCGACATTTGCTCATTCTCGTCAGCCCATGGGCAACATGGCACGAGGAAGGCGGCCCGCTTGTCGCTTTGGGTTGGATGAAGCTGACCCTGCGTGCTGCAGCAGAATTGGAGACCGAAGATCATGGCACACTTGCACCCTTTCAGCCATAAAGGAGTGACACAACAACCAAGTTTGGTAGGTTGAGACGAGGCAAGAGGTCCCCTGGTTGATGGTCAAGAGATGTTGAGCATGCCCATCCATTTAGAGTTGCAACCGCACTCTGATAGATATACTTCTCCATCTTGTCATCCGAATTGTTGATGCTCTTTTGTGGAAACCTCCATACATCACCAATTGCGACTACCGTTGTTTCATCGTCACGAACGGGTTACACACCACTTACGTCGGACAAAATCCACCTCTGCCTATCTCATTTTCTGCCTGCATTGATTGCACCAAGTCTCTCCCGTTCGTGCCAATTTACTAGCAGACGGGATCGCGTTTATCTCGTCGGGAGCTGTTGCGGTTGGTTCTTCAGGCCGTCCTTTCCCGTCCATTCTCATCCAGCCTTCGCACCTCACGCCATCCCAATTTGTCGGCTGCTTCACGACTACAAGAACAACCACGTCTCGCGCAAATTTTGGTTTGTCTTCCTTGGCTTTACTCATTCGCTCATTACTTCGCTATTTGTGGTCCTCTGGCCTAGTTGCGCTACGCAAAACGGCTTGTTACGACCGGACTTCGGATTGCAGGCGGCACCTCCAGTCCCTCGTGGCATGATCGGATCTTCACTAGGATACCTTGATTACCTTCTCGGCTATCAGACGGATGCAGGAGGTCAAGAGAGCGGACATCACAGACTGACGTTGATATACCAACCGCATTGACCCTCCGGCTTGATCTTCTTCCAGGGCCGCGGCTGAACCTAATTGGCTGGTGCACGCACTCGCTATCCCGTCATCACGGCATACTGACACATTCTCTGTCTCATACGGTCCTCTGCATATCGAGACCAATTTCACTCACATCTGTCTACCCCAAGAGTTCATATCAAAGTCCATTGGGCTGAACTTTATTGCTGCATCAATTGTGGCATCTTGGGTCATCCTCGATAGTCTAGCAACGACAACATTTGCATTTCTCAGAAAAACCGCTCGGTGTAGCGTTTGTCCCTGCTACGTTGTGGATACAAAACCTGAAAACACAATTAGTACTGCAGAGGTCGAATCAACAATGCCGGGATCATCAACAAGTAGAGGGCCGCAAGAGTGGCCACCCAGGGTGCTTGGGTTGCTGGCGCTTGCGTCGACTGCATCAGCACTGTCGTTGGCCAACTTTCAGCTCATCACTTCCAATGCAATACCTTCGCCATGCATATTAGCATACAACACCCCAATCGCCGGCTGTACGACAACTGATTTCATGAACGGAAACCAATGCTCGTCGCTATGTATAAATGGGCTGTTGGAAGAAGCTTCGCTTGTACAGGCCATTTGTGGAGGTCTTGACGTTAATGCGCAGTCACTGCTTGGCTTGACACTGAACAACAAATTGTTGGATACGCTTTGTCCAGGATCGACTGTTGGTACGACCACAGTTAGGGTGACGGTTCAACCTTCTACCTCGACGAGAGTAGCATCGACGACATTATCTTCACGACAGACTTTGACGACGACAAGCTCGAGTGCCATCGTTGTCACAACTGCAACATCTAGTTCCACACAAACAATCATTAGTAGCTCGATCATCAGCAGCGTGCCGTCGCAAACTACTAGTAGCACAATACAGACCTCCACTGCCAGCACAGCAGCCATCACCTCTGGAACCGCACAAGCTACAAGTATAGAATCGACAAGTACTGCCGCACAACCCGAGGCCACACAGGGAGGTGGGAGCCCCTTTGATGCAGTTAGACAAAGTCGAGGCATATGTTTGGGTAGCACGAGGTCGACACAGACGTTAATGGCTGTGTTGAGCATAGCCGTGCTGCTGTTATAAGAATAATGCCGATTCGCCTCTAAAAACAACATTGCTCCAGAAGCCGGCGGTGCAAAGGGAAATTATTATTGGGGATTTGAATTTGCCTGGAAACGACTGATATTAGCATTGCAAGGCGTTGGGTCAACTTTGATATACCATCGGGGAAGAATATGGAAGTAAAAGGAGGACAAAAATGGGGAGTAATATGCCGAATAAAGGCAAAGGACAGCTCAGCGTTGGGATATTCATAGGGAAGTATGTGGGTCAAATTGTTCCAAAAAAAATTGTGTAGCAATACTGTAATATAGATGAGCCAGGGAGGGCGTATGAACAGCAGCTTCATCTGAATTGAAGATATTAGTTGTTAAAAATCTTGGCTATACACACTCGGCTACTTTTCAGAACCGTAATTGTTTCTTTCTTGATACCTCGCTCTGCTTTTCTATTTGAACGTGGCGATTGGATCACATATCTACCAAATTGCTGGAATATCAACAATCCGATGGCGATGAGGCAACACGCACGCTCGAAGTTGCTTGCTGCTGTCTGTAACAGGCCAATACCATAGTCCATAACCCCACACCAAGTCCAATCGTGTGGATAAAAGCCTTGGCCAGATCACAACACCTAGCATGATACTCACTGGGGATGTTAGGTCCAAGGAATTTCGCAGCTACCCATATGATTTCATTTGATTCATGAACCCTCCAGGCTTGATCTATGCAGTCCTGTTCCAGAGATCCCGAATCTGAATGACTCCCGGAATGCTCGCTATGGCGCCGATCGACAACTCGCTGAAGAGCCCCTGCTCCAGACTCCAGTGTATCGTGAGCGGGAACCACGCCATGTTCCTGCTGACGAGCTTGCGCCACTCCTCATTCCACTCGCGCTCCTCCTTCTCGAAGACGGCGACCGTCTTGTCGCCCATGCGCCGCCGCTTCGGCACCTGGCCCCTCTTGTACCTGTCCGCGAACAGCTCCGTCAGCTTCAGCCCCACGAAGACGCCCCAGAACCGCGCGCTCCACCGGTACGCCTTGACCATGTTGGCGGGCTGCCACTCGAGCACGCCCTTCTGCGCCAGGTACGCCCCGTTCTCGAGCGCCTGGAACACGACGCACGCCACCAGCTGCGTCACCGCGATCGACGTCGCCAGCTTGTCGATCTTCGGCCGGTCCTTCTCGTCGCCGGACTGGGACGCGAGCCGCGCCTCCCGGAGCTTGAGGAACAAGCCCCGGCCCCAGAAGTACATGCCCAGCAGGCCCCATAGCCGGTTGAAGGTCCGCACGTCGCTCAGCAGAGCGCTGAAGGCCTTGAGCCGCTTGCTGAGGATGAGGAGGAGCGCGGCGCTCGGCGAGGGGAAGGCCTTGTTGGTGAAGACCAGCGTCGTGCTCGGCGGCAGCGACTGGGCGAGGGCGAGCAGCTGGTTTGCGCTGCGCGTGATGGCGGGTCGGGTCAGGAGCTCGAGGGCGGCCGAGGAGAGGCGCGTGCTGTAGCAGAGGAAGAGGAGGACGGTGTCGATCCCCGTGGGCGTGCTTATGGCGCGCTGCAGGTGTGCGAGGAATGCATCGATGTTGGAGGGGGCGGCCGCGATCAGTGCCTTGAGGGGGAACGGCTTGGGCGCCGACGAGGGACCCGGAGCGGCGGGGATTGGGTCGCCAGATGGCAGGTCGCTTGTGGACTGGACTTCTTTGGATGTCATTGTGGTTGTGTGGTCCTGGAAACAACAGCTTCCCGCACGAAAGTCAAATTGTTGTAGTATAAAGGAGCAGTATCTCGGGTATGGCTGTTGGAAGCTCCCGAGCGATAAGGCGTTGTCAACGTTAGGGGATGCTAGCGTAGTCCGGGGTTCACTTATCCGAGCTCAGTGGCTAAGATTAATGGGAACCAGAATCCGGGGAAGTGATTCAGGTCAATGATCACTTCAGTTGCACATGAAAGCTCGTGGTGCGCGGAAGAGATGGAACCCAGAACACCGGCTCATCCTGGCCGCAAAACTTCCAAGAAAACCAAATAATTTCATGAGAGGATGTCCAGAGTGAGTGCGATGAGGGTACCGAAGCACGCGTTCGTTATGGAGTACAAGGCACAACCTACCTCGGCACACCGGGTTGGAGGTGCGGTAAGTCGAACCGCTGCCAAGACTCGACTCATTCAGACTCGGAAGCGGGCCACGCTGATTACATCGAACTTTCCACCCTCCATGGCACCAGCAGAAACGATACATCTCGTGACTTCTTCTGAATCAGTGCAGTCCAACCTCAAGAGGCGTTTGCAAACTGATGGCGAAAGACAGCCGACATTCATGATTCAACCTTCTTCAACTCTGTCGTTATGCACTGCTCTATGTCCACTTGGTCGCTTTACTGGCTGGCAATGAACAACCACAATTTAGTTTAAAATGCTTTGATTCTGAATTTTAATCTTGCCTCAACCATGCGCAGCAACAACCACAGGCAGCTAGCCAACACCGACCGGTCTTCATCTGTGTCGGAAGGTGTGGCGAAACTCTTCTCCGGAAAGAGTGTCATGACACCCCAAGTCAATGCCTGTACGTGCTGCAACTTCTAGCAACGCTGGCTCTCCTTCTTTCTTTTTCTTAAACGCGTCCTGGCGGGGACACCGTCTCGATTTGGACCAGCGGATGCAATGCCTTAGCAACGATCTGAACTTCGTGTTCATATACGCGCTCTCTCTCGCTGCATAATCCTCGTCCTCTTCTTTACTTCCCATACTCTTCGCCAGATAGTAGGCTTTTACATCCTGACTCAAAACACCCAACTCTCGGTATTTCAGCGAAGCTACCACATCAATCACAAGGTTATGGTAAAGACAAACCAAAATAGCTCCTCGGAGAACTCGATGCTATAAACGTGATAGTATGCTTGTTCTTGACCTGGCTGGAAGGTAGTGCCCGACATCATTCCTTGCTTCAATGCTAGCCGACCAATAGCAGAGCGATTCTTGTCGATACACGGAACCGGATCGAGGTAATTAGGGTTCGGCTCCTTGGCAAGTCTTAGATCATGAGAATCATCCATAACTGGCACTCTTGAAGAACAAAGCCATATCCCGATCTTGTCATGAATCAGACCCAGAAACATGCTCCCAATGTTTGAAGCACACTCCAAGAAGACAACATTGCGAGACGACGAGACCTGTGACTGGATGACGACTTCTTCATTTGCTGAAACAATGGCTCAATGGTGGTGCATTGCATGCAATCCAATGTCGCCGGTTTCTCTGAGTCGATGGCATTCCAGGCAGCTGGAAGATCATTCTGGCATCTTTTCTGGTTGGCGAGGCGCGTATAGTGTGCAAGGAAAGGTTGTGTCGTCCTACTGTTTCGAGGACAATCACAGAGACGAGACAGTCTGTTTTCTGCAACGGCTCGTTGGAGATCTATACAGGCAATTGGGACGTCGGTGTCCACAGGAGCTTGTTGACATGCACAGATTCAGCATTTCCGCTATAGATGGTTCATTGAACTGCCTATAATCGTTTAGTACGTAGTTCGGTCGGCCAGTTTATATCGTCATTGATGGTGTCGACGACAGCAAAGCACCTCGAGACGACCTTCTCAAAGTTTTGACGACAATCAGAACTGATGAACGCTGTAAACACGTATCACTTTTAATGATCGGCCGCAAAGAGCCCGAAATTGAAGAGGTTATTAATCATGTGAACAATTCCATGCACAGCCCGGTTTGTATGCCAGATTCATCTCATTGCATCGCGGCGTCTATTCGACAAGGTTAGGATCAACGAGCTTTTGAACGACCTCCCAAAACAGTTTTCAAGACATGCCAGCGGGTCATTTCTCAGATTTCTCCTGATGAACAAGGCCGCAAGAATCCGCACAGAACATTCGTTCGGATAGGATTTGCTTTCATATGTAGCGATTCCTCCGATATTCCTGATGCCGGTGTTCTGACTGAGGCAGCTCGCTTCGAAGTGCCTGGACGGATTGCGTATGACTTCACTATTGGAGTGCTCACCAACATTCTAGATTATCTTATCAAGACCACGAACATGAAGAGATGGTTAAGATACATCCGAAAACGAGATGAACCCCCGGAAACCTTCCAGCGTATGAGTGTCGCCCATTATACAGTCAGGGAATGGCGCTTATCTAAGTTGGCATTTTCTTACAAGGACACCGTGGATTTCATCGTGAATAGGTAATCAATCCAGAAATTGGAACTTGAAGCTGTGTTCAATGGTCTCCAGCGAAGAATGCAATCGACACGTTGGACAAAGGTGCCCAACAATGTACGAGGAGTGTTGCTTAAAGAAAGCAGACAAGTCTTTGAAAAATCGTCGCGTACTCATCGTGAGTGATTCTGCCATCTGGAAACTTGTCTCCCGGCGAGCAGTCTGCATTTCCAGGCCTTGATGGTTGAGGGGACTGCATCTGTCGTCAGGTAACGATTTTGATGCAGGCCATTTCCCTAGATGGTCCAATCTCGTTACTTTTTAGATAGAGTCTGATAATGCCAAGACAAGTAATCTTGTCGATCTAATTTTGTTCAACTGGCCTGGACCGATCAAATAGTTTCTCGGAGATGTGGGCGACGAGAAAAAAATTATATTTACCGACGAGTTTCTCATTTTGCCCCTTCCTACAGGCGAAAAAACTAATGCGAAAAGACCGCAAGCCGTGTCGTAGCTTTGTGCCTTGGGTAAACATACTGATCTCCTCGAAATACCTATCGATGCTGGAGCAAAGTTCTCCGGGGAATACTCCATCTTGTCTGCTCTCGAAGACCCGTTCTCCGACGGAGACGGAAGGACTACAATCAAAGTGCTTACCTTGCTTCTTGAAAATGGCGCTGAACCCCAGCCCAGAGGTTTAAGTTTACCACGTCGCAGTTTGCGGCGCATTACCTTGAGTAGCGATGGGTCATGCCAACACATATTGGACAATGAGTTCACGACTTACGATGCTATTGTACGGAGAAACAGGCGAATCTGCGTTGATTTTTGGCTGACCTAGTCATTGACCCTGTCTGGTTTCTCATTGACGCTCTTTTTGGGACCCGATGGTTGCGATGAATAGATGGTCACAAGGAATGGATAGCTGCCGACGCAGCAGCCGTGACAAAAGTTTGGCGTGCCTCATGTACCCATTGTGTTACATAAGAATTTTGTCTCGCCACTGCCCATCTATTTCCATAATCATGAGAATCTCATTCATAAACGACTTGCACACTTGAGCTGTCTTTCGAAAGACTCACAATACCTAAGTACAACCAAATTATAGCCACACGGCGCTCTTCCTCCTCAAATATTTGATATACCCGCTCCTTTCATACTGCATACTTGTAAGCTGGTGTTTACAGCCATTGGTCCTTGACCCGTGATGTTGTGTAACCATGTTTGCAGGCATGATGCAGTTTTCAGTCTCTCATCATCAACAAAGACGTCCAAGGCTCTCGGCATCGACGGAGGGCCTCTGATGCGATTGAGACGTGGGAAATGTGTCACCTCCCTATATTCCAGTCGCCACGACCTTCACACGATGCCGTCTTCCAATTCAGTCTCCTCCGCCGAACGATTCTATCAACACATGAATAATATCTCCATCTTCATGGTTTCCATTTCCAACACTTGGTAGACTGCTATCTTCCTCCATTCGTGTCTATCTAAAGCGGATTCCAACCAAGTGGAATGAAACAAGCTGAGCAGTTAATCTTTTTTGTTTCGCTCCCGAATCTCCTCAATCTCACTCGACGAAGTCATACAAGAACAACATTCAGCCAGTGTAAAGTTCAGTAGCCTTCCTACGTCGGGTCAAGCCTCGAAGTACTAACATTATTTCAAGAAAAAATATTCCCATTGATGTTCGCCCCCGTCTCTGACCAGTTCGCCGTTCATTGTACCATGTAAATCTATGATAGGGAAAATTAGCCAGAAAACCTCTCGGATATTATTGTATACCTACAACATTCTCCAACCAGATAGTAAAAGTCGTCGGTATTGCTCTTCCTTAGGACGAAGGGTACTTTGGCCCCTTTGATGACAACGACAACGTCACCTTTCTCGGTATCACATAGGCCGCGACCCATATAGCCCTTCTCTGTGCCAAAGAACTGCCTACCTACCTTACCAAAAGACCGTTTCGGATGAGAAAGTTCCTCCCTAGTGGGTCGCGTCGTAGACTCGGACACTATAAGATCAAAGTACTGGCCAGAGCCATCATTTCTGGTTGTAATGGCGCCGTACTGGCAGTAAAGAGCAGCACGAAATGCCTCACGCTGCCCTTCGAATTGGCCGTATTGTTGCGTTCGATCGGGTGCTTGAGTCAGCCATGCTGTCCAATCTTCACCAACTTGAGGCCAGCGATTCGTTGACGAATGTGTGGGAGAGGTAAAACTTATGATATCTATAAGTTTGCCCTTGATCTGAAGCACTTGGCTGTTTTGGAGAAAGTCTGCAACATTTGCAAGAAGAGTGAGCATACAGACGGTAATTTCCATAGGTCTGGCTCATGAGACATGTCTGCGAGAAACTCACCCATGTCTGGCTCATTGATCGAAGCTAGGCCAGCATCGTAGTCCTGAAGGCAAAGTAGAAAGGCTTGGTAAGGCTCTTTATACTGATTCCGCCAGTCTGGAACCCATGTGGGGTTAATTCCCTGCTATTCTCAGCGCCCTAGGCTTTTGTCATGAGTGTTAGCCTCCCGACTTACCTGACTTGCTGTCTCACAGCACATGCTCAAAATGCGAAGATCACCTTTCGATCGCAGCATATAAAGTGCTATGTCTCGGTATACGTCCTCAACGCACTTTTTGTAATCCGCGTAGAGTATGCGCTCCTCCACCAGTCCCAGCACCCCGTAGATATAGTCATGTGCCACACTTGCTTGTCTTTGTCGACTCAAAACCAAGTAATCCAGTAAACCCGTTCGACCCTCCCTCCGGCTCCTGATAATATCTACTAATAGCACCATTTTCCATCCGAGAAGCGCGTTCCTCGCAGGCGTTGATCTAATTTCAATATTATTGGAATAGTTAGACCTTTTGAGAAGCGTCATGATCGACTCCCATGCGCACACTCGGTCTCCACAAAGCACGTATGCTTGCTTCGAAAGCAGGATCTCCTGAAGCACCCACAGCCTTCTCCAGTAGTCTCGTTCAAAAAGACACTTCACAGCTATCCATGCTTCATCATGATTCGCCCTCGTATCCACGAAATGTTTCAGCGCCGTTGTGTCTCCAGGCGTGGGCACAGAGTTTAGCAAATCCATTGCCAGATTGCTTCCTTCGCCTTCTCGGCCCAACCAAATGAAGACCTTGTCGGCGCGGCGAAAGATCTCTCCCATCATATCTACCTGGCGAGCTTTTTCTTCCAAATCGGCCTGGTTAATGCATATCGCATCGATCCACAGCTTACGACCCTTCGCTTCAGGATGCCGGCGTAGGTGCTGCAAAGCACTCAATAGGTTCGGCACCACGTCCATGCGCTGACCGTTCAAGGAGATGGGTGTCGTCGGCTCTTGAACTCCCCAGACATAGGACAGAGCACAATACGTGTCTTCTGGATTGGTCGAGTCCAGAGAAATGGGGCACACCGCACAACGTATTTCCGATGTAAACGCTGCCGAGCCGGGCTCTTTGTAGGTGAGCAAAGTTTCTCGGCCATGCTGGATCGCGGAGACTGTGGAAGAATCTGCCACAAATGACAAGACTCGTATCTCCCTGTCGAAGGAATTAAGAGGCTCAAATTTCGATGCCATGCTAGCTATCGGTCTCAGACGAATCTTGATGCGGGGTCTGATTATATTGAGTCGCAAAGTCAGCAAGCATGACTACCAATCATGTTAACTCTTAATTAAGCTTGTATTAGCTCAGCGCCAGAATCTGAAGTTCATTTGAAGATAGCCTAACACTCACAAGGAGAGAAAACAATTAGAAATGTGACTTGCATATCTCGAGGCGCCCAGCATTGTCAGCTGTGCACTCCAGCCTCATCTGAATGTGGTATCGGGCATGCATAATTGTGGGTCCAGCATGGATATAGGACTGTCATGAAGATCGCCGGCCCAACTCTATGAGGGACTGCATGGCTGGAAAGTTCCATAGACTGCTATCGCTTTTTGCAAATGGCATTCGATACGTAGATGATCTTGAGATTCCGTATCATTCAACATCATAGACTGAGTCCCATTCAGGCTACATTGTTGTGCAAGGCTCAATATTTGCCATGCAGGTAATATTAGCAACGTATAACCCTGTTTCATCACACCAGGAGGCCAGGATAATACAACAGTACATCAAGAAGTTGAGCCAGTCTGCGTTCTGAAAGGAAACGAATTCTTCATGAGATTGATGAGATTTGACCAGCATCAAGTTGTGCATACAAAAGTTCATGCAACCAACTCGAATCTCGACTGCTATGGTGATAGTCACCCGTTTCGTCCCGTGTTACGCCAGGGCTTTCTTCTCGTAACAGTTGAGGTGTATTATTCTCGATGTTATTCAGCATTGTATCAATGAAGTTCATCTGTAAATTGTTGTAGCACTCATGAATGTTTCCGCCACCCGATGAGGTGTGTACCGCAAATTCGCGCCTGGCATAAATGTATGGCTGGGGAGGGCTGGCAGAAGCGCGTGTTGAAGCCTTTTATGGGAGGACTGTACGGGATTTTCTCACCAGGAACTGGTGGATGACGTGCGGTACTACAGTTGCTGAGGATTCGACTCACTATGCTGTTTGGAAGTTTTCAGGATAACTGCTGGGCAACAACAGCGACCAATGCGTGTCTTCATTGGCCCTTGCTTGTGTCGTTTGTTGATTGACTTTCCAAAGACATTTTTAGAGACTCTGGCCGATGTCAAAGAGAAGATGCGGGTTTCTTCACCGTCCAGTTCTTGAGTCCAGTTCTTGAGTCCAGTTGTCGGGTGTAAGAGTGAACAAATCAGGAATCTCAACATAATCGCTTCTGCATTGTTCGCACGCAGAATATATCAGGCAGTAGTGAAGTCCAGTCATGAATCGAAATGTGTGGGAAAGGATCATGGGAAAAACTCCCGGTGAAGTCAAAGAAGTTCTCCACTTTCCTCCTAATTAAGGTCTGGCTTGTCCAATTTTTAATCATCTTACTACACCCTCCATGAGGTCAGTAAAAATGTCAAAAGCCACATTGCTAGACGAATGCTCGACCCAGGAAAATATAGTGGGCACTTCTTCTGTCAATGGGTTAGAGGTTCTTTGAGACATGAGACCTCAATTAAATAATTGATAGAAGGTGGAGGACTCAGGGTTAAGTGGTCTCGGTGAAAGCAGGACATGGGCATAGGCAGCTAGAAATCCTGCTCAATTTTCAACGCCCAGTGATTGGGCCGCACCTCACATTCATACGATCCTTCCCAACACACTAAATGATTGACGTCCAAATTAAGGCGGTGGAAATGAAAAGCGGTAATAGAGTTTAGCCGCAGAGCCGTGCGACTGAATTCAGGAAACGGCAGCCCTACATGCATGTATATAAACAGCACAATCCCGGATTGCAACACTAGCAGTGACGCAAGTTAACGTAACTGTCATCCTGGTCCAATATTATTGCAGTACTATGTATCATGTCCCGATTACATCCCTGCCGTGGAAATGATCATCCTAAACTCCGAGCACAATTCGACCAATGCCAATGCCATAACGTTCGTGTATCATGTTCAGCAACATCTTGTCACCATCTCGTCATGCCGTTGCCGTAGGCTCGACGGGTTCAACGCAGTTGCTCTTCTAGGTTGTGGAACTAGTGTGACTTGAAGCAGTTGAAGCGGCCGAAGCTGAATCGCCAGGGTCCGCGATGGACGCCGTTTCGTCCGGCGGTGATGTTGGTGCCAAAATGGCGGTTGCCGACACCCTTGGAGTAGAAGAAAGGCATGTTTTCGATTTGCTGTTGTGGTGTGTATGCAAGCTAGGAAGATCTGTCAGCACTATAATTGCTGCGCCGCGCGTGGTGACACTGGGACCACTCAAGGTCTGGGAATGTTACTCACGATGCTGTTTCTGGGATTGTGGGGGGTATGGTGTGCGAGTTGGGCTTATTGGGGTTTTTGCGGATGTGGAAGGTCTCGTAGGAACATGAAGGGTGAAGATGGAAAAGGGAAAGACTTTAAAAGAAAAGCTTGTGGAGAGTAATTGGCTTTCGGTCAACAATACCTACGGTTAGGCTGTTCTTGATTCTTGGTTCTTGGTGATGCTCGTACCATGTAACCTCTATGACGTGAGCCCAGGCACGGCAAGTGCTAGGTTAGCTAGTGCCACAGTGACACAACTCAATAGTGGCCTTGGCCAGCGCCAGATCGCTGCTGAGCCACACCAGCCAGCTCATGGAATTGCCATCGTAGTTTCATATTTTATTATCCCGTTGAGCACACAATCATTTCAAGTCGTCTAAATTCTGTCTACCTTTCTACTAGCAGCCTATCGCTTTCATTATTCAAGGCTGCAAGTGTTTTTCGGCGGCCAGCAATGCAGGCTCGAAAGCATGCACAAAGTCGACGCAGTCCTTGAACGAGTTGTACAGAGGAGTTGGAGCCACGCGCACCACATTTGGTTGGCGCTCATCCACGATGACCCCTCGGTCAGTGAGCTCCTTCATGACCGTATGGAGCATATCCTTCTGCAGGAGCAAACTCAACTGAGCTCCTCGCTGTTCAGGGTCTGTTGGCGTGATGATACGGAACAACTTTTTCGCTTTGTCCGGCATAGAAGCTAGACATTGCTCAAGAAAAGCCGTGAGCTTCTTTGACTTCTCTCTGAGCACAGTAACACCTCCGGCAAGCTCAAACACCTCCAGCGAAGCGCCCAAGCTCGTGATATCGAGTATGCTAGGGTTGCTGAGCTGAAACCCAGCGGCTCCCTTGACCGGGTGGAACTTCGTATCCATCACGAATCGTGTTGCTTTATCATTACCCCACCACCCTGATAACCTCTTACCATAACCTCGTTCTGGGTTTGGGTCTGTGATTTGAGTAGAAACAAGGCTGTTCCTGGAATTAATGAACATGCCTCCAATGCAGCCCGGTCCGCCGTTCAGATACTTGTAAGTGCACCATGCCGCTGCATCCACATCCCAATCTTTCAGATGAAGGGGTACGTTCCCAACTGCATGGGCAAGGTCCCAGATGATGAAGATATCGTGCTTGTGCGCGAATGCAGTGATGGTAGGGATGTCCAGAAGCTGGCCTGTGTAGTACTGTATACCTGGAAGCAGGATCAAAGCGGTGTCTTCAGCATGCTTCGATATAAGAGCTTGAACATCATAAGTGCTGAAGACATTATCCTCAGACAAAGGTGCCTCTACTGTCACCATCGATGTCGCAGGATCAAGACCATGGTGATAAATCTGGCTAAGGACGGCGAACTGTACTTGAACTTAACAACCGACAACCTTTTATGACAAAGGGCAAGGGTAAAGACTTACATGATCACTTGGAAAAGCCCTACTCTCCAGAATGATCTTATGCTTGCCCTTAGGGTCAGGATGATAGAAGGCCGTCATCAAAAGATGCAAATTAGCCGTCAAAGTTTGCATGACTGCAACCTCCGACTCATCCGCGCCAACGATGGGCGCGAATTTCTGAGCGACGTGAGCATCTGCGTCGAGCCAAGTTGGTAAAGGAGAGTCTTCGAGCGGTTTGAAGTGACCCTGGACTCCCTGGGTACCCCATGTGTCAAGATACTGTTCAAGACGGACTCTTGTCCGCTTTGGTTGAAGACCTAGGGAATTGCCACAAAGATACGTGCATGACGTGGCATCTTCCGTTTGACTCTGGCCAGGAACGATGGCATCTGAGTACTGTCAGTCCAGAGCTCACCGGAAGGTATAGGCGTCTGCAGGGATAATTACCTTTCTGTATCGTCTTGCTCTTTATGTCCGCAATCGATGGTATCACGAATTCATCTCTGAGGTGCTTTAGGCCGTCATCCTGATCTAGCGCATGGGCTTGCGCATGGAGATCCAGAGGCGGCGCCTGGTCTTGCACAGCACTCATTCTAAGGGGCTACGATAGCAATAGTTAACCAATGAAAGAGTTTGTGAGAAAGGATAATCTGATGATCTAATAAAAACTACCTACAATCCACGCAGAACGTATCTAGCTCGGCGAATTCAAGGTGTAATCGAGGCGTTTCATTAAAACCCCGCGACATGCCGCTAAGTCAATACCTGCATCGTTTCGAAGGGGTCCATAGCGGGGGATCGACGCCACACTTGACAACATGTATGTTGCGCGGTGTTTTACCATCTGCCACAAGTGTAGGAATTACGACTCTGGATCAGGTAATATTTGGGCTGATAGAGGAAGGACTCATTAGAAACGCAATGTTTAACATAATTGTATCAATATCTAATCAATTGCGGCCCTACTTGCGGGTTCAAACTCCATCTTCAATCGCCCTTCACCTGAGTAGCGACACTAATACGACCCCCTCGGCTTTACTAACCCCGCCAAAACTGCTGAAAGTCAAATGCCGTGGTTTCACGAGATGCTCAGCCGAGTAATCATGAACAATCACGAATCAATCAATATGGACAATATCATATAGGGCATGTCACATTAATCAAGACTACTTGAGGCCTCCAGCACGACCGTGAGATCCAATCCGTTGATATGCATGGCGACGATGTGCTTTGAAGCGGCATCCAAGCTTTTACCCAAGCGGTCGACGCTTTCAAAGATATAGCCGCGATTAAGCGGGCTTATCGGCAAACCGAGTCAAGTTACATACTAACGTCAAGATGATCCATTACAGAATCCGCATTTGGAAGTTCGATCCGTAATTCTGATGGAACAACATGAAAACTATGCGTAGCTGTTAATACTGACGATACTGCCCAAAACGGTAGGAACTGAGACCTTCCCCGAATTCTTGGCGCTTGTTGGGTGGTGCCGCATAGCCAGATGCACGGAATCAGTAACGTAAGAGTAGTTGATGATCAGTGACAGTTTATGAATAAAACGGTCGTGTCTCTAACCCTTTGGAGCAATTCAAACGAGCTCAATTGAACATTCAGTGAGCATTATGACACATTGATGGAAGATTTGCCATAGTAGTCAATGCTGAAGCTCACAGTATGCAAGAGAATATCTTGGCGATTCAATGTGTTCCAATTCTTGAGTGCCTAGCTGCCTGGGTATTGGTGAACGCAACGTCTGGGCATGTCTGGCAAGTTTATATGGGGCTGGCCGTACGCCTGGGTCAATGTTTGCATAAGGAGGCTCTTCGCCTGTTTTCTCGGCGGTCTCAGAGCAGCTGACTGTTGGACACGGTTTCCCCAGTCGTATCAAGCCTGAAGACACCATAACGAGTGACCGTCATCAATGTCTATAAATTATCGCAGTGCACGAGACTTTAATGCACTATACGGGCTTCGTATTTTCTCTTCATACGGGTATTCGACGGAGAGCCGCATATGGAGGCGGTGCTTATCTTGCCTCAGGGGATTTCAGGGGAACGAGGCTTAACCTGCCGGGTTGCAAAAATAGAAGCGCGCCAGTGAACTAAATTTTGACCGCTATCTCCGATCTTGGCTATCAGTGGAAATTTCATCACGAGTATGGGATACCTTGGTGGCGTATTCTTGACTCGATACCAAACGTGTTTGAGACAAATGAAGAAGAGAAGATGGTTCGTTCCATCTTTTCCACAAAAGCACAGCGGATTCCGGGCGATCAAAGGCGGTCGGACAGAAATTGTTGGGAGATGCCCCAGAATCCATCGTCCAGCCGCCCCCAGATCACGTTCTTGACTTACGCGTGTAGAAACCCCTTGTTTTGTGTCACGGAAGCCTTCCCGAAATCTGGGGTTGGGTCTAGCTCAAGCACTACCAGAGTCACGAGAATTCAAGCCATGCTTCTCCTGCGGTTTGCGCAATCTTGCTGAGATATTCGACAAGACTCGTGACGTGGACATGGACCTCCTGGCGGTCCGGCTTGACCACTTGGGAATCTTTTTGGGGCATGTGCTGGCAATAGGTTTCGTAACAGAAAGCCAAACCAAGAATGCCGACATTGATGCTGTCAGCAAGTCTTCTCAAAGTTGCCTTTTGAGGTTTCCGAGCCCGTCTGGCGTCAAACCAAGAGACCTCGTGCGTCGTAGAAATGGTGCAAATACTGCACGATTAAGTAAAATGGGGGTAAGAGATTTGTGAATGTCCTCTTGGTCCCGGACCCGATGGCAAGTGAATCGCGGGGCAGGTGGGTCACCTAGTCTTCCGTCTCGAAGCCCGGAATGAGATGCCAGCCATTGATTGCTGATGGCTTCAAGCTGGCATCACGAGTGCGCCCCTTTCACCATAACTTGCGAATAATCATAATCAATTGCCGTAGTATTCCCCCCTAGTGCAACCAACCAGGAGACGTGTCATTAGATAACAGCGTCGGACAGAGCTTACCATCCCTATATCCACTGTAATGAGAAAAAGAAGCGGTAAAGGTTCCATCCAGGTCCGGTCTACCAACAAAGTACGTACCCATCGTCAAGGTTTACAGTAGTGATGCATCAGATCGGGAACGCACTGCTGTTGGTGCTTGTTTAGCAAGGAGACAGATACAGTGAACAATAATCTTGTTTATGCTGCATCCCAGGCATGCTCGCCATCGCGATAAGGGGGGAAAAGACGGCAAATAGACAAAGAACGACCGTGCAACATGAAGTGAGTCCAACAAACGAGTGTTCTAGAAAGTCACCGCGTAGAGACTTGCATGATGATGGACGCCAGGGTTTCCGCTAAAATTCCAGGGCATCACAGATAGGGCCAGCTGGGCCAGGCCCGATTTAGTGTGTGGATCATGAGAGGCAGCCCCGAGCATAACCGTACCGTCAGGCTCACAGCCCCAACTAATTGCCCGTTGTAACCTAGCGAGCACCAATTAATGGTGGTGCAAGCCCACTTGGTACCTACTTCGTACTTGTGACGAAAGCCACGCTTTCAGGTACACGACCAATGGCCAAACCGCCCGCAATACATGCGAATTCGAGAGGTCACTGGCGATGATTCAAATGTTCCCAAGCAAGTACCTTTGACTACGTACCTGTTTACGGCCCGCAAGGATGGATAGTTCATCGTGATGAAGGTATCATGCTTTTGACAAAATTTTCCACGTCGATGAGGTGCTCCAAATTAGGGAAGCATAACCTGTTGATTCCCGAAGATATAAAAGGGTTGCTGCTCCCTTTGGTTGCTTCCCGCATCACCGTGATAGAAGACAACATCGTCAATTATTTTCAGCAAATCTCAGCTGAGCTCCCCTTATCTCGTCTTGACCGCCCTGTCCGTCATCGTTTAGCACAATCAATCCCAGCTCCAGTCAAAGCTTTCCGGGCTGTGCTTATCGCTCAGTTATTAGAAGCTGACGGCATCATCTCATCTTGACAACCTGCAACGGCCTTATCACAGCCGTAACATCTTTTCTTACAGTCCAGACTTTAGTTAGTCCTTGGACGAGACAGGTTGTCTCTAATATAAGAGCTCTTAAATAAAACTTACCTGAGGAGACTACGTTTTCTACAACTCTTTCCTCGACCTTTACCTATCCTCAAAATCCACTCTCCATCAAGCTTCGGCAGCCCTGCGGATCATACCTTCAACCCTGCAAAGTCGTCTTGTAGAGGTATCCTAGAGTGCTTTTACGGCGCCTCGTACTTTGCGATCCACGAAACTTGCTCTTAACCCGGAGTCAAATCATCGGCGGTCCGCTAAGCAATCTAATCGCACATTTTCAGGTGAGTTTCACTCTATTGAATTCCCCATATCCTGGATCCCTTATTATACATAAACACCTGCATTTGGGCGGTGAAATTTCTTTATCGGGATGAAGTGAGTCGCATTCATTCCCTGCCCAGAGTAGCCTCATTGGCTGCTCCGGTTAGTCCAGGGGACCATCGGTGTTCTTTTCTGGCCGCGGTAGATGTTCTTAATGCGCACTATCCAATGACGTATCGCTGCCAATCGTGGCCCAGGCGCAATACCGAGATATAGTGCTCTACAGCAATCGCCATTGGAGAAAAGGAATGCAAACACCAATAAATCAATTTGGCAAATGTATTCAACTAGATATACAATCCCTGGAACAAGCTGGGGGTATTTTTTCATCTTGGTTTTTTTTTTCTTTTTAATCCTATTACAGAGATACCAAACGCGTCTCGGTAGCACTTACAACGTAATGCTTGCTTCACTTTCAAAATTTGCCTAGAGATTAAAACTACTTTGCAGAAAACTGACTTGCTCTTGAATAGTTCCTCTAAATAAAAAGGATTCAATCAAATAGCCGTCATCACCATGACTGCTAATGGCGTTGTCAACAAATTGGTGACTAGAGTCTCGGATGAGCCTAGTCGCCACCCGTCGCCTCAGCCCACACATTTTTCGGTGCCACAGAAGCTCAATGGCAACGGCCACCGAGTCTTACGTTCAGCAACTGTCGGCTATATTGCCCCGGAATTCACGGGCAAGGTCGAGCAGATGCAAAAGGGTATGCTGCCTTGTTTATAGTTTGTAGGGCGTGCTTCTAACATTCATTAGTGAAAGAAATCCTGACCACGGCGGGTTGGATTCCAGACACGCATGTTGATGAACAGATTGAGTGGTTTTATAACTCTCTTGGCATCGATGATGTTTACTTCCAATTGGAGACTGTAGACGTCATCGCTACACACATCACATCGCTATATGCTGCCAAGGTGGCTGCACAGAATCGTGCCCACCAGCAGGAGGCGATCCGTCTCGACATGGAGGCAACAGACCATGCTATCTACATCGACACTAGCGAGCCCGGCAAGACAGCATTGGGCGGGCCGAGATACGAGACACGGCTTGAGGCTAAATATCTTGATCATACTGGCAGGACACGGTTTCGCGTCGAAACCTTCCGTTCGCCTGGCACGATCTCTGGCGATGACAACACAAAAGCATCTCTTAGATGTTATTTCGTATACGAATGCCAGTTTGTGGACGCAAACCCGTCGCCTGACGAGACTCGCCTGGAGGTGATTAGCGATCGCATGTTCTTGACAAAGGCGACAAAGAACACAAAACAGATTTACGGAGACATTATTTCTCTAGCTGTCAGCAGAACCGGCCCTGTGATCGAGGTCTTCGACATCGAGAACTCGGAAGAGAAGCGTTTGATCGTGGCCTTCCGTTCACGGACTGCCAGAGGCATGTTCAGTGCGCTGAGCGACTTGTACCATTACTACGGCGTTACTAGCACCCGAAAGTATGTCGAACAGTTCTCGAACGGCATTACTGTCATTTGTATCTACTTGAAGCCATCTCCCAACGACGACGGCAAGTTCCCTTCGATTGAGCAATCCATCCACCAAATCACAAAGGAAATCTCATTGCTCTACTGTATTCCGTTGAACAAGCTCCATACCTTGTTCGCCGCTGGAGAGTTGAGCCTTCAGGAAGCCATCTACGGACACTCAGTCTGGGTTTTTGTCCAACACTTCCTGAATCGTCTAGGCACCGAGTATGCTTCGCTACAACAATCGCTGGACCCTAAGAACAGCCTTCACAATGAGATACTCTCCAAGTTGAAGCGCCGCCTACGTACCGAAACATTCACCCCGGATTATATCCTCGAGATCATTTTGACCTATCCGGAGCTTGTGCGCGCCTTGTATGCCTCTTTCGCAAGTGTACACTTGGGTGTCGGCAATGACTACGACCGACACTCTATTGCACCAACACCGGCTGTTGAGGTGCTCTCTGATGCTAGGCTCAAGGAAAAAATCTCTCGGGATGTATCTAATGAGCACGAGGAGATGGTCATGACGGCTTTCAGGGTTTTCAACTCGGCTATCCTGAAAACGAACTATTTCACTCCCACCAAGGTTGCCCTCAGTTTCCGTCTTGATCCTTCTTTCTTGCCCGAGATTGAATATCCCAAGCGCCTGTATGGTATGTTTTTGGTGATCAGTTCGGAAGCTCGTGGATTTCATCTGCGCTTCAGAGATGTAGCTCGCGGCGGCATTCGAATTGTCAAGTCTCGATCCAAGGAAGCCTACTCTATCAATGCTAGGAATATCTTCGACGAGAACTATGGTCTTGCTAGCACCCAGCAACGTAAAAACAAGGACATCCCTGAAGGAGGCTCCAAGGGTGTTATTTTGCTCGATCCAAAGCAACAAGACAAGGGCAGAGAAGCGTTCGAAAAGTACATCGATAGTATTATAGATCTTCTTTTGCCGGCCGAGACTCCTGGCATCAAGAACCCCATTGTCGACCTGTACGGCAGACAGGAGATCATCTTCATGGGGCCGGACGAAAACACAGCTGATCTCGTCAACTGGGCCACAGAGCATGCCCGTGCTCGTGGTGCGCCTTGGTGGAAATCCTTCTTCACTGGAAAGTCCCCCAAGCTCGGTGGTATTCCCCATGACTCGTATGGAATGACAACGCTCTCCGTTCGTGAATACGTCAAGGGTATCTATCGCAAGAAGAATTTGGACCCAGCTACCATCAGGAAGATGCAGACCGGTGGCCCCGATGGAGACCTTGGCAGCAACGAAATCTTACTTAGCAACGAGAAGTACACCGCCATTGTCGATGGAGCTGGTGTGCTTGTGGACCCTCACGGTCTTGATAGGGAAGAGCTATTGCGCCTTGCTAAGAACCGCGTTATGATCTCGCATTACGATGTATCCAAACTTTCCAAGGACGGTTATCGGGTACTTTGCGACGACTCTAATATCAAGCTTCCGAATGGCGAGGTCGTGAATAACGGAACAGCATTCCGCAATACCTTCCACCTCCGCAACACGGGTTTGACTGACACTTTCGTCCCATGTGGTGGTCGTCCTGAGTCTATTGATCTGGTGACTGTTGGCAAGTTGATCGAGGATGGCAAATCCAAGATCCCTTACATAGTGGAGGGTGCCAACCTATTCATCACTCAAGACGCCAAATTGCGCCTTGAAGCGGCAGGCTGTATCTTGTTCAAGGACGCATCGGCAAACAAGGGTGGTGTAACTTCATCATCGCTCGAGGTTCTTGCTTCCCTAAGCTTTGATGATCAGGGATTTGCCGAGAACATGTGTCACGATAGGCACGGCCGTGCTCCCGAATTCTACCAAGCTTATGTCAAAGCGGTTCAGGAGAAGATCTGTGACAATGCCAGACTAGAGTTTGAGGCTATTTGGCGTGAGCATGAGCAGACAGGTACCCCTAACTCCATCCTTTCCGATAAACTCTCTGAAGCAATTACGAAATTGGATGAAGAGTTGCAAAAGTCGGACTTGTGGAAGGATGAGAGGATTCGACGCACGGTACTTGCAGACGCTTTGCCAAACCTCCTGATCCAAAAGATCGGTCTCGACACCATCATCTCTCGTGTACCAGATGCATATCTCCGTGCAATCTTTGGCAGCTACCTCGCTTCACGTTTCGTGTACGAGTTTGGTAGTGCGCCAAGCCAATTTGCGTTCTACGACTTGTGAGTATATCCTATCCATCTATATGTGACGGTTGATGCTAACTCCCACATAGTATGTCCAAGAGAATGATGAAGATTCAGTAGCATTCGTGAAACCAGTTGTGTCGCTCAAGGGCGAGTTTCATGGCTAGACACGAGGGATCGAGGAGATATCTGCTCTTGGTGTGCAGCGTATCTGTCTACCCGTACCAGGCTGATCGTTGGAGTAAAAAAAGAGTGATTAGTAGTAATGCTCATGGTCATCAGCCAATTCTTTGTGCTCTTTTGCTTTTCGAACTGGCGTTGGGGTTGTGATTAGACGGGTGTCAATACAAAAGCAAGATGCAAGCATCAAAGCTGTCAGCACATCTACTAGACTTAGCGAAATATAGTCATGAATTTATAGAGACTCAAATACAAGCTGGTTACAAGATACGAAGCACGTTATACATTAATCATTTTTGTTGATCCTGCTGAGCGATGTGCCAGTCAATGCAGATTCGCCGTGCTGTCGCTCGGCATGCCGATTACATAGGTATACCAACCACCTTATTTAAATCTCAGCATGTAGTGTCTGGTGCATGTTCCCTTGCAACACCTCTATCCCACAGAATCCAACCGATTGCCGAATTCAGCGATCTGCCTCGATATCCACCAATCATCATTCATGCCCATTAGCCCCTGCTCAAAACTCCAGTGGACTCCTCCATAGACAAGAGTGCGGGGCAAGTGCATATCACAACCAACTTTGGTGTCGCACCACAACGCTCACTCCTTTGACACACGGCATTTTGATCTGCAGTGACGATCCGTGACCATGAGCAGCACCCCGCTTCTGGGCCGTAAGGAACCTCCTTCCTTGCCGCGAGTGGGAAGTCATGAGGAAATTGTCAATTGGCATGTGGAATGGGCAGATGCCGACCAAGAAGCATGTTGTGTTCGCACAAACACATTGCCGCTCACACCACAACTCGCCGCGTTGAGCTCCATCACTAGAACTACGCTCTTGTTAGTTGCCTGTGTAGCTCTTTATTGTGAGATTCTTCCTGCGTCTTTATTTCGATTTGGCAGGCGCTCGAAATGCTCACGTCCTTTTGGTCAATAGTATGCTGGATATTTCTCCATGGTTTAGTGCCCAGAGCACCATTGACTCAATCTCAGTCCTGGCATCAATATGTGCGCGCACCATCAAGCAGGATTGTTGAGCCCAAGGCTGTTTTGTCACAATATTCTCTAGGCAATGTGACTGATTCCGAAGCTCTCGTCAACCGCAAAGGCGGCGTGATGTATCTTACACGAGCGAGCAACTCCGATGTTGTACCAACGATTGTTGTTGATTTTGGTCAGAACATTGTTGGGCTTCTCGAAATCGGGTTCGCCAACGGTTCCACAAGTTTTGCTGTACAAGGGCGGCCCGGCTTGAAGCTGAGTTTTTCAGAGACACTGAAGTTCTTAACGAACAGAAGTGATTTCACAAGGTCTGATAACGGTGAAGCTGTAAGCTTAGCCGTTGCGTTTGCTACGATACGACGCTGATCGATGTAGACACTCAAGATTACGCCTGGGACCGACCAGGTCGCAGTTCAGCCTCAATCATATACTTGGCTCGATCAATGGGGTTGCGAGCACGGTAGCCAAGTGTGCTCTGATGGGCTGCATGGGTTTCGATATATGAAGATTGAGCTAGATGCGTTGCAGAGCGACTCTCCTTACACTACGCCCACTGGCCATGTCGCAATTTCATCCATTAGTTTACACTGGTCAGGTTATCTAGGCACCCCAGAAACATTTTCAGGGTGGTTTGAATGCTCTGACCGGGACATGACTCAATGGTGGTACGATGGCGCGTATACGAACGAGATGAACACGGACATCTTCAGAAGTAACGACACGGAACCTCGCGATGCCACCAGTCCCTCGCTTCTCGGCAAAGTTGTCATACATGACGGTCCGAAGCGTGACCGAGACCCATACCTTGGCGATCTGGCTGTATCGGCGCTGACCAACTACCTGACTCATGATATAGCAGATGCCGCAAGAAATGTGCTAGAAGATCTCGTGCAGTATCAACGGAGTGATGGTTGGATTCCACCAGCTAGTATGTAAGTCTAATCTTCAAATGATCCAAGCAAGCTTTTATTCATTTATGAAAAACTATTGACTAAACAGACGAAATTACGCACTCCCACTTTTCGACTATCCTCTCTGGTGGGTATCCTGCAGCTGGGATTATGTCTATTACACCGGCAATGTATCGTATATCGAGTCGTACTACGCGAACATGGAACTTCTCCTCGACAACTATTATCCAATGCATACGGACAGCAGTAACTTACTACTGGTACGGCCAGATGGATATGGCGATTTTGCTTTTCTTCAACGTCCAGGATCCAGTGCGTACTATAGTGCGCTATATGTTCTAGCTCTTCAACGAGCAGCTGATCTGGCAGACTTACTTTCGCAAGAACTTGACTCTACGCGATGGCGCCAAAGGGCCAGGCTCGTCGCACAATCATTTGCAAGCGTACTCTGGGACCCTTCAGTACAAGCGTTCTTTGACCGAAAGTGCAAAGACCCAGGTTGCGACGCGCATGCCCAGGATGGAAATAGCCTTGCGATCCTCTCTGGTATTGTCTCTGGTAATTCAAGCGCCGCCGAATCTCTATTAGCGTACCTGTCAACGGCGAATTCACGCCCATACGGTAACACATTCTACGACAGCGGAGGCGACAAGCTGAGTGGCTGCGATGGCTGCTCGCAGCGCGTCTACCCTTTTATCTCATACTTTGAGGTTGCAGCCCGTTTTGATTCAGGACAAGCATCGTCGGCGCTAGAACAATTGCGTCGAATGCACGGCTGGATGTCGACTCAGGACCCGGGCATCACCTTCTGGGAGGGGATCGGATCAGGTGGCGTGCCATATGAAGATGCGTTTACTAGCATGGCACACGGTTGGAGCACGGGAATTGTCCCCCTTATGGTTAATTATGTCCTGGGTGTAAAACCTATCAAACCAGGATTTGAGGAATGGAGCGTCCGGCCTCACGCAGGAGGTCTGAGCTGGGCTAGGGGCGTCGTACCAACACCAAGGGGTAACATCAGTGTACAGTGGACAACTGATAATAGGCAGATTGACATTTGTGTCGATGCGCCACCCGGTACATACGGAACCATTGGAGTTGTTAGCAGTAGGTTCCAGGAAGGAATGGTGGTAATTAATGGGGAACTTGAATGGTCTCGTGGCAAGAGTGTCGCTGGGAGGGCTGTGCTGGTCAATGGACACATCGAGCTTAAGGTGACTGGTGGAAACTCAAAGGTCATGAACTGCTGGGATACTTGAGTACATATTCGTAACGACGAAGTAATAAGATGCTTGGCGCGAAATATCCATGAGAATGGTCCTGTTATTGAAGGATGGATCGGCATGGTCACGCACATTCGCTTCCGTTGAGACGGTTCTAGGCTCCGATGAGGGGCTAGTCAAGGGTTATAGTTCTTAATCATCATGGAAAACACCAGGGGTGAGAACGCAAATCAATTTCACGTCTGTGTGGTATATCTATTCGATGCAGGGTTTTACTGTATTTAGTGAAAGATGCCTCTCATATTTTGGTTGGACTAAGCCTGGAACCAGGAGACCATCCTTGTTTGCGGGTCATGATGCATATTTCTATATCCAGCTGCGCCATAACGTGGAAATGCTGAGCAAGTGTGCTTTATCGTCCGTTCCTACATTATTATTCAAGTTTTATTCAGACCTTGGTGCTGCTTTCCGTAGGTGATGATCATATACCTCTTCTACTGGTGACCCGGGTTTCTTTTCTGAACTGTAAGCAATTCTTTTACCTGCGCCAAAGAAGTCCCCGGATCGTCTAGCTGGAGATAAAATGTGAAGACCCGCTGTTCGGCGTGGACTAAAGAAGGCACGGCCGCGGATTCCGCGGAGTATATCCGCATTCGCACCGGCGAACCTCTCGAGTACGCCCTTGGCTGTAACGTAGAGGAACATAGCATCGGCTGATGTTTTGGCGCCGCTACGCATCCCTGGGACAGGTCTCTGGGGCTCCTCAGTGAAGGGAAAGGCTATTCATCCATCCTTTGTTCTTGCCATGGAATGGAGGTATTTGGAAAGGTTGTAGGTTGTGGCCGCAGGAAGTGAGGAGAAACGCTAGCTGACAGTGAGTAAGAAACTTTTCCACCATCCCAACATAGGGCAAGTTGAAAGCACACATCACAAAGGAGCTTGAGGATGGTTTGGCTTGAGCTCCTCAGCGTATGGATATAAAATCTGGTTCTGTATCCGGAAAGAATCCGGCGATTTCTTTAAAGACTACGTAAATTCGTGAGCATACATAATTGTTGCGTTCATTACAGACGGCCGAAGAGGTACAGGATCTGCGATGATCATGATTTTGTGATTCGTTTCGTAAAGTTCTGCTTCATATTGTAATTTGCTCTGCTGAATACAATATCGCAGACCTGTAACCCCTCAGACTTTCTGACAAATCAGAACCTGCCTGGCCTCGTAACCCAAACTCAGTGTCAGATCATAGCTGGCCCGTATGTGCCACAAGATGTTGAGCGCTGGCAAATCATCCACTCGTCAAACTGGACATCCGGGCCATGAAACAACAGATGGTGATGTATGGTAGTTGCAATAGCCACACGTCTTATTTTCTGGCTCAACTAAGTCAAGGTTCGCGAATATTACCCATAACAGCATCTCATCCGACGTATTGGCCAAAACTGTGAGGTTCACAGCGGTGCGGAGTTCGCTAATGGAGAAGCGGATGAGTGGGAAACCCTGATCGTACGAGCTTCTGGTAAGTTATCTGCGAGGTTCAGTGCGCAAGGGCGCCGGTCAAAGGTCTCATCCTCCAGCGTGAATGGTTGAAGCGAGCCTACCAGCTGTTTTCAACCTGCCGTCTGCCAATTCCCTCGGGGATGTCTTCCAGTAGTAAGCAAGCCGCCGATGGTCGGCAAGCAACTTACCTCTCATCGATATAAGTATTTTTATCAAGACCAGGTAGCATGAGCGATAGCGATATATAGTTCGATCAGAGCTTATGATGACATGTTCTCTATAGGAAGCTTAGCATCGTAGGGGGTTTCTTGAAGGGACGGATCGTGGAAAGCAAGAAGCTGCGGGCACCAGGAAGCAAACTGAGGTCCACTGGGGACTGATGCACCAGGATTAGGTCAGTCAGTTCTCCGATTTGCCCTCTGGCAGATTAGCAGTGCGTGAGAGAACCACAGAACTGGAAGTATACCGATAATGTAGGTATATCAGGATCTAGCATCGCGGGTAGGACCGGGGTCATCCTTCCCTTGGCGCAATCGAATGAACAAATACGGCTGCTGCAAGACCCTTTGGCTTGAAAGGTAGTTCGGTAATACTTACTGCAACAACCACATCATAGAGGCAACTCAAAACGGTGCCCCAAGTAATAGGTTGGCGTATTATTGGAGTTTATTGGTTACTCTGGCTGGCTCCTTCGGGACTTACTCTGGATTTTGTTCCCCTCTTGTACTCAGAGGGTTTCACGGTATCTAATTAAGTGTACATGCATACAAAATATGACCGAACTTCAGGGTCTATCACCACATGTCCGCCGACGAGGCTTGGCCAGGTTGCAACCCTAAAGTCTAACCGAGCCCCAGTAGTATTCATTATTTTCTTCTTATCTCTGGTGCTTCTTGCTCAAGACAGCTACAAGTGGCGACACGAAGGAATGTGTGAAGAAGTCGAGTACTTATCACATGATGTTACAGTGCACAAATCGTCTGGGATCTTGACTAGGCTGTGGAAAGGCATAATGCCATTCATAGTGGTAGTCGTTGATGTGCACATGTTTGGGTTCATAAGGAATCGAAATCGAGTTCTAAATTAGCTGGCGAAGGTGTAGTCGAAATCTGTCGTATTTCTCCCTCATATCACTCATTTTCAAGGTACAAAGCTTGGTAGTCATTCTGTTGTTGTGGTCCAGCGAAATCCATCATCTTAGATTACTCGATGGCCCAAGGCTCCTAGAAAATATCTGCCAATTTCGATCTCGGAAACCACCAAGCAGAAGTCAACATCCGTCCATCCGGAAGTTGGCTGGTCACAGGGTAGACTAACAAATGCTACATCGCATAAGAAGATCGACACGTCACTAGTACACACCATGTTCACCTCACCACATGTACCGTCTATTGAGACGACTGTACCATACAAACTGCAGGAACAGAATCAACGTCGTGGACTGGAAGGACAACAATGAGGTAGCCCATGCTGTGCATGAACTGTTGAGGCGTCCATGCATTTGTCCGCAAGCCAGGGACCTGAGGGTTCTGTGGTACAGCTTAAGACGTTGTCGTGCCCCGCCCATTGGCGAGGTACAAATGCACAATGCAGCTTACTTTCACATTTTTTGTGATTCCTGTTTAGTCTTGATTCACCTGCAGTATGATGATTGATAGTTTTAAATTATAGGTGGGGAGAGCTGCGAAGGTTGTGTAGCTCTTTCGGCAGCCGGCATCTTTGCATCGAATTTTGGTCAAGTCTTCTCTATTGTAACTTACTCCCGAGTCGCTTTTCTTCTGCTTCATATCGGAAGGTAATGCCAGTAAATTACTCATATGACATCAACGGAATATTGAGCGCGTGAAATGTATAGATAGCATAATCAGAGAGAGAGGGTGGCACGAAATGATCTAGACTAGCAGTCGGTCAGAGCTTTCAAAGGCAGCGCCACAGCGCCGCACTCTAGAGTTGACCCCTCATTGAGCTCCAGCTTGTCATGCCGCATTCACGATCGTCACAACAATTCACAACAGCATGAAGAAATGTTATTTCTTGCGTGAAATCATTCAAGGGTATCTAATGACCAGATCATGGATCCGAGTATGGTCATGAATTCTAACGTTGAAACCGTAGCCACGGTATGAATCTTTTCCCAAATGCCACAAACGCCGCATAATGCATGTCCCTTTCGATCGCCGATCCGCTTGTCATGACAATTGTATTGCTTCCTCACACTAGGCCCACTTGGCAAGCAGAGCCATCAGACCTCCACCTAAGAATACGCAGCCTAGAGCTGACATTTTCATCTTCAGACCAGCTTTCTGCATCTGTGGCGAGAACATGAACTCGTGTGCCATCAGTTCTACAAGACCTGTGTACAACAGAATACCCGCGGAAATAGCGTCGAATACTCCGTTGATGATCAGGGTGGTACTAGAACCTGGCGTTAGCGTCTCGCGGACTCCAAGACCGGCGGCAATGGCGATAGGTGTGCTGAGTGCGTAAAGTGTGGCAAGCAAGTACGGCATGTAGCCCTTGCCTCTGGGCCATGAGGCGACCGCTAGTCGGGAGCCCAAACCGAGACCTTCGAACATTTGATGGAAGACGAGGACAATGTATAGGATGACAAACTCGTCACCGGCAACTGCGAGGGTAAGGCCAATGAAGATTGAGTGAAATATGACGCCAAACTCGAGGATGAAGAGGGCGGTCATTTGGGCAGCGAATGCTGCTTCGCCTTCCGAGTGCTCACGGTTGTGGCCGAGATGGTCTTCACCGGGCAGACCAGAGTTTGCAGGCCCCTTGTGGGTGCCGGTCTCAAGATCTTGATCTTGGGAAGGCGAGGGAGAAGTGCTGATTGTGCCAGACTTAAGCATGCCGAGAGAAGGGTCACTAGGCTCATTCCCGTGGCTATGACTGCTGCCTCCGAAGAGGTCATAGTGGCTGATAATGACCTCGATGAAGAACATAACCATGATGGTCATGAAACAGATGCCGCCAGCCCAAGGGTATGCCGAGATGTCGTAGTCTTGAAGACAGGGCGAACTAAGTGCATCGAAGGCAGGCACCAGCAAGTGCATGATCGAAGTTGCGATAATGACACCAGTACCGAAGTACTTGGCGACGAAGAAGAAGGACGAGGGTACATTGACGTGCCGGCTTCTGGCAAGGACCACCGGCAGGAGCGCGCCGAGCAGAGACGAAACCAAGATGACAAAGATTGCCGAGACGCGAAGGCCAAGCCGGCCGTCGAACTCGTTACCAGAGTCGCAGTCGACAGTGACGGTTGATGGTTCGTCTTGGGCGGAGCCTGCAGCATCATCATCTTGCCGTCTCAGCAGAGCTGCTCGCAGCAAAGCGTCCATGGTGACTTTTGTGTAAATTGCGCGATCAATATGTAAGTTGGAACGTCGAGGATTTAGTGACGTGGGCAATACTGTGTACGATAGCACAGTCTACCAAGTGATGGTCGTCAAGGTCCACCGAAGATGAAAAGAAAAAAAGTTGGAAAAAACGGCTGCGAACTATTTTGTCGTACTCTCTTATTCCATAGGAAGGATTTTGGGCACAGAGAATAAAAGTTCTTGGGCTGGGCGGCCGACGCTCGGCAAGATCTGCTGTGCGTTATGTACTTGCAGAAAGAAGAAGCGGCGCAAGTATGAGCAGATACTGGATTTAACGGAGATCAGGCCGTTGGCAACAAGCGTTGTGGATTTTGTGCTCGGCGTGAAGTGATTGGAAAAAGAGCGACAACGGCTTGACCTCATGGGAAGAATATGGATCGCGTCCCACCCAGACCCGGCCTGGAGGCGTGAGGGTTGAGGACTGAGGACCTTGATGGCCAGAATGAATGATGCAAAAACCACCAGCAGGGCGAGCAAGAGGGTGAGCAGGGTTTGACGCCGGCACTGTGGATCCTATCTTCAAAGACAAGAGCGTCCGAATCTGTAAAAAATGAGAACCCTGATGGACGGGAGGCGTCTCAAGCGGATTTCCTAGTGCGGCTTCAGAGGGACTGTGACGTATCAGAGCATTGCTAAGGGCAATCGCGTCCACTATTTAAAGGACTATGTGGGCGGGGGGTCGTGTGTGAACTTGCAGGGGTTGTTAACTCCAAATGAACGACATTGCATTGTTTTTCCCCTTCATCGTATACTCGAGATATAACTTGAATTACACAAAACTAGTTTGGCTACACGAGATGAAAGCTTTCGTCCGATGTTTTCGTGGTTCTACAGTACCAACGAAGTCTTTGTCTTCCCATTGCACGTGGAAAACGACCACCCGCCTGTTGCGTCTCCGTGGACCCCATAACCTACAACCCCAGCACAAAGGGCCCCGGTAAGCCAACTGACACATGTCTAACCTAGGCAGGTAGATGGCCATCAAGGTCCTCACAACGCCAAGTACCTCAAGATGCCATGGCACCAGGTCGGCACACCGAGAACCACCACACAGCCGTTACATATCAGATTGGATTATCATAAACGCCCAAGGCATTTTCAATTCGATGCCACTAATTCTTCTGACACAGTGATGTAACTCGCAAGACATACATGTCCTGCTCATATGAACAGCAAAAGACAACAAAAAAAAGACAATCGGGTTGCGACCTCTAATCAAGTACTACGAACACTTCACAGCTATAGGGCGTTCACGCTGCACAAAATTTTCTCGGGATGTTTAAGCATGTTTGAGATGCTGTGTATAGGTATTTGTGCTAGCTTAACACTGCATACTTTCTAGGGCTACAATGAGCTTTTCAAGGGGGTTTTCCAAATTATATAGCTTGGGAACACCGTGTAGCTAGCCTCCCGTTGCATAGAGTAGTGTCACGACAATACCGATGGGTCCAAAACGTCCTTTGCCTGGTGGTATGGTTATGCTCAGAGCGATATTTGCATCAGCAGCGTCTGTCGGTCAGTCGCAGCTGGGTAATCTGAAACCCCTTCGCAACTGATCCAATTGCAAGTAGTCACTCCAGCGATTGTCTACTCCTGCGTGGAGGATTGAGCTGTGAGTAGGGCGTCCTTTGAATTGGACCCAGCCCTTGTAAATCAAGCTTAGGAGGGTTATGCTCCGGCCTAAGCGACTCTCTCGCTTCGTCGGGATGATGTCCGGTACCAAGCCACCGGGTTTGATTTGCTGCTGGTGCGTTGCAATGCTCACCTCGTGGACATGAGCGAAAGCCCGTTTGCGAGAAGGGTGGCCATCAAGGTTGTGGGGACCCCGTAGAGCCGCTCTCCAAGACCATGTCATGGATGACCCAAATGTTACTCACTGCATGCAGGGCCTTTGAACGGTGCTTGGCCACTTGGCGAACGTCCTGTCTTTGGAGGCTTTCCAACGCCTACTGTAGGTATGCCTGAGTAAAAGCTTGGTGAGCTTGTATACAAGTACTGGAGAAGGCTGTTTTGAAACCGTTGGATCCCGACACTTTAGTAGATCCGCCAATTAACACTATTGAAGCGGACACTAGCACAGCTGACGATCGCCTTGTATTACCCATCCCAGTCGCCTACTTGATCATGTTACACAGTAGAACATTTACGGAAGTGAAGAGTATGGTTTTCATGACGAGAACTGGACCTCGAGACCAATGCTTCGGAATGGCGAGTCTAGCCGGCGAAAATCGATCCCACTCCCCAAGCTGAAGAGCAAGGACTGTACCCTCCCTTCCCAAAGCAGGCCAATCTTTAGGTTCTGGTCTAATCGGGCCTTCAAGACCCCGGAATATTGGTCGTCATCATCTCCAGGCTCAGCAATAAGATCGTCTTCAGTGACATCCGGGCTCCACTCAAGTTTAGAACGAAAGCTGCGCTCTTTTCTTCTCAATGCCTCTGTACTCGTTACCTCGGTCGTCTCCTTTGAATCTGCCACTATTAGTGGTGCGGGCAATGCTTCAACTTCAGCTGGCGATGGCGTTTCCAATAGTGGGAGCGGGTCATCCAGCCTCCATTCCAGCTTTGCTTGAAAGCTTCTGACCGGTTGTGTTGGCACAGCCTCGGTAGGGGATTCAGAATCCCCGTCCTTGGCGACCGTCCACGTGCCCTTTTTCCGCCAGAGTTCCATGCCGATTGTCCAGTCGCTTTCGTAGCTATAGACATTGAAGTCCATTCTGCTGGCCAGGGAGCAATGCTTGCCGGCCAAGACTGCGTAGCTCCAGCTAATGTTTCCCATCAATGGGTTTATTGTCATGGTCGCTGTGATTGGTGACCCTTTGTAAGACGGAAGAGTCGCAAACCTCATGCCTACGCTCATGCCGCCTGACTTATTTAATGTCCCGTAGTACAGCTCTGCACCAGCACTGAAGCGACCGTCAATGCCTTCTCTTTCCCCGCCGTGATTGCCATTGCCATTCCCGTTACTGTTGAAGCTTCCCGAGCCATTGTCGTCTGTTGATGGCGGCTTTGGCTGAAATCTTGCAGCATCACCTCCGAAGTTGTATAGTCCGCGTACACCCATGAGGCCCCCGTCCGATGAGGCCAGGCCCTCGACGCCGTACTTTCCCACATCATACTGCACCATACCCAGCATAGTGCCGCCATTGCGTAGAGTTTGGTCCGATACAGCACTGACCTGAACCTGTAGGTCAGGCGTGAACCTCTTCACTACCAGAGCTTCAAGCATCGACCGTGGCAAGTACAATCTCCCATACGCCAGGGTATCCTTCTCTGTGCGATCCCATCCTTTGATCCAGTTACCGGTCCCCGTAGATCCTCTTGACAGTTCCGCCAAGGGCTTGTAGCTCCTCAGCAAATCGGGCAGCGGTATTCTGCTGCTTTGCGCGATGGCATTCGTGAGCGGTACCGACGAGTATAAGTAGGAGACGGAGCCGTCGACGACACCGATGGTGCCAAGCTGGTAAGCGGTGGCAAATTGCGGCGTGGCTAGGGAGCCCAGCGTGAGCCGCAGCCCGCGCGGCGTGGGAAAGTTGAGCAATGCATCGGCAGTCGCGTTCAAGGAGGAGTACGAGTTGTCGCGTCTCCAGCCGGTCGCGGTGTAGAATGCGCTTTGGATGTAGTCCATGAACTCGCGCATGGTGTCTGCTCTTCCGGATTTGTTCCTCTGAGATGCCCACCCGGAGGCAAGCTATAGCGTCACCTCGACTGCATCGAAGGACTTGTATTGAGACTCTAATGGGGCTTCTGAGCGGCAGTTGCGACGGGATCACGGGTTCTGCGGTATGGACTGGAAGGTTTCGAGGCAAAGATGTGTTTGAAACTGGACTCCAAGAATTGTGGCTCGTGACAAAAGCTACAAGTACAGCCACAATTTTTCTGGCCATGACGTGCCAAACAACGTGCAGGGGCATCAAAAGATATTCATCATAGATAGCATAGTTTCGTGGTTGTCTCGCTGCTTTCAGCAAGACAGCATCGTGGCGTCGAGCATGATCACTTGACAAAGCATTTCATTAGAGACGATAGTTTTCCATGTACGTCGTCTTGATATACGAATTGTTGTTGGAAATGAAGTTGTTTGACGTTGAGCTACTGGTTGAAAGGGGCCCCTGCTTGTCCAACCTTGGGCCCTGCCACCGAGTTCCGAATACGCTATTTTAGCCCGGAATAGCGTGATTCCATACGTGCAAGTGTCAAGGTGAGGGCTGTCGCAGGAAGTTATGAGATATAGATTCAATCATGGTACGCATTCTTATCAGGCAGCAGCAGAATATCGATTCGCATCTGCTGATCTTCGACGGGAGAATGTTTTTAAACCTACTGACAACGAAGTTCTGACTACCATTATCATTTCCACAGTTCTGAGACCTTGACCGGAGCATTGACGTAAGTTCAATAGGCCTACACTTCCCGTGCTTCAGGGGGTTGCCTTGAGCAGTGCCTGACCGCCCTAGCTGGACTCGACCACCTGCTGTGCAACACGTTGATTTTGAACCTCGGAGAGTGTCTCGCGACAGTCTACATCTCATTTGACTACTATACTGAACGTGCGGTCAGACTTCAAGCTTTCAGCTCTGGGTAGTTTTGCTGTCTGAGTTGACGGTGGCTTCAATGCCTTTCCTAATGGCACCGAGCCGCACTCTTGCTGACCTCTACGCAAGCTTGAACAAGGTCAACGAAGAATTAAGGACGTCGCGGCAAGCACTCCCCTTGGCCACGTCCAAATTGGCCAATGGCTCATTCGCTGCTGGTAACTCTGGAAAGCCCAGTCGAGATGCAGCATTGCAAAGGCGCGCTCTGGAGGCGAAACAAAGCTCGTTGAGGGCGACCATACGTGCAGAGTCTAATCACGGGATCCGGCCACTTGACATACGAGACCTCCCCGACGAAATCTTGTGTCAAGTGTTCACGCATGTGCGAGGCGCTCCGTACGTGGAAGAGGCCGACGGCCTCGAATGCCTGCGTTACACTGCCAAGGATATCAAGAACGTGCGGCTTGTTTGTCGGTGGTTCTGTGATGTCAGCTCTGACATGCTTCTCAGTTTTCTCGAAATTGATATAACCCCAGAGTCAATTTTGCGCGTTCAAGAGATTTCCCAGCATCCCATCATTCGCAAGGGCGTCCATGCTGTTAAGATTCGAATGCAAGTTTATAGTCAGTTCCTGGCTGAAAGCCTGGCAACTTTTGGCGCATATCACATTGGTCAGCTGCGCAAAGAGATTCGAAGACTGGAGGGCCTTCGGGAATGGAGCAACATTGAAAAGGACATTAAGAAGGCAAACCTCATAATTGCTGCATGGGCCGCTCTTTTCCAGGATGCGTCAGATCCGTTCTATACGCAAGACGAGAGATATCTACCTTATCAAGTTCTCTTCAAAGAAGCGCATGAAGAATATGTGGGTCGGGGAAAGTCACAAAGAGACATTATGAAGAACGGTGCATTTCTGAGAGCTGTACGTGCAGCTATCGACACTATGCCCCGTATCATGGGCTTACATATTTGCGGCGGTAGTTGGTTTGACAATGTACGCATCAATTTTGGCATCTTGAAGAGTGATGATATTCTTCGGCAGGCTCTCTTGCTTCCCATGGCTTTCCAGGAAACAGAGAGAATTGACGTCAAGGAACATCGATTATTACTAGAGATGATCACCAAATTACCTTGTGGCATCCGCACTGAAGCCAAACCTGGCAGGAATGGTACAAAAGGACATGAGCCACTGTGTTATGCTCTTCAATTGGGAAGACTAACCATCAGCAATATTCGTGTCACACAACCCTGGCTAGAGTATCTTTGCGACAGTGTACATGGCTCAGCAGTACAAATTACACTCAAGGACCTGAATCTCTGTTCTGGCACATGGGCGAGCGTGCTAAATTATATGCGCCAAAACCATAACGCCAATGAATGGTTCTTAACCAACCCGGCTGGTGCGGAATGCGATGAATTCCCGAGCGAAGAGAAGAGACGGATATTCGGGAACCCAAGATCCAGATCAACGGACAGTCTTAGCCTAGCAGAACGATACATCGCTCGCTACCCAGATTCTACAAACCCTTTGGCAATTGCCGAGGATGTTGAATAATGAATATATGGGTAGGGCGCAGTAACCACAGGTTGGTCGCACGGCCTGCTCAGGAGTACGCGACAAGGGAAAATGCTGTAACGTATTGGACCCATGCCTTTAAAGCTACGCTGGCTACGCGATCCTTCATGACATATGGTCTGCATCGATTACCGATTGGTGTCGGCTCGTTTCACTGCCAATTACTCCAACGAATCTTGTCTGGGACATCAAAACGCCCTTCCACCTAGATTTTGCAGGCTTACCTTGGGAACGAACGGAACGTTATGCACCTGGCGCTGAAGCAATCGCCATGATCTAGAACTCAACGGTGCAACTCACCACCAAATATTAATTTCGAATAATTATTCATCGCTAGGCCAAACATGGACTTGTGTTATAAAGAACCTAGTATCGCACGCCATCGGTTGCTTCTGTCCAACCGCCATGTGTAAGTGATAGCGTTCCATGGTATTTTGCCTTTTTCTTTTCCCGAACAGTATCACATGCGCGATAGATTTTGGTGCATCAGTTTATTGTACATGTGTTGTTGATTGTTTGAGACTTGCATACGACTACAGAGGAACTCGGCTCAATGTTATTGTTGTATACAATGATGCTTCTCGTGCCCTCAAGTCTTGCGGCTGGATCTCATGCTGTTACGCTTCAACTGAGCATCAATTCCGACGATTTCGCAAGTCAGCCACTGGAAAATACCTCTGTAGCTTTACTTGGCCATAGCGGCCGGGACTTTTCGCCCCAGCGTCTCGGTGGCGTGGTTAAATATACACCGTGCAGAAGATCTTTCAGGTTTCTCAGAGCCGGGAGTACAAGTTCCCAGGATTTCCCCCACGGTCAGCTTCCTCCCCGGCGTGGAGGGTGTCACTATGTTGAACGACTTCCAGTATACGCTCAACAGCGGAGTGCAAGAGTAAAGTCTTGGAGAAGATGTGGCCGGCACAATGCCACGTGTAACATGGCAGGATCTCACTGATTTATTCCTCTTCTTTTTCGGAACAGTAGAGATCTGCACCAAGTCTGCGAGTTATGCGACGGAAACGTGCTTGGCTAATACATGTTGCCACGCATGGGATGACTTGAAACAGATTTTCTATTCTTGGCCCCTTGGCATTATAGCTTATCAGTCCCTTGCATTCCCCCACGACACCATTATCTGCGGCCACAGTCGCAGTTTTCCACATGCGCCGTGATACATCGTGCCTGAGCCTTGTCATCAAGGACTCATCATGGCCCTCTTGTTAAATCTGGTGAACCCATGTTGTGCGATGATGACGACTTGAATCTGGTATGATCCATTAGGGCATCACCTCAATATCTAATTATTCTGACGCGTGGCGGATTATGGATTGGCGTGGCTAGTTCCTCGTGTATAAATGGGTATAATTTAAGTCTTCTAGTCTCAAAATCAGTGACAGTTGAGGCGATTAGAGATATCTTTCTCCTTACTGTTCGTCTGTCCGATCACCTGTATTACATACAGAATTATGCCTTGGCGATAGCCGCACCCTCGGCGGCGGCGGCGGCAGCGCCCTCAGCTGCACCTTGGAACGTTAAGGCACCATCACCTACTACCCTATTGTTATGTTAGACGTGTTCTTTGTTTTCCGCGAAGTGGCCGACTAGGAATTGACTTACAAAGCAGGTGAGTAAGCACCAAGGTTTATGTTCAAAGGTGCGGCAGCGGCAAAAGACGCAAATGTCGCAAACACAACAGCGATGACGGTTCTGGTGTACATATTGACAATGTATAGATGAGTGTGTAGGTTTGATTATTAATATGGTACTGAGAACTTGGAAATCGAAGAGAAGCAGATAACCAGATCTGGGCACAAGAAATAGAAAGAAAGCTTGGTGCACCTGTGCACTTCCGTTTAAGTCAAATAGAAAGATATAAGACGAAAATAGTCGGGCTTGGAAGAGAATGTGAGGTAGGAAAGAGCAGCAGATATATTCCTAGCAGTAGGACTAGCACGTCTTATCTATCTTGTCCCGTTGTCAGAAATGCTTCGCAAATTTCTTGGGCGAGTATCTTGGTGGTTTCGGAGGCTGTGGTCTCGGGCCTGGCCAAGAGACTTGGCAACGCTTCAAGGGTGGGCCAAGATGTGGGATCGACGCCAATTGTGTGAAAGACGACGACGCTGGTGTGTTTGAGATCGCAGCCGACACCGTGGGGTTTGGGCGCGCACCGGCATTTGTGCAAAAAAATGTAGTGATAATCTGATTTTGTTGGAAGAGGCCTGCATAGATTGCTCATTGCAGCCAAAGCGGATTGCACATGTGTTTACTAGCTAAAACGCTGTATTCGGGGGAAACAGACTAGTGATCAAAGAACCATCGCTTCAGCGGACTGGAGTGCCGCCATTTTCGATAAAGAAACGACCGCAATGTTTCAACCTCTGGTTGGTCTTTTCGTGGGCTTCTTTCTACATAGCTGTGGCGACTCAATCAATAACGAACGGACCTTCCAATCGCTGCCAAGCGGTTCAAGACAACTTGGCTAGTATCACCAACACCAAAGTGAACAATGCATATACACAAGTCAGCAAGGTCAAGAAGTGTCACCCAAGAGAACCAAGACACTTCCCCATGGAGAGGAAGCTTATTGTAATGCGTTTAGACGAACATGAGTCTAGACCGTGCTGTGAACTATCGCAGTACCAGATGTACTGGCTCTCACGTGTACTTTTTTCCTTTCGTCGAATCGCGCCTAAAGGTCTACCTCGGGACGTTCGTCAAGCCTATAGATCCAGACAGGTTGCTGAGCGAGGGCGTGGGCGTGCGATCGGAGGGGCGCTTTCAGAAGCGTTCAGCACGGAGTAGGATTGGTGGAGGAGAGAGAGATTTAGGTCGTTAGTTTCCCGAAATTGCAACATTTTAGAGTACCCATAGATTTTAATTCTTAAAGACAAGCGAGACATACACGCTCGACACGTTGATAGCGCTGATGGACCTTTTTACATACTATAAACTTTTTTTAATTAACGTGCTTGTGAGTGCCTGGGCCATGGTTGCACTTGAGCTTCTTGAGTTCATGCGTTTATAAAGTGTGCGAAGTAACTATGGCGGGAGCCATTATAGCGCTACTAGTATTTAAGCTTGTTTGCGGAAGTAATAAATGCGGCGGCTGCTTAGATAGTGTGGATTTCGGTGTCTGGCGTGGAAACGCCAGTGCTCACTCTGGCAAATGCGTGAGACACTTCAAGCGCTTGGGTAAATCATTCCTCGTGAGAGACAATTATAGAAAAGACATTTTATACAAATCAAAATGAATGATGCATCAGTTCCTGTGTGGTCTCAAGGTCAATCTTGACATAACATGATATTTGTGCTGTATACCCTAGTCTCCATAACTTCGACAAATCAGACGGCATATTCTTCTTGGAAACGGAGGCTAAATAACTTTTCGAGTGTCCAGACTTATCATTGGCTTAAATTTTCCGACCCGTGGATTGTTATGTGGGTTGAAATGTGGAACGGAAGTAGCAATCACATACATACGATTATTGCATCGGCTGCTGTGCCGAAGTCAGGATCTTAGGCAGCAAAATTGTTCTCTCCCACTGACAGGATCGTCGAACCCAGTGGCTGAGAAACTAGAGACCTCGTCGATAACTGTGTCCCTGGCTTGGTCATTCTTCTGATCTCCATGTTTCATCTGTTACTGGTCGTTTGCTTGTAGTCACGCACTGCTAAGTTCCTCACAACCATTATATGATACAGCAGATCTGGATAGAGCGCAGTATGCCAACATACTGTCGGTTCCCAATGGCTCAGTAATGTGTCATGCCAATATTTAACACAATTTGTGCGTGCCTCTAGAATGAGACATTATGTTCCGATTTGATGAACGCCAAGCTTCGTCAACAACGAATCAGTCGCGATTTAAACGGTTGCCTGCTCTCAACCCCTTCGATTAATGGTTTGCAGATGGCAAGCGGGTCTCTATGATGCTGTATTGCGGCATATATGCAAAAGCGTTTAGTCTGGTGTTCTCTTCTTTCCTTGGCGTGTTGTATCCGGCCTTTGTTGGACTGCTTAGCCGTTCATTTTGTATAGCCCCTTTGCGAGATCTCTAGCAAATATATACCATTCTTCTTTTTCCCCTACCGTTTGTCAGATCAAAGACTAGGAAGAGATATAAACCAAACGAAGAAGCGACTGGACTCACATAATTGTGAGAATCACAAAACCAATCGTCACGAGTTCACGATTGGGTGCAATCCCTAAGGGCCGCATCCGCACGGCGAATCCGATCCTTGAAATCCAGATACGCCCATTGAGCAACTTCGGCTACCATGACGACGTTGAGGAAACACACACTGAAATACCTAGCAATAGCAGGTATACTTACTGTCTTGATATCATACGTGACTCTTTACAGCCAAAACGATAGTACGAATCACATCTTTCCTAGTAGAGTAGAGTGGCTCGGTGAGAGCTATCCAGTGAAAGGAGGGAAAGGCAGCAAGCACGAAGACAGCCAACCAATACGGCCATGGCGACAACCAGATGATCATCCGATATCTCAGCTGATAGAACGCGCACAAAAGGGCTCAATACAACTTATCTCGAAACGCTCGTACACCATTGAGGAAGCAAGCCAAGCTTACCGCTCGCGACGCGGTCGACATCCGCCCCCGGGCTTCGATTCATGGTTCGAGGCGGCACAGCAAATGGGTGCAATGGTAGTTGAAGACTTCTTCGATCGGATCCACCATGACATTGCTCCCTTCTGGTCTGTAGACCCGACGGTGATGCGGCAGCGTGTCCACACACAACCACAACTTATCCGTGTTCGTGGCGGTCATGCTTCATTTGTGGCCGACTTCGGAAATCTCCCGAAACGGTCGGACTGGATGAATTTGTGGACAGATGTGGTAAAGGAGATATCGTCACATCTACCTGACTTGGACATGGCTATCAACGTCTTGGATGAGCCAAGGATTTTGGTACCTTGGGAAAACATCAATCAATATACCGCTACAGAACTGGGCCTGCGTGAGCTGTTTCCAAGCCATGAGGCGAAAACAGAGTATACAGACTACAGCGATGTGGACCCGGAGTCAAACGATGACGCCTACCAGCCGGAATGGATAGTGGACCATCCAGACAAGTACTGGGATTATGTGCAGGCTGCATGCCCACCCGATAGCCTAGCACGTCATCTTGAAGCGCCCGCGTCGTCGACAAAAGAGTCCATAGACAACTTGTATCCTACATCCCCCTTGGCAAGCTACACTCATCGTGGCTTCGTTTCAAATTTCACAGCTTCCCAAGACGCTTGCTTACAGCCGCATCTCCGAGGCTTACACGGGACCTTCGTCGAGCCGGGCGCCATAAAGACTCTAGATACGCTCGAATTCCCCGTGTTCAGCGGGTCCAAATTACCCCAGAACAACGACATACTCATCCCCGGCGCTATGTATCTCACTGACGAGACCCGATACTCGGGAGGCCGAGGACACGGCGGGCCTTGGAAGGACAAGAAGAACGGGCTGGTCTGGAGAGGTGTCGGAAGTGGAGGTCGAAGTAGTCAAGCAAACTGGTGGAGGTTCCACAGGCATCGATTCGTCCAAATGATGAACGGATCAGCCGTATCTCTGCTCGAGAAGAGCAGCATGACGGGACCCGTGGGTCCTGAAATGACGTTCAGACTCGACAAGAACGCTACATCCGGCGGCATCGTCACGTCAGCACAGGACAGAGGCGAGCTCGGCGCCTCACTTATCCCACTGACCGACGTCGGCTTCACGTGGATGTCATGCTCTCCAAAGCGTTATAACTTCTGGGGTCGCCTCGTCCCCACTTGTGCGTATACCGAGTCCTACTACGCTTTGAAGCCCCAGATGTCCATGAGCAAGCAATACGACAACAAATTCCTGCCCGACATCGACGGGAACTCCTTCTCGGCGCGGTGGCGCGGCTTCCTGCTAAGCTCCAGCCTGCCTCTCAAAGCGACTGTGTATAGCGAATGGCATGATTATCGATTGGTCCCGTGGCTGCACTTTGTCCCGTTTGACAACTCATTCGCTGATATCTATGGAGTGCTAGAATACTTCCAGCAGCATGACGAGGAGGCAAGAAGGATTGCGGAAGAGGGCCAGACTTGGGCTGGGAAGGTGCTGAGAAGAGAGGATATGGTTCTCTACGTCTGGAGGTTGCTATTAGAGTATGCTAGGGTGATGGATCCGCAACGACATAGGCTGGGGTTTGTCAAGGACCTGACGGGTTGAGCAATTCTCTCTCGCTGTGGTTTTGAAGAAGGGAGGCGGTGGGGGAAAGGGAAACATGAAGGAAACCCTCAGAATTGCTAACTATGACAACTTATGCATAAATTGGTTAAGTGGTAATCTTTTGCTTTGTTTTTCAGGTTGTTCGGTCGTGTGTGAGAAGTTAGGCATCATTTTCTTCATACGCCCACGTATATCTTACACTTATCTCAGGGATCAATTTCACACGGCTAGGGGAAGGAAAAGCGCCAGGAGCTGCAGGCGTATTTTCTATATTCTATATTTAGGCAGTGCTAAGACTTAGCCACTGCCTCATGTCTGGAAAGCTAATTAATGCTACTCGAGCTGACTAGGAATGAATTCTTTACATTTTTGCTTTTATTGGGAGGAGGGGTCTCGCAGCATGTTCCGATTTATTGCAACATTTCTCGTTTGGCGTTGAGATGCGGCCGCCTTTTCAGTTAGCAATCCAAACTATTCACCCAATAATGAGGTGATACGAGATCTCGCGCCAATTTTGACACGGCAATGTCTTGTCTTGCCCCTAGGTCAAGATATAAATCGTGGTATCAACAAACAATCGAGCACTACATTGAACCTTAGCAGGACCAAGATGGCTTGAGAGAAGAGTAAAAGCCTCAAAAAGAAAAATACCATGGTATCGCGTTCGTCCACACTTCGTTACACTAACGCAAGGACCGAGGAAACAATCAATGAACACTGCTGAAGGCACTGGTAATTACGATGCAAGGCTCCCCTCTGCTAGGTCACAGCTTGACGATAGAAGAGCTGTAGAACGAAGAGCTCATGGTTTAGGGTTGAGCACAGCTTGATGGGTTCAAGGGAGATCTGCCGCCATCAAAGTTGCTGAGGTAATCTTGGACACCGGCATGCAGCTCTCCGGGCTATATGCACATTGCAGAGTGGGAAGAATGCATGCTCATTTCGGAGTATGACCACAAGTAAGCAGAATTTATGAGACTCCTCGTGCTCAACAACCTCCCTGCCTGATCAACGGTCAATTCCACACAAAACCTTTCGAACAGAGAGAAGTTTTCGCTTTCCATTGCATTCGTGGATTTTCCTACCAAATATTTTCGTTCGACGATTATGGCATCTTCTCATAAAATCCAATACGAACAAAGGAGCAATTCGTATAGGTCGTTAATGATCCCCCTTTACTTGACACACCAATTGGCATAGGAGTACTCGAGTCTTGAGCTTGGCGAGAGCAGCCAGACATCCCTTTTCTCCATGACAATCGGCATAGTCGTCCAGGAAGCGAAGTGTTCCATCTTCGTTCACTTGCACGAAAGCGTAATAAATGCGTGAAATCGCATCCAGCTGAATGGATGACGGGACATGACCTTTGTATATACGCCAGCAACGGTAGTTCATAACCCTATTAGATACGGACGAAGCCATTCCCAAGGGATGAATGTGCTGCTGAGCCATCTCTAACCTTACGAACGAGCAAATTGGTCAGAAGAGCAAGAAATCCATCACTTAGCCTGCTATGTTAACCGCACTGATGACTATATTAGCTGGTAAGTTCTACACTCAAACAATCAGCAGCGACTTTTACTAACGCGATTTAGGTATATTTCAGTCAATCTGTCCGATGGCATATTGACATAAGAGCAGCCAAAATCTTGTCAAAATCACACCGTGGCATAGGATCATTACCCAGTTCTGCTGCCGTATCAGTCTATAATCTGATCAGTTAGGTGCCATGGCCACCGTATCGACACCATATATCTCCATCGTGAGACGTCATTCCTCACTTCCCAATATCCTTGACTGTACGCAGAGCGACAGCATAAGCCAGATACTACAAGCCCACCTATCGATGTACATGATATCTCAATAGGCAATGGCGATTTTCAGGCAGAATTGGAACACAGCGCGAAGAGTAGCTGTTAAGTTGTATTCCTAGTAAGAACCCAGAAAATTCAATGTCCTCCGCCAACGCCTTCCCGCAGGTCCAGAACCATTGAGAGATGATGAAAATGACGATGCTCAGACTTCCGTAACCATTCGTGGGCTCTTCTTCAAGCTGAATTTCCCTTTGAAGGAAACGGCTTTTGCGGGTGACGGCTTGATCTGAAAAAAAAAAAAAAAAAAAAAAAAGTAATCGAGCGTGTGCTACGCATTGAAGTCCTGATTTATTTTCGAGAGCAAACACTAGACTAGATCTGCTTCTGGCTCTGCAGGTTCTGCCATATTACCAGCGTTGCTATGTCAACAGTTGCGGCTGATATGTACACAAATTCAGACAAGATATATTTGGCACTTCAACAAATGCTACCTCAAAGCCTGTTCTAGAATTTATAAACCCAACACAGGCAGTGCTCTTTTTAGTTTGCCTGACAGCCCAACTCGTCCAGACCGCGTATAATCTATATTTTCACGATCACCCTCATAGACCAGTACTTTCAGTCTATCGAGATCTTTCGGCGGAGGTACTTGGTTCAGATTCCAATGATGCTATAGAAGCCCATCTTGTGATTCGCTGAGTCTTTCTGTATAATGTTGTTGAGGCGCGGTTTGAGGTGTAGGCACGGACGACTACAACACGGTCTTAGGTGTGATGAATATTGTTAGAGGAGTGAAATGGGACTATCGTACATCGTTGAGAAAGACGATGAACCACAAAGGAGAGCACACCTAGTTGCATTTTCTGTTACTTTGGAAATTGTAACGCGATCAAAAGGTTTCAGATTTCGATATATGGATTGGAATACACTATCGACCAGGGAAAAGCTTCACTTCTTCGCATCCCTCCACATATGCGACCAGTTAAGCTTGATCCCATCTTCAAATTCACCATACGAATGAGGCTCAATCACTTTGAAGCCAAATTTCTCATACAGCCCCTGCCCCTCAGATGAGGCTTCCAGGTACGCATCTGATTTTACTTCATCGAATCTTTCGCAGCCCCAAGACATCAATGCCTTGCCAAACCCTTGACGTTGATATTTCGGATCAACACACATATATCGAACAAATGTAGCGACACCTTTTCCTGCTATGTGTTCTTGTCTTTCCTGGTTAATGAAGCGCAAAAATACTTCAGCTTTCCTTCGCCGCTCACTGTCGTCGATCCAGGGCGCTTCCACGGTGATCTTGGACAATGCCGAATTGTCTCTTAGTGGCCGTAGCGGTGTCGGTGTCCGCTCCAGATCGGACGAGGCCGCCGCGTTCGGGAAATAAAACATGCAGAAACCTGCGATTGTGCCGTCAGGGAGTTGTGCCTTTGCGATGACGAGCCCGGGATTTGCGTGCATGTGCTGAATATGTCGCTTGACCATGATGGCTCGATTCTCAGGCGTGTTCCGGCCGGCCACGAGCTCGTCGAACTCGCCGAATGCGCGAAATTGGAGTCCAACGAGCGCATCAAGATCGTCTTCCGTTGCTGTATGTATGGAAACGCCCATGTTGGCTGTCATGGCTGAGTGTAGTGAGTCGCGTTCCGTACAAGAGTTGGCAGCTTCTTATGGGACCGCACTTGAATAGTGGCTTCTAGACTAATTCTTCAATACGAAATAGGGGAACGAACAACAGAACCCTGTTACGGCCTGGAGTTGTGAGATTTGTCTGACAATCCCTGGATCAATCAGTCACAATATCTCATCGCCACGGGGTCCTATATCGTCTTAGCACGAAAGCTGTAAAACGGACAGATTTGTGTATTTAACGGCGGAGGTAGTCATGCGGCAAACATCTCCATCAGGCAGCAATTTGACCTTCAGGATTCGACATTGCCCCATGATCCATAGATGGAAGGGTGACAGTGCAACCAGCTTTACATATTTCAATTTCCAAGATTTTTCGACTAGAAGGATTATTTTCTTTGCTTCAGTATAACAGACAGCGCAAGATATTGACATCGACTCTCGGTTGAGGTAATGGCAGTTGCTGCAGAGAGGGCCGCAGCTGCAGTCCAGCGGGCTTCAGGACTGTCAATGCTCAATCATTGGACTTCTACTATGCACCACGTAGCCAATCAATCACCAATTGTGACCGAATTCACAAGTATGGTTTTGTATAATTATGTAGCGGACAAAGTCCGGTCGAATGTCATTACAGTAGCCTTCATATTTTTGCACAAATAACAACCCATGCCGCTTTGGCCGTTCTTGCGACACGCTGCGACCAGTCTCTACATACGATGTATCATGATTCGCGATACCCAATACAGGATCTGTCAGACGTAAGATAAGCGCAACATATTCTCGCTGATCGCTCGCATCGTAAACGGACTACACTTGGATGGTACCCAATCACAACTGTGCCAGAATCTATTAATTTGTGCTTTCCAAACATATTCAGCGTCGCGATCCCTTGCCCTGGAAATTTGAGGCTCGGCGGTAGCAACGAACCTAACCGAGATGATGTTGATGTTGTCAGCTGCACATGCGCTCAAGTTGCTTGATTAGGCATCTCGTCACACTGGCAATTCCCGATTCACATTTCTCGCCGGTGCGCAAAGTTGTTACACCTTTGCGTCTGATCAATCGGCTACTGCGGTAGAAGGCTAATCTTAGAGTTGCACGGCTGTCTTTCGAACGACTGGTTCGTCTTGGGCATTGTGAATCAAAAAGTCCAGACAACGCCACAATTGATCGCTTGATCCTTTGTTTTCCACGTGGTGATGGAGAAATCACCTTCAAGACTGGTCCTCGGTAGCAACCCCCCTGCTGTGCGGCGTCTCGTACGGTAATGGTGTCGCTGTCAATGGCAATCTTACCCCACTGCGTAAAAATCCCTTGCGGTGCTCCAATTTTCCGATATAGCTGTAACACGCCCTGGACGCCCAGTGAATCTAATCAGCGCCTCTCCAGTAGTCACTCGAGGAGATTTCCGTGGCTTTTTCTTTTCCTTGTACACGCACGACAATGGCCCTGTAGCAACCGGACAATTGCCGCGGGATGTTGCGACAATAAGAGACGGAAAGTATGGGCAACGTATCTTTATTGATCGTGTGAGCTCTTCAACGGGCAAGAATAGCCAGTGAAAAGCAATCGGGGCTAATAAAAAGCGCCTCTCGGAACGTGGCATGTGAGCCGATTTCGTGCAGGGGCATACGAGGTCCGGAGTTGGTGCCTTACTTAGTCGCGTAATTCGCTGTATACCCCTGCGAGCCTTGCCATGACCCTGTCGCCAATGGTTCGAGCCACTCAATCTCGCTCCTTACACGCGGAATAGTTTTCGTCGACATCCCCGTCCAGGCTGCCGGGTCTGAATTCCCCGCAATCCATGTGTACCAGGTGGACACTCACCGCGGACGCTCTTCCCTTTCAAGACATCGTCTTCACGATCGTCGAATTCGACGAAACGACCAAATGGGAGTCGTTCCGTTTATGTGAGGGGCCGGCTGTCTCGTTTCAGTAAAGTTCCGGGACTTCTAGAAGGGAGGACTCGTGAGACCCACGACGTTCCAAGAGGCCATGGACATTGGGCTGATCGAGGTCCGTTACAGTTATTTTGAGAACCAAAAAAAAAACATGATCACCTCGAGCATGTGAGAGTCCCTGGGGTCACCCTGCCCTGTCTTACTGATCTTGAGTCAGGAAACAAAACCATCGTCGTATTGCATGATTGTGATCCCGAATGTAGCAAGGACTACGAAAACCAGCTTCTCGGATCACATAATCTGAGGACCCGATCCGATGCACCAACACAGACATTGCATTTCGCGTAGAGGCTGTGTAAAGGAGTGCACCGCCAGATGTACGAATGACGACTAGATGTATGCATTATGTCTTGCTTCTCTACTTTCTTTTACCGCACAGACGCCGTTAGGATCTAACCGTCAACTTACCTATTGGCCGAAACTGTGCTAGCCAGAGACATCAATCTGTCAACTCAACCAGCATCATTTTGACAGATCTATCAACCGGGCGATATTCCCCATTAACAATTAACATTGAGTGTTCACCCGGCAGTCACCATGATAGCTGACCATGCCCATTGAGATCAAGCCACCGGAGCGACTTCTCATTTCATTGGACGCTGGTTCTAGAACTCTGTTTGGTGGAGAAAGTTTCACATACCCATGTGAGATTGTGCTTCCCTCCACCCCGGTAGTCAGCGTGCTCAGCAAATTCCCTGGAGCCCACATCCTTGGCGGACCCAAGATGACGACTCCTGGCAACATATTAACTGGCAGGGATGCATGTTTTTTTTAATGTGTCTTCAATTTCGGTTCTGCGTCTTTCGAGGTTGACCTGGACAGCCGGCCTTGTCGTTCATCTTTCTGTTCCGTTTCAACCTTTTTCTTGTGGCACCGTCCTTCCGTACCACTTGGGGAAGAGTTCGGCATCAGAGATGTGACCATGACTTCACTTCTTCGCAGGGACGACGACGATGATGACACCGTCTTCACCTATGTCAATCCTTGGGTAGAGCTCAATGCAGGACTTTGGAGCCTTTTTGCCGGCGCAACCATTCTTTTAGCGCTCCGCCTTTGGTGCAAAGTCGCCCGCCGACACGGGCTGTGGTATGATGATTATGTTCTCGTAGCAGCTTGGGTAGGTGTCAATCCTTTTTCACATTCACATTTTTTGTATTACTATTTCCCTACGGAAAACCCAAACCATCACAAATTGTCATGTCCGCTTCCTGGATCACGCTAACAGCCTGCATAGTCTGTTTTGACAGCCAACAACATTCTCATCGTCTATGAGTTCGCTACTGGCTACATTCTGGAGAACTCAACAAAGAAGTGGGATGACCGCATGCACATTCTTATCAATATTTCGTCATGTGGTACACTTATTGGGCAAGCATTAAGCAAAACAGCATTCGCTGTAACTCTGTTGAGACTAAGTAAGCGCTGGCAGCAGTGGCTTCTCTGGTTTTGTATCGTCACCATGAACTCATACATGGTTGCCAAAGTCATTCTTCAATGGGCCAAGATTTGCGGTAAGGCTAGTTACGATGTTTGGTATCGGCTGGACATATGTCTCGACTCGGAATTCCGTGACGGTTTCAAGGAGGGCGGTAACGTTTACAACATCATCATGGATTTCATATTTGCATGTCTCCCATGGCTGATAGTTCGGCACCTGGAAATGCGTAAAATCGAGAAAATTGGTCTCTGTATTACGTTAAGTCTTGGCATGGTGTAAGTTAACAAACTAAGATCATCTTTCCCCTTGTCAGAAACTGACCGTTGAACAGAGTTGCTATTGTTGCGGCAGTAAGAGTTAGCTGGAAGGATGACGGGAATACGCGTGACCCTTACTATATCTATCGAAACGCGGTGTCACAAGTCTGGTATTCATCGGAAATAACGGGAACCATCATGGTGCAATGCATACCAATACTTCGGACAATGATCAAGGAGATACAAACGTCCTTGACATCGAGGAAATTAGGCTCGCATTCGGAGGGCCCAAGCACATTACTCGGCAGTAGTAAACGCAACTCAAAACGCGCATCGGCTGGTATCAAAATGGAGCTTGTCAGGAAGGGATCAGAAAGAGTCGTCCTGAAAGAGATTCCGGAAGAACCAAAAGGGACTTGGGAGGCGCCCACATCATGGAAGAAGATGGGTACCGGCGAGTCTTTATCGTCCTTGGACGAGGAACGCGCAATGCCGATCTCGCCTCGGTCTGAACGCTGGATGAGACGCGAGAGCGAGAACTCGGTGGGATATGCCCCCCGGATGGGACAGAGCTTGGAGTCGGATAGCGATGGGTTACATTCTTTCACTGGAATTGCTATTGAACAAAATGACGGCTTGTCACCGCCACCGCAGCGGAAGCAGGATTCCGTGAATTGGCCATTGGGGTGATATCGGCGTGCCGAGGAGCAACAGAACGGAAAGTAACGATCGTGGCGAACGCTATCTGCAGTATTATTAGCGAATCATCTTCGTGTATATATTGACCAATCCAATCACTAGTTATTACATGGCTGCTGAACAGCGGGGAAAAGGGGTTCTGGAGCGCCCGATTACCTATGTAGTAGAATAATGTACAACAAGAATAATACTGAAATCCAAGTAACAGTTATGTTAGCTTCCTGGCCTTCTTTTTTGATGTCGTTTCCGTCTTCCTGATTGCTATACAAATCAGAAGACCGTATGCGTTGTTTTCATTCTGGTATAACAAAAACAAAAGGGATGACCGTAGTGTCACCGAAGATCCACGTGTGCTGGCACTTTTGCAGGACTAAAAGACCAGTCGCCATTTTTGACATAAGCAATTTCGTCACGAGAGGTTCCAAGGCCTCCTGGGTGCCGCATCGCGAACTAATTCGTGGCGCTTCAAACCTGAGCTAACACGCTTGAGCTTGGCGGAAGTTGTGCCACAAGATGTACACCTTGTGAAACAGAAATGTGCATTAGAAACTGCGCCCTAATAACTTGAACGCAATAAAGGGGCTGTAAGATGAGAGTCGACCTCAACAAATGATTTTAGTTAATTGTTTGTAGTTCGACATGGGTCACCTTCATGGTAGACACTGGTTAGGTAGCCACGGGTTGCTAATGATTCTTCGGCAAAGGTCGCAAGCGCTCAGAAAACGTAGGTTATTCCTTCGAGAAGCATACATAGTTTATTCTGAAAGAAGACCCACTTTGATAACTATTGACCGTTAGTAGGTGCCCAAACTTGTTCTTGTATAGCGAATGTATTTACGATCTTCAACCGCCCAAGATCAATATCTCTTAGTATAAGTCCTCGCAGATGGGTTGCTTGGAGACTGTTCATTCCGGCAGAGAAGGAATCAATGGTTGTTTCACCGACCTCGCACCTCTAAAACCGGACCAGTTTTGAGGATTCATTCTTCGAGTTCTTGGACTGTCAATTTTAGGCATTATGTATTGCCCGAACTTTCAGCCGCTGCATAGCTGGCATTTATAACGTTAAAAGGACTCGTTGTAGACAAGTCCACGCACTATGAATTTTTATCAGTCAAAGGACATTCGACACCTTCGGATATTCTTGCCACAACTTCTCTTATGATCTAAAAGAAGGCATCAGCGTGGCTGTTTGCATAATCAATAGCGGACCAAACATGTTCTAGAAACACCTGGCTCTCTATATTACTAGTAGTAACCCAGGAACTTCACAATCAATACCAAACAAAACAGCTTCTCTGACCAGTGGATGAGATCGAGTCTGACCCTCGATATTGAGCGGTAACACCTTCTCGCCGTTCAAAGTATGATACGATCATCCATCCTGCCCACAAAATTCCATGCGTTAGGATTGACGGGATGTGGCACAAAGAGATCATTGGTTCACCTTGAGTTCGGCGGATTGTTCGAATTTGACATGGTCTTACCTTTATGACCATCAAGGATGATACACTCATACCTCTCGCCGTCAACCGTATAAATAATATACATGGTAGAAATTGCGGTGGCGAGCGCAGGTAATTTCATACCTTATCATTATGTGGTTGCAGCCCAGCTCAAGATGAGACATCGCAGTGCATGGGAAATGGTTGTTTGTACAACAGAGATAAATTCGAGTGGCTCGGAGGTCGTCTTGGTTATTCACGGAGGGAGTATCCCGTTTCAACTGTCCGCGGTTATTACTCATTAGTACATGTTTCGGTCCTGTTCAGTATGTGAGGTCCGCTTGACAACATCATCCATCGTACCGTGTGACAGAACATACGCTCCAAGCTGCATCCCAATATGCACACCTGTATTAGTGATCAGATCTCCTTAACTCACCTGGCAGCTTACTGCCCTTGCTTCTCACGAAACGACAATGCCTTATAACATCGATCCTACTTGCCTTTTCAGCTAGCAATTTCAAGACATACGGGATTGTCCACACAATCTCCGGATTAGCCGCTTTGATGGCCGAAGAGACGGTATTATGAGTTTGTGGCACGTAACCGCTCATCGAGTAGATAGTTTACGCTTGTGAATTGCTCGCATATCTGGGCTCATGCCCAGCGCGTGTAGAAAGGGCAAGAATATGAAGGATGTCACGTCCTGCCCGTGGACGCCTGTCACCATCAATTTCTAGTGGTTGAAATCGATGGGTTTTGGAATGCCGGTAGAACCCGAACTGTGGAACGTGAGGCATCTTCATAGGAGCTGCTTGAAATAATTAACGTTTTGAAGATGAATTTTGGACGTCTCAGAATGCCGTTGGTTATCATACTTACTACGCGTTACGATCGGCTGTAGCTCCAAGTCGTAATCCGCGATGCCTCGCTTCGTTTTTGGAAATACTAAGAGTGATTTTGATCTTCATATATGGCACGCTGCCGAAGCAATTGGTCAAGTGTCCAAATCCTATGTGTTTCCGACGTGTCTCTTATGAATCGACGCACAACGCCAATGATTTCCTCAGGGAACTTTTAAGGTATCTTGAACAACATAGATGTAGCGATGGCATGGATTTATCACAAGTTGACTTCGTTTCTTCAACTAATCGTTGGAGTTGGGAGAGACTGCTGGCACTTGGTACCTTTCCTTTCCATAACAGGAGTTGATGCCGAGCAGCACGTAAAGTACACACTATAGGTAGCTTAGCGTCAAATTAGGTTAACTCTAAGCAATATATAGTCACTAACTTCAAAATAATTCAGTGATGACAACTGATAAGGCGGCTAACCTTAGTGTACTCTTGGCCTAATGCATACTCGGGTTGAAGCTTATGTATATAGGTACGAAATAGCACTCCGATAAATTCCCATGGGAATCTGATGGGACACATTCGGGGGAGTGCTCGCCCGGGCACCTGGGACGAAGAATATGACCCGGGCGGGGGTGCCATTGACCTTCGGAACGCCCAGGAAGCTCATTCACAAATAGTGGGTCATATTATACTATATGACCAAAAGTCCTGGGCATTGTCTTAGATGTTCCGCTCCTTCCTCCCGGTATCCGCAGGAGTAGCACAGGCGATCTACATAGACTGCTTATTTATTAGATCCCCGGAACAGTACGGAGCAACAATAGTCTTCGATTGGCTAGGATTTGAGCTTAAGTAGCAAAGAGGGGTTATTCAACCAGCCCCAGGTTGGTGGTGAGTCCTGAACTAACTTCACAAATGGCTGCCACCAGTACATTTGTCAGCACGTCATAGGATCCTTTCCATTATGTCTGCAATTGCAGTAACGACATCTACGGGAGGACCTCCACTATCACGTAGGATATGCTCATTTCACTTCGGAGATCCGCCGATTCATGCCTACCAGAAGATTATAATTAACTACTCCTGGGGTTTAGCCGCTGGAGATGACCGGCTGTAGCCGATTAGCACGTGACCGTCCCACGATCTCCTCTCCATTTTCACCTATGATCTTCTGTGAACATAGTTCCTTATATCGCAAACTCGTAGTATCAACCAAAATGTCTCTGCCTGATTACATCTCGTTTGAGAATCTCGATGTTCCTCACCGCGAGGCTTTCTCGCTGGCTATCAACAATATCCTTTCTACCGATCTTGCCCTGACAACTTACGCCCAAATCATTGATGGCTTACCCACTTCCGATGTTGCATGGGACCAATACTCGTCGAAGCTCCACCGCCGACACCCCATTAACGACCACGTCGCCTTATGCTCAGGTGTATTGGAGAAAGCTAAGGAGTTCCGCGCAGACCTTGACCTTGAAGCCCTCAGGTTTAGTCCGACTGTAAGTAATATCGAGACATTGACCTTGGCATCAATTAACACGAGTTATAGTTACTCCAAGCTTACCAATCGGCATCAACATCTTCACAAGCTTTTGGCTTTCGACTTATCGAATTAACTGCGGCTGCACTCCATCAGATAGGTGTCTTTTTATTCCACCTTGAATTGCGCATGCATAACTCAGCCACAACGAGAGGTTTGGATATCGAGGCTGTTACCCTATGGGAGCCAGAACAGAATCATTTTATGCGTATCATCCCCGACCCTACTTTATTCACACAGTCGCATTTTACTGCCCAAGAGCAATACCCGGATGGCTTAGCGGACATAGCCGGCTATTGGGCTGAAGACCGCATCCTAGGGGGCGTGGTTTTATTTGACCGATCGCAAAGTTGGGCTGAGAATAGCGAGCCTAATGTATATTTTCAATGCTGTCGCAAAGGGGTGACATATCGTGTCTGCCAACTCCTCAATGAGCAGCAGGACAGCTTGTTGGGTTTTCTCCAGACAGTGGATATAAACGTTACCGAGTGTCCACTTCCGATCTTACCAGGTTCGCACAATCGGGTACGGGTAGAACCAGCAGACTCGATATCAGTACACAAGGTATATAGAGATCATTGGGAGAGAGCACCGCCACGGAGGCGCTTGCGAATGCAGGAATTTATGGAACCAGATGTAATCAGTTCCTTAGATTTTCCAGAGCATGATGTAGAGGAGGAGATCAAAAGACTAAGGAGAAGAGAACCACGTTGACCATTATAAGACGGCCCTTTACAAGTTTTGCTAGTAGTTAATCGCATCTTACGATCTATTTACTACCGCGATATCTGTCTACATTATTCCCTCTCAACGTTAATGAAACCTGAGATGGGCACTTGATAGACAAGTTAATGTTGTGTCCGTGGAGATTCTATCGTTAGCAGGTTCATATTGCTAGTCTGTTTCGTCTGCTCAGTTGAGTTGCTGGCAGAGTAATCCTTTCATGTCTTCATCAGACACAAATGTGTAATAATCTCATGTATCGAATGCCCCCAGTTCCATTGGCCTCTCCATGATGAAGATGCTGCTAGTATCGCCGAGCCACTGGCCCGATCCCAGTTAAAAGAGTAACAAATATGCACTGCTTCCAAACAAAGCTTTGGAAGAGTCTTAATAGGAAATGCGGCCACATACTTTCGCTGACAGGCTAAGCAACTTGGATTTGGCGGGGAGTTCTCAAAAATTAGTTGGTACGTGACGTACAGGGTTCTGAAGTGTAGTGTGAAAGCATACCATTCTCTCGCTCCATCTAAACATCTGTATAGGTGATTCAAATGTGCAATCTATATGTGCAATTCCGGTTAAGCATGTTTTGCCTGTTACGCATTTAGGAATATTTCCTGCACACTAACGTGAGCACAATTGCGGAGCCAGACACACTGTGTTTATATTTAGACATCAAACATGAGTTAATCGATATGTATGCAGTGAGGTTGGTTAGCCGCACGAAAGCAGGAGCTTACCTGATACTTGACTGTAAGTGCAGTAAGGTGTAGGCAGAAACGGTACAGATGACACAAGATGGAAAGGTGTGACGTAGGCTGAAAGCCGAGTAATTAAAACCGTCCAGAGCCCGTTGGACTTGTATCACAGATAAGATCCCATAGCGCCGGATTAGTAGTTGGGTGGGTGACCGCCAGGAAATCCCTGGTGTTGTATATTTGTGCACCTTTCTGGCACGTACGCACGTATGCCAAAATATACTTACACAGAATACTATTCAACTCGGGTAGGTGCCGAGAGGTTATAGAGGGATCCATATCCTGCGGGCTAGGGCTGCACGGCCCCACCCTTTACATTTCAATGTGTCTCTTACCACACATGACCACGCAGTCCATAGAAAGCAGTGCCCTGTCCGTCAAACAACAAAAAAAGAGCAAAAAAGGGATTTCCCAGATTGTAATCTGGGGGAAGCGATGATGAGAGTGGGACTTGAACCCACGCACGTTTCCGTACCAGGAAGTAGGTGTTAAGGTTGACCTTAACCTGGCGCCATAACCAACTCGGCCATCTCACCGTGGTTGTTGTTGCAGGGATGCATGTCGAGGGCTATGTTTGCCGTCATCGACATATGCCCAACCCTAACGACGGTCGTTGTTGTGGGAGCAAAGGTGGAAACCCTGTGACGCCGGAGACGATGGTAACTGGACCGGTTTCTTCGCGTCGAGAGTGGAGCTGCTAGCAACTTGGTGGGAATTCCACGTAGCCTTTCATGTCTGTTGTCTCAACGGTTTGACTGCGCAGACATATTGAGAAGTTGTACTGGAATATGCTCCCGTTGGATTTTGAATATCATCTACGTGATAATTATCTGTCTGACACCTACCTTTCTATCCAGCTACTTTACACAGTAAAAAGGTATATCAAAGTGACTACACAAGGAAATGCACATGATATAGTTCCTTGAGTACTTGTGATGGGGATTCACGTGCGGCCACGATGAGAGAGACACTTCATAATGTGTCGCGAATATGAGTACACTTTTAGTTCAATTAGCAAGGTAATATAGCCAGACACAGAATGTAGTACAACAACAGATCGTTTATCTCAGTCCTTTAGTATCCAATCAAACCATCCACTTCAAATTTCACAGACATCACTTATTGACTGGTATGGCGCCTTAAAAGATGAGAAGAATACCTACGTGGAAGATAGCCCGCGAACTGGACAATTATTGAATGGGTGGAGTATGTAAAAGTGTGGTATAATCATGAAATAGCTCTGGCTCTCTATGAAATCAGAAGATAAAAAAAATGTGAACATCTACACAGGATATATACACCAATATGTACGTCAATATCGATGCAGGGCCATGAACAGGTCGACCCCGCTCATAGCAGCATCGCGCCGCCAATAATCCCGCTGAGGACCACGGCGATCATGGCAACAACTCCAGAGTCCCCTGTAGTTCTGAAAGCAGCACTGCTACCAGAGCTGTTGGTGGTGCCGCCGGTCGAGGTGGCGTACGAGCAGGTCTCATCGGTGGCAGTGTAGGTGGCAATCAGGCCGGGGTAGTTGACATCAGCGCAGCCGAGCGAGACGAGAGCCAGGCCAGTGACCTCGGCGCCCGTGTAGTTGTAGACAGTCGCAGGCATAGTGGTAGCAGTGACACTGACCAAACTCCCAATGGAGACGGTGACGCTGGAGCTGAGACCGCTGGTGACCAGGGAGTCACCACCGCTGGGACGGTCGGGCAGATCCCAGTTGGAGAGGAAAGTAGACTCGGAAATGAGAGAGGCGGCACAACTGGTAGCGGCAACACTCTCAGCGGTGGAGTTGAGCTCAGACCGGGCAGAGACATCAATCTTAGCGAACTCCGCCATCAGATAGTTGAAGTCCTCCAGTAGCGTGATCTCAGTAGAGCTATTGATGGCGACGACACCATACTCAGAAGACTCCTCACTGTATTCGTAGACCAGACCACCGCTGAGCCCCTCCATCTCATCGCCGTAGAGAACAGGGACGTTGGTGAAGGTTCGGGGACGGACGTTGTTGCAGCCGTACTCTGAGAAAAAGACAGGTATGTCAGTGGCGGCGAAGTCCACAACCAAGTCGTCGTAGCCGGACTCGGTGTAGCTGGAGTCGCCACACCACTCGTAGTCGTTCAGTCCGAAGAAGTCCATCTTGGAGTAGGTCGAGTTTTCGAGCTCACAGCCGAGGTATGCCCAGGTGTCAGTGAGCATGTCGGCGACATCGGCGGCCGAGTATCCAACACCAATCTCACGGGGTGCATGCAGGGCGATGTACTCCTTCAAATCACGGACAACGGCACGGATGTACATGGGCACCGACTCGTCAGCGTCCTCGTTGATAATCTCATTTCCAGCGAAGAATCCTAGCACGTTGGGGTAGTTCCAGAAAGCCTCGACAACACTGAAGATGTGCTCCATGTATTCCAAAGTATAGGTGCTAGATGGGTCCGTTCGGTCTATGTATTCACCATACAGTCCCGTGTTGACATCCAATAGCATGTAAATACCGGCGGCATTGAAAATGGAAGCGCATTGATCGTGGTCGAGGTCTGCGTCCAAGTTGTATACACGCACAGTGTTCACACCCAACTTTTGCATGATGATAGCATCTCGAAGGCAAGTGTCAGGATCACTCAGCGGATCGGCGCTGGAACTGAATCCGGATGAGCCTCCAGGCTGGTAGGTGATACCAATGAGATCGAAACGCTTCTGGGTGGCATCGATGACAAAGTTGGAGCCGTTGATAGAAAGGTATTCCACGGCTGAGGCCAAGCCAGAGAGTGCCGTTGTGGCCAAGAGAGCAGCGCCCTTGGAAGAGATACGAACCATGGTTGGTTTAGTCGAGATGCCGAGAGTCTTGGAAAATTGCCTAAAAAGGTATGCGGGTTTCGATGACAGGTCTTGGCAAAGAGGATCGCCGCTCTAAACCTGGCCTATAGGAAGTTCAATTGCGTTAAAAATGAATGTCTAAACGAGCGAGAGAAGAATTTGGAAAGAAGAAGCCGCGGGAAAACGATCACAGCGGTGCAATCTTCAGAGAGAATGTATTAGAAAAGGGAGTTGCATGTAAAAGAGAGAACCAAAAGGGGAGCAAAGTCATTAGAATCCATTCTGATGAGCGTACGCAATCCACTAAACCTGTGTTTCCGTAATGATTTCAAGATTTGCGACGGATATAGAGTGGGTCGGCTGACGAAGGCGTTATGCCTCTCTGGGTATAAGTGACTGAAATAGTAGTGGGCTGGAGGCTATGTTTTTCGCGTCCCTTCATGCGGACCCAACCGCCCTGAACATCGTTGCAGGTGAGGCAACGGCAATTGGATGGAACAGGCGTTCCACGTATTGATACGGCGAGTCGTACGCCCTCCAAATACTGATTGGCAACGAGGGCATGATGCACTGGCGGTAACCAGCTAGACTAGTCGGGGCCGAGCAACGCACTCGGTTTTCATGGAAATTAGTTTGCTTGTTTCAACTACCTGGGGCTCACGAGCCGCGACGACCGTTGTCAATGTGCGGCCCCAGTGTCCAATGCCGCAGATAATACGGCGCCGCGGACCTTCTCATGACAATGAAGATAATCGATGCCAAGCCGGCAGCGTGGATCATGACGGCAACTTGAAAGCCAACAGGCTAAGACCTGTTCTGCACGATGGTGTTCTGGGGAGTATATTTCGAATATAGCTGTAGAAGCACACTGGTAGTTATGCTCGCTCACCATACGTTGACCTCGGACGACGCTCTTAATGCCGAATTAGAACCACCGAATCTAACAATTTTTGCAGTAAGGCCAATACGAGCCATTCTCACCGTTCCGTAGTCTGTTTTTGTACTACTTTATAATCATAAGTCCCCACAGATAGCATAAAATAGACCCAACGACCGAGAGACACAAGGTGAGTATTCAGCCCTGAAACTTCTGTCAGCCATGAAATGGGTGGGCAATCGGCAATACTGTTCGTGGATAGTAACAAGCCCACGCTTGGTCGAGCTCCAAAAGATACTATGGAACAAACATACAACATACCTAGAGTGACCGAAGATTCAAGGCAAATGAGCGTATTTCTTATCACATTGCCAGTCCATACCTAGTCTTGTTGGCATAGAGAGCTGAGTGTCCTGCTTTTGCAATGACCCGATCCACTAACCATAGCGAAATCACTGGGCGTGTTCGATAAGCAGGCTGCGTATCTAAGTCAGCACTTTCGGAAATTCGAGGCTGCCCGACAAAGGGCTAAGAGGGAGACATTGCCGACTATTAAAATACTTTTATATCAGAAAGTATTCGTATAAATGCACTCAACTGTGTGGAGGGGAAGTTGTCGAACACAAGGTAGGCGTACCGAAAGTAGCCTGCCGATGGATGTGTCTGAGCAGTCACGACATTGTATGCTGCCGCGCCCGCTAGGTCGTACCATAAGTAGATGAAGGCAGCGAAGAATTAGAAGAGTGACCAGGAAGTTAAAAGGCTCTGTTAGCATCAAGCCAAGAAGGGTATACATAAACTTCACGATTATCTCCACCCAATTTGCCAACGTTTGTGCAGGTGTGGAATGTGCAAGGTCCGAACCAGAACTGCCAAAGCTCTTGCCACTCCAACGCATACGTCCTCAAGCAGACGATTGGCCGACTAATGGCGGACAACCATGTCTAGAATGGCTGGATTAATTTGAAGTACAGAGAACAGTTTTTTGAGCAGTGCCTAATGGCACGTTGAGCTCTATCTAGAACACAAGGCACTTTGTGCTGGTAGTTGATCCGCTGTGTAACAAAGTCGCAACACACCAGTACACCCTAAGCACAACAGCAAAACCTGTACAGCACGAAGTTAATGGTACAATACAATAGTATACATATCTTGTGTTGTACACATTGGTTCTAAATTACAAGTGGCCTTCACCTTTGGTTAGACGCGACCAATTCCAATGTACATGGATTACCTATCGGCCATCATGTTCTTGACGGAACGGAAATAGGGGGAGGAGAACTTGTCCTTCAGCTCGTCTTTCGTCAACCAATTAAAGTCCTTGTATCCCAACTTGTTGCCCGTCAGGTTGGCCTGTCCAGCCATGATTCTTCCCTTGAGGAAGAAAGTCTTCTCTCCCCTCGCCTTGATAGATGTGTCCTCGTTGAACTCGGGTTGTTGGACGTGGTGGGCTACAGGCACGCGGCCGACCAACCATGTGTTCATGTTGACACCAGCAGTGGAGTCCAGTACTCTTTGCGCGGCCTGGAGTGGGTTAGTTGCGCCAATCGTGGTGTTCTCTACAGCAAGGGACGTACCTGATGCAAGTTCTCATCTGTTGGCACATCGTCGGTGGGGAAGGACCAGTTTCCATTACCGGATTGGACAACCAAGTAGAGGGTCTGGTCGAGCTTTCGATCTAACCTCCTGACGTCGTTGGTCTTGTCGGCCTCGGTAACCCTGTCCAAGGGCTTCTCCACGGGGACAATCTCGTCAGGCTTTGCGGTCTCTCCATCCTCAGTGACACGCCATTCGGCGTCCTTTACGAGGATATCTCGTATGCGGCTTTCGTCGCTCAGGGTACTTCCGACCAGAAGCTCGTCATTCCACGCATTACGACCCTGTGCGAAGTATCTACCAAGCTCCTTGGCGGCTATCTGACCTCGCTCCTTGAATTTGATGTTCCAATCGAGATCGGGGACGGTGTTCTCCTTGAAGAAGAGGGTATGGCGGAACTCGGTGGTTAATCGCTCGTTCAAACGTTTCTGGTAGAAGAAGAAGGCGTTTTCGAAAGGCGTCAGAGCCCTGGTGAGCAAAGGCGCACGTGACAGGATGATGCCAGATTTTATGCGGTACTCTGCCTTTCGGGAGGCCGTGACGGGCGGGTGAGGTATCGTCTCTTGCGGTTTCAAGTGATGTGCCTCTGCGGACTGAGCAGCTTCGGCGGCTGCGGAGTAGGGTCGAAAGAATTGGGTTGTCCTGCAGCTGGCGCATACATTTCCATTCCCTAGAAATGGTCTGGTTAGATGCAGCTGAGGCACACGACAGTTGAAGATGGGAGACTCACTCCTTAGAAGAGCTGCAGCAGCCCTGCTACCTCTACTTGATGCGGCCATTTTTCTGGAAGTCTCAACCGGATCTTCTGGCCGTACTTGAGGCTAGAAGAGGGTTATGAGACAGCTGCGTGGTGAATTGGTCTGAGAGATGGTCTAATCCGAGTTCTATTCCTATTCGACGGTCGGTCGCGGCGACAGTCAACTTTTTTCGAAGCTCTAAGCAAACCCCCTGTCCGAATTGAACTGTGACCGCCACAATACCAGCCACATGTTGGAGTCGGAACTCAAAAGTCGGATTGAGCTGCGCCACATTTATCCTCCATCAATACAGGGCAGGTGCCGACTAATAATAAAATAGCCAGATGGCCTGACAGCCTGAGCTCAATTCGTCTCGGCGCCGGTCTGCTCCAAAGCCGCTGTTCTGATGAACCAGCACCCTTGGCACCTGTTCGGACTTGCAACTGCTTTGCCGGACTCCCCAATTTTCTTCTGCCCCTGTCCACTTTACCACACACAGTAGGTTAGTTAACTTATCTGTCCAGTCATTTCTCGCACTCGACCCCTCGTTCCTGGCTTCTCAGCCCAGTGGTCATAGTCATTGCCATGGCCATGGTCGTGGTCCACAGGGCCGTGCATTAGCTGCCGTCGTCACCTTCTCAAGTTAGCTGTTCATTCATTCATTCATTCATTCAACCAGAGACGCCACCAGTTTTGGTTATGGCATCTTTCAACTAAACGCTGAACCATAGAAAAGACATTCCATCGAACCTATCAATGGTTTTGTGTCAAAGCAGACAAGTGCCCGCGTCATCTCAACTCTGAATACCCCTAAGGACCCCTCCTCTTTCTCTCTCGTACCTCTCCGTATCCCTACATATGTAGAACGCCTGAGCGACCCGCCGGCAGATTGGCAACAGGCATAACCACACACTCCACTACGGATACGGATACAGCAACTGTTCTCTGCTCTTAGCTCCCAATGCTCGAACCCGACTGCGGCGACGATGCCTGTTCACCCCCGGGCTTTGGCTCGCCGTCTACCTTCTCAACCCTCGTCTCCTTGACACCCTTCATCCTCACCTTCGGCCTCGTCGTCCTCGTAGTCCTCCGCAACATCTTCCCTCAATTGTCCCGCGTTCAAAACTCTCGGGATGGCGAAGATCACTTTCTACCGTCCGATGCGCCCTTGTCATTACAGCAAGCCCACGCTGAACATGGCGCAAAGTCCATCAGGAGACGAGTAGCTGCCGGCGCATTCTCGACCACTGTCGGACTAGCTACCGTACTTGCAGAATTAATTCTATGCGAAATCTCCGACCTCGTAAGCCCATATGCTCGAGCGACCGCCTTGAAGATCACTGTGCCGACGCTGCTGTTCTTCCTCATCGTCGTCATACCTTTCCTTGAGCTACAGTCCTTGATCTCAGGGTCCGGATGGAGCTTTCAGAAAACTTCCAAGGGCCGTCTGCCCAGAACCGCTTGGGTTCTGCAGTTTGCAGTATTCGGCCTTTGGCTGTTCGCATTCTGGTCTCTGGGAAACCTCGTACCTGTGGGCAGCGAGTTTATGCATTCTGCCTCTCCGACAGACCGTTCCGGCGAAAGTGCCGGCGGACTCGCTCGAGCTTGTCTTGAGCGTATTGGTATTATTGGTATCTCGCTCATGGCCTTGCTCTCCGGCTTTGCCTCTGTCTCCTCTCCGTGGCATACCTTTGGTAGCAAGACCTCCCGGAAACCTGTCACAGACGCCGATGTTGCGCGGAAGCAGGCTGGACTCGATGCTACCAACGAGATGCTTCTGACCAAACGCCATCGCCTTCAGACACTACAACGTAAGGTGGCGGCCAACACATCATCCACTCAGAACTCCGGTTTCTTGACCAAGGTGGTCGGCTCTTTCCGAGGCTCAGGGGACGAGACCGAAATTCGTGGGTTGAAGTTGGAAATATCTGGCCTGGAAGCCATGGAAGCCAACCTATCAAACACACTGTCACAACTACGCTCCAGACAAGCGGACTCGGCACGAGCAGCAACTCCATTGGGTAAACTATTTCTGATACCTACATACGCCTTCAGCATCTACTGCATGTACCGGATTGCAGCGACCATTATTACCTCGTTACGACGTATCTACTCGCCATCGGCATCCTTTGCGTCCTCTGATCCCATAAATCGCTTTCTTGGCCTTATTGCCAAGCACTGGGACCCTAAACTGGACCAGACCGCTTGGGCTCGCCAAATATCATTCCTGCTTTCCGGAGTTATTCTTGCCGCCAGCGCCAACTCAGCACTCCAAACCTTCCATATCTTTGCCAAATGGACCCCCGGTCTGTTGTATCAAGCTCAGGCGAATCTTGCTCTACTCATCGGGCAGATCAGTGCTATCTACGTAATATCTGCCGCGTTGCTATTACGGAGCAATTTACCAAAGGAGGTTGGAAGTGTCGTCGGCGACGTGCTGGAAAGTGCACTAGAACCAGGCTTCGTGGACAGATGGTTCGAAGGTTGGTTCCTCCTTGCCAGTCTTGCTACGGCATGTGGAATTTGGATTGGTAGAAAGATTGGAGAGCTAGGTGAGGATTGGGACGATATAAGTATGGAAGAATTGGGACAAAAGCGGTCCTAGAGTCATGATGGTCATTTCGAAGCATTGGATACGGCTTGGCGTCACAGGCGTTTGCTCGCAAAACATTACGAATCGATATTGTCTGTGAGCTATATAATTAAGTTCTCGTTGAAATATCAAGGGAGAAGGTTTTGCCCATTGATATCCCCAACCGTGATGATAGGGATTGGTGTCTGGCCCCTTCAATATTTAGTAGGAGTCGAGATGCACTGCACAAGCCTCACATATGTCACCAGCTGTAGCTCGCCCATGAAAACTTAAACAGCCCAGCTCAACCTGCGTTACAGCGCGATTCCGACACAGGCTCCATGAGCCTGACGATCCAGGGAACTCGTACATAGAATGTGGCGTAGCTTGCTCGAAAGGTCGGCAGAAGTCGCCCGCTTCGTAGGTGGCAGTTTTCTTTTCTCATCTTTCTTTTTTTTTTTTTTTCATTTCTTTTTGAAAACTGCGCTCTAAGATTGCTCGTTGCCTCGTGGTAGGTCTATAGGGTTGAGATGCTGAGACAATGGTTCACATGCTGCTCTTGAAATTTTGGACCCTGCAATTGGATTGTGGTCCAGTCTTCTCTCCCAAACTGCACAACAGAAACATCAAAAGAGGTTGCAAGGGGGGGGGGGGGGGGGGGGGGGGGGGGTGTTACTTCAGTGATAGCACACATCTCGTATCCTCGCAACTGGCATCCACTGGTTGTGAGCTTCTAGTCTTGGTGAAAATGTCCCGAGGGGGTCGAGTTGTGTCTACACGGCGCTCACCAAGTAGTTTTCACTTCGCTAGCTAACAGCGTATACATCAAATTAGCACTGGTTCTGCTATGTGCTGTGACATGATTGCGTATTCTCGACTTCCAGGCCATTTACTTAGATTAATTCTAGCCGAACAGCCACGGTTCGACGAAACCTTCATCGTTTGTTATCAAGACAGTTCTTTGTGATTTCAATCGAGGTTGAGCATGGGGCTGGTATTGGTGAGCGGCACAAGTGGTTTTATACAAAGTTTACTGGCCGTGATAGAACACATGGAGATTCAATGTTGAAAAAACTGTTGACAGGCTCCGACTTTTGACGTAGTTGCCATTGAGTCTATCCTCCGCTCATCACGACAGTTTCGACGTGGATCGACGCGAAGGTCATCATTTCATGGTGTTCAGGAAGCCTCGTGATTGGTGAATCAGAATGTCAAGCCATTTTCAGACGCCGAACCCTATGCTGAACCTGAACCGAGAATTTCCCTTGCCGTATCGGATATCATAATGCGCGAAAGAAGCATTTACTCGTCATCCTCCTCCTCCTCCTCGTCAGCCTCAGCGACGGTCTGGGCGATACGGTCCAAATCACGCTGGCCGGACTGGGTGATGCGGCGGCCACCCTTCTCCTCATCCTGCTCGAGGACACCGATCTTCTCCAGAGCCTGGAAGATCTTGCGGTCGACGGAGCCGGAGGCGTTGACGTGGTGGCTGGGGCGGACACCTCGGTTCTTGGCGGTACCGTGGACGCGACGGAGACGGCCAACACCAACGGTCTTGCGCATGTAGACCTTCAAACGGAGGGTTAGTATACAGTCCGACCGTTTCGGTGAGACCAAGAAAACTTACGTGACGGGCAACGGAAGCAGCGCGGACGTAGAACCAATCGATGTTCTGAGGAGGAAGCTCACGGGAAGCACCGGTCTTCACAGTGTCGACCCAACCAGGAATGGGCAGCTTGCCTAGCGATCAAAGTTAGTTATTGGCTCGTTATATTCTGGCAACCCTTGCCACGAATGCCCCGACTGGTTGGAGGAAAAGGCTTAAGTACCTTGACGCTTCAAGAACGAGGAGTAACTAATGAGATGTCAGCATTGATTGCAATTTCAACAGGAACGGGGTACGCACGCCTCGATGAATTTCTGCGACTGTTGTCGGAACCCATGTTAGCATTGATCCCCATAAGCCCAATTTCTTGGACGCCTCAGCTCTATTCTTGTACGCGTTGAGATTGTATCCCATCGTATTTTCGAGTTCGAGACATTCGAGTGGAGGCCGAGCTCCGAGGTCGTTCAAGAGGGTGTTCAACTCACGTCAACATCGCGAACCTGGAAGAAATGTTAGCCTTTTCCACGGCAAGTCGAGGCCCAAATGGACAAGCGCTCCTCCGCCATACGGAGGAGCAGGAGCAGGAGCACTCACGTTAATTCCACCAGCCATTTTGACGGTAATTCTTGGTCGAAATCGGGAGATTGACTGGTTTCTGGTTGTTTGGGCGTTGGGCGTTGGTCGGTTGGCTACCAGAGTCAGAATCTCTTGATGTCGATGCGGATGCGGGTCGAGGAAGTTTTTGGTGGTTGCGATTTTGGCTTAAGGGTTTTTGTGCCCTCGGAGGTCAAAGTGGAGCAAAGAGCGAAATTCGCTGTGTGCACATACCCCCCTCTGAGCCGTGCGAATATCTCGTTGAGCTTAACGCCGAACTCGAGCCCCACTTACTCTGGCGCTGAAGAGCTTGTGGCAGCTTGTCGAGACACTCGTGACATGTAATCACAATGTCCAACTCGGATACCCAAACCTCACCAAGCTTGTAATCAGACAGCATGAGAGTATGGTCACTCACAAGATACTCAACAGTAGACCGGCTATCTGTAACATTCAGCAACATTGGCAACGCTTACTCGCTGCTCACAGTAGTGAATGCCTTCCGCTAGCAACTTCAAGTTGTTATACTTCGTAGCGCTTGTGTGACAACGAACCTACCAGGGATATCAACTTGAATCCAGCTTGGGGCCACAACTTCTTCAACGACTATTCAGGCGCGGTCGAGGCCCCGCATGTGATGGGTGTTGTTGGCCACCCAGGTTCCAACAAGAATCATCGTGTGACTGAGAATAATCTTATTGCCATTCATCTGTATTCAACTCCCAGCCTTCGCCTAAGCGATACAGTTTTCATACGTTGGTTTGTGCACTTGGCCATACACCATCATTGTTAGTTTGCTTGCTTACTAAGATTTGACGGCTGTTTCACCTGTTCAATGTTCAGTGTTCTTGGTTCTTGTATCCAGTTGTGGTTCTTACCACCAGGACCCATTATGCGTGATCTTCCGCCACTTCAGGAAGATTCTGATGACGCATGGAGATGCCAATCCTGGGTGCTGAACTACTTAGCTGGGAGGTCATTATATTTGCCGTATGCAACGCTCTAGGATAAGGTTCGACACTGTGAGGCTCGTCGGTGCATCGAATGATGACACGGTATATCTGCACCAACGGTTTTGTAGAACTTTTCCAAAAGCAGGGAACCAGAAAATTAGCTGGCCAGAACAATGGCTCAGATACTACCATGGCAGCGAGGTTACATTTTGACCCGTCTAGTGCAGTCTTTATTTCGTAATTTATGTCTATCCGTTCCCGTCCGAATATCTTTAGCATCCCATGGGTTGAGGATAACTCTCCATTCGTGTATCATCCTCCTTCGTCGGCGGAAGCACGACTAACTGTATTATGCTATTTCCGTCACGAATTTCAGAGTCGCACTCTAAATCCCCATTCCTCGAAGAGGTAGCTGTAAGATCCGATGTCTTCGTTCTACCTGGGCGCTGATCGGATGCATGTCTTTCGTATACACCTGTTCCTGAATCTGCAGTCTGTATTTTATCTCTTTTGTCGCAACATATAGCTATGAGCGCATTGAGAGCAGGGAGGCAGGCACACACCAGGCCAAAGAACATCTCGACTGCCGACCAGTACGCCACGGGTGCGAGATTCCATGTTCGATTCCGGGCGTTGGAGAGTTGTGACAGAGACATAAGTCTGAGGAATGAGACCAGCGTGATCCTGAAGAGCCAATGTTAGCCAACCCATTCATTTTCACGGTGTAGCCATACAAGGTTAACGAACGCGGATCCCAGCAAGAACATCCCGATAACTGCGGCCTTCTTCCTCCAACGCATATTCAGCTTATTCACCATCCAGAATGCAATGGCGAGGGTCGCAACGTCTAGGACGATGTTCAGTATCGAGTGTGCCCAGGAGATGGCACTTAGGCTATCACACTTGCCAGAGAGCTCGCCGTCCCACCCGTCCCAGAAGCTGGCCACAGGCTGACATTGGAGAGTATCCGCAATGGCGAAAGTAACGCCAATAACTGCATTGATGACGATGAAAGTAATGATAGGTCTACATGCGCTTGTGGTGCCGAAGACGCGTAGGTAGAAACAAAGGATTGAGATGCGCGTGGCAGCATTACCAAGCTTGTAACCGACGGCGGCGATGAAGAAACACTCAGAAACGTTTGGGTTAGCAACGGCACTGGCACTGTTGACGGAACGTCTTACTTTATACACTGTTGACACATCCTCGACTGGCACCTTCCATTGGTCCTTGCCCATACCATACCATGCCGCAAGGAATTGCCCAACAGCTGCGTCCATGGTCAAGATCTAAGTGGAATCATAAGTACATCTTTCGATCACCACATAGCATGTGGCACTACTCACCACAGCAATCACAATAGTCGAGTCATCCCATCCGATGCCTCCTGCCAGACCTCGATACTTCAAAAGCACTCTTAAACCGATGACGACCGAGGCAACTATGGTAGAAGCAATAACGAAACCACGGATCGCCCAGGAGATATCGCGTTCGGGTATTTCGCAGAGTATTGATGTTTTGTTGAGCGCTGTCAAAGCATCTTTTATTGAGCATTCCTCATAGAAACATGGCGAGAACGTTGCCTCGAAATCCGAGTTTGTGAGTCTGCAGGACTGCGAGCTTGCATTACTGGGTGGCGAGGTTCGAAAGCAGTTGATCTAGAATCGATGTCAGTCTTTATCTTTATGTTCATATCTTCCAAGGCAATAATAAACACAAGATAGCATACAGCACAAGATGGCAAGTCTTCAGCAGTGACTTTGGCAAAGACGGGGGCACAGAAGGCCACCAGGACTACAACCCTGCAGACTTGCCGAATGACAGCCATATTGGATCGCGAACATTACTGTGTTACATCAAGAACAGCAAGCCGTTCAATCTTGCAAGTGAAGTAAATGCCTTAGATAGTGAAACACTCAGCCCTGCTTCTGGGGAAATTTAATCGCGGAAGTACAATACTTGAAATGGATCCTGAATTGACATGTAAAAAAGATGCATCATTTGCCTAAGATCGACGTGTCTGCAACGCATCTTTTTTTTTTTAGCAGATATTCTAGTTTAGCGTTTTAGTTTTACTATGAGCACTTCTCGAGTTTGGGTCATACATCCATCGTCGTAAAGTGGAATCAATACTAATGCACAGACGCCATCAGAAGTTTATTTGCACTGGCGAATTCTCGAGCCTGTTTCAAAATCTTTAGTGGCAAGATGCCCATCAGGAGAGACCAAACGCCAAATAGATGGTATGCAATTAATTAGATCACGATCATTGCAAGTTCAGAATAAACGTTCCTTATTCGTGCCCTAACTCGAATGATCATATCGCCAAGCCTAGTAAAAGAGCTAGGTCAGGGTCGAGGGTTAACCCCCCCCGCCCCCCCTGAGATATTCATGAGAAAATCGGCCATAGTGCATTAGTGTAGTGGAATATAACGGGTATTATTGCGGAAATAATCCAAGAATGCGAAAAGCCAAGCTATTATCTTAGTGCTCATGTCTGAGCGTTATCACTAACCTCGTCGTTCGAGTCATGAAGGCCTATTGAGCTTGTGGACAACCCTTGAATGCAGATGGAATTGATAGACCCAAGTCTAGCGCAGTGTCCGAATAGTGAGATAACAGACACCACCAACCAAGAGCAGCCTGTATTTGTGTTTTATCCTCCATCTTAGATTATACCTTTGCCTGCACTGTTCCTTATATGTAGAGGCCAAGGACCTGATCTCATATAGTATAAAAAAGCTCAGCCTAGCTCCTGGGGGCCTTGTACACCACGTCCCGGGTGTTGTTCGGAGCGCCCTGGCCGGCTTATTGATAGACATCAGCTTTCCTGGCTTTCTACGCCCGTTCTGGGTTGCGTGACGGGGTGCAACATCTGTTCTTTCGGCGTTCCTCGATTGGGGAGGGGGGGGGGGGATTCCCCCTTCGCCAAGCTATAGGGAAGACCAGCGTGCAGGCATACACGCATCTATCGCTTATTAACCTGCTATGGTTAGGATCAAGCATCGATAAAGTCATAGGTTTAGCCAGGTCTATGAGACTGACTATGCTTTTATCATGTGATAGTGTGCACGAGCCTTTTATACTTCTTCGGTCTATGGATAGTTCTATGTCGGAGATACCAGGTGTTTGATGATTTATATTCATCACAAGTGCGTTAAAGTTTATGCCTAGCGCTTGCGATGTCTCCCAAATCTCACAGCGGAGATTTTGCTTTTAGTGTTCACAGGTGTCGATTAGCGATTAGCGGTGTCTGGTTTTCCACTGTCTCGTCAATCTGTTAATACACTTTTTGTAACTATACCCAACCTCTATACTAAACAACATTTCACTTATTTTACTCTAGCTTTCAGATAGCCAGTACAAAGTTTTGAGCTCGACACGCCTTTTTTGGACCATTCTCAGTCACTTCGACAGCGCAAGGTGATAACTTTTACTATGGGTCCCAAGGTTAAACGCATGCCAAAGTGGAGGCAATATGTATTATATTGGGGCTTGAATTACTCAACGAATCACATCAAACAGTGGTTCGAAACCCAGGTGACATAGTATAGTGGTCAGTACGAGTCGTTGTGGCTACTCTTAGAGTTGTTCAGAACGTTTCCGACTAGACCCCGGTTCGATTCCGGGTGTCGCCATACTTTTGCATCCTTTTTTATCCAGGATGCGTCTGGTTAATTCATTCAATAGTTCTTCTGACTGATGCATCCTACCAGTTTTAGTCCTACAACATATGTTATTGTTTTGTGTTGTAGGCTATCATCATTTATTTTGCGCAAAGTCCAATTATGGCGCCGTCTGTGGCTTTATGGCTTGACAGCGCAATGGTACACCAGTTATGAGGCCTTCATGGTCATATCACTCACTAATTACCAGTTCAAGACCATCATCCCGCTTATTGTGTAATTAAAATATCTTTCTTGGTCATCCAATGATAGATAGATACTCTGGACAACTGTCACAATTGTCCATCAAATATGTATGGTATAACGATGTTTGAGATGACCGGTGGAAGGCTTGGACCTCGATCATGCGAGACTATAAGTAATCTTATAGCCAAGCAAAGAACCACAAAATTTGCTTACTGTGCAAACGTTAACGACACCTTTCGTTCCTCAAATAACGACAAACAGATCACCATGTTGGACACGGATTAGAGTTTGATGCTATAGGTACAACTTGTGTACGGGGGTAGTGTAAAAGTAGAGGCAGCATAGCACTCGTGAAGGAGGATTGCAATACGCCTAAATCTGATAATACCCTGCGCAAACTAGCCCCAAGCACAAGTCGACAGAGCGATGCGAATGTATCTTGTGGCCGTCGTACACAAAGTTATCCTAAATTCGCGGATAACTTGGTTATCTTGTTCAAATTAGTTTATACTTATGTGTTATACTCTCTCATAACAACTAATCCTCAGTTTCATGTTGATTTTCAGTTGTCATTAGGGCGCCGGTTGCCCACCGACGAGATAAATGTGCTTGTTTGCCAAGCAAGCCATACACACAAAAGTTCAGTCTGTCGCATACCTCGACTACCTACTGGTGGGAACGTGACCGACTATTTTATTCCATATTATATTGTTGAACTTTCCGTAACTAATCTGTGAAATTGATAACTTCCAAGTTATTTCGCACCACACCAGTGGAAGTTCACCAGCGACCAGTTCCAGTTTGTGTAAACTTTTGTTTCTACCACTGACCAGACGAACCAGTCTGGATGTTGAGCTCTTATTTATCAAAAGAAACCCAGTGTCCTCATATGACTATGCGAATTTTGATATTGATAAAATACATGGAGCTGTTAAGTATTGGTTGAATTGACTGGCTTGATGGTTTAACATATGCTCAGCTTGTTTAGTAGGTACTAAACTTCAGATCTGTTTAGCCACAAGCCTACATATCATAACGACATTCATTGGACAAAACAAAAGCATGGTATTACTACAGATACCGAGATATATGTCTCCTATCTCCTATCGACAACAGACGACACATAGCTTCGGCGCGTTCAAGTCGCTCGTTTCAACTATGTTCGGCACTATGCCGAAGAAAATCCTTGAAAAGGGTGATCTGCACTAATCGAATAGCGCATTGGCACTAATTTCCCAGCAATGTAACACGCGGCAGTGCTTGCCAAGAACTTCCACTCAGCATGGCCCGACAGACCCACGTGCGCGCAGTCAAAGCATATATGCTGCTGCAACATAGGCGAGATATGGAGTACTGTGATGCTACGGTGCCAAACACGTGCTTAATTACCATGGAGGGAATTTTGTTCACAAGACCCCTGGTGAACGCCGAGATTGCGTCGGAGCTTCATGCGATGATGAAAACATAGTATAAGTATTGTCGCCTGCACTGAGAGCGTCAGTGAAGTTAAAAATTACCTCAGCCCGCTCGTTTCTTGGTTGCACGCACTTCGAACAAATGGCTTCGATAATGAGGTATATTGCCGGGGTTGCACTCTTGGCTACAGGCTCGTAAGTCTTCTTCATTGCAAGTGTGCAAAACTTGGAGATTAACTGTGTATAGACATGCTGCTTGTGGGACAGGATCATGTGACTCAGTTGCAGCAGGATATCAATGCAGTCCTGATATTTCGCAGTACTGGGGTCAATACTCGCCCTACTTCACGGTCCCATCAGAGATTGATGCCGGCGTCCCTGAAAGCTGCCAAGTGACGTTCGTGCAAATGCTTTCGAGACATGGGGCGCGTGATCCTACCGCTTCCAAGACAGCCAAGTATAATGCTACAGTGCAACAAATCCAGAGCTCAACAACATCATACGGTGCCGGATATGAGTTCATCAAGGATTACGAGTATACTCTGGGTGCTGATCAACTCACCACTTTTGGCCAACAAGAGCTGGTTAACGCAGGCATGAAGTTCTACCAGCGATATCAAGACCTGACACATGACAACACTCCTTGGTTTCGGTCTTCTGGTGAAGCTAGAGTGGTCGAGTCCGCTCAGAACTGGACGCAAGGCTTTCATCAGGCTCAGTTGGCTTCGGGTGGTATTGACTCCGATTCCTACCCATACGACATCTTGGTCGTTTCCGAGGATATTGGTGTAAACAATACTCTGAGTCATAGTATCTGTACAGCCTTTGAGGACGGACCAGACGCAGATGTCGGAGACACTGCCAAGTCTACCTGGGCTGATGTATTTTTGCCTAACATCACTGCGCGGCTCAATGCCAACTTGGTAGGCGCCAACCTCACGGCCAGTCAGACGATTTACATCATGGACCTTTGCCCTTTCAACACTGTCGCGAATGCAGCCGGCAACATCTCCGAATGGTGCTCGTTGTTCACAACTGAAGAGTGGCAACAATACGACTATTACGAGACCTTGGACAAGTACTACGGATACAGCTACGGTAATCCGCTTGGTCCAACACAAGGTGTCGGTTTCACGAATGAGCTAGTTGCTCGACTCACGAACACCAGCGTGCGAGACCATACCAGCACCAACTCGACATTGGACAGTAACCCTGAGACTTTTCCGTTGGGATTGACACTCTATGCTGATTTCTCGCATGATAACGACATGACGACCATTTACAGCGCCCTCGGCCTCTACAATACCACGACGCCACTAAGTAATGTCACGCTGGAGACTGCTGCCGAAACAAATGGCTATAGTTCCAGCTGGACTGTACCATTTGCGGCGCGCATGTATGTTGAGAAGATGACCTGCGATGGTGTAGACGAGGAGCTAGTCCGGGTACTTGTCAACGATCGTGTGATCCCTCTATCAACGTGCGATGCCGACGACTTGGGTCGTTGCGGCCTGAATGCATTTGTCTCAAGCCTGAGCTTTGCTCAAAGCGGCGGGTTCTGGGATCAATGCTTTCTATAAACAATTGTGCAACTACGCCTATTCTATCATCATTAAAATACATTATTTCTCGCAAACAATGCGTACCTGGAACCAAGGATAATGAGCAAAGTACTGGAAGATTGTGGTTTCGTAATATTTTGCTTAAACATACAAACGACCGTACCCATATGCAAGCCTTTGCATCACCAAGTTCCCATCGTCCCTTTCACTGATGCTATTTGCTTTCGTTCCAGAAATTCATGAAATATGTTGGGAATGTTGTCTGTTGCTGACTATACACCGCCTCGAGGAAGCTGCCAAAGGTACCGCATCGTGTCGCGGATCTGCGGGCCCCATGCGTTTCAAAACCAGGAGTCGAAGAATAATTCCGAGTTGCTCGGAACGTTCCTGATGTGCTCGTCCCCGAAGCCGTAAACCCACGATGAATGCGAGGCTAGGAAACTGAAATGATCCGCTTGCCACTCAAACCTCAAACCATATGGCCTCATCGGACCCGTAAGGCGACTTTTCAGAGCCTCGGCCGCCTCAGCCTATGCCTTGCCAGCCTCCGCAGCACGCTTCTTGGCCAGCCCACCCAACTTCTCTGCTGCGGCCATCAGTGTTCTTGGGTCGGCGCCCTGAACCTTTGCCTGGCCATGAACTGCGACCTGCTTGCCCTCTTTGAAAAACATGAACGTGGGCATCGCGGTGATCTGATAGGCCCGTGCGATGTCCTGCGCGTGGTCAACGTTCACCTTGGCAAAAGCCAGCTGGCCAGGCACGCTGTGCTGCTCTGCCAGCTTGGTCCAGATGGGCGCAATTTGCTTGCAAGGTGGGCACCAATCGGCGAAGAAGTCGACAGCTACGTAGGTCGTGTTTGAGAAGAGAGCTTGCAGCTCTGGAAGAGATGAGGGGTGCTGCACTTTGTCCGCCATGTTTTGCTGTTAGCTTTGAGAGGGGTTTTGGGGCGCAGATGAGATTTGCTGCTTTTGTTGCTTCGTAGAAGTTGGATACCAATTTTGGTATCTTGCAAGCTTTGTACAAGTGGGCAAGCGTTGGGATATGTTAAGGCACAGAAGTGGACGGCGCTTTGTACCTTTTCTCAAGTGTTTTTAGGATGGAATTCGATGAACGACGATGGGGTTCGCGAAGATGACTAAATTGACTGGCGCAATGTCAAAATGCAGCGGAGCCAATCGGAGCAGCTGTCAGGAGATGTGGCGCACGGGAGGAATAATCGAGAACAATCACAAGGACTTTCAAGGTTTATGATTAAGCTTAATCTATGGCAGATACTGGTTTTGTTTTGTCTCACAAATTGCTCTCAGTGTATCTGAGATTGAAGGGCCGCTTTTTCAAGATATCCAACTACGTCCGCTGTACACAAGGTAAGCTACCAGACACCCATTTACCAGTGAGTGAGACAGACATTGGCCACAACTATTTAACCTTAAGACCTATCGCCAAGTTTCCAATAATGGTCCGCCAACGACCTCTCTAGGACCCTCAGGAAGATGACCAGTTTTCTATGGAATCTAAAGCAGAATTAAATGTGTTACTATTAGGTGGGTGCGGGAACATCTGAGTAGTGTGGTGTACCTGAGGAACAGCCGTGCCACCGGCACTAAACGTTGAAACAGCGCAGTAGCTCTGATAGGCCGTGCCGGATATATTCTCAAACAGCTAAACAGTTCAAAATGGCTGACAGGAGATGAGCGATTACTTATGAGGTGAGCACGGCGGGCTGAGAGGAAATGAAGAGACATGTATTGGAAACTTTTGATCCTCAAATGCACAGTTCCAATTACTTGCCTGAAGCTGATATCCCAGCGCGCCGCAGTTTGGCAATCTATCATGATGCAAGGTGTGCCACTAAGAGAGGCGATTGACGTGTTCGTACGTGGTGATTCAACTGTAAATCCACAGCGTACGAAAAACCATTTCTTCTACTTCAGAACCTTGTGAAGGGCTAAATCACCAAGGCAAGCGCTGATTGTCGCTCATGGACTTACAGTCTCGCGGTCTCGCAGTCTCGCAGTCTCGCCGTCCGTGTCGTGGCGTTCGCAAGGTTTGATCCCCACTAAACTTCTGGCTCTGCGTACTCGGGAATCATCTCAACCTGCTCTGGTTTTCCTCGGAGATCATAAAAGCAAGTTTTCTATAAAGATACGACACGTCAATATCTCAAATAAAGGCATCGCGGCTATTCGGCAAGTCATATATTTTCTTGAGTTAAGCATCATGGGTGAAGTGCCTCATGGGTCGCGCGACAAGCACATCAAACTACGTGTAACCTGGTCTTCCAACCACACCTGTATTTTGTATAAGCCATGACTATTTGTAGACAGTACCTTATATCTTCCTGTGCCAAACCTGCCAAGTCGTGTTGTGAGAGTTTTCCAAGCCAACTGGTAGTCCTTCCCGGCAGGAATAAAACTTTAGTCAAGTCTTGAAGGAAACAAGCCCAACTTACTTAACCTAGTGCCCTTCTATGAACTTCAAAGTTCCTGGGAGGGGGGAGATGTCAAAAATGCAACAACATAACATCGGATCCCCACGATCATATTGCCCTACTTGCGACGACCTTTCATTACTTTACTCCAAATTCCATAAAGCTACCGTGTGGTCACGGCTTGTTATGCGGGATATCTCAAACACGAAGCCATGCCAAAGGCTGCCGAAGATCCGAGAAATTGTCAGTTTCTTCGGAACATAGAACATCCTGACAGTTTTCCAAGAAATCTTAAGAACATCTTACCAAGTGTCTGGAACAATCTGCTCAAGGTAGAAAGACTCATAACGTTTTGCAACAGGCATACTGCAGCAGGTCTGGGCGTCCCGAATGCCAAGTCGTTGGACGAAACCCTCCCTCGATTCATCCATACGACCCACTGCATTGCACCTACCATAGGATGACCAAACCAGCCGTTGGTAAATGCGAATTCGGTCGATCCTCACAACTCGCGATAGTCTTACGCTAGGCTTCTTTGTGATACTATGGTATGTTGTTGCGAGCATCCTTTGAAACCCTGTTGAGGATTATCTAGCGAGCAGGATGAGATCCTCGACGAGTCAACTGTAGCAAATGGTTTTTGCGAATCGATGTTCTAGTGCTCAAGAACTTGTTTCCTCGGCATATCTAGCCGTGACCCTTGAAGAACCCGTCTGTATGATGCTCCGGAGACAGTCGTAGATCTGCACACCCCTAGAATCTCATCACGAAAACATAGCCGTCATAACAGAATCTGCACTCGGCATAGGATGGAGGTTTGAAGATAGCAGTAGTTTCTCCCTGGGGTCCCTCAAGATGACAGGGGTTAAACGCGACTAAAGCACTGAGCACCAAGTACCGGCGAAGCTTCGCCCTTTTTTCTGCCGAGCTGCAAGATGAAACTCTTGCCCCGCCGCTTACCCCAGGCTGAGACAAATGATCCCAGCAACTTTTGTCGCAACTTTTGACTACATGTCATGCAGGACACGCGGTGACCCTCAACAACTTCGCCGTCGCTCAGCCGCAACGTCTTTTGAGAGGCTCCAGCGTCCAGACACGCATGAGGCCACCTTCGCATATTCGAAGGACCCCTTGTAGCTGCACCACTTACCGTACAGCTGTAGTCTTGAGCTAGGTCACACCACCCGCCGAACAGATCTTCGACCAGGTTATGCTTGGAATTTCAACGCTTGACCTCCGGGCATGGGGGCGGTGGATGGCTGTGAGTTCCGAACATCCTGGTAAACAAGATACATCTGGTCACTGGGGGTTCACGTCTTGGTTCCAGTGCTCTAAGCTCTTCCAAGACTCGTGAGTCTCACTTCGTCCTGGAACAAATGTCATTGGATGGCACGACTGGAACTTCCTCGATGCACATCCCACTGTACCGGAAGTACACTAAAAAATACATGCTCTGGCATGGGTCTTCCCGAACTTGGTGCATACGCCCTAGCTCAATGCCGAAGCAGTGGTCCACAGACCGTCTTGGGCAGGTGAGTCTCGAAGTGCACGGATCTTGAAGTCAAGGTCCTGGCCCCTTGTTGCAGACTACGGAGGCCAACTTCATGCTCTTAGATCTCCCGCGGGTCTGGGGAACCTGCAGAGATCATTGCCACTTCTGTTACTCTTCGCTACCCTCTTTTTCTTTACTCTTCTTACACCCTTACCTTACTTTTTATTTACTTCTTCAAGGCAGGCCTTTCCTTTTGTTTGCCTTCCATCAGCCTTGATATCTGGGCGGGTCTCAGTTCTGCCACTTTCCTTTCGGCCTTATTGCACGGTCTTGATATACTCTACTTTAATACTGCACGCTGGCGTTCTGTGACCAAAACATTAGTATGCAATCAAGGCATTGATTCGGCGACTGAATTGGAAGCGTTCCGACGCATGCTGCCGAAGAATGATTGAAGGTCAAGACATGGCACCACATAAGAACAGGAGGTCGGTCGAAGATCGCGATTCGATTCCAGAGCGTACGCTTTTCGGTGCCAAGAAGAGTCGGGATGGAGACAGCGATGGCGCTGGCGGTGGAAAAGGCGGAAATGAAAAGGGAGATGGAGGAAAAGGCAATGGTGGCGGTGGAGGTAGCAACAAGAGTGATGGCGGCGACACCAAAGGCAACAACAAAAGCCAAGACAGCGACGGCGGCGGTGGCGGCGGCGGCGGTGGCGATGGCGGCAGAAATAATAACAACGGGAGTAATGACAACAACAATAACGACAACAACAGTAATAGCGACAGGGACGAAGGACAGACCAGCACGACCACTACCTACGTGATCGCCACTACTGCGCCAGAATTCCCTCCGTTGGCAATACCTCCAGCGCCGACCACTCCATCGCTTGTGCTTACGACTTCGTCGACTTCGACCTCGACGACCCAAGTCATTACTGTCATTGAGTCCACAAGTGTTGTGACATCGATACAAATGGCAACAATGACCACGATTATCCCAGTAATGCAAACGATACTGCCATCTGTCACAATATCTAGTCAGCCCCGGAAAGGCGTGAATGATGGGCCAGGTGCGGACTTCACTCTACCTCTTCCTGTACTTGGATCTTCGTCAACCATTGGGACCATTGCCGCCACAGAGGCGACAGCAACAGTCACTGCTACAGCAGTGGCTGATACTGACAACAATAACAACAATAACAACAACAATGGTTCCAGCAATGGTGGCGGCCACAGGGGTAAAAAAGACCAAGACAACACACCGCCCCCTGGTGCGCTAGACCCGGCTGCAGAACATGCACTCATAGCAGTCGGCTCCATAGGTAAGGGCAGCTGTGAATTTTGGGTTTCTCTACTAACATCGGACAGGTGCATTTGTTCTTATCTGCTTCGTTGCTTGGATCATCTATCGTACCGTGAAAAAATCGAGACGAGGACAGGAATTTAGTGGTGGAAATGGCGGTTTCATCAACAAACTCCCATGGCGTAGGAATCAGAGTAACGGTGAATGGGACAGCAGAAGCATGTACAGGACCAATGACATGCCACCACCATTGTATGAGAAAGGCAGCCATAATTCGATGGACGGCGCAGGGTTTTATGGTGCCGACAAGAAGATGTACCAACATGAGCGACCAGGGAGCTTGGCTCGTTCAAATACTGCAAGTTCTCAAAGAAGTCTCCTACCACAGATGGCTCCTGGACCCATGGTCATGATCCCAGCAGAGCAGTATATGGCCATGAGCCAAGCGCAGTCGCCCATTGACCAGAGCGAGCAGAACAACACGCTTAGGTCACGAATGCCGGATCCTTTCTTTAACCAGTCCGAGTTGGCCCGCCAACCATCGGATGCTTATGATCCAAACCGGCGGCAGGTCAACAGGGCAAGTGAGCTGTCCTCCCTGTCATCCGGCTTTGGAGACGGCGAGATCGTTATACCTGAGCAGTATCTCAACAAGCCGCAGCCCGCAGCCACACAATTACGGCAATCCAGCAATTTCATTACCCGGTTCTCATGGATGAGCCGGCGAGAAGCAGGGAATAGAGAAACTGTCTACACACAATCCAGCGAGGATCGGCCTGCCAGGTATCGATCGGTGGGAAGTTGGGTCAATCAACAAACAGGCAGAGTGAAGAGAGCAGACGAGGGTCAGAAGGAGATCCCGCCCGTCCCTGAGTTGCCGCCGAATATGGGTGGAGCAGAACCGACAAGGAGGTGACCGGCCTTGCCTGACCATGTTCAATATTTGTCCTCCAAGGCCGTGCCACCTACTACCATCTCCTAATACAGCCACACGGCACCCAGTCCAGGGCGATACGCAAGAGCTGTGACATCAAGCAATTCGCGTCCGACTTGAGAATGTACATACTGATTTCCGTTCCCGTTGGTCCGTTAGTGGACCTTGCAAAGGCAGCGCTCAAGTCTTCTTTATCTGGCATATATAGCATGGCAAGGCGTTCGAATTGGAAATAGGCTTCTCGTTGAAACCGTTGATTATTACATAATTTTCAATCTCTTTGCATAACTAGTCTAGCTCAAACGAAAAGCTCGACTCTCTTCCCTCTTAGCGGAGCTACTTACCCGATATTTTGTGCTCAGAACTGAAAACGAAAAAGCTGCACTCCGCAGTCTTAGTCTTGGATGTTTACAAGATGAAACACGACCCATAATACTAGTGTTAGTCAGACTCGCGCCTCTTTTTGGACTGCTGGAGGGCATCACTCAGTTCGACGTAGTTGAAAATTCAAGCAACGGTTCTCGGTATAAGGGAGAATCCCAAACTATAAAGAATGGCTGAGTCGTGAAGGATGGGAGATTCGTCAATTGGCCGCGCGTTTCTTGAGGCATTGAAACGTCCCTTTGCTTCTTGGCTTGGAGAAGCTTACTCGTGTCTGCCAAGTCTTCCGGCCCATGCAACCGCCCATGTTTCGATATATACGGTAGTCACCAGTAGCGTCGATGGGAGTTGCATGTACGGCAACCTTTTCGACGCAGAACAAAGCAAAACTTAATGTGTAATTAGTTGGGTCAAAATGGCCGATGTAGTTGCCCCCCCTCCGTGTGTATGCGCGACTGAGTGCACCTTGGAGGGTGTGCTGGGTGTGATAGTAATCACTATCAAGAACGGAATGGACTGAACACTTGCACAGCCTTGAAAAGCGGGAGCGGAAGCACTAACCGCCTCGCCCAGTTTAAGGTAGCGGGGTCCTGCCGTAGAATCAGCTTGTACCCCGAGGCGCAGTTGATGACGCACTGAAGACTGCCCGCTACAGCTACAAGCAAGAACCAGGAACGCAGGAATGTTTGCAGGTAGCAGCGTAGGAATCGCAGATCGTCCACTGCACCCACTAACTAAGTTATCCCAAGCCTGGCTTTTACGAGCAGCTCCAGCCCACCACTTGGTTACGGGGCATCTGGGCTTTCATTCGGGCTTTCGGAGGGGAAAACATAGCTTGTACAGTAACTTAGGTTAGGTTCTTTGCGAAGGCTGCCGTATTTCGTGGACAAATAACGGTCAACTCCTGCCGATCCCTAATTCCTTCGCGCCAGAATACATCTGGGCAGAGCCTCGTTGAAAGTTTGATCTTTGAGGCCGGCAGAACTGCGCGCCGCGAGTCTAGAGTGTGTCGCATGCGAGCTCAGCCTTGCTTTCTCAGCTGACACAGCGTATTCATCCCATCTGGTCTTGGAAGTCGATCATTTTCGCTTCACTAACCTAACATTCACAACTTTCCTTTTCGTGAACCTCCCAGGAAGCTGGACTCTCTTTTGTGACATTGATATATGCAAACACCGAGAGCTGCGGTGCAGTCACAATATACGCAAGAGACCCCACTGAGCCCAGCGCCTGTTGCACACGTAGCCCGCAATGCTCGACGAGAACCTGCCCACCTTCTTCACCCGGCACGCGTCCGACAGCCCCCTATCCACCATACTGTACTTCACCCAGAACGGCTCCGAGCCAGCTCCCGAATATGCCTACAAGCGCCCTGACCCAAGTCTGCCGCAATCAAAGAACAAATACGCAGTCGGGTTGACGGACGCCTTCGGCCAGGATGTGCTATACGGTGAAGTCCTGATCGAGCCCGAGTGGCAGCAGCCTACACTGTCCGCGGCCGAGATCAGGGCACAGAATGGCGTGCCGCCACCTCCCGTGCCTATGATACCAGATGCTTTTACCATCAACCTATATAACCCCGACCAGCAGATCACAATAAAGAGCGAGAAGAGCACATGGACCGGCAAGGAATCATGGGAGTTTGAGATGCCACAACACAGCTTCAAGATGCCTTCATCTTCAAAGTTGGACCAGGCAACAGGTCCGGCGGACGACATTCTGGCGCCCAAGATCATGTTCCTGTGGAAAAGAGACAGCAAGTTCTCCAAAGACTTGACATGCTACATGACCGGAAGATCTTTAGGGAAGAAGAAGAGTAAAGACCCGGACATCACGGTCGCAATGTACAAGCAGGGCAGGAACCCAGGCCTGACCATATATGAGCCGAATCTCAACAGAGTGGAAGTCGAGGACAGCAAGGGATTTGAGCTAGTGCTCTTGTTGAGTGCTGAAGTAATTCGCGAGGTTTACCTGTTTCCAAGCCGGGACTCGTTCAACATTTCAGGTGCTCCCCCGACGAAGCGAAAGAACTCACGGCCCATTCCAGCCGCAACACCACCAAAGACGTCTTCTCCCGTGAACAACCCGGGCGCTTATGCCATGACTGGAGCGTTGGGAAGCATGCCGCCAGCCAACACGACCTCGCCCATGACACAACAACCGACACCGCCGGTTGCGGTGGATGCCGAAACGAAGCGCTTGCAAGCCCAAGTGGCGAAAGAGGAGCGCGAACGCGAGAGGCGGGACAAGGAGGAGCAAAAACGAATCAAGAGGATGCTCGAGGACGAGGAAAAACAGAGACGCCAGCGCGAAGCCGAGGTCGAGAAGGAAACGGAAGCACTAAGAAAACAGTTCGGTATGCAGGGTCAGGACTATGAGGGGAGCAGACCAAATCTGCCACCACGGCATGTGAACCAAGCCGTCCCGGCTCAATCACAATTACAGCCATCTGTTACGTGGAACACCGCGGCGCCTCCCCCGAGGCCGGTGAGCACCGGTCCGTCGCATGGTCCCAGTAGCTGGTTCAGCGGGCCCGGGACAGGGCCAATGCTGGCACCGCAGCAGGTTGGACCACCCCAACAACCTCACAGCAGTTCGGGCAGGAGGAGGAATGGGAGTGAAGGGAGCAAGATTCAGAAGAAGCGTAGTGTGTTCTTTTGATTGGAATCCCTTGTGATATGTTGGTTTCATTAAGAAGAGGCATCGCGGAGCGTTTTGTTGAACTGCATTGGACTGGCGCAAAATGGCACATCTCATTGTTCACTAGGCTCGAATTGAAGGATGCATTTTATAAGCATGAATTCACGACATCAATTTTTCTTTTAGTTAATTGTCCAACGTTACTTCAAATTACGAACCAACTTCATGTTTGAGAATTTTGGCCTAGACCGGTATTCTTCATGTGGTATGCGAGAAAAGCCAGAACTGTTTGACAGAGCCATATCTTCGTCAGTCTGCAACATTCAGCTACTTCCTCCTTTGCTATGCTGAGCGTTGGTAGAATTTACGTTCACTTCTGTTGTGTTCAGACTCTACGTTCGGCGCCTATACCGGGGATTTAATCGACGTCTTATACATGTCTCTACCTTCGTCCTTCCCAAAACGCTCAGAACCTCTTCCTCCTGTGAACTTAGTAGTGTCCATTCACACTCAAGCTCTCATACAGTTAATTTGTGGTTCATTATCCCGTCGCACCTGCTTCGGATGGCACATCTGAAACTTGTTCAAGAAATTCACAGCTGCAACAGATTTTGTCCATAGTTGGCCATGAAACTTTCACATCTTCAATACCCATGTTTGTCAGCATCCAGAAACTTATAAAGAATGTACTTGCTAATTTTGGAGCACTTCAGGTTGGGCACTTGTTGTACAAGTACAATGGTAGAATTCAGGCTTCACACCACTTCATCTTGTGGATTATATATCTCCTTATGTTTACACAGCCTCATTGATGTTTCCCCTAACTGTCATGCCATAAGTAGCGTCAAATTTCAGTATACTAATCAAGCATGATTTCGACCATGGTTGATATCTACCAATACGTTAAGTTGATTCTGCTCATCTTTGCGACTAATTGTGGTCAGCCAAGCCAGTGTAAAACTTAGAAAGAAGAAGAGAGACTACTGAGATATAGTATGACATCGACCAGTGCCGCCAGTGTCTCGCTGCCGCTGAAGTACAACAAAAAACCAACGGCCAAGCGTGCAATTGCTGATGACTTGCACATGTATGTTCTTCACCTGAATGTCTTCCGGATGCTTCCACCACACATTGTTATTCTGAAGGGAAGGAGCCAGCGGGCGAGAAGCCTTCAAAGACTGCATACCATAAAAGCTTCCGTCAGATTCACCCATCGGTCGAAGATCTGTTCGGGTCAGCCAAGTTCAGCAGTCTGCAGAAGTATCTGGATTTCCCATGATTTGTGCCTTCTCGACTATCGTGAACTTCAGGATCTTTCCCCTATGAATAGTAGTCCACCCTTCCATGAAACATCAGACTCCATCCAACACCATGCCCTCATCTCTCATCTCTCACCTCTAACCTCTAACCTCTAACCTTAAAGTCAAAGTGTGCATACTTCCTACCTTCTCTCACACGCACATGCCACTCTGGCACTATGAGCAAACAACACGCTCATCTCTCATCTCAACTTTGAAGTGTATGCATTTCTACCAGTACTCAATACATATGTGCTGTCCTGGTACCAAAAGCGAACACGGCAGACTTGTCTCCAATCTCAGTTTCGGAAGCAAGCAAGCCGCTTGTCAACATTCCCATATAGGCACTACATTGGCATTGCATGTCAACAGTGCACCAGTGCTTGTCATTTCAGGTTAGCAGTACATAGGCTGCTCGCCATCATCCCCTGTGCAAGAGCCCGCTTGACTTACTCCCCCAAGAAGACACACACTCTCATTTACTATCCCAACTGCAAGGTATACCAACACGTTGCCACTCCTTCCAAGCACGTAACACCTACAACCGTCACTCAACAATACCATCTTACATGTGTCAATAATACATCCAGGTACATTACAAGATGCCTACAGGCGGGCTCAATGGCAAGCCCAGCGCCAGGGTGTTCCAGGGCCGGGTGGTTGCCCTAGCAGGTGACATCACAAGCCAGTACAAGGAGTACACCGATACCAACCTCAGTAAGTGGCTGAAGAACTTTGGCGGTCGCTTCTCCCTCGACTTTGACGAGTCTGTCACGCAGCTTGTGGCAACCGCAGATCAGTGGAAGAAGAAGGTTCCCAAAGGTAAGTCCTCACCAACAAGATTTTTCAAACGGTGTGGTTTCGTCGCGCACGGCCGCACGAACATCGAGAGCTTATGCTGGTCGTAAACATGAGGATTATAATAATAACGGCTTGAATAGTTAAGGAAGCCTTGCGCCGCAGAATCCCCGTCGTCGATCCTGACTGGCTCGACTCTTCCATGAGAGACGACTACAAGAGACTGGAGCCTAAGAAGTATGAGCACGCGACACTCCAGAAGGAGGTCAATGCCAAGAAGCGCCGCAGCGAGCAGGTCAGAAAGGGTGTCAAGCAGGGCGAGAATTATATCAACACTAGTGAGTACTAAACATTCCTCCCCGACTTGCGTTCCATGACAATGGGGGGTATTGCACCCCGGGTTTTGGAACCTGGAAGTGTCCCCACGACAAAAAGAACTGACGAGTATAATGAGATCTCTATCGGATCTACCGCGATGAGACCAACTTCGAATGCCGGATCGTTCTGCTCCGCGAGGAAGGTGAGCGATTCATCATCGAGTTGTGGGAGTCGAACAACGACCCCAAACTTTACTTCTTCGCCTGCAGGTACCACAAGAAAGCTGGCGCCACAGGTAAGACTCTCCGCCCGAGCGAGACGCCCGGCTGTCTGGAGCGCGAGATGAGAATGTTTTGCGATGCCTTCAAGACCAAGACCGGTGTCTTGTGGCATGATCGCTTACGAAAGGCCAGGGACGGCGTCGTCAAGGCGTATGCTGGAGAGAAGAACGGTGGGTTCCGTTACGAACTTCCAACTGGTGGCAAGCCCGTCGGCCTAATTCATGGCGGGGATTGTGATGTTTCACTGTTAGGCAAGAGCCTTCCTGACGCTGCTGTAGAGAGACCCAAGAAGGTCTCGCCAGAGACTCCTGGGAACCTTCCTGTCAAGATTGCCGTCAAGCCTCCCGCCAAGACTAATGATGATAGCGACGACCTTATCCTGACCCAAGTGGCCGACTTCGTGAATGGTCCTAAGGCCTCTGCCACCGACGTGGTTCCTAAGGGTAGCTATAACATGAGTGGGGCTATCAACAGTGCGAAGCCCAAGACAGCCGTCACTCCCAAGCAGAAGAATATTGCCAGTGTCAGGAAGAAGCGCTGTTTTTCCGCCAAGTCCATGGCAGGAAACAAAGCCTCTGCTGGTCTGAGGTCCCTTGATGATGGCCGGAAGCTATCGTCGCTTGAGATCAAGATAGCTTCTGCCAACAAGGCCGCCGCAAGAAAGGCCGAACTCGAAGCCATGAAGATGGACAAATCCAACGCTGATCCGGTCACTCCCAACAGGCCCACAGCCCAGAGCCAGCCCGACGCCCCCACCAAGCGCGATGGCAGCACTGCCGTGAGCACCAACATCATGAACGACGACTATCTGAAGACCAACAAGGGCTTGCCCAACAAGAGTCGTCCCAACAGCATCCAAGCAACTAACGGTTCGCCGACCGGTGCAGCTCAGAAGGAGCTCGCAGTGCTTGTTCGTCCTCTCGACGAGAACAAGCTGATGAAGGCAAAGATGGAGGCATCCGTCGCTGGACTCGCCAAGCCGAAGCCTCTCGACTCTTTTGCTAGCGGCAATAGCAAGCGCAAGGTTCCTGACGATTTTGATGATTCTGGTGTCGAGATTCCTGCCACGCCAGTCATGGCCGGCGGTGACAATATGGAGATTGGGTCTGATTCGGATACTGAGATGAAGGGTGCCGACAAGTCGCCGAGCTTCTTCGGCTCGAACCACCACCAGAGGGCGACTGCTCGAAAGAGAGCACTGAACTGTGACAAGCGTTTAGCAATTACTGGAGTTGAACGTGAGACCGCCATGTCGCCAATAGTCTCGAACGAGGACGATGTGGATAACGGCGAGACCTCCGACGACGAGGCGCTTCCCGTCGACAAGGCTGCTGGTATCGAGGCCTTGATTGAGCAGGAGGCTCGCCAAGCTGCTGATGATGAACAGGTCGTCGAGGAGGATGACGAAGGTTATAGCTCAGACAGCCAATAGAGCGTCTGAGTAAGTTTTTATGAAGCATGACTTTGGTCACGCCGCTCAAGTGCTTTTCTGCCACGCTTAGGCAATTGCGCAGCTTTTCTGTAACTCTACATAACTCGATTGTTTTCATGGAGTCATAGTAACTTGGCCATATGGCAATGCTTTCTCTTGTGGTATCTCGAATGGCATATCACGCTTCGCTATGCGTACACATCATCGTAAGTCGTTCTGTTTCGCGCCACCTTCCTAGACGCAGGAGTGCCTATGCATGATGTTTAAAACCTCAACTTTGGCATGACCCCGACGATCAGAACGGCCACCACCATAAGCCCGAAAATCCATGCGTATAGCATCATTCTCCCCCACCAGCCTTTGCCCTCGGTAAGCTTTCTCAACGAGCCCATACGCCGAGTCGCCGCCTCCATTCCACGCTCGCTCTTGTCCATACCAGCACCAGCAGCAGAGAGTATGTCTTTCTCCGATTCGAGGTCGCTCTGGAAAGCGTGCGACTGCGACTTTAGTGATTGCGCCATGGATAGGAGCGACTCGGTCAATTTGTCCTGCTCTGCTCGCTGGTGGTCGAGGATTGCTTCTGTAGTTGCCGTAGTGCTGAGTGCAGTCGTCGGAGACGAGGCCTGGTTCCCAAACAGTTGTGCTCTCGCCGTGGTCTCTCCTTTGTCGTTTTGTGGCTGCGCGGGTACGCCGCGAGACCGTAACGCTTGTTCGGTCGATGTCCCCTGTTGACTCTCTGGCACTGAAGTTGGCTGTGGCGCTTGCTGTGTGCTCTGCCTCGGTTCGGGCATTATTGTGCTCTCGTCGGCGTAACTGTCTCCTTCCGCCTCCTGCTCTCCGTAGTCGGCCGCATCCACCGTCTCCCATCCCTGCGAGGGCCGCTCCGAGCTCCTCGAGTCCTGACTCTCGCTTGGCGTTTGTATGGCGCCCAGCAGATCTTCGTCATCTGAATCGTCTCCGTCGCTGTCTATGCTAAGCTCTTCCAGCTCGTGCAATCTTTCTGAGATTTGCTCAAAGACCTCCCGCTTCCTGTTCAGATCGGCCTGCGTCTCTTGTCTTCTGCTGTGTACCTTGATGTTCAAGGCGTCTTGTTCGAGCTTCGTAAGAAGTGTTCGCGCATACTCGAGGTTCTATGGTGCCAAAAGATCAGCCCATGCTCGCTGGTAGTTGGAATGAATGGAATGAATGGATGGACGGATGGATGGATGGATGGGTGCGTGGGTGGGTGGTCAAACACATACTATGCTCGCCTTGTTCCTCTCGTATTCGCTGGTGCGTAGTCTGTGCTCTCTTTCCGCATCTGCTTGCAGAATGCTCTGCTGCAGGCGAGCCAGCAGACGGTTGAGATCTGTAAACGAATCCGGATTGGAAGCGCTGCGCCGAGGCGTCATGGGTGGTTGCGTCAGTCTCGCCATATCTTGGTCGCGCGGCTTGACAACCGTGAGACTTCTGGAGAGTCTTGGAGGTGGTGTGTGAGACAGGTGTGGTTCTTGGTCGTTTTGTTGTTGTTTTTGTTCTGGGGATCTGGTCTGGATTTGTTGCTAAGCCATGTCATATGTCGGCCATTAAAACCAAACGCGGCAACCGTGTCAAGCTTTAAGTTAAGAGCTTAAGAGCTTCGTTATATAGGTGGGGTAGTGGCATGGGGACCGAACAGCCCAAGCCCCCAAGCTGCTTTGAAGCATAATATCATTCTAAACGCTTCTTTGATGGCAGATCAACATACCATTCTTTGCAGCAATCTTTATTCTACAGCCACCTCATATTACGTTGTGCAAACGGATCTACCGTGGAATCGTATCGAGTCATTTGGGATACCAGAACCACGTCGCGCCAGCTTCTGAGTTCAAGGGTCCGCCCCATCTGTCGAGCTGCTCTGGATCTGCAGTCCAGAGGTTAACTTTCAACCCCGGCAAATTTGACCAACTCACACAAACAGCAAGCATGCTTTCTTGTCGTTGGATATAAGTCTTACCGTCGCACACATCCACTGGATACGACCATAGGTACTAGAAAACTCGTTTTCCAAGTTGTGCCCATTATATGTGAACGGCCGATTGGCTTATTCTAGCGTGCCCTGAATGGATCGCTGGTCTGGTTTGGTCATGATGTAAAGAAGCTATAACATGTGCTGCTATTTGACACGCAGAAGTATGGGGAGTGAAGGGGTATATTAGACCATCGTGAACCCCTCTCCATCATGTACCACTTGGCTTGGCCATCGAAGTGGATAGAGATACCAGGCTTGAGCTATTCGCCATTCAAGTGAGGCAAGGCGAAGATGCCAATACAATAGTTCCGAGTAAGCAACTCGGTTAGGGAATTCAATTGCGAGCCTTGATCAGTCCGAGATACCGTCCTCTCCTGACTGTCCAGAATATGATAATCCCCGTAAACAATAACGACACTGATGAGAGCGCAATGAGTACGTGTAATTGTTGCAGCGCCGCGCCATTTCCGATCAGTCGGTCCTGTCTCTGAATTCTTACTTCGCACCACTGTATATTGACCCAATGCCCGTATCCATCGCTACTACTGTACACCACACCCCAGTTGCGAGCGCTGGCGCACTTCAACCACGCCGCCGAGTCTCCTTCTTGCGGGGTGTAAACCACCCGGCGGTCCCAGTACGACAAGGTAACAATAGCAGCAGACCAACCAACGGCGCAAAGTGCGTCGAGCCAAACAACGCTCCAGATATTATACGTGAGGCGGGTATAACGGCTTATGGTGACAAAAACTTGAACAACCACGGCCAAAGAAGCAATGCCGATCACGACACATTCAGCCGTGACCTTCTGCAGCTGCTGTGGCGAGATGGCGCCATACGCTATGATTGCTACCAAGTTGGCGAAAAGGACGATGCGAAGAAGGATCGCACCTGTCTTGGGTGGCGACATGTTGATGTATGTTGTGCAACAACTGTGACCACCAGAGGTATAACTAAAGACGGGAGGTAATTGCACTTAAGACAGATTGAAAGAGCGAGCAGCGGCGCCTTGGGTAAAAAATGGTTCGTTCTGAGCCCCAGTGTCCACCGCGTTTTCAGCTGCACCTTGGCGAGCGCGTAGGAGTGACTGACATAGCAAGGATCTACATAGCCCAACTTCTTGCGTGAGCACATGGGATGAAGACATTGCTATCGAGAACATAACCTGATAACATGGTTTGGCCGTGTCCTAGCGGATGCATCCTCCGTAGCCTGTACATGGTTGAGGTTGAAAAGAGGGATGTCAAGGGTAGTAACGACGTCTGCTTGCGAAATGGCAGGCTGAACGGCTGTAATGCGTTTGGCCTCTTCAGCAATAGGATCCGTACAAAGGTTTCTGTGGGTAAGAGTCCACCTTGGAGCCAATTCATTTATATCTGTTGCCTGCTGGGTTTGAGCGACCACGCTTGGGCAAGAGACGGCCTTACTGTCCGATGCAATGGTTCATGCTCTTCCACTTACATATGAAATGTTGTGGTGAAGGCAATTGTCCACATCGCTTTATGACTTCTTAACAGCCGCCCTGCCGCCTTATCCGGTAAGCCCCAAATAGAGCGGCTATGCAAGCAGGTCAACAGCTCGACTAACCCAAACCGGATATCGTTCTAGTCATAGTTGGTTCGTGAGGAAGGCTTGGTATCCAACTGTTCAAAAGAGTTAGGTTAATCGACTAAAAACGGTTTGATACTCCACTTCGTTATGTGGTTCATGGACTACACGTTTCAGTCAATGCTGACCGTGATATCAGCCCACCTTGGAAAATGCTCTGCACTACCTAACAGCCACAAAAATAGAAGCGCTGGGATCCTGGGACGGTGTACTTAGAGTTACACTCATGGCGACTTCGAAAGGAGGAAGTAAGTCTTGAACAACGTAGCTTGGCTGGCGAAATTCAAAGCCGACACCGAGTCCGTAGAGCTGTTGGTACCCGACAGTCCCAGCGGTCAACGTTCGCAGGGTGATGGTTGTCAGAAGTGCGCTTCCAGTGATTGCCGGTGCCGTTCCGATAATCATCCCAGGAATGTAGTAACCGAAATCACTGGTGAGGACTCCAGTAATGACAGAACAGACGACGTAGCCGGCGACCGCAGGTGTCAACATGGTGACTGATGAGAGAGCTGAGTAGCGGAGGGCGACTTAGAACCAAACTGGAAGTTACGAGACGGTCACATAAGCGCAACTAGTGATACACATAAGCCAGCTCACGGCAAACCAGATATCCATATCTCGAGTCACGGTAGGAGGAATAAGCGTTGCTTTCTGGTCACTGTAGTCGTTTGCGTAATGATAAAGTCCACAGTATGGATTACTAAGACCACGAGAGGTGCAGTTATACGTATATCCTAACAGGGGTACGCTGAGACGCCCCATTATATTGCTGTCAGGAGGTCTACCAAAGATGAAACGACGAAGACGGTACCTGGAATATCAAGTTTGTTTGGGATTCCCGACAAGCCAGCTAATGTACTCTCTGTTTTGGAGGGGTCCACGATGGCAGCTTAGTTCACAAACTTGACCGAGTGCAGGCTGCACAGCTTCCCGTAGAAGAGTTGGAATCTACCGAATATCAGGAGATACACATTTGACCATCATGCTGCATCTGATAATGCCCGATATACATTGCTGACTATTGGTGTGGCAGTGGCTAGGGTTGTTTGTTCCTATAATTCGTGCTAATTTTATTTACGGCTTGAACCCATCTATCACTATATGTCAGATTGAATTCGGATATCAGCCACTTATACCATGTCAGTCAGGAAAACAATCGAGGAGAGATCAGAGGGAATCAAAGCTAATCGAATATGATCTGTTGTCAACCAAACAGCCGGGCCCTTCTCAGATAGTATCACGTCATAGTTTCGACACTATCTCCCCTAATATCGTGTATGACTATTGATGATGGGCGACTCTTACGATTGGCCGTGCTGATGCACAAATGAATGCGACGTGGTAAATTTGATTCAAGATGTCGTAAGTTCTTTGTCGCTTGCTTCTAAACAACAACTAAAATCGCCTGCTGTTTGACATTGATCTGTAGATTTAGTCAAACGCGCTCTCCTATGGTCTTCGTATTGCTTGCAGCCACCCGTGCAGCTCAAAATACCACCGACGACTATGTCATCGCTGCTGCTGCTGCTACAGCCGAACCCTTGCTTGCTGTTGTCCTATCTGAGCATCCCGACATATCTGTGATCGTCTTGGAGAATGGTGGTGATGCCCGCCATATCTTTCAAAATATCTAGAAGAAAATGTCTGTATCGCGGATGCCGTCAACGATATCCGGATCTAGAGTAGACATGAAGTTATCTGGATCCCAGTCAAGCCCAAAGCTACTCAGATCGACAGGTAGTTGCACATGCCCCGTCGCGAATGTTCCACCGGAATTTATAGGTTGATTGATCGATGTCTCTGCGGCTGACGGTGCATCTCCTTCGGAGTTTGGTGTTGCTTTATGTTGTTAGACACACCAAACACTCCAAACTTTGAACCTAGAGCGAAATGTTCACTTACATACGAGCTCCAAACATTTGTAAATCTCCGCAGCCACTTGAGCGCATTTGTCAACCATTTGATTGCCTGGATCAATCGCAGGCAAGCAACTGAGTGCGTCCTCCGACAGTTCTAGCAAAGCCGTTGAAGGGATATCAGAAACCATATTTACGTTTGACCCATACATCTTGTCGATTAAAAGCATGGACATGACAGTAAGTGTTGCATTCAGAGCTGTTTGCTGTTAGCAACTATAAAGAGAGAGGCATGACATTTGAACCCACTGTAATATAAGGTGAACCACCATGCTCCAAGTAAACTGCGCAAGGAGTCTTCCGAGTGCGTTATTAAGTGGACTATCCTTATGAGATTGGCAGCGGAGTCAAAACAAGCGGTGATGTTCCGTCCACCGAATTGCTTCAGCATCAATACCTCGCTACCATCAACATGAGGTCGGCCGATGTTGCGCAAGTAAAGGTCAAGATATGGGCGATACGCGAGAATGCGAAGATTGTGGTATCGCATGGTTAAAATGACACGCAATCTCTTCGTCAATGAGTATTCTGGATCGCTAGAAATTTCTTGTGCTTGTATGAGAGCTAGTTCTGGATTCAAAGTTGATTGCCACTCTAAAAACTGCTGTTCTATTTGCAGAACATTAGAGGCGACCATGAGCACGTTATGGTCCGGTTGAGAACCTAAATTGCATGCATATAAAGTGTCAATGATCGACCACATCACCTTGTATAGTTTTCTGCGTTTAATATCAGTAGTCTGGAATGAGCGATATAGATAGGACGCTCACATTGTCGCAACGAAGAACATGGCACTAACTATCTCCAGGTTGTCCGAACTATCATTTCGGCTCATGCTGGAATGGCATATTTGGGGGAGAGGCACTCTGACATAATTCTCTGGAATCGCTGGGGGACGTCCAAAGGTCATGCTTAAAGTTCTGAAGCTTGTCAATATCTTTTTAATATCATTTTTAACTAAATTGTCTCGTCGACTTACCTATCCAGTATTACACAGCCGTACCATGTTCGATTTCTAATTTCACGGTCGAGCTCTGAGCAGTTCCATGCGCTGTCACTGACATGTAATCCTAGCTGGAATGCAGCTTTTACAGCAAGGCCATGAATATTCCATGTCTTGACTGATCGATTGGTTCCTTGAAGATATAGGCTCATCAGAAGCATTGTTTGAACTAAAATTGGTCAACTTGCCAAGTACGTTGTAGTAGCTGACAGAAACACTTGGTTTTACCTGATTCTACAGATGTGCCGCTCATGATCAGATCCAGACATAAGGTCTTCGACCTCGAGTAGAACGTCTCAGCACGAATAGTTCGTTCGGATACATCAGCAATTGGCAAAGGCTCTGTTCCGGTCGCCATGGCCAGAATAATGTTTAGAAGGCCAAGCCATGACCGCCGGCATGTTTTGAAGTTGTATCGCTTGGCATCCTCAAAAGTTTTGATGAAGTTAGCTCTATGGATATAAGGGAATAGTGCCCCGGTGTTGCCAAAGAATTTACGAATCAGAGTTTCCATCTCAGTTGGAGGTGGAAGGCGCAGAGCTTCTGAAGTGGAATGATTAGCGTTAACCGGTGGATAGTGACGAAGACCTGGCGATAGTGGGCGAGATACTCTAACTCTGGCCTGAGGAGGCGATGCCGTGGCGCTCTGAGCCATGGAGTTGTCGTTCTGGCGTTCAGTTAAAACACGACCAAGTGCCCGGCGGAGGTTCCTGGTGAAGGCGATATTTGAGGATTGGCCTATACTGATCAGAGGTGGTTCAAGACTGAAATTGACGTTGCTCACCGAAGTATCCTGCATTTTCTTCATCTGTGAACTCTATAGTCCCCACTCCGTCTGTGGCATCCGGTGAAACACCGGTGTTCTGTAGTTCTTCTCGAGAGATTGAGCTATCGACCACTAAGTGAGAGAGTTCCCCACGATCGTCATCCAGGCTATACTGCGCTTCACTACGATTTTGTCGCTTGAGCGCCCGGACGTCGTTCTCCAAATTAGCCAAACGAGTTTCAACCAACTGTAAGAATCTGACCGACATTAGCCAGTTTTCTTTCGTTCAAGAAACCTATCTTTTTAAGAAAGAAACAGAATAAAAAGGAGCAACAAACATCTTAGGTACCGGCGTCGTGCTGGATATTGGAGTTTGTGCATACTCGCACTCCAAATCTTGTACTTGGCAACTCGAACATTTTGGCCTTTGCCCATCACACTCATGAATTGTCAGTAAAGGATGCTTGGATACCCAGGTCCGACTTACACGACTCTTTTTGTTCCTGCATGCGGCACAGGCCACAGGGACCCTCCGTCGTTTGGTCCCTCGTTGTTCGGCAGATGAATCCACAGCCGTGGGGGGCGTGGAGCCGTGGCGCGGCCCCATGGGGTACAGAGCTTGGTATTGGGCTGGCTTTTCTCACTCCTTTAGTCTGCAGCAAAGGATGGAGTTGGAATCCGGGGAGATAATGGTAGTGGTGTGAATCTGGATCACCTGGAGGTATTAATATCTCCCCGCTCTGGTAACAGAATAGAGTTCGACTTGGCAGTGGAGCCAACGTCGTCGCTCCCCTGGTTCGTCGGCCTGCGTCCCTAATTCCGGGCGCTGGTGACCGAACCCCGACATCTTTGACGCGTTTTCTTGTAATCAATCGTGCATGTATCAAATATAAGGCACAATCACATGACCATGCTGCACACACTTCGGAAGCTAACAAAAGTGATTTTGTCAAGCCAAAAGTTTTGTAATTGTGGCTGTTAAGTACGTGGGGACGAATAGTATACGTAGACAGCAATGTGTTGACACTGACGACAGATAGATGGCTGGACTGCCTGAGAAGTCCAGCCTCAAGAACATGATCATCGAATAGCATTGAGAAATCCAAGTCGCAGGTTTTCCGCCGCGTTTGCCATCCTTCGTCCAAATCTGAATTCGGTATGTGTGTGCACAAGCCATGAGAGACTCTCTCTTCTCACACAGCCCATCTGGAAGACGTTCTCAACAACCTTTTGCTGAATATATACATGGGGATCACGAATAGATAGGCAAACCACAGCAACCCACCCATTGTGGCATACTGTATCAGGGGCCCAGTTGCCATGTACCAGTCCATTGTGGCGTATGAAACACCGAAGGCAAGACAATTCTTTGTGATGTTCACCAGAACGCCTATGTGGCCAGCACGTTGTGGAAAACAATCAACTGAGTATGTCAGTAGGACATTGGCAGATGATGTCAGTCCGGTAGTGAGCATGGCGTATCCGATTGCAACGATAATCCAACGTGTCGAGCTCTGCAGTCCGTAACCCATGATGATACACCCAGCCGGACTTATGAGCCCACCAAATAGAATCATCGGCAGCCGATTACGAGGGTCATGATAATGTTGTCGAGTAGCTCTGTTCGAGATTCGATCCGCTAAGAAGCCACCAACAGGTAAGCCGATGACGAGGCCAATGAACGGGGCAAAATTGAATAGTCCGATCTGTAAAGGACCCCACAGGAGAGGTGGAGCTTGATAAACATTTGGCAAGAGAATAGACGTCAGGACAGTCCATCCTATTGTTAGACCAAAAACCAATACCGTAAGGACGATCTGAGGGGCCGCACATAGTTGCAACGGCTGGTAGGTCAAGGCAATAGCCGCCCTCCAATCTTGACGCACATATAATAACGACCATGACCGAATCCAGTAAATTTGTGACATTGACTTCCCCCCGCTCTCCAGAGGCACATCATTTCCAACATGATCTTTGGTCATTTGCTGAGGTTTATCGCTGAGCTCGTCTTTGTCGACCAGATCAGTGGGTTCTGGTAAAGTGATACCGCTGTTCGTACCGTGAGAAGTTTCAGGGAGCATCGCAAGACATCCAACCAAGTTAGCAAAAATGCCCATAGAAAGAATTCGGGCATACCATCGCCAACTGCCAAGCTGAGAGGCAACGGCACCAGCAACAACTGGCCCCAGCGCAGAGCCGGCAGCGAGAAAGCCAACGTATATTACCATTGCACGACCAAGCTGGTGTTCTGGAAATATCTCAACAACAACTGTAGGCCCCAAAGCCTCTACGAGGCCCCCCGCGAGTCCACCGATTATTCGTGCAGCCCTTAGACTCTCGAAGGTGGCAGCTTCGCCGGACCAGATGCTGGCTGCTAAGAATACCACAAGTGAGATTATGATGGTAAATCTTTTACCAACAATAGCTTCGGAAGGAAGGGCAAATATATTCTACATTTGTAAGCCAGCCTGCATTTGTGCATCATCATTGCTATTGTGCCATTACCAGGGGTAGATAGACGTACAGAAAGCCCCAACGCCAAGAGAACAAATGTAGAGAGACCGGAGACTTGCTCAGTGGTTACGTCGAATTCTTCGATGATAAGCCCGAAGAGAGGCGGAACTCCAGCGGCGAAGGCGTTACCAAGAAAGTTATAGAAGCTCATGTTGAGGAGGATGAGCATCCGCCACCATAGCGGCCAATTCTGGTTCAATGGTTAGGTTCTTTTGGACGCGAAGACTTTAGAGGAAGGCCGTACCCAAGGTGACATTTTGATATGGGAGGCTGTGCTAGTTTGATTCTGTAAGTCGGTCGGCGATATTTTTTTTTGGAAGGTTGGCAGACAGTCAGGGTGTCTGAATTCCGTCATGCACCGAGATGAGTATTTGGTTCTCGCCTGTTGATAATTAAAACGGATGTTCAAATGCCGCGAGTAGCATTGACCTTCAGGAGTTGGCAATGCCCGGGGAGTTAAGCATTTGGCCCGTGGTATTGGAACGGCATGAAGCCAGAGAACAGGCTCCGTGTCGCCGACAACCTCTTCGGAACTGGACAACATGTGGGGCCGAGAATACACCTGAATTGTCTCAAGCCCAACTCAACTGCCGACATAGTGCTCAATAAGAACTTGTCGATTTCCACGCTCTTGCAAAAACCCGCAGCGGCTGCTTATAACCCATCATTTCAAATATTGTCTTATACACGCTGAGTAGCTTCCATAACCACTACATCATGGTGTCACTTAACGAAGGAATTACCGTTGATGGAAGATCAGGCAATGAAAAGAAGCATTATAACAACTACTTCCTCAACGAACATGACCTGGAGTACGTTCCTCCTTACTTCCGAGACACACCGGAAACTGTCGACGAGGTGACGTGTCCTACAAAGGGTATCTGGCCACCATGGTTGAATGGAACGTTCATGAGGTATCGCACACTTCTTTTAATCATCAACTGAATATTACTGATGTCCGTGGCAGAATTGGTGCTGGGAGATTTACGATTCAGTTGTCGGAAGACGGTTCAAAGCCAAATGCCGTTTTACAGCACTTCTTCGACGGTCTTGCCATTTTGCACAAATTCCGCATGCAATATGGCCATGTTTACTACAGTAGCAGACATACTGCTGAAGGAGTAGTGCAGAGAGCCAAGGAAAAGGGCTACGTCGAGACGCTCATGTTTGGCCTGAACGCCAACACGCCTCTGCAAGATGCGCAAGATCCTTGCTCAGCATTGCTGGGTGCACAGGTGAGTGTATCGCGATCCTGGATACTCTGAAGCCGAGTACGTGTCCTGACAATTTGCCAGCAATCAATGTTTCTTCCTCAAGGGCATATGGCTCCGGACGAGGTAAATGTCAATGTCGTCCCAAGGAGAGGTATGCATCTCCCACCGGACACCAATCCGAAATCCAGAGGCTCGGTGTCGGAGAATCCAGAAGCGGAAGAAATACTTGTGCACACAGACTTCAATGCTCTCCAGGTCTGTGATGCAAAGACTCTTGCACCAAAGAGACTCCTCACCTACGCTGAAATCGATCCCGAACTTGCGGGCTTCGGTATTTGTGCTCATCCACCAAAAGACCGGGCTCGTGGCCAGACGTTCAATTATATCATCAGTAAAGATGGTGTATTGTCAATCTTCGCCCTGGATATCAGAGCAAAGCCAACCAAGGTATTGTGGAAGACACCGCTACCTTGCGCTCCGTGCTACATTCATTCTCTCGCAATGACAGACAAATATGTCATATTCATCCGAAATGTGAGACATGTCTTCATGGTATACTCAATAATGCCGCTAACGTGCTCATTAATTAGCCTCTACACATGGACGTCAGCGACACTACCAAGCAGCTCATGCACATGATCGAGTACGAGCCACACTCGCCAACTCAGTTTTTCGTCCTTGAGAAGGCGACAGGAAAGCAGTGAGTGAATTCTGTCCATAATTTTTTCCAGATTCAACTAACGCTTGCAATGTAGTATTTCAACCTTTAATGGCAATGGATTCATGTTCTTCCATTCCGTCAACGCATACGACTATGTCGATCCGGCAACTAAGGAAGTGAATATCCACGTTGACCTCTGCAGCTACGAAGGTGGCTCCATCCCGTACAAAGAGTATAACCTCAGCAACATCGTTGACCCAGCGGCGCCTTTTCAAGATGGCACCTTGGTGCGATACGAACTCGCCGGGGTGTCCACGCAAGGGTTAGAAAGGCCTGGCCGCGTCACGACGAAATCTGCTATCCCAGGCGTTGCAGCAGAATTGCCTCGTATCGCAAAGGATGCTTCGATGAAGCCGGGGTATCGCTACGTCTACTTCACAGCCGGGAATGGCGGCGCTTCCCCTGGCACTGAGGTGCCGATTGGCAGACTGGGCAACGGCCTCAAGGTTGTCCAGGCGGCATTCCTTGGCAGTCTTGCGAAATCGGACTGGGAGACGGGAAGTTTCGTCAGATGGCAGCCAGAAAATGGAGAAAGTTGCCCGTGCGAACCAGTATTTGTTGGAAGACCTGGAGCTGTGGATGAAGACGATGGTATTGTACTGACAATTGTCATCAACAAGCAAGGGACGCAAAGTGTATTGGTCGCTCTGGACGGTAAGACGTTTAAGGAAGTAGCGAGGGCTGACATGCCGCAAGTCTACGGACTAGGTCCCCATGGCTCCTTTATCGAGAACTAAAACAACACCTAGCAAGTGCAGGAAACACAAGCTCACTCTGGTAGGCACAGGTAGTAGATAACTTGTGACTCCTTATACATTCACCCATGCAAAAGTAAATAAAATGTCTTTCAAACCCCTCGGTTGCCGCGAACAATATTGGTGGTCCGATTGTTCGGAGAAACTGCCCGAATACGCTGGCCAGATACTTGCATTCACCTGATCGACAAAATCTTCAACTGTGCTAGATTTGCTTCGATAAGACAACCGACAAATGTGCCTCAGACAACTAAACAATGAAAGGTTTGAGCGCAAACTGCAAGTATCTAAATATTGGTGATTGGCTGTTTCGTCAGCGGGTCTGTTATTGTTCACTGATCCATGGATGCTATTAAGTCAATATAGTCGGTCCCGTTAGGGGGGAAACGGCTGTACAAACCCACGACCGCAGTTGTTGTGGGGGTTGAGATTGATCAAAAGAGGGACATTTGGAGAGAAATACCTGTAATTGATTAGCAAACCTTTGGGTTGTCCTTTAAAATAATCAGTGCTTCAATCGTTGTCTTCATTTCGAGTGGGCAGTTCTAAGGCGGCACTTCTGGCGTCCACGGTGGCATTTGTTTTAACGATAGTCAAGACAGCAATATAAAGGTCTTGGTATTGGTACTACTTGAGTTTAAGGACGACTTGATCGCATCGTTGAGATTACTCGGATGACTCGGACACGTGCTACGTTCATATGTCCGGTATATAGAGACGATACATGGCCTCAAAACGTACGCATATTTTACATACGTGTTGATACAGTCAGAAACTAGCTGACTTGACATGTGCATCATTGAAATTGATATGCTGAAGCCGTCATGATACCGGTGGTTTCCTTGTGATGGTATTAAGAGAAAGCTCACGTCTTAGTCCTGCTTGTGCGTAGCTCACTTTGCAACCTTTCATCAATCTTAGTGATGGCTCACGGGGCCTTCGCCTCCCCAAATACCAGATTCTGAATATTTTCCCTTTTCCGTAACTAGAATTTTCTCATACAGATTAGTGAGCCGGGCTAGCAAGTTCGTAGCCCAATAGATATTAATAAAGTTCAGTGCCTACATCGGTACTGCCCATCGGAGACAACAGTAGACCCAAACCACGAGCAAGTTTACCCACAAATTCCGCCACAGTACTCTGCCGCATAACTCTCCATCTGCAATTAGAATGGAAACTCTGCATTGAGATTTAGCGTAGGTTTTATGAGTTTGCGACGGAGATAACTTCTCGGGCTATGTATAAAAGAACTGCAACTGTTGTTTTCTGTCCATCTATAATCTTCCCCAGTAACAACAAAGATATAATCCAAGTCTTCATCTTGTGCTCCAAACAACTCGATATCAGAAGTAGGAATCAAGACCTCTCACCAAACCAAACTTTTCCAATTCACCTTTCGAATATCATTTAGCCTTGTCCTAATATCAGAAGACTAGAGTAAGGTATATTTACGACGCCATGGCTGACAACAACTTCACCCTGGTTGATCATGAGAAGACAGATAATGCCCTTATAAGTTCGGTGTGTGCCAACTCAAGAACTGCAGATGACTTACAAGAGCTATGGGAAGGTGCTTGGGCTCTCTGGATGTTTTCAACTGGTTGCGATCGGTCATACCGACCAGAGTCATCAGAGGCTCTTGAGAGGATCACAGAGGGAATGGATCCTGATGTCTCGAGGTACTTCCGTGACAAATTTTTTCACCGGATTGGCACCACGAAGGTCAGGAGAAGCAACACTATATGCCGCTTGAACCAATGATTGTTGGAGTAGTTTCCAAACACGCTTCTGAGGCCAATATTACTAAAAGCACCAAACACCCTAGAGAGGGTAACTCTTCCAGTGAAGAGTTGGAACATTCTCCGAAAAGACAGCGGACAGAAAGCCTTACACGGAAGATTTCAAAGCTTGCAATCACTGCTCAGGGTGCGCTCTCACCCGTCGATGCAGAATCGCCAAAGTCGAAACGGAAACCTCTTCCCACACTTCCAGAAGAGACCCGGAAGAAAAGGTCCAAGCCACGTCTTAAGCCCCGAGCTATAACACCAGATTCTGGTGCATCGGGTAGTGGACATGCAACACCAAAGACCCCTAGCAAGCCCCAGCCACAGAGCGCCGCGCGCAGTCTGACAGTTGACTCATCTTTCGAAAGCGGACCCAAGGTCTCAGGCAGCGGGTTGCGCCCCGTACCAGCATCACCAAGTTTAGCTACGGCTCAGACATCAGCTACCGTAAGGGTTTCGCAACCGGAGCCGGCGGACGAGCAGTTACCCATCCTTCGAGGTGGCCCCAGTCCATCTGGTTCAAGCGCATCTGATTAGGACGATCAAGCGTGGTCTCCTCGGCAATGGGTGCTGAACTGGGCAGGCGAGAAGATCCGGAAGTTGGAGAAGGTGAAACGAGAACTTGAGCAGGACAATAGTCCGGACTCAGGGAAGAAAAAGGCCAGGCTGACAATCATCAGGAAAAGTTTGGCAGAGGACGACTGCGCAAGAAAGATCGCCGAACACGGCGATCAAATGGAAGTCTCTTGCAGTAACTGCGCTTCTCAGGGTAATCCATGCTTCATCTGGCTTAACCGTCCAAATCAAAGTTTCTGGCCAGGAAGGAGCAACTCACACTCAGGAAAGCAGAATAGTTGCGAGTACACAAGGCGAAAAGCAGGCAGACAGGGAGGATGAGAAAACAGACGAGGCGCTGTTGCTTGCAGATAGCCACGTAAGTGAGCTTCAGCCAACAACAATCACACCACAACAAGAATAGTACCATAATTGCTTGGTAGTATAGCTTTACCTAGTAACATAAAACAACAATATATAATTCAATAAATCCCACATAACAAACTGCACGGTATCTAGACAGTTATGCATATTCATGTGAGTTTTTTTTCTTTCTTTTTACAACCAACCCACTGTTGATGGTGGTAATGCGAGCAGCCTGCCAAACCCCCCCCCCCCCCCCCCCCCCCTCCCCAGGCTTGTATAGGATTATATAGGCGTTACTGTGTACTACAGTACATTCATAGTTGAAAGACCCATGATATCCCATGTCACCTAGCACAACACTTTCGACCATTCAAACCCTTCCCTGTGAACAGTGCAAAAAGACACAAATTGAATCAACGAAAATAATAAATAAATGAAAAATCTCCGCAGTTTCACGAAGAAAACTAAGTTTTGTTATTGAGGCCAGGTATCACTGTCTTCCGTCTATTGACTACAACAAACCGGTGGTGACTTAGCGCTTCTCTACAGGGACAAGTAGTGCTGTGCAATTCTCCCGGAGCACATATGGTGCGAAAATTTGAAATGATGAATCATTAATGTTGAAGGATAGTGTGTTGTACGTTCCAAGTCCCCAGTCATATCTGGTATTAGTTTAATGACAAGATGACGCTCTGGAGGCCAAGAGCCCAAAGCTTGAACAAAGGTCTGCCTTGGGGAGCGAGTGCAAGGGCTCGGATGGCGCGACAGCGGGGCTGAATAATGGGCCGCTTTTTCGACGACAGCGACATTTCACACGGCACACATGTAGTCGAGCACTTAATACTCAGTTAGCACCACGCCAGATCCCGCAATGCGCCGAGGATGAGTGACCACAAATGCCAAATTGTAAAAACTCTATCTGCTCATATACGAACAGTCATGCCAATTAGTCGTTACAAGAGTCCATGGCTCAAGCGATGGCGGAACCGATGCTTCGGAAAACGGTGGAGGTTCACACGCTCCATGGTAATATCACTCCTCGGCATCTCACAAATGCCCATACAGGAACCCGAATATCCTGCACTGCCTGCCAGGCCTGCCACTTAATCCACATGTACCGATTGGTTACTGCTAATCACTATCTTCATAAAGTCCACATTTCTGCCAAACGAAGGATTCACTTATGCAATGAACGCCGACAGTTGCGGAATCGTTGTTCCTAACGACCCTATGTATTATCACCCTCAACAGGTAAACCCATGGCAGACCCGGTGCTATGGTTATGCTGTCTGACGATCGTTATAGTCTAAGCAGATCGCCAGACAGCTCTCCAATTCCCGGTTGCATGGGATAGCCATCTACATCTCCACCATCAAGTATAGCCAAAGATGACCTCACGGAACTTTTGCTTGGTAGCGACGGCTCTCGTACGGCAGCCTGCACAATCTTATTACGGCTAGGTGCTGATGGGTCGCTAGTTGGACAACATGACGGTGATTTTGCACAATGCATATTCATTCATGATAATTTGCTTAGTCTAGTCCAAAACGAGGACATGAAAACATGTCAGACTACGGAGTGCATTAACACAAGAGCTACGGGGAGTATTGCAGCAGTAAATTTTAAGCAGTGATACCAATAAATCACAATCCGGGGCTGTCTCCCAGGATTCTATGATAGGCTGGCTCCTTCGGGCCAATCGTTCCATTAGGTGTCATGCCGTCTTGGTCTTTCGCGACGCGTCCCGCGTTCGCGTCGGTTCTGTAGGGCTGAACCGTGACGGTGCAGATCTGCTGACAAGAAATTGCAGCCGGCTTGTGCCGTTTGATGTGCTATACGATGACGGTGCGACGCGAAGGAGGGCCAAAGACAAGCAGCTATGGCAAGACAGGGACTCGGTTGCTTCATGGCTACGCCATCAGGCGCTGTCTATACGCTGCAGCGTTGGCTGTTCAGCAGCACGGAGGCTGTGCTATGCAATTCTCATTGGGTGCAGAGCAGGCGCCAGCCTCATGTCCTCCCATAAGAAGGCGCTTCTTCGACGAACTGCTGATTTCTGCAACCCTCCACTCCAATATCTTTTACTTTGTGTGAAATGTCGTTCTTCTCAAGCTTCGAAAGTAAAATCAAGCGCAAGCTCAAGCAACGCAAGAAGGAAGGGCGATCAAGAGCGACCCGGCCAGACGCATCGTCTAGCGGCCCGAGAGAACCCCAAAGCTTAGCCCCCGCTCAGTCGCGGACCGTCCCGAGTAACGCCGTCGTCTCCAGCCTACGTCCATCTGCCGAGAGTACGCCGACCGAACCGAACGCACGGTTGTCTCAGACCTCATCCCCAGAACGTGAACCGCAGACAGAGAATACCGCTAGCCCCGACATCTGGGCCAGCGCGTACGGCAAGTTCGCCGTCAGAGAACCCGAGCTGGCCCGCGATTACAAGACGCATTTGGCCACCTTTACGGACTGCGATACAATCAGTCAGAGCAATACTTTACATCCAGATGGGGCCAGGTCGATTGTGGAGCAATTGCAGAAGCAACGCGAGCAGAAACAATGGCACGTCAACTTCTATGGCAAAGATGTTAGATTTAGAGCCCAGGCCGAGAAGCTGGTCAAAATCCTTGGCTGGTGCAATGGCGTTGTGAAGGATGCCCTGAGTACCCAGCCATACGCGGCACTGGCGTGGTCCGGCGTCTCCATTCTCCTCCCGGTGTGTGACCATACATGACGACGCGGCCCTGGACCACGTGTACACAATGCTGATGAGCCTGCAGCTTCTCGCGACCGGAACAGCCATGCACGAGGCCATGCTCTTAGGCTTCGATGCCACCCACCGTGTCCAGTTGTACTGGAAAACCTTCCAGGACATCTTTCCCCAGGATCTCGATGTAGGCGGCGACCGTGCTGTACATTATGGCTTGGTCGAACTCTATTCCCACATCTTCGAGTATCAGGCCCGCGTTATCTGCCATTTATCTCTCGCTCAGCTATCCCGTGCGTGGCAGAAGGTCGCCGGGGATGACGACTGGGAAAAGAGAATGGCACACGTGGATATGCTGAGTGAATACTGCAAAGAGTGCACAGACATCGCTAGAAGGGAGGAGACCCAGCGAACGTCCGACCAGCAGTTGCACCAGCTATACCAATCTCGCGCGGCACTCGAGCAGATCTACAACGTCCTAGAAGAGGAGAGGAACCAACGACGGAACGACCTCGAGGACCAGCGGGAACGCGAACTGCTCGCCGACCTAGCTGCCGATCATGAATCATACAAGAACTCCAATCCCAAGAAAGTCCCAGACACGTGCGCTTGGTTCCTCGAGAACGCGAGCTTTCGGTCGTGGCGTGACAACGTAGAATCGGGCCTCCTCTGGGTATCAGCTGGTCCAGGGTGCGGAAAGTCCGTCCTCTCACGCTCTCTAATCGATGAATGGCAGCTTTCCACAAGTGCTGCAACTTCAAACATCTGCTACTTCTTCTTCAAGGACGGCGACGAGACTCGTGAGCACAGCTTCAATGCGCTATCGGCCATCCTCCACCAGCTCTTCATTAAGGACTTGACCGGCAAATTCACGAGTCACGCTCTAGGTCGCCATAAGAACTACAGCAAAGGGCTGGCGACGAACTTCTCCGAATTATGGAGCATCTTGCTAGACTGCGCTTGCACAACAGACGCTGGTGAGATAGTCTGCGTCCTCGATGCGCTCGACGAGTGTCAAGAAGATAGCAGAAACGACATCATCGGCAAGCTACAGGATTTATTTTCTCGTACAGGAGTAGCGTCCCGTCGCACATGCAGATTGAAGTTCTTTGTCACGAGCCGGCCGTACGATACAATCGAGCGCTCCGTCAGGGATCTCCTGAACTCTTCGTGCCTACGAATCGACGGAGAAGACCATTCAGCGGCCATCAGTGAAGATATTAACCGTGTTATTGATTTCACCATACCAAAACTGATACGTGATTTTTCAAATTACGATCTCCGCCGCATCTCTGAGCGTCTCAAAGCCATGGAGAACCGCACTTACCTCTGGCTACGTCTGACCTTCTACATAATTGAACAAGGCAGTGATTATAGCAGGCCCTCCGATGTGGACACTCTGTTGGATGATCTTCCGAGTGAGCACGCTAAGGCCTACGAGAAGATTCTCAATCGAGTAAAGCAGTCTAGATTCACCTCGATTCTTCTCCAGCTAATGCTTGCTGCAACGCAACCCTTGAGCATTGATGAGGCAAACTACGCCCTCGCATTGGCTGCCGAGAATAGTAAGCCGACGTCGAGTTCCGCAATCAATCTGTGGCCTAAAGAGTCATTTAAAAACATCGCGAAATCTTATTGTGGGCTCCTCGTTGACATTCACGACTCGAAGCTGTTTTTCATTCACCAAACTGTCAGAGCATTCTTGTTAGAGGTTCCAAAAGAAGCCGGCGACTGGAAATGGGGAGGACGTTTCAAGCTGCCCAAATGTCACAATGCAATGTCACTTGCATGCACCCGTTATCTTTCGCTCCCAGAACTGGAAGCACCTCTTCAGGGTAACACAGCGGAGCAGCAAAGTCGTCCATTCTTCCCATACGCTGCCCAGCATTGGCCGTTCCACTACAGAGAGAAAGATGGAAATGAATCGCTTGGGGATGCCCGTAGTCTGGTTCGATTGACTGTAAACGGGGCACAAACTTGGACAAAAGTCCATTCCTCATATTTTCGAGCGTGGGACTGGTCACAGTGGACGGATTTAGCTCTGGCGGCTTATTTTGGCTTGGGGTCAGTGGTTCGTACTGTTATTGATGAGGGTAATGTCGATCTCGATGCATATTGCGGGTACTTCGGCACAGCATTACAGGCAGCATGTGCTGCAGGCTTTCCGGTCGTGGTTGAGACACTTCTTCGGAAGGGAGCGAGCGTTGAGACGACAGGTGGCCACTATAGAACGTCAATAGCAGCTGCGGTGCAGAATGGTCATAGAGAAGTGGTTCAAGTCCTTCTCGAGAAGCGAGGAGACGAGGTCGAGATCACGCAAGACGTCGTGGTCGCTATAGCAGAGAATGAGCAGAGTGGAAAAGAGATTATGGCCTTACTTCTCGAAAAGCGAGGAGACGAGGTCAAGATTACGCAAGACGTCGTGGTCGCTATAGCAAAGAATTGGCAAAGTGGAAAAGAGATTATGGCCCTACTTCTCGAAAAGCGAGGAGACGAGGTTAAGATCACGCAAGACGTCGTGGTCGCTATGGCAAAGAATTGGCAAAGTGGAAAAGAGATTATGGCCCTACTTCTCGAAAAGCGAGGAGACGAGGTTAAGATTACGCAAGACGTCGTGGTCGCTATAGCAAAGAATGAGTGGAATGGAAAAGAGATTATGGCCCTACTTCTCGAAAAGCGAGGAGACGAGGTTAAGATCACGCAAGAAGTCGTAGTCGCTATAGCAGAGAATAAGCAGAATGGAAAAGAGATTATGGCCCTACTTCTCGAAAAGCGAGGAGACGAGGTTAAGATCACGCAAGACGTCGTAGTCGCTATAGCAGAGAATGAGCAGAGTGGAAAAGAGATTATGGCCTTACTTCTCGAAAAGCGAGGAGACGAGGTTAAGATTACACAAGAAGTCGTGGTCGCTATAGCAGAGAATAAGCGGAATGGCAAAGAGATTATGGCCTTACTTCTCGAAAAGCGAGGAGACGAGGTTAAGATCACGCAAGACGTCGTGGTCGCTATGGCAAAGAATTGGCAAAGTGGAAAAGAGATTATGGCCCTACTTCTCGAAAAGCGAGGAGACGAGGTTAAGATTACGCAAGACGTCGTGGTCGCTATAGCAAAGAATGAGTGGAATGGAAAAGAGATTATGGCCCTACTTCTCGAAAAGCGAGGAGACGAGGTTAAGATCACGCAAGAAGTCGTAGTCGCTATAGCAGAGAATAAGCAGAATGGAAAAGAGATTATGGCCCTACTTCTCGAAAAGCGAGGAGACGAGGTTAAGATCACGCAAGACGTCGTAGTCGCTATAGCAGAGAATGAGCAGAGTGGAAAAGAGATTATGGCCTTACTTCTCGAAAAGCGAGGAGACGAGGTTAAGATTACACAAGAAGTCGTGGTCGCTATAGCAGAGAATAAGCGGAATGGCAAAGAGATTATGGCCTTACTTCTCGAAAAGCGAGGAGACGAGGTTAAGATCACGCAAGACGTCGTGGTCGCTATAGCAGAGAATAAGCAGAGTGGAAAAGAGATTATGGCCCTACTTCTCGAAAAGCGAGGAGACGAGGTTAAGATTACGCAAGACGTCGTGGTCGCTATAGCAGAGAATGAGCAGAGTGGAAAAGAGATTATGGCCCTACTTCTCGAAAAGCGAGGAGACGAGGTTAAGATCACGCAAGACGTCGTGGTCGCTATAGCAGAGAATGAGCAGAGTGGAAAACAGATTATGGCCCTACTTCTCGAAAAGCGAGGAGACGAGGTCAAGATTACGCAAGACGTCGTGGTCGCTATAGCAGAGAATTGGAAGAGTGGAAAAGAGATTATGGCCCTACTTCTCGAAAAGCGAGGAGACGAGGTCAAGATTACGCAAGACGTCGTGGTCGCTATAGCAAAGAATTGGCAAAGTGGAAAAGAGATTATGGCCTTACTTCTCGAAAAGCGAGGAGACGAGGTTAAGATTACGCAAGACGTCGTGGTCGCTATAGCAAAGAATAAGCGGAATGGCAAAGAGATTATGGCCTTACTTCTCGAAAAGCGAGGAGACGAGGTTAAGATCACGCAAGACGTCGTGGTCGCTATAGCAGAGAATGAGCAGAGTGGAAAACAGATTATGGCCCTACTTCTCGAAAAGCGAGGAGACGAGGTCAAGATTACGCAAGACGTCGTGGTCGCTATAGCAGAGAATTGGAAGAGTGGAAAAGAGATTATGGCCCTACTTCTCGAAAAGCGAGGAGACGAGGTCAAGATTACGCAAGACGTCGTGGTCGCTATAGCAAAGAATTGGCAAAGTGGAAAAGAGATTATGGCCTTACTTCTCGAAAAGCGAGGAGACGAGGTTAAGATTACGCAAGACGTCGTGGTCGCTATAGCAAAGAATAAGCGGAATGGCAAAGAGATTATGGCCCTACTTCTCGAAAAGCGAGGAGACGAGGTTAAGATCACGCAAGACGTCGTGGTCGCTATGGCAAAGAATTGGCAAAGTGGAAAAGAGATTATGGCCCTACTTCTCGAAAAGCGAGGAGACGAGGTCAAGATCACGCAAGACGTCGTGGTCGCTATAGCAGAGAATGAGTGGAATGGAAAAGAGATTATGGCCTTACTTCTCGAAAAGCGAGGAGACGAGGTCAAGATTACGCAAGACGTCGTGGTCGCTATAGTAGAGAATGAGTGGAATGGAAAAGAGATTATGGCCCTACTTCTCGAAAAGCGAGGAGACGAGGTTAAGATTACGCAAGAGGTAATGGTCGCTATAGCAAAGAATGAGCAGAGTGGAAAAGAGATTATGGCCTTACTTCTCGAAAATCGAGGAGACATGGTTAAGATTACGCAAGAAGTCGTAATCGCCGTAGCAGAGAATAAGCGGAATGGAAAAGAGATTATGGCCCTACTTCTCGAAAAGCGAGGAGACGAGGTTAAGATTACGCAAGACGTCGTAACCGCTATATCAAAGAATAGGTGGAGTGGAAAACAGATTATGGCCTTGCTTCTCGAAGAGCGAGGAGACGAGGTCGAGATTACATAAGATGTCGTGATCGCCGTAGCAAAGAACGAAGAGATTAGAGAACAGACTATAGTCCTACTTCCCGAGTTGTCCTAGATATAGCATAGGCGTATACGCACCTTTGACGACCACCTGGCGCGTCCATTCATTGAGTAGAGCTAGGCGAGCTAGAGGCTCATCCTAACGATAACGCGGCTTGTAAAGCCGACTTTTAGTAGTAACGGGAGAGATAGGCGGCCGACAGGATCAGCTAGCAGTACGTTCTCGTAATGCCTAAGGAGGGATTTTCACCTGTGAGCTGCATAGAATTTATAACTCGCATTACATATCCTAGGTACGGGTGCATAACGCAGAGTGGAAGCTGCTCACCATGGAGACAGGGTGCGCGATCAGGATGAAAACTAAGGTCGTCTCAAGGCCCGATATGCCTATCACACCTACTTATACATCCACTCGCCCTGGAGGACGGGTTCTATCTGAAGAGACTGTGGATGGAGCTCACAGACATGGATGATGTATACCCATTACCTGGATCGGAGATTAAAATGTCAAAAATCATACACGTTTCTTGTGATGAAAATGGACAACCTCCGGAGCCATATGCAATAGACCGTTATGTTATTGGCTATGTCCAAGAGAGCAGCCTATAGGCAATACTATTTCCTAGATCCATGTTACTAAGCGACTCGTTCTCCATTTCATCTGGTGCTACGTCCTAGATGCTCTAGCCGGCGGGGTTGGAGAGCGATGGCCAATGCTTGTCGTTAATATGAATTACAGTAAAGTCAATATCGTGTCTCCTTTCTGGACCACCATCGCTCGGACCTCGAGAAGCGTAAAATGAGTTTTAAGGTAATGTGCCGTAGGGCTCAGCAGTCATAGCGTATTAAAAGGAATAGTAACTGTAAAGCAGCTTCCTGTGTTTAGGGTTGTACATTAGTTCTACCGTACTTTAGCATGTGGTCGTATAGCACATTGGTATAGTACCAGACGCACTGTTATCCTGTAGTTAGTATTGTCAGCAGCGTAAGTACATGTTTACCGGTCCATTTTTGGATGAGAGAGGTATCCCTCGACTGTGGTACCTCGTAAGCCAACAGTAGTTCTTAAGGGTCAGCGCTAAAACTGGACCATCCGTGCTCAAAAACAAGAGAAGAGAGACAAAGAGAGGAAGCCGATTTTGATTTTCTCTGTATACAATGTTTACTTGGAATGCAGTGCAGATTAGGTTGTGTCTGATTGGAGCGCGTGGGCGGATGACAGAACGCAGTCAAGATCCGCACGAAAGGGTTCTTGTGGATCAGCCAGTATAAACACGCAGGGGTAGCAATTTACATAGCTTCAATTGCCGTTAAGCGACAAATGATATTTGTGCGGGAGGTAGAGATCGAGACTGGCACCCTGGTAGATATCTTGGATTGGCCCGCTGGTCCGAGGGTGCAAAGGATCAAAGGATGTGAGAGGCCATATCTCGCTCATAAAACGTTTTGCGCAAGGGGCTGGATCAAGAAAGAACAAGTCGGGCAGCCTCAAAGAGTTGAGTAACTAAACCGGAGAATACGACACCCTTCTTCCGTTCTAGTAGCGTTTGGGTATGGACAAGATCCAGACCTTAATGGGTAAGTGCTGCCGGTAATCTCTTAGACCTTGCCAAAGCTAGGTCCTAAGGCTGGAAGGCGCGAGTGGCGCGTTGTACCTGTAAAGAAGACGATCTCACTAATTTCGTAATGATAGCGATTTGACCAAGATGGAAGAACTGTTTCGGATCATGATATTTCAGACACAAGACGCTCGCGCGATAGGTGCCAAGCCAAGTCCCGACCGCGTCGCAAATGCCTCGACACGAGACCCGCAAAAGACGCCGACGACGCCGAGCAAGTTCCGAATCTTTTTTCTTTTCTTGCGCCCCTGATAACGCACGAGGTTGACGAGGCTGGAAAGTTGCCGGGTTAGCCATCAGTTGCAACGGGGTTTGAATTCTACGAAGAACATGATTTGGACTATCAAAGCTTGTGCGGATCCGCAGAGATAACACGAAGAATGCTTGGCTGTCGGAGAGCCATCAGTCCTAGCTCAATATATGAATTGTAGTTTGCTTCATCCAACAACCAATTGTTTTGTAGCAGGGAACATCTCTAGGTCAACGAATTGGTCAATTGGTTGGAAAGGGCTAATCAGAGGGCAGTAATTAATCACTTGACACTAGTCTACTGTAGAGACGAGGGATGGAGATGTAGATAAGATAGTTGGATACATCCATACAGTAGGTTGAATGTGTACAGGACTGGAGAAAAAGCATCGAAAATCCTGTAATAGTTCGCATAGCGGGAACGGCAGAGACACTAGAAAGAAAAAGAGAGAAAAGTTGGCGAATTTGACCCTCGAAGTAAGTACTTGGTACCAATGACCACTTTAGGGTGCGCACCCACCCCACGATGGAACTTTCCCATTTCTTGGACCTAGCCCAGCCCAGCCCAGCCCGCCAGTTGCTTTTCACTCGCCAATCAGCGTCGCTTGCTAATCAGCACTACGTGTGTGCGTTAACAGGTTCGGAGTATCCAGTACCTTGAGAAAGCTCTGGGTCAGTTCGAGTTCCAGCTCCCAGCTCCCAGCTCCATTTGGGTTCCACCAGCTGGTGCATGACATTACTCACCTCAGATAATTGCGCTCACCTGAAATTTTAGTGATGCCCTTTTCTCACTCATACTAAACCAAACCACCAACTTCTGTCTCAAGTTGCTTCTTTGGGCCATTGCACTTGCATATCGCCTTCGAAGCGATGGCTTCATCCTCGAGGATTCTGGCCCGGCTTGCCGGTGCTCAGTTCACCCCCAAAGCTCATGCGAAGCTGCCCGTGTCTGCAGCTTTCGCGAAAGTCGCCAATATCTCGACGACGTCACCCGCCCGGAGAGCACCCCTAGCTTCACCACCCACCCCCAGAGCACAACACAAGCACAACGAGAGCCAGATCCTGTCCCGTACTCACTTCAGGAGGACATATGCCGACTCTGCTCCTGCCGCTCCCGTCAAGAAGCGCAAGATCCGTGTATTCAGATGGATCTGGCGCTTCACCTATCTCTCCGTTCTCGGCAGCATTGGATATGTCGCCTATGATGGCTACAATGCGCGACACCCTGACGACCAATTCGCCCCTGACCCTAGCAAGAAGACCTTGGTTGTTCTCGGTAAGTCAATTGACCACCCATTGGCCCAGTCGGCTGCCCGCGACACTGGCTGACATGTGCTTCCGAAAGGTACCGGCTGGGGTTCCGTCGCCCTGCTGAAGAAACTTGATACCGAAAACTACAATGTCGTTGTCATCTCGCCCCGTAACTACTTCCTGTTCACCCCTCTACTCCCGTCATGCACCACCGGTCAAATCGAGCACCGCTCCATCATGGAGCCCGTGCGGCAGATTCTGCGTCACAAGAAGGCCGCCGTCAAGTACTACGAAGCTGAAGCTACTCACATCGATCACGCGCGCAAGATTGTCAAGATCACCGATAACAGTGAGGTCAAGGGAACTATCCACGAGACCGAGGTTCCTTACGACTTGCTGGTTATTGGTGTTGGTGCTGAAAATGCTACCTTTGGTATCCCCGGTGTGCGCGAGCACAGTTGTTTCCTCAAGGAGATCCGCGACGCCCAGACTATCCGTACCAAGATCATGGACTGTGTTGAAACTGCTGCCTTCAAGAACCAGGACCCAGAGGAGATCGACCGTCTTCTGCACATGGTTGTCGTCGGTGGTGGCCCTACCGGTGTCGAATTTGCTGGTGAATTGCGTGACTTCTTCGATCAGGATATCAAGCACTTGATCCCCGACATTGCCGATCGTTTCAAGGTTACCCTGGTTGAGGCCCTGCCCAACGTTTTGCCAATGTTCAGCAAGCAGCTCATTGATTACACTGAAAGCACGTTCAAGGAGGAGAAAATCGACATCAAGACCAAGACCATGGTCAAGAATGTTACTGACAAGTACATCGAGGCTGCTTTTACTGGCCCTGACGGCAAGAAGGACACTCTCAAGATCCCCTACGGTCTCCTTGTTTGGGCCACCGGCAACGCTTTGCGACCTATCGTGAAGGACCTCATGTCACAAATCCCCGCCCAGAAGGACTCCAGACGTGGTTTGGCTGTGAACGAGTATCTCGTCGTCCAAGGCTCCCGTGACATCTGGGCCGTCGGAGATTGTGCCGTTGCCGGATATGCCCCTACTGCTCAGGTCGCTGCTCAGGAGGGTGCCTTCCTTGCTCGTCTGTTCAATAACATGGCAAAGACTGAGGCCCTTGAGAGCGAGATCCGCGATCTGAGCTCTGGATTGAACATCAAGCCCGGCAACGCCGCCGAGGCCGCCCAGCAAATCGAAGCTGCGGAGCGCAAGCTCCGTCGCGTTAAAGATCTCCAACCTTTCCACTACTCTCACCAAGGTAGCTTGGCTTATATTGGTAGCGAGAGAGCTGTCGCTGATGTAGCTTGGTTCAACGGCAATGTCGCAGCTGGTGGAAAGTTAACCTATTACTTTTGGCGAAGTGCCTACCTCAGCATGTGCTTCAGCAGTAAGTCCTCGCGCCGCTCCATCTGGGTGAAGCCTACTAACAATTGACAGCTCGTAACCGAGTGCTTGTGTGCTTGGACTGGATCAAGGCTAAGGTCTATGGCCGGGATGTATCCCGTGAGTAAAGCATAAAAAGCAGTGTTAAAGACAGTACAACGGCCATTCTAAGAAAAGGCACCATATGATGCTGCCTCGCTTCCATGGTACTCTTACTGTCAGGAGTTAGGGGTAAAATCTTATAGACAATGGGTCACGTATAGACAGGTCACTGGAGCGTGTGGCGCTTGAGAGTTGTCGTCCACTCTTGGGTAAGCAATGAGGACACTATCTCTGTACAGTATCTGCTTAATAAATTATCTTATGTTCAATGCGGCGCTCGTGTAAGGGTCACAATCTTGATTGTTGTTGCGCTGAAGAGGGGAGGCCGCTTTTAACCATATTCTTAACGACGAGCTGGCTAAGTACCATAACACGTCGCTGGCCACGTGACCATGACCCCTCGATCATCTCAATATATTGTTGTATTGCTCTAGCAACCCTTTTTTTTATGTTTTTGTACAGTTTCACATGAAATATACATGCCAAACGGTAGGTTGGCTTCACCGCTGCCGGCAATGAAGTGTCTTCACCCAGTAGCAGCATGGAATGTCGTTATATCAGCGTTGTTCAGTGCTGTCTGCCATTGGCCCAATCCTAAGCTGCCACGGCATATGCTAGGTTTGAATTTCCGCACTCTTTGTTGAAAACTCAACGCGAAAGCGCATAATAATCTCCAGCGCACTCGCTTGTACTAGCGCAGTTGCCTCGAGATGCATGTCGAACTCCTTGGTAATTTGCCTACACTATGTAGGAGGGTTATGAACTTTATGTGGTACAAGTAACCACAAGGAGCATTTAGTGTGAGGTAAAAGAAGGAGAGGAGGAGGGAAGAAGATGCAGGAAGAAACCCGATTATTAAGATGATACTGTGGGCAGAATCTTGACATTTTTACGCTAATAACACCACAAGTCGTGCACTTATAACCATGGCGGGCGAAGCGACAACTCATATTCCTACAAGGTGTGTGTGCAGTGGCAAATATTGAATTGGTTCGCGCACTGAATTACTCTGCGGAAGCCGCCTATCACGCCATGCTCCCCCCCTCACGGGCGTGCAAAGAGGATGGTTTGCAAGATGGTGACAGCAAGGCAACAAAACCAGGATTCTTAAGAGCCTTGCGTCAACCGCGAGCCAGACTGATTGTGATTACAAAAGATTTGTCCGAGTCGTTCAGCCAGACAGTAAATATGAGAAATAACATGTACGCTGGCATGTGATACCACACGTGACATCTCTCGCCTGCCCTTTGCTTCTGCCTCAGTCAGTCCGCACAACTTGTGTAAGTGCCATGGTTGCTCCAATATATTATGAGCTTGACCCAAAACCTTCAATGTCTCCCAAGCCATTTTTATTGGTCAGCTGTAAGGTGCACACAAATCCCAACACTACCCAGCTTCACTGAGGTTTTGTGTTACTTTATTGAGGTTCAAAGCAGTGTCCACCGACGGTTTGATCATTCCCCCCATGAGGAGTGAAGTTGCATCGATCTGCCACTCACTCCCTATGGTGCTATCGCGAAGTCTGGTTTTAAATCTTTCTCTTTCAAATTTCTAGTTCAACTGTGGCACATGCCATCTAGCTTCTAACATGTCTTCGCCAGTAACTTCATTGACCAGGTACAGCCAGGCATTACGTTTGTCCTTCCGTTCAATTCCTTGGCAATACGATTTCGTAATTGAGATTATCACAAGTGCTGTACTTCAGCTACTCACGGAATATACCATGCCTCGATCTCAGCGAACTTTCAATCTACCTACACTCACGCTGGCATCGCAGGATGCGGCGAGCCATCATTCCACGTCTCAGACTGTGCCTATGCCACCGAGCTCTTTGGGCCAAATGATTGAAGAGCGTACTCCCGAGCCAGAAAATGGAGACTCGTATCCAGCTCCAGGCATGGATCATGGACGTTCTAAGAAACGCAAAACAGCCACCGAATTAGGCCTCGAGGTTACCAGGGAGCGCAAACTCGCTTGTCCATATTACAAGAAAGATCCCACAAAGCACAGTACAATCAACGCCTGCTGCGGTCCTGGGTGGGATTCCATATCTCGATTGAAGTACGTTAACATTAGCCTCCCGATATATTACCATTCAACTTATGCATACTCCAGGGAATACTTGTATCGGAGGCATGCTTTCTCATCAAAACTTAGATGTCAAAGATGCTTCGATGTGTTTGATGACATGAAGACTCTTCAGAACCATGCTCGTGCAGCCCAGCCATGAATGGTCCGGCAAACTGACACAACTGAAGGCTTTGATGAGGACATCGAGGAGTTACTGAGGTCTAGAAAGTGACAAGAAAATCATATTACCAGAGAAGCTAAAAGGGCGGACATATTCCGGCTTCTGTTCCCGTATGACGATATTATACCCCTGCCGTGTAAGTTCGTTGTACTATATCCTATACATTCTTAGTAACTTATCCTACGGCAGATTACGAGCACGAGCAGAATCAGTTTCCGGATGCAAACCAAGAGCCTAACCTACAGGGCTACAGGGACTACATCTGCGGAGAATTATCGCCACTGCTCCGAGATGAGTTGAAATCAGAAATCGCCGATGAGCTTGATATCTTTGAGGAACGAGTACGAGAGCGTGCGGTCGAGGTTTTCTACAAGCTTGCACCCAAAGTACTGGATCGCTACTGCAGCAGCAGATCGAAGCAGCACGAACATTCCAACATTTCAGATGGCAAAGTCCTGTCTAGTAGTGATGATCGTATGTGTTCAAATAGCTTGAACCGTGTGCCGCTGCCTGCTGATGAGCATTGCTTTGACAACGACGCCACCGATTTCCAGTCCCCTTTTGATGGCTTCCATGTCCCTATGACATTCCATATCGGGGACCCTTACCACAGGTCAGTATTCGTCTGGGATCCTAGCTGCGAAGGAAGAGACCATGCAAGCAATGCGCAATACGACCACACAGTAATTTGACACAAATGAACAAGCATCTGTGAGCAAGGGAAAAAGGCTCAAGTTCATAAAAAGGCAAAACAACTCTGTCGATAAAGGAGCCGAGTATGTAGATCACCGTTTTACAACTGCCTGGCGATGGAAAGCCAGCGTTGCGTGGGTATAACAATTCAACCATCTGCGCTGCAGAAACTTACGTCATGACCGCTCTTAGACATAAGCAGCGCGAAAGTACAAGATCAATATCAATCAAGGTTAGAAGAGAATTAGATAGAGACATTGAACTGCGCAGGATTTGGCGTTGGTACTTGGAGAAGGTCGCAGGCGGACATAGCGGGCAGACTGACATAATCGGATACCTGATAACGGGGGGCGTTGTGAAGGTCGATCACAGAATCATATTAGAAGTATTGAATAGTCACTGCAGCATGAAATGAACGAAACTACCGAGCCATCCGACAGCGAAGCAACGGCCCTTGCGAAACGGCCAAAATCACTTGACCACCATATGCTTTCTATTCATGAACCTTGTCAGGGCAACGTGTCCAATTGCCTGGAGTTTGATATTTTCAAGGCTTCAAGATGCTATTAAGATTCAATATTGTAGATCCCGCCCTGGATCAAGCCACAAACAGGGATCCCACCCATGACCTGGTCATTATCCACAAAGCCAAAAGGTACTACCTGCAGAAGTTGACGGTATGGGGGGCTGTTTGTCTGGCGTGTGGGAGATAGGGCAGACAACGTAGATCTCTAGAAGTTTTAAGCTACTGACACCTCACTAATTCACAATTTCTGTTGGTATACACCATAAGTCTCCACCTTTGTCGAGGTGGCTTCTATTATAGTCGTGATTTGTTGAAGGACAAATGGACTGAGGGGATGTCCCTTTTGAGTGGGCCGTCAAAATTCCTCGTAACTAGAACTGCAGTTTCACACACGTTCTGCTCCGGTGGCTCCAGTACCGAGTGATAGCTATCTATTACGACAGACCGGTAGTTTGTTTGTTACGCAAATTTAGAGAGACATAATGTATGACGACGATTTGAATTACACACGTCGGTTTAGCTACCCTTGTTGTTGTTGCAGATGCCGCTCTGGGCGTCGCGGGTACATCCGCTAGCTTTGAAGACCAAAATGGCGTAGTTTAGGTTTCAAGACAACTTTGAAGAATTGGCAGCTCACTCGACTATACTCTATAGGGCTACTGACAAGAACGAAAACTGTTGAATTTCAACTAATCTTGCGAATCCCCTTCCGGCAGTTGGTCGTAGCTAGAATTCGAAAGACACGTCGGAAGCTTCGGGAGGCAGCCACGAAACCGCGAGTTTTCTGCAACTCGTGTATTGGTACCCGAAAGTCAAATTCCGCTTAGTGATAGAAATTGAGCATTGCGGCATGCCCGGGGCCGCTCGATGAGTTTCATAATCGTATTGGCGCAACTTTCTGTCCCTGCACCGTACCCCGGACACAGATCTTTGGGGTATAGCTGCGTGCATAGGCCAGACCGTTGTGTCGTACTTTGGCCCTGTCAAACTCTAAATACAGGCACGCTCAGGGTAAAGCTGATTAATCATTTCGATTCAACTCCACAATCCTTGGGGATTCAGTGAACGGCCAAGGAATTTTCTGCCTTATCACTGGTATCGAACAACGGTCAACCATGTCTCTCGCCGGGACATCAGGGAAAGGTTTTGCATAGTACAGAAATCATTTTCCTTGGCTCTCGCTCGGCAATCGCAGGGGGAGGTCAGGATGGCGAACACACCACATCCTATTTCATATATCTACAAGATGTGTCCACATGTCTTTCGAGCATCTAGATCTAAACTCCACAGCACAATAGGCAGCGCCTACTCCACCGAGCGAAACCACAACCTGTGGCTTTCGCGTGTACTATAGCAAATCCAACGAAAAAGACCCAAAAAATATACGCTTAATTCCAATACACACACATTTTCCCTTACTCTTCACCGTCCCCGCCATGGCTCATCGGCTATCGTCCTCATACTTCGCGCCTTCGGACTACAAGGCCTCGAAGCATGCCTCGTTAGATGTTCCCGGAAGCGTGTTTATGATCTCGTCCGCTGGCAATGTTCTGCGGTTGCCGATTCCCAGCAAGTCACCACGCGATCCACTGGCGTGGAGCTGGGCTCGCCGAATTGCTGCATTCTGCAGTCTGGAGTTCTATTCCGTGGTGGCGTCATTCTTGGTTAATATACCTGGCACACTCATGCCAGCGTTCCAGAGTGAATTCGGTACAGAGGTATGAAATTGCCTCGACTGTTTTCTATATCATACCATGCAAGATCCGAGGGTTTTCTTTTTCGAGCATAGCTGACATTGGTGCCAGAACACGGCTCCCTTCAGTGTCGCAGCGTTGCCTTCAACGATGACCTTGTTCATGGCTGTAGGGTATCTCGTCAACATCCCACTTTCTACTGCTATTGGTCGCCGACCTGTCGTCATCATGTCAGCAGCGATCGCGGCCGCTTCGACACTGTGGGCGGGCTTTGCAGGCAGCTTCGCCCAATTACTAGTCGCTTTTGCTTTGCAAGGATTCGCAGTTGCTGGTGCGATCAGTATGGTACGCTTACCGTTTTTCAGCTTCATGCGTTTCGAGGACTTGGTTCAAAAGCTAATTCGTTTTGTTTTGAAGTGTCTTACGATGGTCCTCGATGCTACTTTCATCCATGAGAGACCGTATGCCTTGTCTCTATACTGGTGTGTGGGATCAGTAATCATCAAGGCCCTTACGCTTCCGTTGCCTCTCATCACTGAGATTACCACTGACTGGCGACCGATTTACGAGATATGGTTCCTTGTAATACTCATAGCTCTAGTACTAGTCATCTGCTTCGTTCCGGAGACCTATTTCATCCGGCCACCTGTTGCTTTCGACGGGCGTGTCTTGGTACAGAGCGGTACAGAAAAGGTACGGATCTACGACGATTGGTTCCTCGTTCATGAGACTGGAGGCATGAAGCCTCTACCTGAAGCACCATTACGCAGTGCTTGGTTCGACCAGCTCAAGATACGGAGAGCAGAGGGCACACAATGGTGGTCGATGCTTGCTACATTTGCACAGATGCCCTTCTGCTTTATCAACCCGCTCATATTCTGGGTCTCGTTGCTCAATGCCTGCCTGTTGGGGACCGTCATCTTCCTGAACTTGCTCCAGCCAGGCGCACTCATGGGCTTCGTCGGGATAGGGAATAGTGGTCTGATCAACACTTATCTCGGCGTCAGCGGCGCTATAGGCGCGCTCCTTGCACTTCCTCTCTCTGGACCGACCACGGCATGGCTTACGAAATACCTTTCTTTGAGAAGCGGAGGTGTCCGCCACGCCGAGGTCTACCTGCCCGGCTTCGCGATCCCGACTATAGCCGGTTGTTTAAGTGTTGGTATGGCTGCCGTCGCGGTGGACAGGGAGTGGTCGCCGCTCTGGCAATATGTCGCAGCTACGCTCAGCATGATTAGCTACAACACGGGCAACGTCGCGACGGCGCTCTGGGTGACCGAGGCGTTCCCGCGCTGGGCATCTGCGGCGCTGTCGTCCGTCTTGTTCACCGCCAACGCCGTCGCCTTCATCCTGGGACTGAAACTCACGCCTTGGGTCAGGGGCGTGCATATCATGCCTCAGAGCTACGTCTGGATGGGATTGCTGGCGGTCATGGGACTTGTCGCTGTGCCAGTGGCATTCTGGGGCAGGACCGTGCGACAGTACATCCAGGGCCGGTGGAGCTTTTCGGAGAAGGGAGCCTTGCGTCCACAGTAATTGTAGAGAAGATTGGGTCACAACTTTGGCAACTTTCAATGGCAGGCGATGAGGAAGTGAGCCGGCAGGTGAGGATGGGATGTAAAAACAATCTTTCTTTCGAGCGTGTCACCTATTCTATTCCATTCTTCCTTTTGTCACTATTTATTTTTAGTCTACTTATGGCTTTGAACTAATCAAGCTATATGTATTACGTGTTATACATATATAGGTGCTAACTCGGACCTTATTTTGCTTTCCACTTTCTTTAACCTTAACGTTTAACCTATAACATTAGCAGGCTTAGTTCATTTATTCCGTGCGTTAGAGGGGAAAACGCCTGTGGGGAAACCTCCCACTGGCTTTCGATCCACTGACTACGGAGTCCTATCCCACTATTTTTTCCACTAATTATTGGATCTCAGGGCCTCTGTCTCCGGGGGTCGATCACTGCCCCACATCCTATAATCACCCATTATCCTATTCGCAATGGATCTCATGAGTTCGGATCGAACGTGCACGGATTTCGCTCACGAATCACCTGGGCATGCTTTTCTAAAATGACATGCAAGACGCAGTTCCTCCTAGTTAACATGCCTTCAAGGCAATGCACGAGAGAGGGTACCGTACGTGGAATGCACTTTGAGATACTGCCGCAAGAAACAAGTACTCAGATCGAGTCGCGAGCCTCTATTCGGCATTTCCAAACCACCCATATTTTCCAGAGAGCGTTGCAGTCGACAACCGCTTCTCCAATACAGTCACTATGAAAGGCAGAAACACTTGGCCAAACAGTCGAGGACTTTGCGATTTTGAAGCATTTGAGGAAGAGATAGTCGTTCGGGTGGCTTCATACCACCCAACGATCGCCTTTGTTCCCCGTCCGCGTTCATCAATTTTGTTTCCTTATGATGTCAAAGAGGAGAGTCACCATATACCAATCTCTATACTCGCCTGAGTAGTATCTTCTTCGAGCCTGATGTATCTTGCAATATTTGCGGGGCTTAGCTCCAAGATACGTTTGCATTCCTCGATTCCGAGAAGGCTTAAAACCCACTTGTGCTACTGGGTACATTTGTAGATAGGTATCCGGACCTCGGCAAGACAGGAGCGCGATGGTGGTCCTTCGTGCCAAATCCGGGCAGTTCCAAAGCTCAGACAGCATTGTAGTCGACTATGGAAAACTTGGTTTCGGGGATGATGTGTTGGAAATAGTAACTAGAAATGTCTTCACTTGGATGTCAGCGGATTTCGATGCGCAAGACGACAAGAACAGAACGGAGTATGCATATTTACCTGAAGATAACTGCAAAGTTAATGAAGATATACCAGATGAGCATGAGTTGACCCATGAATGTGTCAGAAATTTAGTCTCGCTATTCATACCCGCAATCGTCCCTGAAACTGCAAGAGTCAAGGGCGAAACAACTGCTCTCCCACCAGGCACGCAAGCGCCGACGGGCAGACAAGAGGAAGGCGACGAGATGGAACCTTCGAGGCTATGGAACAACACAGTCTTCACCACGATGGCGGAGATCCTGGCGAAAGAAAAACCAACCAATGACGTGAACGATGCGTGTTCGTTGACAGTCCCCGCGGTTTATCCAGTACGACAAACTTCCATTCCCAAGGAGACTTCTGACGGAAACAAAACATGGACAAGGATACTGGTTCTGCGTCCGAGGATCACACGACAGCGGGAGAGGTTGGCGCAAGCGACGCTGTCACAGAAGACGAGGTGACCGCTTCATGATAGGAATGGCCTGGGTGTCTGTTATGATATCCGAATTCCTTTCGCATGCGTTTGCTACTGCTTAATTAAGTACAATAATTGGTTCTGATGGTCAAGTATGTTTCGTCGGGCTGGGCATGCCAAGTCAGGCACCATAACTCTATTGACTGATGTACAATTGGGAGGCTCTTGGAACTTCCTAGCTGGAAACCGCATGGTCTCATCAGACGATCAGATTATTGGACATAACCTTATTCCCTTACATTTCGTATTACTTGAACAAAACAGGGACTTTTTCTTTTTTTTACTATCATGAAGCGCACACACAACGGTTGTCATTATATCATTACTATATGTTGCCGACTAAGAGACTGATCTGCCAACTTACATGACCATCATGAGCCACAAGAGCAAAACTGGGTATCGCGAGCCTACCTAAAGGATTGGGCTCAAAATTCAATAGATTACAGTATCCTCGTCACCTTCTACCATGACGTCTCCGGCCTCATCAGCATCCTTATCCTGATGTTGACCAGCCTTGCTGGTGTGCTCGGAATCGTTTCCATTAGTACTCTCGGTGGTGTTTTGAGGTTGCGAAGGGTCAGAGGGCAAGGCATCCGCGTCAACTTTACCCGGTGTCTTCTCCACATCCTCGGAAACGTGCTCTCCATGGGACGGTGGTATTTGCGGGGCAGTGTCGGGCTCAGCGATTGGCTTTACAGAAATACCAAGGGCTGTCAGTCTCTGGTCTTTCCTTTGCTTGAACTCACGGGTTTCTCTCTCGGTCAAGTCTTCTGCATCGTGGACCTGGTCCTTGATGAGATCTTCTTGATCTTCCGTAAGATCCCAAGGAAGATAGTACTACACGATGTCAGCATGCTTGTTGAGGGGTGATGGAGAAGATGCGGCCTACTATCCTGGGTTCTGATCTTGTCTGCAGAAAACGAGCCGTGTCAAGTAAATGGCCGTGTTTTGTTCGCATCTGTCAGGCACGGTACGTCAGCCAAAAGTCCGGAGTGAAGTCGCAATGTGTAGAGCACCTACGACTTGTTCCTCCCATTCAATCTGATCCCGCTGTCGCGCAGCTTTGAGCTTTGCTAGTCTCGCCTCGCGGTGCTTGTCATCCTCGGCCTTCTGCTGTGATACCTTTGCTTGCTGCTTGCGCTCGATCTCGCTCCTTCTCCGCTGAGAGGAGCTATCGTTGGTTCGACTAAGGGTGTTCAGTAGACCGCCGAACAAGCGCTTTCCTCGCTTCTTCTCTTCCACGGTAGCACCCTGTCGACGATCGAGGGGCGCTGCCGGCGCAGGCGGTGATCTAGCCGCGCCATTACGGGTTGCCTCCGACTCGCGGCGTTGGCGCTTGGGTGACTGTGAGTCGTCGTTACCATGGTGGGGTGCAGGTGAAGATGCCTTCCGCTTCTGAGGGTTGGGAGATGCCTTGCTGTCGGACTCATCGGGTTTCGAAGTGATCTGCTGAGCTGGCGCATCCTGTACTAATGTGCTGGCGGAGACTATCAGCCAATAATGGTGCGGAGATGCTGCGCAGATGAACTTACTCATCGGTGGCCATGACTACTGCATGCAGAGCTCAACTACAGATCAGGGATATCTGCAGGGGGGGTGGTGTCGGGCGATATCAGTGTGCAGATTGATGTCGTATTTTGTATGAAACACTGAAAATGGTGACTGAGTTCAGCGACATCTCACAAGGCTGAGGACACGCGTAGATATATGGATTGTAAGTTACTTTATTTATGTCTCTACGGATCACTCCGTATGCAGGTCAGAGCCCCACAAATACAGAACCCCACTCTCCAGCTGTGCAGCTTTACGCCACTCTTATGCAGCGAGCTATCATTTGTGCAGTTAGCTTTCCAGTTATGCCAGTTATGCCAGTCATCCAGGATAGCTCCAACATCCATCCTCTCCAGGTTCGAGAGATCTAAAGAATTCTACATTACAGAAGACAGTGGCAAGGCTGAGAAATCACGTTTGCCTTTTTTATTTTATTTCTTTCTACCCTCCTTGCACGCTCTTTCACACAAGAAATCACCATCTCAAACACCAACAACCCGAACCTGCCAAAAACCACACACGCCCTCAGAAGCTCCCAAAAAAACGACGGCCCAAAATGTCGCGCCATCATCCGTAAGTCTTCAATCCCGTCCACCTCTTCTTGTCCAAGCAAGACAGCCGGCTAAACTGCCTCCTTTTCCCCCTCCGCAGCGATCTCGTAATGTGCCGCAAGCAGCCCGGCATCGCCATCGGGCGCCTCTGCGACAAGTGCGACGGCAAGTGTCCCGTGTGCGACTCGTACGTGCGGCCGACGACGCTCGTGCGCATCTGCGACGAGTGCTCCTTCGGCAACTACCAGAACAAGTGCGTCGTGTGCGGCGGCGAGGGGATCTCGGACGCCTTCTACTGCTTCGAGTGCACGCGGCTCGAGAAGGACCGGGACGGCTGCCCCAAGATCATCAACCTCGGAAGCTCGAGGACCGACCTGTTCTACCAGAAGAAGACGAACCGCGGCGCCACGTACTAGACCTGAGGGGCCCGGGGCCGGGGCCGGGGTTGGGTGGTTCTGTTTCAAGACGAGATATTTTGTCCGTGGACGACATGATGTACACGATGTATACACGTACATGCGCACGGCAGGCACAGGAAACACTGTGTCGTGGGATCTGATGGGTCATGCATTTTGCGGAGTTTTGAGGGGTTCTAGAGATTGATTTCACACGTAGCCGCGGCTCGATACCCAAAATTTAGGCATCAATGATGAAATGGTGTTTCGGAGCTTGACCAACATTTATCTGGCATTTATCGGGTACTGATTTGCCTCGAGACCGAAGGGTATATTCAAAGTGGCATGTGCTCGATCACGCGACTATGACCGTGGCAAGTTTTGGCAAAGAGACACAAAGACTCAGGATTTGCGGGGAGGGAAAAGGGGAAAAGAAGAAGAAAAAAAGTGATAATGTTCATCGAATGAAGTAGATGTCCTAAGTCTGCATCTTGCCCCTCGCGCCTTGCTCCTCCAATGATCGCCAGGCCCCAATGCAATAAATACACAGAATACGTACTCCTTCATTTTGTCTCTGTCTCGAGGATAGATTGCATCAGATGTAGCTGACTTTGACTCCCATTCCCGCAGTAGCTTTTACTTTATTCCAGCCAGTCCCAAGGACTCTCGTTATCCTCTCGCGTATCCTTCGATTGCCAAACATCACTAGCAACCCCACAAGGAATGCGACGAAGCGCATGAGCAGCACTGGGTTCGTCTTGAAAGATGTGCCCATTTGTTCGATCACCAGCCGCAAGTTTGTGAAGATCGTTGCAGCCCTGGCACCGAGGCCCGGAGGTGCTGCTGCCTTGCCCTTGGCAGGCGGCTTTGGCCTCGACAGTGCAGAGGAGTCGGCTCGCTTTGGCTTTCTTTTGCTTGATGACCCGTTGGCACTTGGTGTGCTTTCGATGCCATAATCGATCTCGCTGCCCTCCCGCTTTGCCCTTTCCTCCTCTAGCCGCTTTCGTTCTCTGGCCTCGTTCTCGGCTCTGTGTCGCCGGGCCTCTTCCAGATCCTTTTGAAGTTGATCGTCTTGCCTTTGCTTTTCTTCCTGTTCTCTGCGGTCTTGTTCTTGCTGCTCCTCCTGTAGACTTTGCAGTGCTTGCAAGAACGCGTCTCTGCGCTCTTCGTCGAGCACCGATGACACGCTGATGAATTCACGAGCATAATCCCACTCATTATTTCGGAGTAAGACGTGCAAGGTGTAAAGCTCCAGGATCTTAACCCTGGCATTCAAGTCCCTGGGTGTGTCGGCGCCACTGGCACCTCTTTTGGATTTGGACGGTGACCTTCGACTCTTGGAAGAGAGCCGCGGGGATCCTGCTGCTTCCAGTCGCTGTGATAGATCGAGGTTCGGCTGCTGGGACGCGGCGAGGTAGTTCTCTAACCTCTTCTGGTTCAGTATTTGCGTCCGCGCATGTGCAAGAAGAAGCGTAGCTCTGCCGACTCATTAGATCCCCTCACACACAGTCCTGCAGGAAGTATAGTCCGACTTACAGGTTGATTACCACGTCCGAGTCGACATCTCCTTCGGAGCCGTGGTAGCCGTTTTGCACGACATCTTCCCAAATATCGCCGTCTCGTACCTTGGCGCACAAGGCCCTCCATTCCTGCACGCCGAAGGCATCTTTGCCCTCGTCCGGGTCGAGCTCCAGGACCGCATTGAGTATTGTGAGATACAGGCTCCACACCTTGATGCGCGTAGACCTGCTGGCTCTAGCAATGGGCGCAGGCTCGTTCAGTGCTGCGTCTGCATCCTCAGACGAGGGTGGTGTGATAAGTGGTGATATTGTGGAGAGGGCCTCGGGTAAGCGGCGCGTGAGGAACAGCTGCGAGGACTGTCGGTATGTTTTTGAGATGTGGTTAGGTGTCGGTCGGGTCAACGTGGATGATGACAAGGAGCTGATTGAGCTGGACAAGACATGTTGATGCGAGGGGAAGCCCGGCTCTGACGTCGGACTGAGTGTCGCCGTGTAGGAATCATTGTTGAGGGCCATTGTGTCGGGTTGCCAAAATGTTCTGTTGTTTATCGTCCCACTAATTATCGTGAGTTCCAAATCCTCCCAAGCAATTGATTATGTCTCTCCAAGCAAATACACCGTGGCATGTCTCATGATAAATTATAAACAAAAGAAAATAGGCCGCAGTCGCGAATAAGAGGGACTGCTTGTTGTTGTTGTTGCTGTTGTTGTTGTTGTTGTCGTCGAGGTTATTGCCAACGCCCAAATAGAGCACGCAAGTCAAAGGTCGGGGCTGGCATGTGGGCTGGCAAGCAACACCAGCAGCTCGGGAAGCTTTGAGAGCAATTCGGTGATTGCGGTCTGCCGTCGTGCAGCTTTCTTACGTTTCTAGCCTCGGTACGTCGGCCAACATGGGGCTGCTCTGCCAAATCTCCTCCACATTCTTTCCCTGGTAAGTTGCAAGTGGCTGTAACCTTGACCGTTGTCCAGCCTGGAATCGCCCCACCAGCACTAACGCTAACCTGCCCGACCCCCTAATTTCCTGGGGAAGTCACTGGAGTTCATCCATGTGATCCCTAATCTAAGTAGATCCCTCAATTCTCAATCATCAGATCTAATACCCTATACAAGACATGCTATAGCAGAGTTATGCCACATATCTCTCAGACACGATTCCTGGGCCATTTGCAACGTAGACGTTGAAGTACGTCCGTAGACAACAGTCATATCCGCAGAAAGATGTTACCCGAGTCTTTTTATGGACAGCCTCAGAGCCCTCCTCCGTCTCTGTGCCCTCGACGAAGCCTCCTTTAATATCCACTCCTACATGTGATTATAATGTACGGGTCCGTATAGTGTAACATATCACTATTCTTACACTCGTCCGCTCTTGCTAGGTCCGATCTTCGCACTTCTCCGTCACCGAGACTTGTGCACCCTTTTATCATAGCCGGCATCATGCGCGGTGCCCTGCGGCCATGATATCCGCAGAGCCTCTCTTATTCCATCCTATTCTCCCTACATGGTCCATCACCAGTGATGAGTGGGAAGTCTTTTAGCTTGTAGGCCCCAAAGAGTTTTGCGAGAGTGCGATCTGGCATCATGAAATTTTTCTCGCGAGTGGACGTGTACTTCACATCCGCAATTTGTGGGAGCAGCGTGCTGATGGATCGGCTGAAGTCGTCTTACCAGATGATTGTGGCAGCGAAGAAGGTTTCATGGATGAAGGCAAGGTCATAGAGTAGATGGCGTCCTGCAAGGATAGGGCCGTGTGTCTGAAAACGCTTTCGACACGCCTTGAAATGAGCCAGCGACTCCAGAATGAGATAAATGGGTAGAAGTCACTCGAGAGAAATCCGGAGAAGAGAAATAATATGACTTCAATTGAGAAAAATCGTCACTGGCTAATGCTTCAAGGAGATACCGGATCCATGCAATGTGGAGTAGCTTATGTTGATACACACCTATAAGTCTTTGAGTCTCTTCCTGGTTTGATCTAGCTATAAAGCTCTCCTGAGACATACAGTCAGAACGGAGTTTGTTCAGAAAAAGCTGTGTCTACTATAGCCCCTTGTTGGTGTGATTTGAGACAAATGTGGACGAAACCTAGATCTTTATCAACCCTCTTGACAAAGAGATTTAAGTACTCGTAGTGTATAAAGTATGGTTTGAAGCGCACTTATGGTCCATTAAACTTATCCTCTGACATACTTCGAAGTCGAACACCCTAGATATAAGAATCATCGGTTCCATTACAACGGGTCCCTTATCTCAACAACACCTCAGTTGTCCTTTCAGTGTTTAGCCATATTTTGACACGGGGGTCCATGTCATGGTAGAATCTGTAACATGACGAATCTAAAATCGTCAAGTCCAGAAAAACCTCTTGCCAAGGTTTGCACAACGCCTGTGCGACGATCTCCTCATCCCTGTCGACGTGGACATTCCCTTGCAAGATTGAGTGCTTCTGCACGGCTTCACGCACCTTCTCGTATATTTAATGGTGGGATGCGTCAGGCTTGAGTTGCTTATCTCTGAGGACACTCATTTCGAGGTCGACAGCAGCAAGGCGGGATCCGGAGATGCATATAAGCATGTATAGAAGCAAATCCCAGAAATTACCTGGGTTTACATCTATGAATTTGCAACGAACAGTGATAGAAACTGGTAGACTATAACGCAATTGCAAAACACCATATACTAAATCAGCCACTGCTGGCACGATAAGGGCGATATTTTGATATTTAATTATTAAATACGTCGTTGTGAGAATAAATTCGAATTGTTGTTTGCAAGGAATCTGTCAACAGGAATTGGTGATCTGCCACTACAGGGTGAGCAGATGTTTGATGTGGACAGTGTTTGTCGGTTGCCAATCCACCACCAATAAGTTGATATTATCTTGAACACTGGTGCTTGCCCAGCGCTTATATGTGTAGATTCCTGCCATCGCTCTCTTTGCTCTGCTTCCATTACTGTCTTCAATGTCGTGTAATCAATTAGGCGTCTCTCAATAACGCAATTGCCAGAACATTTCATCGACAGATGCTAGAAAAATGATCAAAGTTGTTATGGGGACTGGAGAAACTTTGAGTAGAAAATATGATCACACAGACTAAATGGAAATTCGTACATTGCCCAATGTCAAAACGTGGTGTTCATATGCGAATGTATGGCAATTACAAGGGTTGCAATGCTGGACCCGCATCACGCACAAGCTCACCAATCTGGTCCTGATTTTTAACCCAACTGTATGGGAATGTTTCTCATTTGCTGGCAGCTGGGCTCAACGTGAGATACAACATCGTCGCTGCGGCAAATTGGCAGGTAACCCCGCTCAAACATAATATTATTCATTTTGTATCTCAAGGAAACCGGGACAAAACGGCACGTCTCAACTGGGTCCAGAGTAGTCTCCTGGGCAATTGCAGTTTGTGATCACTGATTCATCCGCTATAGCATAAGAGTATAAGAAGATGAAAAAAGAAGATTGTGGGGACGGTTCATGGAGGCCTGACAACTCGAGCTCTTCTCAGCTTGGGTCTGAGGAGAGTTCAAGCGCGCCATGCCAGGGCTATACACAATTTCCGGCCGAAGCCGTGAGTTATTTTGAGCAATTCCCAGCGGACCAATTTATGTCGAGACATGCTTTCGCCCCAGAACCTCTTGACCAAACTGCATCTCAATCTCAACGTCAGGCGTTATTGCCACTACCATCGCAGTTATCGGGAACGGATGGCCACCCAATGACCTCGACTCAGCAACAACAGCCATTTGCAAATTGGAGCACGCAGAAGCTAAATCCCATTATCACTCAATTCAGCGACCCAGAGCTTGATCGGGAGAGATCAGGCGCTTCAATATTAGAAGAGGGATCAATTGTTGGCGAGTCTGGTCGAACTTACCACGGATACAAAGAAGGTCTTACTAGCTACCTCTTACCAAATGACGGTGCCGAGCAAGATCGGTTGGACTTCCAGCACGCGATGATGGCACATTTATGGGACGGTCGACTCTCGCTTGCGCCGCTGCCCAAAGCGCCGAAACTCGTCCTTGATGTTGCAACTGGAACTGGTCAGTACTCTTGAGCTTTCTTTTGTTAGTTTTGCACTGACATTTGTGTGTATAATTCATGTGCGGAAAATATTATCATAATTCTATGTAAAGAGTGACGCTGATATCTAATCTTATAAGGTATTTGGGCTTTGGAGTTCGCTCGGGCCAATCCCACATCATTTGTCGTAGGGACCGACTTGAGTCAAATACAACCAGTCCCGGATGTGCCCAACTGCCTATTTGAGAAGTTCGATTGTGAAGAGGATTGGATGTACAGCTACAAGTTCGATTATATTCACATCAGGATGATTGTGACTGCGATTCGCGATCCGAAACGTCTCCTGCAGCAAGCGTTTCAATACCTGAACCCAGGTGGGTGGATTGAGCTCCAGGACGCTGATATGGATCTGCTCAGCGAAGATGGACCGGAACGAGACGACAGAGTCGAAGGATCATACCTGAAACGATGGTTTAATCAGAATGCTATTGGAGCAGCAGCCCACGGAATTGACCTACACAAAGCCAAAAACTACGGAGACTGGCTAATCGGTATTGGATGTGAGTATGTCCTGATGTTGAAAGAAAACCCTGATAACTGAAGTATTGGGCACATAGTTGCAGATGTGGTCGAAGAGAAATTCAAGGTAGCCTGCGCCCCATGGCCCAAGGATCTGAAAGCGAAATTAGTTGGCACATGGATGCGGGTTAATTACCTCTCAGGCTTACGTGGAGTCGGGTATAAAATGCTACGCGGTGCGGGCATGGCGCCTGGGGAAATTGACAGGTTCATAAAAGCCACAAGAGATGAGGTCACGAACGGAAATATTCGTGGCTACACGCCCTGGTACGAGACCAGATGACTGCCTAGTTGTTTACACTGAAACTGACTCCTTTTAGGTATAGTGTATATGGAAGGAAGCCGTATCCGTGGGAAGCCAGACCATCTGCTTCTGGAAGCTTGTGATACGTCATAACGTCTCACAGTTGTTGTAACGGACTAGCTATAGTTCGGATTCGATGGGGTTATATTCGGTTTGTGAGCGATGATTACACAATCCGTCAAAAACCCGCTTCTTGCGAACTTTTGAATCGTCTTAATGGCATTCTGCATATGATCGAGGTCTCACTTGAAGGAGAAGAAACACGCTGCGCGAACTTAAGCTCATTTGACAGCACTTTAATCATTCGGTGGCTTCTGCGAGGCTCAAGACATGTTCCAAACTCAATCCTTGGGCTGAAACTCCATCATGGGGTTCCCCTAATCTCGAACCTCGAGTTCTAGCTAATCGTGTTGTTCTTTTAAATCATAAAAACGTTCTCGTCAGAAAATCTGTGGCGTGATGAAACTATCGTTCATCAACTCCATCTACAAAGTAGAATTGTAAATACTTCTACCACTTCCAGAAAAAATGCGCCAGGGATCAAAATCATGTTTGAAGCAGTCCGACAACAACAAATCCGTTCGCACGCAAAAGAGGTAACCATCCACCCTACCCGTGGCACAAACGGCGCCGAATCGATACGGACTCGTGTAGTTGCTTCACTGGATACGCGTACCGCATGCTAACATACCATCAGCGTGAGATTTGCGTATACGGGAGCAGACCCTAGTGACCCTCATAAAAGCAGAATCGCGCCGATAACAGATCAGCCTAGCAGACTTGTTCTAAAAAAGAAGGAGACGATCGTTGGGACTCTTGAGGATGCTATGGGTAGGTATAATACGAAGAGCAATGAGAAAGTTTATAAAAGTGATGGCCCCAGTGTCACGCGGTATACATCAAGGCACAGACGTGACGAATTCGGTGAGATCGACAAGAAAGGAGATCGAACCTATCAAAAGGAGAGAACGACCAATGCCAAGACCTCGCGCAAGGATACCATTCCCGCTCGAAAGGCAACCGCCGCCCCCATCGAGAAATGTTTCGTATACAGCCCATCGAAGCCAGAATCGAATAGATCCTTTCTGAGGTCGCAGGAATCAATAGAAGCCAAGGTTTATAGCGGAAGTGAGCGTGTTCCACGCAAGAGAATACCGAAAGCAGAAGTCGCGAGAAATCGTGAGAAGGCCACGGCGGGCGACACCGTTGATGCTAGAATTCAAAATGGCGTACGCTATCGTCAGTCCACAACCGAGTTGCGCAAGGAGTTCTTGAGGTCGCAAGAGTCAATCCCAACCAGTTACCACAACGAATATAACGACTCGTTTGCTGCTGCATCGAAGGGGCTCAAATACCACCAGTCCGAGCCCGCAATGCGCCGAAATTTCCTGAGCTCGCGAGATCCCTATCGGACTACTGACTACTACAGCCCCGCTGACGCACCCCCGAGGGGTGTCAGATATGTTCAATCAAGATCCGATTTGCGCCGGGCATTCCTACAGCCGCAGGAATCATACCTCGATCATCACCATAACAACCATGGATATAACCAATACGATTACGGCCACTTTTATGATCAACCATACTATAGCCAGTCATATCACCACCAGCCGTATGCAGATGACCATCCGGTGAAGGACTCCAGCTGGGTCAAGAAGAAACGCTCGCGAGACTATGTTGCGGCCAAGAGCGAGTTCTCGGAAGACCCAGAGGGCGGGCCGGTTGAGTCTTTTATAAGTTCGCTCATCAGAGGCCTGACGAGATCAGGTTGGATCAAGACCAAACGAAAGAAATATCGAAGACGTGACGACTAGTCTTAAATCACAGCTGTTTCCACGCGTAGCGTCAAAAGAATCCCCTGAACTTGGGCGCGATGTCTCGTTTCATCGTGATGCAGCTTGGCAAAATAGCCATTATTTAGATGTCATCCTTTGTGTATCTCGTGAGATTCATGAAGGGTGAACTTGCAAGTGGCGGCTCCTACCGTAGTTGCCTATTGCCAACTTCAAAAGTGCTGTGCCCTCTGTTGAGTTAGGATACCTGCTGACTTTGACTGGGGGGCCTCAGTTTTCACGTTGCGTGTCTTACCATGATGTGTGGTGTATCAAACCGGGCGCACGAGTAGAGATCATACGACCCAGAATCGTTGGACACCGCCTCTTCCGGCTTACAGACGATCTTGTTAAGATTAGTGAGCGCGGATTATGTAAAATCACCGACGGACATTGATAAAAATATGATGTCGTCTCAGACGGGGCGGTTTTCTCGGCGCGTGCCCCACCCTCTAGACATCGGACGACCCGCCTCAGTGCAGGAACCTCGGCCGGTACTCACTCACCTACAATACAAAAGGTTGCGGACCTATCTAAAACGGAAGTTCCTCCGGTGGCATTGGTCACTTTATATTGCAAGCCTTAGAACTCATCTTTTCTTGAGCTGTTTGTTCTCGACTTGACTCCTGTAGTTCATATTCTTCTCACCTTCATCTGTGCTCTACTCAAATACGGCTATAATTCATACATCATGGCATCATCGCAGGTTGACAGCTTGAAGCCGGGTGACCCGCGCGTTCAGCACTTGGACGCTAAGATCGGGCCCTACAATTATCACTATATGCTCGCAACACCGGACAACCCAGTAGCTACCATTCTGCTCGTGCATGGATGGCCCGATCTGGGCATGGCATGGCGCTACCAGATTCCCTTCCTGACCTCCCTTGGCCTCCGCGTCATTGCGCCTGACATGCTCGGATATGGCAAGACTTCAGCACCCGCCGACAAGGCCGAGTATACATTCAAGAAGATCAGCGGCCACCTCAAGGAGTTGGTGGAGCAGGTAGTCGGCAAGGGCGAGCAGATCATTCTCGGTGGCCACGATTGGGGTGCCATGGTCGTGTGGCGTCTGGCCATGTGGCACCCAGACCTGGCGTTTGCAGTGTTCGCGCTGAACGTGCCATTCATGCCCCCCAACCCTCAGCATATTCCTCTCGAGGCTCTGGTACAAAAGGTGCCGAGCTTCAAGTACCAACTTCAGCTTGCGAGCCCCGTCGCCGAGAACATCGTCAACAAGAGCCCGGAGAGGCTGAGACAGTTCCTCAACGGCATGTACGGAGGTACGGGCCCGAACGGCGCGATATTCAGCGCCGAAAAGGGACTCATTGAAGAGAACATGGACGGTGTTGGTGAGGCAAAGATCATGTCGCAGGAGATGGTGGACTTCTATGTACAAGAGTACAGCCGAAACGGTATGCACGGTCCAACAAACTGGTACCGCACTCGCGATGCCAATTACGAGGAGGAGAAGCCCTTTACGCAGATCGAGGGCGGCTTCAAGTTCAAGATTCCAGCGATGGTGGTCATGGGCGAGAAGGACATCGCGCTGCCGCCAAGTCTTGCAGATGGTACGGAGAAGTGGTTCGAGGCTGGGCTCAAGAAGGAGGTTGCGCTGGGCGTTGGACACTGGGCTATGTGGCAAGACCCTGCGACCATCAACAAGTATATTGGCGAGTTTTTGGAGAGTGTTCTAGGCGACAAAGTCAAGGGAAAGTTGTGACGATGCTCAAGCTTGGGCCTGCGCTACTGTTTTGGTCAAGTCACAACGGTCGAATGAAACTGTGTTGTTCCTTTGAAGCTTTGAACAGGTTTCTTATTCCAACCAATCTGTTGCATTCCTTCGTCAAGAATGCGGTTCTTATGATTCACAGCTCATTTGCTTTGTGCTTGAAATGGAACCGGAAAATACATGCGGCAACATCACTACCAGCAGTTCAGTGTTGTGCTACTTACGAATGCTAAAAAAAATAAAAAATAAAATAAAAAAGTTTTACAGGAAGACTTCGTCTTTAATGCGACATGCTCCGCGACGTGCTCCGAGACATTGATACTTGATGTTGCGCTGGTCACCCGAGCGGGGGAATATTAGGCAGGTTGAACCTCTAAAATTGTGTTGTAAACACGAAGCTTTCTCGTATCAAATTATTTTTATTTTTGTAGCGTAACGCAGAGGCGAAGCTGAGCCAACATTCGTCGTCAGTAGGAATGGCTGAAGGGCATTGTGGTGCTAGGCTATGCCACTGCAAGATTAGCCTCCAGTTAGCTGCGGCTGGGATATGAGATGAATCGTCATTTCCTACAGAGCTTGGCGTGTCTAGATTTACTGTGTAGATTTCTGGTTTTTAAGGTTAACAAATATCCGGGAGAGTGTACGGATCCGTAGAAGGGGATTACATGTTGTGGATATCAACGAGTTCTATTAACTGTGAATGCAAGGTAGTGCTTGAAACTGAAGAACATGAAACACTTTGGCATCGAATCAGACCCGGTGCGCTCAACGATTAAAAGAACGAATCAATGCTGGAGCCTTGGTCAAGGGGTATACGGGCGAGACGGGAGGGGGGGTCCTGGAGAAGCTTGGACCATACATAGTCATGTTGGCTGGTCTAGAAGTACCTTTTAGCGGGCAAATTGCGCAAGGCGCTACAATTTGCACGCTGCAGTACTCGGCCATGCTGGCTGGAGGAGCCGGCCAGTGGTCGCAAGCCGTACAGTAGCAACGCAGCACAAAACCAGCTAACCGTAGCGGTCCACTCATAGCGCATTACACTTTCCGTGTACACCCACCTCTCCACTAATTTTACTGGTTGCTGATGCTGGAGCGGCGGGCTGTGCAGTTGAAGTGTTTCTTGAACGCATACGGCCAAGGAACAAGCAGGAGTCGGGAATTGTCTTGCTTTGGAGTTTGTTGCAACTACGAAATCTGGCATTGATCCAACATTATCGCCAGCCTAATTGTTTCAAGTTGCCGCGATCACGGCAGCGCGAAGCAGCTTCCACTGTTTAGTCTCTGACAACCCAACTCACTTCACTGCATACGTAATTGCCTACCTGTTGTTTGTTATGACAGATTGCCGCATTGCTTGAGCGCTGAAGTCATCCCTGTACGAGCTCTTACTTTTTGCTCTTGCCCTTGCTCTTACGAGTTCCGAATCCCTCACTTGCGCATCCGAACAAGCATCCGAATAACGAAACACCGCACTTGCCATTCATGATTCTCAACACCAATAACCCTTTCGGCATAACACGATAGTTGCAACGATACTCTTCCTCGCGCCCTAGTCGACCCGAACCCGACATAGCATCAGAGGCTGCCAATCCGATATGTCTGGACGAGCGCCTCCAGGAGGCAGCTCCCGCCAAAACGACGACCTTCTACTGGACTTGGATGACCAGCCTACGTATAGCTACAATAGCGGCCAGCGGGCAGATGATGCTCCTTCCCGACCTTCCGTATCCTATGATGATTTCATTGGCGCTGGAGCTGGAGCTGGAGCTGGAGCTGGACCTGGGCCCGAAGCTGGGATACACAACCAAACGACACACCCTTCTGTCAAGAACCCCCCCGTAGGCGCAACGAGCTCTGGCCCGCGTCCGCCGTACTTGGGACAGGCCGACAGGCAATACAGCCAAACATCAGGTCTGGACAACTACCAGAGATACGCAGACGACTTCGACGACTACCCCGAAGATTCCCAATCCTACTACCAGCACGGCGGCAACGGTACGCAAGCGCGTGAAAATGCCAGGAAACGCAACAGTGTGCTTGGACTAGGCGGGGGCTTTATGGGAAGAGCTAAGAAGATGATGGGCATGGGCCAAGGATACTCGGAAATGGACCTGCCGCTGACGGAACCCGGCGGTCGAGGGCGAACGGATTCCACTGTCGAGCCGCAACAGAAACAGGGCAAGAAGTTCGACCTGAAGAACTTCAAGTTCGGGTTTGGGGGGAGCAAGCCAGATCCATCCACACTCGGTCCCAGGATAATACACCTCAACAACCCCCCGGCGAACGCGGCAAACAAATATGTCGACAACCATATTTCTACCGCCAAGTACAATGTCGCCACATTCTTACCAAAATTCCTTCTCGAGCAGTTCTCCAAGTTCGCCAATGTTTTCTTCTTGTTTACAGCAGCATTGCAGCAGATCCCCAATCTCTCCCCGACGAATCGTTATACGACTATCGGACCCTTGATTGTCGTATTAATGGTATCAGCCGGAAAAGAATTGGTCGAGGATTATCGGAGGAAGCAGGCTGATAGTGCGCTGAACAATTCCAAAGCAAGGGTGCTGCGTGGATCAAACTTCGAGGACACCAAATGGGTAAATGTGGCCGTCGGGGATATTGTCCGAGTCGAGTCCGAAGAACCATTCCCTGCTGATCTGGTGCTCTTGGCTAGTTCCGAGCCGGAGGGATTATGTTATATCGAAACAGCGAATCTCGATGGAGAAACCAATCTGAAGATTAAGCAGGCTATTCCGGAAACCTCGCCTCTGATCAGTACCAACGAGCTTAGTAGGCTTGGTGGCAGACTCCGCTCCGAGCAACCGAATAGTAGCTTGTACACCTATGAAGCAACCCTGACCATGGCAGCCGGCGGCGGCGAGAAGGAATTGCCGTTGAATCCTGAGCAGCTACTTCTGCGTGGTGCTACTTTGAGGAACACGCCCTGGATTCATGGTATCGTTGTCTTTACTGGACACGAAACCAAGTTGATGCGCAATGCGACGGCAACGCCGATCAAGCGGACCAAGGTTGAGCGCCAGCTGAATGTCCTTGTACTAGCCCTGATAGGTCTGCTTCTTGTGCTAAGCGCTATTTGTACCATTGGTGACCTGGTCTTCCGATCTTCCAGAGGCGGTTCAGTTCCCTATCTCATGCTTGACTCCCTCGACGGCGCCAGCATCGTCGTCCAGACCATCTTCAAAGATCTGGTCACCTACTGGGTACTCTTCTCAGCTCTGGTCCCAATCTCTTTGTTTGTCACTATAGAAATGGTCAAGTATTGGCACGGTATTCTCATCAATGACGACCTTGACATCTACTATGACAAGAACGACACCCCTGCCAATTGCCGAACATCAAGTTTGGTTGAGGAGCTTGGCATGGTTGGCTTCGTTTTCTCCGATAAGACAGGAACCCTGACATGCAACATGATGGAGTTCAAGCAGTGCTCAATTGCTGGAATTCAATATGCTGATGAGGTTCCTGAAGACCGGCGTGCCACAGTCCAGGACGGCGTGGAAGTAGGCGTGCATGATTTCAAGCGGCTCCGGGAGAACTGCAAGAACCACGAAAGCGCACCAGCAATTCACCACTTCCTCGGTCTATTGTCCACTTGTCACACAGTTATTCCTGAGCGAGACGAGTCCAAGGGTGGGAAGATCAAATACCAGGCCGCTTCACCTGACGAGGGTGCTTTAGTCGAAGGTGCTTTGGAGCTTGGGTACAAATTCATTGCTCGTAAGCCTCGTTCCGTCCTTATTGAAGTCGAGGGTAAGGAGTACGAGTATACGCTGCTGGCGGTTTGTGAATTTAACTCAACAAGGAAGAGAATGTCAACCATCTACCGTTGTCCCGATGGGAAGATCAGATGTTACACCAAAGGAGCCGACACCGTCATCCTCGAGCGGCTTTCTGAGAACAACCCGCATGTGGATGCTACCTTAATCCATCTTGAGGAATATGCGTCAGAAGGCCTACGTACTCTTTGTCTAGCCGTGCGAGAAATTCCCGACCATGAATTCCAGGAGTGGATATCCATTTTCGAGAAGGCACAGACGACTATGGGTGGTAACAGAGCCGAAGAACTTGACAAGGCTGCCGAGCTGATCGAACATGACTTCTACCTATTGGGTGCAACTGCCATCGAAGATCGTTTACAAGACGGTGTGCCCGAGACGATCCATACCCTACAACAGGCCAACATCAAAGTTTGGGTTCTGACTGGTGATCGACAAGAAACAGCCATCAATATCGGCATGAGCTCCAAGCTCCTTAGTGAAGACATGACACTGTTGATTGTCAATGAAGAAAATGCCGCAGCAACCCGCGACAATATTCAAAAGAAGCTCGAAGCCATCCACAGCAATGCTGAGGGTCAAATCGAGATGGATACACTCGCGCTTGTCATTGATGGCAAATCGCTCACATATGCTCTCGAGAAGGACATGGAAAAACAGTTCTACGATCTTGCTGTTATGTGCAAGGCTGTGATCTGCTGCCGTGTCTCGCCCCTACAAAAGTCTCTGGTTGTGAAATTGGTCAAAAAGTATACAGACGAAATCACGTTGGCTATCGGCGATGGAGCCAACGATGTCTCGATGATTCAAGCCGCGCACATCGGTGTTGGCATTAGTGGTGAAGAAGGTCTTCAGGCGGCGCGAAGCGCAGATATCTCAATTGCTCAATTCAGGTTCCTCCGCAAGCTCACTCTCGTTCACGGCGCTTGGAGCTATCAACGTGTTAGCAGAGCCATTCTGTTCTCATTTTACAAGAATATCACCTTGTACATGACACAGTTCTGGGTAAGTCGACTGGCACAGGCTCTCTAATGTTTACTAATCATCCTAGTACACTTTCCAAAACGTCTTCTCCGGTGAGGTTATCTACGAGTCATGGACGCTGTCCTTTTACAACGTCTTCTACACCGTGCTGCCACCACTGGTTATCGGTATCCTGGATCAATTCATCTCCGCACGTCTTCTCGACCGCTACCCGCAGCTTTACTCGATTGGTCAGGAGAACCAATTTTTCAAGGTTAGGGTTTTTGTGAACTGGATCCTCAATGCCTTCTATCACTCGATTATCTTGTACATTGGGAGTGAGTTGATTTGGTATGGCGACACCATATTGAATGACGGAACGACAGCCGGCCACTGGGTTTGGGGAACAGCCCTCTACGGGGCTGTCCTTGCTACTGTTCTCGGAAAGGCTGGGCTTATCACGAACAACTGGACCAAATACCATGTTCTCTCGATTCCAGGAAGTATGGCGATCTGGTTCGTTTTTGTCGCCGTCTACGCTTACGTGGCTCCCAAATTGGGTTTCTCGACGGAGTACGATGGTCTCGTACCGAAATTATTCACATCTCCAGTTTTCTACCTGCAGCTGGTTGTTCTGCCATGCGTATGCCTGCTTAGAGACTTCTCCTGGAAGTATGGGAAGCGCATGTACAGGCCGCAAACATACCATCACATCCAGGAAATCCAAAAATACAACATCCAAGACTACAGGCCGAGGTAAGCCTTCCCCCCCTAATTTTCAGCGCTCAATCAGCCTGTACTGACAATTTCACAGAATGGAACAGTTCCAGAAAGCCATCAGAAAAGTACGACAAGTACAGAGAATGCGAAAGCAACGCGGATATGCCTTTTCGCAAGCAGATGAAAGTCAAACGCGCGTCATCAACGCGTACGATACCACAAGAGTTCGTGGTCGGTATGGAGAAATGCCGGCCTCGTCAGACAGATCATGATAATGTTCAGTGTATGGAGTATGGGGCCTCTTTGGTGTTAGAAGGCATTTATGTATCATTTATGAGAGGGCGAATTGAAGTTCTACCCGCCACGGGTGATGTGGTACTATCGATTGTTCATTCATATCTGGCCTATTCATTTGTGAATGCTCAGCATGTTTTGCAATCCGTCCTGAACTACAATATTCGTAACACAGTGGCAGCGAACGTGTATCACTGCTGGAACGCGCCATATATTGGATGTCGACCAGGATTTCGTAGGGAAGCTGATTGCGTGCTATTTATGGCATGATTGCTTCTGCAGCAAACTTGGCCAAGCCACAGTGTCTGTGTCTGTGTTGATTTTAGCTTCGGGGCGCCAGTCGGTAGACATTCCGATTCGGGGGGTTTCTTTTTATTTTCCATAGTGACTAAACCCCACAAAGCCGTTAAAGCACCGGCCACGCCAACGCTTCCACACATGTGGACACCTCGGAGTGCAACGGCTTGTACTAGAAACCCGAGTCCGTGAGGTCCCTCACTTCTCGGCGTTCCCGCCAACCACGCCTGTGTGAAAATGATAGATTCCTTTGTAATGATTGCGCAAGGCTACGTAGAGACCGTTCTTTCTCGGACCCGTCTCTAGTCATTGAGCCTCAGCACCTACATTCCTTAGTCAGCTTGTCTTGAGAAGCCGAGCTAAAAGTGCCCGGGCTGACTTTGAGCATCAGCCCCTGAATTCCCCGGCCAATTTGGCCAGGTGACGTCCACCAACGTAAACAATGGCCGAGGACCAGAAGCCCTTCCACATCATCGTGGCCGGCGGCGGCCTGGTGGGCTTGAGCGCCGCGCACATCTTCCAGTCCCTGGCCGCGACGCTGTCCGCAAGCTCGTCGCGCCCCGTCGTCAGGTTCACGGTCCTGGAAGCGCATCCCAGCGTGACCCCCTACATCGGCTCGCTGCTGCTCTTCTATCCGTCCACCTTTCGTGTCTACGACCAGCTGGGCCTCCTCTCGGCCCTGAGGCCGCTGGTCGACGAGACGAACTTCTATGTTAATTTCCGTGCCGAAGATGGCAGCGTGCTGTGCAGGGAGACGGGGCTGGCTGATATGGCCGAGCGCCGACACGGCCACGGCTTCAGGGTGGTCCACCGGCCCGTCTTTGTGGAGTGCTTGTACGAGAACCTGAGCCAGGAGAGCAAATCAAGCGTGCTGCTCGGGAAGCGCGTGGTGGGCGCCCAGGTCGACGACGAGGGCGTCAAGGTGACCTGCCAAGACGGCACCGTGGTGGAGGGCGACATCTTGATCGGCGCGGACGGCGTGCGGAGTCGGGTCAGGAGCGCCATGCAGCAACTCAAGGCGAAGGCGGAGGAGGATCCGGAGGCTGCCGCGGAAGAGGCCGAGCGGGCGAAAAACGACAAGAGCCCGTATCTCGCGAGCTTCCGCATGCTGTTCGGAAACGCGCCTATCCCTCCCGGCCTGCCGAACGAGACGAATTTCGAAGGTGCACACCCGGGTATCTCGACGCAGATCCTCACGGGCACGAAGCAGGCGTGGTGGGCCGTGTACGAGCAGTTGGAAACGCCGACCCGAGACCGTGCGCGGTATACCGAAGACGACAAACAGAAGCTCGTAGAGAAATGGGGTCATCTCCACATGACGCCGGGCTACACCCTGAACGACATCATCTCCAAGCACAACAGGGGCCCGCTCGGCCTGATCAACCTCGAGGAGGGATTGGTGGACACGTGGACCTGGGACCGCATTGTGCTCGTGGGCGACGCGGTGCGCAAGGTTGAGCCGCACGCGGGCCTAGGCTTCAACCAGGGCCTGACGGACATTGTGACTATCGCGAACAAGCTGCACGGCCTTTTGAAGTCGAGCGGGCCGGCACCCAGCGCCGACGACCTGAGGAGGATCTTCGAGGAGTACCAGGGGGAGAGGCTGGAGGTCATGCCGACCATCGACCGGGTGTGCAGGAGGAGGGCGCGGCAGGTCGCGTGGCCGCACTGGGGCTTCAGAGTCTATGCGACGTGGGTACTGCCCTATGTGCCCCTGGCGCGCCTCGGCCTGAAATACGTGATGGGGCCGGTCATCAAGAAGACGCCAGTCCTGGAGTGGCTCGAAGAACAAAACCTGCCCGCCCACGAGATCGAATATGAGCATCAAGGACTCCAAGACTCGAAACTGAGCACGCAAGCTGTGGTAGGCAAGGGCGAGCACAAGTATGGCCTGCCTTTGGTCACCGCGGCCGGGCTACTGGCAGGACTGGCGGTTGTGGGCTGGAGGTATTACCCTAGAATATAGAGGTTGGTCCAAGTTTGGAAAGCAAGGCGCGTCAGGTTCGAACAGGAGACCGTGGGCTGTGATCAAGCCCGGGTATTTCCAATTCATCGTCGGGCGCCATAATATATCCATGTGCTTTATGAGATCTGTGCGCATGCATGTACATTTTCGTCGGCTTGCACGGCCGCTGGCAACATACAATCTTTTCGCTTCATCTCAAACCATAAGACGAGATCGTCGGATCTGGTTGGGGGCGCGACAAGTGCCAGTTACTGCCAACTGCAGCTTATATCAGGGCATGTGACGCGTGTTTTACATAACTATCCAATCCCGCTTCCATTTGTCCCGTACGATAGTGGCTATGGGTCCTTTGCACAAATAGCCCCAAAAAGTTTCGAGCATGTTTCAAGCCACGAATGAACGCCGTCGCAAAGACTGCAAATACTATTATACACTTTGCATATACTGTTTCCCAAGTCCCAAAGACCCATTCAGGACCCACTTGGCAATGCCCTAGTCAGTCCCCTATTTCTTTCCTGGCACTAGTTTTGACCTTTCCTCGTCGTCCTCATCATCGTCACTGAATTTGTCGCCATCCTCGCCCACCGCGAAAATAGTTTCGCCGTCATCAAATGAGTCTCTCGGACTTATGGATTTTGCCTGTCCGGACTGCTGGTGGTTCGGCGGGGGCCCTGATGGCGCGGCATATGATGATGCCTGGCTCTGCTGTCGCTGAGCTGGAGGTTTGGTTCCAATAATGGCCTCCTCGTCCTCATCCGAGTCATCGGGGTTGCCGACATCTGCGAACTCGAACCCGCCATCCTCATCTTGGGCGATTTCATCGCTCATGGCAAAACGCCTGTTGTTGGCCGTCGGTCTCCAGACGTAGGCAATCCAGGCGACATCGGCAAAGTAGACCAGGTTGAGCCAGCCGTCAAGGATGAACCATCTTGACTTCCAGTGGAAGGGCACGTAGTCAGGGTCTGTTGCCGAGGCAAAAGAGAAGGAGTTGAAGAAGAAAAAGCCGAAGATGACCATGATAGAGATCAAAATGCACCACCAAAGCTTCTTGTACATGGCCTCCTTGACGCTCTGCTTGCGTTCTCGCAAGTCCTTGAGAGTGAAGTTCAGGGAATTGAGAGTCCAGACATAGAAAGCCGTCAACGTGCCGGCGAGAGGGAGCACGATTAGAAGAACAAAGGGGCCTGCGCGGTCAGCAGATTGATCGGCCACGGGGAAGCAAGGAGGGAGACTTACTGGCTGTGTCAGGCGATACGAGCAGACTTGTGATCGCATATACCAGACCAAAGACAAAATGCGCGATGGCCAGGTATCTTACATATGTCATCGTCTTCCCCAGGGATGGCTTGACCACACCATAACCCATGCATACAATCAAGAGCAGGAAGAAGGAGAACGAGTTTCGAAAAGCATTCAGGACGGCCACGACAATGAGCAAAGCCTTGGCACCAACGTTGGAGCCGTTTCTGTTCAGATAATCTGCCAGACATCAGCACGAGCTCAATACAGCTAGGTGGAGCAGTGGGCTTACCATAAAACCCCCACGTCATCAACATCTCGACGACCAAGAAGGCCAAGATGGCAGTGATATAGTTCTGCACGGGAACTATAGTCAAAAGTTAGTTGCTGTCCTCTTTGCGAGCGAGACCAAGGACCTACGGATGTCATATCGATGCTGGTAGTACAGGAAAGCCCAGAAAACGCAGACTACGGCATACAGGATGGTGACGCCGCCGTAGAATGGCAGCTTGGGGATTTGTGTGGCAGGTAGCTCGCCATAGGCCTCGCGGAACTCGACGACGCCCATGTACTCGTCCGTGTTGTAGCCATATGATTCGACGCAGAAGTAGCCAGTCTTCTTGATAGGATAGTTGACCGTGGTGCCGTCTTTGAGGTGGACAGCCTGAGTAAGCATGAGGTTGTTGCTGAGCTCGGTTGCGTTGGCGGCCAAGATGAACTTGCCAGCATCGGCCTCGTCGCAGAAGCCCTGGGTGATGGCGTCGGCGTTGCAAATAAAATCGTAACTGTTGGAGCTCTCGGGGGCACCAATAAGCGACTGGTCTTTCCATTCGAAGATCAGGAGAGATATGATAGGATCCTGGCCGTCGGCGACTTCGACTTTGGGTATTACGATGGAGATGAAGGGGTCGACGGGACCGCCCCAGTCGTGCTTGCTGTACATTCCTGTACGGACTCGTGAGTACGATGGCATGGGTGGGCGGAGGGGCCATGGTTGGATTGACTACGTACCATTGCACTTTTGTCTGCCTTCGTCGGTTTGGTCCTGCCGCAGGTTAGCCTCCCTCCCGTGTGGGCGTGCCGCAGTCAAGCAGAATGCGCTCACTAATTTGACCTCTAACGCCTGAGCGGTCCATATGGACGCACCCAGCAGGAGAGTGGACGTTATCCACCCCTTCATTATGTGGTTGTGTGCAGTTCGGGGAGGTTTTGCGTTCCCTCGTCGAGGTTGTGCTGCGACCAGCAGTGGGCGTGAGTGTTACGATGGATGTAAATCTAAATGTGTCCTGTCCACCCTCGACTGTGCCGGACTACCGGATTTCAAAGGGCTCGACGGCCTAAGACTCGCAGAGCTCTCGAACGATGGGGGGGTTTGTGGTAAACGTCAATAGAGGTCGGGAAGAGGAAAAGAGCATGTGAGTTGAAAAGGCTTCCCGGCTCAGTCACTTCTATCTCGGACGGTGATCTGTACGCTTGGCCTGCAGCTTGGAAACATTCCTGGCGAGCTATCTAACTTATCCTTACCCCTTGACGTTTGGGCGGATCATTGCGCAAAGAGCTAACAAGCTGGCACAGAGGTGCGCTAGAACACACGCTAAAGCCAAGCGAAACTGTGGGGCCGGGGGGTCGCAGACCTGCAGACCCAAATGCAGCCGGCATCGAGAGCTAGCAGCCCAAGGTTAACCAGCTACATACAGTACAGTACATGTGCACCACCCGATAAGATAAGCAACCGGGCAGCTCGAGCTCTAGATTTCGGAGCTGAGGCCTGCTGTCGCAACCGCCCAAAGTCAAAATACGGGAACAGGACATCTCCGACAGGCCAAAACAAAACAAAAAACAAGACAAACCAAAAGACAAAATAAACCAAATCAGATCAGATCAAATCAAACCACCACCGATCCTTCACAGCACTCTATAGGCGCGACCCGGGCGCACCATCCCCCGCCACCATGGGGAAAAACACAGACAAGCTGTACATCACTCACTCAGAGTGGTCGTCCTCTGATGCCTTCTCTGCCGCCACCGGTGCGCGAGCGAGCGCCTCTGCCGGCTCCTTCAAGCGCCTCCCATTCAACTTTTGCGCCGCCTCGCTGCAGCCCTTCAACAACCCCGTGTGCACCGCCAACGGCACGATATTCGACCTCGAAGTCATATCGAAGTGGCTGGACTCTCACGGCACAAACCCCGTCGATGGCAGCCCCATGCAGCTGAAGGATCTGATCAAGCTCAACTTTGCCCGAAACGGCGACGTCGATTCCAGAGGTGCCGACGGCTCAGCCAGCGATGGCAAGGGCGATCTGATCGACCCTGTCACCTTCAAGGTCTTCACTGACAACACCCACATTGTTGCCATACGGCATGACACATATGCCAACGTCTTTGCCTGGGAGACTGTCCATCGCATGAACATCAAGGCCAAGGTCTGGCGGGACCTGCTCGACGACAAGGAGTTTGGCCGCTCCGACATCATCACCCTGCAAGATCCCCAGAATGCCGAGAGCAGAGATCTGAGCCAGTTCAAGTACCTCAAGGACGGCGAGAATGCCCTGCTCACGCCGCAGCAGGAGGCGGAAAGACAGGAGGGCAATGTCAACATCAGTGCTCTGGGCAGAGTTGGAGACAAGGTCCTCAGGGCAAAAGAGGCCGTCGAGAAGGCACGGAGGGAGCGGGAATCCGGCGGCGACGTCAATCGCTCCAAAGCCCTCGTCAAAACGTCGACAAACGGCCCGAAACAGTCGCTCATTCATGACAGGAAGCGAGCCGACAACGCCGCAGTGTACACTACTGGGCGTGCTGCCGCCTCTTTTACATCCACCGGTCTCACCCCCGAGACGAGCGGCGAGAGAGCTGTCCTCACTGATGAGGAATACATGCTAAAGCCAAGGCGCATAAGGCACAAGGGCTACGCACGAATAGAAACCAACCTTGGCGACCTGAACATCGAACTACAGCCAGAATATGCTCCCAAGGCTGTCTGGAACTTCGTGCGCCTTGCCCAGACAGGCTACTACAGAGGCATCAGTTTTCACCGCAATATCCGGAATTTCATGATCCAGGGAGGAGACCCCTCCGGTACTGGCCGCGGTGGCGAGAGCATCTGGAAAAAGAACTTCGCCGACGAGTTCGAGAGTCCCTTGACCCACAGCGAGCGAGGCATGCTCAGCATGGCGAACAAGGGCAAGAATACCAATTCCAGCCAGTTCTTCATCATATATCGACCTGTCAAGCATCTGGATAACAAGCATACCATATTTGGCAAGGTCGTCGGCGGAAAGGACGTGCTCAACAAAATGGAGGACGTTCCAACCGATGGCAGCGATCGCCCATTAAACAAGATCGTCATCAAAGACGTCGTCGTCTACTTGGACCCGTTTGAGGAATTCCAGAAGGCCAAAAAGGACAAGGAACGAAAGGAAGAGGAGAGGAAGGACATTGAGCGGAGAGGTGGCACCGAGGATGACAAGACGACTTGGACGGGCAAAAGGGTCAGGCAAGATGGCACAGTCGATCGCAGCAGCGGTGAAGGCAACGTTGGAAAATATCTGCAAGATGCCCTGAAGAAACAACACGGCAACGGAAAGGATGTCGAGGACGGAATTGTGGAGGAGGATGTGCCTGACGCATGGGAAGAGCCAGTCAGGAAGAAGGCCAAGAGCGGTGGATTTGGTAATTTTGACGCTTGGTAGAGGCGGTTGAATTCCAAACGACACAAGTACATTTGACGACACAGCGCTACACAGCGGCGCGGACGGTCTCATTCAGCCCGTGAGCTCCTCGACAGATCCAACACAGGTCCGTGGATCAGAATAGTTCATGATGCTCAAGATCTGCGGTTTGAAGAGTACACGGCGGACATCAGATCCGTCTCTAAGCGGTCCTCGATTCGCAGACCCTGGTCACTTGGTAGCGAAGTGCCACCTGGGAGATGACTGGGAGCATCTTGTTCCCAAAACTCTTCAGCAACACGGCTCTATAAATCATGTCGAGATGAACTGATCGGGGTGTGTGCCAGGGATCTTGTGAACAAGCTACCGGACTTGACAATATCCACATATATGGATCACATTAGAAGCATGTGAAGATGGTTGGTTGGTATACAGAGAGTCGGGCAGAAGCTGACCAGACTTCATGCCACGCAATGTTCTATACATCTGCTCGTGCCTGGCAGTTGAGGTCCGAGATCCGGGTTCATGGACAGGAGCAATCGTTCCGCAAGAGTAAATGCTGATCATGGCAAAGTTTGACAGAACCCGCGTAACGTTCCAAAGCAGCTGGCAGGGCTGACTTGGAATGTTCTCACAATATCGTCATTCTGACTCTTGTCATAGCGTCGATTTCCCATATCCTTGTCGATGATGCCCCCACCAGACTATTGGTTTTCCGGGGCAAAAGTTCAAAGAGTGGAGAGCTAGTATAGGGCCTAATGCGCGCTTATGTTGACATTTCACGTGCATATGAGTGAGCTTTGGTTGCGCATTCAGCAAAAGTCCCGCCCGTCACAACATTGTCCAGAACCCGTGAATGGAAAGTCCCTCTCGTGCGATGGATTCCGCCGGCACTTGGGTATGGGCGTACCGACTCTCTCTGTTGAACAAAATAAACGGAGAGAGTATCTTCCCTAAGCTTGGTTACGGCGAAACCCTGGGAATCTATACTACCTTGCAACTCAGGCCAGCCACCCTGTACCTTATCCACAACATCAACAGGCCGGCAATCGCCATTGAGGATCCAGAAAACACCCAAAGCCCCCGAAAATCTAGCTGCAGAGCCTTGGGCCCTGATTCAGCTTCCTCTTTGCGATAGAGTGTGGCCCCGGCAATTGGGTTGCCTAAGAGAGCTCCTATGGATGCGATCGTATAAGCCATTCCGATGCGAGTCCCATATTCGGCAGCGTCTTCGGTGAGATTGGTGACAGTCAGTGGCATAAGCGACACCATTCCTCCAGTTACGAAACAGAACAATGCGCCTGTGATAATCAAGCCCGGAAGCGATTTGACTGCCAGCCAGGAGAAAAGAATGGCAATAGTGCCTATGGTACACGGGGCGAGCACGTTGATTGGCCCGAATCTAAACGCAGTTGTTAGCTCTACTACGTTGCAGTCTCTGAAGTGATATGTATTGGAGGTGAGGCTCACCTGTCCGCCAGCAATGCTGGGGGCAACCGTCCGATCAGCGTCGATGCGTTCATGATACTCAGTGCATATATGGCCATTTGCTCGTCTATACCAATGCTGAGAGCGAAACTGGCATCATAAAAGTAAGGAGTGTACACTGCTGCGACAAGAAAAGCGAAGCCTATATAAGATTAGCGTAAGAGCTATGAGCGGGGTATAATAGAAAACAGATGCGTACAGATGACCCAAAGCGCATAGTTCTTGTCCTTGAGGAAATGCAGTCGAAACAGAGGTCCTGAGGGTCGTTCAGGCGTCTTTGGACGAATTGCAAGAAATGCTAAGACGTCCATGGCCAACATGAGAAGTGCCAAGCACCTTACTGCCCAAGGAAACCCGACTTCGTGGAAGAGGCGCCTGAGCATGATGGGATACAGAACGCCGGCTGCCGGTCAATCAGTCTAAAATCTGACATGAGACGGTGTCTTTTCTCTTCTCCATTACTCACCCAGTCCACTTCCGGTCGCTGCGATTCCGCCTGCTGTCATCTTCCGCTTACGCCAATACAGGGGCAAGATGACGAGCGATACTATGGACAGGATCCCGCTACCAAGCCCGACGCATAGGCCCTGCGCGATTACGAAATGCCAGTATTCACTTGAGATAGAGGTCATCAACATGCCCAGCACCTGTAGCGAAATGCCGACAAGCATTGCCGAGCGCAGATGGCCAGAATCGAGCACGACTCCAGCAAACAAACCAGTGGCCATTGTCAGAAAAGTCTGTAGAGATCCGATCCAGGATATTGCCAACGGAGTAGACGAAGATAGCATGACTGTAGTATAATGGTTTTGGAAAACGCCAAAGGAGTTTGTCAGACCCCTAAAATCATGTTAGGCCTGCCTGAGAGCTTTTGGGGGAGGTTTGGTACCAAGTGTTCGCATATAGCAGCCAGCTTGCCAAGACTTGAAGCCATGCTATCGACCCTCCATCCATTCGAGAATTCACCAGATCGTGTCCGGAAGGTGTCGAACCATTCTCATTGCTGCGTGCTTCAGATATGATTGTGGTTATGCCCAGCTTAGAATCATGAAGATTCTGAGATACGCCATCTGTGACCTTCGCAGTGTCTCGAATGTATGCAACAACGGTCGGAGTACCCTGCTTCTCCAAGTCCTGCATTATGGCGATGATACCCGAGGCAGAATAATATCTAGGAAGAAACTCAATTGCCAGATGATTGTGAACTTGTCGTCGAGGAGCTTGACTGAGATTATAGGTTTACGATGTCACTCGACTTTAGAAGACTCTCGTATCCGAGCCAGCAGTCATAATTTCACATCGCGTAATGGCATACACATCGTTCAAAGCTGCTGTATGCATATATTCATGCGGTCTTCGTAAGTTCCAGGATGGTGCCAGGATGGGTCGGCCGCAATGTGTTGTTAGTGGCAACCACGATCGTAACACAACCAGTAATAGACTTTCCAGGTGTCAGTAATTCACATCGGTCAAGAAAACCGGGGTTTATAACGAATAGAGTTGACACAATCTCCGGTTCTATCACTTAGCGCCACAAGACCTTGTGATTCCCCTGTTGAATGTGCTTTTTCAGGAATGGATAAATACCTGCATTCTGCAGTAAGACGCTGCTAACAAGCTTGGGGAACAGCGTCTAACAGCGTTAACAACGGCCACGGTACCAGTCTATTGGTTGAAGAGAAGGAAGACCCGTAGCGCGTTCTCATATTGGGTAGATCTTACCGTGCTATCACCAACATGGTATTTAAAGAGTCACCCAATTCAAAGAGACTTAGCTAGCAGAACGTAACATCGGTACTTCAAATGAAAGCGGTTTGGACATAGTCCAAAAATGTACAATATGGTTTATCCTGTTGGATCACAATGGCGACAACAGCCCCCTCCAACATTTGACGTGCTTTTCAAGGATCCCCAGGCACTCCTGCGAAAGTGAATTGATTACACTGTACGCCAGCGCTGGTAAAATGTTTTCTAGTGATCTCGCCTCCACAGATCTCTTGGCATTATACACAACGCTTTGGCTGTTAGTGACGAGAGTCTTTTGAATCTTGCGATTCTTTTGTGGCTAACTAGTCGGTTGACGATCGCTAACGGTAGCCGCCGAGAAAAGAGCACTGCGTGTTTTCAACTGAGCGTTCCGCTTTTGTACCTCAACGACTCGTCTAGATGGAGTTGATGGCCGTCAATGTGTTGTACGAATCTATGACTACTTGGTTTAGCTGACATGAAGTCTGATTGGCTTCATGGGAATCCCCTTGCTCGTAGTATGAAATCAATCTACCAATAATCACTGGCACCCAGAAATATGGCTGATCCTTCGGGAGTCCTACGTTACTTATGTGTCGGTGTGAAAGTTCATGTATATCCATTCTGTCATGTTTTTCCGTGGACATGGGGTTACCATGAGCTTCAAACAGTGCCCAAAGACTCGCTTACGGGCTCAGTAACGAAGGCGCTTATAGCCCGGTGTTGGTATGGACAGTCACAGTGTTTAATTTTAGCTTTGTCATCATGAATTTTGATTCTCAATCCTTAAATGCGAGGTGCTGCTTTCAGTAAGTTATAGGAAAATTGTGATGATCCGTTGGGCCGTGCTTGAGCCCAGTCCTTCTACTCACGATGGCGGTTGATAAGAATTGGAAAGCAGCCATAGCTGATGCGCACGCTCTTCTGACTAGCACACTCGTCCGCACGCCGGTCATCAAGTCCGACTCAATTGCAGAATTGTTAAAGAAGCGCCTCCGGGAGAGTGGGCTCAGGCCACCATCGATTGAACTTTTCTTCAAATGTGAAAATTTACAAACGACGGGGTCATTCAAACTTCGAGGGGCAACGCATTTCCTCAACAAACTGTCAGATTCTCAGCTGATTCGTGGCATAGTTGCCTATAGTACAGGTATAGAGAAACAGCATCGCATGCATTTGGATACGAGCTGACTATGATCAGGAAATCACGCACTCGCAACCGCCTGTGCTGCCCAAACGGCATCGCAGCACAAAAACATAGCGATTCCGTGCACAGTCATCATGCCTCTCACTGCCAGTCCTTATAAAATCGCAGCGGCGAAGCGGTATGGAGCTAAAGTCATTCTTCGCGGTAACAATACGGCTGATGGTGCCTTACTTGCACACAAGATTGTAAAATTACAAAACGCAACGCTCATTCCGCCGTCCGGAGACGAGGACATCATGCTGGGACAGGCGACAGTGATGATGGAGTTTGCTGACCAAATTCAGGATATGGGCCACCAGCCTCTTGATTTGGTACTTGTACCATCGGCTGGAGGCGCACTCCTTGCCGGAACCGGGCTCATCTGCGAAGGGTCTGGTACACTGGTCATAGGCACTGAGCCGAAGAATGGCGGTGCTGATCTCCGCATTGCTCGTCAAAGGGGGGTTCGACAGGGGAGTATCAACCAAGACTTCACGACCATTGCCGAGGGGCTGCGATCTCCGACCGCTGACTTCAACTGGAGATTTCTCTGCGACAGCAAGTACGTTCGAGACGTTTTCGGCGTCACAGAAGATTCAATCAAAATCACTATGCGCATTATGGTGGAAGAACTGAAGATGGTTGTTGAGCCGAGTGCGGCGGTCAGCCTGTCAGCTCTGTTGTTTAACAACGACTGCTTACGACTCCTGTCTACGAGATCTTCATGGAGGATAGGTATCATCATCAGCGGGGGTAACATCAGTGTCGATAAGATGCTTGGATTAATTCAGCAGTAGGAAGCATGTCTAGAATTGTCATTTCACCCTTACGTTGTGTTTTTTCTAGTGTCTGCTGCTACTGATTAAGAATATACCATTATAGTATTCCGCACTATTCCACTACGGCGCAAACACTTGCATAGTAAAGCCCCAACCCATGCCGTATTACGTCGGTTCATTTCATATTACAGCTTCTACCTGATACGGGCTTATTCGTATAACACTTCCCACAGGGTATTAGATCATCTCATGAAAGAACCCAGTCTGATGTTAGATTATCTTCCACTAACTCCATTTGTCAATCCTTCTTGTCCAGAAATTCGTTCTCACACTACACAAGTTCCTAAAATTGAATCTTAGTGTCTGAGAAGCCAAATAATACTTACTAGGCTATCGTGCACTTATGAACAAAACATGGGCCTAAGCAGTATGAATCAGACTTGATTGTATGTCTTCATAATTGTGGTGCAAAATCCAGTTATCTCGTTAAAAGCAAATCTATTTGTGATATCTCATAAAACTATGTATCTATATATACAAAAGAAATTCTATATACACTCCTACAACTAATAGGAGCTGACTACATTAGCGGCTACTGTTGTGTCCGTTCTCCGCATGAGGCACCATCTCATACTGATCGTTAACAAGACGCTTCTGGGTGGCAGCTCCGCTCTGGTCCTTTGGGGTCATCTTCTTCAAAGACAAGCCGAAGCCTTCAATGATAGCGACGGCAATCATTTCCATAATGACTGACATGCCGAGCTGGACATTGATGTCACCCGTGAGCTGGTTGAACTTGGCGTTGCTCGAAAAGGCTGACTCAGCAGCATAGACCATGCGGACAAGGATGAATGGTAGCGCCAGTGCCACTGCAAGACTGAGCCGCTTTTCGCCAAGCTCGGCGTGCGAGATCTGCATTGCAACTTGGCCTGCCGCCATGACAGTCAAGACGAAGCCGGCGATCAGAAGCCCCATACCCGCTCTAGAGAGGTCAGGTACAGCGTAAACACCGGTATTGGCGTAGTCGGATCCTGCTTGGCTACCACCCACTGTGGTCAGAATCAGACTGACCAAGATGAGTAGCTGGACGATGCGGAGCATTTTCTCGTTGACGAATGTCTGGACGGACTTGCGAATGCTCGTCAAGGCGCGGCTGAGAAGTCCCAGTTGGATGAGGATCAGAGGCGATAAGCCAACATTGGCCAACACCGCAGCGCCAATGTATAGACTTATGTTCGTAGGCTGAGATATAGTCGCTAGCTGCATAGCGGAACCGATGAGACGTGCAAGCGAGAACATGATCAAATAGAACCATCCTGAGCTGCGACCGAAGCCATGGCGAATGCAGAGGAATATTGCAATGATCAGAGCTGGCGAGTAGACGCAAATCTCTGCTATAGAGATGCCGTCATGTTCTGTCAAGGCCATGATAGGCAGTGCTTTAAAAGGCGTAAGATGGTATATGGTAAAAAATAAATAAAAATATCCGTTCAGTCTTCGATAAGGATGTCTTTGAAAAGATTTCGGATAGTTAAGAACGCAAGACGTTCTGGCAGGCAAGTGATGTTGAGCTGAGTGGTGAGGCGTTGAGACTCCTGTTTTTCTTGGCTTCTCCTGGCATTAATATACTATTCCGTTGATCTTGATATGGGGTACGTAACTGAGGCTATCATGGTCCGTCGTCTACCAGGGAGCCCTATTGGGAGGCCATATAGTCCTGCCACTAACTATAGCCAATTAAGGCAATTAAGCGAATCCGAGGGGGTTTTAATCCCATGCGAAGGATGAGCCACACGGGGATGCGCAGGGGATGCCTGTTCGTTGGCAGACCCGCCCAGCCGGGAGTAAAGCTTATCTCGCTGACGAAGATGACTTAGTCTGACCAGTTAGCAGCTTGCAAGAACCAATAATTTGACTCATTCGCGCAAAAGTCCCCAATGAGTAGAAAGGCTTACGAATTTCCGTTAAGAATACGTAGGGCTTCTTCGGCAGACGGCAGAGCTAGACAACGACATAGCTGAAGTGGAAAATTGTGTAGCTCAGTGGCTGTAAGACATTGTCAGAAATGGACTAAACCACTGCGTTGAGGGTGGTGGCCCCGGATCTCATGTGGTGAGTACACCCACGGAGGGGCTTTCGCACCCTACACTTTCGTGTGCGATCGCAACATATCTACCAAGCAGTAGGTAGAGCTTCAAAGGAGCCCAACAATTTCCTCGCATCGCATGCCGTCTTATTGTGCTCTGCTAGCGATGAGCTTCTCTACAGACAGCAAACAATAACGATTCGCCGGTAGCGTGGCATATCGCGAATAGTCTGACCAGTTTAGGCTATGTTGGTTTGTCTACGGTAAGTAAACTGCAGGGTTCTCGCTGGCTTGGGCCGGTGCCCCAGCGGCATCAATCAGGGCAGAGGCTTGCTAGGCTAGGCAACGCCAGAATCCGAGTGCGAAGGATTGGGAGAGGTTGCGTTAGCTGCACGTCTCTGCTCAACCAAAAAGCTCAATCTAACCAGAGCTAACACACATAGCCACACAACATTGCATTCACTAACCTTAGAGGTACGACGGTGCGTCCGTCCCGCTCGGCGGCCAATCGTGAACAATGCGCAGCATTTGTGGTCCACCATAAAAGAAAGACGCAAGAGAGCACGCACTATCCCACCATCACTATGTGACGACAAGGACGGCATGTTTGTTTTCAAGCTTAGTGGGTCTCTTTGCCTTACCTTTGGTTTTGTGATCTACTGGTACAACAGCAATAGCATGATCAATCTTTGTTGTACAACATAGGCACAGTTGTGTACTGTCACATCTCCCAAATCGCTAGAAAAGACCCGCAAGTTCGGATATACACAATGTCTACACGCGCCGAGTTCAGGAACTATATCCAGATGCCTGCTTTCATGGGAAGGCATGACTCATTAGGTAAATACGTATATATGCCCCTCCGGCGTTTGTTATACATGATTACGAACAAAGTCCCAGGTCTTCGTTGAATCATCACCGAAATAAATTATTTCTCTGATCTTTATGGGGACGAAAATGTGTGCAGATCTCGCTTCCTGATCGCCGCAAACTCTACTCGATCTTATGCCAAGGCTATGCATTTATTCGTGCTTTCGACTTTAGATGCTGCGGTCGACCATGTGGGAGCGGCTTCCAATGTAGGCTGCTATAGCGACACTATGATACCAGGCCTGAAAGAAGCGGTTGAGTACTGGTTTAGCTGAACATCAGTATTGTTCGTATACATCTTGTTCACATGAGTCATATGATCACGACTCCGGCTTTTGAATCTTTTCTTTTCATGATGTCAAACAATTACTAATGAGATAGTCGAAACTCGACCGGTCTGGTAACACTCAGTCCTTTACGTTCAGCTCAATATTGACACATAGATGGTGAAACCTTCCAGTGTCGAAAAGGCCAGTTGGCACGGCCTGGGGCAAGTGACAAAAGACGATAGCACTGTCTCTTCGGATAGTCCCAACATAATAAAGGAGGTACTGCTGAATCGACATCGATCTTGTATATTCGACTCGAAAGTCCGAAGGTGTAGATTTTGTCGTGGTGTCGGCACACTACTGTTTCCTACCAACGAGATTGCAACGTATGCCTGCACCAGACATCTTCTACCCAAGTTTCACTAACGGATTAGGGCCTACCAAAGACTCTATGTACTTTGAAGTATAATTTTATTTTCGTTTTCCGGGGCCTACAAATTTAGCGGTAGCGATTACTACATAGATCAATAACAATGAAAAACCAGCCTTCATTAAGCATGCCATTCAACAGCAAGTTGCTTCACTTTCCATTGCCTTGTTTTAGTACTTTTCAACGACTTTGTCGAGGCGATATCTATACCAGAACATCAAACCGTGACCGCGTTTTAAGTTGGCAAGATATGCCCCGAGTTGGTCAAGGGCCGTTCCAAGCTCACAGACTGGTTCAAACCATCGAGCGCCATACTGTAGGCTTTGGTAACAGCTACAACACGCTTCTTTCGTACCTCCCCCAATAACGGCACCGCCATCAACATGGCTCCCTACCCAGGTGAATATCGTGCTGGTCTACGGGCTTTCACCAAGCTCTTCGTCGTCTACACTATCCGTCAGGGAATTATGGATTGCTTGGACTCCCGCGACGTACTGAGGCTCACGCAAACATGCCGAACCATTCGACAAAATCTCAAGAATAACGAAGGGAACATCAACTTGAATCTAAGGCGGTTTTTTCAAGGACCCTGTCGCCTTCCATTGTCAGCAGAGTAAGTCTGGCGCCCTCATTGTAGGAGACTTTGCGCTGCAGTTCCTCGAGCGTGTAGTCTTGGCAGAGACGCCCCTGAAGTTGACAGTTCGGAAAGGTGCCGGTTCATGCGGCTTCATCAATCTCCTCGAGTCAGAAGGGCACAAAGAAAAGTCGCAAAAGAGGATTGCTAAAAATTATGACGAAACATGGCAATATGACGGCTATTTTGTGTGTAACGCTTTGTCATTGTCTTCGTACATTTACTACTCACAAGCATCAGGGAACGCAATACATAAGATGCAACGATAACTCCGGGGAAATGGGTAGGCGCACACAGCAGACAATTGTCTTCATTTTATGTCGTCCATATTGCGCCCATAATAAATATGTTGGTGCTCACCCTTAGTTCCGCCTATATGGCCTTTATCTCATGGAACAAGGTGTATTCGATTTCCCCCCAAGCAACATTCCTCTCTCTCATGAGACTGTGCCTCTGTTTCGCATGGAAACGTTGAGAGGCGAACATCACGTCAAACTCAGCAATCGATGCTGGTGCATGCGAACATGGAGTGTGGCCTTGGAGAAGCACGACGAGTGCGATGACGATGACAGGAAACAGCCACTAGGAAACCTGTGGGACCATGGCCACAGGCGCGTAGGAGACAGAGACACGTGGATCCTGAAACTCGATTGTACGGCTGTCCATCACTCTTCTCAACCAGACTTTGTGTTGGAGCATTGCGGGTTCCAAGTGCACAACAAACTTGAAGATAGGGACTCTGACTCTGATCTCGACGCATGGGAAGCAAGTCCACAAGAAGCTGTCACTATATGTGGTCGCTGATTCTTTCACATCACCCTACCTCCACTACGAATATATTACCGGTGATGGTAATCAGACTTGGGACAAAATCCAGCGACTGCTTAAAACGAACCTAGTCGGCCAACTCACAAAGTTCTCGTCAGCTGAAAGAAAGAAGTTGGTCGAGACCCGGACGCCCAGCCAGGTCATGAACGATCATGCAACGCTAAAGTTTGCCAAACCTCAAGGATGGGACTATCTGGGTGACATGATTCCTGAAATGATCGAAAAAGAAAAAAAGAAAAAAAAGAAAGAAAAAGAAGAGGGATCTGAAAGGTAGCAGTTGCTTGGGAGAAGAAGAGGACTGATCGAACGCTCAGTAGTTTCGGTGGTGTTAACGGCATGTCATTAAAGGGGTATCTTGATATGAAAAGTGTATATCGCATCTCCTTTGCATCTCATCCATCTGCCTCGAAAGAATCATTCAAATATCTCGTGAAGCTTTCTCGAATGCGACTAGGTCCTAACAAGTTGCCAACGCTCTCCAAGCCAATTCCACCTCTGTTCATGCCCATGTACGCCCGCCGAAGGCGTTGCAACTGTGGCAAGCCCACCTTCTTGCCCACTGGGAGGTCGATAGTCAAGGTCTCGTCATTGTTGGTCCCCTTCGGAACAGTGATCTCATCACCGCCATCATCGGATTGCTGATCCAGTATCCTCTTCACGATATCTTGAGTCTCTCTGTCCAAGATATACAGGTAATCCCCACCAGCATCGCGACTTCTCTGCACGGTAGCTTGGTTTGGCTTGACAACCTTACGCCCTTCACCGGCGATGGCGTCCCAAAGACCATCAAAGACTTGCTTCGTTTGCGCCTCATCGTCCTCCCATACAAGAGTGAACAGAGGGCTATCCCACCTCGTCATGGGATTTGGCTCCTCGTATCTGAACACCAGGTTCTCCCAGTTCTCTGGTGAATACGGCGCTTCTGCCTCGTCTATCGCTGTGTCGTCTTCCCCTTGCGACGCTTCCTGCTCCTTCTGCTTCCGCAGGCGGGCTTCATTCACCTCCTTCGCCTTGTCCTTGCCAGAGCCGATCTGCAAGATACAGCTCGGCGTCCGCACAGCCTTTGCCTCGCAATGTAGTTGGTACCGCCAGCCCTTGATGTAGTTCAAGCCGTCCAGTATCACAATGTCCTTGTCCGAGAGCACGCGCTTCACGGCACCGTAGATGCTGGCCCGGGCATCCTTTTCCGAGGCATTGGCGGATCGGACGTGGGCCGGTAGAGTTGAAAGGTCATACACGGACCGCGGAATCGAAAGCGACTGGTCTGAGATGAGGTGCAGGCGGTACTTGGGCGGCGCGTCGCCTGAGGCCAACTGTATGCGTTCAGACAGATATTTGTGTAGCTGCTTTGCGCGCGTGGTCTTGCCCGACGTGGGAAAACCTGCGAGAACTATAAGCTGTTGTAGAGTCAGTACGGACCTCTGCGAGAATTGAGGCTCGACATTACCGGCATGGCTGCAGTTATTCTAGTAGGTATACACCCAGCAGGATCGTGGTGGGAAGATACTCAATATTTTCTTCGAGTGACGTAGCGCAAGTAAAGGATTCAGTGAAGCCCAACCCCCACCATCGCGGGGCAGCATCCCGCTGAAGCGGGCCCGGGAAGCTGCTCAGGTAGAGCATATTTTATAACGCGAAAAGACGAGGGACTTTTAACCCGAAGCTGCAACATCTCCTTTTCACTGTGGATGTCACTGTATGCGATTGCATATTCGTTTTCGTCAACAAAAAATGTGTTGACCATCTCACCACTGGGGAAACGTTTCGAATCGGGCTATGGGTGAGTCCAAACGTATTGCGAATTCGTCGACGCTCAGGAGCTGTGTTACCTGCTCAATAAGACATTAATTCAACGTTTTACTTGTTGCTCGTGAAAGCTGAAGCTCACAACGGCGGTGATGTTGTGTTGCTGTCTAGGAGAGACATTTCCGAGTGTCACTTCTCTGAGTCCCCTTCCGGCCATAAAAGGACCGTGAAATGTCAGTGTCGCGGGTGATGATTGTTATTGTCTCAACTGTTGCTCTGTCACTGTTTGGTGGTGAGGTACAAGCCTAGCATCTACAGCTGAGCTCCTGCGGGACCGTTGAACGTGCCAAACACTTACAGACACAGTCCTGTTCACGGCTTGTGCCTCAGTATATATATCGTCTATGAATGAGAGTGGCAGGAAAGAGCCATGCTACCTCACTAGAGACGAACTGTAATTGAAGATATCTGAGATAAGTGTCCAAAAACCAGAATCCATTCGCATTGTATGGGGAAGAGTCCATAGGAAATGCGAAGACTGTTTTCGTATGCATGGTCCAAGAGTAGATATATAGCACGCGTCTCTTACAATAAGCAGTCGTTTCTGCCTGGCAACGAGGTAACTCAATGATTTTGTTCAGCATGTAGCCGTCAGAAGGTCTATGTACGGCAGGTGACTATACAATCCATGGACGCATATCATGTGGTTCATATTGCTAGACTCTATTGCAAGGAGCCAACGGCTTCGAAAAGGCGGGTGGCATACAACCTGAGCCGCCAATTATGCACGAGTTTCACGAGTTCCACTTTTCACCATGCCTTGGTTATGCGATATAGCCAACGCCTTGTGTAATTGGTCCGTGATCTACACGAGTGGTCTTCCGATAGTGGCAGTATAGAGTTGATTCATATCGGCGGGGTATCAGCAGCTATAGCAAAGCGCATATAAAACCGGGACTGTAAGCGCTCTTGTAGGGGTGGTTCTGATGGACACGATTCGAATTTTAATATAAACTAAGCACACAAAGTGATTGTTCTCTCATCACTACCTTGGATCATGTACACCACTCTCCGCAAAACTTGATGATGACTTCACTGCACTATTTTTAGCCCTTACATGAAAATCGAACCACAAACGAACGCCATGGTATGGGAAGGAAGAGGCTGCCTAAGGTGGATTACAAATTTAGTGACGATTGTAGGCGATCATTTCCTGTACTGGACCATACACCACGGCATTATCCAGATCTCCAAGATTTCAGAAAAAGCTCTGCCATTCCGTATACCGCGATATTGGGGAGAAGAAGCTCTGGCCTGTCTGTATATCAGACACTTAAGATGCGTACTTCAACCTTCAGGTACTGTTGTATATGATTGGGATAAGTTATAGTCGAGTCCGGTGTTATGCTCGATCCACTGAGAAACATGTACACGCCTGGTTCTGGAAAGGGCCAGCGAACTACTGTTGCTCGCTACTAAAATTGGGCAAAAAGTTTTGAATTGTTCGATGTATTTGTACTTCTCGCTTTACCCATTCAAATACGGGATTTATGCTATTTGCAGGAACATTACTCCTTCCCGAGCATGTTTCTTATGGAAACGTATGTACGGGATCTAAGGCGTTGGTATGCTACTATTGTGCTCGCTATCATATATTAATAACGTCGATTTCGGTATCATCTTTCATGTTTTGGGTCGTAATAAACGTGAATGAGATGCTAAAAACCCGATGCGAGCACAACGACATCTACAGTATTCACTCCGATCGCATTTGTGAGGCATTCAGTAAATGCGCATTATGCACTAACGGCATGGTATGCAAGTGCTGGAACCTCTCGATGAGCTATAGCAGGTGAGCCATACCCATGGAATCGCGCGCAATTGCCGGGCTCGAATATTTACCACTATGAGCTGGCTTTTAAGTTTAATGTCTATTAAAGCCCAGCGACTTTCAGGATTATCCCGTGTTACACTAACCTGGCGGATGACCATGAGTAAATGTCTGTGGCTCTCGTAAAACTTTCGCGCCCACCACGTGTTAGGGTCTGCATACCGGTCAAAACGTACTGTCAGGTACTTGTTATTCCTGATTTATAAGTCTTCTTTGGCAATGCGGTGCAACTCTACCGCAGCGTCGTACTCGTTGCTATCCTCGCCGAGACACTTCCTCTCAATCACTACCAGTCTCTCAGTCCATTGCATAAGCTCCTCCTTGCGACCATTCCTCGCTCCATATCTGATCGCCAGCGCCAGGAGATAGCCCAAGGTATCGGTCTCCTCCATGCCCTCGCTTTCCATCAGGCGCATGCCCCTTTCTATCATGCTCACAGACTTAGCATAGTCCTTGTCCGTCCACTGTTCGTGATTGGACTCCCACTGCTCCTCGCGTTTTTTCAGCTTGTTCATCACGTCCTCTATTTTCTTCCTTCGAAGATCTCTCATCTCGTCTGAACTCTCGCACGCAGAACATCCACAGTGGAAGCCCCATCCCTTGAGCATTTGCCTTCGGACGGCCGTGGGGTGGCAGATGTCAATGTAAGATGTATTGAGCTCGTCGCCAGGCTGAATATCCCGAAGCGCATGGATAGTCATCCGATTTATACGGGAGTTGTAGCGATGGAACACATTTGGTGCACAGGAATGGTTAAGACGAGAGGCCTGGAAGGCTGGTCAACCAACCGGTCTTCGGTATGCATAGCTCGGCAGCACCTACCTTGTGATATATTCCAATCTTGAATTCACCGCTGGAAAGCCGGAGGGTGAAGCGATTGGTCTCATAAATAGACCATGCCATCTCATGTGCCTCTACTAGTGCATTGAAAGACTCCGCTTCGCCTATTTATGATTCTGGTCTTAGCAACGTACTACTTTCATTCCGATGAAGGGGGGAAAGGAAACAAGTTAAACACGGGACTTACCCTCACACGATTTGCGCAGGTCATTTATCCAGCCAACGTCTTTCATAGATTTTGAGGAAGCTGCCAATCCAAAATATGCCGCTTGCTTCTCCTCGGATAACGATGTTACTGTATCATAGATTTCCGGCTGCTCAAACTCATCCGATACCTGAATAAGTTCCTCCTCGCAGAATATTCTAGTTCCTGCCGGGATGAAGGCAGTGGCAAAAACCGCTATACCAGCTCCTGCCGTTTCCCTCTCCTCATATAGTTCACTTCGTATGAAAGTCGGAGAATCGTCATCGCTAGGCACGGTCAAGCTGTGCGGTCTCGTGTCCATGATGTGATGTGTATCGACATGGTGCACAAGTGCCAATGGCTAATCTAGTCATACTATACAGAAATCTCAAGCCAGGGACTACCCGCAGTGATAATACCACGATATTTTCACGCTAGATGCAGGCGATAAGAAACGGTGGGAAAAGAAATCGAATCTCGGCAACAGCCGAGATGGGTCTAGACTCGCGATCTCAGACCCCACTCAGTAGTTTAATTTTACTGCTATTCCATACATAGACAAACACCTGCTAGTATACAGCCGATCATTATATGTCAAGACTTTCGACCACTTCTTGGAAATATTAATCTACAACCATGGACATGTCCACATAGTTTTGCTCGAATTATGACGGGGACGTTTCTTACGCCTCGGCTTCGACAGGATACTAGTATTGGCAGTTGTACGATGAAAGGTCCATTTACTTGAAGTATTCGTCGATTTCTTGAGGGGAGGGTTTTTTTTTGTTCTTTCTCGTGAGGCTAAGGGAGGTCTCAATAGGGCTCATGTACGACACGAACTATGACGCTGCATCCAGACGGACAGTGAATGTATTGGATCGCTAGAATAGTACGCCTGAGACGCAAATGTGTCGACTACCTGATCCCTGGCACTGATTTGAACTACAATAACACGGTAATTCCGCAATTGTTGAAATCTCCTTAATTTAAAGGGTTTCTGCAAGCCATCATAATGTTGGAGACCGAACACAGCCCAGACGGCTAGCCGCTTCCGGAGGGTTCAGACCCCTGGCACCAGCCTTACGCCCCTGACCGGTGCGAAGTAGAAAGCGTAAGCTGCTTAACCGAGCTGACTGCAACCTTGAATGTATGCAACACGTGGGATCTACCTGCCCTCCAATACACCTGCACCTCTCACGAGGCTGACGTGTATTTGTTCACCGAGTCACTAAGCACTTTAGAAGCCATGTGGCTAAGCAAGGTTCTGATGCACTATCGTTCAGATAGCCTACCCACTCATCCACCCAACCAATACTAGACTTCTTGTTTTCTTGCGTGGTGATGTGTAACCAATGCTAAAGGACGCTATAGTATTCAATGCTGAACGAGCCCGAATCGGTTGTGAGCCTAAATCCAATTATCCACTTCGAGACTTGTCCCAAAATTATTAGCGTGGACTGACGCTCCGAAAGATATCTTGACAAAGTGAAGTTTGTTGTAGAAGGACTTTTTTTTTTGTCAAAGCCCCCGGAGTAGCAGCGTGTAGCGTATCATATCGAGATAGATATGTTGCGGGAGTTATTCTGTCAGAGTGTCGAAAACTAGGCTTGTGCCTCAAGCCGCCTTCCCCGACTCGTCCCATCCCCAGACTTGGGAAAGGTATTTTTCCATGTTGACGCGTTTCGTCCTCATTTCGACCATCCAGGGATGTTCAAGCATTCTCCAGGGAGTAGCCCGACGGCTTGGCTCCTTTTCGAGACTGCCCATTCTGTTAGTACATGTAACGTGTGTCGTGCCACACAGACTTACCAGCACTCAATGAAATACTTGAAACTATCACTCCAGTAAATATTCGAGTCCGGCTCATCCTTCAACTTAGGAATTGCTTGCCGAACGATGTAGGTTAATAAGTCGATGAGGCCTGCTTTCGGCTGCATTTCTGTGCCATCGGCTGGGAAGGGAAAGCGATGCTGGGCAACCTCTAGCAGCGTGACTCCTGTGGACCAAACGTCTGAGGTGATCGTATAGCTTTGGCCCGTGATCCGCTCAGGAGCCATGTAGTAGCTGGTACCAATAAAAGTATTCGCCTCGCCCTTGGTTCCGAAGTCTCCCGAAACACCGAAATCGCAGAGCTTGACTGCACCGTCGCGGCACAGCAATATATTGCTGGGCTTTATATCGCGATGAATGATCTTCTTGCTGTGAAGATATGTGAGACCACCTAGGACGCCCTCGGCAATCTTGCCTAGCACTTTCTCGCCTGTACGCCCACCGAGGCGTTTTACCTCTTTATAAATGCTGTCCAGTGAACCGCCCTCACAGAATTCCATGGCTATCGAGATTGTTGCGGTTGCAGGATCAACAAATGCACCATAATACCTACATATATGATCTGAGGCGCAACTCTTGTTGAAGTTGATCTCCCGTACAATCTGTCTCTTTACGTCGGGGTCAGGATTAGTAGTAATGACCTATGCAATGGTGTCAGCCAGGGTCATCTCCTAGTATATCGAGCAACTGTACCTTGAGGGCAAAGACAGTCTTTCCGCCTGTCAGTTTGCATCTTGTGACAGCTCCTCCTGCACCTTCGCCCAATCCACCGAGTTCCACGATTCTCTTCTCGATACTTGCGATCCTCCAGCCTTCATCATCTAGATCTTCGACATCGGCAGTTCGGGCTTTTTCCAGAGCGAGCTTGTCAAAACTACTCTCGAGGCCCTGCATGCTTCCATCACGTTCCATACCCACTCCACCTTCGCTCTTTTCCGAGTAGAGAGATACTGCCGCAGATATGGGGTCTGGTGTCCCCTGTGGCCTTGAACCAATGCCATATTGTGATGCGAAAGAAAGAGCAGAAAACTGCGAGCCCGCAGAGGTAGGGTTACTCGCTCGGCCATCTAGGGGTCCAAAGCTCCCGGACCTCGAATGTTCTGCACTACTCTCACTGCCACCACTTGCAGATTGACCAGGCTGAGCTCCGGGCTGCCTGGCGGGTTGTTCGTACGGCGTTACATGGCTGCCCATGGGCGTGGCTAACTTTAAAGTCGGTAGCTGAGGCCTGCCGCCAAGAGCTGGACCTCCGACAGCTTTTGCATTAGGCGATGGAGGAATGGCGAGGCCTAATCTTGGTGTTCGAGAGCCGCTGGGTCTGCCGCCTCCAATCGCAGGTCTGAGAAGTGGTGCAGGTGCGTTCATCATGGGAACAGGGCTTGGGTATGCAGGCGTCACAATTTGGGGCGCTGGTAATTCGAGAGAAGGAGTCGGCGCCTTCACAATGAGGAGAGGTCAGCATTCTGGTCAAGACCGTTCCGATGATTCGGAAGGGGATCGTTTGAAAGACGAGGGCCCTTCAAAACAGACAGGTAGAAACAAAGCAAGTGCAGGTAGGTTGGGTTACAAAGAAAAGTTGATTACATTTGACGCTGTCCCTGACGGGACATTATGTTCGGACATATTGCTGTATAGAAATGCTGATGCTGCAGCGACAGAAGTAGTTCTCCAGCCCTTGAAGCTGCTAGACCAAAGCCTAATACTACCGCGGCAGTTTGACGGCCTTGAAACAGAGTCAAGTTAGGGCCGAAGCGATCTGGTGAATGTAGCGAGCCGTTCGGCAGAGCCAGTAGGAAGACCTTGGCTCAAGGGAATACAGCAGTACGGGTAGGCTATTCACTCGTTTGACGTATACTGCACTCGGTGGTCCACAGCCAGCTTTGTGGTCGTGATGGGTCGGTAAGAAAGAGTGTGTGGGCGAGACGCAACGATGATAATCCGACAGGGTATAGAGAGGAGAAGCAACCAAAACCGCTTGATGTGTCCAAGGCAAAGAGGGAAACAACGACAATTGCCAACGAACACGTGCCGGTATTGAGGAAAGAATGTAGTCGTAAGCTATGCAACCGATGTCCTTGATTTCAATGCCCGACGGGTTTGTCCCGCAGCGCGTGCCTCCTCTCTGTGAGAGACCAAGTGGGAAAGGACAGACCCCTGGACTCGGCTATGAGCTAAGCAGGGATATCGGCACAAGCTCCAGCGCCAACTCGCAGATGGGCCAGTGGAGTTGCTGAGATGGGTGACCAGATAATATTTGTGGATGGAGTAGGCGGACCGGAACAGTTGGTTGATGGACGGGATGGATGTCAGATGCTTTGGCGGGGTCTGCGAGGAAGTCGACGTGTAGCAAAGCTTGGCTTGTGAATTACCACACGGCTGTTTCGTGACTAAAACTCGAGACAATGCCTGGCGGCTAGCGATACTGCTAACGTTAAAGGCAAGTCAAGAAAGAAAGACATCAATCGATAAAACATGACATGACGCAGCGGTTGAGCTCTTCCCATGGGTGTGGCCAACATTTAAATTGAGAGAACAGGATCTAGTAGGACGTCGGAACGAAAAGAAAAGAAAATCGTTCTTGTTATTCTTGCTTGCACGACAAAACACAGTATGGCCAGGGGTTACTCCAAGCATCAGCCAAGACTCTCCTGCTGGTGGTGTGTGTGTCGATTGGAATGAGCTCCCGCGGGCATGGTTCAATGAGATGGCTGCAGCCCCCTTTTCGCCATGTGCATGCGATATGGACCCTGGCCACACCACAGAGCCCATTCTCACCTCATTTTCAGGATTTGACGAGCAATTAAATTCACTGTATTTGCTCACGCTGATGTCGACTATGGTTGAAACCATGGTAATTCACCGGAAGCAACTGCATGACATCTAGTTTCTTGGCCCCAAAATTTGCCTCAAATTTCGTCAGAGGCAACTTACGGTCTGAGATTGAAAAAGCTGGAATCCAGCTGAAAGAAACCCAAGGCAATAGGGTAACGTGCCAAAGTCGTGAATTTGCAAGACCACTGCAGTATGCCTCCAAGACTACATTGGGGACCATTCGTGAGATGATGTAGTGTCTAGATTAGTCTAGAGTCTGTAATGTCGCCCCAACACCTGGAGCCTGGAGGAAGGCCTTCAACAGTCGGAGAAGCACTTGCATTATGCAGTCATCTCGACGCAGCATTGGGGGCCATATTTCAGGAGACATGCAGCTGTCATTTGGGGTCTAAATGCCCAAAGCACGAGAGCCTCACACTCTGGAAGCGTGTTCAAATAAAAGACCATGAAACATTGGTCAGTGGCACATGCAACAGAGTGTTTTGCGATTGCTTAGGTCGCGGTTTATTCCTAATTGCAGAAGCCTCTGATGAATCGGCATTGCATTTCGATAGGGGTGCTTTCGAGCTGGGCCATGTGTGACTTGAGAGCTTTGTTGATCTCGGTCATACAAGACCTAGTCTACCGTCGCAGATCAAGTCAACCAGGCACATCCAATGCCCAAGTATGACGATTGGAATATGGCCGGATCTTTTCTGTGCAGTCGTTCCGTATGGATGACCGTAGCAAGCCCTTAATCTATGCGTAGGAAATGGAAAGCAGATCCAGCGGCAATTCCCTCCAATCTGGATGATAGAAAAGCGAACGAGAGAGAGTATGACACGAATAAGAATGCTTCCTTCATTCGATCGGCTGCAAGCGCCAGCGGCTAAAGACCCCTGAACAATTGAGCCGTTTTGAACCCCACAGAAACTTTCTAACCTTACATGGATCTGGAGTGACGACCTATGTTCTGCCCCACTGTAATTTTTTCTGTAAGCGCGACCTTTTGAAGATTTTCCCATTGGGATGTTTGACCTAGCAAACAGCTGCAGGCGATCACTCAAGTAAACCTACTTGGAGAAACAGACCGTATTGCTTCAGACGATTGCTCTTCTCGGCACTCGGCTTCAACTTGACTACCAACCCCTGGCTGAGCAAGGAACTGTGGCAATCTGACGCAGCTCACCAGGACGCTACCGGACAACATTGGGACAAATTCATCAACTAGGTAGCGTTTCACCATGCCCTCCCAGGCGAATGCGGCTAGGAAGTCGCAACCCGCTAAGCTGGAGGAGTTGGAAGTGACCTCGCTCTCATCAGCGTCAGATGCAAGCGATGTGAGCGAAAGTGAGGGTGGCAGCTCGTCCGATTCCGACGCCTTGGACAGTGATGCGCCACGAAAGAAGCGCAAAGTGAGTGTTGAGGTGGAGGTTGATCCTGAGGACGACGAGCCTTACGAGACTTCGGTGATCTCGTCGATACAGGCACCGTCCCGGATCAAGAACAAGCCCAAACTGTCGACTACAGCGACGCAGCAGCCATTGAAGTCCGAGGTTCTCATTGCGCCTACAGCAACCTCAGTCCCAGTCGACCCCAACACGACATTTGGCTCACTGACCCTTCGGCCATGGCTGGTACAATCGCTGTCCAATATGGCCATTAAACGGCCCACTGGCATTCAGAAGGCCTGTATTCCAGAAATCTTGAAAGGCAGGGATTGTATAGGAGGAAGCCGCACGGGTTCGGGAAAGACGGTAGCTTTTGCTGCGCCAATATTGCAGAAACTATCTGAAGACCCAAGTGCAATCTTTGCAGTAATTTTGACCGCAACCAGGTAAGTACCCCGAATTTTATTCATTTGCTGCTTGCTAACTCAAACAGGGAGCTCGCTCTGCAGATCATGGAGCAGTTCAAGGCCATATCTGCAGCACAAACTGTAAAGGCTATCCTGGTCACTGGAGGCTCGGATATGAGAGCACAAGCTATTGCCATTGCTCAGAGGCCTCATGTGATCGTTGCCACGCCAGGTCGACTGGCCGACCATATTCGGAGCTCTGGCGAAGACACATGGTGTGGTTTGCGAAGAGTCAAGTTTCTGGTGCTGGATGAGGCCGACAGATTACTCTCAGAGGGTCCGGGATCAATGTTGCCTGACATTGGTATGTTTCAGCCCATTCCTGCTTGACTTGAGAATGCGTCTTTGCTAATAATTAAACAGAGGAGTGCTTAAGCGTACTCCCGCCGGCAGCAGAGAGACAGACGTTGCTATTCACTGCTACCATGACCCCTGAAGTGCGTGCACTGGAGAACCTGCCACGTAAGCCAGGAAAAGCACCTCCTTTCTTGTGTGAAGTGGACACGCAAACACTTGCTATCCCATCTACTTTGCGCCAGATGTACATTCAAATACCTGTTACGTACAAGGAGCATTACTTGCACGAGTTTCTCCAGACAGACGCCATTGTTGAGAAATCAATCATTATCTTCTGTAACCGGACGAGCACTGCAGAATACCTACACCATCTACTGCGCCTCCTCGATCATCGCGTAACATCACTCCACTCAAAACTGCCGCAACGCCAAAGGATAGATAACCTGGGTAGATTTCGTGCATCTGCTGCGCGGATTCTAGTAGCTACTGACGTGGCTGCTAGAGGCCTTGATATCCCAGAAGTCTCCATGGTCATCAACTACGACATACCTCGAGAGCCAGATGACTATATTCACAGAGTCGGTCGTACCGCTCGTGCAGGGCGCAAGGGTGATGCAGTTACTTTTGTGGGACAGCGCGATGTCGATCTCATACATGCCATCGAGAACAGAGTTGGCCGCGAAATGATAACTTGGGAGGAGGAGGGTGTGAACTTGGAGACAAGAGTCATCAGGGACGCACTTAAGGTTGTGAGTGAGAAGAAGAGAGAGGCGTTGTTAGAGATTGAGGAGAATCGGGACGTTGGCGGTAAGCGCAAGAGGGGCATGCAGAAGCTCCGGGCATAATCTAGGTGTATAACTGGAATTAGTGAGGTGGATAGATCAAACCAAAAGACCAAATCGGCGCATTTCAGGACACCACGTGGTATTTCAGTACTATATATTCTATTCGTCGGAGGCCAACCTCTGCCTCTAATCATGTTCAAAGATGTGACTGACAGCCTAAACACCCATTGTTCATGTGCAGTTGTACAGTATATGAAAGATAATTGATGCGGACATACTTTAATGCCGAGTTGCTAGTGAGCAAAGGACATGGCTTTCAGGCAATGTATACTTCACATTGTAATACAGCTTTTTGCTGATTGCAAAAAACCGACGCAGTCCTGTCAAGGACTAAACAAAAACTCAAAAATAATGAATTTATTTTGTACTCGATTTGAACCTTAGGTCTCTCAGCATTATGTACGAAAGATTACAGCCAAATCTAAACACACAATTTTGGATACCAAAGTAGATCGTTGGTCAGTGACACGAGACTAATCTTGCATGACCTTTGGTGGAGGGAACCCCAATACTCAATACTTCATGTCATCACAAACCTCTGATCCATCTTTGCCTGGGTCTGACACGGGCAGTACAATCCCGTAGCCGAATACGCACGCAGTATACGCATGCTGCACGCTCTAGCGGCAACGTCTTAAAGACTCATAAAATGCAACGCGATCGTCATTTCCCCGTGGATTGTGGAAAATCGAGCTGGCCGCGCAGCTGTTCCGTCCATGGTTACGAATGAGAGTTACTGGTCGGCAAGAATCATGAAAAGCCGTTGCTTGTTCCTTCGCAGTAAGATCTCTACCTAGTTCTAGGGCTCGACGAGTAACGAAGTTATGACACCAGGGGGATCTGACACAATTCCTTCAAAGGATCACCTTACATGGTACTTAACAGGGATACGATCCTCTATTTCAGAGGAAAGTCGGGTCTGTGGCCCCCTTGAATGATGCAAGGGTACCACGTGGTGGAGGGTCGGCCCCCCTGACCTGCTACAGTAAGACCATGGTACAACCCAAGGCCGCTGCTGACTGTGCTATAGTTGGTCAGTGGACGAGCACAAGAATGGCCTGCCTCGTGAATTCTGCTATTAGCGGCAGGCAATAATACAAGAATGTTCTCTGCGAGGCTTTATCCAGGTCATCATGAAAAATCATGTAATTACGGCTTATTGTTAGGAGGGGTTGGCTGTTATGGTCAGAAGTCGAACAAGCACGGCATGCCGCGTCCAAGACTATAGCGCCGCCAGTGGCTAGCACACTTCAAACCCGGTTGACCAGGAGACTTCCGCATTCACGCGTAAGAGTCGCTTTCTTGTTCTCATCACCAGACATCATATCCTATGTTCTGAAAGCAAGACGTGCTGCGTGTAGACAGGAGTCGGGGACGCGAAAGTGACTGCATTACGGAGCAATCTCGAGCGGTATGAGATATTGCAATTTAACCTATCATTTGAATATCCCACGAATTCCGGAAACTGGCTTTACCTGTTTACGCTGGATACACGTGTCGATCTCAGATGGCTGTGCCTGACCAGGCGGAATCAAGGGCTTAAAAGCGATGACCACATGATGCTCGCATTAGGGTTGGCCCCATGCTCAGGAGCCGTTCGCATTGAAACAGGCCAGGTGGGAACTGACGACGACGACGACAACGAAAGCGATGCTCGCATCCCATTGCGATATGGCCCGATCGGCGAAGAGTCACATCAGAATGAACGACGAAACTTTAATTCGCTCTACATCGATGCTGGGATTCTTTGTGTCATCGTCCCGCTGCTTGAAATGTCTCCGCACCCGGGCTTTAGTTAAATGGTAAAAGCCGAATGCCATTACCTCACCCTTGTGCCTTATGTCGGTCGGATCAATTCGCGCCAAGTCGGCTTTATAGAAACCCCATGCGGACGGAGCGCGCGGAATGGGTACAGAGCTGCTAAGTAATCAGTACCAGTTTAAAAAAAATCGAGGCAGATCTTATCTTCTGGGGTTCCACAGATTCGTTAAACTTTCTGTCAACTAGTGCCGGAAGCGAAAGCGGGCAGGAGGAAGAAAAAAAAGATGCTGCCTGGTGACAGCGCACGCAATCCGAACGCGCCGTTTGTTTGGAATCAGGGCAGAGGCCTTTTATGGCCTTCGGGAGGACTCGTCACGCAGATATCGTGGCTCACCGAATGGCACCCGTGGTCAACCGAAGCCTCGTGGATTGGTTGTGTCAGGGGACCTCTGAAGCTAAATCTGAAGCAATCGTGGGCTCGTAACAAGTTTACCCTTTTAGACATGGCCAATGCAAGTTGTTACGAGCTCTCGGGTCTCTGCTAACTCCGGGTTGTCCCACGTAGGCTGCAAATGCTGCTTCGTTCTCGCATCGGACTACTGGCGATTAAGGTTGCGGATACCTGGCCGCTGGTAAATCCTACCTGTTTCGTCATGGAACGGAATTCGTAGGCGGCCACATCATCGTCGGCACGGCTATGCGTATGGAACCGGTGATAGACTATTTTCGTGCGTGCTTTGTACTCATGCACCTGTTCATTGCTGGCTGAGTAGCTTTTATAAGCTAGTCATTCCAGAGGCTTGCATTTACATACATGCGGTGGGTCGTGCTACACAGGCAAAATACTGCTTCTCGAAGGTCGTTGCCAAGGCTAGAAGTAAAACAGCATTGGTATCCTGGCATTCACGAGACAGGGCAGATGGAACCCATATTAATGAAGAAGGTCTCAATCGGGTTAACCGGCCTGCGAGGTGTATGGTCGCATACAGTTAGATCTGTAAATATACAAAAAGAAAACCAAAGAAAAAAGAAGAAGAAAATAGGGTGAAGTATACCAGCCAATAGCAATGAAAATGGAGCCAAATGGACGAAATTCGGAGACCGCTGGAATGCCAACACCGACTGCCATTGACAGGGGTTTGCTCACCTTCGCGACGGTAATTCGGTTTGTGAAAAGTTACATTTAGATAACCCGGCAAGTCGGCAGTACCATGTAGAAGGGAGTGGAAAGTCGCACAGGCTATCCACTACGATTGAGGGAGGCTCGTGTGGAAACAAATCTAATTTCCCAGATTTGAGCCTCAATGCCGCGTTGGGCCCTGTTTCGTCCCCAGCTGGAACTTGGGAGACACTTTGTCAGGTTGACGAGCTGGCAATCTTTCTGCTGCCTGACGGGTTTTAGGATGTCTGCCTCGCCTAGTCCTGGGAAATATTAAGGATGTTTTATGGGACGCACGTTCTTGGCAACTACGGAACCCACCTTATGTAGCGTATGAAGCAGCTGGACGTGTACAGTTGTTAATCGAGCACTGGCACGCAAAGCGCTGTCAATTGCAGATGACTGTCTTACGCGGACATACTGGCGGAGTAAGACTTTGCTGTAGTTGACCGTCACTCATGTGTTGTTACGTTACCACGCAGAGCCCGGGTTTGTAAGATGACCGACCAGTGAGCTGCAGCTGCATTGGTGTTTCTAGCGATTGTGGCTGAGGCAGGGGAAATGGGCAGATTATGTTAAGCGATCTGTCTGACTATCTCAGCCCTACCTCTACACTCCCCACAGTCTCTCACGAATCACGCCGAGGAGCACGGAAGGAAAAGTTCTCAGTAAGCTCAACACGGATCCCCAAATGCTCAATGACCATATTCCGTACCTGAAAAAACCACAAGGATAAGGCAGATATGGGTCAGACAATGTGGGTTTGTGATACACACAAAGTTCAATTAAGGCATGTCCGCTAGAAAAGGCGGGACAGCATAGACATGTGTAAGCATTGAATGCAGGAAACGGGCTGATGAGCTCTTGGCTACATAATGTTGAGAAACATGTCACATTGATACCGGTAGTTAATTATACAGTACACAATGTAGAGTAATGCAGACTCGAGTGCCAATGACTCGGATTCGCTTCTGATGGCACAGGCTTTTTGATGACGCATCAAGCGAGAATTCGTAAGGGGCCAGGGCTATCTAAGAACATATGACTGCCTGATGATTCAGAGCGGCTGGAGCGGGATCCGGCATTAGACGCGGACCCGAGACGGTAACAAGAGCTCTTAACTCATAGTGCTGACTTTTGGACGCTGGGCCAGTAACAGGCAGTAGGTTACCGTCGCTGTTACCGCCTAATCTGGTCTGATGCACCTCGACGTCGCAAAGAAACAAACCTGCGACAAACGATAGCATAGAGCTTCAGGTTGACTTCAATTCACTGCATTTGTTATGAACGTACTCCGTAATAAATCAACAGTCTGGGTACTATTGACTCCCATGTCCGGCGGGGACTCGTAGGATACAAAGCGTACGATTGCCGAGTCATCAAATGGTCGATCATTAATCCTGCCCATCACCAGGGTTCTCTGAGATTACTGCGAAACCAATCGAAATCAATGGTTCAAGTAAGAGTATGCAGACGCAGGTGTTGAGTCAACGGTGTTTCTCTCTTTGCTGGATGGGGTCAAGCGGCGGAATTATTAATCGGCAAGATTTCAAATTCGAAATGCAGGTGAAGTCATGACAATGAAGAAAGACTGGTGCTGAACAATCAACTCAGCCCGTCGATCAATTTGCAGTGCAAGACAAGGGTACTATGTAATCCGGAAAGGCTAATAAGAAGTAATTGTGCAGGGTCCACAGGCTGGAAGTAACGGACGAAAGCGATTCATCAGCAGCGCCCGTAGAGCGAACGAGTCACAGCTCTAGGTTAAGTTGGCAGAGTACGTTAGGCGTTGACCTGGTGCTGGGCGGGATGGCTGTGTCGCCGATGGCTTATGACCAAAACTCCGTGGTACTTGCATGGGTAGTACGGCCCACGAAGGAGACGAAGGGGACGCGGACTACTGCTGGGCGCGACACACCGCTCGTACTGGGGACAAGCAGCCTTTTCTCCCCCGTGCCTGACCTGACCGTAAACCCCGAGCGAGCATGGGATCAAGGAAATAATAATAATACACTCAGCAGATCCGGTCCTTTACATAAGGATCCCATTCCCTCCTTTCGCACCGAGAATATAGTCAGCATTCCAGTCTCATCAGTCTATACAAAGCATCCTCGATTGAATGAACAGACGTATTAAAAGGAAGAATACAAACACAAACACTTACTTACTTGAGACGTCCGCACATTCCAATAGTCAGTCCCGTACAGAAACCCACAACGGAAACAGCAAGTCACCCAAGTACCACGCTAGTCTCACCGTCCTGAGTACCCTTGCGCAGCTCGATCAATTCTTCTACATATACATATACGTATACATACAAGAAGGCACGCCTTGCCGACCCTCGGTGCCTGACTCACAATACCACAAATTATTGCAACCTATTGCACCATATTAGACCACACACTTACTTGCACTTATAACAACTGTCAAGATGGTCTCAACAACGTTTTCTTCCCCTTTCCACCAACCAACCTCACCATCCCCGCAAAACAAAATGTCCATCTCTCAGACTTACATGATGGCCCACAAGGCACGGGCAAAGCTCTCACGAGAGGCTGCCCAGCCCGACCACAATCTCAGGCTCCTCGTTGGCCATGCCAACCTCCTAGACTCTCTCATGCTCGACCTTGCTGATGCCGAACGGGAACAAGAAAGCTGGTTCAACCAGTCGGTTCGAGGTGCATCTTCAAAGAGCGACGAGAGACACATACAGTGGGCCGATGCTATCCCAGAACACACTGAGGAGGATTGGGAAGCCGACTCTTCAGACTCCGACAGCGACGGCGAGGACTACGAGGACGACATCGAGATGGCAGATGCAGTACCCCTACGAAGGATACCATCAAACACTATTGTGCCCCCCTCACCACAACTAGAAGTCATGGACGAGGATGACTTCGAGGAGGACGACGAGGAAGAAGACTACGCACATCTTTCTCTCACACGATCACCTTCCCACTCTGCATCACCACCTGAACTCGATGATGACGACTCCTCGTCAGAAGACGAGTCAATGCCGCCATCGCCGCCCTTTGCAACAATCCCCACCTTCTCAGACAAGCCGAGAGAAACATCAGTGACAACATCAGAATACTACGACGATTCAAGACAAGACGAAGATGACAACAAGGCCGACTTCTACAGCCAGGGGTTCTACCTCCCGCCAAGGAATCCCGCACGGTTGATATCAGCGATATCAGTCTATTAGGAAACATTTCCACTCTTGTCATTTTCATTGGGTCACGAGGATTCATGAGAAGTCTTGTCTCATTTCTCTCTGCATCTGGGCGGCGTTACAAAATACCACTATAGCGACATTGCATTTCAGCGCATCATTGAGCGCAAGCGGTTTAATTGGATTTCTTTTTGACATGATTGGAGCTCGGCATCCCACTATTGGGAGGAACATGGGGATTCATACCCTCAACGCATGCAAGGCTTACTGAAAGGCCTTGAATTTGGGGTCCTGTCAAGGACAAAGACACCACTCAAAACACGAAAGGATTTGACATCTGGAGAATTACTGTATCAGGCAGTTGCAGGAACAACGCCAATAGGCGGCTTTGGCGGGGTATTGTTTCGCTCCCGTGGCATTGCATTCTCGCATACGCTGTATGGTTGAGTGGAACGAAACGCCCTCGCATTACATCACAATTACTTAGTCAAAGTATTTTCATACTCAGTAGATAACAGAATCAATCAACAATCTCACAATATTGTCTCATCATGTCTTGAAAGTATTGCATCATCGTCGTGAACATTACCAAGAACGTCCTGCGTTTGTCGATCACGCCTTACTTACGTAGCAATCACTGATATGATAGCGTCTAACTCAGCCGATCAAGTTAGTAAACTCTATCAATCTGCAAGCGCTTGTCAAATCAGCTGTGTGCCTTGGCCTCGGATCTTCTATACTAATGCGACATCGGACACAAAAAAAAAAAAAAGGTTCAAGAAATGTTGCCGAGCTGCTCGCATTCGCGAGCTCATCAATCCCGAGCTAACATTAAAAATCGTCACGAGGCAACTCACGCCAAGGACTTGCGAAAACCGAAATTTTCTTGAAAATAGCCGAAAACCCGCCCGCGCTGACAAACGTGGTGGAACTGCAACCGAGATGCGAATCGATTCGAAACTTGACATTACCATGGGATCATAATTGTTCGGTTGAGCTTCTTGCGTGAAAGGCGCCGACTACACAGCGGTACCAGGGAAAACATATATTGATAATCGTCACATTTACTGCTCAGTGCAACCCCTCTAAATAGTGCATGCATCGCAGTCGCGATAACGTGCCGTTCTTGAGTTATACCACATTCTGGTGGCGCCTAGTACAAATAAATGATTTGCAGCATGAACACTAAGTATTCTCCCAGCGACTCATTGCCCAAGCGATCAGCATTGAAGAATGTTCAAGTGATCACGAGGACAGACCACAAGGAAATTAAAATCCCGTCGGCCCCGTATGCACGGGAAGCCCCAAGCAATACAGGACATACCTCTCATACGAAGGTTGCAATGTTCTGCAGGGGACTTTGCTTCTTCAATATGCGTTCCCCCAAATGCTAAATTTCCCCCATACGATAAGAAGGAAGATTTATGGAGCGCAAACGCCCGTGTCACGACTTACAAATTAATATCGGATCAGATGGCGCCAGAAGATGATCAATGACCGCACCCAAGCCTCTGGGTCCCCCACAGCCAAGGGGCACGTTTAAGGGCCAATCAGAGCTCGATACATCCAATGCGGCCGGCGCATTTCCCAAGAAGACCGAGCAGTGCGATTATCTCGGTAGTCTGAGCTGGAGTCCGAGCTTATCAGCTCGCCAGCCACCCATGTTGCTATGATCCATTCCCTTCGCAGCTGAGCAGAAAACAAGACATTGATCTCGGCCAACGACACCTGTTTGCAGGCCCTCGAACTGTGAAGCGACATTGCTTCCTCACATCCTTGACGGGTGAGAGAGAGCTGTAATCATAGTTATCAAAGCTTGCATAAAACACCTGAGAAAAAGTGGTCCAGCGTTCGGTTTCCCCTGACGAGTGGCTTGCTGAGGCAGCGGTCGGGGTGGTCAAACCCAACCCCCGACCCCATCGAATATCCCCAATGCCGCCCCGTATCGCAAAGGCACCACGATACGAACACCTAAGATGTAACAATGCTTCTTACTTCCATCCACATTTGGGGGCGGTGCCAATACGGTGGGGAGTGCAGCCCTATTCCTTCGCCTGACTCCGTTACACTGTAATATTCTAGAATCATGCCGCTCAGCTGACGGCATCTCAAGCCACCAGTTTCCTGCTTTGTTCCAAACCTCACTTTCGGCGGCATGAGCGAAAGCCCATGGTGAAATGGCACCCTGAAACTGCTGTGGAGTATCCTAATCCGGTAAGCGACTAGACCGGACATGTCCCTCAAGACCGGGGGGAAGTCAATATGGCTGCGACGCTGCCACGTTGTTGAGCTAGGTATCAATGTTGTGGGTGGTCAGCGAGGAGTATTGGTCACCGCTGTGATGGGGTTTGTTGAATTACCAAGCTATCACATAAATTTGGATCCTTTTGCTACAGCACATTATATTCGTGATTGGTAGGCTGACGCCAAACGTATCTGGCCTAAGAGTTTTCGTTTCCATCGTTAAATTGGCCAGTAACTGTAACTTGTCGGCGGTGACCATCACGTTAAATGACAACGCAACAGCACCAGCGCACGTCTGATCAATACGTGGGAAGCATCGACTTGGGTATACAGCGGTAAGGTATCATTTGCGACTTCTATGAGCCAATCAATCTCCATCTACTCAACATATATGCGATGACACATGTTGCGAGGATGCAACCGTGTAACCTCCACCTTACCCCAGCATGCGGAAAGTCCCCGGCAGTGATCTACCGGCTCCGATATTGTAGACTTCCGCTACTTGTCGAGGTGCCACGACGGCTTGTTCCAACCCCCACAGCAGACCGCTTCGGGGGCGCAGGCGGTCTCTGGTTGGTTGCCTGGGCACAAAAGTGCGGTGAAGGTATGTACATAAGGAGGGGGTGTTGTCTGCCTAAGGCTTAGAGCCGATGTGAATCATTCGGGATGTCTTGCCTTTATGCAATACGAGTATGGGGTCTTGCTTGTGTTACCGATGTGTAATGTGACCTAATATCACTTACGCGGTAACACATAATTGATCATGCTTATGGAAGCATGGTCGAGGGGGTCCAGGAGTTATATGTTGCCTAACATAATCAACCGATGCAATATGATCTATGTCTCGCTGTATACCTAGTCATGTGACCACCTCTGGAACAGTGACATACGCGCAGAAGTAGCTGAAACCATGAAGGCAACAGGATATACAGCTCATCACTCAAAAGCTAGGAGATAGTCTCCATTAACTCTCACAGCAGTGTCTCAAGCACTCCGTATAGCTAGGCTTAGGAAGTCTCTTGTATATCTGGAATGTCAATCTTGGTCGCTGGCGTATTCTTGAAAAATGGCAGTCTAGTTGACAGCTGCCTTTGATCTTGACATAACCAATCGTTATTCAAATACAATGTGCCAGAATACAGTATTCTCCCTTGACTGGAATAACACAAATGATACCTCCACGTGAAGCCGTGGCCTATGTCCGACATCTTAACTCCGAAGCAACTTGTGTATCTTCACCCCCACCAATGCCCGTTGTGCTACCCTTGTCGCCTTTGTTAGTGACATCAATCAACCGCCAAAAAGAATCCGGCGCTAACGGAGCTCTGGCTCGAAGGTCTGGTAGCTTTAGAGCTCTCTCTCTATCTCATCAACCAACCGCTTCGTCCGGATTTGAGTATATGCTTCCTTGAGAGTCTGATTTTCGACTCACAGCATGAAGGCCTTCTCAGCGCCGACAATTCGGGCAGTCACCCGAAGGCGCGTGGCTAAATTACCCTTCGTGAGGGATACCAGGCTTCCCAGGTCGCGATGCCTGGCGACACAAGCCGGTGAAGCCGGTAATCTTAACTCACCACCAGCGATCGGATTCGCTCCTTTAACAGACCGAAAGCTCATTGCCATCGCCGGTGTCGACGCGACCAAATTTCTCCAAGGTCTCATCACAGCCTCGATTTATAAGCCTGGCGCTCCATCTCCCGAAGAGCCACGAGACGAGGGCTTCTACACCGCGTTCCTAACGGCGCAGGGCCGAGTCTTACACGACGTCTTTATACACCCTAATCCGCAATTACACGGTATTGCCGAGGCGCAGAGGAAAGGGCTTGTACCAGAGCACTCATTCTTGATCGAGGTGGCCGACAGCCAGGTCAACGCGCTTTACACTCTGATACGAAGGTACAAACTGAGAAGCAAATTTACACACAACAAAGTAAACCAGGAGGATCTTGTTGTATACTCTTATTGGAACGAGACCCTGTCGGATCCGCCAGGTACACCAGAGGGTTTAGCGAGCTATGGGAAGGAGGCACATATAACCCGGGACTCGCGCGCACCAGATCTCGGCTGGCGCGTACTAGCAACCGGACAACAAGAGCTCAGGGCAGATGCGGAGGAGTGTGGTCTCAGCACTTATAAAGTCCGACGGATGCTTCGCGGTGTGCCGGAAGGTCCTGACGAAATCGTACCAGACAAAACGCTCCCGCTTGATGCGAATATAGACTTAATGGGTGGTATTGACTTCAGGAAAGGGTGTTACGTTGGTCAAGAGCTCACAATTCGGACTAAGCATCGCGGTGTAGTACGGAAGCGTATCTTGCCGTGTATGATCTATGGGGAGGACGAACAAATACCGCAGGAACTCGTTTACAGGTCTATCCCCGGAGATGGCATAGTGGCAGCAAATGTGCCGACCAAAACGGAGATAGGTCTGGTGGGAGGAAATAAAACCCGAAGAACCGCCAACTGGATCGCGGGCATTGGAAATATTGGGTTGGCTATGTGTCGACTTCAGCCAATGACAGATATCGAATTGCCTGGCGAGAGCGCTGACGCCCCATCACCTTATGACCCGAGCCAGGAATTCATGCTGAAGTTGGGTCCGTCCTCAGAAGGAAGCGCTGGCAAAATCCTCAAGGTCAGGCCCTTCGTACCGGATTGGATGCGGGAGAGGCTGGCCCAGAGTGTCAACCACAATCGGACATAACCGCACCGAGATTCGATAAGATCACATGTATGTCTTATGTACTATCACATAATTACACAGGTAGAAAGACTGTTGCAAGCTTAACAAGAAGGAGTGTTACTTATACTCCAAATACGTATGTAACCTAGACTAAGTTAAGATCCTAAGTCCAGAGGTGCCATCCTTCTGGCAGGCCGCTTCTCGAGATCCATAAGTTGCCTATGATGCAACGAAATATGATCAAACTATTGAATATCTTTTTTCTTTCCAAAATTTTTTATTTTCAACTTCTTCATTATTCACTAGTTGGGTTTCGCAGTTCTGGCCATAGGATTTCTCAACTTTAGGAGTTGGTGATCAACCTGAGAGCTCTGAATTGATTCTGATAAGCCAAGGGAGGCACAACACTCCGCTGGACATTAAGCGACGGGCGAAGAATATTGCCGCTGTACAAGAACCCTTGCTATTCTGTCACAACTCAGGCTTACACGGTTTTGGCGAATTCGATTTGTTTGATAAGTTCATAGACAGTGCTGTGGCCAGTGGGTAGAAAGGCGATTTCAAGCAGGAGGCCGACGTGGATGCATGCGAATAGCTTCCATGCCACGGTGACCAGAGTGGTGGTCAATGGCAACGTCCATATTGGAATGGTCGGCCGGACACTCCCCAGCAACAGAATGCGGATTATGGCGAAATCAGCTGGCCACTACACCGACACAATACACAGCATAATCAGCAGGTTGTGCCACCTCCATTGACTTCCGGACAGGTGGAAATAAGCATGTTCATGGGTGTGTGCCTGTGACTCGAAGGTTTCTGGTGCAGAAATGGCCGCAGTTCATGGTTATTAATTGACGAGTGTCCGTAATGTACCCAGTTGAATAGTAGGCTAAACAAGAACGCTTTGAGTTCCAGTATGAAGAATTCAGTACACTTTTAGACAGTAAATTATTCCTCGCTCCACTTACACATGTCCCAGAACACGACATCGACATTACAACAGGGACTGGTATATGGACAATAAACTTCGGCGAGTAATTATCTACAGAGTGATGAGAGATAAGCGGTTGATACACTACCGAATAAGATGGCATCTGACTTGGAACACAGCCAAGGCATTGTCCAATACGCATGTCATTGGAAGCGATATTACCGCCATCCAACCGGGTAACAAGCCACCAAATTGTGAGTTCTCCGAGGAAATTGCAGATGAACCATGGGTTTATAATTACAATTCGATTTTGTCCATCCACGCTTGGGCTTACCTGCTTTGATAACCCTAAACGTATAATCGAGAATACGTACGTTCACATGAAACCCAGCGCTCGGATCGAGTTCCACGAAGGGTCCGCCGATATCAGTAGTTACAGTAACGCCTTTGAGGGTAATATTCCTACTGTGAGCATGAGAACCGTGACACGGAATGCGCACAGGCTTGGCTTTACAACACTGGGGCAGAGGGTTGATCGATGGTACAGCGGCAATGGGCAGACACTGACAAAAAGGGTCGGAGTGGAAAACAATGGTGGATTGAGGCTGGCTGGAAGCTCATTATATACCAATGGTACGGACTAGCCCCCGTCAAAGGATTGAGCTGGAAAATGTTTGGTGGATTGGGTATGACTTCAGATGAGATCGAGGTTCCTGGGAAAAATATCAGGAAGCATGTTCTTAAGAGGGATTCAAGCCTTAGCTACATTTGTGAGTCACAGTTCACTCCTAAAACCACTTACGACTAATTTAGAAATCTTAATCTTGTAACAGGTGTCGTTCGGATGGCATCGAATAATCCCTATGTGTATAGTGAGTCTCGACAATATTTGTACCTACCCGCAGCTCTTGAAGACAATCACGAGTTCTAGATGACTATGCTCTAGTCGGCCTTAGTGACCCAGACAAGTCAAGAAAGAGAGGCCTTACGACAAGACCTCGCTTTCGTGGGCAACAACATTTCAATTTGGATGATACTTTCATGTCAGTAGGATGTGCAGATGATACCTACGGGAACACAATACCCAATTTAGTCGAAGAGTGGACATAGAGCTGTGTCGTCATTGGCTGGCTTGTGAAGCATGCTGTCGCTTTGTTTAGATGCCGGCTGTAGAGAATCTGCAGTCTACCGCAAACCAGTGGTCTGCAACACACTCAGAAGCCTGCGCTCTTATGTGATTGCTGTGATAAGCACCCAAATTCGTGTTCCGAAACCGAGTGGTATGTGTCCTCCACGCTTATGATTGTTCGAAAAAAGCTTAACGCATATGAAGCATTGATGCTGCTCTCATCCTCAGCCCGATACTCGTAATGGACTACTCCAACTCAATTGTAGGTTGAACTTCTCTAACAGTGCTGCTTGTTGCGTGAAAACACACTCAGGGGGCTTGGCTAACGGTCCGAATTTATGGCTCGAATGCTACAATACAAGTAGCATGAACGCGTGTGCCCAAATCTATGCAAACAGATCTAGGGCGAAGGACCGGCGAACTTAAATAAGATAGGTGTTAGCATTGATATATTTCTTCTTGCTCTGCTCCTGACTAATCCCTAAGCTCTATCTTTTCTGCTCATTTCTTATTCAGAGCTTCATCGTCATACTCATGTCTTTCCCCGGGACCGCCACCGGCTTTGTGGCATTTACAGTCGGACGAAGTGCAATTTTAGAACTCTGGTATCGCTTCGTCACCCAGGGCCTTTTGGCATGTCGATCATAGTGACTGCCATAATTGAGCTGTTCGACCGGCCATATACCCAAGTGGATTTATAAATCAGCGACTATGTAGTTCAACTGCAGACTTTTGATACTCTTCTCACAACCTTGTCGCTCGGGTTCTGTGTGGCCATGTCAGCAATATTCGAACGCGGCCGATTTGAGGACGGCCCGGAGGACACCTTATTGGATTGAATAGTGCGCCTAATACATATAAATCGCAAGCTGACGTACATACCCCACATACCATACCCCTGCCCCGGGATCACTGATGACTGATGTAACGATTCGTAGGGTGCTACCGAGATCAGGATTGCATTCAACAAATTCTTCGCGATTTAGGTATCTTGAGCCTTGGATTTCCAGACGCTGGTAGATTTTGAGACGTACCACTTTGCAGAATTGGGAACAATGACGAAGATCAACGACATCAACGTACTCATCACAGGCATGGGCGTAAGTGGCACCCGTCCACAAACACTCATACTATACTGCTTGAGATGATCTGATAAGCCTGAATAGCCTTACCCTGACGGTGATGGTGGGCATATCGACGTCAACACGTCTCACCTCATCACGACTCTTCTTCCAAAAACTCTGGACCCCAATACGCCACTCAACCCCTCCCCCACACGCATCAACATCATCACGCTCCCTGACCCGGTCAAGACGGAGTACAAGTACGTTCGGGAATTCTGCAAGGACCTGCACACCAAGCACGCCGAGGACGTAGACTTGTTCATCCACCTCGGAGAGGCTCGTGGATGGGACTGGCTCACGATTGAGCGGGTTGCATATAAACAGGGCATGAGCAGTACTTGGTGGGGGCCATATTATGGACCACAGGAATACTACCTGTGGAAAGACGACAAGGACTTGACCGTCAAAGATATTGGGCCATGTCCATGGGACGGCGTGCCGATGGGCCTGCAGAGTTTTTTGAACCCCGACAGGGTCGCTGACGGCGCCAACACGATCCTGAAAACCCTTTATCAGTTCGGAAAGCCCGGTGCTTCCGTTGCTACAGTTGGAAATGAGGATGACAATGTTCCTATGCCGAAAGCCGATGCCACCGAAGCCAGCCTTCCGATCAATATCAAACCCCACGACGAGGGTGGTCCAATGATGTGCGGATTCATCAACTACGAAAGTCTGGCGAACCGCTACGTCAGGAAACTCAAGCCAAACGTGCTTTTCTGTCACATCCCCGGCGAGGCGGACGCAAAGAACTTGAAGCGGACTGGTGACGGGATTCTAGCCATCGTCGTGGCAGCAGCGGCTGAAGTTCTCCGTCTAGACTTGATGAATTAGTCAGCCTATAGTTGGTCTCTCTTTGTTCTAGACTGCGTAGCTATTGGTGAATATTGGCCTGGAACACGCTCACAGCTCCGACATCATTATCGCGCAGGTGTTATATCATTTAAGTTGGACACCGCATTGCGCAATCCAAGGAACGATTCACCTGCCACTATAGAAGAGTATGGTCGGAGTTTTATCAGCCAGGAAAGAGTATCTACTCGAGAAGTGCTCAAAGGCTATGCAAATGGGGATTCAGGAGCTAAGATCTCATACACACCCAATAATTTCCTAATCCAATGTCACGACTGTACAGGCATAACGTTTTCTGCGAGCAAATATAATCAAGATAACATCAGAACTGGAACAACTGGATGCGAACATCTGACATGTTTATTATTATCCTATGTACTCTAGGTACGACCATGGCTCGCAGCGAGTACTCGGGAGTATTGTTGTGGCCGAAATCAAACTCGGGGATGATGCCACATCTCAGCGGCACCAATATGTCCTGTGAATGCTCAAGCCTAATTAGTCTGATCTCTTGTGGTTTAAAGGCTGAATAGTGATACTGGAGCTAGTCTAGATGGAACAAAGGGTTTCATCAGGCTTCCCGTACACAATCCCCGTACAATTGACCCCAAATTGGGATGGTATTGCTGCAACTTGTAAGGTTAGGATTTACCACCCCGTGGGCCTGTGCCAAGGACACATGACCAAAAGAAATTACCCCTGGGTACCCGTGAGTTAGCCATTGACTTTATATAAATCTATATAATCAAATTATAACTATCGGGATGGCTACAAATGTACGAGCCACATTGCCGTGCACGTATCATTCTGTAATCCGTGCATCATATTTTCTACCCGCCAAGTACTCATGGGTAAGATGGATAACGATGGGTTATTTGCCATGGGTGGGAGTTTCTCACCTGAGCTGCAAGGAACGCTTGCCTCTATGAGATATGTACTACATAGGAATGTGTGAATGCGTGCTGTGGGCAATATATGATCAAGCAGAACCACCGAGACCGCAAAATGTGGGGGAGATGCGACAGACAATGATATAAAAGGGAACCTAGAAAGATATTTATAGAGCTTTCTGATGGATGCTCGGGCATATGGGGTTTGCGGTTGCGCATTAATGCATATCTTTTTGCTAGATTGTGGCCGAGGCAGATATTCCACCACTGCAGCCGCGACGGGTCTTTATGTATCGTTGGTCAAAGGAGTTGGGCATCCATCGTACATACAACCTGCAGAATCCGCAAGAAAATGCACAGAGGAAGAGATCACCGTTATAAAGCAGACTTATTATATCATGACTTTAGCAGAAAGATTATCCTTGAAGAAGAAAAAAAAAATTTAAAATAAAAAAAGTTTACTACCATGACCTAAATGTATCGATTAAACATGTAACAGCTTTTTTCCTGGCCAAGTGTATCTTGTAGGAGAGTTATTATAAGTAGAACTCGCGAGGCCACCTTTACGCTGCGGGTATTTCGTGACGGATGCTGCAGGATACAGCAAGGTGAGAGACGTGCAACCTCCAGGCTTCGTGCAGACACAGCCACCATAAACCATGAAAAAGGCAACCGAGTACACTTCGACAAACAGAGGCGGCGCGAGGGCAGGTAGAATACGAGCATGCCAAATATCCCCCTGTACGATGAACAAAATACAAGTTCGTTGACAGAATCAAAAACGGAACCGCAGCACACGAGGATGGTTATCATCGTAAAATGCAGTATTTTCCTCAGCACGTACATCAACAGCAGGAAAGGACAGTCGCTAAAAGTGGTATTTGGCATGAAGCAAGAATCGCTCAACGTTGTCTACTAATCGACTGCACCATCCATCGCCTGCTGTAACTGATTGTTAGGAGCGGAGACTGCGGTGCCTCTAGAACCAATAATTGGTCAACCCATGTAACTCCAATGAAAGACGCCATACCCTTTTGTCGGTGGGAATACAAAGTCCAGAAACAAACGCTACTCGCAACGAGTTGAAAAGCGCCCATGGTATTTCCACCGCGGCAACCTTCCGGTCTTGATCAATGGGATACCTCAGACCAATTTGTCAAATGCCCAAAACAAAACGCCGAGCTCAAGAGACAACACGCTCGTACCGCTCTCCAGCCTGATCAGGTGTTATTGCTTTTCTGTCTTGGCGCCACCCTCTCCATCATCCGATTCTGAAGAGTCATCGGCGCTCGCTTTCCGTTGCATCTCCTTGAGCACTGCGCCTTCGTTCGATTCCATCACATGAAGCCGCTCCTTCTTAAGAGCCTGCTCACCACTTGTGACCTCAAATTCCTCCTCGAATTCAGACTCGGAGTCATCGCCCTTTTCTGGCACTGGTAGCCTGCCTGTAGCCGCCAACGCCACGGCTTCTGCAGATGGCGCTTCAACCGCGGTCGGCGGGCGAGCTTTGCTACTAGCATAGCGAAGGACAGCGTCTGTATCGATGGGCTTTAGAGTAGGGTCATATTTGGCAGGAAGTCCATTCGCAACCGCGACCCGATGCGCTTCTTCAGCAGCACTGATATTCGGCTCCAGCTCGTATACACTGCTGTTCTCGCTGTCGGCCTCATGTTTCTGACCAGGCAACATCTGTAGATAGTTCTGGCGCGCCGGGTCTTGGGCCCGCTTTAGCCGTTTCTTCTCGCGCTTCTCAGTAGGACGCACAACAACTACCGGCACGGGTGAATACTGTAGACAGTACTTTGAAAATGAACTCCGGTTGAAGAAGGCGCTCGAAACGCTGTCCAGGCTGCGCCCCTTAGTGCCGACTATCAACATGGAGGGTTGATATATCTTGATCTACAGATGACAGGTTAGCCACTGCCCTTGCTCCACGTTGCACCACATGGTGCAACGCGAGAGATATGCTTACAAGGTGCTGAAACGTGTTATGCAATTTGCCGACAGCATATTCGAGGACCAGGGAAATGGCAAGGTTCTTCTTATTCTTGCTTTGTATGTTGTCCATCAGCAGTTGCGCGGCTTCCTGATAGGCAGTATTGGTCAGGCGCATTTGAGTCTCGATCACCCGCACGCAGATGACCTCATCGCCGTCATCCACGAGCTCGCTAAGCAGCCATTGCAGAGCATGGTCGGAATATGCGTTGTCGTCTACTCCTACCATGAAGGTGCGGCTCCTTCTTGTTGATTGATAGCCGTCATGCTTGGCGTTGAGAGTGAAGGCAATCGGGTTGTAGTCGGTCGATTCGCCAAGGGGAATGTTGTCAAACGCGACGTGCGACTGAAATCTACATTGTTCAGGGGCCTCGGTCAGTGTCTCGATCGCCATGAGGTAAAAGCGTGGCAGTGTGGTGCCAACAGATGTAGGATAAGCGCACGGGAAACAATGAGGGGTAGCGGGAGTGAAGATAGGCAGATAAGAATGAGGCCGCAAGACGGGCAACGACAGAGGCTCGAGGTGTCACGAGGCTTCAGTTGTGAGTGAGCTTTTAGTGGATGGGACGAAAGAAACCAGATCAAATTGCATAACGATGATGAGGTATGTCGGCTAGCCCAGCTAGCTGCGCCTTGGAGTACTGCACGAGACTACTGTACCTCAGTGGGTTGCGGACATCCCCTTGGGCCATCAAAGGGAGTGTAATTCTGGACCGGCTCAAAAGAGGTGGGGTTGACTGATGGCGGGGAAATGGGCAGCTTCAGCGAGGAACGGTACTGACGTTTCCTGGGGGTCACCCAACTTGGCAAGCACAATATCCCGGCGATGGGCTCATCTGTCTGGGAAACGGGACGCAGCGCATGGGCTTGGCTGGATCCTCCTCAATTTCAGTTCGCGGGCAACCGGGCCAGTCTCCAGTCCAACGCAACGGAGAGGAGAGAAGAGAAGAGAAGAGAACGAGAACGAGAAAAGCCGCGTCTCGAGAGCATTGCGATCCACTCACACTAGGGGCCTGGCTGAGGTCTGGCTAGGCGAACAGGACAGAGCATGTGATGACCCCTCACGCGATCTACTTTGCTTGCAGACCTGAGCGCAACACGACTCTGCCCAGGAGAACCTTGCAGACTCGACTTTCCTCTTCTCAGAAACCATTCCGCAACGGCCCGCGATTGCATCTCTGGGGTAGCCTCCCGATCCTTGGTCATCCCCCACGCGACTGTGTTCCGCTGCAGCCAACCTCGCTTGAGGATCTTGGTTTGGAGAAAAGAACAGAGCCTCACGTTTGAGTCTCGTCTGGGCAGTGTAAGACAGATCACGGTGCAGACAGAACCTTGAAGTGACGTAGTGCGGTGCACGGGCAACCTAACAAATTCCAGAAAAGAACATCGATCTTATAACTCACCTTCGGTGTGGTGGGGATGCAGCTCTCCGCCTAGTAGCATCCAGCGGCTTCTTCTTCAGCCCTTGTGGCAGCGACGGGTTTGTCGGCTGCCGGAATGTGACAGAAGATATGGACATCTTCCTAGATGGCGGCTCACTGGTGCTGCCGGGACTGGGGGCAGTATCACCAGGCGTCGTCGCGCTCGCGTCACTATCGTTCTCGAGGTCATCGTCTTTGCTCTTCCTCACCAAGTCTGGGATCTTGTCACCGGGTCGTATCTCAATTATCTGAGCACCACTCTCCGTCTGCGTAGGTAGTTCCGGGCCATCATCCTCGTCAGCATTCCCCGGCTCTGGCGAGGCAGGAAAGTAGCCATCTTCTTCCCGCGAAGGCTGGGTCTTTGGTGAGATATTGCTCTCGGGTGTTTCTGCTACGGCCTGTTGGTTGTCGGCCATGCTAGGCAATTATCGAATAATAGCTGTGATGTTTTGCAAACGTATACAAGCAAGACCAATGCTGGAGACCTGACTCTCGTTGCCTCAAGTAGAGGGCGGAGGAGGCAGCTTCGTGTCGTCCAGCATCTGGTAGTGGCAGGAACCACTCAAAGCTCGCTGACCGAGCCAGAAACTGCCTAAAGAGAAGGCCGGCGATCCTGTATGGTTCTCGTACTGATGATTTCGGTTCGATAATCGAATGGTTTCTGCAACTGCGTGACCGTAGTGTAAAGTTTGACGTGAACGTTTTAAGGTTCAAAGAGGCTGGACAGCGGTTGGAGGGGCGCTTTCGTCAAATATAAGAAGAAGAAGAAGAAGAAGAAGAAGAAGAAGAAAATTTCGATGTGGATATCTTGGCCGGATTGAGAGCGAATGTCTGCCTGATAATACTACTCGAGATAGCAAAAGCTTCAGACCCTGCAAGGTGCCGAGAATTGTAAACTCGCGGTGAGAATTATGTGACGTTTTCTGGCTGCGTATTGATGTGAGTGCGTGAGTGAGTGAGTGAGTGATCCAGTCAAATGCGTTCAGCTGGCCACGTTCCGAACAACTTGTACCCGGTTGTAAAGTCTAGGGAAGGCTCGACAAACCCTGAAAAGCACACACGAAGTAGCGAGTCAAATGCTTGGCTGGTAATTGCGATCAATACGCATTATCTAGATACTTCTAATGGTCGTATTGTAACCTCGACCCCGGACAGAATGCGGAAGGCGCGAGGGTTGTGACACAAATGTTCGGGGATGTGCGATTGTGGAATTGTGGGAGTGGGCTGATATGACCAGGTGGGTTTCGAGGTCGTAAACTGCCTTCGAGGAGGCGAGGGGGGCAAGGAGAGGACTGCGAAGGGCTCACATCTTGAATGAACGGGCAACCTAGGTATGGGTTGCTCAAATGAAGGAAAGGAAGGCCGTGTAAGAAATCAGCCAAGAAGCTAAAATTCTGGCGGCAGTTTGAATGGGGCATTTTCTATCCTTCACCAACAACGAAACTTATGAAAGCGAAGCTGCATCTGAGAGCAGGGAAATGCGCATCAGATCCATCTTTGGTCTAGGCCCAACTGCAGATCTAGTGCTAATTTCAGGTGTCTCCAGGGTTCCCGATGATTCGTTCTGCCGTATTGTATGTATCTTTTGTTCTTTTCTCATACAAGGCCAAGCAGGCGTGCCATCCTCGTGGAAACATGGTTTTCATTTCTACCCAACATTGGATACAATATCCGACCACACACCCCCCTTCACTCGTCTCTATGTCATACGCACCGCAAACACGCATCGTGTCTACCCGTGAGGGATTGGTTTCAATCCAGACTTGAGATCAACACTGCGTAATGAGTCAAACGCGCAGTCAGAGCGTACCGAGAGACACTCCAAGACCCGGGGAACATGCACAACAGCCTCATCAGCACACGAGGGACGGTCGGGAGACACATCTCTGGAGCCCTTGGCGAGCTTGGCGACTGCCGCCAAGTCATGGCACCGCGTCTTGTAGCTTGGTAGCCTGTACGCCTGGAAGCTTCCTACGTGACGAGGTGATCTGCAGCGGTGATTGACCTCAATATCACACGAAATGAGCATTACTTTCCCCCCTTGCCGTCCGCAAAGCTAGGCTAAGCAGAACGGCACAGAGCTTTCCATTGCAACCGTCTATGTACGGTAAGTCGCGACACACGCGCCGCCGCTAATTATGGAGCTTCCCCCCAAGGTTCATGGATATGGATATGACGACGCGGGTGTAGCCGCGCCTACCTTACCCCTCCCTAATAAGCTCTCCCAGAACGGCAACGTCCAGGGCACTTAGTCAGGTCGTTATATATTACCCTTCCCTGTGTCTTCAATGAAATGGACTATTGTCTGCCCGGCTTTCGGCAGCTATCGCGTAGCATTTATTAGTTAACCATGGTATGACAAATGCACAAAGATGGAGCTATCGTACCGTGTTAGCCGGCAATGGTGGGCAGCAAGATGCCGAATCCGATAACGCCCAGCTCGAGCATATATACTACTCTATCACAATTGGTGTTGAATATTGGCCGAGTAATATCACAGATGACCACCGGAGTGACAAGCTTGCGTGCCGTTCGACGAGCCATGGCAGCCTCATTTTTGTTAAAATATTCGAATTGTATCATGCTCACCGTCTCGATTCACCCGGAGGCCTCCAAAGTCCTCAGCCTATCACAGCAATCAGGCATGTACTATACCTATGGACACATCACAACACATGCAAGCCGTGGGCGTTAGATCGCATCCGAATGCATCATTTACTCGAATCCTAGGAGCGAGAACATTGCGGAACCCCCAAAACCTACGCAGGGTGAACGCGGTCGAGACAAAAGAAACCCCATTCGAAGCCAGCATGACAGCCCATACATTGACGCCCACGAGCACTACTACCATGTCCCGAGGCATACAGCTTAACAACGCGCTGCTCGAACAAACTTCTTCCCACGGCACGAACCTGATGCGGCACTCCTTGGCATTGCTGCAACCTCGAGGTAAAAATGTGTGTAAGGCCGCGAGCTCTATTGGTTCCTTCCAGAGACATATCTCCCAACACAATCTTCAATTTCGGATGTGTCACAACTTTAAGCTCCTGTGTCACCATGACGTTATCATAGGCATCATTTTGGCTATTACAGCAGTACTAATCGTTTATGGTCGTGGCTAATCTGCTTGCTTTATCTTGGATGTGGGTGGCTGCAGCCTGTGCAGGTCGAACGGGCCACGGACTCTGGCGCTGACCTCTGTTTGGTCAGTAATTCATGTCAAACTGAAAGGCTGTGATAAATAACCAGTACAGCAATATATGTTGTATTTTTTTGTTTTTGTTTTATTCTTTCTAATATTTCTTTTTGGCTACGAGTGCTATGATCATCAGTCGCAACTCAAGAGTCGAGATAGAACATGATCGAATTGCTCTTTATTATCGTTTCTACCATATTCGTAGATTCTATTTCTGGTTATGACCGTAACCGATCGTGATCATATGTGATATTGACTATCACTCATTTTGCTTAATGTCCCGCGTGCCATCCAGCCCGTTCAGTTCCTTGACGCCTTTGCAATGCAAACAAAGTGACAGAGACATTCAAACCAGCGTGACCATAGCCTCCTATCTGCGTCTCTTAAGACTGAGCGCTGCCACTTACGGCCACTGTCTGTCGTTCCTAAGAAATGGCATCCTTCCACAAATCATCTTGCTACAACGTTCACGAATGCGTTGTCTCAGTTGTATGTTCTTGAGAGGTTACGCAGATACCAGTCCACCAGCTTTCGTCCCACCTTGGCCTCAGAAATGTGAATCAAGTCCTGTAGTTTCCCGTTAGTATGACTTTGCACAAATAAAAGCTTGACCGTAACACATGAAAGCTTGAAAAAATTTAGCGAGACGGTAGGAGAGAAATACGTACTCCCTGTAAAGCGTAGTCTAGGTCGCTAACATTGACCCATTCGCCATCCAACAGGCCCTGGTCAGCCCATCGCAGCTGCTTTGTGCGCAGCTTGTTGACCAACAGGTACGAGCGCAGCTCCTCGGGTTGCACCTCGAGGAAACCAGCGAGCTTCTTCAAGTCCATAGTGGTGTACAGGCGGAGGTAAGACCGAACGGTCGGGTTGAACATGTTGGTCTTGACCTCATCCATGAAGATGGACAGATGGTGGTCCATAGGGTCAACATTGGACTCGGGGTTCTCGAAATCGGGGGCGATGGGAGAAATGAACTTGGGGCAAGCAGTCTTGAAAAGCTCCTCGAAGATGGGGAGAGACTCGGGACCACCACGCTGCAGCTTCAGGAGCTGGTCGCCATACTTCTCACGGAGAGCAGTGTGGATAGTGTCGTCGAGACGAGTGGGGTGGAAGGCTACGCAGATAGCGATCAGTGCGTACATCTGGTCGTTCTTCTTGGTGATCGAGTCGTACTGAGCGTTCTTCTGGAAGTTCTTCGTCCTCGAGACGTAGACGAGAATGTGGCTGAACATGCGGATGGCATCGGCATATCGGTGCATCATCATGTAAGAGAAACCGACGTAGTAATACGTGGTGAAATGAGCAGCCATGACACGGGCGAACATGGCCTTCTTGTTGAGCTCAATGTCGTCGAGGGTCTTGAGGGCAAGGCTGAAGTCTCCGAGAAGACAGTGGACCCGCAGGAGACCGATGATGGAGAAGTAGCCCAGCATCTTGTAGAGGTTCTTGGAACCGTACTCGCCGGCGACGGCGGCGGGGTCCTCGTTGCGCTTCATGGCTGCAAGTTGCTCAACAATCTGCGACCGCTGAATCAAGGAGTATAGCACGTTGAGCACGCTGTAGGTACCCCAGGTGTTCGGGTTCTCCTTAAGAATCTGACGCTCCTCCTCGTTGTCCCTCGGTTGACGTGCAAGTCTCATTCTGTACGAGGAGAATGAGTTGAACTGATAGATGAACTCATCGATGACATCCCAGGCCCAGTAGTACTGCATCGTTCATATGTTAGTACATGGATATCCGGGGGAGGTCACACGAGCTAGCTAAGGCAGAGGCCACTCACGGACGGCGGCTCCAGGTCGACGGGGCCTTCGGAGTTCAGGATGAAATGGAAAAGGTTGCAGTATGAGTCGTAGCTCTGGAACTTGACCTCGAGAGGAGCAGAGAAGTCCAAAGGCTGGGCAGCGGCGACGAGTCTCGACTGAATATCATCCTGCTGCTGAGCCATGGACAAGGAGCTGACGCGCTCCAGGTCCTCGCCCATGCCATCCTCATATTGGACTTGCTCCTTGTAGTCATTGACCAGTGCTTCCTCCTCAACGTCGCTGTCGTCGTCGATGGCGCGGACGGGGCGATCGCCGTTCTGCTGGAAAGCGCTCATTGTGGCGATTCGGGGGTATCGATCGAAATGTTGACTGACAATGAACGAACGGTTGTCGTGTCGAGTCGGATCGTGTCGTGGCGTGTCGTATCGTTTGATGGGGGCCCCGCTGTCGATATTTTTCGCGAGGGGCTGTCGGGCGGCGCTGTCTCGACGATAATGCGAAATTTGCTAGGCAAAGCAGAAACCGCTGCGACTGCCGAAGTTTTGGCGGCCTAAGAAATTAGGGTTATGTGGCCCCTCAGTTGAAATGAACTGGATGGAGCAAGGAGCACAGTGACTGTGGCTTTTGCTCGGGCACCTGACTTGAGCTGCACAGGCTTGGAGAGGAGGCGCTGTCGGAGTTTAGAGCTGAAGGACGGGCGACTGTCTTTATCGCTGGGACTTCAGTCTAAAAAATAAAAATAAAACGGCGGGGTGGTTGCTGATTGCCCCGCGCTCACCTCACGTCACTCGGTTGAAGGATGGGATCGCAACGGGGACGCGTCTGTATGGTAATATGTACCTGGCTTGATCTTCCTGGGCTCCTTTGAACCACGGACTTGTACTTTCGGCAATGAATAGAATGACTGTATCTTTCGCGTAGTCCCACCAAGCAATGATATTCCTGCTGCTGCTGCAACTGTGATGGTGAATCATTCTGAACCATGGAGGTGGGGCAAACGTCACTGCCCAATTGCGGTGGAAAAGTTGCCATACTCGCCTGCTAAGTTAGTCACCTACTGTACAGTAGCCAAGATTTATACAGTCCCTGAGGACATTTGAGGCAATCATCATTCCAGCCGTCTGGCGCACCTACTCTCACTGTCTTGTGCTTCCTTACACCAAGCCTCAAGACCCTATTTATTCTTTTCTTGGTTATACACCCCGTGGCTCGTGTGCCTATTGCTTTTCCCCCAGGCATCTGAGCTAGCTTTCATCATACATTGGTACAAAGGCCTGAGGTGCTATCCAGTTGACTCCTTCGCTGCAGCTTGAGCAGCTTACTCCTTACCTTCTAAACCTCGGCCAACCAACTATACACGATGCCTGTCGTCAGTCCAGAGAAACTCGCAGGCCTCCAGTCAAAGTCTGACGATGTCAGAAATGTACCCCGTTCCCATCCTTTGAAACGTAGTTACCACAGCTGATTGTCATCAGATATGTATTTTGGCGCACGTCGACCATGGCAAGACTTCGTTGACAGATGCACTGATTGCCACAAATGGCATTATTTCTCCCAAGTTGGCCGGGAAAATCCGGTACCTTGATTCAAGGCCAGACGAACAGCTCAGGGGTATCACCATGGAGTCCTCGGCCATTTCACTATACTTCTCTATGCTCAGAAGATCATCGCCGGATGCCGCACCGGTACCTAAGGAGTACCTCATCAACCTGATAGATTCGCCTGGTCACATTGACTTTAGCAGTGAAGTATCAACGGCCTCGAGATTGTGCGATGGAGCTATTGTGCTGGTGGATGCCGTTGAGGGCGTTTGCAGTCAGACTGTCACAGTTCTCCGACAGAGCTGGGAAGAAAAGCTCAAACCCCTGCTGGTCATCAACAAGATGGATCGGCTGGTGACAGAGCTGAAAATGACGCCAGGCGAAGCCTATCTTCATCTCAGCAAGTTGCTGGAACAGGTCAATGCTGTTCTGGGAAGCTTTTTCCAGGGCGAGCGAATGGAAGAGGATTTGAACTGGCGCGAGCAGATAGATAAGCGGGTAGCTGCTACCGCCGCTAAAGAGGCTGAACTGGCAAATCAAGTTAGTGAGACTGACGAGCTGGAGTTTCAAGAGAGGGATGATGAGGAGATCTACTTTGCGCCGGAGAAGAATAATGTCATCTTCAGTAGTGCCATCGATGGCTGGGCATTCACAGTCCGCCAATTTGCCAGCTTGTACGAGAAGAAGCTTGGTATCAAAAGGAATATCATGGAGAAAGTCTTGTGGGGCGACTTCTATCTTGATCCGAAGACAAAGAAGGTCCTCGGCCGCAAACACTTGAAGGGCCGAAACCTCAAGCCGATGTTTGTTCAGCTCGTCCTCGAGCAAGTCTGGGCAGTCTATGCAGCGACTACTGGTGGAGATAATGGAAAGGGGTGAGTATACTTGGCCGATACTGTGAGACGAGTTGTACTGACTTCAGCAGGGATCCCGCAATGTTGGAAAAAATCACGAAATCATTGAATATTGCTATTGCTCCTCACGTCGCCCGTTCAAGGGACCCTCGCCTGCTTCAGAGCACCGTGTTCGCATCGTGGCTACCATTGTCGACGGCTCTGTTAGTGTCTGTAATAGAGTCTTTGCCATCTCCGGCGGTAGCACAGGCTGAGCGGCTGCCCGAGCTGCTGGAGGACTCACCCGGCTCTGATCACATCGATGCTGTTGTCAAGGACGCCATGATTCAATTCAAGACATCAAAATCAGATCCCGTGGTTGCTTATGTCAGCAAAATGGTGTCAATACCTGAGAGTGAACTGCCGCAAAACAAACGAAAGACTGGTCAGCTTAGCCCTGAAGAGGCGCGCGAGCTGGCAAGAAAGAAGCGTGCAGAACTAGCACGGGCTCAACAGGCCGAAATGAACGGGGCGGCTGATCTGGCACAAGCCATCGAAGATGTGTCTTTAGACGACGTTGTGAGGGAGCCGGAAGAAAAGGAGATCGATCCAGAGCACCTTATTGGTTTCGCCCGGATGTTTTCCGGCACGCTCTCTGTTGGAGACGAACTCTATGTTCTACCGCCAAAGTTCACACCCGCAAACCCGCATGCGTCACCTGAGCCGAAAAAGGTTACAGTCACAGCGCTTTACATGATCATGGGAAGGAGTCTAGAGTCGCTCGACTCTGTACCGGCTGGCGTGGTCTTTGGCATTGGTGGCCTAGAAGGGCAAATCCTCAAGTCTGGAACACTATGCAGTCAGCTGGAGGGATCTGTCAACTTGGCCGGTGTCAACATGGCAGGCAATCCCATTGTGCGGGTGGCACTGGAGCCAGCTTGGCCTGGTGATCTGGACAAGATGATCCATGGCCTCAAGTTATTGGTGCAAAGCGATCCTTGCGCCGAGTACGAACACTTTGGCAGTGGTGAGCATGTGTTATTAACCGCTGGCGAGCTCCACTTGGAACGCTGTTTGACAGACCTGAAAGAAAGATTTGCAAGATGCGATATCCAAGCAGGTGAGCCAATTGTGCCATACAGAGAAACTACTATTCGAGCAGACGAGATGAAGCCTCCGGCAAACAAGGAGCTTGGTCGTGGCGCTGTTGTGGGTGTCACAAACTCGAAGCAAGTGAGCATTACTTTGCGCGTGCGTCCGTTGCCGAACAACGTGACGACTTTCCTGCAGAAAAATTCCGGTGCTATTAAGAAGTTATATTCCGAAAAGAATGTCAAGGACGAAGAGGCCAACGCCAACGGAGCCTCAGACCATGAAACAATTGAGACTGACGTCGACAATATACTTGAAGGCAAGACTCTGTCGCATGATGAACTTAGGGTGCAGCTTCAAGAGGCACTGGAGAGTGGTAAAGGACGTGAAGTATGGAAGGGTACCATCGACAAGATTGCTGGGTTTGGCCCTCGCAGGACGGGGCCGAATCTGTTGATCGATGCCACGAAAGACGGCTGTCTCCAGAAGATCTTTGGGGATAATAGCAACGGTAATGGTCCGGCAGTTGACGAGAAGCTTAGTGCAGCTCACTTGAGCGACAAGATCACATATGCATTTCAGATCTCAACCAACCAAGGGCCACTTTGCCATGAACCAGTGCAAGGCATTGCCGTAATTATCGAAGACGTCACCATCACACCTGTGGCGGAGGAAACGACCGCAAAAGATAGCCTTGGTAGACTTACCGGCGAAGTTATCAAAACGGTACGGGAGTCCATCCGCCACGGCTTCCTAGACTGGTCGCCCCGTCTTATGCTCGCCATGTATTCTTGCGAGATTCAAGCAAGCAGTAAGTCTTGCCCTCTTCATCTCAATAAGGTCCTGCACACATACTGACAATCTCCTAGCTGAAGTTTTAGGCCGTGTTTACGATGTGCTGACACGTCGTCGTGGTCGCGTAATCGCAGAGGCTATGAATGAAGGAACTCCATTTTTCACGATCTCTTCGGTCCTGCCCGTCGCGGAATCTTTCGGATTCGCAGACGAAATGCGTAAGCGCACATCAGGTGCGGCCCAGCCGCAATTGATCTTCACAGGTTATGATATTTTGGACATAGACCCTTTTTGGCAACCTTTCACTGAGGATGACCTGGAAGATCTTGGTGAGCTAGCAGACAAAGAGAACGTTGCCAAGCGGTACATGGATGGAGTGAGGAGAAAAAAGGGATTGCTCGTGGAAGGAAGAGCAGAGCGCAGCGAGGGAAGTAAACAAAAAACATTGAAGAGGTAGAGTAAATAGATGTACTTCACGAGAGGTGAATGAGAAGAAAATGAACAAAACGAAATCGACCGGTAGCTTTCGAGCTCCAATGTTTGCAACTTTAGTAGTTTTGTGATTACCGGGTCTCAGGACAATATGCACTGGACCACTTGAGATGCTCCATCAAAATCGATTATTCGGAACTGCCCATATAAATTTGTCCTCTTGGGTGAACTTCAAATCTTCGTGTGCTGCTCACGTGCAGTCTCTGCATGCTCCGTCCCTACTTGCGATCAGTGAACAGTTTCTTGTATTGGCGCAGGACTTATGTCATGGACACATGGCATCCTGCTTACGGTAGATCTCGGCGCAACGTTGACATTTAGTCCAGGGCAGCCGCACATCAATAGAATAACCCAGTAAGAAGCATCCATCACGCCGTATAGGAAACGTGGATGGTCATGCGCAGGAGAGATAGAGAAAACAACACTATCTCTTAGCTTTTGAAAGATCACCGACTTGTGAACAGTGTAGGCCACGCACGAATTTCGACTTCGAGCCATTCACGATTATTCAACAAAAAGTAATACAACACTCTGCTGAAGTCCATTCCCGTCGCTGTGTGCGGACATCATGTTCAGTGTCAACCGGAATTACCGTCCGGGAAACCGCCGAGGTATGCCAGCTTTCGTATACATGGTTGTGACAACTTTCCTGTTAGCCGCTTTCTAAACATAGTGGTGGGCATTCTTGACGAGTTGCCTAAACACTTGAAGTGGTCTTTGAGTCTTCGGAATACAAGTAACCATTTCTGAGATCGACGTTTAATAGCACGGCTGGAATTTTGAAGCACTGGATTCTACGCTACAAACTAGGCGTGACACTTGTTCGTCTATTACTTCGAACCGTCGCATTAGTCTTCACGCGTACCAACTTTTTCACATATTATCAGATTCTTGTGTACATTGTTTTGGGTCTTGATCTATAACGTACACTTTCATCCTTTGAGGAAATACCTCGGCACCTGGCGGGAGACCTCTACACGTCTGCCATACATTCTGGCGAAATATAGGGGAACGGCAACTTTCCGCAGCGGAGAGTTCCATAACAAGTACGGGCACCTTGTACGAATTGCACCAGATATCTTCAAACTCCTCAACACAGATATGCACGGCGATGCACTGTTGCTGCCCGTGACCTCCTGCCGATTTGAATGGTCTGCGGCTTGCTTTATCCGGGTGCGAAGCTTTGTGCCCTCACTTAGAATGCGTTACGGAAAGGTCTTCATGCGCAATATTCCCACACCACGCACAGCCACGGCGTCTACATCTAGGTAAGTCAGACTGGATATGATAGTGGGCCTTTTATCCCCCACTTATTCACCGTATAGGACACTGTTTGGATGCCATCCGTCAGACTATTTAATGCTACGGTATTACAACTTTGAGCCTGACTAGATTTAGGGAGGAGCTTGAACACAACCACATCGACTCTGACTAAACATACACCTGTCGTTTATTTACCTTCACGACTTTTCGACGTCATGATAACGACGGCATGAGAGTTATGCGAAACAAGACTCGTCTCTAGTCGATCCTAGAAAGCATGAAAAATAGCACAGGCATGGAAGGCTGCGCGACATCATAAAAACCACACCAAGAATGAATAAGGGGATCAAATAGAGGGTAGATTAGAATCAGACGAATCGAATTGGTACCCCTCGATCAACTAATGTCATAGATATTTTGATTGGGCACATATGTTCATAGTCAAGTTGTTCCGAATAATCAGGTATCGGTAAGGTTACGGTAGGAATGGTTTTACGAAGAGCCAAGGCTCAATTCATGGAACATGAACAGCTTACATAGCCAGAATTTATTTTCGCTGACTATATATCTACCGATAAATAGGCAAGGCTCCTTAGATCTTGAGTTTAATATTCTGGGCGGGGCAGGTGTGAAAGTCCTCGAAATGAAGGGCCGGTGATGATTGGACTTGGTTCTAATAATCCATAGATAGTTAAGAAGTTCTGCATCCAAGAAAGAGTTTATATCTGTCTATATCCCGGAGAAGGCGGCATGATAGAGTGGAAAAACGTTAGCAGATGGTCAATTTTAGCGCCAGAGCACCGCACCTGGGACTTCTCCTAGACAATATGGCCCTTCTCAGCCTATCGAGGGCAGAGCAGGCGGGATGCTGAATTTTCTAAGAGCTATGGTCGCATGTGCTAAAATCTCTTGTAGGCCAGTATATGAACCAACCGGATTGAAACCCCATCTTATCATCCATCTATACTTTCGTAGTTTTCACAGAATCCATAGACAAGCAACGAGACAGGTCTGATTACATGGTGCTATGAGAGCCGGCTGAGTACCCAGTTGAGCAATTGGGGCCCTGTTGTCGTGCCTGAACTTTGTGGAAATATTCTCATATTGTAGCTGTGAACGTCCTGCTCAATGTGAGGTTATCCTGTGATAACCGAAGGCCCTCAGATCGAAAGCCACCAGAGTAGTCTAAATTAACCATTGATTTTAGCTGTGGTTGAGTTTTGTACTATGTTTCCCGTCGTTTGATGGAGCGCACAGCTTTTGAGCGTTACGTTCAACCGACATCCGCTTCGAGCTCGCATACCATATAGAACCCTTTCACTTAATTGTAACTCGCGATCATCACAACACCAGAGATTTTGTCCTAAGTCTAGTCTGAGACTCTAGATACGGCCCCTTAGGATCTCGCGAGTTAAGAGATGATCAAAACATGGCGTGCTTGCTATCGGAGCCAGAAGCAACCGGCAGAGGACAAGATAGGTTGACAACATATGTAGCAGCGACCAAGCGTGATTTGAAACACGGGCTTCCAGATTTCAGCCTTGTTTTGCCTGCATATGACTTATCTGGAAACGGTCTAAGCAAATGTGATCTATTTAACAGGCCACTTCACCAAGGTACCACGACAGTTCCGAGTTCGGGTTGCGGGCGGATGCATTTGTATTACCGCTTCAGCTCAAGCCCATGGTGAATGCCTGAATGCCTCTATGATCCAGAGGTTGTGTTCGCAGGTACTTTCGACGCCCGGAGCGCTGGCGTGGATGTGTAGTGCTTTCAAAGATAGCTTCCCAGAGCGGTGGCTGTGGCGCCTTGGGTACTGAGAGAAAACAACTTTCTAGAGACCATGGATGGCCTTGCTAGCTGACCCGTTCTCCGAAATTGAAAACGCGTCGTGGCAAGCCATATTTCTTTTCCTTTCATCCCAAAGGCCATCGAGTATCCGGTGAACAACTCTTCCGGCTCACAGGACAACATACGTGTTTGGCCACACCGCCATGAGTGACACCATGCAATTATACCTATGCAATGCGCCCCCTACCCGACGCGGCCTGCCTCTGAGAAATGGAGTTTTTTTTTTGGTTTTAAGGTTGCCACGTCGGAAATTAGCATATATTACTACCCCTTTGACGCCGTAAGGCCTCCATGCAAAACATGTATCGAAGAAGAAACATAGAGTTTAGGCAAAGGCCTGACATCATCCAAGGGCAAACCCCCCACCAGATTTTGACGGAGTGACAGGGTTTGCGCGAATCGAAAGGGGCCAAAAACTCAATGACCCAATCCGAGGGCTTAGTGATGCTTTTTTATGATTTCTTACCAATAAAAGAAGGATTGGGCATTCCTTTTGTAAGAGATAAGTCGCCTTGCGAAATCACCAAGGGGGGGGCTCCGGAAGCTAACAGCAACATACGCGCCAATCGGCGGCCGCACCATGGCCCAAGTGGGAATCGGTTGGATGGTATCTTCGGTAATTGGCATGTTGACGGGTGTTGACCGACTCCAATGACCGGTCTATAGACTTCGGGTAGCAACGCCGACACCGGTGCGGCCGAGAGGTGTAAATAAGGTGGATAAAGATTGCGGCGTTTGGCTTTCGTTTCGAAAATCATTCCTGCAGGCCATTGAAACCCCCACCATCTCATACATACTGCTCAAAGACTTCTGCATCGCCATGCCACCCGCCACGTCATCGCAGCCTCCCATCCTCATCGAGCAGCCGCTTCTGAATAGTATACCACCGGAGCTGGCAGCCCGCTTCGATCCTACCTTTTTGGAGTACTGGAACAAGTACAATGTTGGACGTCTAGTCACGCACCAGGTGCCCATTGAGGAATACCGGCGAGATCCACAGAAATACACCATTGCGTACGGGCGAGAGATTGTGGATACTGGCGATTTGATCATCACCGAGGAGAAGTGCCCTGTGGATGGCGGAGAGATCACGGTCCGGATCTTTCAACCCTGCCTGACGGGCCCGGAACAGGATCCCAGACCCGTGTATATCAACTATCACGGTGGAGGCTGGGTTTTTGGCGGATTAGCGAACGACAATGACTTCTGTAAAAGGTTAGCTCTTGAAGTGGGATGCGTTGTGTTTGACATCGATTACCGGCTTGCGCCAGAATTCAAGTTCCCCATTCCGCTTGACGACTGCTGGGTAGCTCTGAACTGGGTAGGTCACCTCCTTTATGATTCTTGGGAGTTGGCACTAACAAGGTGAAACCTAGATTCGTAACGAGAAGTCAAAGCAGTTCAATTTGGACCTGCAAAATATGGCGGTGGGAGGATCATCAGCCGGTGCCCATCTCGCTGCAATCGTGGCCCACATGTGTCGCAACGAAGCCATCCCTCTCGCCTTCCAACTGCTTGGCGTCCCGGTCTGCGACCTGCATGTCTTCACACCTGAAGGAGAGTTGAAGGAAGATTGCCCGTATAACTCGCAGCGCGAGATGTACTACACACAGCCGCTGCCCGTGGAGCGGCTGCAGTTTTTCCACAGACATTTTCTTGGCAATCCAAGGCCAGCTGAACTCGAGAACGTGAGTCGGGACCTTTTTCAGTGACATGTCTCTCCCTCTCTCCCTCTCTCTCTCGTGCAGTCCGACCATAGACATATAAGCTGCTGACGGACAGGACAGAGCTGGAAGGTCTCACCAATACGATCGCCAGATTTCACCGGCTTAGCCCCTGCCTTGATACTCGTGGCCGAGATGGACCCATTAAGGGACGAAGGCAAGGCCTACGGAAAGAAGATGAATGATGCTGGGTCCAGGGCCGAAGTGATCCAGGTCCAGGGAGTACCGCACAGCTTCATGCAGATGGACGCGATTTTAGAGGGAGCCAAGCTTTACAATAGAGAGTCCATTCGGGCTTTACGTCAAGCCTTCCATTTGGACTGAGATTGTACTAGCAGAGGGCTTTCTTTTCTCTTTTCTCTTTTCTTTTCTTCTTCCACGTCCACAGAGAACTCAACCTCAACCAGCACATACGCCCCAGTGCAAAGCCATCGGGTATAGCAATCACTACAAGTATGCTTCGCAGCAGGATCGTAATGTTCAGTGGTTAGGGCTACTACAAACCAGCGAGTAATCATGCCTTGCCCCTCTCGTTTATGTACTCATAGAACAACTAGAAAATAGAAACACGATTCGCGAGATAGGTACAGAGCAATTTAGAACCACCTAGAACATTAGCTTCACCTGGCTCAGCCCAGAAATACACAAGGAAGACTGAGACCTGCACCGCATATTTAGGCGAGTTGACTCAACGTGCGGCAACCAACACACAAGACAAGTCTCTCATTTCACTCAATAATTCCTACATCGCCGGTTGCCGCCGCCGTACATCTACCAATATTGGGATGAATACGGCTTGACTACAACCGAAAAAAAGGCACAATTATTGTATAGTTTATATTGGGCAGACGTGGACTTTAGTGCTAACCATGGGGCGGCCGAACAGGTGAGCGCGAAAGGCGAGGAGGGGCACCACAGGTACTAAGTCGGCTGGCCAGACATCCATCCGGTGCATTTCGTATTTCAGATTGCGAGCAGGTTGTCCCCTGCCGATACGTGTGGAGATCCAGCTTCATTTTTATGGACGATAAAAGCTTGAAAGTGTCGGGGCGGTGAAATGTGATACCGATTTGCCAATCTCCGGGGATAGACTATGTACGCCAAGACGGAATCTTCCGAGGCTGGATCACTACGTCATGCTGTGAAATCATCATGGAAGTTTGGAGGGGTATCTTTTCAGCTGGTCAAGATAGTGACCGATTGCTAGTGCCATTGCTGACAAGCCATCTATATGGGATTTTGATATATAATCCAGCGCCTTTTTCTTGTTCTTGGAGTCACAAATAGACTGCCAAAATCCTGGCGTTCTAACCATCTCCAAATCTTACAGAGCTGCCCCGTTTGTTTCACTCCTGTGAAACCTCAAAGTCACGATGGCCAATGCTGGCGTTCCGCTGATATACCCGGAGGACCGAAGAACTTCCAGTCCTATTCCTGAACGCCTAAAGATGCTAAAGTAATGCTGTATCAAGTCCAAGTACTGCTGGGCGTCGCTGATGGGCCCCTTCCTGAACGCCAATAGTCATGCAGAATGAGTTGGAGAAAAATGCAGAAAATGCTATTGAAAGTTGCTGGTACAATCAGATCCGAGCCGGCACAAATCCTGTGTACTAAGCAGGGTGATAATGCCGAGAATGAGTCTGGGTCGTGGGAATGGGTGTTGGCCGTCCACCACTAATGGTCGGTAAAAACTCCGGGACAATTCCTGTTCGCACATTGCGGCGGCCAAGTGATTGATAATGCATTTGGGCCGAGCCCAAGTGGTATTCGGAGAGAGGAACCGATGGTGGGGGGTAGTTGAGAGTGTTAACCGGCCTCACCGGCTTGTAGGGGCTGTTGCGCTGCTGCAGGTAAACCAGAGGGGAATTGTTGCTGGGTGTATGTGTCGCGAAAGGCTCCAGCGGTGATGAAGCAAATACAGCCAAGCTTCCTGGGCTGTGGCGTTTTGTGGGGGTTCCGAAGTGAGAAGGCGCAGCGTATGATGGTGTCTGGGGTCCACAGGTGGCCAATGTAGGCGCCTGCGATGCCCATGTCGTTGCATGTGGATAGACAGTCGACATGGCACGCATGCCCTGACTTAGAGGAGGCAACGAGACTGGGCCTTGGGAGTAGGCTGAAGTGGACTGGTAAGCAACCGGAGTTACTATTTGGCTTGTGTCTAATGTGAGGTGGGGGACTGAGAGCCGGTCAGATTCTGGTACACCACTGAATGATCCAGTTGTAGGGACGCCTGCAGCTGGTGGTGGCCTGGTCGTGCGCTTGGGGGCCGGTTCTGAGCGCTCTGAGCTCTCCAGGCTTCGCTTCCTCCCGTTCATGGGATATGCGAGACTCGGCTTGGCTGCTAATGGAGACAATGCTGGTGTTTGCTGGTACGAACTGGGCCAATTCGGTTTTGAGTTATATACTGCAGCATTAGGCGAGTAGGCTGCCAACGAAGCTGGGCTTGGCTGCATGCTGGACGGCAAAATATTCGTCGGGGACGGCAGAGGAGAGCCGAAACCGTGGTGTGTGGGCGACGACAAGTTCAATGGCATTACTTGTGCGCGTTGTCTTCGAACGGCAGCGGCCATCTCTGCAGCCTTCTCCCTGGCGTCGGCCTCTTCGCAGTACTCGTGAAAGCAGGCCAGCTTCTTGATCCAGTCTTCCCACTGTTCCTTGGACACAAGCAGACCATACCGCATATTACTGAGAAATTCGACCTCCATGACATGAATCTCCTTAACGGCAATGCCTGAAACCTCGGCCCATGTCTTGTTCGTGTAGGTATTATCGTCCAAGACTAGCAACGGGTTAGCATAGTATCCTTTTCGGCAGTTGGCTGACATGGCTTACACTTATTCCCTAGCATCAAGGCCACGGTGAGGAGCCTGTATTCACTGCCTGGACTTCCGTTCACCTTGGCGTTTCTGCTCTTGAGCCTATAAACAAAGAGCAATGCTAAGAGAATGACATTCTGGGTAACTTGTGTCGTCGTGAGAATGCTGTTCACCCATTTCTTGTAGGCAATACCGGGTCTCGTATAAGAAGAAAGAGGAGGGATTGGCGAGGTAGAAGGGCGAGTCTTGATTTGCTCCGCCGCTTGGATTGTCTCCATGTTCTCAAACCAGAAGAAGCAAGTCATCTATTAGAATTGTAAGTCAGCAACTGGCAAGTAGGGCAAGGTCGGGGATACCACTCACCAAGGAAGCAAAATCGTCCAGATTGCCACCATTGGGTGCTATGCAACTGGGCAGCTTCAGACTGTGCATGACCATGGCCGAGTCTCTCCTTGACACTCCCTCGAAATTCGAACGCACTGATGTCGCTGTTGACGAAGGGGTAGAGGGCCGGGTGGTATTTCGAGAGTTGTCAATCAAGGGAAGAGAATTGACCGATGTGTGATTCGAGGCATATTGTGACTGTTGTGGTTGTGCCAAATAGTCGGGCTGGTGCTGTTGCCCAAAGTTTTGTTGTTGCGGTTGGTTTCTGGTAATTTGGCCAGCTGTAGCATCGCAAAGGTTGGGAGCAATTCGACTCAGTTGAGTCAAAGCAGCCGGCTGTCTTGCCATGGTCACATGGCTGTTGTATGTCGATGAGAGGGCCGAGTTATGAGGGTGGTACGCAGTACTCATATTCGCTTCGGATGGTGGCGTTGGAAGACCGCCGTTGCGCAAGGCAGCTTTGTTTGCCAGGGAAGGATGTTGTAGTTGCTTCAGGTCAAGGGAATATAGCTGCCGCTGCTGTTGGGGCCCTATCGAGACTGCCGGGGAGGGAAAATGTGGAAATAATGTCGGCCGGACGTTGGAGGCAACGGTTGAAGACATGAGGATCGTGTGGAAGATACGAGGCTAGTGGATAACAAGGCAATGAACCACAGCCGAAGGGAAACCCGGGAAGCCTCGTGGGTCAAGATTAGGATAAGAAACTGATTATTGTAAGAGGGTCGGATTGTAGTGATGCGAGGGAAATGTAACGTGAAGCGCTCTCTGAGGTATCTGAGCCATTCGTTCTTTCGATCCGGGGCGATTCACCATCAAGCCGGCAGGCTGGCTTTGTGATGCGGCAGTAGAGAAGTATGCCGAATTCGGTATTGTTGAACAATCACAATCACCTATGAGCCATCTCGTATTAGACAAAACTCCCTCACGATGGTGATTGAGTACGATAATCGCTTCGCTGGTGGGGGTGTAGTTGCTCGGCAGAGCAGAGATACGGTATGATGGATGCCCGGGACAAGACTAATGTCTACCAGACAGGTGATCAAAGCAGAATCAAAGGGACAATATAGACGTCGGCGTCCTTCCAAAGTTCCTGGAGTTTCTGCGAGCTACAAACGGGCTGAAGACGGAGACGCAATTGGAACTTGGGCGCCTTCCGAATGATATACAATCAAATCAAATCAACCAATCGTTAAGTTACGTATTGTTCTAGGTAGCGGCCGGATCGAGACTGGTGTTGACCCTGTCGGACGAAGTAGCGACGCGGGCTTGGCCTAGAGGGGTTTGGATTGGCTGCTCCAGTTGGTGCGTGCAGGTCAAAGACTCACTGAGGTCGCAAAACGAAAAAAAGAAAAAGAAAAGCGGGTAGACAGGAGGGGTGTGGACACGAATTAGGGGAGGCGTTGTGGCAGTGGACATTGAATAAGTAGCAGGGTGGCCGACAAGCATCTTTTCATTCCGCTACCAGCAGTTGCCAGAGGTACTTGCTCACAAACGGTGCGTTTGGCAATGGCACGCACCCTGTCTGAACCACCTGAACCGTGACATGCCACGAGCAAGAAAATGAGGACGAGGCCAGGGGGCGAAATTAAAGAAGAGTCTGGTGTCCAAATCAATTCCCTTTCCTCCCTCTGTGCTCTGCCCGCTGCCCACAAGCCAGCAAGCCAGCCGTACGGTACCTAACCTACCCTATGTAACTTAACCTAACCTAACCTAACCTTCAGGCATTGAGAAACGGAGTCCAAACAGAAAGGTACGTACATGCATGCATGCATGCGTACGGTAGACTGGCTGAGGCTGGTTGGCTTTCTCATTCCTTTTGCTTTACGCTTCCGCCCGCCGCTGTAACAAAACGACGCCAGGAAGCAACATACAGTTCCAAGTACCCTACCAGGGAGGGGAGGGAGGAGACTGCATGACTGATGATAGGTCGCTTTGGTGCAAGCAAAGTCAGACTCTTGCTTGCAAATGGGTCGTATGGATCTCTGGCTTGGCTTTGCTTCCAGTGGTACCGTGGCTAGCCATGGCCCTGGGCTGGTGCGCTAGTTAAAGTCAGGCTACGGACTTATCCATGGGCAGATAGGCGTTGTGTTGAGGACGGACTCCAAGTCAGGGACTCTCATGACAAGGGTTTCTTGCCATCGTCAGACCTTCAACAAGTCTACCGTATCATAGTTTGGGAAACAGGTGAAAACTTGAATTCTCCTGGCAGACAGGCGGGTCTTGGGGAAGTCCCTGCCGTGAATGGTTAATTGGCGTGAGGCTACCCCCCTCTTTCGCTGTTCGCCATTTGCAGTAGACCCGCCCTGGAGGAAAAAAAGACTCATCGTTGACGTTTCGCAGCTGGTTGCTTTCCTTGCGTTACGAATGGTTGATCTTAGTACCAGACTTTTCTTTCATGAAGCTTGCAACACTTCGTTCCAACACGTTCCTTGTCACACCCAATCAGGAGCCCCAGAAGAAATCATGTACCCGGGGCTTGGACTTCTAAGCAAAGTTGCAGACCAGACCCAGCCCGCTGCAGTTGATTGATTACATTACATGGGATAGTGCTCGTTACCTCCTGAGGCAATTGCCGCCTTCAGGACCGGCTTTACGCAACACATATCGACTATGATTAAGCAGCAATACCAGATATGCCAGGTTTCAATTGGTCTAAAGTGTGTGTGCCCTATTTATGTATGTGTGTATGTGTATGTATGTGTGTGTGGTGTGTGTGTGTGTGTGTGTGTGTGTGTGCGTGTGCGTGTATGTTTGCGTGTGTGTGTGTGTGTGTATGTGTATGCGTGTGTGTGAGCGTTCGTGTTGCATCTGCACTGTATGCAATAGTGTTCAGGATTACGTGGTAACTCCGACCGGGCTCATCAGGATCGTCCTCCGGCAGCCAGATTCCAGCTCATGCTTTGTGGCTGGCTTATTTGGTCGCTGCACGTTCAAGGATATTGTACCTAGTAACCTAGCAATTCGCCGGGCAGTGTTTCCGCAAGCACCAAGCCAGCACTGAGAATTTAAATAGTCGCTAGACGGTCATAGCCTAGACGAAAGTTGAGGCACGCGCGCAGTCATTGTCCCACCACCAGGCTGTGGGACGGCACTGCTCGGGTCGAAGCAGATACCTGGGAGGCTTGAGGCATAATACGTTTGAAACTGGTCTGTCCGGATGGAATGATACAATCATGTCTTCCAGGCTTTCCTCCTTGCTTCCCGTTCATGGAATGCAAGCGTGAAAAATGGTACCGTGTTTCCAATGAAGTGCAATGCCGACCGGCCAGGATATCTCACACGTATAAGACATGTCGGGGCTATGCGAATAATTCGCATGTTGCAGTGTCGAGCAGAGTGATCACGATAGCCTGACCATGACACAAATATTGTGCAGAATGCCACTGGCGAGGATGGGGAAGAAATTCGGACATGCAATTCTCGCAACTCTCGGGAGTTACTCGATTGCGCCCACTCGATAATCCATTCATGGTTCATACTCAGATCATGCTTCGATAATGATGAGGCAAGAAACGAACTTCAAGGTTCTGTTAAGCGACCCGTCTCTGTACATAGTACACAGTAATATCAGCGTCAGGTAGGATATGTGGATTCAAATGCGAAGCTGACATGCTTCGCTACTTTCACGGTTCATTCGTCAACGAGTTCTCAAATGAACGACTGCATACAGTCTTGTTCACTGTACGATGTATCAGATCGTGTCAAGCAAGGGCAGTTAAATGTCAAGCCGACAGGGAGGCGGCAGAGATAGACTCAGGATTTAGTTGACCAGGGCACACGACGAAGTTATGAGGAGTGCCTAGCAGGGTTGCTATCTCCTACAAGGTCACCTGGTCCGCCAATTAACGCGAACGAATATTTTAGTCTATGAAGCATTTCAATAAACGCAGATTATCGGACAGGGCAAGGCGCTGAGCACATGGACCTCCCAGGTTGAGACATTACTGTGGAGCGCCTCCTGGAGTCCTGCATACGCTGCCACAGCGGCGAGTGTGCAAGCACGCGGCGATTCTAATATGCGGTGCAGCGCTTTGCCTAGGTTGCAGCATGTATCATGATGGGATGACTAGCTAGATGGACATCACACCTGGAACCAAAACGCCTAAAGCCGTCAACAGTGGGACATTCCGCGCCGGGTTGGCGGGGAAGCGTGCCAACCTATCGCATCGTGTCCTTGAACGCTATCCGGGGAGGAAGAAAAAAAATCATACGCAGCGTGACTGTTGAGGTTCGGCCATGCTATTAGACTTTATGTCGGGGTGGATAAGAGAGATGCGAAGTGCTCAAATCCCGCATGAAAATCCTTTCCGACATGACCGCTGATCGCCGAGTTATCCTCCTCGATACCGTGCATGACGGTGTGCTTCTATAGACTTGGGTAAAGTTATTATATCGCATCAAACATCGTTCCTACCATTTGGTGCAATCCCGTCAGACCATACGTGGGTCTGTAAACATTGCATGGGCAGCTTTGATGATCATATTGCCATGGCAAAATGATGGAGCGGAACTCTTACTGTCCAATAAGTACTGTAAAATATGACCAGATGTGGAATTTCAACATGTGAGATCCAGCAATAACACTCCAAGCACTGGCTTTTGAGACGGGTTCAGCATAGTACAAGTACCAAAGTATGACGGAGTCTAGGCGTCTAGCCTGATTCATTCACGACAAAGGCGTTTGGGGGGTGGGACAGAAGACAGCCGCGACACACCAATTGAAGCGTTCCGTGATGTGTTACAGTGATAAATGACTGAAGGTGCCGTGCCATGAATGATTAGAAGTCATGGTTGGCCATGGTGTCAACACTGCAACCATTGCATACCCACTACAATCCAGCCTGAACCAAGAAAGTGCAAAACGCTGGATGGTGCCAACCAGAACAAGCTTGAGCCGTTTGCGAACTGGACATGGAGTGCGCATTTCGTCATGTGACCCGTTTTGATAACGCCCATAGGCATACACAGGCAATAGCGGGATTGTGTCCATACCAAACTCGTCTTGCCTTGTAGAAGAGTCCAGTGCACCTACAGTATCTGATACATTTGGACCGGCTTTTTTACTCATAGAAACAAGGCTAATGAACATGCCGCGTATCGGAACAAGAGACATGTTCACTACGGGGTCGTCATGTATTTTGAAGGAATTCTGCCGCATATGCAATCCTAAGTGGGATCACCGAAGTCTGATCATGTTGTCGATTGCAGCACAGGGAACTTGCCTCGCCCTGGTCCGAAGACACCGCACAGGCTTTGTTAATGTCTTCAATCTTGGGCTGGGACCCTAGCAGCTATGCAACCTTGTAGATTACTCTTACACCAGGCTTGGAGTTGTGAGACCGTTCATGGTCGTAGTGTACGCAGCTGATGCTGTACAGGTGGGTGAACACTAGGTTCCATATAGCTCGCGGCATCGCTATGCTTGAGATTGCAGAAGTAGTGCTTCCGGAGATGACACCCGTGGGTAAACGATTTCATTTCTGGCACGTAGGTAGGGAGTCAAATGACATATTGACTCTAATCAGCAACATAAAGAAATGGTGATGTGTCAAAACTAGGGGGGACGACCGTATGGGCTACTGTTTAATACGTGTACCATAATCTAGCCAATCCTTGCCATCCATGCTTCTGACATGGGAGGATCGAGTTCTGATACTATCTTGGGATTTGATACGCGCACCCCTTTCTCTTTGAGATCCTTCTGGCCGTTACTCAAAACTAGACGGGGTACTATTATGGCGGACTAAAGAAGACATGTCGAACCAGAGTTCTCGATAATAATAATTGCTTTTCTAAAATCACGTTCTTAAAGTTCAAAATGTTGAAGGTTGCCTAGGGAAGTTTTCCCACATCTCAGTATCATCTCCGAGCGAATGTGCCAAGGCGGTGTTTTTACGAGGGGGTCCACGACCTGGCTGAGGGCGGGGGAAGAGTACCCGTACCTAATAATCATCTCCACCTTTATGCAAGCACTCAAGCTGCGCTTCATCAGGAAAAGCATCAGCGACGTGACAAAGAAGAGATGACCATCGGAACAATGGCGCATTTCGTTTCTCCCGGTCGTAGTCTCACCACCGGATTGTACCCACTTATTCCTTCCGGCTTGATAGCGCCTCAGGTTTGGGTTTGATTGGTGCAGTCGTGCTGGCTAGGTCTGATTATCACGCTGGGAGCTGCAACCTAGACGCGGCGGGGCATATTGTCGTCAGTTTACTTCACCACCAGCCTCCTTATGTCGATCAATTCATTGGGTTATTACAAAGTGCAACGCTTGCCCTAATATTAGCCCATCGAAGTATCACTTTCATCTCTGCGAATCGGTTAGCAATTACCGCTCTCCTTTGCGCGTCCAGCGCGTATCATGCCGTCAGCAAGGTCGAACGATCCGGCTGAGAATGTCTCGGCATCACGATTCCTGCTGGTCCGCTCCACGAATTCGAGTTTGTGGTTTGTTTCGACCGGAGTTAACCTTGCAACAATCCGTCTGAAAATTACATGACTTGCTGGCTCTCACACCTAAGCAAAGCGCCTCCTATGCGAAACTGCATAACTTGACGTGGCACTAGACTCTACTAGAGCTGCTCTGATGTTGCCCATTCATTCGCACTTTTATCACCTGCGCAAACGTACGGTGTACTTCGTCGCGCTAGATTCCCTGCAAGTAGGCCCCCTTCTCCCAGGCGGCCGACTGTCAAGACGCCCGATCACGACAGCAGGGCATGGTTACATTAGTCAATCCTCTGTCTTTGTCAACGCCAGATGACTTCACTGATCATGGCATTCTCAAATTACATGATTTGGCCCCTCGCAGCGGTGGTGCATTATGTATTGATTAATCTGAAAAGAGATGGCGTCTAATCCAAGGACGAGCAAGTATTTGACGTACAGGTTGTGGTTTAATGTTCTAGGGCTGCTTGCCACCAACTATTAGATGTGCCTCTATATATCCGCCCTATTAGCTTACTAAAAGCTAACAAATAAACCGAGTGAGCACGTCTAATGAGATAGGTCATTCCTACATCCTGTGGAGGACGTAATGCTTGCAATCGGGCGTCTCATACTGAAGGCACACAATTTGGCTTGTTAAAAGACCTGACTTCTCGTACCACGGACGAATCTAAGTCAAAACCATCCAAGTATTCGACAATACCACCACGCGCAGGACGAAGAGAGAAAAAAAAACTTTTAAACTCCCCCAGACGCAGATAAGTTTATCTTCCCCTTAAAGACTCTGGTTTTGGCTTGCCCAAAATCATATGATAAGTTTAGAAATCAGTACAAAATTTGAGTAATATTACGGCGCTTAATAGCTACATATGATAATATCTTTGATTTCCCCGAAAGTTGTTATTGTGTTGTTCTGTTGTACAGGTCACGAAAGAGTATTATAAAACGATGTGTCCGGTTTTCTTCGTCTTGCGCGTGGCACTAACTATAAATGCTTTCACGGTCAAACTTAAGCATACGATTACAAGTAAAAGGAAAATGGAAAATGTCTTCAAATAGAAAAATCACATAAATACATCAAATTTGAACTGAACCTGATATCTCAAACTTATATTTTGGTTGCATGGTGGTATGAGAAGGGTTCGTGAAAAGCGTGTCCTTCGATAGGGAGCTAGAGAAGTGTGCATTCTCCTACTTATAGCTCCTGACGGGCAATTGCCACAGCGCATGCGGCGCCTTGACGACCAGTGCGAGAAATTGTCATTATAGTCATTAAAATATATGAACCAGATTTCAGGAAAATTAGCGATTCAACCGTGGTTTATATTTATCACACCGGGTCTAATATCTTGGCCATACTTCAACTCAGGATGCTCGCAGGAATTGCACCAGCTCGGCCATTTCACTTGTACATCATCGCAAAATCGGCTTGAGGATTATGATCCCGTCAGTTGATGTTAATAATTATGGATAGAATTATGACCTTTTATTCAATTACACTTAAGTGCACTCCGTATATAGTATAGTAAAAGGTCCGCTTTATTCATTCTTTGTGTATTCAATCCTGAAGGATCTGTTCAAATCCCCGTATCATGTCTCATATTAACCTCTATACATGAGCTTCAGTTACTAGAGTCATCGTCTGCACTTAACTGTGATCTTCATGGATTTCTGAACCAGTCATCCGGAGTTGACGGGTGTCACTAGTAGACTACTCTTAGAGGTTTAGGCGGTGGACTGGCTGCGACTTTGTCTCTCTATACACACTCCCTCTAATCCTGCTAGACCGGACCGGGCGAATTCTGAATCCAGTTTCGTATCGTTAGTAGGACTGCACTGTGCCTCCTCGGTCCAAGATGATGCCCAGACCTCCATCCCTCCTCTAGTCCATACCAACGGAGTCGCTAAATATTCCAACTTTCTGAAATACGTACGTACAAATCCATGTTTGTTACTGTATTGGGGAAAACCGACCCCGCCAAATCTCCGTTCTTTGCACGCACTGTTTCGTATGCAGAGCTTCAACGTGCGCCGCCCAATGTGCCAACAGGTCAAGCTACCACTCCACTTCTCCGTTTCATGTGGATACGGAATTACCTCCGCCAATCTGGTGGTCAATCAGCCTGTGTATTGGCTGTCATCGTCTAATTTTCCAATCGGCACGGCAAATGAGATTTATTAGTATGTGTCGGCTGGTCTGGCCCCCTTAATCCACGAAGGTCAGCTCCTCATGGATGCACATGAGTCGAGTAATTATCACAAGTTTTAACTCTTTCCTTTCTCGTACGGCACGCTCCGTTCGTTCCGGATGCACCGCCAATCTTGAGAAACATACATCACAGCCGACGTATACGAGAGGGCAGTTCAGTCCCCATTGAACACGATAACCATAACCATGTATGCACCGGTTTGCCTCGGTGGGAAAGCCATGCATTCGATCATTAGAGACGTTTTCCGATAATAGCTTATGGTGGTATCACGGAGCGGTGTCATCACTCGTGCTGCATTGCTCAGTCTGGTAATGCATCCTAACCATCTTGGTCATTGCTTGAGTATTCCTCGATCAGGCACTGTCCACGAGTCTTTTCGGTCGCATGCTTCTTTAGCCGAGGCCTTCCCCAACCTGCGCGTCACGCCTACTTATCCTGGACCCAAAGGGCGTCAAGCTTTGGTCGTGATCTATGCCAGATTTCAGCTTTTTCTCATATTGTCACGCAATCGGTCATTTGACATGCTTGTTGAAATGGTTACTGTGTTCATGCCATGCTCCCTAGGATTGATCAGAGTCTACGTAGTTCTTGATGGGCTATCAGATGTCTGGTACCCTCGCCAGTTGGGTAAAAGAAACATTGCCCGCTTTGATCCTTGAATGTAACTGCATTATGGTCCTACGTCGCTGGTGGAGGCTTGCTTTTCGATATGCAAGTCGCCAGGAACACTACACTCAGTGTGTTAAGTTTCGTTCTGTGCATTATTGAAGCCGTCGAGGGCCCATCTGGACCATTATACTATTGGACCCAACAACACTGTACCACTTAGCGATATGTCAGTCAATTCATAGTTCCCGAAGGTCTGTCAGTTGCAGGGTTGTTTCATATGGGTATAAGGCTTTCTTTCAATCAACCAACCACATGTTAATAAACTTTCGCACAGCCAATGGGCATATAGCATATTCCAACATTGTTTCACTGTCTGCTACGTGCTTCTGCTACACAACCATCATTACGTACTGTTCAAGCTGATTACAGAAAGACATGCATGCATAACGTTTCTCCGTTCCGTCTCGGTCTTGAATCTCTCGTGCAGTGCAAGTCTGACCGAGCTTATGTACCTTATGAGCCCTCCATCCCCACTGCCGGGAACTCATCGGCAAAAGCCTCGACGATAAATAAAAGTATAGCACAAGGAACCCACAGTATTCTGGGTCCTCCTCATATCTTTTCTCCATATAATATTGGATAAGAAGCAAATTTTCAACAACAAAAGAAGCACCTTGGCGCAGTGGAAGCGCGCCGGGCTCATACTCCTACATGAGGCGACCCGGAGGACACTTGATCGAAACGAGTAGGTGCTAATTTCATTTTTGGCTTTTGTTCACATTTTTCTGATTTCTTTTTTCGATTTATTGTGCCGTGTTTTGTAACGTGTCAAGACATAGTCAGTCACCAATCCTAAGCCTGTGCATCCGCGACGCAATGTTAGTCTTTAGACACGTGCGCCAACTCAAGATTAGTGACTGTAGTTATCGTACGATTCAATTGAATGGGTGGTTTTCTCTTTTCGGTCGTGTCTTGAATTGGTTCTGCATATATACACCTGGACGCTGTTCAAATTTTACGACACTTACACAGATCCGGCTTTTGGTTTACTCTAAAGCGTCGTCCAGCAGTTCCAGTGCAACGTGGAGCCTAGTGTCATCTCAATATAAGGGCCACAGCTTCCAATCAGAGCAGTGTCGTAGGCTGTTGTACGAAATTGCCCTAGGTTAGGTTATTGCGCAACACGAAGATCTTCCGAGCGGAATAGATATATAACAGGTCATATTCTTCAATCAAACTCCTAACACTTATCAATGCCACCAGCCACCATACTTAGTCCACCAATACCTTCCCAGCGAAAGTACTGCTCATTGTCCGTTTGACCCATATTCTGCTGCTCTCACAACACAGATAGAGAAATCTGAAGTATGCCTCGATTTGGGTTGCAGTTACAATAGAGAAGTTGGTAAATATTCCACGACAAAAATGAGAGCATATTTGTGCAAGTAATACCTTATGTTTGTGAACATGCAAATATGTCATTAGTTATATATAACCTGTATAACAACTTGTTAGAGATTTACCCGAAATACAACGATCATGGCACGAACGAACCTCTCCGACGAACCATCCAAGATATCTGAGTATACTTTGATGTGCTATCAGGATTGTTGAAGTTTAAAAAAATTGGTTTCTTTTCTTCAATATCTCATGATGTCGACTTTGTACGACATTTGGACTGGCAGGATAAAATTAGCTTCCAAGAAGTATTTTGAAACTTTTAAAATCTTCTCGGCGCTCACGTTAGACATATGAAACTGGACCCCCGGGTTCAAACATGCCGCCCGTGATATGCTCCGAGTACTGTGATCAATGTTAGCCATGTCGACTAACCTAGGCCAGTAGGTTTTCTTCGATGCAAAGTCCTTCGTTGACGGGCCATGATGAATGGTAAGACTGAAGATTTTTCTATGACCGAGTTGCCTAGACATCGATCAACGACCGAACACACTTTGACTAACCCGTAAGTAATTAATGATGGGAACGATTGGTAGAAATTTTGTAATATCCGCCTCATCAACTATAAACCCCTAAAATCGATATATATCCAAGGTTATAAATACAGTCAAGTGGTCACATCCAAGTGTGGATATTAAATCTTATCTAAGTTAAACCCAAAGATGGCAACCCATGTCCGAATATGTCTGACCATATAAAACTACGTATAGAAACTAATATCCGAAGATGTAGTCACTTATGTTGCGTGAACCCGTGTTAGAAGGATCCATGGTCCAGCTAACGATGGCATTCTCAATACTTAAGCTTGGGACTGAACACTATCTAGGTGCGTAATATATGTGCCCTTACCTTTCTACAACTTAGCAACATCAAGAGCGGTAACGAAATCCAGTCGGTACCGGGTTTCAATGTGAAGATTATTGGAAGGATATTTACTGATGTTCTAACGATGCACGGGGATTTTAAGTCAAGTAACGCGGACCAATTACCCACGCAAAAGTTGTGTGCTTGACCTTCAACACGGTGACATGTCGCTTGGTCATGATACAGAATTCAATTGCTGGTGCGATTCGAGCCACTGCAGCCTCAAACCAGGCGTTCAGGGTTGTGGTCTTGCGGAGACGACCATTTTCGGATTTCTAGATATCAATGGAAGTCCTCATATAAGCTTTGTCAGTCAAGGTGACAGCGACATAGTCTCGGCTTCGCAGATCATACTGCAGCCGTATCAGAAGGGCCATTTGTACGGACTCCACTGTGCTTTAAGCCCCTGTTCGTTTTGAGTTTGCGGTTGTTTGTCCCACTATGATTTAGGTCGAGCTACATATGTAGTATTCGCTGAGCTGTTAATCCCCACAACTGTTATTGACATCGCGACATGGGGTTGCAGGCGACCATGTTCATTCGATCTTCGAAACACCTTCTGGAATACACTGCCTTTCTGGAATCCATTGTTCAAACCTGACCTAGGCGAATTTGAAAAGCTGGTATTTATAAGTGTGGCCGCTTTCTGTCACCCGCCAATATTTTATATTGCTTCATCTAATCTGTGATCTGTTGAACCTGTCATCTCAACTACATTCGTCCATATTTCCTAGCCCTTCTTGGCATTCTGTTTAAACCATAATATAGAAGTTGAAGACCCGGCGTCTCACAAACCATCATCCATTTCAAGCATCATACCTCAAAATGCAATACTCTCAGCTCTTTTTCACCACTTTTTTTGCTGCCACCGTTGTAGTGACAGGCGCGCGTAAGTGGTCATGCCTTGGATCAGAGCTCAAAAAAGAGCAATGCACTGATAGGAATATAGTCAGCATCCAGCCTCGTCAATCTTCCGTCGCTTGTAATATCGCGCGGTTGCAAATCGTCAAAGCTATCAGCGACACCAAAAAGGCAGTCGCAGACATACAGGATCCGGCTGTGCAAGACGCGGCTACTGCAGGTATCCAGCAAGCTCAGAGTGGTGTCGCCCAAGTAGCACAATCAATATTTACAGGTGCAGCCACTTCGGCAGCCGGACGCGATGGTGTTGAAGCGGGTTTGAATGCAACGAGTACTGCTCTTGCAGGAGGTGACACGTGAGTTCTCGTCAAGTCTATGCATACGTGGTAATACCCGCTGACATGTATGCAGAACCGACACAGCTGTTGCAAATGCACAAACTTCTCTAGAAGATGCGATAACTGCCGGTCAAGATGTGCTTGCCAACTGTTAGCGGTATTCCGTCAATCCCTTAACACATCAAGCTCAAAGCAGTTTATTCAAGTTTGATCGTTTAGCGGGCGTGCTTAATCTACGTTATACCCCCAATATAGAGAATATACAGGAATCTCCCAATACTAATGTTCATACTAAGTGGTGAATTGTGATACTAAATTTGCATAATCGATCATGGGAATCTCATTGCCCCCTGATGACTTGCCATAATCTGTATCGTGGAATGGCTGGGAAGGCCTTCGCAGGAGATTGCTATTGCAAATTGCCAATTACTCAGGCGACCGAGCTGTCACCCCCAGCTGTTGGTCTAGGTTCTCATTGGTTAGAGCCATGAAGGAATCTCAGTGACAATTATATTATGTGCTCTTGGAATTAAGATAAGAATTGATGTACGAGCTTCACAATCAATTGAGTTGAATGCGGACTGGATGCTACCCCTATTACTTTTGACAATCCTTATCTGGGCCTACAAACTCAAGCATACCATCACAATGACATGTTCAATGTCAACAATTAAATTGAAGCAAAAACTATGACTGCAATGCCTACTTTTTAAACGAATAAGCGGATTTAGTGTACGGTTTTGGCATGGCCCATCCGCTGAAATCGATGGTTTATTTTTATATTTTTTTTGTTCACCTTTTGTGTATACGAAATCTAGTCACTTTTCGCGAGGCATTCAGTTGGCGTTCAAAGTCGCGCGAACTCCGATGTAGTCTCATTGGGCTGCCTTGCATGATCGCTTCTGTCCTAGAATCAGGTGACACGAAGAGCAGGTGCTACGCCATTCTTGGCCATAGGCATCCTAATCAGATGCCAAGCTGCCGTTTCAACCGAGGGGGCTCCAAAAACGACATTGCTTTCGACGCTGAAGTCGTCACATAAACAAAAGCGTATGACACTCGAGATACACTCTATACTACGTGAATTACTGCTATCGAAAACATCCTGATAATATCTCTTTCAAGACGCAACTCGAGGTGGGATACGCGTACGGGGCATAACTACCAAACACGAAATATATATCCGGTAGTCGCAAACGGGAGGTCTCGCCAATGTCGGGCCAACAAGCCAGGTTCTTGCGCGATGATATTGAACCTCCAGCGTACGATACACTATCCATCGCACCGCCTGCCGGCGATTTTGAGAACGCACATGGAAATGGGAGTACGTACAGCAGCAGGCACGACGCAGCTTCTGAAAAAAAGTCGCTCAAAGACAAATGGCTGCAAATGAAGGAGGAAGAGAAGCGGCGTAAGGAAGAGCGTGTTCGGCATGTCACCAAAGCGGAGGCTGATCGTATCACCGGACTGGATAGGCTTAGGGAGCGGCAGAAGGAGGAGGCGAAGAAGAGCGGTACAAAGGGACTTCTGAACTTGTCAATCTTTTGTTGAAATCACCAACGCAATCAATTCGACACTTTGATTGGTGGGACGAACGGCTTTTACTGATACCACAAGGCCCGGAGTATACGTCGTACGTTGGATGAAGATGATCCTTACCAAGGTTGCACTGCAAGGTCAGAGATGAGTATGGTTTAGGATCTACATAGAGAATTGAACGCTGGTTAGTGAATTTAAATCGAAACAGTTCTAGACCCTCGCTGTGTAAGAAGGCCAATCTTATTCAGGCTGGGGAACGAAACTACTTAAAGCGCCAACATTTCTTGTGTCATTTCGAAGCCGAGGGGATAAACCGCGCAAATTGATTTAGCTGTACCATACGGCATTTGCGGGACCAGATGCTAGCCCAAGATGCGCAACAGCCGCGGCTGTCGTCACGTCGCCGCTTGCATCGATCTTCCATACCTCGAGAAAATTTGAGCCACTGTCCGTAATTGCGAAATAGTCTTCACTGAATGGAGCTGGCGAAACGGCGTTCGCAGATCCACCACTGTTTGTGGTCGGAAGGAGGAACAACTGCTCCGTGATGGCTCCCGAATCGCTATCGAGCGCGAAAGCTGAAACATAGCCGGGCACACCAACAGTTCGAGATCGTGTCGCAGCGATCAGATACTTAGGTGACAGAGCGCTACCGTTACTGCTCGGAATAGACAACAGCACCTCATCCGCCCAGTAGGAAGATGAATTTGTGTATCCTGTGAAATAATCAGCTAATGTATCATTACAAGGATACCGCATTCATCATACCTGCAGGAAGTAGGGAGTAGGTTTTGTTGGTGAAGGTCAATTCGCCCGAGTCAGAATCGCGCTCATAAGCGGCGATGGAGTTTCCAGCCTCGTAGACAACATACACCCACTTGCCGTTAGGGTGTGCAGTTAGGTGGCGCGGATCAGAATCGTCAGCAGCCTTTAGGTATTGAACCTCTGTCACGGTCCCTGTCTCATTGTCATAGGCATGTACCCAAACAGCGTTGCCCATGTCATCAGCTGAATACAGGAAGTCGTTATCGTGGCTTATTGACGTGCCATGAACACCGCCAGCACTATCGTAAGTAACGTTGGCAAAAGCGGTCTCCAAGGTGCCGGACTCATCAACCGAGATAGCCAGGCTTGAGCAGCCACCGCCATAAGGAGTACCAAAAACAGTATAAGGAGGCGCAGTGGAAACTGCGATGAAGTTGGCGTTGGAGCCTGCGTCTTCGTTAGTTGTGTACGCCCCCGCTCTCTCACAAGAATAACTTACAGTCCGAAGACAGACTGACGTTGCTCTGGTATGTCAAGCCCAGATCGTCAGTGATAGAATAGCTCTGGAATGCACCAGTTGTTCCAACATAAACGTTCTGCTTTCGAGCCTAGGACTGGCATCAGCAAGCACGAAGACCCAATATCCAGATGAAATCTTACGTCTAGCGAGACCCACTTGGCACCTGAAGTCGCACTGGTCGTGATGTTGTTTACAAGTGTGAGTGTCGAGGCTGCATCGTCGAATTCAACGCCTACGATGGTTGAACCCGAGAAGAACCCAGCGAAGAGATGATGCGTGTCAGCCAGCGCAGGCACAGCACCGGCTGCGAGCAATGTAACGGAGCGCATAGTTGATAATTACTGAAGTTCCTGATGTTGAAATATATTCAAACCAAGAAAATATATGCTAGGCGTTAGACTTTATACCTAGACCTTCCATTCCACATGGAGACTAATCAAGCTTTGTCAAGCTTCGTCAAGCTCCAATGCCCACGATCTACAATGAAGTGGATGCGGCACCCCAAGGTTCCAATGCACGATCAATCAACTGCCGGTAGCATATACCACATATCTACTAGTGGACCGCGCGGAATGAGGCTCTTGCCGTACGGCCATGATGTAGAAAGATGAGTGCTCCAATAGGGAACTTGAAATTGCTAATTTAGCCTGTCTAGACACGCGTCGATGGGGCGGCGAGGAAACATGAAACAAATGCTCTTGGAGGGTCCAATGCGATAAATCGACCAGGTCTAATATTTGGAGAATGGGGTTCTAAGACCGAGCACGAGCATCCCTCACACCATAAGTGACTACATTGGTAGTGTGCTTCTGCCGATGTGGTTCACAGCCAAGCAACATGTAGGAGCAGCATAATTGGCGGAAGAGTTTGGTCATGTTCGAAGGTTAGGCAAGGGCCTTTATTGTATTCGTAATTGCGTTTGGGTTTACGTGCGTGTAAACAGCGGCTCCACACGACAAGCTCCACGAAAAGCTCCACGCCAGCGAGGTTCCCCAAATCTTGGCAGGGGACTGGAGGATTTAAATAACGGCGATTGCCCCGGCGAGTTTGCGGAATTGCGAGGACTGTTCGTATTGCGTAGCTTAATGGGCTGCAACAACCACCTGGGCTCTGAAGTCGTCAGCCGAATTTCTGCTTGGTGTGTTCTTCTCCCAGCTCCGCCAATCATGCTGACGTATCAGGCATTCACAGATGGGACCGTTCCAGCCTGGCAACAAATAAACCCCCCAAAAAAAGTCGTAATTGCGGGTGTGATCAATCATGGGCCTGCTATCCCGCGGCCTTGGTGTCAGAGATTACGTTTATATGTAACATGGATGACTATATGAGCCCCCAAATACTAAAATGAAGAAAGAGAGAAAAGAAAGAGAGAAAAGAAAGAGAGAAAAGAAAGAGAGAAAAGAAAGAGAGAAAAGAAAGAGAGAGAAAAACTCACCGAACGGAGACGCACGAAAAGCCCATATTCCAATTGGCACATGGATACTTCGAGCCAATATTTCCGGGCTCGTTCAAGAAATTCGAAGTACTTCGTTATACACCTGGTCTTTCGTATCTGGACACTGACAGAAGCGAGGCACCAAGAATTCAGGGATATTATATCAGACACTCACTGACATTGTCAACTAGGTTAGTATTGTTAATTCAGGGACTTCATATCGCCATCAGCACCACAATTGACTGTCCAAGGATACCTCTGATGGCAAACAGTCCAAGTCCAATCAACACATGTTCCAAAAATCAAAGATTGGACGTTGTCCGAAAAGAAGCATTACATGCGGCCTTGAAGAGATGGGGCTGCCAGCGTGGTTTCATTGCTCTCGCCGGGTAGATTGGATTTGCGAATAGGTAGGGCGAGATCACGCCTACCGATTTAACCATCAGAAGTGAAAATTTCTCTCATCAAATCTGGAAAACGGTTCCTCGGGAAATCCAGATACGAACGGCCACATTGCAAAGTCACCTGCTCTCAGAATACTAACTTTACAACTCTCAGTGCAACTTCCTCTTAAGACTTATCCACCGATTGACTGTTGTCATGACACTTCCTTTCGTCATAAATTATCTCAAATTACTATTAATGGCCATGCCGAGAGAATACACCATCGATCACCATCTGCAGTTCGATATCAGTGATGTCTATGCTGCCAGACTGAAGATGACTATTATAGCACAAGTTGTGCCCGTTACCTTGTTCGCTTTTTGTTTTGTTTTGTACGTCGTCCAAGTGTCCTTCGAAACTGGGGTGATGTAGGGTTTCGCCATCACCTAGTCATTGCGATTTAGCTGTGAAAAGATGAGAGTATTGCTGGTGGAACTTGCTTCATATGAAAATGGTCAAATGGTGGGTGAGTGGTATAGCCGTCGGGATCTTTGGCATTTAACCTCATATAGCCCGGCATATGGAAACGAAATCCCTAACTTTGACATATGCACCAGAATCCTGGGATTTCGGTAGGGTAGTTATTGCTAAAGAGATTATACGAGATTCCAGCAACGATCATTTAGGCCAAGAAGATGTTGTTGTTAATCCAACCTCGTGTAGATGATATTGAATATAGCGACAACGTGAATTGAAAACAAATTGGAACGAGTAGCCTTAAAAGATTGCTTGCGCGTTCGGTGGAGATGATACCCCACCAGGCATATTAAGGGGCATTGATGTGAAGAAGAACGTCGATCGACCAAGTTCCTTACACACCTCAGCAAGCCTCTCAAGATCAAACATTTCGCCTAGACAAGTATAAGCAGTGTCTGGAGTAGGATGGGGGGCACGTGACTTACCAATGGGCATCCCCCATCCAGCAATTAGATACTCATGAAGGGTGAATTGGCCGAGGGGCGGGAATACCTCAAAGGAAACGGCATCCCCAGCCACCGCTGCGAACCCTGCATCCCATATCCATCTCAAGACCTCCATGCTTGCCTCGAGACCAGCATGTTTGGGCAGTAGCGAGGCTGCATATGCCTTTTTGGCGTCGGGGGACATTTTGTCCCATTCTCGCGTGAACCCGCTGCGAATCAACAAGATATCACCTTTCTTGAATACAACATTGTTCTCACTGGCAATAGCTAGGACATCGCTCAACTTGATGCTGTGTTGAGAAAAGGCAGAGTATTTGATGTGTTTCTTGTCAGCCCATGATGCATAGTCAATCAGCACACCGCGGCCGGTAATACCTTCACGTGCCCAGTGGTGAATACCGATCCTAGAATTGGATCGATCCAGGATCTCATCCTCGGTAGTACCGCCATAGAAAACGCGGTCCCTTCGTCCCTCCAGTTGTGATCCGGAGCAGAAAGGAGATTTGGAAATAGAGGGCTGTCCAAAATGCCGCAGTCCGTCCCATTGACTGCTCTGTTCTGATCGAAGTCAGTATCTTTGATGCAGATGGACAAGTGAGTCCCACGTGGATTGAAATGATAAACGTCGTCAAAGCACGCGCCGTCGAGGATCGATACGATGCTATGCTCACACTCCTTCCTCCCGAAACTTGGTTGTTCCATTTTCGTGAGCTCCCAGTTCAGACCAACACGTCTACCAAGACAGATCTCTTCAGAGGCTGCTTCGCGGACGTTTTCCTCTGTGAGAAGAACTAGCCGTCCGATGCCTTCTTCGTGGCTTCCTGGCATACCGACCCATACTCTTCTGGGGTTCGGGAGCTCGTCAAACTTGAGATCCATCAGCAAAGGCTTTGCCATGGTTTCTGAACTTTTCAGAAGAAGAAGAAAAAAGAAAAAAAAAAAAAAAGGGAGGAGGGGGGCGAAAAGCGAGTTGAAATGGTGTCAAAGTATCTGTGAACAAAATGTGGTTTAGGACCGCTCGAAGAGCGACTGTTTGACACTACGGCTCATCTATTACCGTCGAGGGTTTTGATGCTGTTAGTCAAATGTAAGGCAAAGCAAACAGTCATGAAAAAGCTCGGGAAGCCCAAGCGGAGTATCGCAGACGTCGCCATGAAGAGCGAGAAAACCCTATCAATATACAGATGACGAGTACAGCGATCACTGCGATACTGGCGGGTGATTGGATTGCTTCTTACTCAACGGGACGCACCGGCTGTTGTAAACCTTGCAGTTTAGTTCTCCACGAAACAGATACTCCGGCATCATTGGATCTGACCAATGGCGGACGATCAGAACGTGCTGCAATGCGCGCCAAGAGTGTTACAGTCTGCAACATGCTGATCAATAGAGTGGTGCAACCTCCGTTATGTCGTGGAACAACATTTGGCAGTCGTTGAATCAAAACAACTGCTGACCCTCCTAATCAGAAACCGCGAGAAACATTGCAAAACCTTACCTCGAATATGCGAAACTTGCATGTCGATCGGCAGATCCACCTGATATAAATGGTTTACAATTGAGCGCATCTCTTTTTTTTGCCATGCTTATGGCAATTCATGCACGTCATTTGACACAGCCACTAGACTAGTCCTTGTATCAAATACTGAGCGCCTTGGGAGTATATCAGTCAATTAAGAATACCCTGTCTTGAATTCCAATCTTCGAGGCTATTTCTCTTCGTTCATCTGCATAAGCTGTTATTCGACATCTACAGCATGTCTAATCATGATGACCAGACTAGCGTATACAATCGTTGGGTAATCGCTTTTGCCGCTCTTGGATCTACTGTGAGCCCCAGTCATACTTATCTCTTCGCGCGTCTTCTGATCAAATCATCAGACTTACGGATACGGCGCCGCTGTTTTTGGGGCCACAATTGGGCAACCAGGATGGTATCAGTTCTTTGGCCTGCCTCCGAACGGCGAGCCGGGCTATGTGACTGTCACAACCCCTGTGATAGCGACAGCAAATGGGCTGCTCAGTGCTGGCGCAGCATGTGCTTGCCTCATTATGATGTGGTCTGGCGACTATTTCGGACGCATTCGTAACATACAAGCAGGTTGCTTCCTAGGCCTTCTCGGCGGTGCATTGCAAGGTGGATCCACGACGCTGGCCATGTTCCAAGCTGGTCGGTTCATCATGGGATTGAGCATTGGGACAATGGTGACCATCACCCCAATGTATCTCTCCGAGATATCCAGTCCTCGTTCACGCGGATGGTTGGTCGGGCATCATGCCATCTTCCTCGTGTTCGGCTATATGCTTTCTGGCTGGGTCAGCTACGGGGTGTACTTTGCATCTAATCTTGAGTTTGGCTGGCGCTTTCCCTTGTGTCTGCAAGTAGCACCTCCCCTAATACTCCTGCTTGGTTCTCCTTGGCTACCTAGATCACCACGCTGGCTAGCTTTCAGAGGAAAAGATGATGAAGCATGGCGGGTGCTCCGACGACTACGCAAGTGCGCAACGGACCAGAGCGATATAGTTGCCAAGAAGGAGCTGTTACAGATACAGGAACAGATCAAGCTAGATCGGGAGAAGCTAAGTGCTTGGGGTGGCCATCCGTGGAAAGCCGTGTTACTGAAGAAAAGCTACCGCAAACGAATGATAATAGGTTTCCTGACTCAATGGGGGGCTGAATTTGGTGGACCACTTGTCATTGTGAGTCCTTAAGACTGGAATTTCGAGATGGTACTGACATACCACCTCGCAGAATAACTACTCCGTAATTCTCTATAACGGATTAGGTCAGACCGGTCCCATGCCCCTATTGCTCTCGGCAGTCTGGCTCACATTCGCCGGCGTGATCTTGAATCCTGGTGGAGCTTGGCTGCACGACAGGGTTAACTCGCGACGGTGGATGTATATGATCGGATTTATAGGAGTTGCCATCACCACAGCCTGTCTAACAGCAATGATTGCCTGTTTCGGGGGCACTGACAACAAGATTGGCAATGGCGCAGGGATTGCCTTCATCTTTCTCTACCTTGTTTTCCAGGGTACGTTCTGTGACACGACCATGTACATATACATATCCGAAATATTTCCCACGGAGATCCGTTCCATAGGTATGGGCTGGTCTTTATTGGGACAATTCATCGGTGAGTTACACCTACCTCGTACGAGGTGGTTACGCCAACTCATGATCTGATGTGCTGAGTACTTAGTAGCTACCATAATCCTTCTGCAAACAGCGCCTCTAGCATTTGCGTCCGTGGGCTGGAGATTCTTTTTGTTGATAATATGTTGGAGTATAGTATTTGTGCCTGTTATTTACTTCTACTTTCCAGAGACCGCGGCACTGTCCCTGGAAGCAGTTGAGCAGCAATTTGGCGACGAGATCGCCCCCGTTATTCAACAACAAAATCTCGAAAAGGGGGCGGGACGGACTAACGTCGCCAGTGAGGAGAATTCTGCCCGACAGATTCGGGTATGAACAGTAATAACGATTGTGCCAAGGGAGTTGCCAATGCAAGAGAGTGGAATGGTGCAGAGTCTTGAAGGCGTTCCATGCCCTTCCATTTATGAGAGATGCGGGGTGCATGTCGACACTGCCACAGAGCGTGAATCTTGCCCAAAGCTTTGTTTATGATCCCCGCACTGAATCTGCGATATTACATGTCTGTTCACCAAGTGAACATTGTTTTGTAGCAACATTTCCTAAAACCTGTGTTTCCTGTCGAATATAATGAGTCCAGATGAAACACTTGCCAAAAGTCTGTCGCACTTCCGCGCAATCCAATGGTGCGCTGAGCAATTGGATGATCCCAGAATCGAAATCATCCAGCCACCAGGTCGTCCTACAGATAAGCTAGTGGAAGAGAAAGTCTGGACCAAGACGCTCAATACACCGGAAACACTGTCTGCATTTGTTGCATTTTACCACAAACCCGCCGAGGCAGATGAACCCGTAGACAAGGTATCTGCATTCGTCACTGCGAACCATGGTATCGATGGGTGGCCTGGAATGATGCAAGGTGGCATCATAGCTACACTTATGGACGGGATGGCAGGCTTGATTCTGGGGGTCAATCAAGAGCTTGGTCTATTTCCGCGGAAGCGTTTTGTCACGGCGTTTCTGAACACTACATATATGCAGGCCGTATCAACACCAAGCACGATAATGATCACGGCTCATATGGTGAAGACTGAGGGCCGAAAGGTCCATGTCGAAGTTATCATCCAGAATCATCGAGGTTCAGGATTGGCAAAAGGCGAGGCCCTGTTCATTGAGACAAAGGCAAACTTGTAAACCCCGACCAACATGCCTGGAAACTTTGCGCTCTTGGTATATGTAAAGCCTGCAAGGATCAGATAATGCATACCGAGCAGGGAATGGGCAACGCGTGAAATCATGACCATTCCTTGAAAAGGGAGCTACTTTGATTCGCAAATAATTTCCCACCCATTGCCTACAACTTTACATGTTGTCCTGTATAGAATCAAGCATTCTCTGTACTTTACCGATACCCTTCAGCACGCCTGGTGTATACGATTGGCTGTCCACGACGGGTATCTGGAGGTTCATCATGGGAATACCTCCTCGCTTCGTAATCAACATATCGTGGTGCAGCCCTAGAGCTCTCATCACGGGTCTCGACATATGTTCTGGAATCTTGGCGGATGGTGCGGTTGTCCTCAACGTATTGTGCCCTTCTTGCATCTCCCGTACGACTTCCATCGACGCTCATGGTAGTAGTTCCGTGCTGGCCTCTGTTGACACTCACGGGGCGCCTCACGAGAATAACTTCGTCCAAGTCCGCTCTTCTTGGCACACCCTCAATTCCCAATCTTCCTAGGCTGCTGCGTGGTCGATCGTAATCGCGATCCCTTCTTCGTTCTTCGATATCACGACGGTCGTCGCCACGACTGGAAGGCTCACCATTGCGACCGTCGCCCGCGCGTTCTGCAGCCTTCTTCTTCTCCTTTCTTATGGCCTTCTCAATCTCCCATTCCTCTTTCTCGCCGTAGGTGACGCCTTTCGGCCAGAACTTATGCGCCGCATAGGTTGCAGCTGCTACTGAGCCAAGGAAAACAAGAGAAGTCTTCAGCCCGCTTGTTGTGTCTGTCTTCTCCTTAACGTCCTTGAGCTTCTCTTTTACCTGCGTTCTTTTGCTTCTGCCATCCCGCGATGGGGAGCGACTGCTAGACGTTGATGACAGGGAATCGCGCCGGCTAGTGCGTCGTGATCCAGGCCTTGAGCGTGAAGGAGATCGAGAGAAAGAAATGCGACGGCCAGGTCTTGAGCGAGACCGTGAACGGGAATATACCGGTGATGGAGATCTCGAATAGCTGCCAAACGACGAAGCCGGCGAAGCCTTGCGAGGGTACCGCACGTCTGGCATTTCTTTCACCGTGCTGGTTGGCAACTGAGATGTATTGGTCAAGTGGGCCCCTCCCGTTATGTCCGGTTCACATGAGGGAACCAAAATGCCTTCGGTGACCACTACTACGTAGGGGTGGCGATAACGAGGTCGTGGCGGCTGAGTACTTGCGACGGGGAGCGACTGCGCAGTACTATGAGTGCGTCTTTGACAAACAATTCACTTGAGCTTAGATTAGGTCCGAATAATGGTCCAAAGGTATAAGAGGTTGGGAAGGTCTTCAGATGAGATACAAGATAATGGGTTGAATAGAGGCCTCTCTAGTACACTTCACCACACATGTGTTGGTATTACGGATTGTGGTACAGAAGTTGCCAAGGCTAGATAAGACGGCATAGAAACGGATCATGGGGGGGGGGGGGAGATGCTTCGGGAGATGCAAAAGAGACTGAGCCGATCTGCAGACAAGCTTTTTATCTGAGACTTGGCTCGCAACGGTGACGGTGATGGGGGAATCGGGTAACCTTGGGACAAAAATGAGATGGGCTGGATCGCTTGGCTGCTGAACCTGCATCGATAGCCACCGACGAGCGTGGTGTAATGCAGCCGAATGCATTGCGTCGCCTGGATTGGCGAATGGGATTGCTAGTGCAACCGTTGGCTCATGGGCGGTTGACCTCACCTTGCGGTCCTCTGTGACTCTCGGGGGTAGCACACAATGGCCCTGTTTCAGAACCTTGGTTGGTATCAAAGCTGGATGTAGAGAGCTTTAGGTTTTCCCGTCTTGAGTCCTGCCATGGAGGGACGATGGCCTCTCGTTCTGTACACGGGAACTCGTCAGGAAGTCCGCAAACGCAGCATTTAGGAGAGAGGTGACGAGTGATCCTAGCTAAGGGAATTCCAAGGTGTGGAAAGCATCGAAGCAGCCTAGCCGCGCAAGACTGACTGAGTTCCCTCCACGGCGTTGCGGTCTAGGCCAACAAAAACTGCCTACATATGATGTCAGCTCGGCGGGGATTCGTCCAAATCCAAAGTGCTCCAGCTCCTATTATAGACAGACGTATTATAGTGCTACGTAACGAGCAGCGCCGACGTGTCAAAGCTTTGGGTGCTCTGGCTCTTATTATCACTCCCCTGCATCTGGAGCAAAGGGCCATTCTCGTAGGCACTGTAAAGCAGCGAACGTATCACAGCATTTATTGATGTATTCTGATCTGATCTGATTGGATGTTGTCCCCTCTCACTGCACTGTAAGTTTGTTGACGGAGCGCTGTGTAACAAGTGTCCCCGGAAATTGGGGGCGATTGTTGCAGGGCCTCCGCTAGTTACAGTAGTTACATGCCTCACTAACGTCGAGGTGCGCCGCGCGACTTGCAGTGGCCAGTCAAAGGCGACTCTTATCCAGGCTCTTAATTGAGACCCGCTTTGTCTGAACGCGACTTGACGCGCCGCCGCCCAGAATCTTTGTCGAGGTCACGATAGCAAATTACCAGTCAAGGGAATTCTCAGTGAAGTCCCACTAGAGATGCCTTAGTACTCTTGGACACACCGGAAATGGCCATGGAATCACCACCTTCATCCGATACGGGAGCTCAACCGTTCGACGCCTCGTTGCCATTTGCGGGGGTCGTGGTTTGCTGCACCAGTATTCCGGCCGAAGAACGAGTAAGTTGAGATGAGATGCCTCCGTCCCATTCCGCCCCCACCAGTCGTGGTGCCTGGGACTGAACCAGAACTAATCAAAGTCGCTCGCAATCAGACTTACATCGATGAGCGTGTCAAGGAATTCGGCGGCGTACACAAATATGACCTGACGCCTGATGTAACCCACCTCATTGTCGGCGACTACGACACTGCCAAATACCGTCATGTTGCTCGCGAACGACCCGATATCAAGCCCATGGCAGCAGGGTGGATCAATGCTGTACGAAGCCACTGGGTTAATGACCAAGAGTTCGACTTTGCCAACCTGGAATCCGAGTTTCGACTGCGGCCTTTTGAGAGCGGCGGTGGCTTTCCCCAGAGCACAGATTCGCCCAAGAGACGACGGCAGCAACTGTTGATATGCTTGACCGGCTTCGAGGACCATGATCGTCAGTACATCGAAGACACCGTGGTTGCCAACGGTGGAACATACATGGGGGATCTGTCCAGGAGGGTGACTCACTTGATTGTCTGCAAACCCGAAGGCAAAAAGTACCAGGCTGCTAAGAACTGGAACATCACAACCGTGTCTATCGAATGGCTGGATGATAGTGTGAGGCGGGGCATGATATTGGACGAAGTCTGCTACGATCCTATTCTACCAAAGGAAGATCGCGGAAAGGGTGCCATCATCAGGAAAGAGACGAAGCGACACTCCCTCGGGGCAAAACGACCTCGTGATGGGGCAGATGCCGTCCAGCAAAATGGACCAAGGAAATTGAGAAAGAGTGCAAGCATGCGCTTGAACAGCCAGGGAAACAATCTTCTCAACGAGATTTTCAACAATAGCAAGCAGCATGTGGCAGATGCACCGAGACCAGCTTTAGAGCAAAAGTCTTTGAGCACTTCAGTGCTCCCGCCTGTCGCTGCTCATATCCTCAAGCCTCTACCTCAACCCTTGGCCAGTCTATTGCCGTCTCTACCTTCAATGACTGCCGACCCGACACAAGCTGCAGACGGCGTCTTTGCGTCTTGTCGATTCATGATACATGGGTTTCTTGAGAGGAAACATCAAATAATGTACGATTGCCTGACATCGCATGGAGGCCGAATTGCAAAGTCAGTGGAGGAACTATCTCTACCATCGCAGCACGAGCCACATGATCAGCGATTCCTCGTGGTTCCTCAGACTTCACAGCCACACACTCATCCGATCATCCCCGAGGCCGTCCACATTGTCACTGAATTCTACATAGAGCGTTGCATTCATGGCAGACAGCTTCTCCATCCCACCGATCATGTACTTGGAAGACCTTTCCCTAGCTTCCCTGTAGATGGTTTCGAGGAGTTGACAATACACAGCACCGGATTTAGAGATGAGCAACTCAACCAGGTCGAGAAAACCATTATACAGCTTGGTGCCAAGTATGCAGAACGATTCAACAACCAGAGTTCATTAATGTTATGTCCTAGCCTCAAGGATGTGCGGACAGGAAAGCTTGATCTAGCACTGCGGAATAAGATACCTGTCATCAACGCCGAATGGTTATGGCAATGTATCTCCGCGGGGTTCAGAGTGCCATGGGATAGCTTTGTCTTTCCCGAGATACAACATAAAGTAGCCATTGACGTTGACCCGGATCTGGAGAACCGACGGCAGAAACTACAACGGTCTAAATCCGAGCCTATCCGGAAGAAGGAGAGCAGACCAGATATACGTGCCCCTGCCGCCAAAGAGGCACTTGATTTGACGGCGTTTTCCAAAGAAGACGTACGCGCAGCCGTGAGGCATGACAGTGCCGCCGACATCCCGCAGCCAAAAGTGGCTACAGTCGTGGTGCAAGAAGAGGACTCGGCCATTGACGTCTCAAACTATGATACAGCACCCACTCATCAAGCGCATGACAGTCTAGGCAATGGGCCCCTTTGTGAACTTGGCAAGAACGCGCTTAACAAATCGCTCGATACTCCACTGTCCAGGCCTGCTTCTCACAACACTCTTCGACGCTTCCCAACCGGAGCTACTGTTGGCGATTCAGAATTCGGCGATGACCCTGATGCCGCTCCCATGCATGTTATCGGCGCTGCTCTCGAAGAAGAGCAACCTGTAGCGCTCAACGTATCACATGCAAAGGGAGCACAGAAGCAAAAAACGGAAGAGGTGAGGGCTGCAGAGCGCGCGGCCATGGCGAAGCAGTTCACCAGCCTCATGGATAAACTACCCACAGATGACACGAACAAAGACAGCAGCCATACGAATTCGATGTCGGCCGCCAAAACCCAGCGTCGTAAGCGGGAGATTTTGGGACGTGCGACCTCCAACGCTTCGGCGGCGTCTTCGGCAAGCGCTGAATCAGGTAGTGTTGCTAATAAACCAAAAATGATGGATAATACCAAAAGCGCACCTGGCTCTATGGGTTTACTGGATGAAATGTTGAGTGGAGAGCAAGACGAGTGTGCACAGACCGAGGAGGCACCGCTACCCCCAGCCACACAAGTCGGGTACGACGACCCTCAGGCCCGGGAGCATCGTGAAAAGCTTATGGACAGGATTCAAGGGAAGAAGAAGAGTAACAACGACCAAGTAGAGAAGATCCAAGAGAAGCCAGCCAACGGGCCGGTAGCGGGCGTCACGAGTACTGCTGCCAGCAGGCGAACGAGGAGGAAAGGCTTCTGATAGGCTAGAGGCTATAATGCCCGACTTACGATTTGGACGACCAAGAGGATTACAGTACGGATCAGTATTGGGGCATGACTAGGAGTATTTTGGACGGTCTGCCACGGGCCATGCATCATGGAAAATAGTCAGATATTGCTTTTGATGATCATTCTTATGGATATCCGAATGCAGAGCATAGTATTTACAGGATACATAGCCTCTATGAATTTGTTTCATGTTTTTGCCAAGTATGGTATCGCCTGCAGCAGCGCACTGCAAGTTATTTGCCTATCTCGACTTTATTCAGACAGTAATGATGACGGCCGTGCATCATCAAGACCACTTCAGCATATATATTCAGACAAGTGGCACGGCACATTCCATTAGCCCAAACCATGACCAACGGTCTTGAGAGTGACGGTAGGGCAATTGTTCACCTCGCGCAACAAATTCATCGGATGTGATATCGGAATTGCCTGATCATATGAGGAAATTCATCGGGCAGATCGATGCGGCTGTCCAATTTGTGACACGGGGTTGGAAGATACATTCGGAACCGGCACACACGGCGATGCTCGTTGCCATCAACATGCCGGTATCCGCCTCGGCGAGTTCTACAGCCAGTTTTCCATGCCCTACAGCCGATATACAGCACAGCATGAGCCAAGAGATTCGGCGGCTTCAGTACAATGTCACATTCATGCTTGCCCAACGTGTTGTACGTGCTTGGCTCATTCATACTCGTTTTCAAGCTGCCACCACAGTTGCCACGACTGGTCCCATGTATATATTCGGATTGCCAGTCATGATCCGATGGCTGCGTGTCCCTGGGTATAGCTCAGATCTAGTGTGAGATCACGCAGTGGGTGGGCACTAACGCGCCGAGAAACTGAGTTGGGGATGGCAAGTTACGGGCGCATAGAAGGGGAATATCACGAGACTGCAAATGCCTTTACTATCGCTTCATCCGGCAGCAATGTCAAGGGAAACGGCATTCTGCATGCTGACAGAGCAGCAAAACCAAGCTGCGGGTCGTCTTTTTCTCCATTTTCCTTTCATGCGTGATGCGAAAGCCAAGCCCCGTTTTGGAGTGACTTGCATATTACACGGGCGAGCCACACGATCGGCGCCGTGTAACCACGATATTGGATGGCTACTAAGTCTTGCCGGTCACACAGCCTCATCTGCAGCGCTACACATGGTCACGATCGCGTTCACAGAAGTCCATGGACCCAGCCTGCCAGCTGTGGGGGAGGATTATTCCCACTTTTACCTCCGTGCCCCGTGTTCAGGACGAGACTATGCAGTATTGGTATCTGGTGCGCGACGGGTTTTGCAGAGAGTTGACCAGGCGCGAGAATTATTCGTGTCGCATGCAATCAGCAACAGCCGTATAGTGATTGCAAGGGAAAGATCTCGGTCGCTTCCGACATGCCATCTGTCATTTGGAGATCATTACTACTTAGCAGTCTAGTCTAGACTAGACCGAAACCCCAAGACTCGTAGGCTAGGCAGGAATGCGATGCGTAACACGAGCTAGAAGCTATCGAAGGACTCGGGACTCCGAAGAAGGGTTCGCGCTTTGTGAGGGGTGCAGCGGACGAACCCCTTCAAGCGCTAGAAGATCATTTGCAGTCATTGAAGCTAAACATGTTTCTAGCGGCACAGTGTCGACGGATCGAGGTGAGGAAGCGGAGGACCATGGCCGTGGGAACGAGGAGCCCAGGGAGCCGTTCTCCTGCAGTCACCTCTGAGTTCTAATGGTCGCTGGCCGGTGGCTGCTGGCTCTCCTCGATCGTCACATCGTCACGGGGTCTGAACCCTGGGAGATGTTTTTAGACAGGTCCCCTGGGTCCCAGCTCCAAGCTGCTTGGATTTGGGTGGGGGGGATTACACGACTAACCTGGTGCTTAAAATGCACTGGAACTTGATCTAGCTGGGGGTCAGTTGAAGTGCTCTGATTGGGCAGCCCTGCCTCGCATGGACAATTATGATGACATGTGCGCTGGGGACGCTTGCCCATGTACGTCACCCAGCAAAATAGCCACCTCCATCACGCCAACCTCAATACCACCTCGCTACCGCATCAGTACTTGTACCTTTTCTCCAGCCGGCCGTGTCATCGATAGGTAGGGTAGGTTGGTAGGGTACACTCGACGGTCGAGGACGGTCGGCTCCTTTAGTATGTGACATGGTTTTTTTTTCTTTCCCTTTGTGCTGTAAGTTCTAGCCGAGAACAAAAGGGTTCCTCAGCTCCCTGCTAGGCCAGGTACCCTCAAATATTCCCAGGATTCCAAAGGGAAGAGGCGAACTTGTTTCTTGTGCTTTATTTGGCGATGACGCTGCTGCTCTATTCTAAATGGCACAGATAGCCTGATGACAGATCTTTGAGCGTCCGTATTCACTGTGCCGATTCACTATTGCAACCTGCATCATTTTCCCATGAAATTTCCCCAACCTGTCCTCCCACACTTGTTGTTGTCGGATTCAGCTACCCTTCTCGCTTTTGACCCCACTAGCTCACCAATCAGCCAGGAATATACGGAGCCTACCTGCCTGGTTTCACAAGATTCTTGTTTTGGGTTCTTCTCCCCAATACCATCGCATTCATACATGCAGCCGATCAAGTTCAGGCACTTCTTTATTTCTGCCGTCGCTGATTCGAGCAAAGGTTTGATCTTGGGCCTCAGCACGTACTGGTGACTTAGCGACCCTCGCTTATAACACCGTTCGTATTGTCTCCACCATATTACATAGCATACGCCTGCCCTGCCTGCCCGTCTTGAGAACCAAATTCCACCCTTACACACGACCACCTCGAACTATACCCTACCACTGTCGGCCTTCGCAAGGGCAGAACCAAAAAAAAAAAAAGAAGGCCGCCTATACTGGTGTTTCGACAATTGTCTTGGGACCTTGTTCCCACCACATTCGTCATGACGACAAACAACGGCGCGCCACTTGCCACGCGCGCTTCGGCTGCTGATGTTGATGCCGTTGACACATTTGCCAAGCAACTGTACCGAAGAGCGCGCAATGCTGGTGTCGACTTCGCAGATGTCGCAACTACTGTTCGCGGGGTCCATACGGTGCTTAAGCACTTGAAAGTCGAGGTTGAAGATCCAGGCTCATTGCTCAATACCGACCAGAGCCCTGTCTACGCTAGGCAGCTGACCCCGATCCTCGAGGACTGCGACTTCACGTTGAAACAGCTTGCCACTATACTGGAGAAGTATGGAGCAAATAGCAGCGGAAGTGATGAGGAGGGCCGAAATGGTGGCTCGGACCAAAATCCTCTGGCAAGTCGTGAAAGAGACATGATTGCCCTGATCCGTACCAAGCTCGCGAACCAAAAACTCAATATCGACATGTTCCTTGATACTGTACAACTGCATAACCCGTCCAAGTCACACCCAGTGGTTGAAACGAGCAGCGCAAACCTCGAATCGATCAAGGACAAAGTAGATGCCATTGCCATGAGAATCACACAACGCAGGGAGTCGTCCATGAGTGAGAATGATGACGAGCTCTGGTTACAATTCCGGGACGAACTTGAAAAAGATGGTTTCTCCAAGGACGTTTTGAGGAATAATCAGGTAAGTTTATGTTCTCCATCGTGGCTGAGATCAGCAGTTGAGTAACAACAACAGGACGTGCTTCGAGCGTACATTCGACAGCTCGATGAACAGAGCGTAGCATTGGGGGGCAAAACGCCTACCGTGCGCGGGTTTCTCGAGGAGTATAAGTCCAGTGGGGATGTTCCACAGGTTACACCATATCCCATGGGCCCAGAGGAGCACTATAGTCCCAAGGAAGTACTCCCAACGGCAGATAACGAAAAGTCCTTCCCAACCATGAGAGCGGAGCGTCTTCATCCAGACCACTATCCACCGTACCCGTCAAGTCTGCCGAAACAGACTACTGAGCTGTCTTATGAACCTCACTCGGATGATGAAACTGACAGCAATTCCATGGCGTTGGTTATATCAACACGTGATATCATGGCTTCCGACAAAAAGCAGGCGGATCTTACTTACGCCATGGACAATATGCACCTTCTGCCACCCCCTGGATACGGGCCAAATTACTCGCACGAGTCAAACTTTTCGTCATCTCCCCATCATCGTTACTTAGAGGCTCCACCGAATGCTGGTCTATTGACTTCTCCCAGTCTTCCTCCAGTTGACGAGTACGGATTGTCACCTCGGTTTGTTCCTTCGTTCCCACCACCACCATACGGAGCTTCACCACCCCCAACTTTGCATTCAAGTTCTATACCAGTACCGGCTGTACCAGGCGCAAACCCACTTGGGCAAAGTCGACCGCAACGTCCTGCGCGTCTCGCCCCGGATTCCCATGGACGAGATATCCCGCTTGATGCACAGTGGACGCGAATCAAGCGGTCTCTGATCTCTCCTGTAGTGCTCGAAGAAGCTGGTGTGAGATATGAAGCACGACCAGAATTCGTCGCCATTCTGGGAGTGTTTACGAAGGATCAAGTCGCCGAATTTGCGCGCCGAAGCGCTGAGGTCAGGAGGAATCGACAGGAACAATTGAGGAGAAATCGTCGTGACGAGAAGGATCGTTATAACCCTGGCAAGTACATAAACCACGACGTCGCCCAAAAGACAAACGAGCAGAACGATTACGGTCGAGGCCGTGCCAACAGCGAGTTCTCGTCTTCATCAACAGATCTTTGCGACTCGTCAGATGACGACTCCTACGATGACCCGCCGCATCAACGCTCACAAGGTTCCTCTCATCCTGACGATAAGAGTGATGGCCACGACGACGAAAAAGGCACCAAGGTCTACCCCTTTATCGTGCCACCACCTGAAAAGGACGACAACCACAGTCCTTCGGCTACAGTAATGCCAAAGCCTATCCTAAAGAACAAAAATGACGACCCGCATGTTCGGTTTGATCCGGAGCCGAAAGTGCTGTCTACGGCCTCGCCCCGCTCGGTCCCCCGACACGCAGAACGATCAGAGAGGCGGCATCGAACGGGATCAGAGCGTGAACGTCACGTTCCTAGGAGTTACGATGACAGAGAAGATCGTCACCGTGATCGGGAGCGCGATGAACATCGCAGACACCATCGCCATCACGATGGCAGCCATCGTCGAGATCGGGATCGAGACGATCAGTCGAGAAGGCGACAAAGAGATGATTCTCGTCGTGACCGCGACCGAGATCGGTATAGGGATGATACCGATAGGAGCGAGGATCGTGCTGTCAAAAAACGAGTCCGTGGAGAGACACTTCGTGCAGTTGGCATAGGTGGCGCCGCGGCAAGTCTTCTGAGCGTTCTTACCGAGGCTGCTGCTGGGTTCTAAACAAATTCATGTTGCTGTATTTACAGAAAGTCTATTGTAAGATGTGTACGAATTTGTATTCATGTGGTGATGGTAGGCTGAGCCTAGCCACCTTCATTTCATGTTCTCGAGACTACAGGCGCTCAAGTTGGAGGGCAGCGCCGGTGTCACGGCCAGGCATCATGTTGTATTTGATCACGACTACTTCAAAGCCTTGTATAGCTTGTCATGTTTCTTGGTTGGATAGTTTCGTATTTCTCTTTTTTCTTTACCATGCTGCCAAGCATGGGTGGTCATGTATTATGTGCTCTTACATAGGGAGGAGTTCGATACCCAGGGGATGCCAGAGGTTGGCCGACGCAATACACATTGTTTCAGTGCGGTATTCTTATATGGTTTTCTTATTTCGTAATAATTCGTAACATTGCATCTGCTTCATATATTTCAAATGCTGATCAGAACCTATCCATTCATTTGACGCAGTATTCAGCCAATCAGCTTAGTTGCAGTACAGACTAACTACTGTCAATATTTGCCAAGTAACTAGCCCCTGATACGACTGGTATCTGAGTGAAAACCTAGTCCGATAAACATGGCCTGGGGTGAGCTTGGTAATAACATGTACGCACTTCGTTGAACTTAGAAAGGTTGACCTCAGACTAGTCGAGGTCAAAAACCCCCTTCACCGCGACTGGGGCAAATAATCGATTGAGAACGAAATGAATCAGGCATCAATGTTGGAGGAGCAAATGGGCATACCCCGCACTCACTCATCGGGGTGGGACTTTTGGATTACACTGTTTGGAAAAACAGAGCCTCATATTTCATCACAAGTGTGTCGATCATCTTTTCTTGTCAACCTAAGTTAGCTCCGTCGTGCTTCCGAGAGTGGGTGTGGTGTATGAGTTTGGGGGGAGAAGAGACTAACTTGGAGCGATGATTAGAAAGACGGTCAAAGAAGAGTACCGCTGGTGGTACATGTGAGCTACATAAAAATGTAAGGGACCAAGAAAAAACAAAAACACCAGATCGGTATGTCTTTTTGGATTATTGTTGTTGTTATCGCTGTTGTTGCTGGACGGACTTCCCCCCGATGTAACCTTGGTTCCACGCTTTCTACCACAAGTACTAACCGAACTTCTAGAAAATCCTAAGCGTGCTTCTAGAAAATCACAAGCGTGCTGACGTTGGGGAGGGAAAGGAACTGCCGGAACACTGGACTTGGGGTTTCCGTTCGGCTCAGCTGAAAGATGCATGAGAGCTTCGGTGGCTGATTTAGTCCACCGTGATGCGATGCGGCTTAAAGTGGTTTCCCCAATTCTGCTGCGTTATTGGACGGGACGACTTCACTGCCTGCTGACCGCACCCTCTACGCCTGTAGTCTTTCTGCGAGGCATACAGAGCAAAGCTAAACTGACAAGCTGGTTCTCTTCACTTCACGTGTTTTCTTCTTCTCTTCTTCTCGAGATCTGTGAATTCCATTTGCCAATTGGCATGTGATGCATTTCCCCCTATTTCTCCAAACTATCATGTCAAACCTTCATGCATGTTGGGTAGTATGAGGCTAAATTAGATGGCGATTCTCTCTAACGAGTATGCGCCCACCTGCTGGCTCCGTAGGTGACCCTGCTCACGCATGCTTCGCTGGACAATCTCACCACCGCTTACGACCTTGGTCTTCTCTACGCGTCCCTTCACCTTGAGTCCTAGCGGCAGTGCCTCGAAGCCCGGCTCCTTCACCTGGAGGCTGATAGGCTTCGCTAGATCGAACTTCTGCTGCTTGTTGGCCTCCTTCTGTGCGGCTTCACAGTACCTCACCGCCTCACCGACGATGCCCCTGAGATAGACCGCCTCTTCCAGTCCTTCTAGAGCTGCAGATACTTCCAGCTTGAGAGAGGCGATGACATCGCCCACTTCACCTCCAGATATGATGGCGGTTGCGTCACCAAGAAGCCAGCCGCCGGGGCCAATGGCGTCCACACATCTGCTCAATAGATCGGAAATGAGCTTGATGATAGCGTCGGGCGGCGGGTGCAGGTCGGCGTTTTCGTCGTAGAGTGTGTTATCTTCCACATAGCGAGAGGTCCAGGCACCGCTGTACAGCTCGATGCGCAGCTGCAGGATCAGATCCATGATTTCCTTCGGTTTAAGGGTTGCCTTCAATGCTTTGATCATAGACGAAGCCGGGCAATTGCCCAGCTTGGCAAACGCCACGCTGAGGCCCTCCTCGCGAATACCAGAGTTGCCAGTTAAGATTGACTCTGCCTTGAGGACCTCCTCCTCGAGAATGTCCAGTTCCATACCAATATCCTCGTTCTCTGCTGCTCCTTCCGAAGCACCGTTGGTCAGCAGTTTAGGAGCCTCCTGGTTCTGATCGCGACTAGCGTCCAGGCTTCCCATGATGCTTCGAACAGCAAAGAGAAGCTCGACTGACCCAAGAGCTGTGGCTCTGACGTAGCACGTCATAAGCTCGGAAGTAGAGTCAAGGTCAGACAAGCGAGCTACCAGTTCGTCGGCTAATGTGTGATCCACATTCTTAACTTCAGCAAGCTCTTCCCGCAGCGCGGATTTGACATTGGAAATTGACAGATGACCTGCGGCTGCGAGATAGCTTACAACGTTGGTGTTCGGTAGAACATAGAGAAGACGAGGCGACGAGGCAGTGCCTGCGTTTGCGTCCTCCCATTGGAATGCCCTGCTAATGGCGTAGACGACCCATCGCCTGTCTGCTCGAGGGAACTTTGCCTTGTCCTTGGGCCAGACCCATTCAGGGGGCGACAGTGTAGTTTGCCCGTCTGCAGATTCCACCCCGTTTGCTAGCTCTGAGCTCTTGATTTGGAGACCGAATTTCTCGGCCAGCAGAGCTTCAAATTCGTAGGTGGCATTAGAATCAAGGAACGAGTCAGCTCTTTGCACATCCTTGGTCCAGCTCTCTAGGTAATCACCAAGCACAGATCCAGGCAGGTAATTAGAGAAGGTAGAAGAACCTGCGACGCGTTTCCGGGGTTCGGTAGACAAGCGCTTCGTCTCTGATATGCCGCGGCCGATCGAGTCGATGAGCAGTCCTTCTGCCCGGCGCTTTGTTCGGGACTTGGGCGCCTCGAGTTGAATAGCCATCAATTGCGGCCCACTGATACCAATTGCCAATTCCAACTTTGAAAAGTATGCAACAAGTGAAACTGTTTGGGTTTTGGACGTGTCAAACTCGGACTGGTTGTCTGACTCGACCGCTGCGTAACTTTGAACGGAGCGAAATTGAGGATTGTAGACGCTCAAAACGTTCTGGGCAGAAGCTAGTACAGATGTCTTTGAGAGCCTCAGAAACGAAGTTGCAATCTCAAGGTCCATCTGCGAACTAACTCGAGGAATGCTCGTGGTTAGATCATGCACAGTGAGAGTGCCATCAGCTAGTTCAGTAAGACTTCCAGAGCGAATGTCGAGGTGATATTGTGGCTTAGCCGATGCCGAAGCGACCGAAGCCGTGACAGGCACAACGTGAAGCTGAACGAGACCTTTGCTAGATTGAGCTGTACTCTGAGACTGGGGTATGGGGCCCAATATGTGCAAGTGTCGAATGCGGCGACCATCAGAGGTAATGCTAGACACGGCTAGCAAGATGTCTGGATCCACGCCAGTTCGAAGCAGGTTGGCAAGTGCGTTGAGTGCATCCTGGTTCCCTTTGAATAGGCCATCGATCACTTCAGAAGCTCGCGCAGATACGCACGTCTCAACAAGGAAGTCTGACTTGGAACCATATGCAAGATCCTGGTGAAGGATGGCTGAGGTCGTCTTCCACTTCTGTTGGAGGCTCTCGCTGTCAAGGCCAATGATTTCTCCGTCTTCTTGTACCACCAACAGGTCATCATCAGCGACGGGGCTTAGAAGATCTGCTTTGACGGGTTCATTCAGCCGCGCAGTCAAGTAGACGACCTTGTTCTTGGACGACAGAGAGAAGTTTGTAGTGGTGGATGTCGTCTTGCCAGAAGCCTCGACGATGTCCTTGAACAAGGTGATTTTCGAGACAGGATCGCTGGTAGCTATGTAGGTGTACCTCGCGATGTTCCTGCTATTGGGTATCCTCCGACGCAGCGAACAAGGTGGACAGGCAAAGGAGGATTGGGGAGGGATTGGGTATGAGGTGACCAGTCTGGCGGATGATACCTGGTCGTAGTTAGCAATAGCACCAGCGGTTCGAAAGGCAAGCATCAGCGTACATTGTAGATATTGACTGCTTCACCGTCGACTCCAACTGTTATCTCGGAGCGCTTGCGCTTCCGCGTGCCCTCAGCGGTGCCGTATACTTGACCAACAACATAGCGGCCAGTTGTTGGATCCAAAGGTCTGGGTAAGGTCGTGAGCACATATGGCTTTTGGACATGGAAGTTGGAAGCCATGGTGGAGGATAAAGTGGTTTGCTATGGGTTCGTGATGTATCCCACCACTTTCCACTGTCTGCTGAGTTCAGTCAACTTTTTTCGAGCTTCAGGAAAAAAATCGGTCGGTGAAATCCCAATCCAAGCACCGGCTGGTGGGGCTACTTACTTTGTCTGTCTCCGTCCAATTGGTGATAGCCCACAGAGGACCCCCCGTAGTGACGGGGGCCCGTGCACCCAGCCAGTAAGTACTCTGGTAGTGCCACTAGTCAAGTACCATGTAGCCAGCTACTATGCACTCGGTTAGACTAGTCAGTCTAACTAGGTTAGGTTAATTGAATGGGCGGGCAGTCGCGGTTTGGTTTCAATGACGGGTCGCGACTTACAAGTCAAGACGCGCCTGCCATTGTGCAGGGTCGTGCACTTCTCAAGAACTTGCCATCTATTCTATGTCTGTCAGGTGAATTCCATATCAAGGAGACCAATCTTGGGCCAACTCCTCTCTCCGTCTCAATCGCATTCTTGAGCTCTGTCAATCATACTCACAATCTCACTTGTTGCGGATTCTGACATCCTCATGGCGACATTGAACCCAGCACTCTCTTCATAGACCTTGGGTTGGGCATAGCGGTGCATCATGGGCGGAGACGGCGATGCAGTCGCCGATGCGAAAAAGATACACCCATTCTTCTCAGCCCCAAAGACCAGTACCACCAACCCCCCCGAACCTCAGGCGACGCGCCCAGTCACTCCCGATCCCTCATGTAGCCCAAGCTCCGACAGGATAGCCGAGAAGCTCGACACGGTATTTACAACTACAGTCGACGAAACCGAACCGGTGCAGGGTAGGAGGAAGCGACGCAAGACCGACTCTGATGCAGAGATCAAGCAGCCGGCCAAACGGGGTCGTCCGAGAGGAAAGCCAACGGCAAGGGTATCCACTGGTAGCAGCATTGTCAATCACTTTGGACAGAAGGAACATGTCCCTCCAGCCGATGCAAACGGAGGCAATGGGTCATGTAATCCCGTTGAGCAAGCCGAAGACGCAGTAGCGGGTCATAACCATGCTGCAGCACAGCATCCTCTGGCTCAGGCAGCTACACCGGTCCTGGATTCTAAGCAGGCACCCACACAGAACAACGATCAGCAAATACAAGATGCAAAGCCTAAAAGGATACTGAAATTCAACCCAAAAACTGGTACCATAGGTTCTCCACCAAACCCCAAGACACAGGCCATAGACGAAGTGGTGGCCAGCAATAAAACAGCCACCAGGCTGAGAAGAACCAAAAAAACAGCCAGTCAAATCATATATATCCATTATGGCAACGACGAAGAGGCACGGTCCCGCATCGCCGACAAGATTGAAGAAATTCTGAGTGGTATACGTTATATCTCGGCTAGAAGCAAACATTCAAACGCCTCACAGTCAACGACACAGCAGTCCACCCCACCAGCTTCAAGCCAGGAGACGCCCAAGAAGCGTGCATCGAGGAATACGAACACTCCCAAGAAGGCTAAAGTCGCTCATCCGTTCTTCACAGGCAAGCCAAAGACTGTGCCCGCCGCCGCCGTAGACATGAAGGACAAATCAAAGTCACCAGTCAAGCGGCAGTCCATTTTCACCACGACACCCTGTTCACCGAGGCAAATTCGTCGGCAACCCAGCAAGTTCAACCTTCCACAATTTGGCATGAGATCAGGCGGTTTCAAATTTCCCGGCGCTCAGCATGCAGCATGGCCGCCAGAAGGAATGGTGCATGTCCATGGTGACGAGCGCGATGAGAACCCCACAAAACATCATGAGACTCCCTGGGCGCTGCGGAATCATAGAAAAGCAAAGGGGCGTCAGATTGAATTTCCCAGAAACGAATCAGTCATGGCCTTAGCCGAACAACAGCTTTGTCTTGATGATTTGACAAATGAGTTGAAAGCTATCGATACTGAGGATTTTCTGCCCACTCCTTCAATGTTACGGGTTCCTGATCGCCAATTCGAGAGTGGGAGACGGCTCCAGGCCAGGGTTGCACCAGAGCTTCGCACTTGGACTCCAAATGATGAGACCAAAATCCACCCTGCCGTCCTCGGTGGCTTCAACTCACTAGCAACGACATTGCCCGCATTTGATCGATCGACCTGCGAAAGTGCGTCTTGGACACAAAAATATAGCCCTGTTCGAGCAGATCAGGTTCTCCAAGGCGGTAAAGAGGCTGAGCTTCTTCGCGACTGGCTTCAGACCCTGAAAGTTCAAAGTGTCGACACGGGGACATCAGATTATACCATCAATCCCAAATCAGCTCCCATCAAAAAGAAGAAACGGAAGAAGCTGGACAATTTCGTTGTTTCAAGTGACGAAGAAGGAAACCTTATAGATGAGATTTCGGAGGATGAGTCTGCTTGGCTACCCGCTAGCGAACAAAGCACTTCGAAGAAAACTGTCATGCGAAGTAGATCTTCCAAAGACGCACGATTTACCAATGCCGTCCTCATCAGTGGTCCTCACGGATGTGGTAAGTCAGCAACAGTATACGCCATCGCCAAAGAACTTGACTTCGATATTTTCGAGATCAGCCCGGGCTCGCGCAGAAATGGCAAAGACATCATCGACAAGATCGGCGACATGACTAGAAATCATCAGGTATCGCACAAACAAGAAATCCTAAGACCTGACGATGTCATCAATGAGGAAGATGTAGCTCGTGATATCCAATCAGGGAAGCAGGGAATGATGACAGCTTTCTTTAAACCCAAGGCAGAGGCAAAGGCTAAAGCTATCCAGCAACCGCTTGTCAAGGAGCCCGAAAAGACGATAACTAACAAGCCCTCGAAGAAGTTGTCCAGCAAATCACAGAAGCAGTCTCTCATCTTGCTTGAAGAGGTCGATATTCTTTACGAGGAGGACAAGCAGTTCTGGACAACCGTCGTCGGGCTTATGGCGCAGTCCAAGCGACCATTCATCATGACTTGTAACAACGAGAAACTGGTACCCTTTCAGAGCTTGAACTTGCATGGGATTTTCCGTTTTAGTCCCGCACCAAAAAACGTCGCTGTCGACCATCTACTTCTCATTGCAGCTAACGAAGGTCACGCTTTGAAGCGGGATGCCGTCGAATCCCTTTACGAGTCTCGCAATTATGACCTCCGAGCTTCCATCACAGAGCTTAATTACTGGTGCCAGATCGGAGTTGGTGATCCGAAAGGAGGTTTTGGGTGGTTTTATCCCAGATGGCCCAAAGGATCTGATCTCGATACGCAAGGAGACAGGATTCGAGTTGTCAGTTCTGATACCTACCTAGAAGGTATGGGCTGGCTTGGTCGAGACGCCATCAGCAATTCTACTACATCTAGTATTGATGAAGAGATCATTCGACAAGCATGGGAGAACTGGTCGCTCGATACTGGAGACTGCGAGTTACCAGCGAGAGAACAAGACCAAACTGAGATTGCACGTTTCGCACGGCAGTCACGCAAAGATCGACTTGCTTTACTTGGTGCTACCGACACATTCTACGATTCTCTAAGTATGGCAGACGTTGCTTCTCACGGAGCGTATTCCTCCCTGGATCAGATTCCCCTGGACCCTACACTCCCAGCCTTGACAAGCAAAGTCAAGGAAGACTCAATCATTGGCCTGCAGTATCTTGAAGCGCAAACACTTACACGCTATGACACCACGAACTTCAATGTTGCCACAAGTATTAGAAGCTTGTCTCACTCAAGCATTTCCCAAACACATCCTACGCTATTTGTTGATCACGGCCCGCTTGACGATGCCAAAGCCTCACGAAAGATCCGGAAGAGTTTCACCAGATCTTCGCCTCTCTCATATGCAATCACAAGGTACGATTACTGCCTAGCTTTTGATCCCATCGCCGCCTCTGAGAAGGCAGTTGTCTATGCTTCTGGTCATCTCGATCCTTCCGTCTTCGATCGCACCATGAACATGATCACCTTGGACATCGCTCCTTTCGTGCGAAGCATCGTGGCCCACGATCAGCGGCTCCAAGCCGATCGCCTTCTCCGCAGCAACCTTCTCAGCGAAGGTGGCAAACCCACGAAGCGAATGCGTTCGACCCGGAGCGCCCTTTCTGCATTAGAAGGTGGCGCACGAGCCAGTACCCGAAGAGAAAAGTACTTCTCAGCTGACCTCAATCCTCATCTGGTAATGCGGACTGGTGGAAAGGGATGGGATATATTGGCATCTGACGTAGGGGGGACACGCAGCGCAGGGAGGTGAGTCCTCAATTCTCGGCTACCAGTGACGAGGGCATGAGTGTCACGCCAAGTCAAGGAGTTGTGAATTACGGGGGCGGTTTGATTGGTGAATAGCGTTGTACATAGGCATCCGCATACCACATGGCGTTGGGCTGCATGGCCCTGGACTGCACGGCACATGGCTAGATTTCAGAGCACATAGTTATGTTGGTTCATCAGGACTACGACTCGAATACACCGCATTCCAGACAAAGCATTTTTACATTTCCCTGCAGATGTGTATAACGACCAATAAGTTTCACTGCTTAAATCCCTTTAGGAGCCTTTTGAACCGCTTACGCTTGGTTCTAACTTCTGTCGTTCTCCAGCTTCCTTCCCGCAAATCCACATTCGCTCCCGCTTGTGGTTGTCTTCGAATACTTCTTGTGAGAAATGCAAATTGTACTCGGTGGTCAAGCGCGTCAAGATTGCCTCAATCTCGAAGAGTAGGACAAGAGCTTGTTTAATTGGCTCCTCCCGTTTGGAAAGTCCAACTTCTAACATTGCAAACATTTGAGCTAGGACCAGGAATCTTCGGTGAAAAGTTCTTAGCCGGTGATGTCTCCTTCTTGACAATACTCTCACAGTTGGGATAGCATAGGCTTTGCCTGGGAGAGGATGGAAGACGGCAGATGGTGGACGACTGGTGGCTATGGTCTTATCGTCTGACTCGGAGCTATTAGTATCCTGAGGTGGCAAAGGAAAAATGCATAGGACTGTATTTTTGTCCAGCGAAGGGCAAATCGACCGATGGATTGATTCCTTGCTATGACTTGGACACACTGGGGGAGAAATGTACTACTGCTAAATCCTAAGATCAAGTATTACCATTTTCTTTTTTATCGGTCAATACACTTGAGGCATATATAAGACAATTGCAGCATCAGCGCTGCCCCGGTAACACCTTCGGAACGCTCATCATGGGGGGGTTTATTTTTTATTTTTTTTTAACAAATGTACGGGGAAGAGTGGGTGTTTAAAAAAATTTCGAAGAATATTTTGAGCGAGCTGCTCCAATCAATCTCTTAATAAGCTTCTGAATGCTCATCTATTGAGCCCTGTGTGTGCAATATGCTTCCTGAAATCGATAGGTTCATATTTCATACATACTTACTCCGCCGCTTCCACTGAGATTCATCATGCAGTGGTAATATGTTAGCGTCCACAAATCCTAGGCCTTGGACCTGGCCCAAGATGCCAAACCCAGTTCCACCTGGCAACCCTTGGGCCAACCTGCCGCCAGAAGCGGTTCTTTGTGCTATCTCTGGTAGCTTTGTCTGTGGCTTCCTCTTCTTAGGTCATCGTATTGGGGGTCTCTCATCAGACATGCTCTCGTCCTCGTTATCGGTGGTTCTGTCTTCATTGCCTGAATCTTCCTCATCGGAGCTCGTGACCTGTGTTGTACTCTCACCGAGTCCCGAATCCAGATGTGCACAAGGTCTGTTTGGAGTCTTTGTTATTCCCCTGTTCGTGCATCTGCTAGCAGATGCTTGGCCAGCCGTTCTGATATGCGACGTCGCCGCATCAGGCTCCAGACGGTCAGTGTCCATCCTGTCAGATGATACGTCGCTTTCGGACGGCTCCACTAGATCCCCAATGTTTCTACCTAGCGGAGTGTTCAGGTGTATGTCCTGCCACCTTGATACGGCTACAAGCGTCTCTTTTGCGCTCTGGGTACAGATAACGAACAGCCCCGGCGATAACCCACTCTTGCCGGGTGGGTGTGAATCACGACGTCTGATGTGACATCCATTCTTTGTCCACTGGCGAGTAGCTGCTCCGCAGCCATGTAGTGCAGCAACGGTTTGCCCTCCGGGGACTTGTTGATCAGCAACGGGTTCGTAAACGGCGTCACTGGATACGAGATCTCGAAATCAGGACAGGGCATCATGTGCGCATGCCCATGGCCTACCATGATGTTGCTTAGCGACGGATCAGATCTGACCTGTATCGTGCTGCCACGGTCGAAACGAAATAGCACGATGGATCGGGACAGTCTCTGTACGAGGCGAACCGCCGAAGCTGTTTGGATGAGATCGTCGGGGCTGTTACTCATCAGGAGTATTTGCACGGATGCTTATTCTCGCGGCGTCATCACGGATCGCTCAACCTTGGAAGCAGGTCGAACGAAGCTCAACAATTCCGGGAACGAGTAGGCAGCGTCTTTGTTTACTGTTCATTCTCTGGCCAGAGGGGCCCAATGCTGGATCCGTGGCGGCGCATAAAGAGTTGCAGGCCAAACGCAGCAGGTAACAAAGAAAAGTTTCTACGTACTAAACAGAGCCCTGTTTGTGGATTGAAAGACACCAAGCACCAGGGACGTTTTCACTGCAATCAAGTCATAACTGGAGAGTCTTTGGAGTATCATAATCATTTGGGTATTAAACATTAAATATCGTGATTCATAATTAGGCGAAAGCTTGGTAACGCTTTCCGACCACAGTCCCGTTTCCAACACTAGAATCAGTGTATATTGTGAGTGTGTCGGTGGTGTTATCATAGTCAGTGCCGCATGCCTCGGAGAAGCCGCTGAACAAGTCGACCCGCTCCTGAACATAGCTCTCAAATCCACTTCGAGAGCAGGAAGTGCCGGGACCATCAACGCAGTTGGTCAATGGTTGAGGAGCGCTGTTCACGAGCACGCGGTAGTACTCACCATCTTCGTATCCGTAGCTGCCTGTGCAGTTGAACCGCTCGATAGCCAAGTTGCTGAGGAAAGGCAAGACGTGCGAGCTCTTCCAGGCACGGCGGTAGTTGATGCGGTCAAGGGGCATTGTGGCGTTGATCTCGGACTCGGTGCCACCGAACTCGGAGTTGTTGAAGAGACCCATAGCGACGAAAACCATTGGCGGTAGCTCACGGTGTGTGAAACTGACGTAGAGATCCTGGGCGTCTGCGTCCTCGCTCATCAGAAGGTTGGCTGTCGCGTTGAACCACGGCAGACCAGCGTATCCAGCAACCTCGTTGCCGTAGCCGACGTTGTAGTGGTAGCGGACGTCTTCGGTGTATTCCCAAGCCAACCAATCATCAGGCGTAAATAAGTCGAGGTCGCAGAAAGGTGAGCTGCCACGGATGACAGACTCGTAACCACACAACTCCATCATACCATAGACGTCGTTGGTTGTGAAGTTGAACTCCGGGGCCGCATCATTGAAGCGGGCGATGAGGGGCTTCGTAAAGATCTTCTGGTAAACTTCAGACTCGTCGCTGCCAGCTGAAGAGGAGTATGCCGGGCAGGCTTTGTAAGGCGTCAAGCTGTCGGCGCCAGACTCCTCAGACTCATAAATGCTGACGACGTTGATGGTGTTGTCGTCTTGTTCTAAGCCACGAACAAGAGCTTGTGCGGATTTGTAGGTGCGTTCCGCGGACGAAGTGTACACACGCTCTGGGAGGCGGAAATTGGGATAGCGGAAAGACAAGTCCACACCCAGTTCTGTAGCCTCAAGTTTACCAACTCGGGTCAAAATCTCGGCTTCCGACTCCGAGATAGGTGGTGACCATTTCGCCAAGAAGTTCAAGCTGGGAATCTTCGACCAATCGATGGCTGTGTTGTTCTGCAACTTGGAGATGAAAGGCTCGATATACTCCTCATAGTCGTAATCGTTGGCGAAGATGGCGGCGTGGCGGGAGAGATAGGCGGCGCGAACGGCCGAGCAACCCTGCGGAGCATCAGGGGAAGTTGGTGGATCTTGAGGCTCAAAGTAAGGAGCAATACCAGCCAGATGTTCAAGCGGGTTGAAGTTGTAAGTAGAGTACAAAGACGCTGCTGACGATCGTGCAGCGAATGGCAGTATGCTCAACAAGAGCTTACGGCTCACGGAGGGACGACTAGAAGGCATGATGGGCTATATCACGGCAGATCGTATCACTGGCTTGAACAAGTTGCACTCTAGAAACTCCCAACAAGGGGAGGAAAGCTCTTATAGCCCATCCCCAACTAAGTGCCTTGCAATGTTTACTTTACGTACTATGTAGTTGTAATGCGACCGGCTTGTGTCTGGTACGGGGTGAGGCCATGCATATGGCGATCGTTTGTCAATTGAAATTAACCTTGGCGTCATTGACCCAAGCGTCTTCCCGCTAAAAATCAAGCTGTCGTCGTTGAACCGGCTCATTCCGTTGCTTGGTTCGCATGGGAAAGAAGCTTGTCAAGCTGGTGTCTCTCCACACGGCACTTGGCATGCTCTGTTCCTGATCGTCATAACGTCATCGTGGACTCTTTGGGCGCCTCGAACCAATATTCGATGGATATCTCCTCATGCCGTGGCAGAACTGTCAATGGACATTTTTGACCACCCGGATGTACGGCACGGGGTAAGAGGGTAACATTGGTTCCTGTCACAACATCGGCTAGCAGCTTTGATGGCCTGCCGACTTTGCTTAGTCTAGACTAGTCTGGACTAGTCACTACAATTACTGTATTCCCCGAAATGCTCTACAGTAGGCTGTCATTTTCCCACACTCATGGTACTGTAGTCCAGTTTCTGTTGCCATTGAAGAAGTCCTGAAAAAAAAGGCCCCTGCTGGTTATATGCTACAACCGTGCAGGCCTATAGTAGAGTAACGTATGAGTGCGACACCTTATTCTCTAACCTTATTCCCTCAGCCTAGTCTAACCCTCCAGCGTCCGAACTAAGCTTTCGAGCTCGCACACCACATCTCGATAGACCGCATTCTGCAGCTCCGGCTGCGCGAGATCTTTTCCAAAACCAAAGTCGCAGTCCATGCATCTCTGTGCAATCTTTTGATATCTTGGGCCAAGACGTGAATCATGCCCTGCAAGGTCGGCTATCCTGCGTACATCTGCAATGTCATCCGGCTTCAATGAGTTCCACTGTCCGATTTGCAGTAGGGCTACACCAAGACTATGCATGGTCAGGTTGCGGATTCCACACTCCCGTTGGGCTTGCACCAGTACATTGGCATCCGTCATTACAGAGTCAAGTCGCTGATGCAAAAGCTCGTTCGTAATATGAAGGGTCTCGAGACTCGTGGCCAAGCACTCGTCAGTCTGGAAATATGACAAATCCCGGAGGGTCCAGAGTGGCTGTAGCCATGGTGTAGAATGGAGTCGTAGTACGCTCCGGGCCAGTCTGAGGGCAATAGACACTTGTTGAGGCACTGAGATTGCACGTTCCACGGGCAGTTCGAAGATGCGATCCAGTTGGGCTGGCTCACTTAACATGTTTTTGACGATGCATTCTCCCCGATCGTGGACAGGGGAAAGTTGGTGTCGGATATGGTCAGGCGCGTCGAAGTAGCCTATATGATGCGCCTGTGAGCAAATTTGAGTGCACATGTCCCGAGTGGAACATAGATTAAGCCCAACTTCCTCGGAAACATGCGGCTCGGTCGCTGAGGTCAGGGTGGTCGAAGCTGTTCCGGCTTCCTCTCCATGGCGAGCCAAGTCGGAGCATTCGCCCACAAATCGGACCCTTCTCGTCTTCTTCGGTCGCTCTTCGGAGCAAGTGACCCTTCCGCTCGATATCCCGCTCGGGATTGAGACGTGTAGCAAATGGAGACTTCTGGAGTGGACGATCAACTCTAGCAGATTGCTTCATGAACTCATTAGCACAGTCAGCTTAGCTCGGCTAGGTTTTGTCAACTTACTCTCGGGGTTGCTTGCCCGAACTTGTGCAGTACATTACCACAATACGGAGACTATCTTCTGTCCTCGATTCCAAAAGAAGTCGAACTTCATGACTTACGTGATGTGGTCGCAAGCAGGACCAAAATGCCTGTAGAGCGTCATAAAAGGATTTGGAGTTTTGTGCAACTCTACGATAAGATATCGGGAGGTCTCTTGGCCGCTTCCCGCACACTCTTTCTGGCAGATTTTGGAGTTTTCCTGCTGTTTTCCTTATTCTTTTGAGATCGGAGATCGCCTCTTTCAAGTCGCTCAGAGAAGTCTCATATTTTGACTTGTTGACCATCATATCAAATGCTTGTCTCAGATTCTCAGAAGATAGTATCTTTGGGAGGTCTTGGTTCAGCGTCATTCTATCGCACGCCAACGAGTTGACATACCTGAAGATCCCGTTCATCCCCATTATTGAGCGAATCATTTAAAGAGGCAATATGATCACGTATCTCACACATGGTCTCTCCGTAACTTCTGTATTTCCTCCTTAGGTATGTTCGGAATCCTTCTTCGAGAGTAGCTGAAGTCCACCGCTCATCGTTCACATCCTCTACCATTGCCTCAGCATCTTTTCGATCAAGGATCTCCTGAAGCAACAGTTGGCATTCGTCGAAGAAAATGTCTGTCTGCGCAGAGAATCGCTTCCGGAGACGTTTGATTTCGCGACCGTAACGATAAAAAGTCTTTAGCCGCTTTCGCACTGTGTTTATACCTTTGATAGCCACCAGGCAAATTGGAACCACAGCTAGTGCAAGTTCAGCCATTGAGACAGCGGCGGAGGTTTAGAAATTCGATGCCATGCAAATTCTGAAGTGTTAGTTTACATGGTTTACGTTGCTGGGAATGGAGTTATGATGATTGAGAACTTTCATGCAAATTAGTGGCTGTGTAAGGTGTGAGGCATCCAGTAAGGCTCCCGATATGCATGACACGTCACTTGGTGTTCAGTCACGCGCCCTCGGGGCCAAAGAGGACGAGGCTTGAATACTTGTTATAGATGCCGCAATACTTTAAGTTTTCTAATTCTCAAGTAACTCACACTATTCATAGTAGGCCAAATCGCTACTGCGTTATTGAAAGTATGAGTGCGTTTGGTTCACATGGCTCACTGCCGCTCCAACCTGATCTCATCACTCGGCGGCAGCAAACAATCATCCATGACCCCGATAAAGCGCCTTCTGTGGTCGCTCAGCTATATCAAAACTGTTCCGGGCTCTTCGGTGATATGCTCGTACTACTCCGCTCAGATCTAATCACGAATAATTCGATACTCATGACTTTGGATCGCAGTCACAGCTATTTAGTCCTCTGGGGAGATGGTTATGGAGTCGCGGACGAAAAGTTTGAAGAGGCTCTGGGCCGATCTCGCAGAGCCCGAGCATCTACACTCCGATATCTAGTCAGTATTTGCAAGACACTGACAGGACGTGGGTACCATATAAGTAAAGTCCTGCCCCGTTATTGACTTTCGCAGGTCTTTACCCAAGCTTGGCCAAGATCCAACAAGCACATATTACTATAAAAGTTGAGGAACTTGCCGCGACCACAGAAAAGGTCAAGCATCTCATTCAACAGGACGGTCGACACGATTCTGATAGCGATACTGACAGCGATGATTGTTCTGACGCTGGATCATTAGATTGGGATGACTTGGCAGAAGACCTCAATACTGATACCCAATGCCTGTTAGACCTAGGGTCAAGGTTCAGCGAAGAAACTGTCGGCCACGTACTTCCGGGTCGAGCAGTCACTCCGAATCTCTTGGGCCCGTGGAGCCCATCCGGGATCTTTACTGACCAAATACAACGGAGCTACCCATCGTGTGATACTGGGCTGTCTGAGCGCCTAGCGCAGGCGAACCAGTCCCGGCTACTCAGGTGGCGGCAAGCAATAGGGTCAGCTGTCAAGATCAACATAGTATCCAGTACAAATGATCGGTCCGAAAAGGGTGCTACCAATACGTTTAAAGATGCTGGACTTGGCACATCTCTCCCTCTAGGCCAGTCACCCACAGCAATGAGCCCATATGCTGGGACCTTGGTGTCATATTTTGGAGGAGGAGCCGGTCCTATCAGAGCTCCACTCCTTCCGAAAGGCGCAACCGACGGGTTACCATTTACCTGTATCAGCTGTGGCCAAACGGTACGATTCACTAATACATCTGCATGGAAGTGAGTATCCCCGGTTACCCATCTAGGTTTCGTACAGCTTACAGCTCTTCTAGAAAACATCTTTTCTCAGATCTCCAGCCATACATATGCCTTGATAATGAGTGTTCGTCGAATGTGGCATCGTTTTCAACTAAAGCAGCATGGCAAACCCATTTTGAACTTGAACATAATCCTTCTTCTATTTGGTCTATCATCAAATGTCCCATCTGCCAGCAGCAAATCCAAGGCGACAAGCTGCACTGCACAAGTCATCTTGCCAGACATATGGAGGATATCGCTCTTATGGTGTTACCGCCTACTATTGCAGAATCCGAAGGTGGCAGCGATGCGGGATCTGAAATTGAATTTCAGCAAGAGAACACGAACACGGCCTTTGGGGACAGGACTGATACTCAGTCCTCCTCGTCGCAGACGGCTCTATCGGACGTCAATGCTGCTGAGGCTCATAAGATTGTCGAAAACGAAAAGCTATTTATAGATAATTCTTGGCTTGGTAAGCAAGACCTCTTCCTTTTTGACCAGACAGCTAATATCTTGGTTGAAGTTCATAACCGTATGTCCAGTCAGTCAGACAAAACTACATTGAATCTTAAAGTGGACCTTATCGGCGAAGGTTCAAAGAAGAAGATCGAAACGACCGTGAACAACATTAGTCAAGATACCAAGGCAATGCTACCAGAAGGACGCGAGCCCTCAAATCCGGAAGACATTCAACAGCCAGGGGGCCACTACGTCTACCAACCTGGATCAGAACTGATAGCAAATGCTGTTGACACACACTCTGCTTATGTTCCCCGAGCATGTATCTGTTGCCAGAAGTGAGAAACTCTATTTACAAATAGCCATTCAATGAGGATTGACTTGCGATATAGGTGTACGGGAGAGAAACTACTCAAGAAACCTACGGTACGAACAATGGACATGCCACATGATCCAGCGAAGAGTTTGCTCTGCAACACTCTATACATCAATCACATGCCTGTGAATGTACATGAGGACCTCCTCAAACAAATATTTTCCAACCAGCCAGGATACAAGCGTCTCTGTTACAGAGCAAAACAGGATGGGCCCATGTGTTTTATTGAGTTCGAAAATGTGCAGTCTGCAACCAGTGCGCTTGACGAGCTCGATGGGCGCCCTTGGACTAATGGTATTGATGGTCGTATCAATTTGGGCTATTCTAAGAACTCACTCGGCGTTCGTCTTGAAAATCCGACTTCGACACTTATGCAAACATCTGCTAAGACGGTACTCCCGCCCCTCGAAGGCAGACACGAAAGATGTACGACGTGCCAAAAGACAGATTGTCGTGAGTGTGGAATTTTCTTGGGCTCGTTGGATTCTTTACCGGAACCCCCTACAGTTGTTTGAATTCACTATGTATATCCAGGAAAAACGTGCTGATTGCTGTTCTCAGTGCCACAACATCAGGCCATACTGTAAGAAGTGCACCAATTGAGGTCGGGTCTGCGAGTGGGATCAAGCAGACAGCACCCAGAACCTCAAATAATTCCTACAGCCAGAAGCAGAAGTATGTCGAAGCGGTGCCACCGAATATTCTCGCAAAGAACTCTGGCGATATATGTCCGGGTGACTAACGTATGCAAAGCGAAGGTGTTCGTTCGTAAGCTGATCAGGTGTTGGGCGGCAATAGTGGAGTTGCTTTTGATGCACCCCACCAAGTGCTATTGTAGCAGCGAGTGCGTGTGACGCTATGAGTCGCGAAATGGAACGGTTTCATATGGGACGTGTGAGCTTGAAATCAGCTTCTATTACGAAATAAAGCCGATTTGATGTGATAAATGGTAGGCACTTCTACTTAATATTTACTTCAGTAATAGTAAAATGGATCTCTACAGGCTGTAAAGCTCGTAAAAAGCCTTGAGTGAATTTTTTTTTTACAAAATCTGAAATGTTTATATGAACTCAACCGGCGTCCATCATATCCTGGCTAAATTGTCAAGGATATCACGGGGTTCCTTGTTGGGAGGTATTCATCAAACCCACGCAGGAATTGAATACCATTTTCTTGCGCAGGTGTCTATGTATGGTACGTTGTTGATGAATATACAGTCTTCTACCTCTAACTGAGATGATCCTTTAGAGAGGGAGGGCAACTACCACCCGGCATGGTTTCAACATGTGACAAATAGGGCTGCCATTATATGTGCATGTATATATTATAGGTGAAGTTCTCATATAGCGAAATTACGGTAAACATCTCAAAGTCCTTATCAAGATTCACGCTCATCAAGCATACATATCTTCTGGATTTTTGAAATAATTCCACGGTTTGCTCTAATAGAAACGAGGTGGTAACTCCGGCTCACGTTGGGGTGATACGTTTGCAGCCTAACAGCCATGCTTCACACCAACTAGCGGCGGGCGCACTCATATTGTTCGCCACACGTAGTGGACTTTGAGATGGCTGTATTCAATAAATGCCTTGTACGAACACCTTGGCTTGGCTGCTAGGCACGACAAGTACGCGTGTTTGTATTGTCTGATCAGCGCAACGCGAGCTGTAGATCACGATCCTCACATCATACTCTCAGTAAATACGTGAACTGCAATCCAGCTCATCGAAGTGACGGTCCTGCCTCAAAGGTCCCATCTGTCAGCACTATTTAGAAACAAGATTCCGTCATAGTTTGGTATAGTGGTCCACAATGTCGAAAATTCGACCAAACTATTCTAGTTATATGTTTCATATGCCTTCTAAGTCAGCGACAATTATCTACAGTATACATGTTTTGGGCACGAAAAGACATAGTTCAGTCTTGGCGCAGGCAGGACTGCTTGATATCTTGGTGCCGACCTTCAGTTAGCGGTGCGAGTCTAAGTGATCACAAATCAAGACGTAGAGCAAGGCTTCCGATTCTGTAGGTAATACCAAGGCGGACCCTTCATACCGGTCTGCTTCTTATCAGGACATTACTAAACGGGAGTGATGAAAGGTATATCACCAATTGGACACGCACTAGAAGACCCTACCCCGTCTGGCAGAAGGACTTCTCTCGACGTGATGGGAAACAAGACGGTGACAGGTCCCAGTGCCATCAATGGAAGTGGGTTTGTGTGGCTTGGTGTGGCTAGCGTTTGGGAATACAGATGGATTCTGCTCAGCTCGCTCCTTCGTCGTACGATCAAGGTATAATGAAACGCACTGATGATACCTCAAGCTAGACACAAAAAACTTTGCCTACATACTGCGGCTATACCGGCGAGCTTTTTTTCAGGAGAAGCGGTTGGTGTTTGAATAGTGCATCCTGTCATGCAACTTATTTTGGTACGCGAGCCCAAGCGGGCGTCTGGCTATACATGATTGGCTCTCTCTACCATAATCCATGTCGCGGTGAAATAGGTGGTTAACTCCGATTGGCTTGTGCCGCTTCCTTTGTGACCCCTGATCATATCTCAAACACAAACATTTTCATATTTATTTCTATGCCAGCTAAACAGTATTGCTACTCGATTCTCTTTCTGCATCAGAAATGGGGGTTTATCTTTTTCATTTGCTTAATATTTTCTTAAAGAGTTGAGAAGCACATTATCACGATGGTGGACGTCGCGTCGATTATAGTGTCCGTTATATCCCTGATAGCCTCAGTACTGGTGGCTGGGTTTAGCGCATACCTGAACTACTCCACCGAAAAACGCAAAGCACGAAGCGAAGCTGAACGTCTACTTCAAAAATACAGAGATCCACTTCTTTTTGCGGCTGGGGATCTTCAGTCCCGACTCTGGGGAATATTTGAAGCAGACGTGCTCAGTTTCAGTGGCCAATCAGTTCACCACAATGACTCCTTGTTCATATACACGTCGTTTGTACTGGGTCAATATTTTGCGTGGACACATATCCTGAGACGTCAGACCCAACTACTTCCGTTTTCTTTGGAGGAAGACAAGAGGTTGACGAGATTCATCGAGGTGCTACACAAAATCCAAGGTGTATTGCTGGACAGTGCATATGCCGCGGAAGAGGGCAGCGCGTTTACACTCTGGCGCGGTCATCAGATGGCAATCGGCGAGTTCATGACTGATGGTGGTGATGGATCAGAGAAACTTTGCATGGGGTTCTACGAATTCACAAAAATCTGGAAGTCTGGCTCCGGTGAAGCCTACGATAACCTGCACTACTGGTTCCAGCCGGTTGAGGATGGCCTGAACACTCTTGTTCAAAGGGGCCCAAAGGTGCCTGACGGGAATAAGTTAAGGCGCTTGCAGCATCTGTTGTTGGATTTGATTGAAGTGCTGGATCCCGAAAGGCATCGATTGCATAGTAAGAACATATCGGGCTGTGGAGCGGCGACCCATTGCCCGTGCAAGAAATGTCTTGAAGAGGCCGGCGTCTATGGTAAAGCTGGGGCAAGGAAGTCCAACAGCGGCAGGACCAGTGAAAGTGTATGATGGCTGTTGATGCTACGAAACTGTTTCAATCAGGTACAGCCATCATCATTAAGATGTCGCAGGTGAATTAATAGTAATATATACATATATTTTCTACTGCTTTATACGTCTGACGGTCTCTCAATGGGGACATTCATGCCTTTTCCGTATGTTTCGACTTCGAGCGCTTCACGAAATGCGACTTGTAAACGAACGTGAGACAAATGATAACGCCCAATCCAGATATTCCCATACCCATGTAATACGCACCCCTATAACCTTTGAGTTTATCCTCCTGTGTCTGACCACCGTTACTGACTTGGTACTCTACGGTACCGGCAAAGCCTAGACCTAAAGCAATGCTATAGTTGACAACTGTGTTGACAAGGCTCGCGGCAATTCCTTGATGTCGCTTGGAAACGGCGTTGGATAAAATCAGAGTCGCTGCAGGGAAAGACATATCCATTCCCCAAGGCTGTATTATTACAGACACAAAGGTTTGAGCCCAGTAGGTCTGGTCGATTGGAGCAGTAGCCATGAGAGTCGTGCCAGTGAAGAAAGCACACAGAGCCATTGTCATGACCCAAGCAGGGCCAATCTTATGAATAAGGAGTCCGGTGAAGGCAGCAGCAAGCAGTCCAGATACTGCGACAGGGCAGATTTGAGCTGTTCCAAGCAGAGGACTTACGCCACGAATCTCTTCGAGAAACTGCCACGTATACCAAAACCATATACCAAAGCAGGCCCAGCCACAAGAAACTGCCCCTAGAACGAAGCTCACATCGGTTGATAATGCGTCGAAAGGTAACAGCGGCGTTTTGGCATACTTGACTTCGATGACGAAGAAGGCTGCCACGAATAAAACGCCTAAAATAAGCGTAACGTAAACGTAAGGAGTTGTCCAACTCTCAATAGGCGCCTGGTTCCAGGCGAAGTTGAAGAGAACCAGACCAGTAATTCCAGTGATAGCTCCGGGTAAATCCATGTAGGCAAGTTTTCCCTTCCAGGTCGACGGTATCCTAGCTTGATGATCTGGGGGGCATGGCGGAATCGCATAATATCCCAAGACAGTAGTGCCAGCAAGAACAAGTGCGAAGCACCACCAGGCCCATGGCCACCAAGCCAAGGCAAACAGACTGGCAAAGAGCGAACCTAAAATCGATCCTCCTGGCGCGGTCGCTGCAAATGCTGCAAATACCATCGACTTCCGCTTACCGGGTTGATATGTTGCACCCAGAATTGCCAGTGCATTTGGGAGACACAAGGCAGGGCCAATGCCCTGTAGGACACGCGCAAAGGTGAAAAGAACATGGTTTGAGTATACCGCCAAACCAGTAACCATAGACCAAACAGAGAACCAGGCCATTCCAAGAAGAAATATGGTCTTGTAGCCGAACATGTCGCCCAGTCGACCTGCAAAAAGAATAAAGGTTCCCACAGTCAAACTGTAACCTGCGATGTACCACGACAGATCGCCTCCATTTGCGATACCATAGTTGTCCCCGATCACGTGGAGGATTGGTATTGCTTGACCCAAGCCAGCCTCTGGTGTGGTTTGTCAGTCGCTTGCTGACATTAACAACGATTTGAGTTGGGAGAAAGACTCACGTGTGTACAGCTGTGCTAGGCATATGACAGTAACAAAAAGGAGCTCGCGATGTAGTGGTAGCTGTTCTGCAATTGATACCGTGGAAGTCATCCTTGTAGCAGTATGGCCGATATCTTCATCGTCCACATCGTCCTCTGCCTGCTCGGAGCGGGACGACTCGCGGTCGATGCTGTCTTCATCTTTAATATTCAAGCGCCCAGCGTTGCCAGTAACGGGCGTCTCCATGGTATTCGAACTTGAGCGACTCAACCCTGGTGTCGTGTCGGGATTCGTCGCGGCTGCATGTGAATGTTGAGAATTTAAGTTGGGCATGTCGAATTGGTGTAGCGCCACTTGTGCCAGTGCTGCCCCCGAGCACGGCAATTGGCCCAACTATGAGAATGCCAAAGATTCAGTATAGTAGAATTGATTGAAGGCTTTCCACTAAGGATTCAGCCTGATGATCGACAATTTGTAGACGTGTGAAGGAGCCGGCAATTTCTTTGCGCGTGTGGTTTAGTAGATTATGAACGAACGTTTTCAAGAGACAACCGACATTTGTTCACATGTAACGTCATACCAGTGGCACATCGGTCAGCAACAAGTCTCTATATATTCGTTCCCAAATTCAACGGCTTATCGCGACCGCGTTGAGCTTAAAAACTTCGTCCCGTACAAATTCAATAATCGAGCCGGATGACGACTTTCTTTGTAATTCCAAAGTGGGTCAAACTTCCTACACGATACGCTTCTGCGGGACGTTAGTTAAAGTGGCTGCGGGACGGTAAAGCATATGGTGTTGGTGTAGTGTCCAAAATACCAGAAATAAATGTTAATCATCCTAGCAAGTCTCGAAGCCCAGCTTGCTCGAGGATTTCAAAGACAGAGCGATGTACTGGGTATAACTCGTCTCTCTGAATTCACATGTGAGAGTCTTAATTCTAATGATCTTCAGTATTGCTCCGTAGTACTGTGCCAGTCGATCTCACAACTCAGAGAGTTTTGCACTAAATTCACACCGGAAATTCAGGACACCTATTACACGTTGGCTCGATGCTTATCTCCTCTAGCTCGGCGGGTGTTCATTTCCCCAATAGCCTGGGCGCTTGTTGCCATTTTTCAACGAGCAGTTTTCTTTCTTGTATAATTGAGTATGTGGACCGTGTTCTAAGCTCTCATCAACGTAAACACATCTCACGAAAGCTCTCACGAAAGCTCATGCGTACTTAGTAGCTTATGGTGCTACTGACAATTCTAACACCTTTCAATTATCCACCCAAAAATTTCAACACAATCACAAGGATAGTTCGAGAGACAGCCTTTGAGCAATCAACCTATACAACTCCGAAAAAAGCATGGTTGATATAGCCGACCTCGTATCGCCGGCTACCGCATATCACTAGCAACTAGCATTTCCTGCCATTCTTTGTGGCCGTACGCCAAGGAATATGAATTGTTATGGGCATTCGTTCTTGTTCTTTGAATTATTATAGTTGTCCCAGACTTTGCAGAGTCCCAAAATCGGGCATCCATACCGGAGAACCTTCTTCCTGATCTATCCAATTGGCCAACTCCGCGACCACGCGCCACGCCTCCTCATCACCTCCTGGAGAAGGCTTCGTGCCATCATCAGCCGGCGTCCGCACTTTATTCGTACTTGCATGCACCTGAGCAGCTGCCGTCTCGGCAAGCCGGCCATCGCCATTCTGGAGCTTCTCCATTGTAGCGTTGACCAGTAGCTCAAATGCATCTCTGTACTTTCTCACCCACGAGGCCCTTTCCCCCATCACAAATAACACCAAGGAGCAAGCGCGGATATCGTTCGCTAATGACACCGACCATACCGCGTGAAGTTGTGTCCAGAGTCCATAGAGCAGAGTGATACCCGACACGAAAACTGTTTGGACTGCGATAAATGAGTGTCCGTAGTCTAACGTCTGGTGCAGCTTCTTATGGGCTTGGCATACGTCGCCTGATGCACGCATGCAAAGGGTGTAATACGGATCTGTTGGTGGCAGTAGTGCTAGGAATGGTTGAACGAGCAAGCGGAGCGCCCTATGGTAGTGTAAGATGGGATAGTTCAGTTCCGCTCCCGAAAGACTAGTCTCTAGCTCAAGCTTCCATGCTTCCAGGTTCTGGTAGAAACGATCCATCTTAAATGTTAGAGACGACAATGGTTTATCAGCTCTGTATATCGAGTGCTGGATTCTAGATTCTATGCGTCGTAATTTGACTAGCAGGATGGCGCTCGTCAAGGAGTTCTTCTTGATGGGCGCCCCACCCGGCGAGGGCGGTAAATTGCCGTCTAGCTCGTCTTCGGGCAGTTCGACATCTATAACTCGGTCTGGGATGCTGAATGGCCGACCCATAGATATGGCGATGGTTCGCTCAAGAGAGTAGACACTCCAGAAAAGCCGGCGTCTCATCTGTACAGTTGTATGGTCAAAGTGCGTCTCAGACTGCTTTCTATGTAGACCTAGGTCAATACTAGTCCTCATCGCGAGACCAATCATATACCATATACCGAAACTCGAAAGACTTCGTAGATGGTAAATTACAAGCAGAGTCATTGCCTCGATATTTTGCGTAGTTCTGGACTCTCTAGCTGCAAATATGTGCTGCAAGGCTGTCATATAATAACTCTGCGCTTGGTCAGACTTGTTTACAACCACGTGGTAATGCATCATGAACTCACCTCAGGAGGCGACGTGGTGGCTTTTTCCGTTAGTTGTAACAACATAGCTCCTATAGCATATATCATGTAGAGCTTGAAGACACCAAACCGCTGGGCTTTCGTCAGATTCGGTACTGGCGTGGATGCTAAAGTCATTCTGCTTTTATGTAATGTCCAGACTTCCACCGGGTCGACGAATGGGTATCGTGGGTGAATTTGGCCAAAATATGCAGCCAGAATACTGTGGCCAAGAGCATCATTGGGCGGCTCTGCACTATGCGCTACTAACTCTTGCATGGTTATAGCATGAGACCCAGCAGACGTCCCTAGTCTGTCGCTTGCTATGCTTTCCCTTCGGCTCACCGGACTACCTCTATAGGGTGGGAGTGCTTTATTCCAGACTGTCGCTTGCACCATCTCTCCAAGATTGAGAGCGAGATTGAGGCCAGAAGAAGACCCAATGTATGCTGGAGCTTCAAAATTGCCCATTGACAACAACTCAACGACTTCGCCTAGTGCATCATGCTGGGCACTTAATGCCGGTCGTTTTGCCGACGGTTGTTCGTCGACCGTCTCGCCATTGCCCATCTCATTGAGTGCTGTTTCTAGGAAGGCGACACGCTCTTCCAATGCACGAGTATACCTAGGTCTTAATTTAGCCATAGATCCACCTGGTGCGTCCGTATTCAGTAGGTGCCTACGCTGCTGGCGGCTCATCTTCAGTGACAGCTGTCTTATCGCAGACTGTTCCTGATTTCCTACAATTCGAACATATAGGCCATTGATCGTCGCACTATAAAGCAAGCTACATGAGCGCGACCCTAAAGTCGAAGTGGTGGATCGCCTGTACCTTTTGTTTCCGAGTTTTACACCTACCATAAAACGTTAGCAATAGAATAGAATATAAGCGATGGCAATACCAGAACGGTATATCTTAGGAGCACCGCTGGTAGGAGCAAAGAAGTTGCTAATCCGAACGCAAAACCAGGATGCATACCTTGTACAAGCTGTCCGACCTCTCTTCCTTGGATTTGGTGGAGGGGCTTCCGTTGCTGTCGGTGACAACATCGGGGCGTGCCGTGTGGTGGACATAACTAAATCCTTCAGTATCTCGGTGACCAACTCTGTCTACAGTTTCTGTGTACGAGTTTCTAGATCGTAAGGCGGATGTCCGACAATAATATCACCATTCGGCGCACTCGCTGCGCATATCGGACCCAACTATTCTGTCCATCATTTTAGTCATTTCCTAGTATCATGCCTGCCCACTGGGTCGGTTGCCGACGTTCTATCGGAGCCTGGTACCCGCTAGCGTATGATTGCCAGTATAACAACCGTAAAAGGAAGAGGGGCCCAGCGGCTTTCACTAGCAATCGCTGTGCTTCCTGTAACGCAGACTGCCGGCAATGTAACGTTATTTGGCGGCAACTGGTAGCATACAAAGTGCCCGCCTGATAAGAAAGAATTGGAGAGTATCTTGAATCGAAAGGCACTTTATTGGTGAGCGAGCTGAACGCTGGCCAACGCCTTCGAGATACGGCCAACACTACAAACAGAGCCTTATCAGGAGCCAGCCTGTGATTGCCTCTGGATATGCGGCCCTCGTTTACACAACTAGTGCGGGTTGAACAACTCACACAGGCACCTAATAGCTATATATTGCCATGCCGGGATATGAGATATACGTGGGGTATGTGCATGTTAGTTACCTTGCAGCCCTTCGTAGCTAACTTCTGGCTAGAAAGGTGCCTTAGTGTGAACCAGCGCTACTTAGCAATCCCGCACACCACTGGACTTGATGGGCGCGCATGATGAGTAGATTCAAAGTATCTATGTTAACTATACTTGCAGCATTTCTAAGACGAGGAGTGGAATCAACCGCATTTACGCAATACGAAAAGGAAAGATCAAGAACTTGACGCGAAACAAGAGGAAACACCCAGAATTTACAGGCTGTTCGCAAACAGCCAGCTCAGGGGAAATCCCGGCTCCGCCGTGGTAAGGCTGCCAGCCGAAGATAGCTCTCTTTGTCTTTGCCTGCTCTTTGACTGGGCTTGTATGGCATCACGTTGTGTATTGCTCGGCGCTACTGGCCTGAACGAACAAGAACCTGAAAGCTGGATTGTTTACTGTAAGCCCAATAGATGCCGATGCCTGCTTTGACCTGGAATCTCTGGGCGGGAAATTATCGTATACAGGCTCATGTGCACCCGAACCGGACAACACTGTGAAACCAAGGGAGAAACGCTCTCGAGACGCGGCGTGGACGAGCTCGAGACAAGCAATTTCGGAGGCTGAACCTCTTAGAACTCACGGGCTAGATAGGAGGACTTGGAAATACATGGAAGGCTTTGGAAACGATTTTGACAAGTTTACCTCAAAGGTTTAACAACAGTACTTTATTCAGGTCCGATCTTGGTGTGCCGATATTAGTGGAGGGTTACAGTCCGCCCTGAACCTCAGACCTGGTCTAGGGTTGCTAATATGATATCCAGGCAAGCTCATCTACAACTATTGTAGCCCGTTTAATTCGATATTGTGCATCAGCCCTTAGCTTTGAGTAACCCAAGCACCATTCGGTCTATATGGGAAGTTCTCGTGCATATGCTTTGCAATATCCTTTCTCGTAGTCACCCACACACCCTCTTTCTCCGAGACGTACTTCATAAACTTCCGAAGCGCTTCAGACCTCCCCGGCTTCCCAATAATGCGAGTGTGTAACGGAATATTCATTAGTTTACCGCCTTCACGATATAGGCAGTCGAATGTGTTTTTCAGATATTGCTCGTATGTTTCTGCGACCGAGCTACCGAAACCCGGAGACATGTGGAACTTTCCGTCATTGCAGTCGTAGTTGTATGGAATCAGAAGCATGCCTTTCTTCTCATCATCAGGCAGATTCTTTTCCTGCGGCAAGTCGAGCCAATATGGCACGTCGTCATTATAACACTCAGATGACCATAAAAAATCAGCACCAACACTCTTCCAAACTTCGGGAAAGAGCATGTGACTTTACTGCATTAGCACATCATTTCTTCGCTCAAGGGTGAAAATGCAACAACTCACGTCTGTGGAGTTCCACGTCCAAAATAAGCGCCAACAGGAAATTCGCCAGTGACTTCCTTGATGAGGCAGATGGCTTTCCTAATATATTCCTTGTCTTCCTCCAAGGAATAATCCCACGTGTCAATCCATCTAAGCCCATGGGCAGCAACCTCGTGGCCCTCGCGCACCAGTGCCTTGGCAAACTTGGGGTTTTTCTGGAGAGCCACCGCAACAGCGTAAGTGGTAAAGTTCCAACCAAACTCCTTGAAAAGTCGCATAATTCTCCACGATGCTGCCCTGCTGCCATACTCAAAGTCGTGCTCGGCGTTTATGTAGCGAGCGTTTTCCCTGTGCCCACCCGAGGCACCCTTCTCCCACAGGTATGGTTCTGACATTTTGTCTCCATCCAGTACCGATCGCTCCCCGCCTTCCCTGTAGTGGTTTGTCAATTCAAACTTCCCAGAAAAATGATTGAGGCACTATGGTCGTACTCATAGTTCAGCACGAACGACACAGCTATCCTCGCGCCATTTGGCCACTTTGGGTCGAAGCCTTCTTCGCCGAAACCTGTCATATGTTAGTGGTCTTGTTTTTATAGTATCGAAGTCGGAATTACCACTGACCCTCAAAGTCCCGTGGCACTTGTAGACTTTCTTCGATATGCACCATGTTGATATTTGAAGACAAACGTATTATTCGGTATGAAGTGAAAGTTTGTATTCGTTTGTAATGTATTTGGAGAATGATTGACAACGGGTTTATACAGATTTATAACATTATGTACTATTGTTGAAATCTGGATTTCCCTTCTAGTCAAGAACGATTATTTTCACTATCCTCCATAGCCGGATGTAGGCATATCTTTGGCCGGAATTAGTTGAAGGCGCCATCCGATGCTTTGAGTATGCATCCGCCCCAAAAAGACGATATGTTAGTCATTAACTGTATGTCATGTTGCATGCGTGATAGGGCTCTGCAGGGTTTGTGGATGGGGCGGGGGTGTCGGAGGCTCCGTCTGGTGATCAGGCCTCCGATGCGCGCCGAAGACATCCGAAATGCCCAGTTCCATCAAACAACTCCATATTGGTTCAAACAAGAAGGCGACCTAACGGAACAACTTTGGAAGACATCTTGTTTCTAGACGGGGTACAGAATAAGTTGCCCAACACCGAAGGGCATGCACAAGAACTTAGTGGATCGCTGTTTCGGTCTGTCCCGTGCCTTGTGCGCCTTCATGGCAGGTCGATGGTACGCGCGCAGCCGTGGTTCTGGCTAATGAACTTTTATAATCGTGCGTCGTGACTAGAACATCATAAATTAGATATCTGAACATACTTTGGATTTGTAAGTAGCGATACGACATTGAGACGATATGTAAATCGTCAATCATATTTAGCCTATTGCGCCAGTTGGTGCATGGCTCCTATCTACTGGCGGGTACGAAATTTCGTGTGGCCGTAGCATTTGAATCAACTTGAGGTCCAGCGGTGATCTTTCCTTCCTCGGCAGTGACAACCTGCTGCTGTTGTACAGAGTCGCCCGTAGACGAGACATCGAGACTCTTGGCCTTAGGCTCCTCGGGTGGCTGTAGTCCTCTATCCTTCACAAAAAGGCAACCCAGCAAGCAAGTACCGATGAGGGGCACTTGAAGGATGAATACGGCTCTGCTCGCAGCCATATAAGCATCAAGAACAGCGTCGAAGCCCGGCCCCTCGAACTTGGGGAGCGAGTACGTGTCTTCTGCCAGGTAGCTGTACTCTACGGGTAGATGGGCTCGCAGAGCGGCCTGGAGCACAGCGGCCGAAATAGCCAAACCACACGCACCTCCAGCGCATCGGAAGAAATTTCGATTGGAGACAATGACTGCTCGCTTTGATTTTGGAACGTGCGCCTGGAAGGCAACAAGCGTAGGCTGGAAGATAAAGCCTACTCCGATACCAACAAATATCAAGGGAACTACGATCAATCCTGGCGATGTCTCTCGGTTATAATAGAGCATGAGCCCAGATCCAAGAGTCCATAAACCGAAGCCCACCCAGATTACCTCGCCGTAGCGTTTTCTTCTAGAAATATACTGCCCCGATAGGATCGAGAACCCCGCTTGGAATGACACGAGAACAGCAGTAAAGGCGGCAGACACAATGACCGAATACTGCTTGACGTTCTGGAAATATAAGGGTAAGTAGTATAAGTACGACTGGTAGACCGCGCCAAAGAGAAAGCTTTGGCACAGCATTACCGCAACTACCGGGTTCTTGAAGATCATCACTGGAGTCAATTGTTAGTTCTGCGTCCTCCCCACGAAGTCCCAGAGAGAACTTACGTGGCATCATCGGGAGCGAGGCAACTTTCCACTCGAGCAGCACAAAAAGCACAAAAGACAGACTTCCGATCGTCAACATGCTGATGACCATGGGAGACTCCCAAGGGAAGTACGAGCCGCCGCCACTGATTGGTATCAGTATGAAAATGACTCCTATAGATGAAGCCAAGACACCGCCATAATCGATCTTCTTGACACTTTCTTTGAGCCCGACGGTTGGTGTTTTCGACGGTAGTAAATACCATGCTACACAACCCACAAGGGCTGCCAGGGGTGAGGTCATCCAGAAAAATGCTCTCCACGTCGTCCGCGAGATGAACGCGGCGGCCAAGAACGGTCCAGCCACATTTCCCAGCCCAACAAAAGCGCCAATAATTCCTTGGTACTTTCCGCGTTGTTCCAGTGTCACGATGTCAGACAGGATGATCATGGAAAGATTCGTTATGCCACCGCCTCCTATTCCAGCCACACCCCTAAAAACGTAGAACATGGCTGCGTTCTTTGAGAGACCACATAGTAGTGCAGCAATCGAGAGCAGACCGATCGCAGCCAAGTATACGACTTTTCTGCCGAAAATGTCAGACAATCGACCATATAGCATCTGAAAAGTGGTATTGGCGATCAAGGATGAAGTGCCTGCCCAGGATATGGTATTGGCAGCATTGAGGTCTTCCGCAATAGTTGGGAGAGTAACACCAATGCCATTTTGGTCGATAAAGGCAATCAGAAGCGTCAGTGAAAGTGTGGCCAAGACAACAAGCAGTTTTGCTTTGGGCAAGATGTCGGTCTGATCATGGAGAGCCTTCTCTGCGTTTCTTTGGCGACTTGACATTTTACTCAAAATTTTCTGTTCAGGACTTTGCGGTTTCAGGGACTCCGGGGAATAATCTTGATGGCTGCCCTGACGCCAGAGCGTTGCTGTAGTTGTCGATAATCAAATCCTATTCGACTGCAAAACTACAGAATGAGATTTGATATTGCACTAAACAACATCTGCGCCGGCGTCCGCCTGACTCGGCCAAATCCCGATGCCATCTCGAAATTCGATTTTCATTTGGTAATTCCGATGGGTTGAGCTCGCTAACCATGATCACTACCCACATATTCTAGGTCTTGAAGGCCTATTGTGCATCAACGCAGTTATAGTGGAGACAATATGTGGAAACATTAACAATGGCTTAGCTCTCAAAGGTGGGAAAAAGCATTTCATCATCTCATCGGACCTTGTTGGTGCGCCGCCGAATTTTCGGATCCTATAGGAACGTCCGACTTACCGGTCGCATCACTCCCGATGCGATTGTCTTCGGACAAGCAGCGATATATTCACTATCGCCCGCAACGACTTGGCTATCAGGTATCTTGGCCACGTCTCCGCACCCAAGAATAAGACGAGCTTTATCAGTGACGCTATGCTCCCCAATCAGGTGACACGATAACCAAAATGGTGACCACCAAGCGGCGAGTACCATCCTTTTGCAGGCCACAGATGGCCGGGATCATTCTCTTGGCGCTGATTAGCCACAAGACTGGAAGCGGATGAACTTAGTGATATGCCAGTATAAGATGTGACACGACGGGTCGCTATGCACAAGGTGCGTGCATATCAGGAGTGTTGTTATATTGTGCCTGCATCTTGTACAGTGACTGGTATACTGGCATCTCAAGAAGCGCATAAGCCTTGCACGCGACAGAGACGCGATGAGGACATCCGCTGAGGACGTCAAGGCAGCCTTTGCGTCGCCAAGAGCTTTCAAAGAGGCGATCAAGGTCCGTGATGCCCCCCCTAAAGGCTCTGCATACTTCAACGAGGACCTACTTCCTACGCCGCCAGAGAAGAGAACAGTAAGCATTTTCTAAACCTTAATTACATTTCAAGTTTCCATCGGCCTTTAGGTGATGATGATTATTATCTTTGTCGAAACATTGGGTCTCTTTTTAGTTACTCTACAACATTACCCATCAGCCTCCAACATGCCTCGCAAAACAACTACTGACCTTGAGTGATTCAGTGGAACGCGCTGCACTTCTTCAGTTACTATCTAACTCAAACGTTCAGCTCTGGTTCCTACAATCTTGGTGCAACTCTTATCTCGATAGGTCTCCAGTGGTGGCATGGAATAATCGCTGCAGTTATTGGCTCCGCCATACTCAGTGTCGTGGTGATTCTCAACTCAAGGGGCGCAACGAGATATCATGTAGGGTTTCCAGTCTATGTACGAGCTTCGGCTGGCGTTGGTGGCTCAAAACTGTTCATCGCCGTTCGGGCTTCTGTTGCCATAATCTACTTCGCAACCCAGACTTATTATGGTAACTTTGATCCTCTCATTAGTTGGTTTCGGGACTCATAAGCTAACAGCCGACAGGTGGAATGATCACAGCAGTCTGTCTCCGGGCTATATTTGGGTCACTGTGGGAGAACATCCCGAACACACTACCAGCCAGCGCAGGTATCACCTCGAAGAATCTCCTGGCATTCTTCATCTTCTGGATCATCCAGTTCCCTGTCATGTTCTTGCACCCAACAATCCTCCGTCATCTCTTCGTTGTCAAGGCTGTCTATACGACGACTGCACTCTTCGGGTTGATGGGCTGGGCAATTCACCAGAACGGAGGCGCCATTGGTAACTTTAGCTTTACCACCACTGCGGTGGCATTGAGTGGGGGCGCCTTAGTGTGGCCGATGATCCAGGCCATCAACTCAGTCATGGGAGCTCTCTGCCCTATACTGATCAACCAGCCCGACGTCGCTCGATACGCAACCAATCCTCGGCAGGCAACCTGGTCCCAGGCGACGGGTATCTTGCTATCCAAAGTCATCGTCATGTTTGTGAGTTGCGCGACCACGAGCGCGACCACAGGTTTCCTGGGCAAGTCGTACTGGAACGTCTGGGATCTATACGACGCCATTCTGACGCAGTACTGGTCTCCCGCTGCCCGGGCGGGCATCTTCTTTGTCGCCCTCGGCATGGTGCTCGCGACGATCGCCACAAACGCGGGCAGCAACTCCTTGCCCGTGGGCGCCGACAGCAGCGGTCTGTGGCCGCGGTATATCAACATCGTGCGAGGACAGGTAATCTGTGCTTTGCTGGCGCCTCTCTGCGTGCCGTGGAAGATCATCGCGAGCGCGAACTCATTCCTCACGTTCCTGGGGTCATACACGGTGTTTCTCATGCCCATCTGCGGTGTGATGATCGTGGACTACTGGGTCATTCGCCGTGGCAACTTCCATGTGCCAAGTCTCTTCTCCAAGGTCCAGGGTACTCCGTATGCCTATGCCAACGGCTGGAACTTCAGGGCCGTTGCTGCCTGGGTAGCTGGTGTTGCTTTCACAGTTCATGGCATCGCCGGTGCGCTTGACCCTTCGGCCGTCAACCAGGCGAGTAAGAACATGTATAAGCTTGGTTTCCTCCTTTCGCTGCTTATGGGCTCGTTTGTGTTTTACATCCTCAACCTCATCTGGCCCGTCCCTCTGTTCCCTGATTCACGGATCGGTGAGGGCCAGAACACATTCGAGTACATGGCTGACTCCGAAGGGTTCTTCGCGGGTGAAAGCGTGGAGGACATTCGTGGCGTCTTGAAAGGAACAAGACCCGAAGTAGTCCCAGCGAATACTCACGACATTGGATATGGCAAGAGGCACTTGGACGAGAAAACTCTTCAGGTGGTTGTATGAGCAACAGCAAAAGTTTGAAGTCTCGAGCGCGCTATAGGACGTATTACGTGACTATAACTGAGTAATATTATCATTAAGCTCGATTGACCTTTCAATGGTGAGTGCCACCAACTGACGGTTGCTTTTGAAGGGATTTTGTGAAGAGTCTGCAAAGATGTCCTAACGCTGCTCGCTTTGACTGCCCGCCTATAGCTGAAGACGACCTCCCTTGTAATAGGTTAGTTTGATTAGTCCAGGTCAACTATATCTGGTGGAAGATCCACATACCTCTTGGGTCACCCTATTCACTCAATTTCGCTTGTATGACTCTTCAATCCAATAGGTCTGTATGATGTGGAAGGCCGTTACTAAACTACCCTCAAGTTCACCCAACATCTTGGCTATACACGCATGACGAACGACATGTAGGTCGGCCCTGGTCTTTCTCGTCTCCTGCACCTTTTCATGGCACTGCCCGGACTACAACATGATACCCAGAAACTAGGCCTTGAACTAGTGAGTTCTCGCCAGATCCTTGTCAAACATTCTGGTCTTGGTAGAAAAAAAAAATATTATGTACCAAATTCCCAATACTACACGGTTGTCGCCAGCCCCCTTCATGGCTTAATGACTGTTGGCAATACAATTGTGCGCGACCAGACTCTCAGGCCGAAGATCACGAGATATACCCATGCGTACGAACATTTGTGGATGGAAGATCAAAGCATATAGCGCTGCTGTGAAGCTCTCCTTGTCATCTGATGTTTATGCTCACAGGACAAGCCACTTCTCAGCAATGTTCCTTACAGCCTGCATGTCTCCACCTATGAGACAACATTGCTGCAAGTTGAATGCTGTTTCCTTGGCCAGATCTTCATCTCTTACTTCGTCGCCCTCAATCTCTCGTAGTACCCTTCTATAGTACTCAGCCGCAAGATGTGAAAGACCAATCGCATGATAGCTTCTTGCTAGATTGTAGTGCGCCTCCTGCCGCTGACCTGACGTCATTGCCTGTGCCAGTTTCAGTTCGTAGTAGCGATGTAAGAACAGCAGTCCCTGGGTAATCGATTGCTGCCTGTTCTCTGTTTGTCGCTTCAAACCGTAATGCAGGAACGCCTGTCCCATAGCCATGTTGACCATGATGTTGTCTGGGTCCAAGGCGGCGGCTCGCACGAAGTAATTGAGCGCAAAAGTGAAACTATTTGATATAAACAGGATATGTCCATAAAGCATTAGTAGCTGGACGTCCTGCTCTTTGGCTGGGTATGCCTTCGGATCAAATTGATCAAGTTGCTTGGTCTTCAATTCAGTAGGTAGAAGTTTGGTATCCATCATCTTGATCTGACGCAAGGTGAATTTCTGAACCTTGGAATGCGCAAACCACGTTCCTGTTGAATGTACAAGCCGACCAAGGGCGGAGTATAGGCGGAATGCATCTGAGCAATACTGATAAGTGGCCATAAAGCTACGCGCTACCTCAACGCACGTCTCTTCGTCCCGTCCTCTGACGGCACATGCTGCTTTGGTGATATTGGCCAGGAACTTTTGGTCGGGGTTTTCGAAGAAGACGTTCGCAGCCAATGCGGCATCACAAACATCATATGATTCCTTGATGCGACCAGAATATGCCAAACTTAGGGCAAACTCCAGGAACAGATCGAGCCATTCAGAGAACTCGACATTTCGATAACTCACAGTAGTCTCAAGCAGCCTTCGAGAATTAATCGACGACTGTTGTGCGTCTACCTCGCCTCGAAGTCTCTGCGCCATCTTTAGGAGGTGCGGATTAGCTGACGAGCCAGACTCGTCTTTCTTTAGGCCCATCTGGGTAAGGTATCTGTCCCAAGGAAAGAACGCTTTGAAGGAACGGAAGTCATCGATGAGAATTTTCGCTGCAGCCATCCAACCTCTTCCAGGGCCATGCTCTGAGCTGTCTTTTTCTTCGCGTACGATGCGCCACTTCTCCGCCAAGTATGTGGCTCTGCGTTCTTCCTCGAGCTTCCGATCTTCATCCAAAGCAAACAATAGGGGTCTCTGGCGGCGAACACCCTCTCTTGGCTGTCTCTTCTCGCCAGGCACGCGAGGTTTCCTAGGAACAGGTGCTTTCCTTTCACGAGGGGCGCGAGGTTCCTCGGGCGGCTTGTCAAGTATCGGCTTTGGCGCAAGGCTGCGTATAATGCGAGGTCTGGGTTCTCTCCTGGGTGGCTCAACACCTGACTCACCGGATAACTCCTTTTGCTCTCTTTCAATTCCCATGGCCTCTTCGAGCAGATACAATGCTTCCTCGTTCTTCCTCGCAGCCTCGTACATCTTGGCAAGCTCGTATCGCGCATTGACACGAACATCGGATGGTGTATCATCGAAGTCCAATGCTGCAGAAAAGCACTGTTCTGCCTGTCTTCTGTCATCCATCTCCAAGTAACATTTTCCAGCACGAAATAGTGAGAGCGCATCTAGAAGATCTTCCTGTTGCCTAAGGGGCTCATAGAAAGGCAATGCCTTAGTAAGTCGCTTCGTCTCATATAATGCTGAAGCCACTTCTAGGAAAAGCTCGGCCGGCTCCGAATCGTCTTCAGAATTGGAGATGTCGGCAGGATCAAGAAATTCCAGATGTTGCATCGCCTCATCGTCATTGTCCCTATCAAGTCGTAAACGGCAAATTGCTAGATTGACTCTTAGCCGTATCGCAAACCCAGCACCATAAGTCTCAGTTGAATATTTGTGTGGATCAAAATAGGAGACGTTTTTGCGGCGCTCGTCTCCAATATCCCATTCGCAATCATCCTCCACGTTGTCCCAATATGTTTCTTCGCGCCGCCCGAGAAGCCATCTGGCAAGTGATCGTGTCGCGTGCAACGCAGCACCATATTGCTCAATATGCAATAGCAGTGCTGTGTAGGTACACACGTCTTCCCAGGTGAATGGAAGCTCCGCATTTATCGTACCCATGGGAAACTCAGCTTGGAAGTGCTCGATCGCACGCAGGTAAGCATCTCGTACCTCCCAACGTAGCTTGTCTGAATACCGCCGTTGATTTTCAAATAGTTGAACTGAAGCATCCGCCAAGCCTCTCAATGCTGAAAGATCGTACGGGTCTCGCTCAACTATCCAATTGTACTCGGACACTGCTAATTTGAAGCTTTGTCTGGTCAAGTAGAGGGCAGCTCGAGTGTGGCGCGCACCCACGTTGTCCGGCTGGATTTTGATTGCTTGGGAAAACGTCATGATAGCAATTCTCAGAGTGTCTTCTGCGTCGTCTGGTTCTGCTTCTATCAGTTCCAAAGCGAATCGACCACACTCGACCCAAACCTCTAGTATTTTAGGCTGCAGATGAGCAGCGCAAACGGAAGCCATAAGTGCCTGCTTATACTCTTCCCTTTCTCGCAGAATTTCAGACAAAAGAGACCACGAACGAGCGATTTCGGCATTGAGCCTGATAGCGTCGTTGACTTGATGAAGAGCTTCATCGAGATTTCCACTCATAAAGGCATTGGTGGCCAGGCTCAAGCGCAGTTTTACATCGCCAGTGGGTTCAGCTGCCTTGCGCGGACCTCTTTTTATAACCTTTTTTTCGCGTGGCTGTTGTTGTTCTGCTCGATATTGAGCAAGCAAGCTCTGCTCACTCCCGCCTGCCGCAAAGCTCCTCACTGAATCCTCGAAAGTTGCCAAATTATTTTGCATATGAGACAATAGGGGATCGTCACCTACATCGTCCTCTAGATCGTCATCTTCTGAGATGGTCCCGCCGTCAGGCTCCTCATATTGGGCTTCGCTTGACACCGGAAACGACTTAGTTTGGAATGAACCTTGAAATCCGGGGCAAAAATCCGTGGAATAAGCGTTATGTGGCTGTCCAGTACGCCCTGGATATGGCTGCTGTTGTTGAGGTTGATTGAAGCCCAACGACTGTTGAGGCGGGGCCAAGTATGGTAACGGCGGCGGCGGTTGTACCGCAAGCGCTTGGTAACGAATATCATTCCTCTGTGTCGACTGTGAAAAATCGTGGAGTTGGCGTTCGTTAAGTCCACCTGTAGATGACAGAGATACGTGCTGTTGTATAGCAGGTTGTCGGTTTTCATTGTAATAGGGCGTCGCAGCAGCTTCTTGAACATTGTTCAAGGGAGGATACGCGCCATGTGCAGGGGGCTCGGGGTAGGGACTCTTGACCACTGCTTCATCGGCTTGTTGCCGTTGAGAATAAGATAAGTCGGTGAAACTTTGCTCGATAGGTGGACTTCTTGACGGTGCTGGTATAGTCGGCAGTATTGCTGGCGGTGACATAGACTGTGTCGTAGCCAGACTTTGGTGGGAGGCTGCGTCTAAGAGTGGTGCACCATTCTCTTCGCGGCCGACTGAGGGTTGTTGCGCCTGTCCTCTACCCCGGCCTCTGCCTCTCCCTCTACCTCCGCCTCTTCCGTTACCTCTCTCAATACCTCCAGCAGTGCCTCGACCACGCCCCCTGGCTCTGCCACGGGTACTACCTCTCGTACTAGAAGAAGACGAGCGGCGTCGTCGTTTTGGTGCTGGATCCGCTGTCGCGGCCGGCTTGCTGATTTGCTGTGCTGGGGTTGATGCTTGAGCCGTGACCATTGCTGTCTGCGTAACAGCAGGCAGTGGGGGCGGATAAAGACTTTGGGAAGTACCATCCCAACTTTGAGGTCCTGCTTGAGAAGGACGTGCTTGAGAACTCTCACCCGAACGTTCTGGCGCAGCCCCATCCCAACGCTGGGAAGGACTTTGAGTAGAGGGCGACGCATAAGGATGTTGTGATTGGGCAGGCACTTGTGTAACGGGGTACGAGGCCGCATTCTGCGGCAGACTTGGCTGAGACGGCGGTCTAGAGCTTGTTGGTGACGGTCGCGGTACCCGTATGACACTATTTACACTTGGTAACTGAGCAGAGGGGTTCTGCGTGTCGCTCGACTGTGACTGTGCAGAAGCTAGAGGGCCAAGGGGCGGATCATTGTGTGGCGCGACCTGTTCAGCGGGCAGGGTAGGCTCGGATATGTTCCGGGTATCATTCGCTTGTGGTGGTGCAGGCGCGATGTTGCGCGCCATGCTGATCTGCCTAGCGATGTAGGCAGGATCTAGAGAGGATCTCATCGCGGACGGCAGTCGTTGTAGAAACTTCGTAAGCTGGCTCCTGATCTAAGCACTGGTGAGTTGAGGAATCGCGCCTCGATTATTCAGTGCCGCACCAGAACCACACAGGAAAACGCACGCCTGATTTGTAATCTGCGTAGGGGGCGAGGCAAAAATGAATGAGTTTTGTATGCCACAGGTGGTGGTTGGTCTTGTGGTTCAGAAGGTTGACAATTGCTGCAAGCGCGCGCAGCACTTCCAAGTCGGCTTAAATAATTACACACTCCTTGGACCATTGCCTCTGAGATCAGAATCCGCGGGCACCAGCTTCGGTTCTGACCATGAACGCACGACCTCAATTCCAACAACCCTCTTCCCAACTACTTGCTCCCATCCACTTAGCAATGCTTGGTTGTAAGTTCAACCAGATGTTCAGTGACATACTCTGGAATTGCTATGTCACTTCATTATAGTTGGCAACGGTCGCCCAACTCTAATAATTTTGCCACCTCTCCGGAGGCAATGTTGATATAGTCGTTGATGCAATGTTTGCGTCGTCTGGAAATGCGTATTGAAATTAGATGCAGATCCCAGCGTCCAGTCTTCAGGTGAAACCTTCTCGCTGAAATGCATCTTAAAATGAGCTGGCTCCACCTGGCAGCAGCCGTCAGTTGTTTTTGCGCCTGGAGTCAATACATTGGTCAAGGACAGTCCACTCCATGCGGAAACGACTTTGAACAATACAATGATATTTCTAGGTGTTTGCCTGTTATAAAGTCAGGCCAGCGAAGAGGCTGTATTCATCATCTCGATATGCTCACAACCTCAAATCCTCTTCGGGCCATCACCGTATTTTATTGTGCTCAAATTCTTGACGGTGCTGTTCGCAGTGTATTATAAAGTGGTAACGACTCTGCATGTTTCAATGCTTCTCAATATCGATATCGGCTCCTTCGCGTACACTATACGATACAGATATTCTCCGATATGCCCCCGTTTTTCCAGACTTGGACTTTTCCAGACTTGGACCTGTGCTCAAAATTGCAAAACTGAATTTTCCAGGCAATATCCAAATACCCCATCCTCAACGCTATTTCCCAGCTAGATCACCCAGACGAAAGACTTCCCGAGTCACTTATATGGTAGGCACCGTGATGACACTGCTCTGCAGGACGATGGGCCCTGGCATTAAATTCTCAGTAAACATGCCACGTTCCTGCCTGGCAAATAGACGCTCCGAAAATGCTCGACTCGCTAGTATTAGGTGGTCATCGGCTAAGCCAGCTTGCCTTCAGCCTTGGCCTCTGTAAATTTGTCAGCTATGCTGCAGGTGAACGACACTCCAGTTGTTGTAGGCTTACCTCTGACCTGTTCGAAGACCTTTAGCATCTTTCGACGTGCGCCTAGCGCGTTGACACCGCGGTCCTCGAGTGCTTTATCATCAAGCTCCACCAAGTCTGTCCACTGCATATCCTTCAGATTATCCGTGTACTTGTGCAGACGCAGAGATCGAAGCCAAGCAGGGATGTCCTGAAGAAGGCTGGGGTCAGTCGGGTCTTCCGGTGGCTTAGAGCTGCCACGACGTCCACGCGGCGATCTTCCACGTCTCATGTCAGAGTCTGACAAGTAGGTGTCTGGTCCTAAACCGAGCTGAGCCATGCTCAAACCATTGCTCATGAGCGGGTTCGACCCATCGTAAGCGCTCAGGAAACCGTTGTTTTGTGGAGATGCGAAATTGCCCATGGACGGGAATCCACCCTGCATGGCGATACCAGGGGAACTAGGTCTCGATCGCGAGCCAAAGCCACCCATGGCCTGCTGGTTTTGCATAGCAAGTAGCTGATCACGGTTGAGGACTTGTCCATGCTCATTGACCATGACAATGTTAGTGCCGTGCATACCGGGTGGAGCAGGCGAGAGCGGGTTCTGGGCAGCGCCAGGGGCATCGTTAGAGCGAGCTCGGCGGTACTTGCGCACATCGTCAAGGGCGAATCGGTTGTTAACAGTGGAAAGAGCAGCAAGCTTCATGGCAGTGGCGTTCGCAACCATATCGGCCTGGTTGGGAGCGCCAGTGTTGAAGTTGGGGACCATGGGAGTGTTCACCATAGATGCCCAGTTTCCACTCGCGGCGTAAGGGGACAGCAGAGGCAAGTCGGAACCAGACTTGTCTGGGGCGTTGATGGTCTGGCTCTGGATGTTCTGGTTCGATCCAATCTGGGGACGAGGAGATCTTAGACCAGCAGAGGGTGGCGGTTGTACGAACTGGCCCATTGGCGGTTGGCCAGAGGAAGATTTTGGTCGAGAGTTGTCTCCCCAGGGGGAGGCAGGGTGCTGCGCATTCGACTCTTCGGCGATAGTGGGTGCGAGCGAGTTCCTAACGTCGACGACGGTGCTGTTGCGGTTCGATGGTGGCTGCTGGCCTGTCTGTTGGGTGAATTTGGCCTTCTCCGTTGCGATGGCAGCGGCGGCATCGGGGAACATGGCGTTGATAGTGGAAGGCTCGAGCCCGGAGAATCTCTTGTTGCCGGCTTGGGGCATCGAGTTTCTGGACGAGTTCACATTCAGCTTATTCATGGCATCGCTCAGGCGGTTCGACATGGGGTCTGCAGGATAGAAAAGGATCAGTAATTAACCCAGCACGACGTAGCTTCCGGCCTTGCAGTATGACTTACCCTTGTCGAAGTTGGCTGGCGACAGGACACCTGACATCGGATGGTTCTTACCCATCTGCTGCAGGACTTGAATAAAGAAACGGATCTGGACCTGAGTCGTCTGTTGTAGCAAAGCATAGAGGGCGGCGGTTCGCTCGGCTTCAGAGAGAACCCGGAACCATTGTTCAATAGCACTAAGTTCATCCTTGAAGTCCTGGTCCAGAGTAGCCGCCGCCATCTCCTCCAGAGTAGTCTCGTATTGGTCAATATCAGCGATCCATTGCTGCGTCATCTTGTCTTGAGGGTCTGAGTCGGCACCGCTCTGGCCCTGGCCCTGTCCAGAGCCGTAGAAATCTGAAGAAGGACGAATTCGGCTGGCGGGGGAGTTACCAGTCAGAGCAGCCACGTCGGCAGAGGCCCGAAGCGCCTGGCCAGCTCCCACGGATGTCCTCGACTGAGGTGGTCGAAGGGAGGAGATAGCGCTCCCTTCGGGAGTGCTGTTTCGATTCATGGCGACCCGAGGGTTTAACTCGATGTTGGCGGCAGCAGCAGCAGAAGCAGCAGCAGCGCAAAGATGGCCTTGGGAACACCCTGTAGCAAGCAATTCTGACACAGAGATACCTCGCACGTTGCACAGCTGTATAAGAGATGTGCACTAGGGTTGCTTTGAGGAGCTGATGAAAGCAACTGGAAAGAATGAAAAGTGGTCTGTTTGGAAGTTTTGTGCCAGCCTGCGTCGAGATCAGAACCAGAACTCTTGGTCAGGCTGCTCCTCGACGGACAGGGCACTTGAAACGGCGCGAGACCCCTGCGAATCCGGAACGGGGGTAGATCGGTGGCCCGTGAGGGAGGCTACGACAGGGGACTTTCGGGGGCTGTCGCTAGCTATCGCATGCTGTTTCGAGACTTCAAAAGGACACAAACAGTACAATCTCAGTTCTTGATTTACCAGTACACAAAAGTATTAATTAAGTGGTGTACACCTAGCCTAGACAAGACGTGTGCTCGGATTCGGCTTGAATGCAGTATTATTGTCTACCTACGTGAACGCTTTACTAAAAAATAAATAAATAAATAAAACACAACAAAGGATGCTCCGACAAAGATCACACCACGTACCAAGTTAATAATGCTGAGATCCTGGCGAACGTCTTTCAGCCCGTCATACCTCACAAACAGCGCACTACACTCGCATGTAGGCCGGTTTAGAGCTGATGGTGGGGGATAATTGGAGGGATGATGGGGGGGCTGTTCAGCCAGTCGGGAGCAGCCAGAGTCTCTAGTTGAGTTCTTGGCTCGCTGGAAAAGTACTGGGCTAACTATTTTGGACCCATTCTAGAGTTTTTCCCACACGATGGTCTCTCAACTCAGCTAGCCTGTCAGCTGCCTTCCAGGGATAAGGAGTCAGGCTGATCTGACGGTTGTGTGTGTAATTTTGCAATGCTCGCATCTCAATCACTTCTCTATCGCATATATGTAGGAAAGTCTGCTCTGGACGTTGCGTAGAAGACAACTGTTGTGCCCTTCATGCTACGCTTGTGAGTCTTGGAGCCATTGGGACAAGATAAATACGAAGCTCTATCGAGCCGATGGGCACTTTCAGGGGTTGAAGACCCAGCTCCATTACTACCAAAATATAGTACTCCGGATCGCTTAAAGTCTAGTTGTGGGACTTGCTCGTCCAGATAGGTCAACGTCAGGTCACAACCGCAAAGCCTCCTCATGGAAGCAACAGAATCTAGTTGGGATGGATATGTTGCTTTTCGAAAGAATGCTGTGTACGAATGGTCTGTCCGATTTCCTCTTGTGCTTGTGGATCCATTCTTCAGTGGGATCATGGGTCCAAGGATTACGAATCCATCATCGCATAGATATTACATTTGCCGAATAGGGGGGCCATTTGAGTTCGTTTGACTAGGGTCAGGTACGATGTACGAGATAGGGAACATAGAGACTCGTAGTCAAACCGAGCTTAGTTATCACCGAAGATCGACCTTGGTTGCTAATGGCAGAAGTGGTCTCATATCACTTATAAAGGCCCAGAAAAGGTTGTTCGGTGAAGGAACCTCTAATGCTTAACGTCCATCGGGAAAGAGTTGTCAGACAGACGGGGCAGAGAGTCACCACATATGCCACATGGGAAAGCAAGTAAGTCTCGAGCTGCAGAATAGACAAAAGAATTCCATGTCTCAGTGTTCCGTGTCAATCCCAAAGCATAACAGCGCCTATCACTGAATGCATCCAGGCAAGGCGATATGTAGCGGGTTGTTGCTTATAAAATGCACTTTGCATGGGCACACCAGTAACAGGATTTTGAGTGATTTGAAGTAGTAATCAAGATTATACTATTCATCAAACTATTTGTAGCGTCAGAGGCACCCAGTCTCTTCTCACTGGCAAGACGATTTGACCAGCATAATTATACGGGAACCTGTCCCATCCCGTTACGGGTAGAGAGTGACTTTTGAGCCCAAAATGGTGTGTAAATCAAGACGGTCTCTTTGCATTCCAAACGGGCTGAACTATGGTCGTACATTCACGGGATTGTACCAAGCGTGGTTGCGACTCAGATCAACACGTCTCGAACTTCACAACGAGACTGCATAGTAAACGGATGTCTCAGGGAATCAGTATGTAGTCCTTTCTTCATACACTTTTGCGTCGTGAGTTTGAGCAGTAGCGTTTGGTAATGAAAGGACGGGGTCAATCTCGGCACGAAGAAAAAATCCTTCAGCAGAAGAGCACGGGAAGAAGCTCGTAGCTGTACACACTAATGCCGGTCCAGTTATACGCAGGACATGCGTTTGCAGTGTTCACCATTGTCCTCCTGGTCAGAGGAGCATTCCATGAGCATCACGGATCGCGAGAGAGTTCAAGTCGGGGTCGGGTTGAGTTGTCATCGTGGCGCGTCGGCCGATGGATTCATCTTCTCCAGTGAAGACCGTTCCGTATGTAAAAGCCAAATGCAAGTCATAATTCCCCCAGAATCATGTCCGAAAAGTTCCTGAACTCGCCATCGATGCACGCCGTACCTCATGACCCTGCCCCGGGAAGTCGAAGCATAATCTATGCGGTTTCGCCCTTGCCCTCGGCCTTCTCCTTCTGTGAGGATGTCAGTATTTATCTTCGTATCGCCAGTAGATTCGGGATCTCGAGAAAACCGTACCAGAGCCTTCATGGTTCCGTGCAGAGCATGTCTGTGGTTTCTGCGGAACTTGGGGTCGGTTCCCTTCAAAGACGGGTAACGGGAAGTCTTAGGCTTCTTGATACTGTATAAACCTCCAGTCAGCGCCATTCCTCTCCCAGCATCATCTCAAGAGTTCGTGTAGGGCGTGGTGCGGAATAGAATCGGTGTTCGTATGTGTCCTTTTCCAGGTGCGTCGACGTACCCGTTACGGTGAGCCTTCTTGCTCTGGTTGTGCTGAGACGAGTTCTTTGACTCTGTTATACATAATTAGACATTGTTTCCCTTCGTTTCATGGTAGTTGCGCTCGAAACATACTGGCCATCGCGACAGATTTTTGTGTGGTTGTCTGGGGTGATGATGCAAAAGAACGAACAAGAACGTGGGTTTCGTGATTTTTGCTGTGTCTCGGTTGACAAGCGATAATTTTGGTGGGCGTGATTTGACCAACCGGGCCCTAAGGGAAGGAGCAGCCCAGCCAAGCTGGGTGGATACCAGCCACGGCTGCCACTGTCAGCACTGTACAAGCCGGCCATCGCCATTTGCGGACCGATAGGCATTGGCGACAGCTGTTCAAGTGGGATCAGTTCATCATCTGCATTATTCTTGCACCGTAAATACAAAAACCTCTCAGAAGATGAGGTACATGCAGTCATACTCCTCTGGTTCAATTGCAAGTTACCCTATCAGCACAATGCAAGAGTCATATAATTCTTAGATATTTGCTGTATGGTATCCAAATCTACAGTATCACTTATATTCCAGATTTCTCCTCCCCCTCCCACTACTATTTAACTGTGAGTGGCACTGCAGCTTTCGCTTTCGCCGCCAGTTCCGCAGCTGCGACCAGCTGCTTTGCCCGAGCTTGTCTCAAGTAACGGAAGAGCAGGATGAACAGCAGTTCCATGCTGGAGAAAAGCTATTAGTATCCGTATGCTTAAACAGTTGACAAAACCGTAGACGTTTGGAGTGTTGGCTTACCGTTCCTTCGACATCATAAGTATGCCTTGTACCAGGAGACCTTTGAGGATTTGTGGGCCAATGCCCTTGAAGAGACTGAGAGCTCCCTCATGTTTGATAATGAACTGCATCACCTCCACGAATCCCTTGAAAGGCTTTCCTTGCCTAATTGGCGGAGGTTTCGACTGTAATCCGACTTTAGCCACAATCAATGGTTGAGTTACGATTGTCGCCAATGCCTTTGACATGGCACCAAGCACTGGAATATGTGGTCAGCAACCAGAACAGAGGCCACGCACCACAATAATACTCACAGAAGGCCTCTCCCGCGGTCAATCGCGCCTTTCCTGGGTACATGCGCGTCTTCAACCTTTCATATGCACCATATGTAATCGAAGGGTTCACCACAAGCACCAAGCTTGCCTTCAAGCCTCTCCAGAGTCCGGGCCACCCATCTTCGCTAGCAATAACCTCACGTCCTGTCTCCAAGAAGCCTTTCCTCTCATGCTTGCTTTGTGTTTGTTGTCGCGTCGTTATCACCGCAACCGGGATCGTGCATGCCTGCGCCAGCGCTCCAGCTATAGCACCAAGTGACAGTTCTACCAAAGTAGAAGGTGGCGTGGAAATTTTCTGCGACTTGAAATACAGCGTCCGCACTGTTGAGTACCAGTAGAAATACGCAAAGTTTGTCGATGCTACGCCCAGTAGTGACCCATGTATACCAGCGTACAGCCCCGGGAGGCCGTCCTCAGCCACGATCTTGGTGAATGCGTCCCAGGTTGACGTGTAATGCGGCTCGGAGTGTTCGATGACGCCTTCTTTATGTTTCACCTGCACTTGAAGTCGGGTCTTTACTCTGTACAACGGTATACCATAAGTCCATGTATCCCGCAAGAACTATGTCATGAGAAGGGGTTTTGTGTGTCTTACATATCCAGAGGGTAAACTAATGTGTTTGCGATGACAGCGCCAGTAGATCCAGCAAGAGCCAAACCCCATGAAGGTAGCGGGGCAGACTTGGATTGCACAGCCATGTTAAGGAGGGTTATCGTCGCTTCTCGAGAGAATTCCCTTACATTCGGGTTGATAGCACAATAAGTGTGCTATGCGACAGCACAGAGGACCCAACAATGAACGCACAGTTGGCTTATGGCAGCACTGCGACCTCGGTATGAGATAACTTGGCCAGGACTCTGGAGTTGGAGCGGCTCCTTCAGGCTGTGGAGCGCTTGCACGGAATACCTTTCAGCAATTCGCTTACACTACCAGGAACCGCAGGGTATGGTGGGGATTGATGTAGTCTTCAGGGGACCGAAAAGTGTTTTTCGACCGCGGAGCGGTTCTGAGCAATGATATTGGGGCCGGTCCAGCACCCGTGAAGGTCGTCATGCCAGAAAAGTACCTCGGCCATTTCACTATCTTATCACGTTATCCCTTAGCTCCGAACCTCTCGGTAAGCTTAAGATTGGGGATCCGAACTGCCGGTTGCATTCATTGGAATGTCAATATGGTCCACTGTTGATAGTGCCTCCCATAATCATACCTGCAATGAATGGCGACTTGAGGCCCGCCAGGAAGCTTGGCCATCAGTATGAGATTCCTGCTATCCCATCGACATTGGCTTTATGTAGTTGTGGTACAACACAAAAGCCATAGGCACTAGCACTGTACGGATTTCTCTTATTGGAAAACACCGTCCGCCTATTATGACGTTAGACCTCCAAACACATGGCAAAGTCAAGCGCACTAAATACATTGAACCGTTTCTCTTGGCACTCAAATCACCAATCGCTTTTCTGACATGAAACCTTTTAGAAGAGTCTTTGTGGCTTCAGCACCCTCAAAATGAGCAGTAGTGACACGGTTCCTCAGTTGGAACCGCTCATGAAGCTAATCGGTAAAATTTCGGGGTCTCTTCATCTCGGGCGAGTCTTGTCAGCCCCTTCCAGATGAAGCTGTCGTGCCATCCATCTCTGTGTATATCGCGCTCCGCTTCCATCTGTGACGCTGTGAGCAGAATCACCTTACTTCGAAGGTCTACATAGGCACGATTAGGATCTAGATTCTGAATTTCTCTCAGGAAGCACTACTAGACCGCGAGCCACGCTGTTTCATGCGTTGCATTTTCCATTTTTAGTTGACTTGAGCTCGAATCGAGCACATACAGCATCGCTAGTTTCCAGCGTGGCTTAGACCCAGAGCGAGGAACTAGTGAGCTGTACGATGGGTAGCAATGCACCAGAGCCAAGATATTTGGTGATCCGCTGAGTTGTATGATATTGCTTACAAGGCGATCATTGGGCTGATTTAACGTCGAACATCAACATTTCAAAGTCATCTAGGTGATAGCGAGCTTGACAGAAGCATTGTGTGGTTTCCGCAAGGCGAGGAAGCATTACTGCTACAATGGAAGCCAAAGCTCGAGTCAGTCTTCGGACCACCGACCAAAACCAACTGACTAATGCGAACGCAGGAACATGAGGCTCGGATCTCGCACTCCGCTGGCCAACAAGCTCTAGATCACGCAATTGCTGCTGCCGAGTTGTACATGAAGATAGCCAGTGCCACGAAGGAACCATCAGAAGTTGCTCGGTTGAAACAGAAGATTACTGACTTGATCTCCCAAGCGGAGCGCTTGAAAAAAGTTGTTAAGGCTGGAGATAGCGTGAGCAAAGTCGAGAAACGCCTAAAGCTGCCCCGATCGGTGCGGCAGCTTCCCACGAGTGAAAAGAATATCTTACTTCGTGGCTCCAAGTTGCATGGCAACATATTTCCTCCCTGGGAGTCAGATCCCGATCCGGACGAATTCACAGGGAGCCTATTTCTAGATAAGGCAGACTTCCCACTCTCAGAAAGACAAACCGAAGTTTTTGCCGGCTGGAAAAGGCCGTTCGAGCTTGAAACCTTTCGCGAAGCTGACACTGGTGATGACTGGGTGCAACAGGGTTTAATGCCGGCGGTGGAGGATTATGATCTTGTGCAGGACATAACGACAGATTGCTCCGTGGTTGCGAGTCTTTGCGCGAGCATCAAGTATCTGCGCCCGGGCCCTTCGTCGATACTTCCAGCTCTGATGTTTCCTATCGACTCGGAGAACGGACAGCCAAAAGTATCCACGAGTGGCAAATATGTCTTCCGGATGTACTTCAATGGCTGCTTCAGAAAAGTCATCATCGACGACCGACTTCCATCTTCGGCAAACACCCGAACTCTATATGTGGTGGATCGATTGAACCCACGGCTCCTATGGCCTGCACTCATGGAGAAAGCCTACTTGAAGGTGCGGGGAGGTTACGATTTTCCTGGGAGCAATTCAGGAACTGATCTGTGGGTTCTCACGGGATGGGTACCACAGCAGCTCTTTCTCCAGAGCGACGACATCGACTTCAATCAGACATGGTCAAGAGTCAAAAAAGCCTACGACTTTGGAGACGTCGTTATCACCCTGGGGACTGGTCGTTTATCTGAAGTAGAAGAAGAATCATTAGGTTTGGCGGGTGAACATGACTACGCAGTGCTCGATATGTCAGAAGCATCAGGGGTTCGCCGCTTTCTTGTTAAGAACCCTTGGTGTGACGGCCTTGTCTGGAAAGGGGCAGGTTCATCATCTCGACAGGCTGAAGATCATCCTACCAAGCTCAAACCTGGGTCATTCTGGATTGACTTCGACGACGTGGTTCAGAACTTTGAGTCGCTATACTTGAACTGGAATCCGGCACTTTTTACTGAGCGCCAAGACCATCACTTCGTTTGGCAGCTACCAATTCCGAGCATGGCCGACTCCTTTGCTCATAATCCCCAATACTCGATGAGCACGGAAGCTTCGGGTAACGTCTGGATTCTGCTTTCACGGCACTTCCAAGATGACGAGCTGTCAATCGCCAAATCCCGCACCACAGCATCAAACCTGGCAGATGTGTCCAATCGCTTGGGGTTTATGTCTCTCTACATATTTGATCATGCTCAAGGAAAACGTGTGCCACTTGGCGACAAGTCCCTATACCGCGGTCCTTTCGTCGATTCGCCCCAGACGCTTGCCCCTTTGGAAGTGAAGAAGGGGGTGAAGTACACGATAGCTGTAGCGCAGCATGGGCTGCCTCTGCCAAATTACAGCTTCACGTTGTCCTTTTTTTCGAGGAGCGCGCTGCAGATTGCACAGGCACTCGACCCCATGGCACACTACACCGAGACCCAGAGCTCCTGGACCCGCCGCACCGCAGGCGGGAACGCGGCGAGTCCAGGCTATCTCAGCAATCCGCAATTCGCCATCACCGTCCCTAAACCGGGACCGCTGTCGATACTGCTATCCACCGCATACGAGGACCTGCCCGTGCACATCGATCTGGTCTGGGCCAAGGGCCAGCGCGTCACGGCGCTCACGGTCCGGGACATAGTCGGCTCATCCGGCGACTATCGCCGCGGGTGCGCGCTGGCGTACATGGCCAGCGTCGACGCGGGCACGTACACGGTCGTCTGCAGCACCTTCGAGCCGGGCCAGCTCGCGGACTTCTCCCTGCGCGTCGGCAGCATGCAGCCCGTGGTCATCGCGCCGGTGCTGAGCGACGCCGCGGGCAAGCTGCGGACCGCGCTGGCGCCGCTCGTCTTCCGCGGGCCCGACGACACGAAGCAGCGCGCCCCCATCAGCGCGCCCCGCCTCACCAGGGCCAGCGTCGTCATCACGCCCGGGGTGCGGCACACGTACTCCGGGGTCTCGACGCCAAAGTCCAACACGGTGCGCCTGCGCCTCGAGACCGGCCGCGCCCCGTACAAGGAGATTATAGCCACCACGGGGGACGGGGACTTCAAGGAGCTCGGCGCCGCCGGGCTGCGCACGCCGGAGTTTGACCTCGATCCGAATATCACGCGGCGTGGGCTGTGGATTGTCGTTGAGCAGATCGGAGGTGGCGGCGGCCTGAGCGGTGCAGGAGCCGGCGGGTTGAAGGTAGAAGTGCTGAGCGAGGGCAGCGTTAGTGTTGGCGGATGGGAAAGTATTGACGACTAGACTCTCTGGTGTGGTATATTCAACTCGCAAGGTCAATGTCTCAAATCGTTAATACTTTTTCACCAATATGGCAGCAAGCAAAACGTATCACATCCTATATTAGTTCTTATGGCCATGACATATGCATTATACCACCTTCAAAACTCGTATATTTTCTATTCCGTGGTAAGTATAATACAGCTCGATTCTAAGATGATAGATATGCTGTCATTCCTTTCATACCATGAAATTTTTCTTTTTGAATGAAAGCGATGTCTTTAGAAAGGTGTAGAGAAACCTGTCATCCGAAATAGCCAACCTATACTCTTGAGAAGGCGAGGCCGGGGAATGAGAAAGTCTGAATAAACTTCCAGTTTGTATACATAATCGGTAGGTGAGACTGTATCAACAAGTTACCTTAATTCTAAAAACGCCAATTCCATGCACAAGTACCATCAACTAATGCGCCGCTGCTCTTTTATAGCAAGAAGACTCAACGGACCGGAGTCACATGTTTGTGCGTCATGAAGATGACAAAGATGCAGATAAGATAATGCCCAATGAGAGTAAAATCAAGACAAGTAAACCACCAAATGCCACGAACTCCATAGAGGCGCAATGATCCTAGTTGTGCTCGATAGGCTCTTCGGGTAACAACTCTTCAAGCTGGTCGTCGCTAACCTCTAGGAACTTGAATGGCGGCTTGACGATACCGTTGAAGAGGAAAGTGAAGTAAACGAGAAGAGCGAAGCCAGGAACCTGCAGCCACTTGAAGGACTCCCAGCCAAGACCGAGCGAAACAATCCAGATGAAGAGTGTACGGCAGGTGTCGATGGTAGACCGGGATGTGGCGGAAACAGTGCGGGTTACCGAAAGTCCAAAGAAGTTGAAGCCCCTGCATAAATGTGTTAGTATGGGACAGACTGACCTGATGGGAGGAGTGGCAGACGTACCCAATGCTGATCATGATCAGGAAACTAGACAGAAGCACAGCCTTGTATTCTGTCATCTGGCGGAAGCCCTCAACCATGTCGAAGATGCCGTAGCGTCCCGCGTCAGTCCTTCCAATGGCGAAATGTAGGACCAGCATTCCAAACAGAGTTACCGCAAGACCAAACAATCCTTCCCAACCAACAACCTGCATAGGCTCAATACCCGAGCGCTCCAGGATCCACTCCTCGAGCACGAACTGAGTGGCAGTGAAGATTTGGGCGCCAGCAATGAGTAGAACGCCAATGATTGCCCTAGCAGCGTCAGGCAAGGCAGGGTTTTCTGTGGCAGACCACTCGCCGACCATTGCTGGTGTGACCCTGTGATCCGGCTGGATAGCGCCTGCAAGTCCGACGACGGCAACACCTAGGACGGCACCGACAAGACTGACCCACTGGAAAGCATGTAGTCTGCGATGCAAGAATGTGACGCTGAAAAGACCAACAAAGAGGACTAATGCGCCACGCGTCATCTGGTAGATACTAGCAGCGACCATGAGGAGACCGATGTTCATAAGCGTCGTGCCGCAGATGTCGGAAATGGCTGGGAGAGCCAACAGAAGGATGCCGAATCCAGAGAGGACACCGTAGTCATCACTCTTCGCATGATCATGCGCGGGATCGCCGGCCTCCTCCTCATCGGCACCGTCGTGGGTGTTGACAGGCCGATATCCGTTCTCGCCGGGCGTCTGCTTGTTGAAGTACTTGCGGTAGAGTGACACGAGTCCTACGACTAGCCAGCAGCCGGATTCCCCGACAAACATCTGGGCGGTCTGGAGTACGGGCTGTTCGAAGTGTTTCGGGTGCTTGGTGTCGCAGTCGCGGACGCATTGCATGTCCTGTCAAGATACTGTAAGTCGTAATTCCCCAACGGGAAGAGGAGCATGGGGGCTTTGAGGATGAGAGCACACCTGGTATTTGGTTAGAAGAGTATTGCAAACACCGGTGAGCAGCATCATGGCGACCAGAAATGGAATGATCGCTTTCGACGCCATCGTGAAGGTGGATGCGAGCTGATGTAGTAGCTCGGACTCTGAACGGACGCGGTTGTAAGAGTTCAGGCCGGCACTGGCGAGGCGGTTTCCTGAACAGTCGTCAGTGCTGTTCCGCCAGGTTCGTGATGTCGAATATCTCCAGCCCGTCTACAAGCTTCCCGACGCCAAGGAATTCGAAGATAGGAAAGCTATCAGATGGATGGGCGAAAGAGCCGATATACCCGGGAACGACTGGCTGATGTTGTATGGAGTGGAAAAGAAGAGGTGGATGGATGTGTCTTCACGCGTTGAAGGTATCCCGGTCCCCGACGTCCTGGAGTTGACGGACGCAATCAGCCGACCAAACCAAACACGTAATAGATAGGCTTAGGTTAGTATGTCACCTCTACTCCGTAACCTCAGCCAGAGCTAGGTACGGGATCCGTAGCACCTCGAGCTACTGTAGCATGTGTGTGTGTGTGTGGCAGGTGACCCGCCGATAAGCCCTGGAGCATCCCGATTTAGGCACTTGGTGTCTGGTGGGCCGGGCACTTTATTATTAGTCGGGTAGGTTAGTAAGTCTGGGGTAGGTGCATGTGGTATGCCTACCAGCAAGTAGCGCCACAGTGCTTCGCTGGTGAGTCAAAGCAAAGGAGAGCATTATCGAGGATAGAAAGCCAATGTCGATTTAGTCATACACGGTACTTGGCCCAACCCCCAGATAATCAATAAGTAAGTATGTGGTGGTATATATATGTTACCTTGACTGAGCTTTCATGTTGTCTGGTTGGTTAAGATCTGGTGTCCCCGGTCTCGCGGGAACTGGCAACTGTGCATTCAAGGGCTGTAGGGTAGACTAGATGACGGATGCCACAAGACAAGAAGGCACCTGGTCAAGTTTGAACAGCATTGAGAGGGTGTACTTGGGAGCCTACGTATTTTGCGGTTTCGTTGTGTGGTATTTCGTGATTCGTGCTAATTTTTATGAACCACCACCCATGCTATACGTATACATATATATAATAGACCACACCACAGATTATTCAGGTCAAGTCTGGTATCAATATCGTGAAGTAATTTCGCCTGCTATTCCAAACGCCCAATGTTCAAACACCCCCTCAATCCCACGTGGGGCACCACCCAATGCTTAGACACGACTCCTATGCCGTCTTGTCTTCGTGCGACGCAATCTTCTTGGCTTTCTTCTTGTTTTCCTTCTCCTCGGGATCCTTGTCTTTGAGGTTGTTCCAGTGCGGAATGCCTAACTCTGCATCCTTGGCTAACCTCTCTCTATCCCTCTTCGTCAGGGGTACACCCTCAATGGATTTTACATGCTTGCCTTCGATGCCCATGTAGATACCAGCAACAGCGGCGGCAATACATGCAAGACAGACGAACAGACCTGTCGACCAGCTAGGGCGATCATATCGGTTGAGCGCCCACATGAAGGTGGACAGACAGACCTGCAGCAGGGTGTTTGCCACGTTAAGCCAGATAATGAGATCCAGCTTCCATAGTTTCGTCGCCGGCGCTCTGATACCAGTTGGAGGTGCGTCGGGTATGGTCTCAAGCGGGAACGGCACGCTGGCTTCGGGCCAGGCAATGTCCGTTTCTTCAATGTTCTTGGGTCCCAGATGTACTGGGAGGTCCTCGGAGCCGGGTAATCTGAACCATCCACGGTGGACACCAGCCACTTCGCGCAGACCCTTAATATCCTTCTTGACACGGAACTTGAGAAGCAGCCATAGGTCGCGGAAGCGCCAAGGGGCCAGGCCAAATCCTGTTACACAGAAGAGCGCATTGAGAATTTGAGAGTCGACCTCGATCCAAACTCGTCTCGGCGAATCTATCGCGTTGCAGTCGCCTTGACACATGACAGATGAGGCATTACATAGTAGCAAGAAAAGCATGCCACCCCATGCGACGATGTTTAGAGAGTATATCGTGAGGAAGAAGCCAAAGCCAGTATTGTAGAAGGCCCAAAAGTCAATCAGACCCTGCTTGATCGTTTCTCCCCATGAGTACTTGGGTGGAAAATGATATCCGTTTCCATATTCTTGACCTCTGGCGACAGTGCCAGCAACACTGCCGGCCAGAGTGGCTCCTATGCTCTCTTGTGCTCGATGCTTGTTGGGGTCTGCCTGGTTGTCTTTGACGACGTCGGATTCGGTGGTCGAGTTATCGCCCAGCATTGGACTCAACTCCTCGGGCATTTTAGAGCAATCAAGGGCGAAATAGCAGAACGGGTATTTGAAGAAGCCGACAGACTTGTGTCGACAGGAAGAAGGAAAATGGTGCGATACAGCGGGACGAGAAATCGTCAAGGGAAAAAAAGTCCAGCTGGAAATATCAATAAGAAAAGGATGTGATTCCTGGAGATTACACTCTGTCCCGGGGTGTTTGCTCTACTGTAGTAAATGAGCCACGCCAACTTACTTAGACTTGGCAGTGGCACCTCTTGCAAGCTCCTGGTTCGCTTTCGCTGCGAAGACGCTAATGATGGGCTATGCTTGCACTTGCGCTGCCCCGGAAGCCACTAATGTTTAGTACGCTGCCGAGTGGGTAGACAACTCGCGAAACAAGATGTGACGGATCTTGATACAGACAATGTCCAAGTTTCTCGACAGACAGACGATCGGTTGTCCGTGTTAGTCGTTGCAAACGCGTCTACAGCGAGCAGCTTGGATCTTTGATGCGGTCGTGTTGATGAATCACTGTATCACGATTGAATATCGCCTACGTCAGACCCCTGGGCAGATCTGGAATTGGGTGCCGGACGGATCTCAAAACCCAATGGCAGGTTTTTTGGGTCTGGGCACACCTGAATCTTCCCAACTCCCGGCTAAGTTAACGTACCTATGAAGCCAATCTACTCATGTAATCTTCTATCACTACCGGTTTTTGAAGACCTGCTTCTCCCTTATCGGTATGCTATTAATCAATGCACAGTCGCAGATATCTTTCCCCCTTCGTCGTGTATTCGCTCGTGCTGTTGGTATCAAATGTGAAGGTCTTCGAGTGCAGGTGATGAGTGCTATCCTTCTTAGTACACCCACTCATGCCGTCCTTGCCAAGCCATCCACTGATCACCATGATGTAGTAAGCAAAGCCCCTTGGAGTACGTACGCTATATTTTTCGCATTCGAGTACGACTTATGCGAATATTGCGAGCTCCACCGCAGTCTTGGCAGTTGCACTTCAGAAAATGCACCATAGCAAGCTGCAACTCTCAATTTTGCATATATCCTAGGATATGGATGAATCGTGTTTTGAGCATCAATTAGAGGGGGACAGACAAGTCTATCTCCAACGAACTACTAAAAATGCAAACTATTACAATGACCAGAGAAAGAATGACCCAACTGTTTGGCTTGGGGATCCCAGCTCCACTATGAAGAAGCTTAAAATCAAAACCTGCGATTGTGAGCCGCAAGAGCCTCCACAGACAAATCTCTTCACAATACCAATGTGCATACGCCAATTCTACGGCCCAACCGAAATATAAAAATTTCATATCGCACAAGAAACCTCTGTTCCTTTGAATACCGTACACTCGTGCTGGGCACATAACAGCCGACATTGACTGATCATGGAGCGTCAAACTCACATCAATGACCTCGTGGCAGTGGTCCGGGAGAACCTTGAGAACCAGCAGGACTGGACTTCTTTGAAAATCCATACGCACTCGACTAAAAGCAAGATCCCTCATCCCCGGCCCTTGGTCTCGGGCCTACCGCCGCGCAGAATTTACATTCATCCGGATGATCAAATTGAAATGATCAAGAACAACACCATGGCTGCAAACGCACAAACCCCAGAAGTTGAATGGGTTTTGTCTACAAGTCTTAACGAACATATCACTCTCGAATTTTTGTCAGGCGTCTTTGATTCTATGGATAGGCCGGACAATCTGCCCGAGGACCGATCTAAGCGGCTCTTGCTAGCAGTGAAGCATGATGACTCAACGGTCGTGTATTACTTCGTACACGATGGCATCGTCAAGCCGAGGCAGAACTGAGCTCAATCCCATTACATCATGTCTGTATCCGATATCTCAACACGCTATCTATTTTGCTGCTTGGATTCAGCTAGGCTTGAAGATGACTTTTTGAACCTTCATGTCGTTAAAGAGCTCATATCCTTCAACAGCCTCACTGAGAGGCATGATCTTGTCGAACATAAATCTGTTCAAGTTAGTGGAAAAAAAGCCAGAAAGACAATTTATTAAAGAAACTCACCCGAACTTGTCTTGATTCTTTGCGAGGACCTTGAGAGCATCGGGGAAAACGGAGCGGACGGGACACCTGCCCATTTGGAGTCTCACGTTCTTTCCGTATGCCTCATTGCCATCCCATGGGATCTACCCAAAGTTAGCATGGGGTTTGGCAACTGCAGACTTGGACTTACCTCTGCGTTGTGGACACCGATACTGCTGATAAAGCCAAACGGTCTGAGCACGTCAAATGCAGTCCTTAAGGCTGGGCTCAGGCCGACCACCTCGACAACTGCATCAGCGCCTCGCCCGTCTGTCACCTCCTTTATGCGAGCCAGCATTCCCTCCTTGTCCTTGACAAAGTTTAGAGGCTCAGCTCCCAGGCTCTTTGCGAGTTCGAGCCGACTGTCAACACCATCAATGGCAAAAAGGTGCTTCGGCTTGTACTCTAATGCGGAAATGATGGCGCAAAGACCCACAGGACCGCATCCAACTACTACGATTGTTGCATCAGAAGGGCTTTGAGTTCCAAGAGCATTGAAAGCGTTCCTGGCACCAAAGTAACCGGTTGGGAAGATATCAGCCATCAGAATCAATGCATTGTCATTGATCTCTGACGGTGCCTTGAAGATAGTACCATCAGCATATGGGACCCTGACGAAATCTGCCTGGCCGCCATTCAATTTCTCGCAACCAAATAGTAGGGACTTCACGCAGCGACAAGTAGCACCATTCTTGCAATAGAAACATTCTCCACTGCACACATGCAGTCAGCCCAGTGAACATTGTTCGGAAATCGTGTGAGTGCTGGCTTAACCAAGGATGAAACATACCAGGATGTGGTGAACGGAGCAAGGACTTTATCCCCGACTTTGACTGACTTTACGCCTTTGCCCACTTCCACTACATTGCCAGTGAATTCGTGGCCCATGATGAAGCCAGTTCCTGACTGTTGATGGCCACGAAAGACATGGAGCTCGCTGTTCGAAACCACACGTGGTCAGCTTTGAAAGAAGAAGTTGCCCTGGTCGGCTTGACTTACGAACCGCACAGAGCAGTACTGTGTACCTTGACAATAATATCCTGATCATCCTGGACTATATGCCCCTGGAATTAGCAAATGTAGATGATGGGCAGCACCAATTGGACATCACTCACTCCTCGGAACTGGCCTCTGCTGCAACGATACCTTGCCAGGGCCGTCAAATATTACCGCATTCATGGTAGCTGGGAGTGCCATTTTGTTATTGTTGTGTTGAGTATTAGGAACATTGTTATGTTCACTATTTATTCATATAGAGGAACAGATTTTGTCAACTTGGGCCTATATCGGTGGTGCGGGGAATGGGGAGTGGGGCATGTGAATGACTTCACTTGCACTCCTCTTGAAAATATAGAGGAACTCGTTTCCACATCTACGCATAACCAAAACAGAAGTGATATTGCCTTTGAACTAACTCACTATTCCAATCCCTTCAGCCCTCCTGACTTTGTGTAATAAAGAAACTCTGCCTGACTGTCTAAGAATTGGCAGGCCGCTTGCCAAAGTGCTCATAAGACCTAGGTAATGAGTATACCTCTCAAAATATTACACCCACAAGACTACTAGAATACACCATACTATGCCGACAAGACTTTATAACCACTTATATTCAGGAGGTTCCTCATACCGTAAGGAGTTGTTGTTTGCTTACGAACTCTATCTGCCGCTGCGTGCCTCGGCAGTTTCGTTTAAGACCCGCCGAGCAGCCGCTTCGATCAGAAGGAAGTTTGGCAGTATCACACACATAGGTCGTCGGCTCACCTCGACTGGAACGTCATGAGCATTATCCGAGTTTGAGACTCACGGCCTCCTGATTCGGTGCTCCACACGCCGATTCGCAAGCAATACTGGAAGCAGTGCTGGCCTGGAGGGGCCTTATTTCGGCCCCCAAACCTACAATGAAGCGGCTGCAGAGCTCGTTGCTTTTCAACGAGGCAACAAGGGAGGCTGCCGGACGCCTTATCCAGTGCATCCCCCACGGGCCGAGCCCCCTGATGTAAGTTACCGAGGTTGTGGCAGCGGCTCAAACTCTAATGCTTGGATCGGTGGTGTTTTGTTTCTGGTAATACCTGTTGTCCAGGGAGCAGTACATCGTCAATGCACGTATCCTGGATTCCTACATACTTCCCGAGAAAGGCGGACAACCTTGGTCTACCCGATCTTCTACTAGTTCTAAGGCCCCGACTAAGATGTAAAAGGAAGAAAAGAAAGAAAAGAAGAAAAAAAAAATCTTTCAAACTGCGTTGTGTGATAAATAACGACGCCTCGATGATGCAGTGCGCCGCTAGATATTGTGTTGTGGCACTGCGGCTCATCGAGAGGCTCCGATTCCTGCAGGTCAAGAGACCCACATATGTTGTCGAAGCGGCTGAAAATGCCTGTAAAGCAAATTCAAAGGGACTGTCGGGTCCCAATGCCTATCATCACGGGTTGCACAGCTTACGACGCGTACTTCAGTTGTCTCTCGAGTAACAAGACACGAGCTGAGATTATCATGGGGGGTTTCTTGGTTAGAATTTTCATAATAATGTAAAAAAAGAATTAAAAAAAATTTAAGGTATCGAACCACATTTGCTCATGCTAACTCAGGTGTGATATTCGAAGTTAAAAGGTCAGTCCTTTTGCCTTTCTAAGAGTATATGTTTCGTTATGTGATATAGGCGCCCTGAAAAGAACAAATGGATGCATGCATCGTGAGATTATTTCAGGTTACACTGGCTTTGACTTAGGTTGTCTGCTGGATCATGGAGGATTGTGCCGTTGTCAAGCCGCAAGTCCTAAGTCACTGTTCTGCACTCTCTTCCAGAGACACGACTTAAAAGTGAGTACATCGTTTTCACCCCACGCTATCTGATTCGACTTGAGTACTTAAAGTTCGTAAAAAGAAAATTACGACTGCGGCATTATACTACTGGGTTTGTGCTCGAGTTTGTAACTAAAGTAATAGACAATTGTTTGCTGCCAGACCGCTTTTTTGTTCAAAATAGCCTCCAATATTAGGCTTCCGCGATGCATTTTTGAGGCTTCTGACAAGCAAGGTCGAACGGTCCAAGTCACTCTCATATTGTGCCAAGGTATGTAGTCTAGCCGCATGTCAATAGCCTCACTTACCACAGTAGCGTGACAAGGTCGAGTCCAAGAATGGGATGGGACATTGAAATTTCAATAATTGGATCCGACGTGATCGTTTCTGGCTCAAGCTGTGCTGACGGTTTCATATCACGAGAAGGCAAGCTTCGTTTCACCAGTGCCGAACCAGTTATATCACAAAGTTCACTCGGTGTGAGCAGGTTGATCAGGATTCGCTTGAGTATGCAGACGCGCACGACCCCAAAATGATTGGAGCACCAGGAATAGCCCCCGAACTTGCAGTGAGGCGAAGCTCAATGCTCATATGCCGATCATTGTTTCCTAAGCCACTAAAATTTAATGACTGTTTCTTCAATCGTTGCTTCCGGGATTCTGTTGTACGACCATTAGAAACGCGAGTTGAATTAAGTAACCTAACCTAGAAAACTATGCATGCTAGATTGTTTGGGACGTTGCCTGTGGAGCAAGAGTGAGTTCCCAGGAAGCGAGAGCCGATCATGGCAGGTTGTACTGGGAATTATCCCATAGCAGCGGTTAGGCCGGCAAATCTGTGTCAGTATGCCTTACCATGGAACAGATCAATCAGTGAGCGTCGCCGTGTCCAGCCGTTGGCACCAAGGGGGGTTCATTGGTCGGAAGGGGGAGAGAGAGCACCTCATCGTGGAGTTATCGGTGGGTGGTGGTTGTGGGAGGGAATTGAGCCGCTTGTCACATTCTACAGATCTCCCGCATTGCATGTTCACTATCCCTGTCGCTCGCCCAATCCTTCCAGGGATCCTTCTCTTTCGTCTTCCCCTCTTTTCCTTCTTTGCGGCTGCTGTCAAAAATCAATCTCCCAAGGGCATCGACGGACTGGAGCCACATGCAACGCACGTGTATATGGACGTTCACCTCGGTCATTCGGGCTGCCTCACAGATTCATCAGGGCCCATTTTCTTGTCTGGCTGCGACAATCAGAGGGGGTTTGCGTTACGATGGCCGTCTTAGGTATCATGCCAATTTGATGTGGGAATCAGGGTCTATGCAATGGACCTGGCAAGCGGCTTAAGCAATACATATTCGAGGCACCAACGAGGCAAAAGACAAGGTATAGTACTTTACAACGGAAAGAGATGTTGCGCAAGTTGCGGAGTACCTTGTCAATCTGTAGCAAGAGATACATAGTAGCCCACCAGGGGGCTCTTAAACTGCCGGAGGAAAACGCGATGGCAGCGGAAATGCAGTTGAAACGGCCTGGTCGAATAGAACCCACTCCTTGAACCCTGAGATGCGCATCCCCAGCAATAGACTACTCTTGGCATTCGATCAACTCTATTTTTCAAAACGAAACACTGGATGTCACCCTGTGCGAGAAAACAAGTCCACTACAGATAAACAGGGTGGATGCCATTGGATTCTAAAATAGGCAACGGTTCACTGCGTCGTCTCAAACTTTCATTAGGTCATATTGCATCTTCTGGGAGAAGGCCTAATGTAGGAAAGACCCTACAGGCTCAGCATGTACGTACAGTAGTCTAAGGTTAGAAGACGATAATTGACCGCCGCTGCATGGCTGGCCGGCCAAACTACAGTACTACCTTCAGAATAAGAGACAAGAGACAAGACGCTAGTAGCTATTGACCTACATGCTCTGCTCTGTATCTTCGCGGCACGTCCCATTCTGGGAAGTTGGAATTTCGAGGCCCAGGAATAAGATTCGAGAGGCTTGTCGATAACAGCCCCCAATAATTGCGCCGCATTATGGATGTGATGAAAACGAACTTTGAGCAATGTGTTCCTCTGGTTGTTAGTGCTCATCGCCAGTTCCCGGTGTCGTAAAAGCGCTCATACGTAGCACTGACTTGAACGGCCCCTGCAGAGTAAGCGGTCACCCTACGAGCGGCTGTCAACACTACATACGTATTCACATAGTGGCTGGGACAACGAACACGACGAAAAGGACCAAAAGGCTCAGGTTTGTTTTTCCATGGGGTGTTTGTCGCTCCATGCAGCCGTACAGCTGAAAGGAAAGGAGGATAATAGTCTCTTGGGTAGGCTTGGTGCTTGATAGGTTTTAGGGTAGGGAAATGTCTCGCACTTCCGCTTCCTACCTGCAATTCACGTTGGGCACCTTCCTCTTTACATCTTCAACGCCCGCTCGAGATAAACTTGTTGGTGCGACTTTGTATCAACCTCAATATTGTTATCCACTCCTGAGTTGGTGCCCTATCCTCGGCCAGTCAGATATCTGGTGCACACTTCTCTCTATATCGTTGTACTGCTATATTAACGTACTCGTCAGTCAGCAATAGAGTTTCCTATGTAGGGAAAGGATAGTGCAACATTTGGTAGTGAGAACATTGTGTGCGCTACAGTTGCAATCCTCAGTGAGATTGCCAGTCAGCAGAACGAGTTGCACCACGCATTGAGTTTGCGTGGTTTGGTTTGGCCGGATTGACCGGTACAAGAATACATACCTACATACCTACCCTACTCTGCTGATCGATCCACTGGAGTCCTTGCGGCTCCCCGCTACTTAGGCGAGGAAGCGCTGGGAACATCCCCCGCAAAAACGCTGGACCCCATTCGCGCATCTGACACGCACCCCCAAAGGTTCGGTCCTTGCTCTTGGTCCTGGCTGCCTGGGAAACTTTAGCAGCCCAATATCCGGTTCCCTTGTCAGACGTGCCGCTGCACTCGCTGGCTGTCGATCTGTCAGTCCCCATCCCTTCTTATCACCGTCCAGGCCTTTTCTTGGAACTGAGACTCTGACCAGCTCAGAAGAAATCAGGCACAAGCGGTGCCGACAGACACAGCCATCCGGGCCACGAATTAGAGTCGAACTCTAACATCCATGCTAATCTCCTGAAGGATGTGACAAGCTGAGAGCTCCAGATAGCATTCATCATTTATTGGACCTCTGCCCGTGCACAGCCAAGGTGCGAACGTAATCGCATTTCGTGTCAACGGGGGAATAAACACGTTGCCAGCCAGGAAGAGCCGCCTCCACTAGTAGGGGACCTTGTTGAGATCAGCCGCATACCTCTCCACCTACCGTGTTAACACAATTTCTCGAAGCCATCTGACGGTCTTGCCGCTCTCTGCATTACAATCGAATCAGCCATCTATCTGCCTGGCTAGCTGGCACAGGAGAAACACTGTCACGGAACATTGCATCAATAAAAGCGAAGTGTCTTGGACTCTTGTACTTCTGCTTGAGTGGGTAACCCAACTGCTTTAGTCACTTTCCAAAAGCCCAGAGCACCATCGGAACGCCAATCCGTCGAATCAACTTGAACCCTACAAGGAGACGCAAGCCTGTGTCTTGTACCAAGTACAGTCGTACCAACGGAAGCATTTTCATTTACGGTCACGACTCCAACAGCCGCATCGCCGCATGGCACTCTAGAGTCACTTTAGAAGCACTCTATCAACCCTGCACTGTGGCCTCTCAACTGGGAAATTCGTCGCCCACGGTTTGACCTTGGAACTCCGTCGTCCCCTTCATTCCAAGCACATCCATCACCTCACCCATAATTATCCCGCTTTGCAACCCCTGTCCAGCCTGTTATTCTTCACTGCAACATTTCCTCCCTGGGCCCGACTGGGATACCCTCGATCCAAGCCTGCCAACCTGAACCCAGACTATCCACAAAAAGAGGAGCACGCTGAGGCTCCGCGGATCCCCGCCTTACCTACAATCTACGCCAGACCACTTACAAGGCCATCGAGAGAGACGGCATCTCTACCTACCAACCTTGGTGAGGGCCCGGCCTAAGGTCACGAGCAATCCATCCTATTAGCTCCAGGTGCAACGGCTAGCAACCTTGAATCCTTACCGCACCTTTCACTTGGGATTTCCTGGGGGATCTGCCTCCGAATATCTGACGTTTCGTTGCCTTCCTCCTGCTTGTCCTTGCTCCTGCCGCCCACGCATTTTATCCTGCAGCGAGGGCAACCAACTCGCTGTCCGTCCCTCTCTTTGCTTATAGTAGGACAACATCTCCTAGAAACGACCCAACCCAATTGTCGCTGCGCGTCCTGCGCATTTGGGCCCTGCGATACAATCCACTACTCATAATCTGAGGTAGCGTGCGTATTAGCTGGGGGGCATCATTTGCGCCGTCGTAGTGGCGCACTGCTCCGCGCAATTTTGCGATTCACTTATACACGAAGCTGTGTGGCTGCTCTGGCCAACGACTTGTTCCTACGGCTTAGCAGCATCTTGAACGAAAGAAGATTGATTTATTCAAACCTCGATAAACATCACCTGCACTCCATGGCGAGATAGCGCAACATCCCGACTTGATACGTGAGTAAAGGCGCCATCCATCGTGTCGACACCATACGAAGCAATGACTGCGACGGCTGGCCATTCTGCTCAAGACACATTCGCAAGCGATCCCTTCGATCCCGATGGTCCGATATTTCAAAACAGCCCTCCGATGAAAGCGTACCGTCCGAGGCTAGAACCATCCCTTTCTCCGACGCCGGCTTTACCGTTTTCCAAAGTCAGTTCACCTCCCAGTTCTGGTCGCAAAGCTTCTAACAAGAAGAAAAAGGTGCAACCTAGTCAAGGAGATGGCGTGTTAGTGCATTATCTTGACGGAGGAAGGCAGCCCGAATTAGCTCTAAGGGCAGCGGAAGAGCCATTAGACGGAGGGCTCATAGAGGAGGAAGAGGATGACATATATGACGAGGAAGACGACGAAAGCCACGGTAGTTCCATGTCAGGCTATATTGGCAGCCCGAAGATGTCTCCTGGCCCGAGGCCGGCCAACGGGTCTGTTGATCTCAAGTCGCTAGCTGGACTCGCCAACGATGCTCTTCTCGCTCTACAACCGTCTAGTGCAGAGGCAGTGCCCAGGGTCACGGAAGCGCAAGATGCGAGGTTACAAGGAGACAATATGTTATCACCGGAAGGCACAAGGTCAGAGGTGCAACAAGTACAGGCGCAACCGCCGCCTCCTCAGCCACCACCACAACCTACACAATTGCAACCGTTACAACCTTGGGATGTACCATCGAAACCAGGATTAGCGATGCCAATGACGCCTCACACACCAAACGGACCGGAGTTATACTCACCCCGGCTACCTTCAGGAAGTGGTCTGAGAGCTCCCGATATCATGTCGCCGATCCCACCGACGAATAGCCATGGTGAACTACCTCCGATCATGATATCTCCCAAGTCAGAGACGAATGGCCATACATCGCTACCTTCGTTACCCTCAATTGGATTGCTTACAGAACAGCACCCTACAGAGAAGGATGTCAGTTGGCGACTACCTTTGTATCCCCGCTCGCCACCAGGAACAGGAGTTCCCCGTATGTCGATAGCTTCAGGGGTTATATCACCAACGTCACCAAATCACCCTTTTGCCCATAGCATGCCGTCTCCTGCACAGTCTGCATACAGCCAGTCTTACTGTTCCTATTCGAATAGTAGCGGCTATACCCCACGGCATCCTTCGGATTTCAGTAGTACTGCCAGTCATCATGCGCAATCACCTCTGGGTATTGAGCAGAACCCGACACCTATCAGCAATGACCCAAGGGACCGTATGAGTATTGACCACGTGACAAACTCACAAATTGGGCAGTTCATCTGCAAGTTCGCTGGTTGCAGTGCCGCTCCGTTTCAGACACAGTATCTACTCAACTCGCACGCGAATGTCCATTCGTCAGCACGGCCGCATTATTGTTCTGTAAAAGGGTGTCCTCGTGCTGAAGGTGGCAAAGGGTTCAAGCGAAAGAACGAGATGATTAGGCACGGCTTAGTCCATGAATCGCCTGGCTATGTGTGCCCATTCTGTCCGGATCGCGAGCACAAATATCCACGACCAGACAACTTGCAAAGACATGTCAGGGTTCACCATGTCGACAAGGACAAGGACGACCCCCAGCTCCGAGAGGTCCTGGCACAGAGACCAGATGGACCCAGTCGAGGACGCAGGCGTCGAGGGGTATCCTAGATTTGCTGCTTGGTAACCCATTGGCAGTCACTTCCGCTTTCTCGCACATGATTTGATGATCTCGTATGGAATTTCGTTTCCTTTATACGAGCAGTAGATGTACATACACGCATATGATATCCTCAGGAGTGGGTGGCTGAATATTTTTGATGGTTTCTCAAGGCGTTGATCAAGGAGTTCCAAGGCCGCCCGCCATGTGGATGTGCGAAAGGAGTTTTGGGGAGCATTGCGCATATACCAAATGCTTTTTCGGTTTCCTTTGTCATAGCGACTACCCCATGCGCATTCATTTATTTCTACTGCTGGATTAGCATGTTGCAATGTAGGGGTAGAAATGGACGGGATTGAGGAGGGAGGGGTGGAACAAGGCAGACTTTGTTGAATCCAGGCGTGGATACATGAGCCTTTGAGCTCGTTGAATCTGCTGTGAAATATTACAAAACGGGTAAAAGCTGAGATTAGACCATCAAGCAGCCAGCTGGTCGTGGTGAAAGCTTTGGCCAGAAATCAATACAGAAAACCGAATGAAAAGATAAATTTAAATCAGAATGAAGGCGTACTCATGGCAAGCATAGAATATATTTTGGATGACATCTGCCGCTGCAGCTTGAGAGTATTCACTCTTTGTCACCTGCGGTCAGGTTTTACCTCGAAGCAAACCAGGTCAATATCGACCTCATGTGCCCTAAGCTGGTGAGTTCTACCATCTCGGAATGGCTTAACCAAACAGGTTTTCCCAAGCGCCTTTCGAATCCAGGCTGCGATGACTCCATAGAAGAATCCCGATGGGTACTTATTCTTCCCAATCAGGCATTATGGCGATGGATTTGTCCTCGGACTCTGACATCAAAGGTTGATGTAGCCACGGACAAACACAATTTTTAGGGTTTACCTCAACCACAGGAAGAATCTTAGACGTATATTGTAAGATGGTGAATATATTAGCATCTGCCAGGTACTATCGTGGCCACCGACATGTATAGGTAAAGGGCACTGTGGTATATCCTGATTGCGACTTGTGGTGTGAATCCGTCATCATACTCCAGGGGATACATGAACGCACTCACTCTGAATCCCACACCCAATCGTCACGCTTGTGACTTAGAGACTGCTATGATACATGTCTTCTCGGTATAACACCTATATTCCACGTGTACCTAGGGTCTGCCTAGTAATCATGTCGCTGTCTTCGGAAATCTGTCGCGGTCCTGGACAGTATGACGTTTAAGGCTACAGTCCAGAGGCTAGCATATGCCAAGACCTGCTGGCGCAAGGAGAACAATGCTCACGGAAAGGAGAATGAGGGTCACTGTCGCAATTGATCATGTTCACAATTATGCTATAGGGAAGCATCTCAAGGGTCTCATCCACAAACAAACTCGTTACTCATTTAACCCTTTTTTAGCAGCTGTACTTTATACTGTGCGGATCTGGAGTTGAACATCGTCTGCAGCAGTTCCACGCGGTGGCCCAAGGTACCGGGTGCAGCTCCGGACCAGGGGATAATGGGGCGCTAGAAGCACTTAAAGCTGCAGATATAGAGCGTTGGCGTGTCAAAAGTCAGTGACGCGCTCAAGTCGACTCGACGGGCTTTGGTGGGCAGGGGCAGGGATTGGGTGCAAGAGCGCGATGGGATCTGCATTTTTAAACAAAAACCACCATGATTACGGATTACTTATCGCCAGTAAATAAATCCGAGCATAACTTCTCACTCGAACCATGTGCAATTGAAGCCTTCATGGGGATTGTCAACTTGCGCATTGCATCCGTTCGTCAGACAAGGCGGATTTAAGTTTGCAACACTGCGAGCGGGTTTCTTTTGCGCACACGGAGACACCATTTTGTTTACTTTACTTTGTCTTCTCAGCGGTGTGTCTCGTTGTCTGTTCTCCCACGATCCCGTTCTTATGCAGTGTGGGAATTAATAGGCATGCTTTTTCAACCTTCTTCATAACTCACCCCACTTGATTATCACGAACACAACGCGACCACTGATTCTCCCTTGCGACGCGCAACAATTAAGCCATCGCCTTGTCTCGAAGAGGGCGCACATCTGGATTTGTTGACTTTGGCATCGTCGGCTCATCCCCCGCCCTGCATCTGCACCTGCATTTGCATCTGCACCGCTCAGCTTGCATTCAAGCTCAAGCTCAAGCTCAAGCTCAAGCCCGAGCTGTGGCTGTACGTGGCCTCACTGCTCTTCAAAGTTAACTTGAGCTCTGCCATCTTCCAGCTCCACATCCGCGACGCGACAGCCTAATCTAAACCGAGCTTCGCGATAGCTTCCTGATCGTCATCATCAACCATTTGCGACTTGGTGATACTACCTCTATACTAACAACGTCCATCCCATCTTGGGGCCAATGGGCATCGCTTGAGTATCCCCACCGTCGCCATGCCTCCTTCTGCGAGGAGATCCTCTCAAAGGACGCGCAAGGCGCGAGATCCCAGCCCTGATCCCGTCCACGAGCAATCATCGCCCTCCAGACCTTCGAAGCGTCGAAGAAAAGTAAGCATTCTGCTGTCCACAAGTAGCATATGCGATCCCGATTCATGTCTCCACATCTCCCGTGACTAACGCATCCCGTCCAAGGTACAACCAGATCCTCCTTCAGAACCGGCCGATGACGAAGATTCGACCCTCACAGTTGCCGACTCTGACGAGGTATTGATCTCAAAGGTTGCCCAATGTCTCGCCACTATTCCTGGGACTCAGGCGAGCCGGGACCATGCCAACTCCCTGCAAGATCCTTCCGGAGGCGACATCTCAGCCTACGCTAAGATCGCAGCTCAAGAGTGGACGTACTTCGTGAAGCATCTTGTTGTCAACATCGGTCGCACCACCGAGGTCACCAGCGGCCACTCCATTCCCACCGATCCCAATGATGAGGACTTTGTCCACATTGATCTTGGCCCGACCAAGGTCTTCTCTCGCCAGACGGCCCAGATCTATTTCGATGCCGATACCGACCCGAACGGTAGTTGGTATCTCAAGGTCAAAGGACGCAATGGTTTGAAGGTCAATGGAGACACTCTGAAGCGGGAAAATGGTCCGCACCCCCTGTCCAGCGGAGAGGTCATTGAGGTGGGCGGTATTGAGATGATGTTTGTATTACCCGCCAACCTAGGACCTCTGAAAGTACATGATATATACACCTCTCGTATTGGGAATGGGCCGCCGCTGCTGAACTCGAAGCCTCAGAGGTCAAGTCCAGTCGCAGAAAATCGCAGCCTGCCGCTTCCTGTTCCCGAAGCCATACACCACAAGGGCGGCAGTCGCGGTAGTGCTACTGCTGCTGCTGCTGCTGCTGCTGCTGCTGCTGCTGCTGGTACCGCATCGCCAGGCCCGGCCTTCCATCAGCCCATCGCACCGGCTCCCACAGATTACCGGCGACCTGGTACACCACCATCAGCTGTCCGGGGCCGCGCTAGTGCTTCACATCACCGGTCACCCGCTTACGGTACTGGGGGGACTATGCTGATTAACAGCAATAGCGACGTAGATTTGAGCCTGGACGACAATCAGCATGTCAAGCCACAGTTCAGCTATGCTCAAATGATCACCCAAGCCATTATCAGCACCGAGGACCACAAGCTGAACTTGAATGGCATTTACCGTTACATAATGGAAAATTTTGCCTACTACAGACACGCGGCAGCCGGCGGGTGGCAGAACTCGATCCGCCACAACCTGTCACTAAACAAGTCCTTCGCCAAAATGCCGAGGTCGACGGATGAGCCTGGGAAGGGCATGAAATGGGAGATTGTCCCGGAACAGAAGGAGGATATGATCAACAATGCTTACAAGACCGGACGTGGAGGGCATCGCGGCTCGTCAGCACCCTCGTCACCAAATGCGCCTGGCCAGCTGAACTATGTCAATCATGGTCCGAGAGAGATGGCCGGTAGAGGACCTGGTTCTGCGCGCAAACGCAAGTTATCTCCAATCGCTTCACCTCCTCCGACCTCGTCCGTCAATCCCACCCAGACGCCCGTTTCTCGATCACGATATGATGCAAACGGCCTTGCGAGCTTCCAGGATGGTAGCCCCTTGCCTCGACCTCGAAAGCCATTGACTGCATCTAGCTCTTTTGCGACTGAAGGACTTAACCCTCGTTCACCGCCTACTTTATCATCCTCCTACCTGCAAGACGAAAGCGCTCCTTTCGTAACTCCAGCGCCCCAGAAGCTCCACCCTCGTCTGGCACCTCCCAGTACTGCTCAACGACCTAGCCAGCATATGCCTACAAGCTCGCCCGCGCCTTTCTGGAAATATGCCGATATTGGCAGCACGCCATTGAGGTTGCCTTTTGATCCCAGCCCGTCGAAGCCTGCCTTGCCAGGCAGCAGCAGCCCGCCGCCTCCAGCAGACGGTAGTCGCTCGCCCATCGCTAGCCCAAGCAGGTCCACCGTTCGCAGTGAGACACCTCATGTCAAGTCGGAGCCGGCCATCGCCATGCCCGATGAGGAGGACGAGGATGAGGAAGTCGGCTTTGACCTTACCAAGTGAGTCCAACGTTCAAGTGCATTAATAGACCTCTAAAAACAGAACTAACACGCCGTCAGGGGCTTCCAAAGTATCGGATCTTATCACGCACCTATTGGCCGGGGGCTGGGGGTGCCGAAAGCCAACGGTCGCTAGAAGATGCCTGTTGGCGAAAGGATATTTGGCACTAGCCGGAGGTCTTCCGATGTCTAAGCCTCCCATCAGTCCCAGCCTTGTCTTTATAGCGATCATTCATTTGTAGTCGTGGCGATTACTTTACTGATTTTGCAGGAGGATTTGGCGTTTTGCAGGAGTAAAGCAGTGCTAAGGTGCTCGGCGTATAAGAATTGACTCAAAAGGTATTATCACAGTGCATGAGACACAAGTGTTATTCAGTTACGACAGAGATGAACATCTACAAGCGCAGATACGCATGTTATAAGAAAATGAAACTATTACTTGAAACTTTCCGCCGCTCAAGTGTCAGATACCTGAGGTGAATTAACTCGCAGACTTGCAGCATGGTCGAGAAACTGCATCGTCTAATGGTTAGATGCATGTGAACCTTTGTTGGAAGACAGTGCAGGTAGGGCGTCGAAAATGCCTTGTAAGAAATAACATCCAGTTGCGGAGCATTATGCCTAACCATGGCCGACATACAAGATGCCGCTCCCTGTTCTCCATGCTGAGGTCAGTCCTCCATATAGGGAGTCGACGACCACCTCTTTTGCAGGGAATACTGTTGTGCTCACTCCACTTCTTGGCCACACCCATCCTTCATGCCGCCGACGGGATGATTCTTCCAAGGGCAGGATGCTCCGCTTGGACCCATGATGCCCGTGCAGATATCGTCGAGGATCGTGGCTTCCTGCACGCCCTTTGGGCCCTCTTGTCCTTTCTCTGCCCTTCTCTTGTCCCACTTCTCTCCCGGGTTCACGCATCTTCACTTGCCTCGGAAAGCCACACAACAGGAACATTTAGGGTTGAAACATTCTTCAAACAAAACCCCCCACACTCTCGGTCAACGTCGCCCCAGCCCGCGAGGGATTCCATCGCGCTTTGTGGTATTTCCGGGTCCTTTTTGTCTACTTTGCTGGGAAGTGGACATGCGCCGGCCGGCTCATGGACAACACCGAGAAGCCCGTCAGCAGCCACCACTTCACATATCTCAATGCTATCTCGACGACAAATACGGCGCCGCAACGAGCCTTGTGCGGATGACCCGGAGGAACATGAGGAGTTGCGAGAAGAAGTTCGTGACACCCAAATACCTACAAGACTCACATGTACCAACCACAATGTCCACAACCAGAAAATCGATTAACCAAAGGCTCAAGCTTCGACGAAAGGCAGAGTGAAGATGAGCTGAATTAGCATCATAACGACAGATGACCAAGAATGACGAGCTATATACACAACCAGTGCCGCTATCCTCGCGTGCTATATTGGGCAAGGAACTTTCAACCGTACCATCGAGCCACCGACCAATCCAGTCTATAAGATGGCTGCGTCGTCGCCAACAGCCTCCAGCTCCTGAACAAGGAGCCGGTAATGATACAATTCCATCTGCACAAGAAAGAAAGCTCATTATATGCACTGTAACCCCCACCAGATTTTGCTTTTCCCTCGCTCCATGCCCAAAGAAAATGCTCAGACATCAAAATCAATATTCATACACGTCAACGCAGACATCAGTTCTTGGCAACGCTCACTCGTCGCATCTTGGGACCACCAGACTGGTTTTTCTTCGTGCTCTTCTTCTGCGAGTCATCGCCTTCAATAAACTTGATGAGCTCATCGATGCTTCTGGAATCGATGGAAGGCTTCTTTCCGGTCTTCCCTTTCTGAATGGCTTGAGCCTGAACGTTACTGCCGACGCTGCCGGAAGCAACGCTGCGAGGGGTAAATTTTATGCCCGCGCGAAGTCTCTTGGCTTGCTGGTCCTTGTCGCGCTTGGCGAGTGCGACAGCGTTTTGAGTCAATGTCTCGAGCCATGTCTCGGCCTCCTTGGTATTTTGGTTCTCAGGGCCGAGAGTCTCCTTGAAGATGTTGTAACAATCACGCATCTTTGTCAGAGCAGTCTTGGGCTCGTTGTCGAGAGCCAATGCTTGAGCGAGCTGGAACAACAGGCTGGCAGAGCTAAGCGACTTCTCCCCCATGATGCGCTCGCAGACAGCAAGCGACTGCTCGAACCAAATGCGGGACTCGTGGTATGCCTGCAAGCTCTGCAGCATAACAGCGGCGTTGTTCAAGGTGGTGATAGAGTCAGGATGGTCCTCGCCGTAGATAACCTTCCAAAGATCAAGACCATGCTTGACGTATGTCAACGCCGATTTGCTGTCGCCGGAGCCGTGCAGGAACAGACTCAGGTTGAGGTAAGCCAGCAAAGTCTCAGCATTGTCAACACCAAGAGTTCTTTCAGAAACGATGACAGCCTTGCGCGCCAGGTCGACAGCTGCTTCCTTCTCCTCCAGCTGCCAGTAAATTTGGGCCAAGGTAGCATAAGCTCGGGCAACTTCAGGGTGGATGATACCGTAAATCTGCTCGTGCAGAGTGAGGGACTCGAGCAAAAGCTCCATGCCAATTCTCTTGTTGTTTTGCATCAGTGAGTGACGTCCACCCTCCAGGGCCTCCTCAGAAATGACACTTCTGGGAGCGGAATCCTTAACGATAGGGACAATGTTTAGAACATCATCGGCAACAAAGGTGAGCGGAACACTAGGAGTCGGTGCCACAGATGCGGGAGACCCATCTCTTGTTTTCTTGTTCTTCTTCTTGTTCTTGCTCTCGCCATTGGCATGACCGTTGGCGCCGTTGGTGGCACCGTTGGTAGCCAACTGGGCAGGCTCAGCTTTGGCACCGTCCGAAGTGAAATGGAAGTTCTTGTGTTGCAACTGGAAACCAAGCTTCAATGAGACTTCACGGAGGACCTGGAGAGGCTTGAGCTGAGTATGCCAATCCGATTCCAAAGTAAATCTGAATCGTCGCGCGGCTTCACCCTCGAGCTCCTTGCGCAAGCTTTCCGGAGTGAGTTCTGCGAAAGCCAGATCCGCCTCGGGGTAAAGCGCCTTGAGCGATTCATCAATATCAGCGGTGGGCTTTGAGTTGTAGCCATGACCAATGAAGCAGTTGAGGAGATGAGCAATGCAGGCAGAGGTGAGCGGCATAGGCAAGTAACGAAGGTACTTGCCAGCGACATGCTTGAACGCTCTGGCGACGATCTCTTGTTGACAAAGCGCAGCGAGGCGCTCTAACCTAGGACCCTCGCAAGCTGCAATGACCTTAGTGAGGTAGCGGATATTGATACCACGCTTGTGCATAATGCGAGTCAGAGAAATGCCATCGATGGGGAAAGGCAGCTCTGAGTTCTTGATGTCGTTGACAAACTCTGGAATGATATTGTTGCGCAAGAAAGTGCAAGCGTCTCGCACCTCCTGCTCGTCTGCTACCCACTCCTCCTTTTCAGCATCAGTCTGGGGGATTTGACCGCTGAAAGCATCTGCATTGAGAGAAAAGGAGAAGCCAGAGGTGTCTAGGCGGTCATTTGCCTCCTCCTCGGTGACTTCTTCTTTTTTGTCCTCAGCATTCTCGGACTCCTCTTCAGGTTTGTCCTCGGACTCTTGAGGCTTGTCCTCTGACTCCTCAGTCTTCTCGTCCGACTTCTCCTCGGATTTCTCGTCCTTGGACTCTGACTTCTCAGCAATTTTCTTTTGGCGCTTGGCAAGCTCGGCATTGACCCATTCTGTCCACTTCGAGGTCCTCAATGCCTCAACAAGCTCTGGTCGCAGAACTGACATTCGGTGCGGGTAGTCTGACTCGCTCTTCTCGCCAGCGTTACCTACTTCTTCCTGCCAGGAGATGTCCAGAGGGGTAATGCGGTACAGATCTAGGACATACTTGCGGCCATCAGTACCCATCAAGCCCTTGGTCTCGACGCTGGCCTCGAGCTCGAAGCGCTTGCCGTCCTTGTCCCAGACAGCGTGCTTCTTACCGCGGAGTGATCGTGACAATTTCTCGAAAGTACCGACGAACCTCTCATCTGCAGCAACGATTTCTTTGCCCTCAACCGCACCATAGTCGATCGAGTGCTCGCCAGGCTCGCGCTGCTTGAAAATACCTGGCACAATGCTTTGGCCAACAATGCGCTTTCCGAGGTAGTCCACAACAACGGTGGCAGGGCTGTACAGACCATCGATATCGAGCTGGTTGACAATCCTGACACCCGCTACATCCTTGCCCGTAGCGACTCTGGCGGCGTCGTCTCCACCTTCAGTCGTGAAAGTACCGACACCGTCGGCGCCATAAGAGAAGAAGATGTTGTTGTAGACAAAAATTTGAGCATCTCGTCCCTCGGTCGGGTTGAGAGGAGTTACCTCACCACGGGCAACCAAGATAGAGCCCTTTGCCGCCGCATCAGTATAGTCGGCGAACAGCTTAGAAATGAATCTTTCTCTAAAAACTCTGTCCTGAACGGTCTCCTTGGGCAGCTCGCGTGCCGATTGGAACTCCTCGTTCCAGTCTCGGAGACTGTCGGTGTTGTCAATGCCGGCAATCAGATATCCTTCCTGCGACCGTGTGATATCTGCGCTATGCTGGATTGTGGTCGAAGATGTGCTCGGGACCAGCCACGGCGCAGCGGGAATCGCATTCGTCAACTGGAATGTTGCTAGAGGATCTCTCTTGCTGCTGTACTCGATGAGCTGCTGGAAAGACTCGGAAAAGGATGGTGAGATGTCCTCAACCAGTGTCAGAAGGGAGTGGGCCGAGTGGGCCTTGGGAGCGGATTTTGGCGAGGGGTCAAATTTGGCGTTTGAAGACTTGTTCACGTAGAAACCTCCAACGTGAGATGTGATTTGGTACTGCTCGCCCTCGTTGGTCGAAACAACAAGGTACAGCAGGTGGCCCTTTTGTCGCAGGTGGTATGGTGGAGGGTTCCATGCCGATAAGGCTACGGATTTGACAGTCTTGGGGGCAGGTTCTTCCTCTTTTGGCAGGAGTGTAGTAGCCTGCGCAGGAGCGGCAAACTCGTAAGTGCCGGCCTGGACATTATCAATATCCTTGGCATCCGCAGTAACGGCATCGAACAGCGAGACGCCGGGGGTAACACCATGTAGCGTGTCGGTCCTGTCGCCGGCGGCGCCGATCAGGTCCCGAACCCGGATGAGATGGATACGAGCCTCCTTCTCAGTATAGGGGTCCTCTACTAGCTTTATCTCTGCATCTGCGCCGAGTCCCTTCACGTCGGATATCTGGACAAAATCGTTTATGCGTTCGCCGTTGAATTCGAGGTGGAAACAGGAATATTGGAAAGCGGCGGGCAGCTCGATGATGGACTGGCGCAACTCATGGACTTGCTCTTGCGGCGAGGCCTACGAAGGTGAGATGAGATTAGAAAAAATGTCTTGGGGTAATAACAGAAATCACGGTATACATACCACCATGTTAATCTTATGCGGCTCATTAGGAAGGATAACAGTCAAGGGAAACAGAGCTGGATATGGTGATTAGACAAGACTCGAAGGTGCCGGTGTGGCTGTTAAGTCGGTGGCTTACCTTCGCCAGCTTGCTCGGCTTCCTCATCTCCATCCTCCAACTTGGAGTCGGCGGCAATCTCTGAAGTCTTGCCGTTGGTAGCTACTTCGGAAGAAGCAGGGGCAGCTTGTTTTTAATGAGCAGGCTATAACGACTTTTGTGTCTTCCTGGAAAAAGCAACACTCACCAGGAGCTGCGGGGGTAGTCTCCTTCTCGGCAGACATGATGCAAGAATCGGGCGGTGGAATTACAAGTCGGTAGCAAAAAAGAGCTCTTTCCGGGATCTCGAGGGAGTGATGCAATTATTGATACAGGCTCAACGGGGGAATGAAATGACCAGCAAGTCGAAAATACTGCCAGAGAAAGAGGTCGAAAAGATGATACAACCGAGACCAAGAAGTATTGTACAGTTCGGACGAATGAGGGAGAGTGCAATTGAGGTCAATAGGAGACAGGAAATCTTTGGACTAGAGTGGGAGAAGCTATTTCCATTTCTTTCCTTCCAACACGGACACGGGACCAACAACTTTTTTTCGAGACTTGGGACTAAAAGTTTTGACTTTGACCCATTGGACCCGGCTGTCCCCGGCTACGGCGGAGCTTGCGGAGCTGCCTGTGCTTGTCCTCTGGGCCTTGTGCTTGCAGGGCTAAACAATCCGCGTCATGATGGCTGCGCGAGCTGTGAAAAGGAGGTAACCGGAGACGCTCATTGGCTTAAAACACAGCTCTGGGGACAGGATGTGCCCTGTGGGACCTGGACTGAGTGTTGATGCCAGGTCATACACAGGGTGCATATAGAGTAACCTTGGGAGCTGGCACATCCTATATTGCGGTGCCCTAAACAATCTGACAAGATTCTGCATAGGGTAGTGTAGGAGTTTCCATGTCGCACGCATGTTATAATAACGAGTAGTATAGAGAGTCCAAACTGGTCCATGCAAGGCTTTGTTCTGTTGCACACTACAAGGGCACCACAGGATTCTTGTCTATGGACTGGCACGCACACGACAGCAACATGGACTTTTGGCGGGCGCTGTTTACAATCCCATCATTTCGGACACCATGTAGACTATTAACCTAACCTTAGTACAGTGAAGAACGCTTCCCAACCAGCCAAGCTCACTGAAAGACTCCCGCCATCCTTGTCTCGCCCCCGGTTCTCCTGAGTTGCAAACCCGCATTTCGCCAAATTAGTGCGGAACTGCCTATCATGCAATCGGTTTATGCATCTTGCAGAGTACGTCTACTCCTCTATATGCACATCTTCTACTGACTACACGCTACACCCAATACGGTAATAGTGTCAACAAAACAACTCGGGTCGGCCGTCTCTTCCAAGCATCTCTATTGAGGTGACCTTATACCGTGGAGGGCTCCCCATGACAAGTTGACATCAGCTTTCGCATTACAGCATACTGCTCAACATCACTATATCATTTTGTAAACTCGTCCGCACCAAATCCTCCCTCTACACAGACCTCAGCATTCGTTGCTATGCGGAAATTCCGTACGCCTTTTACAACAACCATGCTGTAGCACACCTTTATTGCCTTTTGGCCTACCATCTTGCTTAATCAGAATTGCTATTGAAATGGGGGAGTTGAAAACGCCGCTTCGGCCGAGTTGTCGGGTCACCAAACCACAACCCTCTGGAGAACGCACACAGCCATGGACTGCTTCTCGGTGTCAGCGTTTGCTTCGACCTTTGCTCTCACGCGTAGCTATTCTCAGAGGAGCACTTGCATCTTTCCCAGCTCAATCATCTACTGTTACATCTTCACAATCATCAGAAAGGGCAAAGAAACACTCAGCAGAGGACCGCGCGTGGTTAGCTCCCCGCAAGAAGCTGCGGCGGACTTATTCGCAGAAATGTCTAGACAAGATTCCTTCCGAGGTAATGGAGCGGGACACGGTCACATTCAAGGCTGCAAAGGATCTTCAGCGGGATATTTGCACCAGAGAAATCGTGGCTTTCACTCCTCTGCTCCGCCGAGTTAGGGGTGCCCAAACGTCATCGCCGGTGCAGCCGCCGGAGGCAGCTCAAAGCGGAGGACAATCCGTGGGCCGTTCAAATTCTACTTTTGACAGACGCCTCTCCTCACTCAGAACTCAGGTGTCGCCGGCGAGATACGCCGACTATGAGGCAATTTTTCGTAATACGGAGACCTTGCTGAGAGCCACAAGCCATAAAACTAGCAAAAAAGGCGCGTCATCGCTCATGGATATGTGTTTGAGGAAAGTGCCCGACTACGTAGCCGGCATCAAAGCTTGGGAAATACAGGAAGCTGATGAGAATGGAACAAGAACGAACACAACTGGCGCCGACGTTGGTCCTCGCATTTACTCGGAACTCGAGTCATTTGGGGCATTCGATAGTGGCTGGGCAAAACTGAGGACTGTTGTCGAGGCAGATACTGTGGTTATCCTTGCGGGCGCCTTGGCTGAGGGCTTATTTCCAGATGAATTCTCCTTGCTTCTGCTCGAGCTTTGTGCTGAATATGGACTTTGCCAAACGAACATCTTATACGAGATATTGCTAACCCGCCAGTATCCTGAGCCTACAAGTTCGGACTCTAGATTTTCAGAAGACTCGTCTTTACAACCGCTGTCATTTTTACGCGATATTTCGGGTCGAAAGAACAAACTGTCGACCCTATTTCAACAACTATCCAATCTACTTGTCCAAGGCCTGCTTCCATCAACGTGGCTTGCAACTCGCGAATTTGAGGGTTTTTGGGCCTCGGCATACCGAGTAATATCCAAGGGCCGGGCGGCTTTAGATGCCATCGACTTCCTAGCCACTTCAATTGTTCTTCTGTCCAAGCGTCAACACTTGCACAGCAGACAACACGCTGATGATTTGTCCCTTTCTTGTGGAAGAGCTCTGAACCAAGCGTTGTCTTTGTTGTCTGCCATGAGAAGGTTAGGCAATGGTGAAGCCGCAAGTGGCAGTGATCTGAAATACGAGAGGGTTGGACGGATATGTCGCAGTCTCGACTTTACCCTTCATGCCTGCATTTCCGAAATCGGCTCATGGAAAGGGAGACGAGGAAAGCCTACGTATCATCTGGGCCTTTCCGCGTTTCTGTCGACGCCGGAGCTGCAGAATGACCGAATCGACACTTTGGTAATCAAGGCGATAGGATCAATGTACGACGGGCTACCGAACACGACGCACCATACTGTGCAAACATACAATTCCGTCATCACATTAATATCAGGTATCGCAAAAATATGTGGTCGTGGAACTTCTCAAGCAGCACGCTACCATCTTGCAGCTATGTGCAAACAACTAGGGCGTTTGGCACTACAGCCTGAAGCATTGGACGACATCAAGAAGGCTGGAGCATTCTTCCTGGCTCAGGAAAGTAACAACCTAAGAGACCTTCTATATGCAGAGAAACTGGCGTCAAGTACTAGTGATAACGAGGTCACCGAAGGGCGACCGCGAGCGTCAGGAAAACCTACCCTCTTCGACGGCTTTAAATGGGATGAAACAATTAGCGAATGGGTTACTATTAGCCCCAGGGCACAGAAGATACCTCCTGAAAGGAGATCGCTGAGGTCAATGGTATATGAGCATCCAGAACAGGGAATGATGCCGAGCATACATCTGAGGAAACAATCATCAACCGCCCCAAGACTAAACGGTTCGATTTTGCTGGCTGCATTGCCATCTGCGAACCAGGAAATCAGCAAGGGTACAAGTTCAGAGAAGATCGGCCATGAGAATTTTATTTTGGTTAATGGCAAGATCGGTACAAGTCAAACGGAACGCCCTATAGAATCGGCCACGCTTCAGCACAAACATGAAAAACATCCCAATAAGCGCCATAGTTGCGCTTCAGCGACCAGGGGCACATTACATCATGACGAGCTAAACGACGACAAAGAGAACCGTGACAAGGAGAACCGTGACAGGGCTATGACCCGAAAGCGCCATAGCGAAGGCGTACGAAAACCACTTGGTACAAAACGGCGTATCCGATTCTCAGGAAGTGGCCTCCATAGCGACGATGAGCTTGGGATGTGAGATAGCCACTCGTTTGTTGCGTATTTAGCCAACGAAGGGGCACAGAAGCAAATGCAGTCAACCGTCCTGAGAACCCCGATCGATCTGAAACGATGCTGGACGGACAAATGCAACAAATTGCAAAGACGTGACGATTGTACCATGAAAGTCAGCAGGGTGGTCAATTCTGAGGGTTCATTCAAACACGTTACATAGGATTGCATTCAATGCATTGCTCTAGCGATTAGTTTCGGTTCGTCACATCAAGAATAAAATCTGTGGGCGATCGACACCGAGAGCGGCACAACCTTGATGCCATAGCCAGTAAGGCCTTGTACGCTGTAACATGAATGAGTCAGGTCGGTTGCAGGATAAAACAAGACAAGATGACCTGTCGCTGGTATGCTAGCGGTGATAACGGTTGAAAGTCCACGATCGCATAATTCATTCTTTGAATCAAGCGAACCATTCCTATCTTACGGAAATGTGTGTGCATACAGATGAGACGAGTCAGGAATCAGACGTCCGAGTAGCTAGTGCTGTGTGAATCATGAAACCAGCGATTTGGGCAAGCTGTGCCGAACTGAATCCCCATTTAGATTGGATCATCTCAATCCCAACCCGGCGGGACGATCTGAATGATGTGCCCAGGATGTGTGAATTTTGCTCCAAGGAAAATGGCCATTCGATATCGGCCATGGGAGATTCTTGATAGTTATTAGCCGAAAGCTTCGAGGAAGCACACTCTTGGACAACCGGTGGGGGGGCTACCGACCGTCGAACACTTGCCGCGCAATGAGGCGCCCTACAAATGCGAGGCCCTGCACTGCGCGGCCAGCTCATGAAACACGACCCTCGTCGTGCACGGCGCCCGCTGCCCAAATGCAGCAGTGTTTGCCCAACGATTTGCAGCTGGGATCATGTAGATTATCACGGCTCAGAGCGAAGGGGAAAAAATAAACCAAGACAAAACTCTCATGATGATGCAAAGCCTCCGTAATTGAAGAGGGGGGAACCCCGGGTGCTTATCCAATGATTCGTAGAACTCTGTCAACCCGCGTGTCCCAGGACCACAAGATCTCTATTTTTGAAGATGAGATTTCCCTGCCTTCGTGTGACAGTTTCTTTCAACCCCACATGAAGCAGTGTTGTGGCACTTTATCCCAAACATGCATGGCAGAGCCACCCGGAGATGAGTTGGCTGACTGAGAAGCACATGAAAGTTTACAAAGCAAATTGGTGGCCCAGTCTTGTGTCCACCTGTATAGTGCCTGGGGTTCGGGTGCTTTCCCGCAAATTAATGTAATATACCGCTCGCTTGTCCTCTGGGGGCAAACCACGAGGAAAGAAATTCGGCCCATGCATACATATCATCAATACCCAGATCGCTAGCATGAGAGGTGCGATTGCTGCAAGGGCAGAATAAACACGGCATATACAAATTAGTGAAATGTCAGTGTGATTAGGGATGCAGATGGTCACGATAGGCCTGCGAGAAGTAATGTGCATGCCAGACTCTGACGCAAGTAACAAATCTTACACATGTCAAATTGTAACATCTAGAATTGGTTTTGTTGCAGATACGCAAGTACCATGAGGCTCTTCATGTCTCATACTCAAAAGAGGCAAATAGAGCGCCGATCATATAGAGAATTGGTGGAAGTGACACCTTATATCATGCTCGCCGACAGCTCGGCTCGACTCAAGATTCGAAATACCGGAATACGGCAAGACTGAAGAGGACATGTTAAAATCATAGTAGCAATTTCTTAGCTAGGAACCTAAAATTAAGATGCTATAACACTCTATTCGTGCTCGTTGGCATATCTGGGCAACTTTTCGAAGTGGGTTGTTTCAAATTGTCACAAGTGACGTGTACCTACCTACAGATCCGCAGACTGGCTGAGGTTGAGTTCCGACGAACATGGGCAAGCTTTTACTCAGTGATAGAAGCACGGGCTTATCAAATTCATCACAACGTTGAATATGTCTCTAGACCCAGACAATCGCAGATAAATTTATGCTAGGGTAGGTTGGATGAGCAAGTCTGGGACAAAGCTGCCGTCTCGCGTGCCATATACATAAGTAGGATCGAGGCGTCAAATACCCCAGAAATTGGCTTTTTAGGTAGCGCCCTAAGAGGGGTGAAATACTATGTAATCTCGGGCATCGGTTGTTGAAATGTGGCCCATGATCAAGGCGACCAAGATATGGAGTGCTAAGACACTGCGCATGTCCGATCTATGCCTCGTCCAAGACAATGACGGAGCCAAACGGCGTTTTCTAGGGTTGCAATTGCAATGGGGCCCTCAATGAAGCCTTGTATTGAATTTCTAGTCAGTTCTTCTGGGACGATCGTGTGCTGAGTCGCCAACGCCGATTTTAGTGAGCTTGCTTGTGGATAACTTGACTCACGAACAAGGACGAGACGAAAAATCGCCTTGACAGGCTTTCTCCATTCAAGCTGGGCATCTGATAATGTTGATTCGTGGATAGAGTATTATGGCAGAACCTGGCCGGTCTAGCGCGGTGGAATGATTGGTGTGCCTTGCCCCGGCAATTGCCAAAGTCAACCAATTCCAGGCCGTCGTTCCTTGTCCGCCCAGACGCTGGGCTGGCTGGGTGCACTGGGTCTGGCTGGTGCTGTTTCAGAACTCAGCCATTCTACCCCATCGCCGTTGAAGCATCAGTCCATAACTATCAACCATGGGCTAAAAGCAACTGAAAGGCCAAGACAAAACATGTACGCGCAATGCTTGTTCATCAGATGGAAACGTAGCCATCCACATTCTGAGCGCAGTCACGTCAATCGACTGTTGTGGTAGCCCGGGTGAACAGAAACAGCACGGAGAAGAAGAAAAGAGCATTAAGTCGACCGGGAAACAGGACCCAAACACCTCATCACTGCCTCACTTGAATTCGTTATAGTAAGAGGAAGACGATCGATTGGTCTCTTCCCAATAACGACTGGTCAGTGATTGATCCCGATGATCCACGGTCAAGGTGGTCTGTTCTGGCTTTGGCTTGAATGCTCCGCGGTCCTGCCGGGCTTGTCTTCTGACAAACCGCCGGGTTCCTTGCATTGGTGTCGAGAACGTTGTCTTGGCTGTCCGCTAGTGACGCTTAATTGCATGCAGATCAGCGTAACAAACTCGTATGAATCGCTACATATTAATTGATGAAGCTTTCGTATCGATCATTGAAAATATGCCTGCGATCATTGGGGTGCAACGTAGGAGGCCAGGCATCGGATACATCACTTTGAGAGTGACCCCATGTTGTGACGGTCGACGAAGTAAGTATTTGCTGTTGCAGGTATCAGAGACCGCAACGATCCGATGACAGCACATCGACAGGCGCTGAAGATTTGCCAACGTTAGCGGGCTCGGCCAACGCTGATCGAAGCGTAAATTCGCTACGAGGTGAGAGTGGGGCAGGAGTACGGATTCGTAGGGGGTGCGAATCCCCACGTGCATTTTCTCTAGTGGGGTGGCTATCATTGGCCTCCTATAATTTATCTCACGCGCCGGACCCTGCCACTTATACGGGATCCTCTGCCCCTTCTGGAAGTCCATATTGGCCTCCAATCTATTCGTCTCTGCAATCTTCATCAACCTTTTCCCCATCCGCACGGGGAGCCTCAATATCCAACTTTCTTCACTTCATTCTCTTGAGGGCTGACGTCTTTCTCGCTCCTTTTCTAAGCGTCTCTCCAATTCGCCTAGGCGGCCTTCTTTCTCACTAGCCCCGTATATTCTTTTCGGACCTCAAGCCAGTCTGTGTTTGCCGCTCAGTGGATCGCCTACGATTTGGTTCATTCGACCAGCTAATCTGTGACACATTCTCGATACTTCAACATAACACCACAGGCACCTTACTGAGGCGACGACTCCTTGAGAAGGGAACACTGGGTTATTCGAGTTTTGGTTCTTGGCCATACGCATACAGCAGTGCTGTAGCTTTTATCTCGACGTTCTTTAAACTCATTTTGCAACCTTCCAGTGGCCCCTACTAAAGCCACACGGGACAAGACACACACGCCAACCTCATGACCCATCATTGAGGTCTCATCCCTTTAACAGCAAGTTACGGCACAAGGATACGTTCATCAGCACGTGTGCATTGTAGTGGGGAATTCCGATTTCAAGCTGGTTCACATTCTTTCGACACTTCCAAAAATAAAAACAGAAAACTACCAACTTTCTATCATGTCTGCGCCAACAAACACAATATCCGCCTCCTCCGGGAGCACTAGCGCCGCTGCTGGTCAGGGCCAGGCTACCGGATGGACTGCAGACATGGAAAACGAAGCCTTGTGTAACTACCTTCTCTGGGTTTGTGCGATCGTCTCGGCATGTCTGATTGTATGGAGAGGCACAACGGCGTTCATCAAGTACGTCCGTCATGTCAGCTGTATGAGCAACGACACGCAACGGTATTTTGCGCATACGTCGGGGCAGGTATCATGGTTCAAGAGGAATGTTTTGTACTCGCCTATTTTCAGCAAGCGACGTAACCGCGAGTTTCAACTAAGCAGCGCGGCCAACATGGGCACTCTCCCCACACGATTCCAGCTCATTTTTTTGCTCGGGTACTTGGCCACCAATGTGGCTTTCTGTGTCATCGACATTCCTTTCGAGAGCTTTACCGACGGTGGAAAGCAGTTGAGAAACCGTAGTGGTACATTGGCGGTTGTCAACATGGTAAGAACGCATGCATCCACGGATGCCGGGTACCTCGCTAATGCGTGCAACAGATTCCGCTTTTCATCATGGCAGGTAGAAACAACCCGCTCATCAAGTGGCTTGGTATGTCCTTCGACACTTTCAACCTTCTCCACAGATGGTTCGGTCGCATTGTTGCCCTAGAGGCTGTCTGCCACACGTTAGCTTACCTTGCTGTCTCGGCAAAGACCAAGGGTTGGGGTCCTGCCTTCCTGGGAATGTTCAAGTCGCAATTCCTTCTCTGGGGTTTCGTTGCCACTGTCGCGTTCGTCGTCATTCTCTTCCAGGCTTCAAGCATTTCTCGACATGCGTTCTACGAAACCTTCAAGCTCATGCACATTGGCCTGGCCGCTTTGTCGATTGCTGGCTTGTGGTATCACTTGAAGCTGGCTGAGTTGCCTCAGATGAAGTGGCTCCTTGCCGTTATCCCTATCTGGGTCTGTGATAGAGTCGCACGTTTCCTCCGCATCGCCTACAACAACTTTGGTAACGGTGGAACGGCCACGTTAGTCGAGGCGCTTCCAGGCGATGCCTGCCGTGTGACTGTTACCATGGCGCGGCCCTGGACTTTCAAGGCTGGCCAACACGCTTACTTGTACATGCCCGCCATCAGCTTGTGGCAATCGCATCCCTTTTCGCTGGCTTGGAGCGAGGAAGCCGAGGATCTAGACTCGGAGAAATTGGCCATGAACCGACAAGATGTTTTGGGGATGCGCAAGACAACCATGTCCTTCGTCATCCGTGCGCGCACCGGAATGACAAAGAACCTGTACGAGCGCGCCGCGCAACAACCCGAAGGCAGACTCTTGACCACATGCTTTGTTGAGGGACCATATGGTGGACAACATCTGATGCATTCATACGGCACAGTCATGCTGTTCGCCGGTGGTGTGGGTATCACTCATCAGGTTCCCCACGTTCGGGATCTGGTTGCAGGCTACGCAAATGGCACCGTTGCTACCCGAAAGATCGTTCTCGTCTGGATCATTCAGAGCCCTGAACACTTGGAATGGATCCGACCGTGGATGACTGAGATTCTGGCCATGGACAAGCGACGAGAAATTCTGCGAATCATGCTCTTCGTTTCCAGGCCACGATCAACAAAGGAAATCCACAGCCCGTCCTCGACAGTGCAAATGTTCCCTGGCCGACCCAACATCGATACCCTCCTCGGCATTGAGATGGAGCAACAAGTCGGCCACATGGGTGTCACAGTCTGTGGGCCTGGTGCTCTGAGCGACGAAGTCCGACAGGCTGTACGCAGGCGGCAATACCAAGGCGCTATCGACTTTGTTGATGAGGCGTTCACGTGGTAAATGACAACCGGGTTACATTTCAGGCGCGCACAGATTCTTACATTGCTTTCGGCGTTCACTGTCTCTCTCGAGTACATTCTTCTAGGTCCAAAACCTACTTCATATCAGTGCGGTTCGCGACATTCATTTTTCTTGTGTATATTCTTTTTCTTTGACAACTCGGGAGAGCGTGGCCAGGTGGTGCATATCTACTGTATGTGGGAGGGGCAAGTTCTCCAGGTTTTGGATAGAAGGGTTAGCCACCCACATTGGCCTGGTGCTGTACGTAGATAAAAGCTCTAAGCTAAAGTATATAACTACTGACCTAGCACAAACTGACTGAATCATCTGTACAACTTGCCTTTAGAGTTCTGGTGTTCCACCTACATTGTTCCTGAAAGTGACTCGGCGTTCCAAATTAAGGTATCAAAACGTATGCCATCTCATCAGTGGAGCTATCTTGTGAAACTTCTCTGGACGAACAGCAGTGAGCTGAATCTACTGCTTGCGTAGGCTGATCTTTGGGTCTTTCTATCCTTAGCAAGCCACTTGCATCTGTCTCCATGAAACGAACAGGGGCGCCTGATTTACAAACATACAGGAGCACGGAAGTTACGTCTACACTGAGGGGCGGGTTCTACCCCGCAAACCATTTGGTTTGGCAGATCCTCCACCGATAAGGTTGTTGTGATTTGATCAGGCCATCCATGGCATTCTGTAATGGGTCTCTTGTCTAGCTTTTTAAAATTAGATGTAATAAAATAAAATAAAATAAAAGGAGGCCCATATCTGAACACTACGAAACTGTTCGTGGCATAGTTCAGGAGTGGCTCTTGCATGCCCTAAAAGACTCCCTCGCTATCGCTATCGCTATCGATGGTACAGTAGATGCGAACATGGCGGTGGGCGGTACTGATAAGCAGTGAGATTTCACTACGACAAGGAGGAAAGCCCTCGAAAATCAATCAATCAAATATGATATGTATATTATAATTATCGAGTAGGAAGTTCGCTCATATAATAGGGTATGACATGGACTGGCCAGAGTCACGCCAGTGATTAGATGCTAACGTTGGAGTAAAGTTCACGCGACTTACAACGCGACCGGAAATCTCACGGTTACCTGCTTACAAGTTCGCGGTTATGACGGAGTTAAACCCCAGAACCTCCCCGCCTTTCATTCATTGAGGCTCACGTAAGGACAAGAACTGGCACCACCAGGACCGCTCCCCTCATCAATCTGTTCATTACTCAATCCTGCGACGATCGACACAGCTTCGCAACAGACAAATAGACAGACAGTCTGTCGGCAGCCACCGAAAATGGGTCTCGCCTACAACACGTACCTTGATAGCGTCAAGGTTTACGGTTGCAAGAACTGCAAAGCACATCTTGCTAATCACGAAGAGATAATATCGCGGGTAAGTACTACCATATCCTCAGAGTTGGCGACAACGAGCATCATTACCAAGCGGTGGCAAATATGATTCAAGGAATCAATATCTCACTCAGCCTTGCTGCCGCCCCGACCAGCGCGTGCTCCTCGTAACAAACCAAGGCCTCGAATAACATTTGCTCTTTGACAACAGAACTTTCGCGGGCAGCACGGCAAGGCCTACCTCTTCAACAGCGTGGTCAATATCGAACAGGGTGAGCCCTCGGAGCGTTCTATGACGACCGGCCGGCACATCGTGCGCGACATCGCGTGCAAGCAGTGCAAGGACACTGTTGGATGGAAGTACGACAAGGCCTACGAGAGCTCCGAGAAGTACAAGGAGGGCAAGTATATCCTAGAGGCTGAACTGTTGTGCTTAGTCAGCTAGAGGGATGGTGAGCGGCGGTACAGCTACAGCAGTATCATAGACCCAGTCGTCGAAGGAGACGACGAGAACACTGCTGTCGATGGCGGGCGATTAGGCGGTATGAGGAGAAGGATGGGGGCAATGAGTTGGGCGAATCAGAGACCTACCGCTATTAGAACAAGGACATCGGCTCGGGAGTTGGCTGAGGATGCCCAGGATGCAAATGCACAGCTTCAGCTGGATGACGTGTCTCCGCCATTGAGACTGCTCTATTTGCCCACGATTTACAGGTCATTCTTCAGTCGTGGTGCCTAAACGACCGAGGCTACTTCGATTGTAACCTTTTAACGAGTGCGGATTTGCATTTTCGGCGTTTTTACGACTAGGCGTTGGCCTCCACGGACGGACCGGTCTTTTAGCGAACTGGATTATTGACTTCTGGCGGGACAAATGGTCCCTTTCCTTAACTTGTGAATATAACTAGCGCAACATGCCTGCCCTCTCATAAATTCACTGGAATAGCCTCGCAAAACATTGGCATAAGTGTTGTGATTTAATAAGAAATATCGTCTCGACGGTCAAGGGTTCTTCGGGATCTTGTTCCCTTTATTGCCCACTTTGTTTTGTCACATACACAGCAGGTTTGATGAGCTCACTTTTCCTATACTCGATTCATACCGCTACGACATCTAAGAGTCGGAACTATCACGCCGCAACACCAGGCAAGATTCCACGTTGAGCATAGATGTTATAGTGGGACGCAGGAACAAGCTGTTTTATTAACTATGGAGTCTTCCATATTGTGATGGGGCTGCCTTTCACATGCTGGCTCAGCCGGAAACAAATGTGTCTGCTGTTAATTCGTGTTTGGTCATTGGCCGGCCCTACACTGAACCTGCATTTAAGAAAGCGCCAAGGCGATGATTAATATTGTTACGGTGACAGCTGCTCATCCTCAGCTATTTCTAACGAACGAACAGGTTACAGGTCTTGCAGGCTTTGAGCCTCTTCGGACGTTTGGGCAACACGAGTGCTTTTCATACAAACCACTCGGTACTCGATCACGGTGCGCTGGCTTTCAACGAGTCTGTATGGCTGGATGAGGGAAGCTTTTCGCGATACCCTGATGTTTGTTTCTGCCGCGGCATGTCCGCGGTTTCTGTGTTAATCAGGTCGAAAGAGGGTAGGCCTGCAGCCTGGTGAAGCACGCCCTACCAACTGCATTAACCATGACAGGCTGCTGAGGCTTAATGATTGGACGCAGAAGGGCAAATGTGACCGATGTCAGTACTCTCGCATATGTATGATCCCAACCGACATAATCTCTTCATGTACAAATTTCTGCTGCATAATATAGCTGCCGAGTTAGCCACTTGCCTCCAGGGTTCCCTGATTGGATCGGAAGTATGCGTAAAATCGTTTGATCATAGCTCAGCCCCGGACTAACAGAATGCACTGTCCTGGCCAAGTGTCTTGAGATGCACTGCTTGGAACCTCCGGTAAGATCCGCGCCCTTGGTGTTCTTCTAAACTCGATTTCGATGTTGTGCAACAGAAACAGTATTATCTCATTCGTCACATCATAGCCCGGCCCGTTCGTGATGCCGTCCTTCGGCAAAGGGAAAGAGGGCTGGGCTGGGCAGTGGCGCCGCCGACCTGGTCATTGTAATAAGACTCTTTATAATAATCCGAAAACAGGCAATTAGCTGCTTTTGGAGCGGGGAAAGTCAACATCTGCCCACCATCATCTCACTTACTGCCTGATCACATCACATCGGTTGGTGCATCTCCTTCCCGGGCCGGACCCGGATCCCGTGGCCCATCACAATGCAACGAGGACTCGTACCTATGATACATGCTCATTTAGGAGCTGTTCCACTGCCAAAAATGCAGCCTTATTTTGCTACAGATTCTAGAAACTTGGATTACATGCCTAGCCGTTCGCCTAGGGCAGAAGACAAGGTCATCAAGTCAAAGCAAACATCATTCTCGAAAGCGCTCCCTTTTCTAAACTGGTATAGTACTTATTATAGAGGCGATCACATATTCTGTGCCTGCTTCTGCTTCATATTTGGTTATTTCCCAACAAGGGCTGAAGCATATGCTACATTAGATGAATAACGATTGGTCTACATCAACCGGTGTGCGCATCGTAGCATCTTTCGCCCGGGCATTCAGCTTGGTCACGGACAGCAACGTCCTATGTGGCGGCGTGTTTCCCTTCCGTTTCCGACGGGTACAGAGTCACCCAGCAGTGTCCTATGCTTACATGCAGCTGGCCTCGAGCTCTGATACGTCTGCAAAAGTGCTCAATGCAACGCATCCCCCCACACCTTCAGTGGCACTGCACCAACGGTTCAAGGCTCAGCGTGTGAGGATCCGACCCGCGCAATCCCTCCAATAGGCGCACCTGAATTTTTCCCCGGCTCACAAATTGGGTAACGGTTTTGGGCGCATAGTGAGGATGTGTTAAGGGCGCAAGAATACCTGTCTTAGAATATTCGCAGACATCTCCCCCATAACTATATGCACACATCTCCCCGACGAGGTATGCCGTCCCCATTATATGGGACCAGGCCATATTACCATGATGCAAACCGTGCATATTTTAGATCCGATTTTGCCAAACAGTCCGGGCATGGCGGATCAGGGTTCAATTCTTTGTAAAAGCTCAAGCTTGATCTCTCATAAAGTCATTGCCGATTGTCATGAGGAGTCTACAGTTGTAGAAAGCAGATTGTCTCTCAGCTCTGATCGGCCGATAGCTGTCAGTGGCCATGAAAACTACATCCTTCTCGACGACGGCCGCCATATACTGGATGCTTGTGGCGGCGCTGGCGTAGCTTGCATCGGCCATGGGAACAAGGAAGTGATCGAGGCAATGGTCGCCCAGGCCATGAATATCTCGTATGTGCCCTGGGGCTTCTTCGAGAACAGTGCCAAGTTGGCCCTGTCGGAATGGTTTTCTTCCACCTCGGGCGGTCACTTCAACAAGGTTTACATAACCTGTTCTGGTAAGCTTGTCCTCGTGATCCTATTACCTTTGACAGATAAATGATACCCAAGGCCTAGGCTCCGAGGCTATCGAGGGAGCGATGAAACTCGCCCGCGAATATTTTGTCTGGAAGGGCGAAATGGAGCGTGTCAAGTTTATATCGCGAGACGAGTCGTATCATGGCATTACCTTGGGCTCACTGAGTCTTGGAGGCCATATGAGCCGACGGGCACCCTTTGAGGAGTTGCTGCTCTCCAATGTACATCGCATACCAGCTTGTAATGCTTACCGCCAGAGGCTCGACGGCGAACCAGATACCTTATACGTTGCACGAAAAGCCCAGGAGTTGGAAGATATGTTCCGGCGGCTGGAACCAGGTACTGTGATAGCCTTCATCGCGGAGCCCGTTGTTGGTGCCGCTTCTGGCTGCATACCAGCAGTCCCGGGATACTTCCAGGCTATGAAGTCGGTCTGTGACAGATATGGAGCTCTGTTCATTCTAGACGAAGTCATGTGTGGGATGGGCAGAACTGGAACAAACCACGCCTGGGAGCAGGAGGGAGTCCTGCCTGATATCCAGACGATCGGCAAAGGTCTTTCTGGAGGGTACCAGCCGGTATCCGCAATTCTGGTAGGGCCCAAGATTCACCAGGAAATGCAAGACCGGAATGTCACCTTCACGCATGGCCACACGTACCAAGACCATCCGCTCGGATGCGCTGCGGCGCTGAAGGTACAGGAGATCATCACCGGTGATAACTTGCTCACAAATGTGCGGGAACAGGGACAAAACCTAGAGAAGCTCCTCAGGCAGAGAGTCGGCGACCATCCACACGTGGGAGATATACGAGGCCGCGGGCTCTTCTGGGGCATAGAATTCGTGGAGAACAAGCAGACAAAGATGCCCTTCGACCCGAGCTTACAGGTTGCGCAGAGAGTACACAAAGCTGCCATGGCGTCACCGAGTGATATGGCGATATACTACGGGCAGGGCTGCGCAGGAGACCAGCAGGGCGACCACATTATGATCATGCCGCCTTACAATGTCGACAGCAGGACGATCGAGGTTATCGTGGAGAAAGCCGTAGCTGCCATTCACCAGGTTTTTGCCGCCGTCTCAGGCTGAAAGGCGAGGTTAGTGGGTTGTTGAGAATTTAAGCGGGAAGATGTTGGGGAGCGAGAAACCCAGATATTCAAGCACGCCGCCGTGTCAGCTGGAACGGGCATCCTTCCTTTCCCGTTGTAGCAGGCTTCAGCGCGCGCTCTATCATGGACAGGATGTTGACTCCAACCAAACGGCGGATGACGTTATTGAGAGCATATACATACGCCTTCAGAAATAGTAAATAGTGGCATGATCTGAAGCCTTACATAATTCGAAATCATCACCAGACTTGTAAGATTGGTAGACTCAAAAACGATTACAGTCAAAGGCATTCACAACTATAACAGTCTATCAGCGGCTTCTGTATGGATACCCTGGTAGCCTTTCTGATGCATTTATGTAGGGACGTAGTTTGATTCAGAGTAATCGAAGACTTCTGTAGCCAAACGATTCTCTCTATCGCAGGTGTTACCTAGTATACTACACACTATCGTGACGACTTACGTTCTGTCTGTGTGCCCACCAACACAACTATATCACAGTCTTGCTCTTCAGACAATGGGTGAACCTGACGATGATCCAGACCTTTGATGTTGTGAAAATTACTTTTACTCACAACCCTTAACTATATCTCCGCCACGATTATACATGCCAGATCTACTGTAAAAGTTATCGGCATGACATCAGACAAGAGAGTTTGCATAACCCCGATCAACATGAATACATCATTATCTTGTCACAAAGCCTGGTATGGAGCACTGTCCACCAACTCTTTAGGTAGTACTGTTCCAGCAAACCACTATACCCCGAGGCTTGGCTATGCGGGCGCCACCAGCGGCGGCTCTTAGTAAATCTGAGGACCTAGGTCCGTGAATCGCCGCTCTTGGCCTACGCGATCAGCTACCAACGAGCCAGGCGAGCATGTACAGCACCCTGGGTGTACCATGCGAATCGGCGTCGATCATCAAGCAGTCACTGACTCTCAGCTGGTGGGGTCGCAGGAGGAGATACTATAGTTAGCCCTGCCTGGCCTTACCATACTCCATCGGTCTTGCCCCCAAAGAGTTCTAGATTTTATGCCGCATGTTCGTGGAAGCAAGCACAACCCTTGAAGAGAGGTCTTGACGATAGCTGGGAAACCCACTTCCGAAGAGCCTGGCGGTTTCAGAAGCCGATTCTCTATTGGCGCCGTTGGTGGGCCAGCCGGTATACCATCCGGTTGAGGGACTAGCCCTATCACTCTGCACTCTAGGGACTTCTCGTGGCAAGCATGGCAGAGGATCTGGGCCCAGGGTGAGGAGCGTGCTCTTTTCGGATGAAAGCCAAAAAAGCCTGCTGTCATGGAAAGAGAGTAACTAGCACAACGAGATAGAACGGGCCATGGGTACCTTTGTTTCGCTGTGGGCTTCACTTCGCTTCCGGGAAGGCACAACCGACCCGAAAAGCTCCCTTCGCCGCTGACATCAACATTGGAGCTTGGCAAAGGAGTCAGAGACCGAAAAGGGCGGATGATGTTGTTCACGACGTTATGCTTGTGTTTCCCAAAAATAGTACGGATCCGTACATTCACTATTGTCATTGTACCTTTTGGCCGATAGGACGCCGGGCAGATTTGGTCACGACCGCGTCAGCAAAACAGAAGTGACTCGTGATGTAACAGGAAACTTCTATCTGTCATTGTTTCAGACTTTTCGACCACTTGGGCAAACCGGAGGAGTCAAAGCGAGGGCATCCGCATAGATCAGAGGTTGCACACTTTCCATCCTGCGAACGCCGATTTGGGCGTCTTCCGCGAATGTGTGTTTCCCAGAGATCAGACTCAGCGCCACAAACGGAGCAACCAGACAGGTGGGAATTGTCCCTTTGCCCATGCCAAGAAGGGGTACCGATGGAGGATGAAACATGGAAAGCCGTAAGCACAGGCCAAGCGCCCAGCGTAACAGCAGCTACGGAGTATTGGGCGGACATTTTACCCGCCAGATGGTATCACAGCCGGGGTAATGAGTGAGTTTTACTCAACTGCTTGCAATTAGTATGCCGTGGTACATGGCGGATTCCTCTGATATTGCTCAAGCAGAAGCTATCTTTTAAATACGAGAGAGCAGTGGTCTAGGCGCAGGGTCAGTTTACACGCTGGGGCTTGGGCTTACTTGCCATCCTGATCGGCGGATCGCCCGAGCTGTATTCGAAGCCGAGGCGGCTGGTATGGATGGCAATCCGTTTAGCAGCCGAACCGTGCAGTATGCTCGCTTTGCCGCTGAGCTCCAAGTGATCTAGCCCCTTGCAAACGCGGAAAAAAGCTGGAAGCAATCTACTCCAAACCATCGTCTTGAAAACTTAGCCGGGTGGGTGAATAGGTATCAGCTCGTAGGGCATCGGGGATATCGTCAAAAAGGGACATAGTTGACAGTGTCAGGGATGTTCCTTGTTTAGACTCGGAAGGACTCTAAAATTGGGTATGGAGAAACGTATACTATGTAGGCCATCATGGCATCAGCTCGGGATCGCGTATGACTGGCGTGCTAGTCATGTGGGCATTCATCAAAGTCGACTGGCAGCGCTGATTATTGTGAGGTCGAGGTGTAAATCATGGTCCGTGTGTCTTTCTGGAAGCGGGCCAGAAAAACTTGCGACAAATCCATTTTGGGTGTTCCTGTCTCATGTTCCTGAGGCTAGCGACTCTGAAACGATGCCCATTGTGGTGATGGCGGCTTGCCAAGCCCTACTAGATGCGACCGTCTTCTGCAAGTACGCATGACATATCTTCTTCAGGTGAACGAACATCCTTTATGAGGACGTGCACATTCAGCCCGTGACTTTGAGGATGACTGTGTCACCGGGCAGGATCATCTGAGCAGCATTCCTGAAAGAGAGCAGATCCATGTAGCGAACGAATGTAGGTCGGCCCTTTTTACACCAGGGACACCAATTCTAGATCTCCGCAGCTGCAATGGCACCGGCTAGTGCTACGGTAGCCCACCACTGCTCTTGAGGATTTGAGGATATGAGCTTGGCATAAAGAAAACTGCCAGGATAAAGACTGAATGTTTCATCGCCATGTGCAATAAGATGGCATCGTGAGTCGCGTTTCAGGAGCTGCAATAGTACCTGCAGTCGATCTCTGGCCATGATAAAGCGATGATCAGCGCTTGGGCGAATGCGGATGATCACCGTGCGTACACCTTCGTATCAGAAGAATATACTGGATTCGGTGCACTGAAAATGAACCTGGACTCATGGTACAAGCGGTGTTCTGATTGAGAGCACTTCAAATTCATATGCTTGGGGTGGCAAGTGCACAATGTGAGATTTTCCCGCCAGAACTTTGCCAGTTGCGACGGATTGGCACCGCCACAGAAAGAATGCTGGAATATGATAAGCTTCGCAGATCTCCCGCGCAATATATTTTTTTTACCCGAACAGCTAGCAATACTACACCACTGTCGCCTCCACTCTGCTTTAATTTGCATAGGGATATTTTGATATGAATATTTACACGCGACCTGCCCGAGTGGCTTAGTTTCATCTAATCAACGGTCGTATGCTGTGTACTCATGTGAATGGTCGTCAGTCGCTCTCGCATGAACTATGTAGCTCTTGCATGCGCGCGGTTGAGGCTCTTCTCACTCTTTGATCGCGAAGCTGACTGATTGCGATGTCGCCTGTATAAGACCCGCTTAGTAGGCCTAAGATGTCTTCAACTCCCACCCAACCATCTGCTGGCGGCTTCCGCATCGTAGTATCTTATTTTGGTTGACGCAGGTACGCGCAGTTTGCCATTAATTCTGCACGAACCTGATCTTTAACGGAGCCGCCCAGGGTTCGGCAGCGTACTTTTCTGCGGCCACCCAGCGGATAGGCAGGCCGTCGAGAACGCGACCGTGAGATAGGGTAGAGATATATGGATGAGCGTTGCTGAAGATTCTATTTCTGGACCAAAGAAGTACGAAACACGCGAATTGGTGACTGGGGCTTTCTGAAGCAGCCAATCAGAGTGCCGAACAGCTCTCCTGGCCGGCATGAAAGCGATACGCAAGTGTGGGTGCAAGCTCTTCAGTGGCATCATTGGCCTGTGAAACCACCACTGAAGTCTGCCGGAGGTAAAGTTTAAGCTTGGTAGTTATGACCGAAGACCGGGCAAATTTTGAAACAAAACACCTTGAGATGCCCGAAAGCCCTGGATTAGAGGTTGTTTGGACGGCAGCTGTCTATGTCTCCGAAAGACGAGCGACACTGAGATCAGAAGGCTCGTACAGAATGGACCATTCAAGTGCCATTATGTATCTGTAGGACGTAACCCTGGATCTTTCCAGTAACGGGAGTGACTACGCAAAAGCAAAAACCGACAGCTTGTAAGTTTTTTTCTTTTAGACGAATGGAGGTGTACGCAATAACCCAATAGATCATGTGATTTCTAGACATGGCGCTGGGCAAGGTTGAAACGAGTCAGTAAAACAAATACCGGCAGTGATATCTACTTTATGGTGGACATGAAGGTACCGTGGCGCGCAATCGAGCATGCGCTCATCAGCATATGGGATCGCAGAAGGCTTTCTGAATTAGCATTTGTTGTTTCGAGTGATGGTTGAGACGAAGAAACATCCTTCTAGATCTGTCCGGGAGTCGTTGCCGGCAAACGCCGATTTGCTGGGTGACTTGCCGGTAGTGCTAACGAAATGAAATTGCGGAGGAGTTTCGCATTTGGCGAGATGTCACCTTATATTTTATGGAATTCCTAAGCTAGTTGTCTTTCCCTGCAAGAAACGACGCTTTGCAGAATACGAACATTACAGCGGTGAGATAGGTCGCATTCCAGCAGGGTCAGGGGAGCCGTGGAAAATCGTAAAGAGAAATTCGGGTATGACTTCATCCAAACCCACGAGACAAACTTGCTGCCGGGAGGTTGAGCCACAGATGGCTGGCCTGCCCGCTGCTGAGGTTCCTGAGTGTGATGGTTTCACATTATGCTGGTGATGCTGATCAAACAGGTCCGCCTACCATATTGGGAATTGACCAATTGCTAGTGCATGCAGCCCACAACGCACGTTCGGCCGAAGGGTCACCATAATGGCATTCTCTTCTCATAGTATTTGAAGAGCCAAGCAATCGCTATGTCAAGACCTCAGGTCCATAAATGGCAGCCAAAGGCGCCAGTGTAAGTGCAAGTGGCGAAATTCAATAATCGGTATGAACAATTCATGCAGCGCCGACGTCATGATGTTTCTACTCGGGCACACCCTCTTTTGTCTGTGATCAGGAGGGTGGTGTACAGGTTTATCTATGACAGCGGAGTTGGCACAAGCAAAGTCACCAGGATGAGAAAGCAATGGTGGAAACATGTTGCTGTTTAATTTCGAGGTTGAAGAGAGGAATATTATGCTTGCTTTTCAGCGGCGTGATATTATGCAGGCTCGCTCAAGTACAACGGCTACCAGCCGCAGAACGTGTGCAGTGCAGTTAGCCACGCCGATTTACTTTGGCCTGGCGGCTAACAAAAGATCGATTGGGTATTGCTTCGTCAAAGACGGCCTACAAAATTGACCATCTCCGCAATTCTTACGAGCGTGAATTTCCATGGCGCACCCGATGAAAGCGCTCAACGAGTGGTTTGGAAATGATGGATTTGCATAGTCGAAGGTGCGGTAGCGCGGTGGTTGGGCTAGTTGAATTGATCAAATCACAACATGGCGTCTCTGCTTGGCTTGTGGAGTTGAAGAATAAGCTGGCTGCTCTGTACAAGGAGAGGCATACGTACTGTAGAATGGTCGGGGTGAGTGATTGCATAGGCATAGGTATTGCCATGCATGCCATGCCTGCCATGCCTGCCATGCTGCAAGTCCAAAGAAAGAAAATGGCGCCCATTTCTAAAACTCGTTTCAGATTCCTCAAGAGATGCACTAATGACAAGTCGGCAGCGAAAACCCCGGTCCCGTTATGCCCAATGAACCAGGATCAGGAGCAAGAACAAGGAAGAACTGCCAAGAGGCTCGGAGGCAGACATGCAGACAGCGACTACCGTTCAGCGTTGCCCAGTCACGTACGCGAAGACTAAAGCAGCGTTGTAAGCCCATGCCATCGAATGGTTACATTTCATTTGCTCGATGGGGGCTCGATGCAAAAGTACCGATACATCGTTTAGATCCATTTAACTTGGAGGATACCGTCATAATATACTCCGTATACTCGTTCATGGGACTGCACCTTACTATGCACAGCAGGAAATGTTCCGTGGTGGAGAGCATTGCCTTTTCATGGGTCGGCAGAAGAGCCGGCTGGCATGATCCTGCTATGTAGCTGTGTCGTTGGGTATACTAGGCGACACTGAAATGCTTGCTTGCCTATACCTTATAGCAAAGCTCTCTGTATACGATGTGTTTTACACGACGAAGTCAGAATGAACATCGGCGTTTTCTCCGTGAGCAAGTCGATCAATCAATGAACATGGCAAGATTCGATGCCTACCATGGCCCACGTCCGTCATGAGCTTTTTTGGTTGCGCCCTTTGGAATTCGTGCCTGGTTGCATTTTCAGTGGGAATATCGTATTTTCATGAACTCATCCCTTGTGAGCAACGGCTACGAGCAAAGTTGATATCGATTAAGCCCAGCAGCTGCTCTATTATATGCCGGGTTTTGACATCGTACGTTAATCTTCAACATTTGTGGTTCTGAAGACGTACAGAGCTGTCAGAACTGCCCTAGCATGTAGGTTTTTCTTCCAGAAACCCAAGCGATGTAGCAGCATGCGGAAATTACGCTGATCCCGTCGCTGGCGCACTACCGAGTAATATATCCTGACTCCTTTTTAAGCTTGTCTAAGACACTGACAGCTGTACATAATAATCACAGTGGATACTAATGAGCTAGTCTGGGTCACATAACTGAGCACAATGTCTCTCGATCTGCTTGTTCCCTTCTGCTGAGAGTAAGTCATCATACTCGGTTCATGCAGATGCAATATTTTCTGGTTGCGGTGCTAAGAGGGTGGAGTACCGGTACCGAAGCAAACCGACTAGACTGCCTAGGTGCTTGCCGCTTTGTCGCGCTCAAGCAGAAAAGTGTCGTTGCTGTGAACTTGACCAACGAAATGCTATGTACTCCATTCAATCCCTGCTAGAGCATGACTATGCGACCCATCAGCGTCTCCATCTCGGTCATCTCAGATCTCTTCGCACTTGCGGGATGATCTATTCTGGACCACTGCTTTAATTTGCGTGCGACCGTCATGGCGGCCGGACGCACAGCGCCAGAGCGTAACGCCGTCAGCATTGAGCCCGAGTTTGAAAGGGACACGAGTAGATTGAACCATTTCCCACTTTACTGGATCGTTCTGCAGCGTATGTTGGGAATAGGAAGCCAGCCAGCCAGCCAGCAAAGACTTGCGGTGTCATTGGGTGCGGGTCACCTAATTGTGGTCATTTCTGGCAAAAAAGCTCTTCGCCAAGGATAAGCTGGACCCCGTACCATTGCAGAAATCAAAGCCGACCGTTCCTGGACTATCTCCAAGAAGCCAGCACAATCCCAGCACTAGAATGCAACTAGAAGGGCCGTGTGTCAACCACCCGAACTGGCTCCTTGTTACCTGATCCTGATCTTTCACCTCAAGAGGTGATCCTTGAGTCTGGCCGCGATGATCCGGTGACATCCACAACTAGTGGGTAAACAAGAGCAACCGTATTCTCCTCATCAGCCGCCGGATGCGTGCAGCGTCGTTAGGCCCCTGTAGAATTGTCCTAGATTGAGGGACAACGCATTTTATATCAAGACGGACTTTGGAGGGGGGAAGGAGAAGAAGAAGAAGAAGAAGAAGAAGAAGAAAAAGAAAAACCAAAACATAACGTGGTGCGCAGACCAGAGAAGGAAGAAACGATTACTTGGAGATTGATTCTAGTGGGCACTGTATGTACAGACAACGCGTGACGATAATACATACGCAACAAGGATACTCTGAGCCATGTCCTCTCGTGACCCTGTCAGGATCCCTTCCTGCTTCCCTGCGATGCCTCACGCCTCCTCTTTTCTTCTCGGAAATACCCACAACAGCTTTGTTCCTCTTTTGAGGGCAGGAAAGTCGCCGGAGCTGGCATGGCATGACAGAAGAGACAACGTCCCTGGCTTCGCTCGCCTATGGCTCATGGCCTGTGGAGGTGGAGAGATGAGGCTTGTACAGGTCAGGGCTAGCGCTGGTCCCTAGAAAAGCACCAGCCGTTGACAATAACCGCCAGATGCTCTGTGCTGGGGGCGGTCGAAGCACTCACTCATTTGGGCGTGCCCTCTGTCCGCTCTTTGGCGTCCGAGATTACGGTTACAATTACAATACAAGTACATGCCGCAAGATGCGTGCATGCACGTATGTACTGCATCGCAGAGACTGATGGATAATAAAAACTGGATAGAGACGAACGGCATACTAGTAGTACCCTCTCGTAATGCAATGGTAGTGCTGGATGTGTGTGTGTACCTTGGTCGACTTTTAGCTTCCGCCCACCACGCAGCACGACTGGGTGGCATGCTTTGTGCATAGCATGTACCTACAGTAGGGCAGGATTGTGGGCAGAACTTGTCCAATCGTGTGCGTACCAACCATCCAATCCAATCCAATCCAATCCAGCCTGCGTGTCCGCGCTCTTTCGCTCCTCTGCTCCTCGCTCCTCCCTTGCACCTGCGCCTGCGCCTACACCTGCACCTGCACGTCCACCCTCCCATGGCCCAGCCGGAGACTGGCGCCCCAAGTCCCAAGTCCCAAGTCCCAAGTCCCATGTCCAAAGTTGCTGGTCAAGGTTCCCACCCCAAATCTCTCTGCTTCTGGCTGCTCCAAACCCGCCCCAACCCACTTACAGCTCAGGGAAATCATTAAACCCCCCCCAGATCCGCCTCTCTCATCCACCTCTCCCGGCCTTTTTGACTCTTGTGATTCTTCACTTCGAGACATACTCGCTCTTTTCTTTCTTTCTTTCTCTCTCCCCTCCGTCTCGTCACTCAAGTGTTGCAGGCTTCCTACTCTCCAACAACCTTCCGGAGAGCTGCACACCCATCAAGTCAAAAGGGCTACCCTCGCGAGACGCTTCTCTTCTCTCACGACATCCCACCCCTGGTACCTGACACCCAACTGCTGCCCGTCAGACGCACCTTGGTCTTCCCAAGTCGTTCCGGCACACAGCTCCCAGCTTTCATTCCGGCCTTGACCAGTGACCCCCGAGGACACGCGCTTTTATTCACAAGGCCCCTCGTCCAACACCCGCAGCGCGCATCTTGGACGGAATACTGCATTGGGTCCATTGGCTTCACTCGTTCAAGCCAGCCTCAACTTACCTGGAAGACCCACGTCGACTGATCTCATTTGCCAATTCGCTTGAAGCAAGTTGGCCCCGATCTGTTGTGTGCAAATATTACCCGCCGGCCGGACTCGACTGTTTTCTAAAAAACCAATACAATATCACACTGAAAGCTATAATCGTTTCTAGAGGCAGCGCCCTGGAACTCGTAGCAGCAAGCATCCCAACGGCAGCCAGCACTTATTTTGCTGCATCTTTCAACCGTTTTCCAGTTTTTTTTTACTTACCTTTCCACGCAAATATTCATTGCATAATTGTTCCAGTTAGATTGTGGTTATTCTTACGCGACCCCCCATCTTCCCTGGACTCCTGTCCGCTAAGTTACAGTTGCGTCAGTGCAGAGAATGTACACGCAGCAAGCAGCAATGGCGGCAGCACCCCAAAAACCAGAGACGTTTATGCTGAGCACGGAGGCTCAGCAGGCATTGCCACATGATGCCCAGGTAGCCCTGCAGCAAGTCGACAACCGTAAGTAGCTCCAAAGTAGTCAAGTAGTCTGGTTTGCAGTGGACTTACCCGGTTTATTCTAGTGAAATACTTCCTTATTTCGGCACCTGTCGACTGGCAACCAGACCAGTATATCCGGAGGTTCCTTCTTCCTACTGGCGAATATGTATCCTGTGTGCTGTGGAACAACCTGTTCCACATCTCCGGTACTGACATCGTCCGCTGCCTTTCCTTCCGATTCCAGGCATTCGGCCGACCAGTCAAAAACTCCAAGAAGTTCGAAGAGGGTATCTTCTCGGATCTGAGAAATCTGAAGTCGGGAACCGATGCGTCTCTCGAGGAGCCCAAGAGTCCCTTCTTGGATTTCCTCTACAAGAACAACTGTATTCGAACACAAAAGAAGCAGAAGGTCTTTTACTGGTATAGCGTGCCGCACGACCGCCTTTTCCTCGATGCGCTGGAGCGTGATCTCAAGAGGGAAAAGATGGGCCAGGAGGCCACTACCATGGCCGTCAGCGAGCCCGCCTTGTCGTTCCAGTACGACTCGTCGCAATCTCTCTACGAGCAGTTGACCAAGGCGCAGCAAGCCAACTCATCGTCGTTCAATGCCCAGCAGGTTTCTTTCCCTCAGTCTCAAGCGCCATCTCCGGTGATGAGGGCCATGGACTCCATGCCACCTCCGCAGATGATCCCGCAAACCATGGCTCCTATGGAGCATGGTCTGGAGGCGATGGTCCAATATCAGACAATGGCCATGGCACCGCAAATGCCCCCACAAATCCAGCATGTAGTGAAGCGGGAGCCCGAGTACGCTCGTATTCAATACAACCAGAACGGCGTGCCCATGCAAGGCCATCAGCGCCACGCTTCCATGCCCGCATATGGTCTGGAATACTCGCCCGCTCCGTCTTTCGTTTCTTCTCAATATGAGGATTACAGCAACCGCGGCATCTCTTTCGAGCCCATCACCCCTCCCCAGCAAGCCATGCATATGGGTGCCGAGCCTGCCTACATTGCCAACGAGGAGACTGGACTGTACACAGCGATTCCTGACCACATGGGTGGGGTGAATGGCCTGAATGGCATGATTCAGCTCCCGCCCTCTAACCTGGCTGGGCCTCAGTTTTCTCGCGCCTATGGTGCAAACAACGTCTACTCTGTCATTGAGGGCTCCCCAACCTACAAGCAAAGGAGACGCCGTTCGTCGATCCCTCCGTCCATGTCTGCCATCGCAGCCGCTACTGCCCAAGTCCAGGCTGCCCACCGCCCCTCTGACTTGAGACGATCTGTTTCGGCCTCCGTAGGGCCCCTGGCTGAGGATGACGGCGAGACTTCGCCACCAGGGCTTGCTTACAGCAACTCCCAAGTTTCCATGGCAAGCCATCACCACCACCACAAGGAGATGCTTGAGATGTCCAGACATGGCACTCCCCTTTCGACCGTCGAGGGTAGTCCCGCTCTTAACCCACTCGCTCTGCAGCACCACGACTACCTTCACATGAGCCACAATGACATGAACGGTGATTCGATGAGTGAGCGTAGTGTGATGCAGGGAGGAGGACCCAACGTTGTCCGCCGAGCCCGTTCTGCCACCGTCATGGAGCTGGGCCCATACCCGCAGAAATCCCACTCGTGCCCCATCCCGACTTGCGGCCGTCTCTTCAAGCGTTTAGAGCACCTGAAGCGGTAAGAACGATAATTTTCTTCGTTATGAGTCATGTGTGATGCGCCGCGCATGTATCTGACCGAAATATCTAGACACGTGAGAACACATACACAAGAAAGACCCTACATCTGCCCTTATTGTAGCAAGGCATTCTCTAGATCCGACAACCTAGCACAGTATGCCCCACATCTTTCCTACATGTATATTTCATTTGTCAACGCAGAGTCTTGTGATGAGTTACGATGTATTGTGCGAGACCGACAGCAAAGCAAATCCAACCACTCAGATCGAAACACGCATTAGTCACAGCACAGAACGTCACTCTCACAGAAGCGTACCATTACATGAATAGACAGACTAACGTTATCTCAACTAGACACAAGCGCACCCATGATCGCGGTGATGGTGCCGAGGGTGGATTCCCCCTGTCCGGCGAGGAGGAGGAGGACTACTCTGGCGAGGACCACCTTGGTTCTCTGGAGGAAGCCTCCCCCAACTCGGAGGGCGGATACATGCACGCTTCGCTCAATGGTGTCGCCCACAGCCACGGAACGCCAACCAGCAACGGCATGATGCCAGCCACAACCATGTCGCAACCAACATTCAACAGCCTGCAAACTCTCAGCATGCCGATGACGATGAGCACGCCAACTGGTGCGATGATGTAGATGGGTGGCATTCGTGTTTTCAACTTTTCTTGTTTCCAGCGGGATTGCATCATGATGGGTACGCCATTTTATTAAATCGGGAGGATCATGAGTGGTTGGCTCGTTCAGGATCAACGAGCATGGCATTCGGGGCTTTTGGGGTTTAGCGGATTGATTTCGTTATTTCGCATCATGTGCGCGATATCTGGGGAGTTTCTGTTGTACGGTTCCGGCCAATTTGCCGGGCATTTTGGAAGCCAACTTTGTGTTCTCTGGTCGCAAGTTGATACTCCATCTTTCTTTTTATTATTTTTTTTAACCCCATTTTACACGAGGGATACCAAAACGCGACGATAGACGGGCGGGTGGCATTTCATTATTGCGACCCACGGTCACAAAACGACATAGGCTCGAATGACGGACGAACAATTGGGAGCGAGGGGAAACTCGTGCTATGTATATATACTCTTCATTAGCACCTTTCACTATTCCCTAGCTTGTATTTACCACGTCGAAGAGGAGGACAGAAGCTCGCAGCAGATGCCACCAGACATCGCATACTGCAGCGGGCCTGGAAGAGGAGACCCAGATGACATAGAGGTCGGGAAACCAATATCTGAAGTATAAGAACTTTTGAAATCGACGATAGAACTTGTTGATATTTATGCATATACTCTCTCAGCAGCCCATGTGATATATTACTGATCGTGCCGTGATCTGTTACTGCAAGCTTGGGGTTTCCGGGTATAGTAGCTACACAAGTGTACAAGTAGTCCGAGGTTCCACAATTGGTTTCTCATGTACGCACCATTTTGGTTGCAGATGGTCTAGAACCACGATTTCAGCCTCTGTGGTTTTCTGTTGTATCGCAAGGTTGGTCGGACGAGACATCCTGAAGGGTGTTTGAACAATGTTCTATTAGGTATTGGGTACTGTGGGTATATGAGATTTCCATCTATATAGCTTGTCTCCGTTGAAGCTGAACAAGTAACCCGCTGAAAACATATTTTAAAAAAAAATTTAATAAAAAATAAAAACTCCCCCTTTGCGGCCAGTCAAAAACACGGTTTGCACCTTTGAACGCGCGATGCGCTGTTTCTTGCTTCTCGCCCGCCGAAACGTTTTGGTACGACTCCATAGATATCTGCCTCTTACCTCCGGCGCTTCTTCATCTTGCCGCTACTCCGTACCGGACCGTTGATCTCAGCAACGTCCTTTTTGCTCAGCCTCAGCATACCGTTCATCAGCTTGCCGACCGCAGGCGCATCCACGGCCCTCTCCCTCCGGCCGGATCCACCACTGCCGCCTCGCTTGGTCGTCTTCTTGACCTCCCTCTCCAGGATGATGCCGTTGTCCTTGGCCTCCCTCCTCCTCTTGGACTCGCGGGCGACCTTGGCGCCCTCGATGCCCTTGCGGTGGCTCATGGGCATCTTCTCCTGCCTGAAGACGGAGGCCTTGCTGCCCAGCGCCGACAGGCGCATGTCCGTGGCCACGTGCCGGTTGCGGCCGCTGTGCTCCGTGTCGACGGCGGCGGCGGAGGACCCGATCATGGACGAGCTGTGCCCGGACGGGTTGAAGAGGTGCGACTCGGAGAGGAGCCGCTGCAGCGCCAGGTCGTTCTTGAGCAGGTCCGTCGTGTCCTCGTCCGTGGGCGTCTTGGTCTTGGACTTGGTGGCGACCGCCGCCGCCGCGTCCGACAGGGGGACCTTGGACGAGAGGAGCCGCTTGGATTCCCGCTTCGCCAGCGCGGCTGCCAGGGGGTTGATCGGGCCGCTGCTTTTCGAATAGTCTACCACCTCGACCGTGATGGGCTCCGGGGCCTCGTCATCGTCATCGCCGTCAGATCCCGAGAGTCCGTCCCAGTCGTCTTCTTCGTCCGAGGATCGCAGGTCTTCCAGGCCGTCGCCGTCATTCTCTGTGTCTGCGCTGGTGCTGGCTTCGCCGTGCGGGTTGCTCTCTTCGAGTGGCATGAATTGCGCCTCAAAGTGCCGGCGGAAGATGGCTTGGGCTTCTTCCTCAGAGATGGCTGGCTTTTCGGGGGCCGCTGAGCGCGACTTGCGCTTTCCGAGGACCGTCATCGTTTCGGTCGTCTGTTTTGCGTGCCAGAAATGGTGTGATCTGGGCGATCTGAGACGTTCTGGCAAGAAAAAGGCCTGATGAGATGGGGAAGGTCCTTGGGAGATTTAATCTAAAGATGGCCGCGACTTTTTTCCCTTCCTTTTCTCTCCTTCGGTTTGCCAGCCTCGCAAGGGTCCGCGCCGAAAAATCACTGGCCTTTAGCAAAAAAAACACACTAAAATTCAGCGATACCCCGCGGTAGCCTCGCTGTTATCGGTGCCTTTTAGCGATCTACAACCCCGCCATGACACCTGGGCAGGCACAATCAAAAGCTCCTGTACATCCACGCTTTCTGTAGGCTTTTTGACCGGGGGGGTTCATTATAAGTCGTCTTTTTTGTTTTGTTTTGGACAACCCAGTCTACATACACTACCCGAAGTATGACCCGTTTCCGGCCTTGTATAGACCTGCATGCAGGTCAGGTAAAGCAGATCGTGGGGGGGACGTTGAGCAATGATGACTCTGCCCTGCAAACCAACCACGTATCTCTCCACCCGGCCGGACACTTCTCCAAGTTGTACAAGGACAATGACCTGACCGGGGCGCATGTCATCATGCTGGGGCCCAAGAACGACGAAGCCGCAAAGGAGGCCCTGGCCGCATGGCCCGGGGGCCTGCAAGTAGGCGGCGGCATCAGTGACAAGAACGCACGGGATTGGATTGAAAACGGTGCCGAAAAGGTGGGTGATGTTCCTGTCACTCAGTCGCTCCGTTGGTTGGAGTGAGAGAGAGAGAGAGAGAGAGAGTGTGTGTGTGTGTGTGGGTGTGTATGTACGAGGCTAAATAAAATTTGCGTTAGTAGGTTATCATCACGTCTTACCTCTTCCCGGAGGGCAAGTTCAGCCAAGAGCGCTTAGACGCCGTCCTGGCCGCTCTCGGCGGAGATAAGAACAAACTCGTCATCGACCTCAGCTGCAGGAGGAAAGGCGACGACAAGTGGTTCGTTGCCATGAACAAGTGGCAGACCATCACGGACATGGAAGTGAATCAAGGTAAGTTCCATTTTATGAGGCGCACGTCTGCGGGACAGAATCACATCCAGTTTGTAACACTATACAGAGTCCATCAAGCAGCTGGAGCCCTACTGCTCCGAGTTCCTGATCCATGCAGCAGACAACGAAGGCCTGCAAAAGGGTGTCGATGAGAAGCTTGTCCAGAGGCTGGCCGAGTGGTGTAGCATACCCGTGACATACGCGGGCGGTGGCCGCCATCTCGAGGACTTGGATCTTGTTAAACAGCTTAGCAGTGGCAAGGTCGACCTGACCATCGGAAGTGCCCTCGACTGTTTCGGAGGCGATGGTGTAAAATTCGACGATTGTGTCGAGTGGAATCGGAAACAAAGCAGCTAAAGAGAAGGGGCCAATAATCATGTCAACGCCAGCATAGAAATATTAAATAGGGGTCCATCCCCAAAGCTGTGCACTTGTGCATTGAATCCAGTCAGCAGCAAGTAGCGTTGGCTCGATTGGCTACTTATCCTCGCAGCATTATAGTGTCATACTTGTCTCGGTATGGAAACAGTATAGGGTGGTTAGCATTGGCTTATTACCTGACCAATCAATGCTCTGGTCTAATTCAACTTTTCCACCTCAATTCTCCAACAAGGATGTGTTCAATCCTAAAACCTGTCTCGGGGGGTTCTTACACTTAAAGACACGTTGGAAAACGGAGAAATAATGTGATATCTTGTCCTAAAGGGGTAACATATATGTACATGTATGCCCCCGTTTGACCAGAAACGTGGTTTCAAGTAATCTCAATCGGCATCTTGACTGATTTTGCGTCCTGAATGATCCCTTTCAATGGAAGAAGCAACTTAATGGCAATGAAATTCACTATCTTCCGCCGTTTTTGCGTAAAAGATTTTTATTTTTATTTCCTTACTTTTTGCCATTTTGTCAGGACAAATTCCAAGTGCTCATGATGACACTTACTTCCTAATGCAGTCTCGAGCCCTAGACAAGGTATTTGCGTTATTTGGACATCATGTACCAACTGTAACCGTGAAACTTTTGGTCGAGCGATATCTCCAGCCAAGTGACCGAGATACAATATATACCTTTCCTAATCTTGAATCACTCATCGTCGTCGTCATCATCACTACCGCTCGAGAAGCCCTCTTTATAACCTTCCGATATCTCAGCAAGCTCATTGCCAACATCCTCCCGATCTTCCACGCTAATCGATCTCAGCACAGTTGTCCTCAGGCCCTTCATCTTGTCGGTGACGGACGAGTCCGTTGAAAGTACTGTGCGCATAGACAGTGGATTCCTGATCGAATTTTGCTCTCTATCCCGGAAGATGCGGGGGTAGCTGTCCAGCATTGGATACATGAGTTCAGATTGGAACCTAGTGAACTGTAAGTAAAATTTCTGCACCGTAAAACCAAATGTGCCAGCAGCGGATTTCAAGTATTCATATACATACTTATGCGTCTTCGGCCGCTCGTACCTCCTATACTCATCAGAAGGCTCCTCCTCTTGGAAGCCCTTCAAGGCGGCCTCCCCTCGTGCAGTGGCCAATTGCGAGAAAAGATGCGGTCTCCGTCGACGTCTGGAGCTTGCGGACGAAGTGATGCCTTCTTCAATTGTGGAAAGGTCGATGTCCAAAGCAGACACTTCATTTTGAGCCCCTGAGTCTGACTGATCTTCAAATTCCAGGGCGTTGATGCGGCCATATAATTCGCCTCTTCCTGTAGGCAACTGCATAGCTCCATTTGTGCCATTCTGGGCAGCCTTGGGAGGTTCAACCATGCTGAATTGAAGATTGGCGAGCGTCTGTTTCCCGAAGACGTTCAAGAGGTCAGTTGCATGGCCCATACTAATGCTGTTCACTTGGTCGTTCGCCTTCAAGCGGGTGAAGAGAGAAGTGCTCTCCATTGCTGCATTGAAGAGGCCTGCAACGTGCCAAGGCGAAGATCTATCCAACGACACGCCCGAAGGGAGTCTCGAAGGCACGGCAAGGGGGATGATGAGTGATGCTTGCGAGTACATATCGGCAATGGCTCGTGCTTTGTTGACCAGTCGCAGCAGGCGTTTTTCCTGGCACGAACATTAGTACCAGTGCTGTTAGAAGTCGGATTGTAGTCACTACCCGCGGTACCCCGGATGTTGGCTCTTGAAGCCCCCAGACCCAAATGGGAACCTTTCCATACTCGTCTCGCAGGCGCTCCAGGTACTTGGCAGCAAAGCCACCCCAAGCATCATCGATGCCGGTCATGATCTGGACACCTTGCATATGATCGGCTTCCTCAACAAAGGGTCGTAGATCCCGATCAAGTATATCATGATCCTTGTCGAGCGACGAAAAGAGCTCTTCGCCCATGTGCCACTTCTCAAAAGGCATCAGGCTGGAATTTAGCTCATACTCATTCAACTGCACTATCGACCTCGGGTGGTAAAAGACACGGCTGAAGTCAGACCAGTATCTGACAGAGCTTGTGGTGAGTTCAGGGGCTGCATTTCCGGTATCGAGGCTCTCCTGGTAGGCGCTGGGATCAATGGGCTGTTGTCTATGCACCACCGGTTGTCCATTCCTGTACTCAGTCAATGGAAGCACTTCCCTAGATCACACCGCACCGCACATACCACAAAGCGGTTGGCTCCCCTTCGGCTTCGTACAGCGCGTTGATCTTGCGCATGGACCCGAAGCCTCCTTTCAGATCATATATGACTGTCCTTGGCATATATGTCTCTGTGCCGTCGGCACCAATACCCGGTCTGAAATGGACATCATGGTCCACCGGTGTCTCGCCATCCTCACCATATGTGAAATATGACTCCTAGTCGTAATTAGCAAGAAATCAGATCTTATAAGTCGGAGAGACGTGCATACTTGTGTGTTCCAAAAATGTGTACCCAGGTAGTTGCTCTGCTGGCCAAGCTGCAAAGTGACGATCTCACGCATGATGTCTAACGGCGCTTGCCTCGAGAGCTGTGGATGGCGACGCTGAGTGAACACCTGCTTGGAAGTATCGTAAGGATCCAGATCCTATCAGCTTTCCTCTTTTTCATCTGCTGGTTGGCATATGCCAGGTATTATTGGTCATCAAATTCGCCGTCGCAAAGCAGGTGGAGTAACTATGAAGCTTTGGGCGGCGGCTGCCCACAATTGGCAACTGTGGCAGTGCGCCACTGAAAGCTTCCATTCACCCTTTATTTAATCCCGAGCAATCCATTGCAAGTTGTCATCTAGACTAAGTAGGGGCCCCGTAGCAGCAGTCATTCCAGACAATCCTTCTCTTCTTCATTCGACGTCCGTTAGTGTATTCCCATCGACAATTTCGCCCAATTGAGGATGTCTGTAGCTCAGGAACTGGAGTCCTGGAGGACGCCGGCCGCCAAAACGGTGAAGGCGGCGCCCAAACCTGGCGAGCGGGCGCCTGTCAACGACAGCTTCCAGTTCAAGACCGACAAGCCTACGCTTGTTGTTTTCCTGCGGCATTGCGGCTGCCCATGTAAGTCAATGTGGTGGTCCCGATCTCCTGATCAGCTAGATTTTGCGATTTTCCGCGACACGTGACCCAGGTCTACTGTACGTCCAAGGACGGACAAGGTCTATCATATTCTTGGCATGATCTGCGGCTCTTGTAAATATTACCGGGCTCGATCTCTACCTTTCGGAAATATCTGCACTTTTCGTTCCCAACAACTGACTGGCCATCATAGTTGCTGAGAAGACATTCAAGAAGCTCACAAAAATCTCGTCCATGTACCAGGACGTCCTGCACTGCGTGGCAGTCTCGCACTCGGAGCCCGAGTCCACGGAGCGCTGGGTGGTCCAGGTGGGCGGCAACTGGGAGGTGCAGGTGGTCGTGGACCACGAGCGGGAGATGTACGCGCAGTGGGGCATGGGCATCTCCAACACCTGGCACGTCCTGGGCCCCATGACGCTCTACAAGACCTTCCAGCTCGGCAAGCAGGAGAACGTGTGGAACCGCCCCACGGAGAGCGGCAACCGGTGGCAGACCAGCGGCGCCTTCGCCGTCGACAAGGACGGCACGGTGCGGTGGGCCAAGATCGCCACCTCGGCGGCCGATATGCCAGATCTGGACGCGGCCCTCGGGACCTTGGGGATCAGGCTGCGCAAACGGGGTCCCCGCGATCAATCACCAAGTGCGATATATGCGAGATCATTGAGGCCGGAAAAGAGGGACAATAACGAGGACAAGTTCTCGATTGAAGACTAGTGTCGAAAACTATCCAGGGCCGGAATGGTTGGAACGGGTAACAGGTATTTTACTGAGGGTGTTTTGTATTATATTGTCCATGTACATACAGGAAACGAGTGTCACATTCTCATATATATCATCATAGCAGGCGAGCTTTGCTTTCATGCATCAACCGAACGACTTTGATTCGCACATATGTCCAGTTCAATAATTCCTCGGCCATTCAAGAGATCTCGTACTGTACCGTAATACACCGGTTATACAATAGCAGACAAAGCGAACCGAAATATCACTGGTGTAGCGTCGATGACCATAAGAAACACCAGACTAGAGAAGACGAGAGCTCCAAACATCAAGTGGCAATATTAGCATGATATGCGTCCTTGTCATATATATAGCATTGCTATGGCGATAAGCTACGAACACCGAAGACATAAACTAATGCATATAACACGTCACCGATTGACCAAAGCGCAGTATTGAAATTTCATGTCATTTATTATACTCCGTACAATACGTAAAACATCAAAGTAGAAACAGGCCAATCCTGAACTCCGCCAGTATCCATAGTGCACATAAAAGAAGTTCTCGCTGTCTGCTTCCGTCGTTAGGCCATGGCCTCCTATTCCTCCCCACAACTGTACGAATGTGAAATGTATGCTGAAGTCGATGCATAATTAACAACTTTTATCTCAGCAGGCTTCCCAATGTAGACACAAATTATAGAACAATTAGCACTTCTTGTAACCGGACAAAGAAGCACAGAGTGTAAAGAAGGGGGATTAATGGGCTGTGGAAGTGGTGGCCAGCCAAGAAGCGGAAGACTGGGAACCCAGGAAACGCCGCGTCGTTATTGCGCCTCAGGTCCGGTCGTGGATCATGGCCCCATGTCTCGTGATATATTCCTCATTTGACCCAATGGGAATCCGATCGAGAGTCGGTATCTTCAGTCTCGAATCAGCACTCTTATATGATCATGCTCTTTGTCCTTGAGTGTGACCGACGGCCCTGTGCCCTCTTACGGAGCGCCTCTTCCCGCTTAAGGACGAGCTCACACCACTTCTTTCGGCCGCCATTAGCTCCGGGGTCAACTTCGTGTCCCTCAAGACCAACGACATCACCGAGAACCTGCAGCCAGCTGTCCTTCTCCTCGGCTGTGTCGGCGTAGAAGTCGATACATTCACCGTTGTTGAAGCGGATGCGGAAACCCTCTTCCACGAACATGTAGCCCTCCTCTTCCTCAGCAAAGGCAGAGCGGCGACGTTTGCCATCACGGCCAGTGCTGGGCTCCGTCAACTTGCGACGGTCATCAATGACTCTCTTTGCGTTTGACAGATTGATGGTAGCACGGGGCTGGCGAGTTGCCTCATGGTAAGCGGTGAGCTTGGTGCCTACAAGCTTGAAGTAGCGGCGACGCCAGTACTAATTTGTGGTCAGCGGTGACATTTTAGTGGCTGTATGGGGGAACTTACAGGACAATCACCACCTTGCTGACTCAGGTGGCCTTCGAAACTCTGGCTCAATCTCTCCTCCGCAGCCTTGAGCTCACGAATACATGAGTTCATGCTCTTTGGCATATCGTCGTCGGCCGAGCCCTTTGGGCGAGGAATAAACAGAAGCTGCATTTCGAGCTTGCCAACTTTGTACGGTGCCTTGCGGACTACGGAGTTGCCATTTCCAGCACGCTTGCTCTTTACACTGCTGGCAAATCCGGCGTCCTCAGTAGCCCACTCATTGAAGCAAGCAATCTCGGCCATGTAGGGTCTACCATAGCATCGACTTTCATGCTCCTTGAGGCAGACATAAGATCGTGCGAAGCTTCCATCATCGGCAGCAAGAGGAGATAGTAGGTCCCAAGCAGTGGGTGCGATATTCCTCTGCCTCGTTACGGCGTCGCGTTGAGCCTGCGCGTACGCCTCCTCTTCGGCGCGCATGCGAGCCTCCATCTCCTTTCGTTTCTTCGGGCTGGCAAAGACACGGGAGAATGTAGAGGTCTTGGGCTTTGTCATCTTAGTTGGCGAAGCCGGCAAACGCTGCGGCTCGGGTCTCTCCAACTTGACATTGAGAGTCAACTGGAACTCAAGATCATTGGGCACAACCAATTCAAATTCCTGCCCGATAGGTGCATTACGCGCCAACTCCAGCCAAGCAGTAGTCACGCAATGAACGCCATTGTCAAGGGTGAGGCTGAACCAAGTTCGCTCGTCTGCCAAATAATTTAGTGACATGGGAGGGTAAGTTGTGATGGAAACATGACTTACTTTTGGGCAGAGGCAGGTCAAGATCCTTGACACCCATCACCTTCACGAAGAGCCTTCCCCTCTCACCACATTCTTCAGTGGCTAGCTCTGGCTGCGCCTCTTCCTCAGCCAAGGGGTTGAGAGCGGCGGCGTTGCTCTCCTGGCCGGGCATTGGCGGAACCGGCCCACTCATGCTAGGTCCATGGCGTTTCCTGATGCTGCGTTGCCTGGGCTTACCATTCCAGGGCTCTACCGTCCAAGATTGCGGTCTCGCCGTTTGCTTCACGGGCGAATTGCCTGCGGATCGCGTCGAGTCTCTAATGTTCTCGTCGGAGGGCTTGTCGGTGGCCGTGACGACCTTGGTGTTTTGGCGCATGAGGTATCCGCGCTGTTTCCGGGAAGTTATGTTAGCATTAAGGTATGATGGATTAGATTGCTTGCGGCCGGGGGTTTTGTCAGTCGCAAGCACAAGTTGTTGAGGTTCAGACACTTGTCTAGTTGGACTGTTACTTGCAGCCAAGAATTGTTTTTCGAAAGAAAGTTTTTGGAACGCAACCTTTTGTGCCTCGATGACTCGCTCGAAGTCCTGATCAAGACTGAGACCCAGATCAAGATCCAGTGTCAGGCTGCGCTTCTTAAAGCTGGGATGGCGGTCTACATATTCGTCTCCGTTGCCATCAACTGGTAATTCCACGTCCAGGAAGTCCCGCGAAATTCGGTTGCGATGTCTCTCTGGGATGGGAGGAATATCAGGGAATGGCGGGACCTCGCGGCTCACATGTCGGCGGGCTTCGCGCATTGATGCAATGTCAGATGGGGTGGCGGAAGGACGGGTCTTGAGCTTAGAACCAGAGGCCTTGATAGTGGCCTGACGTTCTGGGATGGCTGGAGACTCGAGCGCTTCTTCCTCTTCCGCAATCGTCTCGAAGCCAACCTCCTCTTCGATCGTCTCGACGCCAGCCTCCTCTTCATCAACCTCTCCGTCACCCTCCTCCTCCTCCTCCTCCTCTTCCAGTTCCTCTAGCTCCTCTAGCTCCTCTAGCTCCTCATCATCCGAGACGGGATGGTGAATCACAGATTCCGGAGTGCCAGGTTCCTCTTCGTCCTCATCTTCTGAGTCGCCCCATCCGGAACCGTCGTATAACCCGGGCTTTGGCTTTTTATGCTCCGGTGTTTGGGGTCGTTGCAGATAATCGTGGGTATCGGCCATCTTATGACTTTCGACATGCTCTAAAACATCGGGATCTCTTGGTTTGGGGAGCATGAAGGATTGGAGGCTGCGGGTGAAATCCGATTCTTTAGCGCTCTGATTTACCTGCGGCAGAGTAGCGCTAAAGTTTGTAATTGCTTCTACCTGTGCCGGTGTGGTAGCCCGTGGAGTGGTAACTGTGTCCTCTTCTGGCTGTTGCGGCTCGGCATCGGCCTTTGGGATCTCGTCTGAGTAATGACTGTCACTATCATCATCTTGGGTGTCTGACTCCGCCTCTGAGCTATCATCCTCAGATCGCTGGTAAAGGTCGAGGACATCGCTCTCCTTGTCGTCACCGTTGTCAATGATGACGCTTGGCTCACTCTGCTCTTCAATGTCATCAAGGACCGAGTCCTCGATGCTAGCGATTGGAACATCTGGGTCATAGGACATGGTTCGCTCAGGGCTGGAAGGAGCGGGAGAAGAGTTGAAGTTGTAGTCGGATTCCCGCTCTGGGGCATTGCTGCCGTTGACGCGGTTGAGAATCGATTGGCGGGAAATGCTGGGAAGCTGATAATCTATGTCGAGTCCCGAGATGTCCCCTACCGTGTCATCTTCTTCACCTGCCTCAGACTCTGTGGCATCACGTTCAGGTGTGGGGCTCCCGACTCTATCACGAGCACCAGCACGCCTCATGCGACGCTCGCGCTGTTGTTCAGCGAATGTCTTTGCCGGTTGGTCAGCTCCCTTCGGGCTTGTCTCGTCAGAAAGCATCATGAGCTTCAAACGTTCCTCAAGCGACATCTTGCCGTTGCCAATATTCTGCATCTCGGATTTGCTAACCAGTGCAGGTGGAGGGGATGGCAACCCTCGGCGGGGAGAACCAAGCATGCGTTCAGCGGTTGCCGAGAGGCCGGCGGAGGAGCCTGACTGCGTTCGCTGATGGCCCATACCAGGCAGAGGTGGTAGCGGACGGTGCTCCCCAGATGAAGTGCATGAGTCGGTGCGGATGTGTTGTGGCCGTGGAGAAGCATGTTGCGGCGTCGATGGAGTTGCTTCTGGCATGGGACTGCTGTCAAACCGGTCAAGATCTCGGCGCCAGTCATCATCCGGGCCTACGACAGGTGTCTTGTCCGTGTCCTCGAGGGTTGCGTCAAAGCTGTCCTCGTGGAGGTCTCCGTCGTGACTGTGTCGGTAATGCTCGAACCCGTCGTCGTCTTCGTCCTCCGATTCATAGCTCCCCTCACGCGAATTGGAGTCGATTGAAGAGATATCGGGTGTGGCCATTTCGTATTCATTGACCTGCGGGGGCGCATTGTCGAATGTGACGCTCTTCATGCTTCGGTTGAGGAATCTGCCCTGAGGAAGCTCATGATCCTCCAACTCGCTCTCGAAGGCGTTGTCGAGGGACAAATCGCCGGGATGCGAATCATAGCTGCTCTTGAAACGAGATTGGGACAGTGACGATTTCATGGGCGACATCTGCTCCTTACTTGGACTCGGAGGGGCAGAGAAATTGGGCTTCGGGCTGGAGTCGAATCTGGATGGACTATACAGTGTCGGGATGCTGTTCTGGCTTTCACTTCGGCCATGCCCGGCTCGAAAGCCGGTGATGCCAGTGCCACCGTAGGCATTGCCTTGGACTTTGGCAAGCGGCCGTTCAACGACAGGTGTACGGGTAGGGTCGTATTCTTGCTTCTGCTCACGTGCAAACATGGTGCTGTTCTTGACACGTGACGCCTTCTGCAGGCGTTCAATGGACGAGCGCCGCGTGGGCGAGGGCGAGCCAGTGCGGCCGGCATAGAGATCGTTTTCGTTCTGCTTGGTTGTGTTGCGATTTTGCCAAAAGAGGCGAGGCGAGGCCGTGGTGTCAAACGGCGAGGACTGGAATGGAGAGGAATCCGTATTTGCGCCCATTTTCTGTAAGCGACCCTCGTCAGATCAAGGACAAACGGGCCTGGGTGTGAAACAGGCGAGGAGACCAATACTGACCTTGGTTGGCTGAGTCCAGCTGGGCGAGTTGCGCCTCTTCTCTGTGACTGGAATTTCGGATAGTGGGCGTGGTATGCTACTCTTGACTGGGGTTGGTGCGTTCTTGGAAATGCGCAATGGCTGCGTGACCTGGTGGTTTTTTATTCAATGTTAATTTCACGCGTCATGTGCAACAAGTTTAAATTTGAGAGAACAAACTACTGACCGGTTCTTCGGATGCCATGTTCCTGCTTAAATGCTCAGTGCAACGGAATTACGAGACCATGGCCTTCGTATCAGATAAACACAAGAAATACGTGGTGCGAACTAAGGGCGCCGTATCGATATCCCTCTTTGTTTGGCCAGACTGGGCTGCTGCGAAACCAGTATGGACACTTAATGAGATGTGAGTTAAAAACGAGACGTAAAACCGCAATGCGACAGACGGGTTCCGAGGAGGGGTGCAAATCACTCGAGCGTGCGCTTCCCAAGATCTGTTGGTGCCAATGAAGGAGAAGCAGATAGAACAAGTCGCGGTACTCAGCTTCAAAGGGAGTCACAGGACCTAACCAAACCAAAAGAAACGAAAGGTATACCGCAGAAGATATGACCAGCGATTTCCCTCACAGGAAAGACAAGCAGGAGGATTAGTTGTCGGAGGTGTTCGTGAGAAGCGAGGCGGACTATTATGAAGTCTATGTTTGTTGCAGCATGAAGGGCGGTTGTACGAGGATAGCCGCTGCAGTCGCTGATTGGCTCATCTCGATCCGAGTTGTAAACATAACTGGAGGTCCAGAAGCCGGTTTGCGACTTCCCCCGCTAATCTATTCGGTGCCGTCGTTGCCCCTCGCAACGGCTCCACTTTTACACCTTGTGGATCGTCCTTAGCCCCACCCTCTATCCTGGCAGCCCAAATATTCTCCGGCAAGATGCTTGAAGCTGGCCAGCGCAACTTCCACCATGGCCATGATTTTCCATCCGTCCCTTTGCGCCTGTCCTAATGCCATCACTGACAGAAATCTCCGATTCTGCTTATTTAACTAACTTAATAATCACCGTTTGCCAGAAGACCCCGCCAGAGTCTGGAGTAGTCCTACTCAGCTCATTGCTGTGCCACTTCTTCACTGATACCGACTTATTAAAGCATGTACAAGTAAGCAAGGCCACAAAGCCAGCAAAGCAACCAATAGCTTCATAGAGCTTGCATTGTTGGCAACGACCTGAGCCAATACGAGCAACCTTCTCGTGCTATGCCCCACAAACATGCAGCAAGGCGCATGTCTGATGCAGCTACTGCAACTGCGCAACCGATGGATATCCTACTATGTACTATGGATGCCATGCAGCACCATAAGCCGCATAGCCCTTGCGCAGTATGCGCATCATCTCTGCAGAAGTACAATGCCGCTGTATGCTTTGTTCGAGTCACCGTCACAACTAAAGCAATGATTTGCTATGAGTGGAACGCTTTTGCAAACGGTCGGTTCCGTCACCCTGTTGATGTTGAACTGTACCATACCTCTCCATAGCCTAACTATTTTCCATGTTTCGAGCCATGTCGTAGTGGGCCTCAGCTTGCTTTTCGTAATTCCCTGAGCATACCCTGACGCCCGATTGACATATGAGACGAGCATCTTGCTTTTAGAGCTTCAGATGAAGCAACAGATTGTGCAGTAGACTGGCGCCGTGTGTCGATGTACTGCCCACCAGAGTGGTCCATTCCAGTATACCTACACCGAAACTTGAGCAATGTACTGTAACGCATCCTGCGGGGTTGGCATTTATGATTTTCAGGACTTGTCAATAGTCACTTTCTCCATGTTGGTAAATCCACACTTTATTTATAGTGATAAACATACGCTGGACTGATAGTATTCTGCAACCTAGCTGAAGCCGCTCCTGTGCGGTGAATCATTCATTGTCCTCCAGAGCATTATTCTTTCGATTGAGCTCATCTCGAGCTGATGAAATATGCATACCATGCATAGTACTCGTAATTAGTCAATCTTATTATATCTATTCTACTCAAACATGCCGGGAGAAAGGTTGAACATGGGAACGGCATACTATATCAATGCTCTCGTGAGTCGCATGGCACCATCCGCATCAATGAGCCTCGAAGCCCGCCTGGGTGCATCGCCGTTTGACCTTTGATGGCAAGGGAGACCTTGACCCAGGCGAGACGGATCCTAATAACAAAGGAAGTCTTCCGATACGTTATACCGAGTGATGACTAGTTGAACTTGACCAGTTCGAGGACACAGGTTATTGCTTTTGCAATACAGCTGCCACTACCTGCGGCCTAGCAAGTTCATGAGATCAAGGTTCACTGCCATGGCCAGTTTATGTCCCCCATGGCACAACCTAGTTTGTGCAAGCATACAGATATATCGGTTTTCGATGGCGAATACTGAGCCCAAAGGTCTTTGATCACTTAATCTCTGTTTTTGTCTCTATGGGCGGTTGGGGAAACGAAGGAAGACAGAACAATCGCTGCTGGCTCAGGCAAAGCTTTCCCCCCGTCGAGAAAAGATTTCCTACTTTATTTCGAATCAAGGAGGTGTTGTATACCACCAAAGGTTTCCCACTTGCGAGCTTTCGTTGCAGCCAAATGAATGGATTGTCAAATATGCCGCGTGGTTGTACTTGGTAAAATCTCATTCTCTAGTTCCATGACCGACTTGATTGCTTTGGTGTTTGCATCAACCGGTCGCCTCCCTACTTACATATTGCTTTGTTTCAAGGGTCGACTTTTGGCCAAATCGCTCAATTCTCTTAGTCTAGAACCAAATCTTGCAGTCGTGAGATGCAGACCTTATAATCGACAGCCAAGGATGGCTAAACGGACTCGTCCATGTTGTCTCCCCATGCCAATTTGTTTCTTCCGGAGCCCCTACCTCCATGCTCGACTCCGGCCGATCACCATCCAACAAGACGAATCCACCGAAGCACAGGGCCTTATCCCACATGGCCTCTTCTATGCAACGACAGTTGAGGACCTCGCGGGCAACGCGTTCAACAGTGGCAGGGTCTTTGCGCGAAGGATTGAACAAGACATAAGAGGCTCCGTTGTGCTCCATCCACATGGATTCCTCGAAGGGCAATGCCCATTTGCGAGGCAGGGTCATGATTCTGTGTGTGCCAACTTGAAGGCCTTGCATGATCTTGCATTCGTTCTGCCCGTTGCGTCCAGACGTGACGAGCCTGTGCACTCCGTCGGGCTCGACCTTGGTAACGCGGATAGCTGTTTCCCTTGACTCGTGGTTCACAGACCACAGAGGCGTTGTCAGGGTGGGCATATGATTATGGTCTTTTACTGTGACTGTGATGAAGCCTACTGAGTCGACTGAAAACTTCCAAATATGGAGCCGCAGTTCAGCAGGCAAGTCCTGGAATCGGTGAAAGGTTTCGGCGGCTGTCGTTGATACCACCATGTCGTGGAATGTTTCGCGGTTATGATGAATGTGCAGTTCTGTCATATGATGGCCGTGTGACTATCAAGAGAGGAGAAGGAAGTAGTGGCAGATATAAAAGGATCTTGTCATTAGAAAGGATTGCTGATGCGAAAGCTCGGCATGACTGGCTTTATAGTACCGTTATTTCTGTGATGTACCTGTCCAAGCTTATTTTCTTTAGACTAGATCTAGTTGATTTACTGACTGACTACTGATGAACATGCTTTTATCTACAGCTTGATGAGAATTAAACAACCGACAGGAAACTTTTCGAACAATCCAGCAATTTACTCAGTTCACTTCGACTGACGTATTTCGAAGCTGCAACCACAAGTCACACGGACAACATCCTTTCCACACCACCAACTGTATACCACTCGGCTACAAATAAAAACGAAGTTTCGTTTTCTATGACCATTAAATAAGACAAACGATGATGAAAGACCTAGGGCAAGCGCTGGAAATTTTCGATCTCTCCAAAGTCTCCCTATGTTGACAAAGGTAATATTTAATATGTGTTGCTGGCTATCAGTTGGATAATGGGCGCTTCAGCATCAAGCCTATAAGATGGGAACAGGATCTTCGGTATCTTTTCGATATCTGTCTGATCTTTTGGACAAGGACTAACTCGACACATTCTATTCAAGGTCCAACGTGTTGGGTTTTCAAGTTTGTATAGCACGGCGTCAACAACAATGGTGACGGAGAACTATAATTTGCTTCCGGAGAAGGAAACCGAATATATCTACCCAAGAACAGGCAACTCCTAACACGAACAAGGAACGTGTTCTCGAGCATGATAACGTTACTCAGGACGGATGGGTCCTCGGATGCCGAGGTCGCAAGAGGGATTTAGACAGCTGGGGTTTAAACGCTTTGGTCAAGGGTAAAGATCTGGATGTGTTGACCAAGGAAATTCCATGAGGGCTGTGATATTGGTTGGCTTGGTTATGAAACCAGGTTTACTTTAGACCATGAGATAAATAGGAGAAGTTTCGAGAATTTGTCTCTGATAAAGAAATCAGAACATTGTCATTGATCAACCAAAACGCCATTGCCTCAAACGGTGGCTATTTTACTTCAAAAGATGCCGTGAAGTAGACTGCCACACGTATCCAGTCCTTTCGCAACTCAAGGACATGAAAAGTCCTCCCGCGATGTTGTGGATGAGTGGTATCTGTAAACATTTCCTATTATCCAGTAAGACCAGATTGGTCAGCTTCGCCTTAGTCATCAGCATCTGGCATCTCTTCGTCTTCGTCTTCGACACCACTCTCGCCGCTCCCTGACCCAGAGGATTCATGAGCTGAATCGTACTCCTCAGCAACATCAGATTCAGAGTCTGCCCGGAAGTCCTCGTCCACACTCTCCTCGTCCTCATCAGCAGAACCTCTATCAGCGCCTCCACGCACCACCTCCTCCTCGCTGTCGGACAGGGCCTCAGCACGCATGGCGGCCGCCAGAAGGTTAGACTCCTCCTCGATCTCGTTCTTGACTCTCAAGCCCTTGAGCTTGAAGAAGTCTTCAAGCGCCTTCAGGTCTTCACGGTTGATGTTGCTGAACGACGTTGCACCACCGCCGTTCTTCATGTGAACGGTTATGTCGAAAGTGGAAAGCGTTGATACAGCACCGCCCACTCTACTGAATGTGATGCTGGCAGTCTGATCATAGCTAATGTAGGTAGCGGGCTTGGGAACGAACATGAATGCCTTTTCAAGGCAATACAAAAATCCTTCGCTGGCCTTGATAAAGCACTTGATGCCAGTTTGTTGGCGGTGAGTTTGGAAGTCCTTCGCAGGAGAGACGATCTTCTTGTTCGCCAGGCCTTTGAAGCAATAAGTGATAACCTGGTGAATAGGCTGCTCGTAATGGGACTGTATCTTGTCCTTGTAACTGGCCTCGAGTTGGTCATCCGTCAAGTTCAGGTCGATGGTAATCTCCTCGTCCTTCTTGCATTGCATGACCAGGAAAGGATAGCGGGTCTGACCTTGGCGCAAGGGAGGATCCAGACCAATACACAGCATGCAATGTAGATCGTCGGGTTTGGGTAGGACCATGAACTTCTTGATGTGCTCGTACTGAATCTTGTAGTCGTAGGTTTTGCCACGTAGTCGGAAAGAGCTTTCGTACATGTCGATGTCGAAACGTCCTCTGGGCGTGAGATGCAGGACCTCAAGGAAGGTAGCGATGGCGTCACCAGCCGTCTCACCAATCTCGGCCTTCTCAATGAGCGTTTCGTAGAACAGGGTGGCGGCATTCTTCTCCTCTTCGCCTTCGGCATCGCTCCCGGCCTCCTCGCCTTCGGTTTCTTTGCGTGTGGTAACACCAGGGATGTAGAAGCGCATCTCAACCAGCTGGTCTCCACCAGCACCCGACTTCTTGCCCTTTCCACGTGCACCACCGAGATGTCCGTTGGTTCCTGTATCAGCTTCGTCGGAGGCAGCGAACTCGATGGCGACCTCATTTCGACCGGCCAAGTTGGTGTTTGAGATTTCCGAGTACGGTATCTCAAAATCTGGTTTGTTCTGGACGTTGAAGACGAGTTCCGCTTTCGTGAACTCGGTCTTGCCCCAATTCCATCCTCTCAACGCATGCTCCTTGGTCTCCAAGTTGATGCTGTACCAGTTCTTGAAGACCTTAGTTAGCCTCTGCAGATCATCCTCCTGGAAGCCATCCAGTTGAATGACTTCGGATGATCGCTTGAGGATCTTGACCTCGTATCCCTTGGCTGCGCGACTCCATTGACCACTTGCGATGTCGTTTCGTTCGAGGGTGAAGGTGTTGCCGCCGCCCGAGGGCTTCCAGCCAAGGCCGTTTTCGGAGAATCGACACTTGCCGCTCTCTTTGGAGAGGTCAAGGAAGATGTTGTCGAAGCTCTCTCTGTGCGCCATAGTCAGGATTCACTCAAGCTTGGACGGGGTGGCAGGCTACTCGGGGGGGAGGTACTGAAATCCTCGAAGAACTTGTACGGGTAAACTCACATTGCTGACATGGTGACTGCCTAGAGTGAGGGTGGAATAGGTGAATGACGGTGATGCGACGACGATTCAGCTTCGCCAGCAGCGGATTTTTACGGGTTGCACCAATGGAAGCTGCTTCTCACAGCTGGAAGGGAGGACAGGCTTGGGTATTTGAAGGACACTCTGTCGCAGGGCAGTGGCGCAAACAATTGGGCAAATATCAGGTATGAGATGGGAAGTATCCCAGCCCCGAGACGAGATGAAAAGTTGAGACCCGCTGCCTCGCGACTACCCGCTGCTAGGACGGGACGCGACTGCTGTTGCTGTAGGGGAGCTGTCTCGATAAGTTAGCTTTCGCGTTAAGTGAGTAACTTATGTAGTGGCACGTGATGATAAGCCCAACGTTACCCCAGCTGAATGGGGATTGGAATTGAGAGAGAATGGGGTTCGTTGTCTCTAATCCGTACATGCTGTAGGTGCATACACAGTACTGAAACCATGGCAGCTGCATGGCTAAAAGTGCTACAGTAGCAGGCAAGGATGAAGCTCCATCGATTGAAGTACCCTGAGCGCCTATCCCTAAGCGTTTGTCGCTGATCCGCCCCCCCTAGGTTGAGAGTATACTTATTACATGCGTTCAGTGTTGCGCACCTCAGGTTTTCAACGGGCGCGAACTGTCAATGGGGTCAGCCAGCTGAGACCAGAGGGGATCCTTTTCCTCAATGTCGAAAACGTTTCTGATTATATATGCAACTTGACTCATCATTCCCTCCCCCAAATAGATGTGCATTTGACTACATAGTAGCCTGGAAGCGTAAAATATGGAATGCGCAGCTGCACGTCATGCTCAATATTTATATTTAGGGGTTCACTCTACTTGGATAGGCTAGACCCTCAGTGATACTACCCCACTAGATTGCCCGCTGGGTCTTACCTGTAGTGCAGTCAAGCTGTCAAGCTTGTCAGAGACAAAGACAGAGAAAGAGAGAGAGAGAGAGAGGTGTTGCCGCTGCCGAATTGCCTGCCATCCTCCCCCATACCAGTAGTACTGCTGTAGCAATAGCCATAAGCAGACTGACGAGAAAGCACGACCTCGAGGCGCAGCTCAAGCGGCTCAAGTTTCAGGGTTGCGTTTCTGTTGCGTACTTTACTCCGTACACTACTTTTGGCATTCTTTCCCCCTGGGAAACTCCAGCGATTCAGCATCTACAAGTTCTTTCGGCTGTTCTTCTGGCGTCTGGCTGTCCTCTCCTGTCCTGTCCTGTCTTGTCTGTTTAATCATTGCTTGATATTCATCGTTTCCTGTATCATACCCGTACCGATACCCCAATAACCCCCCGATTCTGACAGCAATCATGGCTGGTCGCTTCGTGAGAGCCTCCAAATACCGTACGTAAATCGCTTCGAATAGCTTTTCTTCTCGCCGCGAGACACGGTTTCGATGCCAACGCAATTCTGACCCCCAATCGCAGGCCACGTCTTTGGCAAGCCGACAAAGAAGGAGTCATGCTACGACAACATTCGCATTAGTCGCAATGCCTGGGATACCAACCTGGTCAAGGTCAGAGCTCCTCCCGCGAACCCTTACCCTAACCTTGCCGCTCTTCCATGCGCCATTCCGTCTGACTTGACCGCTGACGACCTGATCGCATAGGCCAACCCCGAGTACATCTCCGTCAACTGGGAGGCGAGCGGTGGAGGTGCCTTTGCAGTCATCCCATTGAACGAGACGGGCAAGCTCCCCGACAATCTCCCTCTGTTTCGTGGCCATACCTCGGCCGTCCTCGATACCGACTGGTGCGCACGCGACCACAATATCTACCTTGCGTATAGGAATATGTCTATCTAACTCCCTTCAAAGGAACCCTTTCAACAACCACGTTATCGCGTCGGCTTCCGATGATGCCAAGGTCATGATTTGGGAGGTTCCCAATGCTTTCACCCTCTTCTCTGACGCTGAAGAGCCCGCCGATGTGTCCCCTGTCGCCAAGTTCACCGGCCACTCGAGAAAAGTTGGACAAGTCCTCTGGAACCCCGCTGCAGAGAACATCTTGGCCTCGGCCTCCGGCGACCTGACCATCAAGGTATGGGATGTATCAACTGGTCAAGCGGCGCTGTCTCTGAAGCACGCCGATATTGTCCAGTCGCTGTCTTGGAACGCCGCTGGTACCATGATGGTTACCACGGCTAGAGACAAGAAGCTGCGCGTATGGGATGTCCGACAGGAGAAGCCCGTCTCTGAGCACCAAGGCCACGAAGGTGCCAAGAACAGCCGAGCAGTCTGGCTGGGCGAGCACAACCGTATCGCCACCACAGGTTTCTCGAGAATGAGCGATCGCCAATTGGCACTTTGGGAGCCCGGCAACACCTCACCTATCGGCGGTTTCACTACCCTCGATAGCATCTCTGGTGTTTGCATGCCTTTCTGGGGTATGCCGCACCCCCTTCATCCTCGATTACTCGGAAGAATACTGACCATGGCGCAGACGATAGCTGTAGCTGCTTATACCTAGCTGGAAAGGGGTAAGTTGTCCCCCCCCTCTATGTTTATTTTCGCCACCCTAACATATTCGCAGTGATGGAAATATCCGCTACTTCGAGTATGAAAACGACAAGTTCGAGTTCTTGTCTGAGTACAAGTCCGCCGACCCTCAAAGGGGTATCGCTTTCTTGCCCAAGCGCGGTGTGAATGTGAGCAACTTTTTATCTAAGCTCGATAGCTACACATGAATATTAACGTGTGATAGGTGCATGAAAACGAGGTCATGAGAGCTTTCAAGACGGTCAACGACGCTTATATTGAGCCTATCTCTTTCACTGTCCCTCGTCGTGCTGAAACCTTCCAATCAGACATCTTCCCTCCCGCCACCGGTGGTAAACCTGGTCTCAGCGCTCAGGACTGGCTCTCTGGAAAATCCGCCCTTCCTCCCAAGATCGACTTTGAGAGCATCTACGAGGGAAATGCTCCCGTCGAGGTCCCATCCGACTACAAGCCTCCTGCTGCTACCCATGCGCCCGCTCCAGCACCCGTTGCCAAGCCCGCCCCCAAAAAGGAGCCTGAGCCCGCACCTGCTGCTGTGAGATCGCCTCCCCCAACCTTCAAGGACCAGAAACAGTCTATGGCTGCAGCCGCGTCCAAGTTCGAAGACGATGAGGAAGAGGAGGAGGATGATGGATCGAGCTTTGAGGAGATCTCAAAGCCCATTCAGCGAAGTTCCGTGCCCGCCGCTGCGCAGGCGCAAAGCAAGGCTCCGGCACCTACAAAGACTACTTCTGCGCCTGCCCCCAGAGCCGCGTCCCCTCCCATCAAGTCACCAACTTACGCATCTACGCCTGTCGCGGCACCAACTACATCAACTAAAGCAGCCCCTGACAATGCTTCAGGTGGAGTGGAGTCTAGCCTTGGTGAGATCAAGCAGCTCTTGGAGAAGCAGACCAAGATGATCTTGTCGCAAGGTCAGCAGATTATACAATTGACATCTGAGGTGGAAGGGTTGAAGAAGCGCGTGGGCTCTGGCTCGCCAGATCAGAGCGAGCGCATCAGGCAGCTAGAGCTGGAGATTGAGTCCCTCAAATCTTAGGTGCGATGTTTCTAAGCAGGAATCAATGCTTTTTCAGTTCCACTGTGGGCGGTTCAAGTCTTAGTATAGTAGTTTATCGAAAGACGAGATAGTCTGTGTATTGATGGACAGATGATCATGTTGATTGCAGGGGTGGGCTTTTTTTTTAATGTGTATCTTTAGGTTAGTCCGAAAAGGTGACCAAAAAGTTTAGAATTGCTGGATAATGGCGAGAATCGACAACTTTCTTGCGACCTCAAATACCTTTGTGCATATCTCAGGCTTGGGACCGCCATTGCGATAGTGGCTTAGCATCATAAAGAAATTGGCAGGCTTAACATGAAGAACGCCGCGCCCGAAATATCCAAGGCATCGCCACTACTCATATTGTGGAAGAGAGATTTTGAACAAAAAGAACTTGATTATTGTTTTCGTATCTTTACTCCAGACCTGGGTAATGACCGTAGTGGTATCATGTAGTGTAAAGTTGTTACAGCCATTGCATGTCTTCTAAAATCCATTTCCCCCTATTTTTACAACCTAGATTTTCCCCCCGTTTTTATGCCCTCGATCTCTACTCCTCCTCCTCGACGACCTGCTTCTGCGCAATGTAATACCTCTCGGAGCCCTTGTCGTCCTTCTCGTGCTCGAGGGCCACCTTGCTCAGGTGCGTCAGGATGTTCTCCATCATGGTGTCCTGGGCGCTCCTCTTCTTGCGGCCGAGGTTGTCGAGCTTGGACCAGCCCGTCAGCATGTAGTAGACGATGCCGATGACGATAACGACAGCGATAGAGTAGAGCCAGATGACGCAGATGGTGACGATGTCAGTAGCGCCGTCGGCGGACAGCTTGGACGAGATGGAGGCGGCCGTCTCGTGCGAGTTCCCGGGGCCGCCGCCGCTGAACCAGCCGAAGAGCGCAAAGAGCGAGGCCAGGATGTCGACGCCGAAGATGGCGCCCACGAGCTGCCACGCCGGCCGCGTCTCGAAGCCGCGCGTCACGAAGATGAGCCAGTTCTCGGTGAGGGCCACCTGGAGGAACAGGATCTCCTGGATGCCGCCATGGTTCTGGATGACGCCGCCGTCGGGGAGCCAGAGAGTGCCGCGCAGGATCCAGGTGCCGAGGGCCAGCAGAACTCCGAGGATGATGGAGATGATCCAGATCTTGGGCAGCTGCCACTCGACGGGCCGCTTCTCGTAGTGGGCGTTGTCGTACGCGACGGCGATGGTGGCGAGATCGGCGAACAGGGCGATGAAGACGATCAGGTCGGCGCGGATGGTCTCGTTGATGATCACCATGGAGGTGACGAGGTAGATCTCGAGATGCAGGCAGAGGGCGATACGGTACTGGATGTAGGCCTTCATGCGCTGGAAGATTTGGCGAGAGATCTTGATGGCGGACACGATGGTGCTGAGGCCGGGGGCGAGGAAGACGATATCGGCGGCGGCCTGGGCGGCTTCCGTAGAGCCTTCAACGGCAATACCACAGTCGGACTTCTTGAGCGAGGGTGCGTCATTGACACCATCACCTGTCATGGCTGTCAAGTGGCCCCTCTGCTGGAGCATCTCTACGACCTGATATTTGTGCTCGGGAAAGACTTCGGCGAAACCATCAGCTCTCTCACAGAGATCGTGAATCGAGGTGCCAACCATGTCAGAGTGGAGCAGCTTATCAGAGTTGTAGACCTTTGTGCCAAGAGCTAACATGCGGCAGGTTTCCTTGGCGATAGCAATGGCATCACCGGTCAACATCTTAACCTGGAGACCGAGTGCCTGAGCCTCAGCAATTGTCTGAGCGGTATCCGAACGGGGAGGGTCAAAGAGAGAAATCATGCCAAGCATCTCCCAAGGACCGTTCTCCTCCTGGACAGCGACAGCAAGCGAACGGAAACCACGGCGGGCTAGCTCAGAAGCCTTCTCGCGGAACAGAGCGGACTGCTCCTCGGTACAGTTGGTCAGAGCAAGCACAGCCTTGGGGGCACCCTTAGCGCAAGTGTAACGGACGCCCTGGTGGGTGCAAACGGCGGTGATACGCTTGGAGACGGGATCGAAGGGGGTAAATTTCTCAGTCTTCCAGCCTTCGCTGATGAGCTCCTTAGCCTTAGGGTAGCGCTTCAGAGTCAGGATGGTGATCTTGTCAATAGGGTCGAGATGCTTGATGTTGTGGGAAGAGGCAAGGGCCGCAACGGCCATCATCCAGTTGACGTCCACACCCTCCATAACAAACGGCTCGCGAACAGAGAGCTGGTTGGCAGTCAGAGTACCGGTCTTGTCGGAACAGAGAATGTCGACACCAGCAAGAGACTCAATGGCGGTAAGTTTCTGCACGATGGCCTTCTCCTTTGCCAAATACGCCGCGCCGACGGCTAATGTTGTGGTGGTGACGACCGGCAGACCGACGGGCACACCAATGATCAGAAGAATCAGAGCGTAGTGGAGCAGGGTCCGGGAGCTCTCTTGAGGAAGAGCAATGCGAAGGTTGCGGTAGAAGCCACCAATCCAGGCAATCAGAATCCAGAGGACGACAAGCACCAAGAGAGTCGTACCAATTGAGTTCATGATAGCCTTGAAGTGACCACTGTCCTTGGCACCCTGGACCAATGAGGCAGTCTTGCCTACGAACGAGGCCTGAGCACCAGAAGTGACGATACAGTAGGCCTTGCCTCTCTTGCAGCCGGTAGTGTAGTAGACAGTGTCAGTCATGTACTTGTCGACGGCGAGTGATTCACCAGTCATGGCAGACTGATCGACAGCAATGATGGCGTGGCCAATGTGAGGAGTGCCCTCCTCATCGTCCTCTTCAAACTTTTCACGGCGAGGAGAAGTGACATCCTGAGCATTAAGCTCGGCATTGTACTGGGCTTGTCCTTGAGGACCGGATTCGTAGTCGCAGACCAAACGAGCATCAGCGGCAACGACGTGTCCTTCCTCAATGATAAGCTGGGCTAGTTAGTATATAGTTCAGGATGACGGAGAAGTGAAATACGTACAATATCACCAGGAACAAGCTCTCTCGCGAGAATTTCCGTCTCTTGCCCATTTCGGACAACGAGTGCTTTCATAGCAATGTCACCCTTCAAACTGGCGACAACATCGGCAGCTTGCTTTTCTTGATACCAACCCACGACAGCGTTGAGCAGCAAGATACCAATGATGATACCGGCATCGAGCCAATCCTGAAGACCGAGAGCTAGAATAACAGCGACTTCCATAACTAGGAAAACTCGTTAGTTGCTGAATGTGAACGCATTTGAATGCAAACATACCATATAGAACGGGACCCTGGAAGAATCCGATGAACTTAAGCAACATGTTCTCCTTCTCGGTAGTCAACTCGTTCCAACCAGAGTGTTTGCGTCTCCGCTCCACTTCCATGGTGTTTAGTCCATCTCGAATATCGGTGGTCAGCCAGTCACTTGGCGTCTCAAAGCTGCTCAGTGTCGCGGAAGAATATCCAGCTTTGCCTCCTCTCCAAAACGCCCACCACGGACGTGGCTTGGCGTCTGCTTCGAAGTCTTCCTCTCCTGCTCCGTCTGTGGCGTGGGGGTCCCGGTAGGTGTCGACGTAGCGGACCAAACTACCCAATGTCAGCCGATGGTTCATTTGCTATCAAATTACTATGGAGTACTGGTTGAACTTACGCGGTGTACTCATCCAAGTACGGGTTGTCGCCATGGTTGTTACGTGGACCGGCCGGTTTGTCAACGTTGTTATTTCTCTGGGTTTCAGTCAAGAAGCTACCAGATTCCAAATCGGCATTGGCGGTCTCATCAATCGAAGGACCCAGGTATTCGGGCGCACCAGCACCCACACCGTCCTTGTGTTGCCTGAACATCTTCACCTTTTTAATATTAGGGGCCATTACACACGACCTGCGCTACAGACCAGCTGTGAAAGAAGAGAAAGAGAAAGAAAGCAGCGACGAAGCCGGGCCGCCTAGGAGACAAGAGAGGAGGACGGACGAGAGGTGAGAGGGAAGGAAAAGAATAAACCATAGTTCGAAGCTGAGTTTTCATATTACTTATAGAAAGCCATAGCTACCAGCGACAACGAAAGGCTAGATGCCGCCATGGCCAAGGGCTTGGCCGTTTCCTCTGAAGCAACTAGGAACTGTTAAAGTCTGCAGGGGAAGAGCTCCACCTCATCATGAATATTAGGATGGTTTTCAGTTGAATGCGAGGAGCTTCGAGAGCTTTTTGGTGCACTCGTGGGTTTTCATTCACGGCAAGGATACAACATGAGACGAGCTAGCCAATCAGAGAGATTGGGGTCCTATGTGCTTCTAGGGTAGTTCCGACATGATAATCACCGACGCGACCCGTCGATCAGTCTCAAGCGAACTATTCAGGTTACGCTGGATCTCTCAATAACGTGTCAAAAAAAGTCCCGCATATATGAAAATGCCTCAGTATGGACGAATGGGGCCGAAAGAAGGAAACAAAGAGGTCCGTGGGAGTCGTGAATTCCAGAGACACAAGACCCATATCATAGTTTCAGCACTCGTGGTATGAAACGAAGCCCATTGGGCGGCTTCAGGACAGCACGTGACCTTTTCGTACTTTTATGGGCTTGTCGCCATCTGCAAGGACCTATCAGAAACAGTAGATGGGAATTGATTATCCTGAAATGGACCCTTGAGTGTCCTTGTAGTACTCTGTATGGTACAAGACGCACTGGGGTCGCCAAGCTCGCCAAGTAAGATTTAATTGTGTCTGTTCTCGACGATCTCAACCAAAGAAATACTACCGCTAAATGAAAATAGATGCAGATCGACCATATCAGAAGCTGGTAAGATAGTCGACCTGAAAATAACGGCAGCACTGCCAAGTGCGTGTACGCGCCCAACTGTGACTGCACAATCATGGCCCTAGACTAGTAGTGACAAAAAGTAAACGCAGAGCAAGTGGAAGCAGGGCTTGAGAATACTGTACCAAGCCGCAAGTCAATCGATTGTCGAGACCGGGCGTGGAATTCGTGGCAGGGATTCAAGGTAACGCCAGAGTTGCCGCCGTTTTCACCAGCATGTCCTACGAGGCATTTTCAAGGTTGCAGGCCAACCATGGTAGTTGTGTCCGACTACGCCCGAGAGAAGGCTCAACCGAGACGGTCGAGAGTCATTGGAGGAAACACTAGACGGAGAAGAAACATTGCCTGTGCGCGCCGGTGCGGATGGATTATCTGAGTGCAAGGGAGGGTGTTGTATCGTTGTCGCTATGACCTCTCCCCAGCTAACCCATGCTGCCCAGCGCACGCCGGGGGCTGACCGAGATTGTTGAGCAACGGAACGAGATGGTAGACGAGGATTGTGAAGTCGCGGCAAAGATGGGATACCTGGTGGATCTTGAAATAAATTTGGCCGGGCTTGATGAAACGGGTAGAGGATCAAACGAGTGTGACCTCGGCGGCGATTTCTGACCTTGTCGCACCACGGGGAGAGTTAGCAGTATGCAGTGGACCCGAACGCGTCTGTGGCACTTTCCACAGCGGCGTTTGCCCTGTCTTGGGCTCCTTGGCCAAAACGAATGGTGAGTCGTAGAAGAAGCAGAAGCAGAAGTAGAACCGGATACGGACAATTGAAGGGACTGGTTGGCCTATAGCAATGTTTGCACACGGATCAAGCTTTCTGAAAAAGCACCGATCAACAGTACGGCCAAGTGCCAAGAGCATCACGGTAGTGCCAGTAACGTTTGGCCCTCGAGTTGATTCACTTGGCATCGGCAGTACACTCTGGGGAAGTGGGCAGGCAACCTGGGGGGTCCGTTGGACAGTAGGTAATCTGGGGATGGATGAGGAGCAACGTTCTGGAGATACTGTACTGGAGAGCTCGGGGTTAGATAGGCTCCAAAGCATAGGGCAGTGGCTCTTGCACGAGTGGGATCAATCAATCGACTTTGGCCAAGTGTAACATTTGTCTCCCGTCAAACAGCCAAACGTATACACGTTTCTGGCAAATGCAACAGCCATGGGGCGTCAGCTGCCTCTGTAAGCTGTAGCACATCTCAATGATCAAGATGGATAAAATACCGACAGGTTCCAAGGTGACCTAAGTTGTTGGAGCGCGAAGAATACTCCAAGTAAATCTGCTGTATGTGACACACTTTGAGCCCTTGCGTATTGCTGTGCTGTTGCCATGTCTCAAGCCGTTCTGGGACTAGACTAACCATAGTGTCATGTAGGGAAGGGACGTGGATGCGCTAACGCCCCACCTCAACTTGAGTTGCTTGCTGATAAGATAAGCAATAATTTTTGGGTTTGCTATCTCCTTCCAACTCACGATAGCACCGCACTGCCATTGTTGCACCCGCCGATTCCATACGCTTGACAACACAGCAGAGTGGAACAAAGCCCAGCACACATCACATTCCGTTCGCCCATCATGAAGAGAAAGTTGGATGTCAACGATGCCCCCAGCGAAGAGGTAGTCGAGACGGGGAAAACGGCGGCTGTCGAGCCCAGCTTCGCCGAGTTCAACCTTGATCCGCGCCTCCTCCAAGCCATCGCAACCCAGAAATACAAGACCCCTACCCCGATACAGCAAAAATGCATACCACTTGCCCTGGATGGCAAGGACATACTCGCAAAATCAAGGACCGGCTCGGGCAAGACCGCGGCGTACTGCCTGCCCATGATACAGTCTATTTTGAAGAAGAAGGCACAGAAATCCACACAAGCGACTGCATCGATCATCCTGGTCCCTACAAAAGAGCTCGTAGACCAGGTCTATACCGTCCTTGGAGATCTGACCACCTTCTGCTCCAAAGATGTTCAAATTGTCAAGTTGGACAAGGTCGCCGACACTGTTTCAAAGTCACTGCTGGCCAACTCTCCCGATATCCTTGTCGGCACTCCTGCCCAGATCTGGCACAACATCAAAAACTCATCTCTTACTGTTGAGCATCTTACCCACCTTGTCTTGGATGAGGCAGACCTTCTCCTTAGTTACGGCTATGAGGGCGATTTGCAAAGCATCTCGGGCCTGGCTCCCAAGGCCATCCAAACCATAGTCTTGAGCGCCACTTTGACCCCCGAGGTCGACACGCTGAAGGGCATGTTCTGCCGAGATCCTACCGTCGTAGACCTACAAGACGAGGCCGAGGATGACAAGTTATCCCAGTTCGTCGTCAAGTGTGCAGAGGATGAGAAATTCCTTCTCGCCTATGTCATGTACAAACTCCAGCTTATCAAGGGCAAGTCCATCATATTTGTCAGCAACGTGGACAGATGTTACAGATTGAAACTCTTCTTTGAACAGGTAAGACTCTGGCAAGGCGCTGTTTCCATGTCCCTGCTGACCCTTGCCTATAGTTCGGTATTAGAAGCTGTATTCTTAACAGCGAGCTCCCGGTTAACTCTAGGTTGCATGTTGTCTCTGAGTTCAACCGCAATGTGTACGATATCATCATTGCCTCCGACGAGAATGAAGTCATTGGCGATGAAGAAACACCAGACCAAGACAACGCCGATGCAAACGACGATGATGACGAGGTCGAGAGCAAGAAAGAGGCCGCCCCGCCAAAGAAAAAGAAGAGAAAGTCCCCCAAGGACACTGAATATGGAGTTTCTCGTGGTATAGATTTTCGAAACGTATCATGCGTCGTTAACTTTGATCTTCCTACCTCGTCAAGATGTACGTTCTCAAATTCCCTTTGCTATTCCGGGAAACCCCAGCCCGTAACTTTCTGCCACAGCCAGTGGGCTTTTGAGAGGTTAGACTGCTGGTCTTGGACACGTCCAGAACCCCGAACAATACTCCTTGTCGTGGGAAAATTTAGCTAACTGTGATTTCTTTTTCGTTAATCAGCTTATACACATCGCATTGGGCGAACCGCTCGAGCATCCCAAAGTGGCATGGCTCTGTCCTTCGTGATTCCTAAGGATCAGTATCGAAAACATATGCCGACCTCAGTCGAAACAGCCGAGAATGACGAGAAGGTCCTAGCCAAAATTGTAACACAGCAGCAGAAGAAGGGCAGGGAGGTAAAGCCATACAGCTTCGACATGAAGCAGGTCAATAACTTCCGATACCGCATGAACGATGCTCTGCGTGCGGTTACCAGCGTTGCTGTCCGTGAGGCTCGAGTGCGAGAGTTGAGACAAGAGCTTGCAAAGTCTGAGAAACTTAAGAGGTATTTCGAGGAGAAGCCACAAGAGCTGTCACATCTCGTACGACACGATACGGAAATGAGGACTGCAAGAACCCAGTCACATCTGAAGCAGGTGCCAGACTATCTTTTGCCGGAGGGGAAGAAGGCCATTACGGCGAATGACATTGGATTTGTGCCATTCAACAAGGATGGAAAGAAGAAAGGAAAGTCGTTCAAGGGTAAAGGCCGAAAAGTTGGTGGCCGCAGAGTCGATCCCTTGAAATCGTTCAGGGGGAGACCTAAGTCCAGGAAATGAGTAGCTACAATCAATAATATTTTATGGTCTTTTGTACCAATCTATGTCCCATGTTCCCTATCTTTCCTTCGTTCTATTCGTAGGCCCATAGGTCTTGATTACGATCAAATGTGACCGATCAGCGGCTCAAGACCTGATCAAGGTCCAAACCCCTTCTATTCTCGTTGTCGTGAAACTTTTTGGAGCGCCGAGCTAGCACAGACTTCGGCATCAGCATTATTCACAAGGCATTTTTCAATCAGTAAACATCGACTTGGACTGCTTCGGCCCAGGCTTTGCTCGTCAAGAACAAGTAGACAAAGCACTGATGATGACTCACGAGCTTCCTTGATCATACTCACACCAAGTCAAACACTCAACATCTCAAACTAAATACCACATCTTACTTTGATTTGGTGATGATGCCATTACTGGCGTCGTTGGCAGAACGGACAGTACAGAGACTATTATCTGCCCCCGCTATTCAAACTGGCGATCAAGTCTCGCGTGATTTGTTCGTTCTGTCATGAGCATTGTCGAGCACCTCTGTTCCCTGATTCCTCGATCTTGAAGGTACAAGAAAGATCATGGAAAAAATAGAGAGGAAATCAAGAGGGGGGTGTGGGAGGAAAAAGGGGGATAAACCATCATCAAAGTCAACCAGCGGTTTCGAACTCGAAACCTGCAAAAAAGAAGAGCGGCTGAGGGAGGACGGCTCAGCCAGGAGATAAGGATAATTCCTAGGTGAGCGGATAACCACTACACCACTGTGACCTGTGGTTTCGTGGATGTTAATGTGATCCTTTTTAATCAGGCTTATGTAGCCTTTGGTCAAGCAGGACAGTTTACTGTCCATCTCTGCAATATGCGGATGAGGCCGTGACTAGGTTTCGCTCCCCGGCGGTACGGCTGTGGCAGTGTTGAGAAGGTTTTCGGGGGCACACGATTTTGATGGAGTCTAACATGGCCGCCTCCTATTATCGGCCAGCTGCTGTTGTTATCAATTTGCATCATGTACCTTCGCAAGCTGGACAATGTATTGTCATATATGCCCGTGTGGAAGTAAGTGCGAGGGAATCCTCTATAAAGTGAAATAAGGTACTCGGGTAGATAGAAAAGTTGAGGGAATCCTCGAGGGAAAAAAAAAGCGTGCATCTCAGGGGATGGCCTTCACCTTTGCATAGACCCCTGGGCCACGAGGCGACCGTATATGAGCGTGTTTACCCGCAAGAGGGAGTTTCCTCCGTCATCTTGTCAAATCGCCCTCGGTCTTGCACAAGCAGGCTGCGTGTGTACACTAAATTTTGCTCATGAGAACACCCTCCTCTAATGTTAACCGTAGTAGAGAAAGGCTTGCGTGTCCGCACACTGTCTTGTTCCTCTTCTCTCCTTCACACTTTGCTGGATTTCGTCGGAGACCGCATTCTTGACCACAAAGGATTCCTCAGGATTCCAATTTTCAGCACCTTGCCTGTGAGACCTTGTTTCTCTGCCCGGACCTAGATATATCGGTCAGCATTGGCTTACTGCATGTTTTGCACTGGCCATGTGGGCTATGGGGAGGAAACAATCCGGTGGCATCCTCCATCAATTTGGACATGACACTGATGCTGAAGTCCGCAACGCTTTCTTGTCTTTCTCTTTTAATTTTTTTTTAATTTTTTTAATAATGATTACATCATACGGTAGCATCAAATCGTCAAGTGCACGCAATGTATTAGCTCAAAGTGATATCTCAGGTTCGCAACAAACGCGAACATCATACAAATCATGATACAGAAACTCAAGAACAGTGCAGCCAGAAAGCTCAATACAAGTTTGGTGACTTGGTAGTAAACGCCTAACCCCTTTCCGCACCCCTCCATTGACCATACAGCTTGCAATAATATTCTAGGTCTAACCCCCTTATCGCGGAGCTTGACCTTCTACGAAATCCAACGCCTGCTCGGTCGGCACACAATTGATATTGCTGTTCTTGTTCCTAAAAGTGACACCGTAGCACTTGTCTGCGACATGGACAATTTCAGGCCTGAAAGTGGTGCAGATGAACTGCGTGCCTGCCTCCTTAGAGATAGACTCTAGAAGTCCAGCGACGGCTGTTCGGTACTGAGCATCCAAATTGGCATCAACCTCATCGAATATGACCATAGGACTAGACTCTGTTTGTTGAAGGGCGAAGATCAAGCACAATGCGCACAAACCTAGTTTTAATGTTAGTCAAAATCATGAAAGGTGAGTCTCAACCTTACTCTTCTGGCCACCCGAGAGCTGCTGGATGCGCTGCTGCTCATCGAATTGTTTGGAGTTGAACGAAACGCTGATGCCAACACCTGTATAGTTCTCAACACTCCCACGTTGTTCCTCGTCAGTATCTTCAGGATCCATGCGGCGATCTGCCTTGCGTTGAATGACGAGACGACCGTGGCCTGCAGGCACAAGGCGCTCGAAAATAGTTGCAAACTCCTTGGACACTTGTTTGAAGGTACGCTCGATGGCCTCATCCTTGCGTTGATCCAGATGCTCAATTAGTTCCTTGATTGAGTCCTGTGACTGGTCGAGTTCCTTTCGTCTCTTGAGCAATTGATCTTGCTGGTTGGTGAAGCTATTGTACTGTTCAAAGGCCTTTTTGTTGACGTGTTTGTACTTCTTCAACGCATCATTGACCTTCTTGAGCCTTGAGGCAATCTTCGTATAGTTTAGTGTTGGATACTGATCATCATGTATGGCAGATGCAATGGACTTACGTTCTTCGACTCTAGTCTCTCATACTTCTCGAAAGCTTCTTCAGGCAACACGCCAAGGTCGCGGATATTCTTGGCGCACTCGGTCGCCCTAGTCGTGAGGAGCGCCTTCTTCTGTACGCTCTTCTCCAGTCTCTTCTGGTACTTCTGTATATCTTTTGCTAGCTCTTGCTGTTCGACGTCCTTGGCAGATTTTTGCTTCTCCAACTTGGCGATGTTGGATTCCGTGGTCTCGATTTCTTGCTCATTTTCTTTGATTCTTGCCTCAATTGAAGCAACAGCGTTTTGGGCCTTTTTGAGCTCACGTTGAGCTTCCTTCAGGTTTCCTCTACTACCGCCCGAGCTGGTCTCAAAACCTTGACTCGTCAACTGATCAAGCTTGAGCTGAAGATTAGATCGGAGCTCAACATCTAGTATCTGCTTACGGCCTTCCAGCTCGCGGCGGCCCCTGCTGATCTCCGTCCATTGCTTTTGTAGGTCCTGAACAGACTGGCCCAGGGTTTCCATTTGTTGCTCCTCGTCAGCTGTCAGGGCTTTCTTGAAATCAGAGGCCAGTTCGGCTTCGTGGGCCGCCAGCGTGTCGCTAAAATCCTTCATGTTCCTGTCAACAGCATCGCGACGCTTGATGGCGGCCTCGAGGCGGTCTTGCTCGCGGCTGATCTGGCTTGTCTTTGCGCTAAGCTCGACTCGAAGTGGGCCGTAACCATCGTCCATTTGACGAAGCTTTTGTTCACGTTTCCGGACCTCGCCTGTAGCATGGGTGACCTCTTGCTCCTTCTTCTCCATCTGCTTGCGGATGTTTTGGAACTCGTTCTGTAGCTGCTCATATTTGTTCCGCCACTCAGTAGCATTTTGCACGGCCTGAAGACGCGACTTGCGAGAGTCGATGAAACCACCAGTCATGGCACCTCGCTTGTTGGTCGTATCACCTTCTGGCGTAATAGCGTCACAGTTATGACTCCTGGCATACTGACCAGCGACCGTCAGGTTTGGGCATATGATTGTCCTTCCAAACACCTGCTGGAAAGCAGCATCGAACTCTGGGTTGTACTTGATCTTAGTTATGAGGGGGACAGCATCATTGGCTCGGGGCAAATTTGCTGGGCGCGAACGAAGCTTGCTCAAGGGCGCGAAAGTAACTCGCCCGCCACGAGTGCGTTGAAGAGCGTTCATAAAATATGTTGCCGTTTCCTCGCTGTCAACAACATAGTGGAAGAGACTCGCTCCAGCCACCTGCTCGACCGGGATACGGTATGCTTCGCTGACCTCCATCAACTCGGCTAACGTTCCATAGGCTCCAGGTATGTCGTTTTCTGCCTTGAGCCGCCTGATGGTCGCAAGACCACGAGACGTCTCACCATCCATGGTGTGGGAGAGCTCACGCTCAGCCTGGTCCTTCTCTCTGCGCGCATTTGAGAGAATCGTGTCCAGCTTGTCTTCTTCGCGTCGGAGCGATTTCCGCTCCTCTTGCAGTTTGTCAAGTGTGTCTTGCGCATCGGTTTTGTCATCTGCCAGTGATTTCCTGCTGTCGCCAAAGCCTTCGTTCTTGGCCCGCAAGTCAGCCACATCCTTTTCGAGTTGTTTGATGGAAGCCTCGATATTCTTGACCTCTTCTTCGGCGTCCAGACGGTTCGCCTTTTGCTGACTCAAGGTCATACTGAGATCATTAATCTCCTTTTTCAAATAGGCATCGCGCTCGCCCTTGTTCCTGAACTGGCTGCTCCGCGTCTGTTTTGTGAATAGTCGCTGTCTGCTAGCTTCGGCTGAATCCAGCTCCTGCTTGATCCTTGCCTCTTCCCTCTTTCTCTTCTCGTACTCAGGGAGGATCCTGGCCAGCTCGGTCTCTTTGGACGCAATGGCTTTTCTGACCTGATTCAGCTCGGCATCGTGTTGTTGCTTGGCTTGATCCTGAGCAGACATACTGTCGGAAAGACTCTTGACAGCCAGCTCGGCTTTAGCTCTTGCCTTTGCGCCATCCCTTCTGTCTTCATCCAACTGCCTGCGGTCGATGCGGAGCAGTTCCATTTGTTGCTGTAGCTTGTGTATCTCGGCATCGAGCTGAGCAATAACTTTCTCGCCGGCAGTGTAGGCCTCTCTGTTCTCGTCGGCATCCTCCATGCCGCCTTGCCTGGCATCATCGAGCTCTTCGAGAGCTTCCTGGACAGCAACCTGCTCTTTGTGGTAGTAGGCATACTCCAGACATCTGCGCTCGCGATCCTTGTCTTGGTAACCACGCAACTCTTCCTTCTCCTCCTCAAGCTCGGCCAGACGCTCTTTGATGTAGTCGAGCAACTCGTCAATCTTGCCACGCTTGTTGTCGGTATCGGTCATGATCTTCAGCGACTCAGCACGGCGAGCCTCGTATACTTGCGTACCGGCGACCTCTTTGAGCAGAGTCAGACGCTCGGATTCTCTCATGTTGGTGAGGGCGGTGACGCGGCCTTGTGGGACGATATAGTATGGGTTGGATTTGGAGAAACCAGCAGACTCCAGGAATTGGTTGACTTCTTTCAGAGTATTGACCTTCTTGTCAATGGAATACTCGTCCTTCTTAAGGCTGATGGTGCGCCGCAGGACGACCTCTTTGTGATCGGTAGGAAATCGGTTGTCGCTATTGTCGAAAATGATCTCGACGTATGCAGACATGACAGCTGAGCCGGAGCCCTCGTGGAGCAGAGCTTGGCGCTCCTCGCGACTGAGCTGGGTGTAGGCATCACTGAGGACGAACCGGATAGCCGCGAAGAAGTTACTTTTACCGGAGCCATTGCGACCGACGACAACGTTGGTGCCAGGGGAGAAGGGCTCAATGACCATTTGGTCCTTGTAGCTATGGCAAGTCAGCGAGGGGTGCAATGCGACGCGGCATGCGCGCGCGACAGGGACTCTGATGGACCGGCGTACCTCTTGAAGCCCTGGATGATGATCTGCTTGATATACATGATGCTGGCGGTGCTGCCAAACGGGCAGCTCGATTAAATCACAGTATCAGAATATCGGTCGCATGTACGTTTTTCAAGCAGAACCTCAGAGACCGTCGGTGATGCGACGCTGTTGCTGTCGCGTGGTAATCCAGTGAATGAACTGACTTGCAAGTGGGACTTGTGATACAAAATCACGAACAAACGCGTCCAAGTCGCGCGGGCTGAGCTGGGAATAGAGCGGGGAGGTTTTTTTATTTAGGTACGGATCCGTACGCCTTGCCCTTGGTAGCAGCCCAAAGCAAAGCACAGCTTCCATTTGAGGTCAGCTTGCGCCGTACGGAGTACAGATAAGTCATGTACTCCCGACTATCCAAAGCTTTGGTGGTGCACAGCCACAATGTCAATTGGCCTTGTCAGCTTGTTATTTAACCCCTGGGGCATGCTTGGGTTTAGTCTAGTCTAAAGGTTACCTGGGCAGATGTGGCTTCACAGTATAGGCACATATTGATTCTATATATATAATCACATTGTCCGCAACGCAACGACGAATCCATGCCTAAACACGCAATTTCGATCTGTTATCCAAGGAGCATATCGCACCTGGTTAATAGGTGATTGGCTGACAGTGCTTCAACTTCATAGATTCGGAATTATCCTTAATTTAGACTTGTAAACGCAACCAGATCTTTCTATACTGGGGGATAATTAATTACTACCTAAAAACTTGAATTCCGGTGCAGTCTGTGGCTGACTCCTGCGAAGAAGTGAGCGCAAGCTGTAATCACCTTTTGACCTCTTGTGCTGGGTAGTCTCAAGCTATGCTCTCGCTGAACCGCCGGGCGTGGTAACCCGCAATCGATAGATACACTTCAGAAAGCAACACGGACGAACCATACATCACGGTCCACTCTGTACATTGCGTTCCAGCTTCTGCGTTACTCCAACAATAGTAGAGCATAAGAACAATCATGTATGAAAGAGCTGCATCATTGCCTCTGAACCGCCGTGGCGTCGATGACGGTCCGGCCCTGAATTCCGTGGTCAAGTATTGCTCGTAGCCACACTGGCGTGGTATGGGCCACGGCAGCGCCAAGGGGCAAACATGAGAAAGGGGCCTTCTTTAGGAGGACGGTGGACACTTTAGAAGCAGCAGATAATACCCATTCGAAATTGCTTCTGTGATCAACGAATCTTATGTTGTGGGTTGCCAGCTTGAAGCCGATGAGGAATTTCGATATCCAGAAAGAGATCGACACGGTTGCATGACGAGGATCCAGGTTTGCTGTGCTCTGGCGCAACATTTGCTAGATGGATCCCTCGAATGCCGTGTAGGGGCGAAGGGTACCACCCAAGCAACCGTGCTTTCCCGTTCTGCCCGTGGTCCATACAATCCCTTTTTTCAATGGGCTTGGCATCAAAATGGGCTACTTGTATTGCCGGTACTCCGTAACATACCAGGTACGGGTCCGTACAGAGTTTGCAGAACGGCTCGCCTGTCCTGGTATCACACAGAATTACCTACAGTACGTATTTAAGTAAACATGTAAATCGTCTAACAGTAAAGTGGCACTCTGATCAGTAGCTACCGGCCAACGGTTTGGTTTTCCCCTTAACTAACCACATGGCCCATAGTAGTATGTCTTGTCTTGGTGATGGCGTTTGCCGGACTAGTTAGTGGGCATCCTTCAACGCGACCCTGTGCAAAGTCAAACTTTATGGGCCACCTCGGTTCTCCCAATAAATGAGAAGATCCCATGTTACAGTCTCTCCAAACTTTCTTTTGCTACCAGCGATTAAATGCCGTCGTCTTTTAAATTCAAAATTATCAAGATACCTATCTGTACTTGAGATACATGAATAGGACCCTGCCTGAGAGCCTTGTGCAATCCTCCACAGCATTGGGAATTCGAATATGACATGTCTTTTCGTAATACATAAACGCTTGCTGTGTATGTAGTGATAAGTCCTTCCTTTGCGTATTCCCGTTCCTTCTTCTTCATTGCCGTACGCGTGCCAGTTCAATGTTATCGCAACGGAAAACGGGGTTATTGTTTGATGGGCCAGGGTGTTTGGGAAGCTGCAAGGGTTCTCTTCAAACCTCCAAGCTTTCCTCGACACTTGCAATATCGGGTCGCATAGCCTTCTAGACGACATACAAACGAAGAGAAACCTGGAACAGTTACAATGCCCAAAAAGTTCCGTTCGTTCTGTCCTGGTGATTTAGTAACTCACCTCGCTTCCAAAGCTTCAAACAAATCTTGATGCATATCAAGTCCAGCAGGGCTGGCCATTTATACCCAATAGCCAAATGAAAAGACCAGATCACCAAGAAGGAAAAAATCTTGAATCGTCATTCCAGCCAAACCAGCTTTGCAAGCCACCCTGTCGAGGTAAGGCACTGGCAGCGGGCGTGCATGCGCTAAAGACGCTAGCGCGATTAAGCGAGAGCATGCATCAGCTCCTAGGGAACAAATTGGGGGAAGCGACGGTCTGGCTGGAGGTGCCAAAAGTCGTTGGCGGCCGGTGGCACGGGATCTGGTGGATCCACCCCTGCTCGAGAGCTTAGACCTGAAAAGTACTTAAATATGGGTAGACATATTAATGGACAGGCTCGCCCACTTTCGCGAAAAGTCATCAGACCTGCTGCAGGAGGGAGCGATTGACCGACCATCCGGCCAGCCTCACAAGCCTGCTGCAACAGGACACGCTTGTTAAATAAGCCAACCCAACCACCAATCCAATCCTCGCCCACTATTTTCGCCAGGATTGGGACAGTGCACTCCACAGTTGCCTTGCACCTCACCACACAAATCAACTGCGCGCGCATACATATACAATCACGAAACGCCGCCTAACTTCACCGATGCTATCGGATACATACATCACCGGCGACACATAATTCTTTGGGCTGCATCTCATCAGCCTTCCAAACATTCGTCAACGAAACCCGCATCTTGCATCCTGCTTGCATTACCGGGCGTTTTCCTGTTTCTTTACAGCATTGTTGATACGGCCGTTCTCCATTTTTATTTTCGGCATCCTGGCGCTTGGGACCTGCAGCTTATCGCCGAGTCTAGTCGCCTAATACTACTGAGAGTGACCTGGACCTGGCCCTTCAAACTGATTGTATTACTAGGTAAGTGCATTAGGCATAACCACTCTCTTTCTCCTCTTCTCACCTTTATGCCCTCCACTTCTTCTATAAATCCACCATGTCCCATTGCCAGTCTGGGCTACACAAGAGTTGTTTCGCGACTTTCAAGATATCTCCTTTGACCTGTAGTCTACATCGTCAATGATGAAATATTTTGAAACCTTGCTAGCCTCACTTCAGCTCACATTGCCACCCTGACACCACTTGGCGTAAAACCTCGAGATGTGTCCATCGCGACACTGGAAGCCAAGCCTAGGTTATATAGGCCGTAGAGCTGTCAGTCAGGCTTATAGTACACCCTGGCGATGTAATACACCGTTTGTACTTGCCACAAAGATTGCATTTTCCCGTTGTGTAGGATACACATCCTCAGTCAGGGTTTAGGCATCCGTTTTTTACTGTGTATTCACCACCATATCTGCGACTGTTACGTTGTTGTTCCTCGTTACCAAGACGCTTCTCCGCTTGCTTTCATGAGTCTTTTGGTACACAGTATATTGACAAGTTTCAGATTAACTGACGTCATGAACCTTCAATAGAGAAAGGCCCAAGCCTGTTGTGAGCTGCAGAGATGGCATCAAGGTAAGTTTCAATCGTTCCTTTTCCAAAAAAGATAAACTAAGTACTAACTTTTCCACAGACTGGATCGTCTCGTGACGTAAGTTGACAGATCCTCCCTCTCACACTACTTTCAAATATTTTTATTCTTTTTTTCCAATGGCTTCGTCCAGTCAATTTACGATTATGAGCCATGCAGGGTGGTTTCACATTGTTTGTTCCGGGCACTTGACCAAAAGAGATTGCGTTTGCACTATAACACGGGCTAATTGTATAACAGGATCCTAGAGACAGGCAGCACAAAGCTGATCAAGGACACGGCTGTTAACCAGCTTGCGGATTGGCAAAAACAGCACCCAGAGGAACTGTTCAACCTTCTTTCCAGAGTCGTACCGTATCTTCGCCATAAAGATTGGGATACCAGAGCGACTGCTGCTAAAGCTATTGGAAAGATCGTTGAAAATGCTCCTTGCTATGATCCAAATGAGAGCGAAGTCTCTTCGTCTACTAAGAAAGAAGAGCTTACTGAGAATGGACATATCAAGAAGGAAGAGGAACCTGAGGTTACCGTAACCTCTGACTTGTTCAAACTAGAAACTTTGGATGTATCAATGATCCTCAAATATGGACGAGAGCTGCTCAGAACAGGGAGTGTCGATCTTGGACTTGGTAGCCTTGAACCGCAATCCCGACTTGCCCACCAAAAAAAGACTCTCTTGGGGCGCCTCGGTCTATTGGGCCGGACGTTCGAGGATGATGAAATACCCATTCAAGTTGAGAAGTCAGCCAGTCCTATGACACCACAAGACTCCTCATTAAATCAGAATGGATTAGCTCGTCAAGAGAGCATGAACGGCTCTAGCGTAGGTCAAACATCCGACGAAGCGGGTTTGAGTGCACGCCAAATCAATCAGCTTAGACGTAAGCGGAAACGAGAAGCACAAAAAGCCGCCCAGGGTAAGGGCGGCTTTGGTGATCTTTCAATAAGACGCTCTTTCACAGACAAATCAGACATGGACGACGCGCCCATGCCCGATAATGACTCGAAGAAAAATGGCAAATCAGACTACTTCTCTTTGGAGCGTCCTGACAATATTGACGAGGACAGCAAAGTCGTTTCTGAGTTCAAGGGTCCCGTCATCCCCATCAAGTCGGAGATCGAGACTGAAGACGAACTGCAGGGTGCCGAATGGCCATACGAACGACTATGCGAGTTCTTGAAGGTCGACATTTTCGATCCCCAGTGGGAGACGAGGCATGGTGCTGCACTAGGTCTGAGAGAAATCCTGAGAGTCCATGGTGCCGGGGCTGGTCGGTTGAGGGGGAAGAAAAGAGCAGAGAATGACTTCTCCAACCAGCAATGGCTTGATGACATGGCATGTCGTTTATGCTGTGTTCTCATGCTTGACAGGTTCACAGATTATGCATCCGATACGTCCGTTGCTCCTATCCGAGAGACAGTCGGACAGACTCTGGGCTCATTCCTGAAGCATGTTTCTCCGGAATCCGTGTATAGCATATATCGTATTCTCCACCGCATGGTCTTGCAGCAACAGGATCTGGGACTCGACCGCCAAATCTGGTCAGTCTGCCACGGAGGCATGGTCGGCTTACGTTATGTCGTGGCTGTGCGAAAAGATCTTTTACTGCAACACAGTGACCTCATCGATGGTATCATTCAAGCTGTCATGAAAGGCCTTGGCGATGCTGATGACGATGTGAGATCCGTCAGCGCCGCAACCCTGATTCCTATGGCTTCGGAGTTTGTCGCCATGCGCCCAGCAGTTCTGGACGAGCTTATCAGCATAGTATGGGAAAGCTTGTCCAGCCTCGGCGATGACCTGAGTGCCAGTACAGGCAAAATCATGGATCTTTTGGCCACTCTCTGCGGCTTCCCTGAAGTCCTCGAGACCATGAAGAAATCTGCCCAGCAAGATGAGGAGCGCTCTTTCAAGGAACTGGTACCCCGTCTTTATCCGTTTTTAAGACACACAATTACATCTGTCCGACTTGCAGTGTTGAAGGCCCTTATGACTTTTGTTCATTTGGGAGAGGAGTCGCTTGGATGGTTAGATGGTAGGACTTTACGCCTTATATTTCAGAATCTTTTGGTCGAGCGAGATATTGCCGCACTTCACATGTCCATGGATCTTTGGTTAGCACTGGTTAAGTGCTTAAGCCAAGATCCCGAACGCCTTTCACAGGAGTTCCTTCCACACATCGACGCGCTTATGCAGCTCACATTACATCCTGTTGGTATTTCACGGAATCCCATTCCTATGAATGGAGCCTTATTCCAGAAGCCTTCAGGAGGCACTTACTCTGTCCTTGGCTTCATGCACCAGTCTTCACGAAAGGGATCGGAACCTGATGGCGAGAGAGCAGCGAAAAGGCGAAAGAAGTCTACCAAGGTGGATGAACCCCCCACCACCTCTCACTCACACGACCTAGATGGCCACATGATGCAAGGCGATGTGGATCTCGTGGGTATGGATACTCTGGTCCGATCACGCATCTTTGCAGGCAGGGCCATGGGTTACATAATGTCACTAGTGCCTGTGTCCAGGTTGGAAGCTTTTGACGCAACTCTAGTGCCCGGGTTTACATCGTCATACTCATCAACACAGCTGTCTGCATGCGTCATCATCGACGAATATGCCAAAAATAGCAGTACAGCGGGCACAGAACAGAGATACGTCGATGAGCTACAGAAGATTATCGACTCTGAGCGACCTTCCCACTACCGTGACCTTGTCAGCTATGTGCAGAGAGTTCGCTCGCAATGCTCACAATTAATTAACCTATTCCGAGACCACGGCAAGGTCTCCCAAAGCAAACTACCCACCCTACCTGTGGTCGTCCAAGGCGAGGCGGAAGCTGGCCCTAATGCCTTCTCGATATCTATCGCCGAGAAGTGCGTTGGTGACGATTATGAACGCCTAAGAAAAGCCATGGCGCCTGCTCAGCGACTTATCACTACCACCGATCTGGCAGAAGCCAGGAAGTCAACTGTTTCGGCAATCCAGGAGGCAAAGGTGGCCAAGGATGGTCGTGATGTCCGCGTTAAGGCTGCTGCCGCTTGTGCGCTAATCGCAATGAAGATACTGCCCAAAAAGCCTAGCCCACTCATCAAGGGTATCATGGACAGCATCAAGCTCGAGGAGAACTATGTTCTCCAAGTTCGATCTTCCGAGACAATATCTCGTCTTGTACAACTCTTTACTGAGAAGGGCCGACGAGCTCCTGCAGACAAAGTCGTCGCCAATCTTGTCAAGTTTTCCTGTGTTGAGGTAGCCGAAACCCCTGAGTTTCCTGTACACGCCGCCAAGACAAACATCGTTCTGTCAATGCAGAAGGAAGAAGACCGCGTCGATCATGATGACCCTGAGAAGTGGGCTCGTGAAGCAAAAGCCGCACGTATTACCAGGCGTGGTGCAAAGGAAGCTTTGGAGATACTGTCCCAGGTCTTCGGTGCTGACATCTTTGATATAGTTCCGAGCCTGAAAAAATACATGGAAGAACCGCTGATCGCGGCTTTCTCTGGTGATTTGCCCGCTGATGCAAGGAACCCTGACCTTGCGCTAGGCCAGGAGATAGTTGATGCCATGTCAGTCATCCGCACTATGGCGCCAACTCTGAACCCAGGACTGCACTCGTTCATCATGCAGAAACTACCACTCATTATCAAAGCGCTTCATTCAGACTTATCTATCTATCGCTATATGGCCGCCAAGTGCATTGCAACAATTTGCAGCGTGCTTCCTGTCGAGGGCATGACTGCCCTTGTTGAGAAAGTCTTGCCGTCCATTAACAATCCTATTGATCTTCGCTTCCGGCAAGGCGCAATCGAGGCTATCTATCACTTGATCGCGGTTATGGGAGACGGTATCCTGCCCTATGTCATCTTCCTCATCGTTCCAGTTCTGGGACGCATGAGTGATTCCGACAACGACATTCGTTTGATTGCAACAACGTCGTTTGCAACGCTGGTCAAATTGGTACCCTTAGAGGCTGGCATACCGGATCCACCTGGACTTTCTGAAGAATTACTGAAGGGCAGAGACCGGGAACGCACATTCATGGGCCAACTCCTCGACCCAAAGAAGGTTGAGAACTTCACTATCCCTGTCTCAATCAATGCTGAGCTGCGTTCTTACCAACAAGATGGTGTCAACTGGCTCAACTTCCTCAACAAATATCACTTGCATGGTATCCTCTGCGATGATATGGGTCTTGGTAAAACGTTGCAGACTATCTGCATGGTCGCAAGTGATCACTACAACAGAGCCGAAGAATTCAAGAAGACCGGTGCGGCAGACGTGCGGAAGCTCCCGTCGCTCATCGTCTGCCCACCTACACTTTCGGGACATTGGCAACAGGAGTTAAAGACATATGCACCATTCCTGGCCGTAACTGCTTTCGTGGGTCCGCCTGCTGAGAGGAGACTCAAAGCGGACCAGTTCGCTACGTCAGACATTGTGATCACTTCTTATGAAGTATGCCGTAACGATACCGAATATCTCGAAAAGCAAAGTTGGAACTACATTGTGCTGGATGAGGGTCATCTGATCAAAAATCCCAAGGCTAAGATCAGCGTCGCGGTCAAGAAATTGCCAAGTAATCATCGACTGATTCTCACCGGTACTCCTATCCAGAACAACGTGCTCGAACTCTGGTCTCTATTTGACTTCTTGATGCCTGGCTTTCTTGGTACAGAAAAGGTCTTCCTTGACCGGTTTGCAAAGCCTATTGCTGCCAGTCGTTTTAGTAAGGCATCATCAAAGGAGCAAGAGGCTGGTGCTCTTGCGATCGAGGCACTCCATAAACAAGTGTTGCCATTCTTGTTGCGTCGTTTGAAAGAAGAGGTGCTAGACGATCTCCCCCCCAAGATTCTTCAGAACTACTATTGCGATCTTAGCGATCTGCAACGCAAACTCTTCGAAGACTTCAACAAGAAGCAAGGTACTAAGATTCAGGAGGTGGCTGGTCGTGAAGACAAGGATGCAAAGCAGCACATATTTCAGGCTTTGCAATACATGCGGAAGCTGTGCAACTCCCCTGCGATGGTTATGACCCCTGCCAACAAGCTGTACGAGGATACACAGAAACTCCTCGCGAAACAGGGCACAAGCATTGACGATCCTGTTCATGCACCGAAACTCACTGCGCTCAAAGATCTCCTGGTCGATTGCGGCATCGGAGTTGAAGGCACAGAGTCTAACGATCCGTTATACCAGCCTATCAAACCGCATCGTGCCCTTGTTTTCTGCCAGATGAAAGAAATGCTCGACATGGTTCAGAATACCGTTCTCAAACGCATGTTGCCATCTGTGTCCTACTTGCGACTTGACGGGTCTGTGGAAGCCAACAAGCGTCAAGACATCGTCAACAAGTTCAACAGCGACCCATCTTATGACGTTCTCCTCCTCACTACAAGTGTTGGTGGTTTAGGCCTTAATTTGACTGGTGCCGATACGGTCATATTTGTTGAGCATGACTGGAATCCTCAACGTGATCTCCAAGCCATGGATCGCGCTCATCGTATTGGCCAAAAGAAGGTTGTCAACGTGTACCGTTTGATCACGAGGGGTACTTTGGAGGAGAAGATCTTGAGGTAAGTCAAACCCCTGGTAATCGAAGCACGCCCACCTTATACTAACATGGTTCACAGTCTGCAAGCTTTCAAGATTGATGTCGCCTCCACCGTCGTGAACCAACAAAACGCGGGATTGGGTACCATGGACACAGATCAGATACTCGACCTCTTCAGCTTGGGCGATGCAGGGCCTAGCCTCATATCCGACAAACAGAAGGATGGCCACGAGGGACGCGAGGAGGACATGGTCGATGTTGAAACGGGCGATGTACGTGCACCGGGCAAGAAAGCCTGGATCGATGATCTGGGCGAACTCTGGGATAACCGCCAATATGAGGAAAGCTTCGATCTGGATGGATTTATGAAGACAATGCAGTAGGACGAATGGTATGATGCCACAAGAAATCAACCTTGAAATAATTATAGTTTAACTGCTCTGCGGGATCTGAGGAAAGGCACTTGAACCAGGAGATGGAGTTGCCTGTTGTACTGTAGCATTTTGACTCATACTGCTGGCAGCAGGCTTCACCAAAGAAGTGGCTCTGGCCAAGGCGTAATGCGATTGTCTTTTGCTTACTGGTCGATGGATCAGCAGCTTTGATTTCATTATACAGAATACAATGACCCAAATGCAACTTCCTGTAGTAGACAGCTGAGTGGTGAACCAAGCCGCATCTGACTCCAGGTGTACGAATCAATGAACCTCTTTGATAACAGATGGTTTGAGCAAGCGATTGGCTGGCATAATTCGGAAGGTTGCAATAGTGAATAAGTGACAGAACCTGTGGGTTTCTTTTCATTCGCTTATTGATATGCTTAAGTCCAGTGGGTATCCCTATCTCATCCGAGGTCAACCATACTAAATTGGGGTTTTAGCGGCTGAGGTGCATGATATTTCAAAAACGAGAAGAAGAAAAAACAGAAGAAGAAAAAAATTAATGTCCAGAGATTGTTATAGTTCTGCAGCCAAAAACAGCAAGTGGCCAAAGCGCTGTGCACTAGCGTGGCTTCTACGCCAGTGAGACTCAAGCCCGACTATGGTAGACTAGGTTGCAAACATATCTATAGCTGAGAGCCTAAGACATGAGCACAACGACTTTTGTATGATACATTAAGACTACAACATCTGTTCCATCAGCCGTAACCATTTGACGGTCTGGTAAGCTGACCGCTAAGCCGTCTTACCGGAGCTTTGTTTGTTGAGAATATTCAGCACGTTATTTGCTTTAAGCTCCAGTGCAGGCGCGGGTTTGGTCAAACAAAGATTGCTACAGGGCTTCAATTAGAGACCTTGGAGGTCCTGCAGCATGAACTGTAGCTCGTGTGTTCAATTCATCCTGCGGTCTCTACAGTGACATTTTGACAAATATTTTTGCAGTGTTACGAATAGAACAGACATCAGGAAGAGAAGCCATGAAAGACATTTTGCCATATCCCAGCTTATTGCCTTTTTACTTTTCTTCCCGCTCGCTAGGCATCTGCATATTTTCAAAGACACGCAGTGCGCTCTTCGTATATGATGTGACATACTACCCACCAAGCTGTGACGTTATGTGATTATACTATCTTGGAAGCTACTCAAGTAAACATAGTCATCATGCACTGCGCTCGAAAGGATCACACCAGGCACACTAAGCGCAACAGGCATCAGGTAATTCCCTTCGGCAGCCGTAGTATCACATTGTACTCATCTCGATTGCCGGTATAGGCACAAAGTCGACAGATAGAAAATACAAAAGTGAGTGGGTTTGGTGGCAGAACATTGAGTTCAGCCCTGTCTCATATGTAACCAGTCAGTCATCACAAGAATGGTTTAGCGAATACATAGTAATGATTAGCTGGGCTGTGTGTTATAAGATAATTTGTGGTGCTACAATTGCCTTCGTTTTGAAATTCCTATGGGATATGGGCATATGTTAAACAAAGGACAGGCGGATATCAGGAAGCACAGGACGACGGGATCTATGGAGGAACAGGATTCAATTCCAAAAGACTTCATATTTTCGAAGAAGTCAAGATGATAGATAACTAAGAATAACACAAGTGGAAGATGGACTTTAGCATATGAAAAAAAAAAAAAAACCTGTCCCTACAGCAAAATAGGAAAATTAGGTCTAGAATTTATAGTCTCAGGCCTCCGTAATTCTCAATCATTGTTCATAAAGCTTAGAGAACAAGAAATGGGTATCATCATTGACAATCTGGAATGCTTACTACTAGGCCGCGATGCCAGTCGTTATGTTTCGTGGTTATTGCTCTAGATTTACTAATGAATCTTGCATGCAAGCCTCTCCACATTAATTCAGATCACCTATCACAGGTTTTGATAGTTCTCAAAATGTCCCTTGGACTACAACCAACCGTCTTGGTATGTTGGTATTGGCTGTCCATCTATGAAGCAAGCCAACGATTACTACCAGCAACCGTCCCTCCAACCAGAATCATCAGGTTTATGTTCTTGCTCTGCAAACTTGGACTACGATTGATATTCTTATGTATGATGAGGAGACACGAATGCCGCTTCACGACTGACATATTGACGGCTTTGTCTCACAGAAAGATTCCAAGCCATATTATCTATTTGTTAGTGACACTCATGTCATTCATATTGATGTACCCACCATCGCCACCAAGACACTGCTAGACTTGAACTTCGTTTGTTCCTATGCTATGCTAAGAATTCTCCTGATAATACCATATTGAAAAATCTCTGCGGTGTACATGTGTAATGAAATGTGTTCCGCTAAGCCATCAGCCTGAATTTGAAACATCATCTTACTGCTGAGGCACATTAGCTAGACGAAGAAGTATTTCAGCGACTGGTGTAGCGTCTTGCGTCGCGAAGGACTTCCATATAGTTCTGAAGCGTTTGGGAAGTAAATTTTGGCTACGTGAAATGGGGAGACAACCTGAATCGAGTAATAGTAGAGTTCAGAAGACATCTCGTTCCCAACGAAGAGGTGTTCTAGCTCACCATTAAAGCGATGTAGTGCTACCCTTTCCCGGATGAACACCAGAGGAGAGACAAGAATATGGACAGTGTGAATATCTTTTTGTCTAGTATTGTAGAGAATACTAGCTGCGCATAGTCTGGCATTATCGTCGGTCATTTCCAAAGTATTTGTCAGATGGATAGGGAAAAAGCGACGCTGTCTCGCTTTATCGCTTCGAAGTGATGACTTCCATAGAATTATCCCCTCAATTACCACATGTCATCAGCCACGAATATCGTGTCATTTTCTAGAACGTCTCCATCACTCCTATCACCAGCCACGAACATCCTGCCATCCTCTAAAACCTCTCCCCCATCTATTAGGATCTTGACCCTGGCCAGCTTGTAACCACCCTCTAATTCCAATAGTGCCCCAAGCGCACGAGGAGTAGGACACTTCCAAACCAAACCCTTAACAACGCCCCCTTCCCTGAAATCAGCGGTAGGTACGACGCCCTGCTGATGGACGACCGCGACACCTTCAACACGAGCCTCGCGAAATGCGTGTGGTCCTGGCACCCCAGTCACGCCTGTCAAGATGTCCTTGTCTCTGAGGATGCCGTAGAACATAAACCACAAGGGACGAAAGGTCAGCATCTCATTAGTTTCGAGCACCGATGGGTCATTGTCGACGTTGTACGACAAGAGACTGGCCGCGGTGTCGAGCTGCTTGCCGCGGAGTGTCGTGGTGTAGCCAAGCAGGTCGAGCGTGGCGAGATTGCAAGGCTCCTTCGCGGCTAGATATGCCTCTACATCGGCGAAACCCTTCTCTTCGGCCTCGAGCTCAAGACGAGATTTCATGGCGAGGGCTTCTACAGCTGTTTTGCAACGTAGTGGTGTATCTGTGGTCCGAAAGTGAGAGTGTGGGAGGGCATCAAGAGATAGAACTTTATTGAACGAGTTCATCATAGATTTGTGATAGCTGCGATTTGCTACTGTGAAACGCTATCGTAGTGGTTGTTGGTCTTAGGTCCTCTGATTGGGGGCTTTTAGTGAGGTGTCTTGGAAGCGGGCAAGTGTTGCTTATATATTGGCACCTGCCTTGGGAGGATCTCAGGTAGACCCATTTGTGCTGTGAAACAAACATATAGTTGATCAATTGCCATACAACTCTGGGCAGTTGTATTGTCTCCAGGCCTATTGAGGACACCCACAAATAAGCTTGTATATGAAGACACACCAGATATAGGGGCAAAGCAAAATGACACATGAGTCTAAACAAAGGACGAGAATTTGCACAAATTGTGGCAAGTGAATTGTTATTTTCTGACCAAATTGCTCAAGTGAATACCACCAATACTCCTGGTACAAGGTACCTCACGCGGCATCCTTGGCAAGCAGATCCTGAACTCTCTTGACCTTGTCCTGAGCAGATTGTTTCTTATCCGTCCTGGTATGTGTCAGCTAAATACTCTCTTTCAAGGTGGTATGCAGAGCGAACCCACCTTGTGCCAACCCTCATACTAGATTGCACTCTCACCACACCGTGCTGATGTACCAGACTATGTGCCTGTCCAATGACTCTGAACACTTCATCCCAAGACCCCTCTGCCAACATCGTTAATATTCAGTCTTCTCAAAGTTCATTGTACAAAATAGTAGAGGCATCAACATACCAACGGTAGTACCAGCGGAATGCATAGTATACTGCAGCCCACTTTCCTTCAGCAGTCGCTGGACCCCAGCTACCTCCTCAGCCACAGAGGCGCTTCCTGTGCCGACCTTGCCGATGTCATGTCAGACCACTACTCATATTCATATACACAAGATCCACAGAGATTGGTCGCTCCCGGCACGGGGGCGCGCAATTATACTCTCCGTGCGGCCCCCCTGACATAGCGATTATTGATAGCAACCCCACACAACCGTCTTACATATCTGCGAAAACCCCGCAACCCATCTCTCATCGTTATGATTAGGTAGGGTAGGCCATAACTTACAGGAATGAGGCAGAAGTCAGCGTAGCACCGATCCGGCGTCTTGATCGTGCTGTAGTCCATGATGCCGAGCCGTCTTTTCGATACACAAGCTCTGATGGTGTGGGTGCCGGATATCCTGGTCAGGGCGGGGCGGAACATGAGATGACGGGGAATTTCAAGATCCTTGGCTGTACACTCAAACGATAGTACTAAGTAGAACTTTGACGAACAAAAGTCTTTGTCACCTGGAAGGACTGCCTTTCAGGTCTCTGAAGTCTAGCGTGGCTTCGACGTATTGTGATGCGTTGCCTGATAAGATTTGATGAGGGCGAAGGTGATGAATTGCGGGTTCGGACAGAACGATCTGGCCCCACTCATTAGAGGACCTGACGTATGGCGGTTGCGTTGCACTGGAGCTTCTCATTTAAGAATGCATCTGGCTTGGAAAGAGCCACAAGTTCACATGACAGAGAATCGGGAACGGTTTGAACATATGATTTGTATAGTATCAGATTCCATTTGTCTTAGTTGTCTGAATCGAGCCTAGCTATGAACTGGCTCTTCTACGAGACCTTGTATGTGTGTTGTGTAAATGCAATGATGGAAATGGGCGCTTTCCTACCCAGTTGTATGCAATCCCTAGTCATCCAGATGCTGTAACGCCTTCGCTATGCAGTAAAAATCAATCCACACGAATTGCCGAACATGGCTCCATCTACAACAACAAAGCAGTACCAGCCAATGTGGCAAGCAAAGCGCCTAACCCAAAGCTAGAGTTCTGAAATTTTGAGCCTGCGCCAGAGCTTGTGCTAGAATCTGCGCTTGAAGCAGTCGAACTGCTGTTTGAGCGGCCAGTAGCCGTAATCCCGTTCATGTTATCAGCCGTGTCAATCGCCGGTCCTTTGTTAAAGAAATCGACCAAGACGAAAGTGGGTTTCTGACCCCACTCGCTGTTGCAAGTCTTTGCATGTAAACCGAGAGCACCCGTGGTAGATGTCGAGTCGCTGTTGGTGGTGTCAATGTCGGTTGCGTCCGGAATCTCATAAGAGAGAACCACGGTATAGGCAAAGTGGTTCATCAGCGGCAGCATGCCTGCTGAGATGGCCGAGGAGTAGTCACTGTAGGTCGAAGGGCGGTCCAGCGTGCAGTTGAAACCCGAAAGGGAAGTGACTTCGTAAGCAGTCTCGAAGACATAGTCCCACTCGTTCAGCAGATAAGAGTAGGTAGTGTCGGCCGTGTAAGATGCGATGAAAGTGACCAGACGAGTATCGGCGGAGATCATCTCAGAAAGTGTAGGCCAAGAGCTAGTGCTAGTTGGCGTGTAGCCGTATTTGTCGATGCCCGATGATTCGAAAGCGGCGCCGAAATCCGAGCCGTTAAAGCCGTCCGAGTTGACTATGAGCAGAGTAACAACGTCGTCGACGTTGTTGTCCATCCACTCTTTGATAACAGTGAGCCACGACTCTAGCGAACCAGCATCAAGAAGATCGCAAGTTGTGTGGCACATTTCGATGGTATCGTTCAAATCGTGGACCTGGACCTGCAACAAACGTAGACCATTATTCAGCGCATAGGTGGCATTGAGGTACTGGTTTCCAGCAACGGAGTTGTCGGTACTGTCATCACGAAGGAAGGACGAGTCATGAGCGCCCATGTGTGTTACGTTGTCATACGTCCGTGAGCAAAGATCGGGGGAGTTGTTACAGGCGGTCCCTGAAGCAAGTGATGATGCCGTCGCGACTGTCGATGATGCCGTACTGGAGGATGCTGCCCAACTGGAGGCTGCCGTTGTTGTCGTCGCCGCTGCTACAACTGAGCTACCACTGCCTTCATTGCCACTGCTACCACTGCTGCTTCCACTATCACCTCCCCATGAACTACTCGAGCCACCCGAGCCTCCCTGGCTAGCATCTGAGGAGCCACTCCAGCCTTGAGGGGATGCGTAGGCTGTGATCGACAGAGCGGAAGCAACAGTCAAGATCTTGGATAATGAAGGGAACATGTCGGCGGATAATGTGAAATAAGAAATTTGAGAATCGCAAGAGTGTTGTATACGATTTCAGCAATGCGATAAAAGCGAATGTAATGCTGAACGAGAGAAGATTGAAACAATGGATAGGAGAGATATCATCCTACCTTTTAACACAGTGGTGTGGACTAGCCATCTCATATATTGTACTTTACCCACAGCGATGATCCATGACTAAACGATCGCATGTCAGGCATAAAAGAGCAGAAGGTTGGCTAGAACCCATACGCCGCTCCGGCTTAGCCTGTTGCTGCGTATGCGATGATCATTGGGTCCTTGGTCGAGGCCGTGGGGCAAAGCTCCAGCTTTTCTCACCCTAGCAGCAAAACCAGGGGAGGCTGAGTTCTTGCGGCGACGTCAGCAGTGAGGTTTCAGAACGTAGCCAGTACGCCAGACGCGCGGTGTTGCCATGCTGCAAGGCCCAGAAAATATTCCAATCAGGTCCCTGACGAGCATTCCCTTCGTGAGCAAAGAGGGAAACTTTTCCCAATTCAGATGAACAGCATTGATGGTTTTAATGCTTGTTGCGTGGGTTGACGCTGAGCCCAAATGCCGAACAGGCGACGGCCCTAGATTTCGGGGGTTCCGCGTCGATGGCCGCGTCAGTTAGAACTATTTCTGTTTATTCGTCCCAAGAGTGATATGTTCAGTACCACGGAGGATGTTATGCATCGCGAACAGTAAGCTCCGGGGTTTTGTAATGGGACCTGCACAATTTGCAAAGTTTTGTCGACTTTCTAGTGCCCGCGTCCGCCTTGCTTATTGTTACTCTGCCAAGAAAGCGCAGCCATGGCTCTGGAGTTGAGGCTGGAAACACTGGATCCAGGTCGAGTCAATTTGGTTTACTGGCAATGAAACGAGCTTCATGAGCCAGTGACTAAGGGTAACAGATGTGATGTGCATCGCCACAGGATTGTCGTGTAGTTCCGACAAGTGATAATTGAAAAGGGGGTGATCAAGGTTGTAAGGCGCAGTATGGAGGTACATAGCTGGGTAGTGCTCGTGTTGATTTTGGTCAGTGGGCCCCCAACCAGCGACGTTTCTTCAAGACCCACCTACTCCGTGCGGATCCGTAGACTGCCGGTAGTTAGAGGCAGGGGGCCGTCGATCTCTCGGCCTCTCTTGGAGAAAAAGAAGGTTGGAGACTTGTTGCTCGATATAGAGTGAGCAAACATGCATATACTGACATCACCCATTGTAATCTATTTGGTGATCAACATATTCCATACTTGCTACTAACTACACAGAGTTGCAACATGCCGATTTTACATGTTTAAGCCAAAACTGGGGGTAGTCTAAATCCCCATTGGATCGGCCTTGTTTACAGCTACGTTCATGATTTTCGTCCTTCAGTAGCGCTTTATTGCCACGGTAAGTGGTTGCTGAACACATCGTCACGAATTACAAAAAGGTAGCTTCTAAAAGAATCCAGTCGGCAATCTCCTCGCCATGACCACCGTGTGTAAAAGTCAGGCTCTATAAATTATTTGCAGAGTAGGGTTCAGGTTGTCTTTGGCAGAATGAGTTTCTTGCATATAAATATATACAGGGACGGGTCTGACAGGCAGTTGTTTCTACAGTAGAACAAACTCCCAGCAATACCTCTACTTCCAAGTTCATTAATGATGCCTCCCTCATCCTGAACTAGTACAGGTGAGTCACGTTACACCCATTTCCCGCCGGAAAACCGAAACACACGACTTTGACACTACTCCGGGTCGTCAGCATAATCTGTGGACTCCAGCGCTGCTTGCTGTTTCATTTCTTCGAGATGCTTTTGGCCAGCTTCAGTTGTGGTGTCGATGATCTCGTCCTCGAGGCTGAGGACATTGGCCTGTCAATACAGTTAGTTGTTTGTGCAAACACTTTGAAATATCACACAGATCACTTACCTCACTCAAGAGGCCAACTAGTGCCTCAGCCTCGTCAATCTTCATCTTACCGAGAACCTCATTCACCTTGTCTAAGCTACCAGTCTCCAATGCTTTTCTAACATCCGGCTTGAAGGACTCGAATATCTCCCTGTGTCTCTTCTCGTCTGTGTCCTCGCTGTTCTCGGGTGGGATCTTGATGTTGATCACTGTACCAGGCTCGACGGCGTGTAGCTGAATCTGCTCCTTATCTTCGTCATTGCCGCCAGCGGCCCGCTCGGCGTTGATCTCCTTGCACCTGTTCTTGATCCGCATGTATGTATCTTGGACGTCCTTGAAGAAGACATCCTGTGCATTGTGACCCTTGGTCGTGATACGCTTGAAGAATAGGGCCACACCATCCTTGCCAAGTGCTCGGCAATACTGGAGCAGCAAGGCTTGGTGTACACAGTTCCGAGCGAAATCGTCTTTGCCTTCCAGCTGGGCATCAAAGGCAAGCATAAGAATACCATCTTGTTCCTTCTCCGAAAGAATGCTCGGGTGCGACGAAATGAAGTTATTGCTCTCCCTGTAATCGACAGACTTGATCTTTGCAAACTTCTGGGCATCAGCGCTGGCCGTGACCTCGTCATCCTCGTCTGGCTCGGCCTGGGAAAGGGAGTTGGGGTCATTGATGTCGAAGTTGGGGTTCAGCAGCTCGACCTTGTTGTCGGCCTTCTTCCCCTTCTCTTCAGGCGTAGACTTGGCGACATGAGATGAGTCAAACCCGGTCTTGTAGCTCTCGCTCGTGATCTTGCCTTGGCCGGCCTTCTCCAATTCGGCGAGCTTCTCGTGGAGCTGCTTCTGCAAGTTCTCGACGTTGACCAGGTGGTCGCCGATTTCTTCCACCATGGCTTGATAACGGTTCGTGGGCTTCTTCTCGTCAAGTGCCTTGTTCACCTGATCCAGGAGGGTAGCCATCATCTTGGTGTAGGTCGGGGGGTTCTCGACCTCACTGTGGACACCCTCGGGCCTCGCGGGAGGCTTGTCCTCTTCAGAGCTGCTAGGCACGCTCTCCATGACGGCCTGGAAGGCTACTTCGGCCGGGTTGCGAGACTCGGCATCGGAGGCATGGTTCTTCAGTGAGTTCAGGAGGGCAGTAATCCTCTTGATCAGTCCGTCGTTGATCTGGCGCTCGTACTTGAGGGTCTCGATGTGGTTCTTGCGCTGCTGTCTCTCGGCATGGATCTGGTTCTGCTTGGCGCGAATGAAGGAGCGCTTATCGACATTTGGGTGTACTTCAACATCCGAGTCGTCACTGAGCTCGAGAGCGTCCTACATGACAAACACGTGTAAGTTGGTAGCCGCTAGAAAAGTGTAGAGTGATCTCAGGTTCTTACCCATTTACTGTAGTCGAGCGGCATTTTTAGCTTGTTGATGATGACAAGCACAAGTTAAAACGGGCTCTCGGTCTGTTCGAAATCCCAAGGTGTGCGGCTCCGTCAGTGTCGATGTGGATTTGGTACAGTCACTTGAGCCTTGGAATCTTCTGGATATGCCGGTACTGCTACTTGTAAGGGTGATGAGACAACAACAAAATAGCCGGCAACTGTGCTGTGGTGAAGGCACCGATCAAATAAATATTGATTAATTAGGATTCTCACAATAAAGCAAGGGATTGTCTGTTGCCCTTCTGTCCCCCCTTGGTGATGTGGAAAGAGGCATTGTCTGGTGAATCCCAGCACTTTGAAACATGCTCCTGCTACTGCCTCACGACCCAGTATATCCTGAAAAGTGGGCTGCGGGGCAGATGAAATGCCCCGCGTCAGCGTTGTGGTGCGCTCTGGCGGCTTGCATCCAAAGAACGCGAAGAGACGCGGCAGGTTGATGGTCATTCCAGTTTATGAATGTCACGGAGGTCGGTCTGCTTGACTTTGCTGTGCCTTGCTTTCTTCGCTCATGACAGTTGTGGGTCACAATTCCAAGTCTGCACCTTTCAGAATCACTTCATCCTTGAGGCTCACCGATTTACATCAGTAATGGATACCCGCGGTGAGAGGCTGGACGTTGACTATGTGTCGGCTCTCCATTAATAGTTCAGTTCGAGTTCCAGTGCCGCTACTTCTAAAATGATACAAGAGCTTATCGCTTTTTTGATGCCCTCCCCCACCCTTAACTACTGCTTGCCCCAGCGCTGAATGTGATCATATATCTGGCAGCTGAATGCAATGACACCAAGGCATCATCAAACATGGTTTTCAGGCATGGTCCGCTACAGGCAAACGCCGAAACGACTGCCTGGATGTCTGCGCATCACCTCCAAGTCCAACACGGCTTGAAAGGGTCCCACCAACCTCTTACATATGCCACTGAGCAGTTGCTAACCCCTGACAGTCTGCTTCTTCGATTGCTTGCGCATTTGCTTCTCCTTCTCCTTGTCAAGGTATTTCTTTTGAGCCTTGGCATCCAGAGCGTTAAGCTCAGCATCCCGCTTGGCCTTCCTGGTTCTGTCGCGCTCAAGAGCACGCTCTTCGGCCTTCTCATCCTCTGCAACCTTCTGGATCTGCTTGATAGTTTCGTCGCGAACAGACTTGACCTTGCGCAACACCTCGGGGCGGAAGTGAGCAGATGCAGAAAGGTGGTCAGGAAGGCGCAAGAAGGCAGTGAACAGGGGGAGCAAATCGTCGTAGTTGTTCGAGGATGGAAGTCGGTAACGGAGGAAGATGCGCTTGCGCGGAGTCGTCTCATCGATTGTTGACGGTTTCTCCGTTGGCTGGTCAGTAACGATCAAGGCCTCAAACAGATCACCAGCCTTCTCTACAGCAGCTGCGAGGTCCTTGGTAAGAAGAGCATCTGTGATTTCGGCGCTCTCACTCATGCAAGTCAACCAGATAGGCAATTTGGAGTTATCCTTGGTGAAGGTAATCGACAGATCGTAGCGGTCCTCGCGGAACTTCTTCATCTGATCCTTGTTGACAAGTGCCCAGACAAAGCCATCGTAGCCGCTCTTGGAGTCTTTGCTTCGCAGCTCTGCAGCACCGGGAAGATTGGGCACAATAGCAGCCTCCTTGCCATCGAATGGGTAGATAGTGGCCTCGAGCGAGTCCTCAGGAGAGCCGTAGCTGTCAATGAAGAATCCCAACAGAGTCTCAACCGAGGTCATCAGCGGGTTGAAGCGCTTCTTGAGGGTCAGGCCAACATCGACAAAGGCGACATTCTGTCGGCCAGTAGCATATGTCGCATACTCGAACAGACTCTTCTCCTTGAGGATCTTCTCGGGCTGCTGCTGTGCGTTTGGCACACCATTAAAGCCAACAAGTGCAAATTCGTTCTCGAGTAAGGGAGCATGCGACTTGGCCCATGCCTTTGCCTTTGCCTTGTTCAGCCTGGTGCCGATGAAGTGCAGGGTGAAAATGACAGCGATGACTGTCAAGATGACTCCCTCGGCCTTGAACTCGGAGAGGCTGTGGCGCTCGTGAACATTGTACCATTTCGTATAGGGACGATCGGTCACAAGGGGCCCGCCGCCAGACAATGTTGCACTACCGGGCGGGGGTTTCTCGTATGCTATAGGAGTGGGAGACGGTGCTTCGGCGAAATCTGCGAAATCTACTGAATCGTCAGCGACACAGCTCAATAAATAAGGGGAGAAATGCGTCATATCTGCGCTTGGGGAGACTCATGCGACCTCACACCCGTGAGGGTACAGTGAAGGCTGCTGCAACACTTAGAGCGAGCACGATTGGCTGCTTGCCTTGCTCTGTGCTGTCCCACGCACCATAGAGATGGATTGCCCATTTGGCGATCTGACGCGCGCACCTGACGCATTTCAAATGGCTATTGCCACAACACTTTACACTCTTCCCAAGAAGAACAGGACTTACCAGAGTCTGCAGAAGGTACCGGCTCGTTCGACTTGCTGCCGCCGATGATGTTCTTGAGGAAATCGGCCATGTTGGCTGGCTGTCTCGGTTGGCACAGGCAATGAGACACAACTGGGCTGGACTGAAGATCAAATGAGAAATAGAAGGGAGCTCTCCAAATCGGAAAGGGGATCAGGAATTGGCCAATGCTGCAGCTGGTTGTCTCCACCTTTTGGGGGTTGAATGCGGAGGAGGCCGACTAACGTTAGTCTAAAGTTACCATCGGTTGTGCTTCCAGTACTGATTACATAAGCCACCTATATAAGGCTTTGTATATGGGAGAGCGTGAGCGCAAAGTGTAAGCATAAGCGTAAGATGCCCTCGGTCTGACAACTTACACACTATACTTTGAATCCGTATTAGTCTTTCTACATCACGATTTCAAGTGTGCAACGTGGTCAAAGTGTCTTTCCTGAATGATTGGAAATTCTAGAGCCTCCTAGATATCGATACACCGCCCAGAGTGGCTGAAGCAAATAGGACCGAGGTTACACAAGTTTATACGGAGGTACACAGGAAACACCATCATATGGGTCGTTTCAGCCCCCCCCCCCCCCCCCCCCCCCATCTTATGACTGAATCTTCATCTTCACCTTCAAATTTGCCCTCTACTTTGACGATACCGTTGTATCACTGCCCTGCTATGATCGTCCCTAGAGGAATGAGCATTGAAAGGACGGGGAAGCTGTTGTTACTGGCTCACTGACCACAACTGCTGTGCTGAAGAACCCGACAAAGCCATTATGGGAGATCCTAAACTCCTCAGTCGACGAGCGGGCTGTAGCTGTTCATAGCTATGTCGACGAGCGGGCTTCAGGTAAAATGTGGACTACTTAGGCTGCCATTATTTGTTTGTTTTCGAAAGTGAAAATCACGTAAATTCTCAATCAGTGGACGAACAGAGGTGGCCTACTTGTACTCACTCGAACTTCCCACGTCCATATACATCAAGCCTTATCCTCACATCCACATTCACCTCAGGCCTCATCCTCGAGTTCGCATCCAAATCAAAGCTCGTCCTCGAATTCACATCCACACCAACCCTCATACTAGTAGCATAACCCAACAAGACCACTACTATTATGGCTTTTGGAACCAACAACAACCACGAGATGGTAAGCTTCTTGGAAAGTCATCACTATAAAATAAAATTTTGACCACATCTTCTCTAGAACATCTACTCGTTCTGTGAGAAACTTCCCCAGAAGTTCGCCAAGGACCACGCTCAGGAGCTTGATGGCTGCGACATCTTCGCCTACGGCGGTACTCGCAAGACGTCTGTTTCCGATTATGGCGGATTCGGCAAGCTTGTTATGAGAGAAGTAGTTCAGGGTGTCCAGGATGTCCAGGACGTCGAGGTCATCCAGACCGTCGTCAAGTTCAAGTGTCATCGACCCAATGTCAAGGACCCAGGCGAGATCTGTGGTAGTGAGATCAAGTGTGCAGGTGTGAACATTCTCAACCATGACCTGAAGATCCATGGTCCCAACAGTGCCTACACCCGCGACAACACCGCAGTCAAAGGTGTCACCTATGATTGCCAGGAATGTACCGGAAAGTATAGCACTGAGCACAGCTTAATCCAGCACATTCGTGCTGCACACCTTAGACGCAACGTCATTGGCGAAGAGAAGGAGTATTAGGATTGTCACAAATGGAGAGACCAGGACACTATTGTGTTGGGGAGCAGTACACCAACAGCATTGAACTCAGGACGCCAACCGCATTGGATTCAGGTTCCTACCACTGTTGATCAGATAGCATTTGAGCGATAGTTTTCAGGCCACAAAGAAGGACGGCCTTCACAATTCACAACCGCTTTTACTGTGAAATCTTGATATTGAACCGAAATAAGTTTGTGATTACTCGGAGGACGAGTCCATTGTACCAGCGCAGGTAACAGAGCCATAAACAACAAGATTCCATATTGGGCTCACGGATTTGATACCATAGTGCTATCAACGGACACGTCAAGTTGTCCATCGGTTTGTTTCCTCACAGAACACTGTGGAACGATCCAAGCCCATGATTACCACTCAGACGATCAATGACTCCGGACTCGTAAACAGTGAAGCAGTATTTATCTACCTTAGTCTCGATTCCTCATTCCGAGATTTCTAGCAACCCTACCACTTGTGTTACACTTGAGAGACATGATTATCTTGGCCAACGGCTGCTATTGGGAATTCGACTGACAGTATACAAAGGTAGAAGTCCTTTATATTCACAGGCCCTCTTGGCCTTTGTCCAAATCATTGTGTCGGTCAAGCAGATTTCCTCGTGTATGCATATCGTGGTCGATACTGGACCAAGATATCCTGATACAAAGACCACTGTAATGTAGCCGATGACAGCTGTGCCTGTTACACCGCCTTCATACGAGCAGTGCTGATACTTATGTTTTGCAGTGTTAAGATCAATTGGCCGGGCTCAATACCCATTACCATACCTTAACGTCCACAACCCTGAGAGCTCCGGTTTCAAGAATAGAGAGTACGAATTGGACCAATAATTCACCTACGAAGTGTGTTCAACGATCTCGAACAAAAAAAATTTTAAGGCACGCATGAAAGAGAGTATGAATGTTGAATTGGAAAAGGAAAAGGAAAGGGCAAGGCAGCCCCGAGCCTCAAAATACTGCCATCATATAGGAGGGATTTGTCTAGTGAGAGTAGGTTCACAAAAACGATGCAAGAAAGCCACAAAGCGGACAGTTCTTTAGGTCATGTCAACAAAGCCCAGGAAAGAGATGCGTTTCTGCCGACCTTGGCCAGCTTTACTAAAAAAAAACAACAGAGACGACGCGACCCTCATCAATCGCTGAGTAGCACAACCTGCGGCCCGTTTCTATCTGAGAGCACAGTTGCTCGTGCTTCGCTAGCTATCATCTCGCTCTGATAGACTGATGTGGTTTCCAACTAACAGTATAGCGTTCACCTCATTGGGGAGGTCATTAGACTTCTATCTTGAGTGGTCTTCTTTGGCTGCTCTATTTCCTTCCTATTAGGAATCATCTCAAATGAGATAATCATCAGCATATTTCCAAGGTTATCCTAACCAAAGATAGGTTTTTCTGCATTGAAACGAGGAGCATGGCTTCCTTCTTCTGGATATCTTTGTTACGGTTCTGGAAACTGCGATGGCTGTAAGTAATGCCTTCCGTTCTTTGTCGCCTCGATGAAGACTAACAATCAGTCCGGACCAGGGGTTAATGTACCGACCGACGTCCTGCTACCATTATTGAATCTACAGCCTGGCATTGCCAGTCCTATCTCCATGTCGTACGAACATCAGTATACTAGTACGTATTCTCGTTGAGTCTTCCATTATACTCTACTTGACCTAACAGCCATAATTAGCCTAGACAACAGTTTTTAGATTTGCGATTCCACCATGAGCGCACTTGAACGATTCGCACGGCGAAATTATAGTACGAGGTCACGCCGTGAGGGAACGCTCGGGAAGTCGAGACCAGCACCCATCCAAACCCTAGAAGTTGGCTACCCTAAGTCGTCTTTATTTGACAGACCCAAGGATATTATCATGAATCAAGTGAGTGGTCATATTCTTCGGTTTGGGCTGCTATATCAGATATACAGCAGCTAATAGAGCCAGCTCTTGACCCCGACTATACGGCACTTCAGCTTTGATGGAGCTAGTATTCCTTTCTCGAAAAAGTCACCTTGGCCCAGAAGTAAGCATCGATTGGAAGTTTCTGAGAGCGTATTTAGACTAATTCATGCCAGTGCAATCAGCCGAATCTTTACAATCAGATGATCCCGGAGAAACTGAATGGGACAAGTCGGCACTACAAGATCTGTCCAACTCGATCAGGGCTTCGATAAGGCACGACGAGAGCATCGGTCCCGATACCAGCAAACTCAGCGTCTTCCTCGAAATAGTCCTGAAGGACGAGGAACGCAGACACCCGACAATGGGTTTCGAGACGATCGAGCATGCGCGCCTTGACAAGTTACTAGATGAGTTGATACAATTCGCTGGGTTGATGAAAGCAGCGAGCTGTTCCGTCGAGCTGCCTCTAAGGTTCCGGGTTGATATCGCGCACTGTAAGAAGTTGCGTGTGCTCTGGAGACATCGCTTTCGGGAGCAGTATGCCTTGATCGACCAATTTAGATGCGCCTTAATGGTCAAAGGAGGCCGGTTGAAACAAGGCTCTTCATCTTCTGATATGATCTATGACCTCGGGCTGTGGCAAACGGATACAATGACCAATCTAGTTGGCGAGGTCGAGGGTAACCAGCAGTTTGAAGCTGGACAGTAAGTTGCCCAAAGAACCTCGAGTTGTATTGTATAACTAACACAACTCCAGTTGGTGGCTGAACAACGTATGCGCACATAGAGATGGCATAGTGGGTTGCCCGCTCGAAAGACCAACCAGTGGCCGATACGGAATTACAGCTCTTCCATTGCTCACTGGACGCGAGGAGCTAATCCGCCGAGGTGAACAGCATGTCATCAAATATATACGCGAGGGCAGCCGTTCTGGTGACATGCACATACCCATAATCTCAGAGGTTGGGCGGCAAATCCGTGTATTGAGAGGATACAGACTGAAGAGTATATTTGCGCCGGAAGCTGGTGTGCGTTATGATGGGTTGTAAGTCGGACTTTTTGCCAATATTTTATGAGATTCGAGACTAATACAGATATGTATTAGGTATATTGTTCGACAATATGGGACAAAATTGAACGAAGTCATGAATATACACAGGCTGGTGTTGACCTTGGAAAGAGTTCAGGGCCAGGAGACAATGGAGTGCTTAAAACGGATACCCAAGCCATCGCAGCTCGACGATTGGAAACTGTACGAGAAACTCGAAGGTGACAAGATCAAATTAACAGAAGGCGAAGCAAAGTTCTTCGATTGGACGGTCGAGCGGGAAGAAGAGAGGCTAGATCGAGCGGACTATGTACGCGACCGCCAGTTCCGAGCCTCGTTCTCTTGGAAGTTGGAATGAACTCAAATGTTCAGAGGCAGAGGACTGGGCGAAAACTGCGCTATCGGATTTTTAAGTAGAAGGGCCGTAAGGAAAGTGATATTCAATGGGTTGCCTTTGCAAAAATCGTGTTTTGGGTGCATCCGATATACAAAAGCACATTATGTAATACATACAACCCGGTACATACCCCGGTAAGTTAGCTTCGGATTGTTGCATAACCAGCCCAATGACGGTAGTGTATGCCGTTAAGGGGGTATTTTCACTGTCAAATTCCAAGTGGGGTTTCGATGATGTCCATCTCATCTTCAGACTCAATAGAGCATATTATCTCATATATTATCATGGCTGGGGGCAAGAAGGGTAAAAACGAGGGCAAGTCGCAGGCGAAAGGCGACAGTGCCAAGCCCGCTAAAGGAGGCAAGGGGAAGGGCAACCAGGATACAAAAGAGCCTGTCAAAAATAAAAGTGCCCAACAGATCCTGGTCCGCAACATCCTCTGTGACAAATTCTCGAGGAGAGAGGAAGCTCTGGCAGAATTAAGACAGGGAGAGAGTTGGAAAGCCGTCTGTGACAAATATGCCATCGAAAAAGTAAACTCAGGTACGAAGTCCAAGTCTCCACTTGAAATGTCCCTGGGCTGTGATACTTATCCTGGTTTTCTAGGTGGCTTGATTGGCTGGAAGAAAAAGGGAGACGTCGAGGCAGAGTTTGCGACTGTTGCATTCTCTATGCCTTCGATAGTGGAACACCATGACTTGCAGAGCTATCCGTACGGCGACTGCAAAACAAGTTTCGGTTATCATATCATTCGGGTAGACGAAAAGAAGTGAATGGAGAAGAACGCAATCGAAGTAAACATTTGAATTTTGAGTTCATATTGACAGTTGGTTTAAGCCGATCGAAGAGAACTTCATTGCTACTGCTCTATGAGAGATCAACAACACGCCTTCAGTCTCGTGAGCGGAACGGAGGAGCCAATTCGACAATGCTTTCAGGCATGTGATGTGACATTCAAAAACAGTTGGCCCATCGTCAATAGAACGATGGTAATCTCAGGGTATATATTCGTTGCCACATGTGAAACCACAATTTCTGGTGCAATATAGTTACAGTATGTTGTGCTCAATTGTAGTCATGTCATTTTAAACGGACCCCAATTCAGGGAAACATGTGGAAAGTTTACCAGTTTTCCCAACACCATGGTGGAACAGGTCGACAATTCCAACCCGCCTACACAATCGGCGGATTGAATCGCGGAAAGCATGCCTCCCATCCTCCTGCCATCGAAAACAAGGAGCATTGCGTCAAATACGGCCCGCTGCTCGTTGAGAACCCCATTTAGGAGAAGCCATGCCCAGGCTCCTTTGTTGAAGTTTTGTTGCATTTCTATCTCCTTGGCGGTGCAGTCACGTATAGGCCAAGTTCTGCCGTACACCCATTCTGCGCGCCACTTAATAGTTGATGCAATTGTCTCCTCCTTGGAGAAATTACTCCAGCAATGGTGCCACAGGAATATTGATCTCGGAACTACAAGTGCCTCGCGCACGATTGAATAGGGTATTTCGAGACCAGAAAGTATTATCAGGTTCGAGGAATCCCTAGAAAAGTCTTCGAAAGCGGTGATGTCGAAGCGCGGGATGAAACAGTAGAGGCTACCATATCTATTGTTCTAGTAAACTTGCCCATTCCAATCCGCCATCTCCAAGAAGGAAATTCGGGGCGGCGCGTTGAATGATCAGCATATTTCCACTTTAGAGCATAGCCGAAGCACTTATTCTGGAAACGTGAGATTCAGGTCGGAAAATTCCCAGATTTGTATGAAAGTCTCCCAAGAGAAATTTCTGACTCGTGAAGAGCCATCAATGCTGCATCAAAGAGTGGGAGATCCATGACAACTGCAGAATAGTGGTCGCTTCGTAGAAAGACCTTTAAAGCACCAGTAAAGCCATTGATAGAGTTCCAACCATACGTCAGATTTTTTGCAGTAAGTTCTTAAGGACATGAAGCATTATAACCATTTCGGTCCAAATCGACTCCGTGAATCTCGTAAACTGTATTCGCAGCGTGCGTGCTCCTATTCCAACCTAGCCTCACAGGGGATGATCCTTTACTTGGTCGATATCGAGCATGAGCCCAATGTCGTCGTCGGGGCACAGGATAGTTCTCGCGGCCATGGATGTCGTTGGCTTTGAAGAGCGTGTGGTAATTGATGGAGTAAAGCCTCCGATGAGACAACAGCGTCTCTTGGGAGCACCAGCCTCTGGAGTATCAGGTTTGCCTCTAGATCTCGAAACGGATTACAGGTAGGAGTATTCCGTGCTCACTTTCTTGAGACTTTGCAGCATACTGCCGGTAGTAGTAGCAGAGTCAAGAGCGTTGATTTTATAACCGGTTATAGATTATACGAAGTAGTGTACACAAGAGTCGGCCGAACCCCAAGCTTGATAGACCACAACATAATATTGGATCCTAGCAGTTAGCTTTACCAATAATGAATGGGGCGACCTGGGGCGACGTCGCCAAGTCTTGCGTCCACTACCTGGCTGGGCCCTGAAATCACAAAAGTGTGGTGACTCAAGGACACAACGGAAACTCGGACTCATGAATGGGCAAAAGGATATACTTGTCTGAACTAGTTCAGTCTCATGTCTAGAAATTCGAAAGGCACCCTGCGGCGCATCATGGTGGTCGCAACGTCCGAACGAATCATCAGTCCCTAGGCGCGGAACGGACCAGCTGGGAATCTACCTAGCCGCTTCACGGGGGCGATCTCGGGAGCCTTTTGTGGAGAGGGCGGTCGAGCCGAACTCATTGCTTCAGTATAGTGCGGCCCGGGTAGTTTTATGCGTTAATACGAAATAGGGTCGGGTAGAGTTAATACTGATTGTGACACTTCTGTCCACGAAATACGCCGTTTGAATCTGCCGAGCTGGCGGGCGTCAGGTTTGGCACGACCGCATGAAGGACAGAAAACCCGGGGACACGTTGATAGATCACGGTGGAAATATGCATGTGGCCCTCTGGCACGACAGAATATGCCTCATGAATGAAACGATCGGAACCACGTCATAAGTCACGATAATGAAGTTCAAGGTGTGGTCTCAATGCAAATTTTCCTTGATCCGATGCAGTATAGTACCTCTACCATAATAAATAGAGTTGTACAACCCAATGAGCCGTGGGGGAAGATGAAGTATGAGAGATCCGTCCCTCAACATTCTATACCCCTCCTGCCATGCAACGCCACGATAGACATTTTCGTTGTTTACTGCTCAGTCTGGAAGTAGTTGAGAAGGATGGAGCGCTCGGTGGACTCCTCACCCCAGTCCTTGACAACGACGCAAGAGCAGTTGACAACCTTTCTTGCGTTACCCTCGCGGTCCAGGACGCCTGTATGGATGTGTTAGTTTGCGCTGAGGAGATCGGCGAGGTGGTGATTTGGTGGTACTCACAAAGACCGGCCCACTCGCCCAATTGCTTGCCATCGGGAACCTTGATCAAGGGGATCTTGTGCTCGGAGCAGAGAGCAATGACCAGCTTCTTGTAGGCCTCCTCCTCGCAGGACTCGTTCAGGACACACATGTGAGCCTGGCGTCTGTCGAGGGCCTTGGAGGCCTCGCGGAGACCACGGGCAAGACCATCGTGCATGAGGGCGAGCTTCAAGACGCCCTTGAGGGCGTCGAGAACGGACATCTGGCCCTTGGAGGCATCGGCAGAGACTTCGACTTCTTCGGGGACCTCAGGGGCGTTGTTCTCTTCTACGTCCGACTGTTGGGTGGGAAAGATGGGTTAGCGATCTGTGCGACACAGTCTTGGAGGCATTGGGTGTGTCGGCGCATAGGGATCTCGATCTGGATCTGGGTCTGGATCGGGGGAGGGCGTGCTTGGAGATATCGCATGAGGCGAGGCAGCAGAGTGCGGGAGGATGCTAGACGATGCGACTAGCCGTGGAGGCAATGCAGCAACTCACCATCTTGAGATTGTGTGATACCGGTTCGATCCTCGAAGAGTTCTTGGTGGCGATTGGGTGGTGAGGTAAACGTGTTGTGGTGGTGAATGTGAAGGACGTGTGCAAATTATCCCAGCTAGGACCTTTTTTCACGAGACTTCTCGATTGAGGCTTCCCATCTCTGGCGGGTGGGTGAATTTCGTGCCTTCCGCCCAACGTGGGGTTGGAGCTCTGCAGCCAATGAGGAATTGCTTAGGGTTGATAAAAGTTTGCCCGCTTATTATCCGGACCGCGTGGCCAGTGCACCACACCGAAATTTGCGTGTGCGCGGGCTGCAGCACAGTGAGTTAGTGACCCAGGTAGTCAAGGCGCACTGCCGGTGTTCATTCTGGTGGGTCCCTGGTCCGAACTTTTGACCTACTGTAGGTCCCAAAGGTTTTGATTTCCACCGCCATCAAATTTTCGTGAAAGCTTCTCCAGCACAACATCCCCCATCACGACTCCAGTGTAGGTAGGTCTTGATACTCATTTTCCAATGGAGTGACCAACTCGCAAGAACGCCCTTCAAGAAGCCAGAGGAAAGCAATCATTGGCGGCCGTGATGCATTGCACAGGCGCGCACCCGACTCGGATCAGGTCGATATTATGATTGATTCACTCGGTGGCCGTCTCTGATACGCTTTCTTCTTCTAGTATTGAGCGGGCAGAACCCTCTTGCGGGGGCACTCTCCATGCTCATGGCTTTTGAAGGCTAACCAATCCCTCTGACAGATACCTCATTTCCATCCCACGACGATTTGAGAATCTCACAACACCGCCAAAATGGTCAAGACTTCCGTTCTCCACGATGCGCTCAACGCCATCAACAACGCCGAGAAGGCCGGCAAGCGCCAGGTCCTCATCCGACCTAGCTCCAAGGTCATCGTCAAGTTCCTCACTGTCATGCAGCGCCACGGTTCGTAACCACCCTCCCCTCTATCTACCCTATTTTCAGCCTGGTCCAAGCAGAGATGCAAGACGGGATGCCTTCGCTCGTGGAACACATCAACACCCTGCCTCGCTCTCTACCCATTCGGCATGATAACTGGATGACGGTCTCAATATTCCCAACGACCATAGTCTTTTAAGTTGCCGATAGATTGATGTGTTTTCACAAGCGAAGGAATCTTACACGTGTCTCTGATTCACCAACATGAAGTTCTCACGTTTAGTCTTTCGTCACATAACTAACAAAACCTTTCTAGGCTACATCGGCGAGTTCGAGGAGGTCGACGACCACCGCTCCGGCAAGATCGTCGTTCAGTTGAACGGTCGTCTCAACAAGACTGGTGTCATCTCTCCCCGCTACAACGTCCAGCTCCGTGACCTCGAGAAGTGGGTTGTCAAGCTGCTGCCCGCTCGTCAGTTCGGTTACGTCATCTTGACCACCTCCGCCGGAATCATGGACCACGAGGAGGCCCGTCGCAAGCACGTTGCTGGCAAGATCATCGGTTTCTTCTACTAAGCGAGATAGACCCGTGAACGAGGAAAAAGATGAACGGACGGGAAATGGACGACCAAACAAAAGCATTTTCGGGCGTTCGGGGTCATGAATCGGCCAAGCCATAATACGCTTGATGTTCTGTAGCCAAATGAAGCAATTACGAACTGCAAATGCTCGTTTCATCACCTTACTATCAAAGCTTTGAACCATGAATCCTCGTGAACCTGAAACTGTTAAATTGTCATGGTGCGGTCGGGGCTTTCGTTTTTATCTGCCCAATCGGCCCACCTGTCAGTTCCCATCTTTCCATATCTGCTCTAACGACGGCTTCAATTGAACTAGGAACTAAACGTCAAGTATTCTTTGACAAAACAATAGGTGTTGATTTACTCCAACCTGAGAGGTTATTTGCTATTAACAACATTTCATCCGCTTTACACCTCGTTTAAATTCTTGCCGTTCTTCATTTTCTCTAAGTTGACTTCATATTACCCTACCAATTATCATTACCTCAAATACTCTGTGCAGTGGTCAAACGATCAAAATGATATCTCTCAATTTGAAGCGCTCCACTTTCCTTGGCATGGTAGAATGGAGCCCCTCGTAGCTTTTGGCCTCGGCGTCCAATTCGTCAGCTTTCCAACAAAACTCGACGAGCAGACTTCACAGATTCATACATCCGCGGCTACGATAGACGCAGATCCAGCCTGCAGGAAGACAACGGTTTGTGTTGGTTCGTGATGAGATTGATGATTGTTCTGCACAGGCTGGAGAGCAGTGTCTCTGCGATGGCAACCGATGCGATATGGCTGTTGGCGAGAAGTCTGACCTTGACACGGCCTTCGATCGCATAAGTCATGATGGCAAGTCTTGGGGGGAGATGGTACGGATTATCAAACCAGCCCAATCTGATCGAACTTCCGGACAGGTGGAATTCGGGGTTTTCATCAATGTTCTGATGCTGGACGACGCTACTGAATTCGGAGCCAGCTGACCAATTTGTGTTGTGCTCTAGAATGTCTTCCAGTCTGAAGGAGTGTTCTTGGGCAGCAAGATTCTGGTCTTGTATGGACAGGAAAAGTTCATGTGGGAATTTTTTCGGGGACACCTGTGCTCTGACTGGGACGATGTTCACACAGGGCCCTACGATGTCTTCAACCCCCGGCATGGAAACATCTCGACCAGAGACAAGACTGCCATATACAACGTCTTTTTGCCCTGTCATCTCCGACAGAACAACCGCCCAGGCGGAACTGACCACGGAAGCCAAGGTAACTCCATCTGGCAGTTGAGGTATACTTATCAAGTCCTCGAGGATGATTTTCTCTGGAACACTAGCCTGTCGCGCCTCCCGATTCGCCTCTGGAACAAGTATTTCTGAAATCTGTGTCATAACCGATCCGCGAAGGAGGCGTTGCCAATAGGCTGATGAGATAGCTCGCTGAGAGTGCTTGCGCCACACGAATTCCGAGAAGTCCGTTACAGGTCGTAGAACATTGCCCTGGTATGAGTCCAGCAGAGACGTGATCAGAACAGGTAGACAGAAGCCGTCGTACTGAGTGTGTGACAACCTGACCACCAACCTGCTACCCTGAGACATGTTCCGGACGAGCATGAATAACGTTGGCGCACGATTAAGTTGAAATCCGATTTCCGTGTCGGCAAGACAGATGCTGTGAGAAGCCGAGGCGAGGTCTTCGGTAACATCGATGACAGAAAACTGCAGAGGTATCTGCTTTAGGGTGACCTGGAAATATGTCCCTTGGAAGTGTGAAAATACTGAACGAAGCAATGAAAAACGTTCCACGATACCGAGGCAGCTATCTCTAAGACGATCGAGGTCCAAATCCAAGCCGAAATCGATGAAAATGTAGTTCAAGCTTTGTCGGGGCCATTGCATACTCAATTTGATCACGTCATTCTGAAAGTCAGTCGCAGGGTACATGTCGACAACCTCCTCAGGCACCATGAGTGGTCTGGATGAGTGGATAATCTGGTCCTTAGCAGCATGATCCAGTAGAGAAAAGGGCTTTACCGAGAAGTTAGATCGTGTTTCCGGGACCTTTTGGTCTTGATACGCAGCCAGGGCTGCGAGGGTACCATGTTTCAATACGTCCATCACGGCCAGCATGATCCCAGCCTTTCGGCCCGCTACAACAAGCTTCATGGCGGTGATAGAGTCACCTCCCAGCCCATGGAAACTGTCGTCTATCCCAATAATTTCCACGCTGATATCAAGAATCTGTGCCCACAAGTGCTGCAGAGTTTGTTCTGTCTGTGTCCGCGGCGGCCGCTTATCTCTCTTAGCTACCGCCTGCAACTCTGCAAGCTTCTGCGGTGACAGCGCTGACGCAACCTCACGCAGCTTTCGTCGGTCTACCTTACCGGATGCAGTCAGTGGTAGCTTGCTGAGTCGGAAATACAGCATCGGTATCATGTATGCCGGCAATCGCTGTGAGAGAGCTGCCTGGACTTCCGGGCTCAACCCCACTAGTTCGATGTCTTCATTCGTATTTGATGCCAATCGTATCGAGCTCGATATCCCGCGCTCGCTTTCGATGCCATCTTCTGTTTGTAAGAATACTGACAACACCGGCCGATTTTGTTCTGCCTCTAGCTCCGTTACTTCTGCGACTACTGGGCCAAGGAAAGATGTACACTCTTGTACCTGATATTCAACTTCGCTTAGCTCGACGCGCTGACCTCGAATTTTGACTTGTGTATCCTTGCGGCCAAGAAAGATCAGGGTTCCATTTTCACTATATCGAACCAAATCCCCTGTCTTATAGAGCCGGCCACTTCGGTTGCACTGGTCGTGGGCCCCACGGAGCAACCAGGTTGGATTCTCGATGAAAGCGGTCGCGGTTTCGAGGGGACGGTTGATGTAACCTTGTGCCAGGGTTACGCCCTCAACGAGGAGCTCGCCTACTGCGCCTACAGGTACTAAGCGGTTATGGTCCTCTGGCGATACGATCCACGATACTGATGCTACAGCGCGTCCTATACACAACGCTTCTTTTTGGTGAGTACTCGCATCGCCAATGGAGGAGAAGATTGTACACTCTGTAGGTCCATATCCGTTGAACGCTGTAGAACTTGGAACCCATCGGCAGAAGTCATCATTTGAAACCTTCTCACCCCCCAAAATGATTGTTGTCAGAGAAGGAACTCGATCTGGTCTCAGGAGCCGAGCAACTGTTGGTGTTAAGAAGCACAGATTGACACCCATGCGATCGATACTCTCCTCCATAGCGGCCAACCTGTCGGTGTCGGATGGGATGCAGATACATCCTCCAAACAGAAGTGTCGTCGCGATCTCCATAATACAGGCGTCAAAAGTATATGACGAGAACTGTAGTGTTCGAGTCTCTGTATTGAAGCCTATCCTTTGTCCTTGATAAAAACAACTGGTACTCACTGCACGATGGTCAACCAGCACGCCCTTGGGTTGCCCAGTGCTGCCGGACGTGAACATGACATAAGCGGCTGATTCCGGGCTAACACGAGATTGAGAGCTGCCTCTGATGTCGTGGACAGTCTTGTCTGTCGGCTGAGGGAGAGCCGATACCATGTCAGAGCTTACACAAATATTCCTGCAATCAGCTCTGTCCATGAGCTCTTGGTTTCGGGCAGAGGACAAGACAATTCTCGCACTGGTCTCCTCGATCATTCGATTCCTTCGATCCACTGCTTGGACCGGATCGATCAGTAAGAACGCGCCGCCGGTCTTGGAGACTGCCAATATCGCTACTACTATCCACAGCGACTTCTCAAAACACAGTGGTACGATAGTTCCAGGGCCAACCCCCAGATCAACCAGATACCATGCTAGCTTCGTGGAAAAGCTCTCTAGCTCTTGATACGTCAGGTCTCCATCCCAGGCATTAACTGCTAATGCATCTGGACGAAGCTCTGCTTGTTTGCTGATAAGATCATGTAGACAGCTTTCGACAGCCTCTGGTACGGTCTTGTTCCACTCCCATATCTTTGCTTCATCGGTGGTTGTGAGAGTATTAATGTCTTCGACAAGTTGGTCCGGCTTTATATCTGCAAACTGCTCCAAGACAAGACCTAGTTGCTGGGTCAAATTTTCCACTTGTGATGTGCTGATGATCCTGGAATCAAAGCTTGCTTTCACTCTTACTTCACCGGCTCCTAGAGAGCACTCCAATACAAATGCATATGTACTGTTGAGTCCTTGCTGTATGTTTGAAGACCGCCAGGTTCCAAGTCTAGCCTCTTCAGGTTGCTCATCCTCTTGTGGCTGTATCACGAGGAGTGTCTGAAAGCCACATACCCGGCGAGCATTCTCATCCACGTTTGCGATTCGCTGCAAGCCCGTCTGCTCAAACTCGATCACTTCTGTAGCTTGTTTCTGTATTGTTCGTAGGTAATCCAGAACAGTCTGCTTCCGTTGCACCTGCACTCTCACGGGTATTGTGGCAATTGTTGGTCCGAGAATGGTTTCGATATCAGTTACTGATGCGTTTCGGCCGGACACGACCGTACCGAAGGTAGCGTCTACAGAGTTCACGTACTGGGCAATGAGGATAGCTAGTGCACCGCGGATCATGGTTGACATTGTCACCTCTGATCTGATATTTGATGCAAGCCTTGTCTCAAACACAGCATTGACCATCGGCTCTTGGACTGATGTTGGCAGCGCTGGAAACTGGTTGAACTCGACGTTGGTCAAATACGACCGCCAATATGCCTCAGCATTGATGTCCCTGATCTGAAGTACATGCTTGACAAATGTATTGAATCCTGCAGGTTTGCTAGTGGTGCGTTTGCCCCTATACACGTCATCGACGAGGTTGATGATGCGTGGAAGTGACCAACCATCGTACAGAGCGTGATGTATCGTCCATACAAGCCAGCGTGGCGTGCTAGCATCTTCTTTGCTGACGATTGCGAAGTGCGATAGGTCATTGCCAAGCTCCATTGGTTCCAAGCTATCGCTTTCGAGGTGTTCTTCGAGGTCTTGGTTCTCGGTCCACTTGAGACATTCTCTGCAGACGACTTGGGTCAAACCGAACTTCTCGTGCTGAACGATCTTAGTGCGTAGGATTGGCGTGGAAGCGACTACTTCCTCCCACGCTGCTTTGTAGCAAGCAATATCGACGTGCTCGGATATCTGTAAAACAGCCTTCATGACATATTCGCCATATCGTTTAGCCGTCAGTGATATCAAGCCCTCCTGAAGCGGCGTACAAGGGTATGCGTCCTCAATCGACGATGCACCAGTATTACAAAGCAAGGCTAACTCTTTGCAGATGTCTTCACATTCTTGATTGCTCTCAAGAAGTGCAAATGGTTGTATTATATCTGTGTGACCGTTTGTCATGATCGTTCGTGATAGAGCCTGTGTGGCAAGTGTAGGGTACTTAAAGATATCCGCCACAGCAAGTTCAATGCCAACCTTACGAGCCTCAGCCACAGCCTTCATAGCCATAATTGAGTCGCCTCCAAGCTGAAAGAAGCTGTCGTCGAGTCCGATTGTGGCCGGATCGATGTATAGAACCTGGCCCCATATGCGTTGCAGCTGCCGCTCCATATAAGATGCTGGCTGCTGTTTTGTTTTTCGCGGAAGTACGAACTTTGGGACACTCTCGGCAAGCGCTTGACGATTTACTTTACCATTCTCGGTAACCGGTATCTTTTCCAGAACTGTAATTTTCTGAGGTATCATATAAGAAGGTAATTGGTCCCGTAGTCGGTCCTGGAGCTGACTCTGAATCTTCTGCGTCAACCGCTGTCTCAAAGGTCGGCTGCTTAGGGAACGAGATCGTCCGTCCGAATTATCGGTTGGAAAATCAAACAAAACCCTACTGCCCTTGAATATTGACTGATAGTGATGGAAAACAGCGTCAAGGCCGCCATGCTGGGAACGCTGTCGAGCCCAGCTGATTTCGACCCGCCAGCCCGCCAGTCGAGCGAGCTCCTCCAAGTCGACCGCGGAAAGTGAGTGCCTTCTTTGAGCCTCTTCAGCGACGGAAGGAAACCACTCGCGATCGACGTGTTCTGTCCCATTTGCTAATGCATTGACCACGTATCTTTCAAGAATAGTCTTCTTGTGTGGAATATTGGCAACAGCTACAATTGATGATCTCGGAGAACACTGTTGGAGTAATAGTAGCAGCGATGGAACATCGAGATTTGATTCCATGAAATCGACCCACTCGTCTCCGTCGATTTTGTATATCTGCTGCGGGTGGCGGTTGTCCTTCATGTGCAAGACAGCGCCATATCGGTAACAACTGAGCTCATTATTTGCTTCCATCTTCTTAGGCAGGATTTCGACATGCTCAACGATCTTAGGGAACTGACTTGGTAAATCAGTGAAAAAGGCGGGGTCAACAAGCAACTCTTGCTCAACTCTTTCTGCCTCGTCCATTTGTCGTTGGATTTCACCTTTGCTTGCCGTTTTTCCAAGAAGACGCAAGGCTTTGGTGACCCTAAACTCGTCGTACAGAGCATATGATCGAACGTCGCCAAAAAAGATTGTCTCGACACCCTCCAGTCGAACAATATCTTCTACAACCTTGAAAAGATAATTTTGAGATGGAAAATACTGGACGACCGAGTTGATGACGACAAGGTTGGGCGAGTTGAGCCTCTCCAACTGACCTATATCTGCTGCCGTACCCTTTTGCATATAAACCTTGTCCGCAAGAGCAGGTATTGACCTGGATATCTTGTTGACAAAATCTATTGCTTTGGCGGTCGGCTCTAGACCGACATAACTCTGCAGCCCGCCCATTAAGTTGAATAGAACCATTCCTGTGCCGGTTCCTAATTCTAAAACGTTGCCAGGGTCTCTGCCGTTGAGTATTGAAATAATGGTATCGTCAAGCCACTCATTCATCTCCGCTTTATCAATCACACTCCCATCATACATCGAGGTCCAAGCCGTGAAGTCTCTTCCGATCGTCTCTAGTCGCACTTCATCGACAGTGGTGTATTTGTCCGAGTCGAAGAGATTTTCCCATAGTTCGACGTGCTGCAATTCATCCTCATTATCTAATTCCATAAGGCGATCCGGCTCTTTTCCATCTTCAACGATGGAGACAAAAGCTACTAGCTGAGTAGCCTGCTCATTATGTTGCCGTGAGACGACCACGGCGTCGGTCACAGAGGAATGGCTACGTAGTACACCTTCAATCTCTCCAAGCTCGATGCGATAGCCTCGAACCTTAACTTGTGCATCTATTCTCCCGAAATATTCCATTTGGCCATCCACAGGTCGATAACGGACATAGTCTCCAGTCCGATAAGCTTTGACCCGCCGTCCATCAATCATTATTGGGACGAAACGACCTAAGTCTTGCTGAGAGCTGGTGTATCCCCTTGCCAGACCATCACCTGTGACGATAAGCTCGCCGATGACCCCCATGGGAACAAGACGCAGTTGTGAATCCACAACGTATGCGCCTGAATTGCTTATAGCTTGACCGATGGGAACTCCGTTAACACACTTCTCATCATCCGGCAGGCAGTAAAATGTGCTTATCACTGTGTTTTCCGTGGGTCCATAGGCGTTGATAATCTGGCCTTTCATGATTGCACGCGCTGCAAAAAGATCTTGCGCGTCCACTCGATCACCACCAACAAGAAGCAGATCTAACTGAGCAACAATAGCTGGCGTTTCAAGGAGGCACTGCTTGAAAAGAGCCGGTGTGAAAATGGCGCCTTGAACTTTTTCCTTGGTGAAGATGTCGGCCAGATCATTGTTGTTCAGCACGGTCGTATTATCTATACATACCAGCGTCTCACCATTCAAAAGAGTAGTAAATATCTCCCACGTTGTAATGTCGAAAGCAATATTACCCATATGAGCCATGATGCCAGCGGTAGGGAAGTGTTTCACAATATCATTTTGCTTCGTCAGACGTGTTATGCTACGATGCTCGATCAAGACCCCTTTGGGTTTTCCCGTGGAGCCGGAAGTGAACATGACATAGGCAAGACTCGTGGCAGAAGGCAAGGTAGATGTGAGTTCGTTGTGATCCTTAGATTTGATTCGAAGCTGCTGCAGAACTTCCTGAATGCTAACAAATTCGACATTGTCCAATTGCATGGGTGGGGGCTGGATATTAGGTCCAAGTAGAACGAGCTTAAGGCCTTCGATGGATGAAAGTATAGTTTCCACGCGACCCGCTGGGCTCCGGACATCGAGTGGAACATAGGCCAGGTTGGCCTTCAGGATACCCAGGAAACCAATAATAGTCTGGCAAGAACGTCCTGCGTACACGCCAACTAGTTTCTCATTCGCAAATGATTGTGCGCTTAGCCACCAACAAAGTTCATCAGACTTCTGGTCCAACTGAGCATATGTCAGTTGGGTTTTAGCATCTTTGACAGCTACTCTGTCAGGAAACGCGGCGGCTTGCTGACGAAATATGTCAACAACGCTCGACTCTCGAGGATAATCAGTCTGATGAATATGGAGCAGACCAAAATCTTTGAGCATCGAGTAGTCGTCATGAGTCATCAATGATAATGTTTCGAGGGCAGTTTCGGGCTCCTTGAGGCCTTGTTCAAGTACTGTCCGGAAGAGCGACATCATACTACTGATAGTTTTCGAATGATAAAGGTCGGTTGAAAACGCAACTTCGCCTCTTAGGCGGTCATCTTCTTGGGTAAAGTGAAATTCAAGATCGAATCTTGCCGATGGTGGTGGATCCATATGTTCTGTTTCAATACCCTCCAAAGTGAATTGCCCCAGGTCTGATTGGGAGTGGAGGGTAAACACAATTTGGACCAGTGGTTGACGGGAAATGTCTCTGGTGTTCCTTAGACTGGAGACAATCTTCTCAAATGGGACATCTTGGTTTTCCAGCGAAGCCTTCGTCGTCGCCTGAACTTGTCGAACCAGTTTTTCAAACGACTCTTCTTCGATCTTGATCCGTATACATTGCAAGTTGACGAAAAATCCAATCATATCTGTGAGTTGCCATCGATCTCGATTGGCGTTTGCTGTTCCTATTGTAGCGTCTTTTGAGCCGGTGAGGCGGTAGTGCGTTGCTCTGAACGCAGCTAGAAGCACAACAAACGGCGTCAACCCACGTTGTTTGCAGAACCGCTGTAATTCGCTGTAAAGAGACCCTTGAACCATCATTTCCTGTATTTCAGCTTTCCCAGACAATACTGGGGGCCGAGGTCTGTCGCCAAGTAATTCGGCTGGCTGGCTGTTCTCCAACTGTATAGTCCAGTACTCGAGTTGCCGCTGGTGCTCATCCATCTGATACTGCGTCCTTTGCCATAGAGCGTAGTCTCGATACTGAATTGGTAGAGCATTTACTTTCGACAGAGGATCCTGACCGCGAATGGCAGCGGAGTAGAATTTTGCCAATTCTTTTTGGAGAACATTGACAGACCAGCCATCGGAAATAATATGATGCATGACAATTGACAACACGTACTCCTCATCACGTAGCCGGTATACCAAGACTCTCCAACCTGTCTCGGTCTTAAGATCAAAGGGGGTATTCTGCTCTCGTTGCAAGGCCTGCAACATGCTGATCTCATCACCCAATGGGATGTCGACCATTCGTAAGTCCATTGGCTGGAATGACCGAACAACTTGCAGGTCGACACCGTTCTGAGATGTAAAAATTGTTCGGAGCGTTTCGTGGCGGTTCTCTAATGCCTGAAGTGCAGTGTTGAGGGAATCAATCTGGAGTTGTCCGCGTAGCCGTATCGCGAATGGCATGAGATACTGAGTCGAACCGGGATACAGCTGCTCCAAGAACCAAAGTCGCCCTTGGGCATATGACTGTTCCACAGACCCTTGGCTATGACTTCGTGGGATATTTTTGAGAGATTTCTCTGACAAGTGTCGTGCTTTGCTAGCAAGATGATGCAGGTCGGGTTGATGAAGGGCGTCTGCCACTCCTATTTCAAAGCCTAACCGGCGAGCTTCGCCCACAGTAATCATGGCTGTTATAGAGTCACCTCCAAGCCGGATAAAGTTGTCATCGATACCAATGTCTCCAACGTCAAGATTGAGCACCTGCGCCCATATTGCTCGAAGTAAGTGTTCGTCCTCGGTCTGTGGCTGTCGCTTTTCTCCGTCTGCCATCGTATATATGTCAGCTACATCCTTGACAGACAGGAATGCTCCTATCTCGCGCAATCGCTTTCGGTCTATCTTTCCCGATGCCGAAAGAGGGAAACTAGCAAAACGAAAGTATACGGCAGGTATCATGTACAATGGGAGTCTCTGCGACAGAGCTGTCTCCACAACTGTAGGCACCCGTACTAACTCTATGCCCTCTGATACCTGCGATAACCGTTGGATGGTGACTTCTTTACTGCTTTCCCCGTCAACATGGCCGGTTATGAAAGCCGCCAGTATTAAATTCTCGTTTCCGCCTTTGAGCTTGACCATATCTGCAACTATCTGGCCGCGCGATCCCAAGCACTCCCGGACGTGGTGCTCAACTTCGCCGAGCTCTAGGCGTTGACCACGAATCTTTACCTGCGTATCCTTCCGACCATGGTAATTCAAGGTGCCATTTTCGTTATATCGTACCAAGTCACCCGTTTTGTAAAGACGTGCGTGTCGACCCGAATGGCTTTGGGTACCGCGAAGCAGCCAAGCTGGGTCTCTAATAAAAGCCGCTGCCGTCTCACCTGGGCGATGGTGATAGCCTCGTGCCAGAGTTGCTCCTTCAATAAGCAACTCACCTATTGCACCTATCGGCACAAGGCGGTTGTGATCTTCTGGTGCTACAAGCCAGGATACTGATCCGACTGCTCGACCAATATAAGACCTTGCCTCTTGGAAGTCTATTCTGCCGACTGAACAGCAGACTGCACATTCTGCTGGACCGTATCCGTTGAATACAGCTGGGACTGCAGCCAGTTGCTTCAGATCGGCATCTGTCGGCGTTTCGCCACACAGAACGACGGTTTTCAGAGATTGGATTGAAACTGGTTCAAGCAGCCGAACAACAGAAGGTGTTAATATAGCAGTATTGACACGCTGATTGCTAATCGCTTTTCCAATATCCGTCAACAGATCGCTGCTGGATGGTATGCAAACACATCCTCCAAAAAGTAGTGTGGTAAGAATTTCCACAATACATGCATCAAATGCATAAGATGAAAATTGCAATGTTCGCGTGCTTTTATTAAAGCCTGCTGCGGAGCCATGGGATATACAGCTAGTAGCCGCTGCACGGTGCTCGATTAGAATGCCTTTGGGGTTTCCAGTACTACCAGATGTAAACATCATGTAAGCTGCTGAGCTTGGGGACACGTGAAATTGGATCTTGCCATAAGTGTTAGGCAGAGAAGATCGTATATCAGTGTCGACAGAGATAAGAGTATAGCCTGGGCGAGCTACAAGATATGCTTTTTGGGTAGATGTCAATATGACCTTGGAACCAAATTCCATGATACGATCTGTTCGATCTGCTGCTTGAGTCGGATCGATAAGCAAAAACGCGCAACCAGATTTTAGGACTGCTAGTATCGCTACTACTACCCATTTCGACTTTTCAAGACAAATCGGGATTATTGTATCCACGCCCCCTGCCTCGAACCCGACTCCAAGATCAGCCAAGCGATATGCTAGCCGCGAAGATAGCTCTTCTAGTTCTCTATAACTGAGCTCTCCATCCCAAGCAGATACTGCTGGTAGATCTGGGTAAACATTTTCTCGTTTGCTGATGAGATCGTGCACACAGCTTTCAATGGACTCTGGAACACTCTTGTTCCAACCCCAGATTGTGGTTTCATCTTCGGCCGTCAATATATTGATATCTCTGAGAGTTCGATCTGGCGGTGCATCTGCTACTTGGCTTAGGATACTGCTGATCTGTCGAATCATATTCTGTAATTGCCACTTGCTGATGATCGAGGAGTCAAACCCCACTTTTAATCTAACCTCATCAGTGCTCAGGATGCATTCCAAGACGACGGCATAGGTATTGAATCCTTCCTGGTCAGGTGATGTCTTCCAAACCCCAAGAACATCATCGCTCTGAGGTCTTTCCTCTGGCTGCACAACAAGTAACGTTTGAAAGCCACAGGCATCACGACAGCTTTCGCCCATTTTTGCGATCCGATGAAGACCAGTTTGCTCATACGCTATCATCTCCGTGGCTTGTTGTTGTATCTTGTCGAAGAACTCTGACACGGTAAAGTCGTCTTGAACCCGGATTCGTACAGGAACCGTTGCGAGGGTCGGCCCGATAATCTCTTCGATGCCAATAACTGCTGCGTTACGACCAGACACAGTCGCGCCGAAAACTACATCTTTAGAGCCGGTATATTGGCTTATGAGGATGGCCATTGCCCCACGAATGAGTGTGGAGACCGTCACTTCTGTTTTCGTGGTGAGGGGGAGACTGCATTCCAGAGTTTCGTCTGCCTTTGGTTCTTGACCTATAGCTTGTAGAGTCGGGAATGGTACAAAATCTCCCTGGGCTAGATATGCTCGCCAATACGTCTCAGCATCATCACGTGCGTGCCTCACGTGTAAGGTTTGCTTGACGAATGCCCTAAACTCGGTCCGCTTGGCCATCGTTTTACCCCAGTAGGCATTGCTAGCAAGTTCCAACAACAGCGGGAACGACCAGCCGTCGTACAACACATGATGTAGAGTCCAGACCAAGAACCGTGGTCGTTTTGGACCTTCGTCGACAAGAGTAAAACGCGATAAGCAGTTCCCCAGCCCCATAGAAACCAGTTTATCTGTTCTAAGATAATTCTCCAGGTTCTCAGCTCGCCTCCATTCGATGTTTCCCTTACACACTACTTGTAGGAGGGCCAGTTCCTTATGGTGCACGATCCTGGAGCGGAGGATTGGAGTTGAAGCTACCACATCTTCCCATGCTGCCTGTAAAGATGCCAATTCCACGTCTTTTGATATCTCGAGTACAGCCTGCATTGTGTAGTCTCCTTTTCTTTTGCCTGTAAGTGATAACAGACCTTCTTGCAATGGAGTGCATGGATAAGCATCCTCGATGAGCGATGCGTCCAGGTTGCAGAGGACAGCCAAATCGTTACAAATACCATTCGACGTCATTCCATCGCCGAGAAGCGAAAACGGTCCTATAGGCTCTGAACTTAGCTCTTTCGCTGTGGTTATCTCGATTTGGGCTTGGGTAGCGAGTATCGGATGTCGGAAGATATCTGCAACTGCCAGTGTGACACCAACCATACGGGCTGACACAACAAGCTTCATGGCAGCAATTGAATCACCGCCTAATCGAAAAAAGCTATCATCCACGCTGATATTACCAGCTTCGACCTGGAGGACTTGAGACCATAATGCTTGTAATCGGTGTTCCGCCTCCGTCCGTGGGTATCGTCTTTCGCCACGCATCGCAGACCGCAAACTTGCGAGCTCCTGCAGAGTTAAGGCCGAGCCCATTTCACGTAGTCGTCTCCGATCTGTTTTTCCAGAAACAGTCAGCGGTAATTGTGGTATTGGGACCAAAACCGAGGGAACCATGTAGTGAGGCAATGCCTTCTCCAGTCTGGCCTGAGTGCGTTGGATGATCGTACGTGTCCATTCGTCAAATTGTCCATCTTTTGGGCTTCTGTAGTTGGCATTTCCCTGGTGTGTTCCCATTACAAGGAATCCTACTAGCTCTGGACCTTTTGAGCGGTTGTCTTGAATATGGGCAAGCTCTACGGCTGCCTCTTTGACAGCCGGTGTGGCTAGCTTCGCGTGATATTCAATTTCACCAGTTTCAATGCGCTGGCCACGCAGTTTAATCTGCGTATCTTTCCGGCCAAGCAGCTCAATAGCACCATATTGCTTATATGCAGCGAGGTCTCCTGTCCTATAGAATCGAGACGCTGGGTGATGCGGACCGAATGCAGCTCTCCAGGCAGGAGGAGAGATAAAAGCCTTCGAAGACCTTACCGCATCTCCTATATACTCACGCCCAATTGTTGGTCCTTCGATAAGGACCTCGCCAGGGGCGCCTATGGGCACAAGTTTATCGGGGTCTGCGGGATCAACAATCCAATACCTGCCTGTGGTTGCCTTTCCGACATCGCCCGTCACAGAAGATATATCTAGTAACGCGGAAGAGACAACTGCAGATGTTTCAGCACTGCCGTACGTCTGGCGTAGATGAACCTGTGATGCCCACTCCTTAATCTGAGCGGCACGGATCGGTTCGCCGCCAACGCATATTGTTCGAAGGGATGGCACATCTTGAGGGCTTATATTAGCTAATACAGTTGAAGTGAGAAATGCCCAATTAGCATTCAGTTCGCGAATAGTATGTATAAGCTGAGTTCCGCGTTGTTCTTCCGATAGAACACAGACACACCCACCATAGATGAGTGTCATTAAAATTTCCATGATGGCGCCGGCGAAGTTGTAAGAGCCGAATTGCAGTGCGCGAGTGTTTGTACCCATATTCATTCTCAATCCGTGTCCGAGTGCGGCGGAGCAGTAGGAACGGTGCTCGATGACGACTCCTTTTGGTTCTCCAGTACTTCCCGAGGTGAAGATAACATAGGCAGCATTGGCTGGTCCCGAATCTGACCGCTGCGGGAATTCACAAGCTGAGATTGCCCGGAGTAATTTCCAATCCACCACAATGGTGTCGGGCGTAAAATCAGAAAGCCTCGTCTTGCAAATGGATGATGTCACTCCAATTGTTGCTTTCACTAAACGGCAGAGCTTCTCGACTCTGCTATGAGGTAGTCCTGGATCAAGAAGGACAAATGCACCACCAGCTTTTAGCACGCCCAACATTGCGACCACTGTCCACATGGACTTCTCGAAGCAAAGGGGTACTATTACTTCCGGCCCGACCCCGAACGTCATAAAATAGCATGCTAGCCTTTCGGATAGTTCCTCCAGCTCTTGGTAGGTGAGAGCTCCATCCCAGGCTTGGACTGCTGATGCGGCCGGTCGTTTCTGGGCCTGTCCAGTTATGAGACTGTGGATACACGAATCGGCCAAGTCTGCCATGGGCTTATTCAATTCCAGGATGATGGCCACGTCCTTTTCGGTTACTGCACACACATCGTTGATTAACCGGCTTGGCTCCGAGTTTGCCAATCGATCTACGAGGATGCCAAGGTGCTGCAACAAATGTTGCATCTTCCAAGAACTAATCACTTTCGTATCATAGCTCGCCCTTACCTTGAACCCCTCGCTCCTAAGGAAGCATTCGAGTGTTAAAGCATAGGTCACAAAACCTTTATTGTTATCTGAAGTTGGCTGCCAAGTCCCAAGTGTGCTATCCTGCCTAGATTTCTCTTCCGCTGGATGAACCACGAGTAGGGTCTGAAATCCACAAGCATCACGACCGTTATCGCCGATTTTTGTAATGCGCTGCAGACCTGTTTGTTCGTATGCAATCATTTCTACGGCGTCCCGCTGCACCATCTTAAGATAGTCCATGACCGACTGCCCTTCTTCCACCTGTACTCGAATTGGTACTGTAGCAATGGTCGGGCCGATGATCTCGTCGACTCCCACTATGGGTGCGTTTCGGCCAGCGACAGTTGCTCCGAATAGGATATCCGAGGCGCCTGTATACTGGTGGATTAAAATGGCCAACGCTCCACGGAGTAAGATAGACGACGTTATTGTCTCGGTCTTCAAATCTGATGTGAACTCCAGCTCCAGGGTTGCATCAGCCGCTGGCTCTTCCACTGATGGCGGCAAGGCAGGAAATGGTGCGCATTCGGCGTCCGCCAAGTAAAGTTGCCAATACTCCCTGGCATCTGCCTCAGACAAACCAACCACATATTTGACGAAAGAATTGAAACCTATCGGTTTTACCATTTCATTGGCGCTATAAGCAGTGTGGACAACATCCAATATAAGCGGAAGTGACCATCCATCAAACAATGCATGATGTACCGTCCACACGAAGTAGCGTGATCTGGTCTGGCTGTCACCAACTAGACCATATCGTGACAGTTGATGGCCTAGCTCCATAGGTTCCAGCTTATCTTGCTCTAGATAATTCGTTAGTTCCTGTGCATGATTCCAACGAATCTTGTCGTCGCATATAACTTGTAAGAGTCCCAGCCGGCTATGCTGTACAATTCGGGTACGCAGTATGGCTATTGACTTAACAGCTGCTCCCCACGCGGCCTGGAAAGTCTCGAGGTTAACATCTTCAGAAAGTGCTAGCACGCTCTGCAACACGTAATCGCCAGTGTTCTTAGCGCTAAGCGATAGAAGACCCTCCTGCAGCGGGAGGCAAGGATATGCGTCTTCAATGAACGAGCCGTCAACATCGCAGAGAGCAGCGACTTCATCACGGAGTGCATGGACCTTTTGATCTTCGCCGATGAGAGAAAAGGGAAGCACAGCTTCATCAGCAGAATATGTCACGCTCGTGAGAAGCTGAGCTTGGGCGAGAAGGGTAGGGTGCCGGAAGATGTCGGCAACTGCCAGAGCAAGTCCGGACTTACGGGCTAATCCGGTAAGCTTCATCGCAGCGATCGAATCACCACCTAGCCGAAAGAAGCTATCATCGATACCAATACTGCTGGCATTGATATCTAGTACCTTGGCCCACCGATCAAGCAGATGGCGCTCAGCTACTGTACGTGGCTGTCTTTTCTCTCCTGCTGCCAGAGTACGCAGCCCATTCAATTGGTCAGCCGACAGCGCCGATCCCATTTCGCGGAGACGCTTTCGATCCGTCTTCCTCGATGCTGTGAGTGGGAGCTCTGGTATGGGTACCAGGAGCGATGGAACCATGTAGTGAGGCAGTACACTCTCCAATCTAGCCTGAACACACCTGAGAGCTGTGCTTACTGATTTGCTATAGCCTTCAAATTTCCTGTTCGACGGCTCTGCATGTCTTTGCCTTTCTCGTAGCACAAGGAACCCTACTAGTTCTGGACCTTTGATGGTACCAGGGATAGTAATAAGTTCCACAGCAACTTCTTTCACTTCAGGGGTAGCCAGTCTTGCCTGATGCTCTACTTCTCCCACCTCGATACGTTGCCCCCGCAACTTGACCTGTGTATCTTTCCTGCCGAGCAACTGGACTGACCCATCACTTTTATACATGGCTAAATCGCCGGTTTTATAGAATCGTGATGCCGGCTTGCGTGGGCCGAAAGACGCCCTCCAGGTTGGCATTCCAACAAAAGCTGCAGCGGTTTTCTGAGGTTGCCCGATATACTCGCGGCCGACCACTGGCCCTTCTAAGATGATTTCTCCAGGGACTCCTAATGGAGCAAGCTGATCAATGTTATCTGGATTGACCAGCCAAATCCTACCACTGACCGCTTTACCAACATCAGCAGGGACCGATGATCTACTCAGTCGAGCTGACCCCACGACGCCGGATAGTTCTGCAGATCCATAGGTTTGCCGTAAATGGACTCTCGAGGCCCATTGCTCAATTTGATAGCTCCTTATTGGCTCACCACCCACACATATTGTCTTCAAACATGGTACATCATCTGGATTTAAGTTGGCCAGAACGGTCGACGTTAAGAATGTCCAGTTAGCGTCAAGTCGACGGATTGCTCGCGCTAACTCGCTACCACGCTCCTCTTCAGACAAAATGCATAAGCAACCACCGTGAATCAGAGTCATTAACATCTCCACAAGGGACCCGGCAAAATTATAAGACCCGAATTGTAGAGTGCGCATGTTGGCGTCCATATTCAAGTCTCGATGACTGATTACAGCTGAGCAGTATGAACGATGTTCAACAACAACACCCTTGGGAACACCTGTACTGCCTGAGGTAAAAATGATATAAGCAGCATGGCTTGGATCCAATGATATGGAGTCCAATACCGCCTTAGGATATTCCGATGACTTGAAAAGCTGCCAGCTCACGACCAGAGTCAGGGAGATGAAGTCGGAGAGTCTAGATTGGCAAGATGGAGATGTTACGGCGACGTTAGCATTTACCTGAGAGCACAGCTGTCGCAATCTGCTGTCGGGAAGACCAGGGTCCAGGAGCACGAACGCCCCTCCTGCTTTGAGCACGCCGAGGATCGCAACCACCGTGAACATCGATTTCTCGAAGCATAACGGAACTATCACTTCTGGGCCAACACCCACCGCTGTAAGTTGGTGTGATAATTGCGTAGATAGCTCGTCCAGGTCTCTGCGCGTCAGCTTGCCATCCCATGCATCTATAGCTGGTGCGTCTGGCTCGGCCTGCGCATGCTCACCGATAATGTCGTGTATGCATCTCTCCGTAACATCAGGGTCCGTTTTGTTCCACTCCTGTACGACTGATCTGTCCTCTGCTGTAAAGGCTTGAATGTTTCCTACTTTCAGATCCGGTGGAGCGTTGGCCAGCTGTTCAAGGATGACACTGAGTTGCTGCAGCATTTTCCCCATTCTCCATTCATCCACTACCCGCTTATCAAAATTCACCCTAGCCAGTATACTATCACTTGATATGAAGCATTCCAGTGTGATAGCATAAGTAATGAATTCTTGCTTGGTAGATGATGTCTGCCATTTCCCTAGTACATCATCCGACTCTAGCTCATCTTCTTGCGGTTGGACCACGAGTAAGGTCTGAAATTCACAGGCGTTTCGGCCTTCTTCGCTCATCTTTGCAAGCCGCTGTAATCCGATTTGTTCATAGGCAATCATATCGGTCGCCCCTTGTTGCAAACCTTTAAGATAGTCGGATGTCGTTTGTTCTTTTCTCATTTGCACACGAATAGGTACCGTCGCAATGGTCGGCCCTAAGATGTCCTCGATGCCCGTCACTGGGGCGTTCCGGCCTGATACGGTCGCACCAAAAACCACATCCGTAGATCCTGTGTAATGACTCAACAATACAGCTAATGCTCCGCGGATCATCGTCGATAACGTCACTCCAGCCTGCGCTTTTGATGGAAGTCTCATCTCGAGGCTAGCATTTGCCATGGGTTCCCTGAGCGCCACAGGCAACGATGGGAACGTAGCAAACTCATTATTCGCCAAGTACGACTGCCAGTATGCCTCGATATCTCTATCGTCTTTTTCGACAACGTGCTGCACAAAGACACCGAAGCCCAGTTTCTTGTCAATCGCCCCTCTCACTAGTTTACCTTGAATACTTTTCTTGACGAGATTTGTCACAAGCTGCAGCGACCATCCGTCATACAACGCATGATGCATGGTCAACACAAACCACCGTGGCTTGATTGTATTCCCAATCAGAGCAAACCGTAAGAGGCTATCGCCCAAACCCATCGATGCTGCCTTGTCCTTCTCAAGATAGTCATCCAGCTCGGAAGCCTGTGACCAGTGGACGTCGTCCCTACACACCACTTGTATCAATCCGAATTGACTGTGCTGCGCAATTCTCGTTCGGAAAATTGCCGCGGACCAGTATATCTCTTCCCATGCTGTCTTGAACAACTCAGGTTGCACACTGTCACATATATCGAGTACAGCCTGTAAGACGTAGTCGCCAGTCCTTTTCGTCGCGAGCGAGAACATGCCTTCTTGAAGTGGAGTGCACGGGTAAGCGTCCTCGATGAATGAAGGGTCTTTCAGATTGCAGAGCATGGCCAGGTCCTTGCGAAGCCGTTGGGGTCCCAAGTCGCCAGCGATGAGACAAAACGGCGTTGTTGTCTCCTCATTGGGTAGTGCTATCCCAGCTTGAATTTGAGCTTGCACTCTAAGGGTCGGGGAGCGGAATACATCTGCGACGGAAATGGCGATGCCAACCTTGCGAGCCGCTCCTACCAACTTCATTGCTGCAATCGAGTCGCCACCTAGCAAGATGAAATCATCATCTATACTGATGCTATCTGCCTTGACGTGGAGTACATCTGCCCAAAGGCCTCGCAGGACTATCTCGATATCCGTTTGCAGTTGGTGACTCTGCCCGTTTGCTGATCCACGAAGCTCAACCAACCGTTGTGCGGATAGGATCGAGCCCATTTCGCGCAGCCGGGCCCGGTCAATCTTCCCGGTCACCGACAACGGCATTATGGAAATCCGTAAGTATAGCGAGGGAATCATGTACGGCAACAATGATTGCGAGAGCGCCGTTTCAATGCTCTTGTGCACACTTACTAGCTCCATATCATCTGTAACTCGCTTTGGGTCACACAATCCTCCCTGGCCCGTCAGAAATACCGCCAACATGGGTCTCTCTTTCTGGCCTCCAAGCTCGATGACTTCAGCGACTACTTGATCAACGAACGATATCGATTGCCGCACGTGATGTTCCACCTCCCCGAGTTCTAAACGCTGGCCGTGAATTTTCACCTGCGCATCCTTTCGGCCAACAAAGCTCAAACTACCGTCTGCATTATAACACACAAGGTCTCCCGTCTTATACAAGCGTCCCCGTCGGCCGGGACGGTTCAGGGCGCCTTGGATCAGCCACGCAGGATCATTGATAAATGCAGTCGCTGTCTTCTCCGGTTCTCCAAGGTATCCTTGCGCTAGAACCGGTCCTTCTAGCAGAAGTTCTCCGGTAGTTCCCCTTGGTACAAGTTTCGTGTGATCATTCGGATCAACGACCCAAGTCAGAGCTCCTATTCCTCTCCCTATGTTTGTCGATATCTCCGGCGTGATTGCGTCTGCGTTCAAGGTGCTCATAGGCGTACACTCTGCGGGACCATATGCATTGAGGACGCGGAAGTTACCGCGCTTCAATCTTTCTAGATCGCCGGGGCTGACAGCCTCTCCAGATAGTATCAGGGTATGCAAATCTGGTAAGTTTTCGGGCTCCAGAAGCCTAGAAGTTGAGGGTGTGAGAGCCACCATTGTTGCAGCCATGTCCCTCAATGATTGATTCAGGTTCCCTTTGCGTTGCTCCTCCGATGGAATACAAAGACATGCTCCAACAGACAAGGTCATCATTGTATTGTAGACAGCCACATCGAAGCTGTAGGACGCGAAGTCGAACACCCTCGCTTCCGCGCAAAAGTGGAACGCATCGGCCTGGTGCTTACGCGCGCTGCAGAATGCGGAATGCGTGATAACGATTCCCTTGGGCCTTCCGGTACTCCCAGAGGTGAAACAAACGTACATTGGCCAAGTTGGATTGGGCTCGGGTAAGACAGTGGCTTTTTCCTCGTGAAGTTCCTGTTGCAGCACTAATTCGACTACGAGGACTGGCGCTTGCGCACGTGAACAGAGTGCTCGGCTGCCGATTGAGGCGCAAACGACTTTGGCCTGACATTGCTCGATGACCTCCCGCAAGCGGGCCTCCGGCTGGTTTATATCAAGTAGGGCGAAGGCACCGCCAGCCTTGAGAACGCCTATCATGGCCACGACGGTCCACATCGACTTCTCGAAACAGAGCGGTACAACCGCCCCCGGCCGGACACCGAAGCGAACAAGTTGGTATGCTAACCGATTTGACAGCTGTTCCAGCTCCCTGTAGGTCAGAAGACCATCCCATGCATCAACAGCTATCTTTTCCGGATGACGAGTACCTTGAGATGCAATTATGGCGTGCATGCAGTCGTCGACCATATCCGGCAAGAGGCCGTTTAGACTCCATATTGCTTCAACTTGGTCTTCATCCAAGAAAGAAGTTTTTCCAATGGTTCTGTCGGTTTTCATGTCCATGATTGACAGCAAATTGTCTTTGTGTGTAGAAATATGGTTCCTTTCTTCAAAATGTTGGACGATGGAACCAGGTAATGCGTAACAGTGTGCTCGCTCACTTTGGGTAACAGCCGAGTTCAAGCAATGATTCAGGTAAGGGCCTCCATGCAGAAAAATTCCTCAAAGGATCATTCATCCGAGCTTCAACTCAGATATTGTGCACACGCACTGAGTGTCTCAAATCAGGGAATGCCGTGACCGCCAAGGTAAGTGTGCCATAAGAACCGAGATACATCGCTTACAGTGCGTGTTCCTCGTATGACCGTTCCTTTGATCCCACTGTTTTGGGTCCTTTATTGAATCCTTCTGATTACTCCACAACAAGAGGGCTACTAAATGCTGACTTCCGCATCGCCTATACAACCCCTTCACACCACTATACTTGGCACACTCCTCTTCCCCGCACGATAACATTACGCTTTAGAGATTGCTTAGACTAGTATAAAACTGTAGCAATTGACTGAACGGTAGCGCGGTGTATACTAACATCATTGTGGGTATGTTTGTTGGTGATTGGGATTGGGAGTATAGTGATTTATGCAATTGAGACGCCAAACACACGAAATTATGGCAAGATTTATTAATCATGGTAGCGGAAGGTAGCTGGCAAAAGGAGGGATTTGATTGCGCAGCCGGATCGATCGGGGAGCTTATACAGGCCCATGCCGATGATTTACGGGATATGCAGTAGTGGAAACGGGGCCAATCGGCATCATGTATAGGCCCGCATGGAAAATGGGGCACAGCTTGTAGTGACCACAGCATGGTGACCCCAATAAGTGTAGGTTGGATTCTGCCCTATTTTCCACGCCTGCATGATGATCAGCAAACCATTGTGCCGTCAGAATGCTCCTGCGTGGCCAAGGCTGACAGGTTGCATCTGCAAGACTTCTGGGTTTCACACGTTCTGCGGTGCGCCGGACAGTCGGACAGTTCCAGATCCCGGGCGGCTTCGATATAATACTCGGCACCCTGTGTGGCTAATACATAAAGTGCTTTGCATATATATGCTGCATACGCCGAGCTTAGCTTGGTGCGCTGGCCGTTCTTGTCTGAGCCTCGGGAGCGAGAGATCCTTCAGACATTCCCCAGCGAGGCTGCGTGTGTGTGACAAAATCTCATGGCAAGGTCAAACCCCGACTCCCAAGCCGGCTTACCTCCCCGGATGACATGATCCGGATCAGGATCGACTCGCACTGGGTTGATCGGGACTCCACAGACTAGAAGATCTCGCTAAACTTGACGAAGAGTACAGCTCTTTCAAAATTTGAGTCACCATTCATTTCTTTGGGCTCGTCCTCTAATGTTTCGATCAGTCGAAGGTGGCATCCCGGGTAGTGTGTGCTTAATTAAATACATGCCAAATGAGATACAGAAGAGTATCGAATCTATTCATATGCAACCACTCATCTGTTGTGACGCTGGTTTGATCGTCTTTTTTCGTGTAATTAGAACTTCCTTTAATTTGGAGTGCGGAGGAGACTGAAATACATTTTTGGAAGAATACTCGAAGTGGCCGGGCGCTTGTTACCTGTTTTCGCAACCCACTGTACACTCAAAATCGACAGTTATGAAGTCTTCTATCTCGAAACTAGCCATGGTGCCCGACGTCCTTCGTGAGTCGGTGTCCCTCACAAGGGCATCTTATCGAAGGCTGGGGAGTAGCGGACTACGGGTATCAAATCCGATACTCGGAGGCGCACATCTCGGCAGCTCTCGCTGGCTCCCATGGGTCTTGGAAGAAGAGAAGGTAAGTCTATCATATTCACGCTAGCCGCTAAATGAAGGAAGGTCTAATTCACAAACGTCTGGTCAGGCATTGGGTATTCTCAAGGCTGCCTACGATCGAGGTATAAATACAGTATATTTGAGATTCGCCTTTTCCACGCTTTCCGCGTCTCTGACCATCAATAGTGGGACACAGCAAACGCTTATTCGAATGGTGAATCTGAGCGGCTCATGGGTAGAGCTCTGCAGAGGTATAAAATTCCTCGCCGCAAGGTCGTCTTGATGACAAAATGTTTCCGTGTTGTTTGCGACCATGAACATTATGACCCTGGTGCAGCTGTTCTCATGCATCATGAGGTGGCTGATTCCAGCAAAGACTACGTCAATCAATGGGGTATAATACCGTCTTGAGTGTGCAGGGGAACAGCTCTTTAGCTAAGAGCCCGTATAGGATTATCACGATCGGCCATTTTCAACGCAGTCGAGGCATCTCTCGAGCGTCTCAACACGACTTATATTGATGTTCTGCAAATACATCGATTTGATCCGACAGTCCCGCCCGAGGAGACGATGAGTGCACTACATGACATGGTCAAGTCTGGAATGGTCCGTTACTTGGGCGCAAGCTCAATGTGGGCACATCAGTTCGCCATTCTCCAGCATGTTGCGGAGAAAAACGGATGGACGAAGTTCATCTCGATGCAAAACCATTATAACCTATTGTACCGCGAGGAAGAACGGGAGATGATTAGGTACTGCACGCTTACGGGGGTTGGCCTTATTCCAGTGAGTTGACCACCCCTTGCCCTCCCGGATTCAGAGTCAAACTGTTGCTCATCTGCAACACCCTCCAGTGGGCTCCATTGGCCGGTGGCAGGCTGGCACGTCGACAAGGCCAGACAGCCTACACGGTCAGAACGTCAGTCAACGAAATGGGCGGCTTCTACGACCGTGGTAGTGATGGTGACTCTGAAAGGATAATAGCGAGGGCGGCGGAAATTGCTGATGAACGTGGCTGGCCAATATCACATGTCGGGTTGGCTTGGCTCAATCGGAGGGTGACAGCACCCATAATCGGCTTCAGCAGCGCGGAGAGGATGGATGAGGCTCTTGGAGCTCTGGGTAAGGCGTTGACAGAGACGGAAGAAGAATATCTGGAGGAATTATATCATCCAAGGGCTATACAAGGTCATTCATAATTCGGCCGGAAAGGGGATCAAACTTGTTTTTAGACCAGACTAGCCTAGCCTAGCCTAGACTAGTCTAGCTTGAACCTTGAAGTTGGGGCCTCGACATATCGAAAAGTGAATGAATATCAACGCGCACTTGGAGGAGAGTAACCGTGTGAGTTTCTTGTATTGTTAGACTGACCTTGGTCCAGTCCCATTATCTTATGTAAGGATACGCATGACATGACCTGACTGTGCCGCCGAATCTCCAAAAGTGGCATGCTCTCTCTTCCTCCAATTGGCAGGATGCACTCCATAGGCGGCTTGCCGAAGGCATCTGTTTTTGGTTCGTGGTTGCTATGGCCCAGTGAGGGACCCCTGTAACGTAATACAAAACAAAGATGTCTGACTGAAAAGACATGTGACGATTGAACATTGAAAAATAATATAGCGGGAGTATTTCGATTGATTTTATACGCTCCAACCCAAAAACGCGAAACTACACACAGCACAGCACAGCACAGCACAGCTGTCAACGAAAGCAGATCAGGGGAGGGATGTCTGGCTCTAACCTTAGTACCAACCTTGGCCCTGGAAGAGCGGCAGGGCGCGACCATGCGCTTGAATTCCTGCCCACGCAGCGGACTCTTAATCTCAAGGCCGCGTCTCCAGCTCCGGCTCCAGCTTTGATTGCCCCTGACCCGCCCTTTAGCACCATCTCGAAGCGCACTACGACGTTTCCCCATTGCATCATTCATAAACTCGCAAACGGCACTCTTGGAGCTGTGGTTCCATGGCTGACACTTTTTTGGGTTTTGAAGGGGCCATGTCATTGCTGTTCTGATTGCTCTACTCATTGTGCTATTACAGCTAAGTCGCACCCGCCGCTCGGGGCCAAGCAGGAGAGGGTTCTCGCCATTGGGGCTCGCGACAAAGTTAGATTGCCACGAGGCATGGGTGTCGCAAACATGCGGCCACGACAGATAATCCTCACCGGAGGATTTCTATGCTTCCTCATCTGTATCTTCTCGCTCTTCAGACTATCGCCGACTGGTACCCGCATAACTAGCCCCGGCGCCTTTTCATACACAGCCGGCAACTACCATGATTCTGCCGCCAGACCACCACCTCCAGCCCCGGAGCCCTTCAATCCCAAGCCCAAGCCTGTCCCCGCTGGCTCGCATCCTATATGGCATCTAGTCACCGCCGCCGAGCGCGAATTCGAGCACACTAAAGCGCGGCAGTCCAAGACGTTGGAAGAGGCCGTTGCTGAATACAGAAGAAGATACAGAATCCCACCCCCGCCAAACTTCGACAAGTGGTTCGCCTTCGCTCAGGCCAAGGGCGTCCAGCTCATTGACGAGTTTGACATGATTCACGAGTCTCTGACACCCTTCTGGGGTCTCAAGCCGCTCACTATCCGCGAAAGGGCCAAGGAGGCCCTGGGATTTGACAACGCGCTTCTCGGCATTTCCATCCGGGGGGGCAAGACCACACACGTCCAGGGCGGTGGTGATTGGCAGCGCGAGGCCACCGTAGGCATGATGGGCAAGTTCATTGAGTGGCTGCCCAACATGGACCTCTGCTTCAACCTACACGACGAGCCGCGAGTCACCGTCCCCCACGATGATCTGGCCAAGCTGGTTAGGAGAGGCCTGGAGACCAATATGCCACGCGCATACATGAACCAGCAGCCAAGAAACCAGTTCTCTAATACCAAGACCGGCTTGACCAGCGGCCATGGGTTTGAAGAGCAAAAGTTTACCAGGTTCAACATATTCGCCCACCAGCCCACTTGGTCACATTCACGGCTGTCGTGCCCGCCAGAAAGTCCGACCAGGGCGATTGAGGAAGACGAGAAGCGTGACGACCTGTCCAAGTACGCGTTAGGAGACTTGGGTTTCATCTACAATGTTACAGCCATGTCCGATATCTGCAATTCTCCTTCCCTTGGCACCAGCTTTGGCTTCTTCGATCGGCCGAATGCATACAACATCGTGCTTGACCTGTTCCCCATCTTCTCACAGTCCAAGATATCATCCTACTCGGATATCCTCTACCCTTCGCCTTGGTACTGGTACGAAAAGGTCAGCTATGATGAGAAGAAGGATATAGCGTGGAACAAGAAAGAGGACAAGTTATACTGGAGGGGCAGCACCACCGGCGGGTTCAGTAGGAATGGCGGCTGGCGGCGGCAGCACCGACAAAGATTTGTGCAGAAGATTAACGCAGCCGAGGGCGCTAAAATCATGGTCAACAAGGGTAGCGACACGGAGCAACATTGGGAACCCAAGGGTGTCAATCGGGGTGATTACAAGGATATCATGGACGTGTACTTCAGCGGCGTTGGCCAATGTGACCCCGGCGATTGCGACGCGCAGAAGGAGTTCTTTACCATCAAGGGGCATGCTGGACAGCAAGATGCTTGGAACTACAAGTACTTGCTCGACATTGACGGCAATGCATTCAGCGGTCGTTTCTATGCATTCTTGAAGAGCCGCAGTCTGATTTTCAAGTGGGCCATCTTCAGAGAATGGCATTTGGAATGGCTTAAGCCTTGGGCGCACTACATCCCGCTCAGCGCGCAAGGAGAGGAGTGGTTGGAAGCCGTTCGATTCTTTGGCGATGGCCCTCTTGGAAAGCAAGAGGCGGAAAGATTGGCGAACCAGCAGCGTGATTGGGCAAACAAAGTCCTTCGACACGAAGACATGGAGGTTTGGTTTTTCAGGCTATTGTTAGAGTATGTGCCTATTCCTTCACTCTTGACTGCGAACTACAAAGACTAATAGCATGCAGATATGGTCGGTTGATAGATGATGATCGTGAATCGATCGGCTTTTCCGTTAATGGCGCCGCTCCTGCAATCAAGGAAGTACTTGTCGGAAAGCCAGTATAAAGCACAGGCATGGGGATGATTGTACTTTGCTAGATATATACATTTTCATATTGGGAGGTTTTTTTGGGGGGTCTTTTTTTTTCATCACGAACAGCAGACACTTTTGGGAGAGGCGTTGTGATCATCGTTACTTTGTACACGCACACACACACACACACACACACAGAGACATACACTTTGTACACAATATCAGCATTAGGCATGGGCGGAGTTGTTCGAATGGAGGGCGCGAGCCTATAAACGTCCTGATGGAAGGCCGTATGATCACGAGCTGATGCGCTTGACAAGGAGTCGCGCGGGTGTGGCTGATATACAATACTGCAAAAGAGCTTAGGACAAGACGATACCTAATAGCAAACGAATTGGCCTCAGCTACCATGCAGATGATGGTTTTCAAGCGAGAGAAGCTTTGCTACATTTGCTTTCAAGGCTACTTGCGACCACATCCGGTTGAAAGAACAATGTCTATTGCTAAAGGATTGCAGTAGTAATTCGAAGTAGTAACGTAAAGAGCATCGTATATTTTCTTCAAAACTTCGTAGCTACCCCTAACGCTTGTTATTACGGCCCAACATGTAGTCGCCTTCCCAAGATTCACACAGATACAAAACTGATGCCACGTTGGTATATCACGTATAGCATATTGGGTCTGTATCTTCTTGCATGAGTTGGGCGTTATATAGTTAATTAGGGCTTGGCATTCCATGTTTGCATTTTCCGGTGCCATTATATTACCATGGGTTTTACACCATATACGTGCTGGATCCGCTAATGAAACATAAAGTCGCCCAGACTTCTGCGAAATGAAAAGTCAATCGTCACGAAAATTAGTTTTGTGTTTCCGCGAAGCTGTCTGCTATCAAATTCATGTCTTGGTCTCTTGTCACAACCAGATTATCATAGCTTGGTCTGTTACACTCGATAGTGCTTCTTCTTGTCATGTCCTTGTGTTATAACACCACCCGGTATGTACACCTAGGCGAATTCCTTCGACTTGCCCTTCATCTTGTGCTCGCGTCTTATATAAGTGACCCAGCTCGAATGAGTGCTCAGGACAGTGTCACAGTTGCGTTCCTTGCAGGGGAACTCTTTGCACTCTTCCTTAGTGTTCTCCTTGGCGTAAGTCGACTCCAGGTTGTGGACCTTGTGGTTGTGATCCCACAAGTTCTTCTCCTTTGAAATCATTAAAGAGCCACAAATCTCCATAGGGTTGTGCTTGTTCTGGCGGTGGCACATAAACTTGCCCTTCTCTGCCACAATCTTGCCGAAGCCGCCAAATGCAGAGACCTGGGTCTCTATGCCATTGTTATACGCGTACGTCTTGTATTTGCCTAGCTTGGCAGCCCACTTCATCTTGTAGGTATCTGAAAAGTCTGGCTAGGGTGCATTAGATATCTATATGTGAAAGGTTAACATTTGGGGAAGGCCTCAGACCTCGAAAGTTGGGTCAACTCATAACCGTGGCTCCGACATCGACCTTGGCCTTCTTGGCGGGAGCCTTCTCATCTAAAGCGCTATCTACGCGTCTCTTTGTAGGCATCTGTGAAGCATGAGTATTAGTATGTGTCCAGTCATAGCTGTCAAATTATGGTGTCTCACCTTGCTAAGGTGTCCGAAAATGCAATGTTCTTATCCCTTGCGTGGTGCCGGAGTTCGCGTAGTTAAGTGGACAAGTTGCTGCTCCGGATTTTTTATTCAAGTTCCACTTATCTCCGAGGAATGCGGAATGAAGTGAAAAGAACCTCGGAAGAAACTCAAGTGCAATAGGGAAGTGATGCCGACTATTAGGGTGTCGATATGCGACTATGGATTGCCTAGTCTATAAATGAACGTTAGTGATAGAAAGTCGGTGATGAGAAGCCATACTAAAAGAATAGTATTAAAACTGGGCGGTTTAAGCTGGGAAGTTTTATGGGATCGCCGAGTGATTGCCAAAGTAATCACCAAGTGCTTACCCAGTATAGCTGAGTACCTCAAAGTCCTATATTGTTGGAATATATTATTCGCGGTCTCGTACGACGGTTGACTACGTAGTATAAGTAGTCACGCGGCGTGCTAGCAGTAAGCCACCACAGCCACGATGTGGCTGTCGGCAGCCAGCAGCCGTACTGGTAAACCCCTATCTATAGACCACGTACGAGGGGAAGAATCCCTTCTTCTCCTTCGTACGATAGCGCTGAATAGATCTATTTGTCGCCCAAACTGTACGGAAAGAAATGGAATGGAGAAGCCATTCCACATATATGTATAATATAGCCGCGAGGATAAACTGAAAATCGGCCGTTATAGGATACGGCGACCTGTAAAAAAGAATTTGAAGACCGTGGAAGGGTGGAGAAGTCAAGTCGGCGATTGCTGGCAAAGTGAAGACGGTGGTGGCTGGAGAAGTGAAGACGGTGATGAGTGGGAAAACCAAGTCAAGTCGGCGATTGTGAGTGGAAAAGTGAAGACGGTGGCGGGCGAAAAATTTGAAGCTGGAGTTGGCGATTGCCAATATTAATATTTACACCAAAGCTGGCGAGTGCCAATATTATTGTTTATACTAAATTTGGCGACTGCTAATATTAAATATAATAAAACAATCTCTGAACATGTATAATACATTATCCTAAGGAGGGTTGCCTTAAGTGCACCTTATATCTGCCCAAAGCATCTAGTTGGCTAAGACTATATTGCTATGGTGCAAAACTCATGTAACTAGGAATGAACTTCGCTGAGCTATAACATGCTTACGTGCTTACTGATCTATGAGTGACAAGTCCTCCAAACACGGATGAGGACTGTCCATCTATCAGGCCGCCATAAGACAGGATCCTCTTATTAGTCCCGTCATCCTAAATACTAACCTGACTCTGTCTGCAATATGTTGAGCTCCCTAGCGCGTCCAGCGGCACTGCAGCACCATCACGTTGAGAGACCTCTTCGCTGGGCCAGTTTCTATAGGTTTCGTCTACTGCCGACAATCAGGGGAAACCCTACAAGATCCAACGCGCAACCCTCATTCTGTGGATGGCATCACCACACCAAATTGCGAAGAATTGACGCAATGCGCTAACAACAACAAGTATAACCCGTGAGCTCTGCCTCGCCAAAACCGTAGTACGGTAAACTCAGAGAGCTTTGACTCTTTGTCCATTCAACACGTATACTTGGAAGCGTCTCGTAATGATATGTCTGACACGCTGCCTTGTATACACCATAGCACTGACTTCAGCCAGGTACAGCATCAACACCCTTTAGCTACGCGCTGTGGGATTAAAAATTGATGGGACGCCGTTCCTCAGGATCACACCAACAAGCGCCTCGCTGGCAACCAGGCACGTTCCTATACTGTAGCTAACAGCGCCGATGTAACTATAATGAAGAAGCATACACACTCGCTGATACTGGGGAGAACGACACTAGGTAGCGGAAGACTAACAGTGAGATATTCAATTACAGATAGAATCTTGCATCAAAGAGAAAGGTGCACGGCTCTGCGGAGTGAACGGTACACAACCTATTTCTCCTCTGGCTACCCATCGGTGCATGCTCACTCCACAGGACGGTACAATACTGTGAGTGAGATCAATCAAATTTATACGTATACTTTTTTCAAGCTTCTTGGTGTCGTCACAGTATTTGACAAAGCAGTCGCATCTTGAATGGAGTGGTGGAATGTCTTCAACTTTGAAGCTTGGAGGCGAGTCCACACGGCAAGCACAGGTCAGTCAGAGTTGACTAGGGCCGGCAATTATGGAGCACCTTGGGCAATGTCGTTGCTGTGCCGACAGTGAGACCCACATCAACAAGTCGTTCTCAGCTACTCCTGAAATCGGGAGGCGATTACCCAGGTATCAGAGGCAAATAACAAGACATGAACAACGGGAATGAAAACATGTCGAAGTCTACGGTACGTAAATATGGGAAACAACAAAAGAAGGCGAAGTGCGAACGCCTTTTCGCGGAATTGCCGCAAACCCCAATTCGTTTGAGTGTGAGAAGGGCTGCAGTTATCGAAGAAACAGACGATGCAATCAACTGCATAACGGGAAAAATAACAACTATGGATATCCGAGACGAAAACGATGCGCTCCAGCTTCCAAAGAAATCTGCATCAATGGCGCCAAGCAGAGGTTCAAGGAGAACCAAAACAGTAGAAACGGCTCAAGAATCAACTGCTGAGCCTGACGAGCTGCCAGAAGAGGCGCGTAGTGAAAGGCCCGAATCTTGTGGCGTGGAGCCCGCAGAGGCTGGCCTTCGAGTACTTTCGTGGTCGGAAGTCTGTCCCCCAGAAGACCGGATAGTCAAGATCGCGGAAGCGTCTTACGCGGAAGTTTACCGGGTCACAAACGAACGGGGCACAAGCATCATCAAAGTTGTGCGCATGGAGTCTCCCATCAAAGCACAAACGAAAGCACAACAAAAATCCGGTCTAGTCGATGAACAGCCGCATCCAGAAGCCGATTTAATGGGCGAGCTGAAGATTTCCGAGTTGCTTGCGGATATTCCTGGGTTTGTGGTGTATAAAGAGAGATACGTCGTGCAAGGGAAAACTTGTAAAGAGCTGCTCGAAACGCACCAAGCTTTCCACAAGAAGGCAAAGCGGCAAGACCCTAACCGGCTGCAATTCTATCCCTCACCAAGTCGATACTTGGATGACACAAGGTTCCTTGTGGTTGAGCTCGGTGATGCGGGAGTTGCATTAGAGGACTTCCAGCTCCGGTTGGTAGACCAAATATGGGATATCTTCTTTCATGTCGCGATTGCCTTAGCTCGGGCTGAAGCCCAGGTAGAGTTTGAGGTATGTTGAAAACGAAGCTGAAACGAAAAGTCTATCTAACTCAAACAGCATCGTGATTTGCATGAAGGAAATTTGTGTATACGCCAGGTTGGGCAGCCAATCCCAGAGGAAGAACGATGCACATCCTCCTTTTTTGGATATTCGGGTCTTGAAATCACAATTTTAGACTATGGTCTATCCCGGGCAAGAGAAATTATCGAGTCAGATGACTCACAACCGATTGCCTATGACCTGGAGAGAGACCTGAGCATCTTCACTAGCGAGCACGCACCACAATGCAGGGTCTACCGGCAGATGCGCTCATTCTTTCTACGGGGTGATCGGGTGTGTATGTCACCCCAGAACCACAAGATCCCATATGCCGAAGGTAATGATGGCCCAATCTCATGGGCTCAGCATGAGCCGTATACCAACGTGTTATGGCTTGCGTACCTATACGAATATATCGTCTTCAACTTCCAAGGCTCCAGAAAGGAATTAAATGCGTTCAAGCGTGTGACGCGGGACTTTTGGACGCATCTTGATCCAGCAGCAGACGACAATATTCCAGGTTTTGCCAGTGCTAGCGACATAGTCATGTTCGCTGTCGAATCTGGATGGATTGATGAAGAGCAACTGATGGGCAGCAGGAGCATGATCGAAAGGTCGATATTGTCAATTCTATCAGATGATGAGCTTGTCAGGGATTTTCAAGATCTAGATTTTGGTTCACCATCGCTAAGGAGGTCACCAAGGCGACTTTAGCAATGATACTTTGTATGAACATTAAACGCATGTACGATAGCATGACGCATAGCTTGGTCTAAGTGGAAAGCGTTTGAACAACTTCCTTGCTTTCACGCAATCAAAGTCATAATGACAATTACCATTGCCGAGATTAGGCGCAGTGACTTGACGGCAGCTACCTGCCCGCAAGCTAGGCATGTAGCATTACAGGAGTCCCTTGTTATAGAAGCATGCAGTTATGTTGCTACGTCCCTGCGGCCCTGGTGAGGCGACACTGGTGCTAGCGGCTGACGTCCCCGGCACATTTGTTGCGCGAATGGGACTTTGACGTGATACGTATGGGCCGATTTCAGAATGACAAAGAATGCGTGTAGTAAATGATAGCCCTCGTCTCTGCCAGTAGGTCCATGTGAATTCAGGCGAATGATTTACATATATCGTTGAGCTATCTGGGAATGTCTTTTGTGCCACCCAATTAAGACCGCTTGGTACCTGACGATCGACTGCGGCACTTGTTAGCGCCTCACCCGCACACTAATCTGAATAAAACTTAGCGCATGAAACAGCCCTCCAGTGATCTGGCTTGACTGCGGCGAAATGCTACAGTAGCATATTAAAGCAACTCAGTGTGTCATCGGCTTGAGAATACTGTACCAACAAAAACGCCTCGCCACGAGACCCGTCTTTGGAATCAGAGAAAACAAAGGTAATTGTGCCTGTCTAGTAGTAGCATTGGTTCTAGTATCGAATCATGGTAAACATGCGACTCCGCAACCTTGCCTCTGAGACCCATACTTAATTCAATGTTACCAACCCCATCCCATCCCTGAGCATTTGCTGGAGGTTTGGCACGAGTACCTAAGGAACCCACATCCCTCGCCGAATGATAATGACGACATGACTGGGAATCAAGCTCTAGAGAACGGCGAGTTAAGGGAACGCCTTGATCCACCACTCTCCGTTATCCGTCCTGGAAGGTTGAGCTCTCCAGTTAACGTCCCTGGTAGATAGTGCAATTCCGTCTTCTGCACCAGGAGACATTCTAAACCAATTATGTGCTTGTTATCCTTTACCAGGGCCACCGTGATCCAGGTCTGGTGATCAGCGCTTTCCTTACTGATATTACTTGAAGGAAAGCTAATCGGCTATGGCGTCATGATATATGCAACTATTCCTCTAGACTCAGGGGAGCAATATACTCCGGGCTGTTGCTTATCTTGGCATGTTCATCCGTTGTCCGCGAAAGTACGGTCGGCCCATATACTCTGGCAGCCCCATCACCCCACGGCGAAGAAACGCCCCAACAAAGCCAACGAGATTTCAAGGTTCGCATGGTTCGGCAGCTTTGTGACGGGCCAAAAGCCTCGTAGCCATATATTTCGACAGGATTGACCTCGCTCATAGTACATCGCAACATCGAGATTGGAGTTTGGAATCAAAAGGCTATCCCAGTCGAAATGTAAATCTGGTTTTCTTGCTGTGAACCATTATTTTCTTTTCTCGAACTCCCCGTCGGGCCAATGATACTACATACTGTCACTGGGATGAGATCGACTAATTGCGGAAAGTCACATGGAAATGCCCTTGTTCGTTGTCAGCAGGTATGAGTGGTCAATTTATCGCACCTACGTCGATCTGGAAATGCTTGCGAGTGTATTTATGTTTAGGCCACTGAGTAATTGTCCCCTTCATCCCCATCAAGAATAATCTGTGGACCTGGCTCGTTACTGTACTCGTCCGCTATTTCGTCGCAAAAGGGCCCATGCTAGAACGACATGGCTGTGAGCATCTGGGAAATGCAATTGAATTACAGCGTGATAATCATCATATGATGAAATTCTCTATGCAGTTCCTCATCGGGAACAAAACAGTACTGTAAACACAAAAGAAAAGGTATTTTTTATGAACGGATCATAAATTGATCGATCGTGAGCGGCCCGAAGGTATGGGGCACCTTCGAGGAAACGCTATAGAGATGTCCTTGCCCAACTAGCGTGCATACGAGTTAGTCTTCAGACGAATATCTTTTCGGCTAACGGGTTGTTCACTCAATTCTAGAGATTCCAATGCCTAAGGTCATCAACTAAACCAATCTGCGAAGTTTGGGTGCCGTCTGGCGGCGGTCCTTTCAATACTCCTTCCAGGATTCTAAAAATGGGCGCAACTTAACCGCCAACATCAGACCATATTCTGCAATGCCAAGCAAACAATTACCAATCCACGCTGTGAGCACAATCTTTGTTTCGAAGCATATTTCTCAGATCACTAACTGGATCGTTGCCAAGCATGTATACCTTAAGTGCATTGGTGTGATGGGCGCCGCCAAGTCTCAGAAAAATACGCATCACGTCCGAGGCATGTAAATCTATGCAGGCTGACAATTTCGCTTGTGAGTTTTTGACTGTCCGGACTTGGCGCTCCTCAAACTCCGGGATAAACTTCCAATCTATGCACGATGATTCCAAAGACTTGTCTCCCACAATCCTTGGTGGGCCCGGCGATCATCTGGGTTCCCCATTCGGTATAATAATCATAGTTTCGATTGGCCCCCAGCACTGGAGCTCCTGTGGGTCCATGCGTATGCCATATGGATAAGTCTAGCTTAGCTTTAATCGGAATCGGTTGCTAGGATCACACCACGTTATGCATGCGACGGAGGAAAGTTCGTGCTGCTATGTGCATGCTATGTTGTTAGCAGCAATGGAGTTTCGTACCAGAGCCTCACTGCGAGGATAGGGTGTGTCGTGGTCCAAGGCATGCCCTGATCTGATGCCGGTTTAGGTTATGGCACAAACCTGACCACAGGTATAATAGACCGACCACTTCTCTCTCATTCATACCTTCCGTTACCACTTCACTGGATGCTCTTCCTTTGTCCAAACTCTCGATAATTCGCATACGAGCTTGGAGAAATAGGACAGGTGAACATGGGTCGAACAACCACAAGATCTTTCGTCCTTTCTGGGCTATTGGGACTTGCCTCCGCTGTTGGCTGTCCCTTCGCCAACCCAGGAACCCTTCGAGCCCGAGATGATGCCTCGTCTGACGATTACCTCGCTCAATTCGAGCTCGAGGATAGCACTGGTTACATGACCGATGATGTTGGCGGTCAAATTACGGAACAGAACAGTCTGAAGGCTGGTAGTCGTGGACCCTCACTCCTTGAGGATTATATTTTCCGACAAAAGTATGTTTATTTTTGGCTTGCGCTGTGGCACAGACTCTAATGTTCCTTAGAATTATGCACTTCGACCACGAGCGCGTAAGCTGATTCCTGGAATTAGGCAAGACTCTTGGCCTTCGTGCCACGATTTTAGTGTCTTTGTGGTTGATACTGACAAATATTTGCCTAGGTTCCTGAAAGGGCTGTTCACGCGAGAGGCGCTGGTGCACATGGTACCTTCACTAGCTACGGCGATTGGAGTAACCTTACGGCTGCATCTTTCCTTGGCGAGGCCGGCAAAGAGACTCCTGTTTTCGTCCGTTTTTCGACGGTCGCAGGATCGAGGGGGAGTGCCGATACTGCACGTGATGTCCATGGTTTCGCAACAAGATTGTAAGTTTGGAGGTTCTTCAGTGCTGATATCAAACCCGGCTAATGATGGCATAGCTATACCGATGAGGGCAATTTTGGTACGATAACTACTTTTACTCCCGAAACGTGGTACTAACTTCGGAACTCAGATATCGTCGGAAACAACATCCCGGTCTTCTTCATTCAAGATGCCATCCAGTTTCCTGACCTTATCCACTCGGTCAAGCCGTCGCCCGACAGCGAAATCCCTCAAGCAGCTACAGCACATGACTCGGCGTGGGATTTTTTTAGCCAACAGCCAAGCTCTTTGCATACTCTCCTGTGGGCGATGGCAGGTTACGGTATTCCCAGGAGTTTCCGTCACATGGTGAGTCCGCATATAATGGCATCTTGAGACTGTGCTGACATCGTCTAGGACGGCTTTGGCGTCCATACTTTCCGCCTCGTTACTGACGATGGTACCTCAAAGCTGATCAAGTGGCACTGGAAGACCAAGCAAGGAAAGGCTTCTTACGTCTGGGAGGAGGCTCAGATCCTGGCTGGCAAAAATGCGGACAAGCACAGACAAGATCTTTGGAATGCTATCTTGTCAGGCAACTACCCAGAGTGGGAGCTTGGCGTCCAGGTGGTCGACGAAGAGAACGTCATGGCTTACGGCTTCGACCTATTCGATCCCACTAAGATTCTCCCTGAGGAATTCGCCCCTGTACAGAAACTTGGTGTTATGAAATTGCACACTAACCCGACCAATTATTTCGCCGAGACTGAGCAAATCATGTTCCAGCCTGGACATATTGTCCGCGGTGTTGATTTCACTGAGGATCCTTTGCTGCAAGGCCGGATCTTCTCGTACCTGGATACTCAGCTCAACCGACATGGTGGTCCCAACTTTGAGCAGCTTCCCATCAACCGTCCTCGTGCGGCTATCCATAACAACAACCGTGATGGTGCAGCGCAGAACTTTATCCACAAGAATAAGATCCATTGTATGTTCAGCCTTTGCCGATTGTCACAGCCCCTCTCTAATTCTTTGCAGACTCTCCAAACACCCTGAATGGCGGGTACCCTCAGCAAGCCGACCAGAGGAATGGCCGTGGATTCTTCAACGCCCCTAGCCGTACCGTGTCTGGCAATCTGGTGCGCGAGCTCTCGTCAACCTTCGATGATCACTGGTCTCAACCACGTCTTTTCTACAACTCTTTGATGCCTGTCGAGCAGCAATTCATTGTCAACGCTATCCGATTTGAGACCTCCAATGTACAGTCCGCTACTGTGAAGCAGAACGTAGTTGACCAGCTGAACCGCATTGACAATGATCTGGCTACGCGCGTTGCCACCGCTTTAGGCCTTGACGCGCCTATCCCCGATGATACCTACTATCACGACAACACGACTGCAGGTCTATCAATCACCAACCACACCTTGCCAACTATTGCCACACTCCAGGTCGGAATTCTGACCACGACCAAGTCTCTTAACCAGGCCATATCTTTGAAGCAGCGTCTAGAGACCGATGGTCTTGTCGTTACTGTCGTTGCTGAGACTTTGGCAAGTGGTGTCAACAAGACCTACTCCGCCACCGATGCCACTGATTTCGACGCCGTCATCATCGATTCCGCCGCCGATCAAGCAGGTATATTCAGTAGCAGTTCTGTCTCTGCGCTCTACCCCAGAAACCGCCCCACAGAGATTGCACAGAACGCGTACCTCTTCGGCAAGCCTGTCGGCTATTTCGGCAGCAACGGTACTGTCAGCTCCTCCATCTCTTCCGCTGGATGGGCCGAGAATGAAGCCGGTGTCTACTTCAACAATAATCTGGAGTCTTTTGTCAGCGATCTCAAGAAGGGATTGGCAATCTTCAAGTTCACGGATCGGTTCGCCTTGGATTCATGAGCTATGGCGGCTCCGACAGATGATTGATTCTTATATATTTTGTAAAGATGAGTACTTGAGTAATAAAGTTAAATGAACATGACTATAATATTGGGCGAGTAAATGTCTCCGTATATAGACGCTTTCCCCACCAAAACTTGTTACTTTTGCAACGTTTACAGTATTTAGTCTTGATTGTGTATAATATCTTAGTGAGTGTATTGCTTTAGTATAATTTAGTCTTATCTCATGTGAAAAGCTTTCGAAGTATGTCCTTCTATATTCCCCGTATAGACATGCACTAATCTAACGTACGGAGACGTTTGCTCGATCAGTGTAGATTTTTCTTATGTGAGTGACTTAAATCTTATGGTGTGTTGGCTTTATGTCGACTCTGAACATGGTGGTGGGCTTTTGTACCTTCTTTGGGGGGTTTTTTTTCCCCAGGGGGGTTTTTTTTCTCTCTCTTTTCTTTCTTTTTTGCACAGGTTCCCTATACCGCACGTGGAGAAAGATAGTGACACGGAATCACTTGTACTTGTTAGTGACTTGACTTGCATGGCATTCAGATCTTGGGGTGGGGAGACCCGATTGACACAATTCAAACAGAAGAGGTTGCTTGTTAGCCTTATGCGAAAAAGTCATTCACTGAGAGCATGACTCCAGTACGTCCTTTGATACGGTGCTGCACGAGCAAGCGACAGCTGGCGGAGTGGTTCGACAGAGCTTGACGGTCCGTCACAATCTCTATTGCACCTTCCATCGAACTCAGTTCATTGATCTTGCTGCATCAGGTTTCATTTCGAAATTTTACCAAAATTTTCCAAGCCCCTTGATTAAGCAGGGATTTCTTTATTGCTCTTTTTATTGTTGGCCAGGGTTGAATGTCCTGCGCAACCAGATCTAATTCATAAAACCAACACCTCCAGCAACAAATTCATATTTCCAACACGGGTCGGATTTGCGTCCACCCCACCACCCACAGCAACAACTCAACACAGATGAGAATTTCAAGCACTTAAACACAGCATTATCTGGAGTGATTCAGTAATCTCTTGAGATCTTTCCAAGGCTTTTCTCAAGATGGCAACGCACACCGCCATGACGCAGGGCAATGACCCTAACCTTCGTGCTTCACTTGAGTGCAAAGTCGGCATTCTGCACTTCGTTTCACCCAAGGAGCATGGCTGGAATGGAGTTCTTCGAAAAAGGTAAGATACTTGGGGAGAGGATCTGGTTTTATTTGGGTAATAGAGTTTTGTTGGTCGCAGCAATCTTGCTGAATGATTGGTGCTATTTCAGCGTGAATGGTTCAGCCTATGTTCTTGCTCTCATGTACCAGCTGCTCTACCAAGAAACTGACATAATGCTCTCAGATTCACTGATTTCCAGGTTCATGAGATCAATGAAGACGGAGAGGTCGTCCACCTGAAAGACTATTTCACCAGCATCAGAGACTACGAGAGAGCTGTGAGTGTCAAAACGCTACCAAAAAGAATCGGCATTGCTGATATTAAATTGCAGACGGCCAAAAAAGAAGAACTCTCGTCAGAACAGTCGGCACAAGCACAGGCACAAGCACAGAGTAATGCGAGTGAACCTGGTGCCACTACAGCCACTCCTGCCAATGCAGGACCGATTACTGAGGACAGGATTCAACAACTCGAAATTGCGCAGAGCTCAGCAACCCAATTCACTGCAAAGTCTACTACTGAGTCAAATGCGGGCAATAAGCAGCAATCTACAGATGGCGTCGCAGAATCTGATCAGGCAAAACTTACGGAGTTGTTGGGCGAGGAAGCGACCGCAGAGTTGATGGATTTTTACAAAAAGATCCTTGCTGACCCTAAAGCACGACCGCAAAGCCACGGGTTTGTCAAATTTCCTCGAATTGCCGACAAATCTGCACGTACTGCTACTCATTCGGTGTGTATAGTCATTGGGTGTTTTCTGTGAGCGAAACTGACCTGAAGCAGGAAATTCGCCGTATCTTCGCCTCTAAAATCGAGACGGAAACTAACTCTGATGGCATCATCCAGGCAAAAGCTCAACCTGCTCGTGGCAATTCAAGATGGGGTAGCCGCTCGGATAACCGCAACCGCGGCAATCAGTCCAGCCAGGTTCAGATTGGCAAGTTTCTGCATTTTTCTCTTTACAAAGAAAATAAGGACACCATGGAGGCCATCAACATCTTGGCTGGCGCCTTGAACATGAGACCCAACTTCTTCAGCACCGCTGGTACCAAGGATCGTCGCGCAGTAACTGTACAACGTGTGAGCATCCGTGGTCGTGACCCAAAAAAGGTTCTGAGTGCCAATGCCAAACTTCGCGGCATAGCTATCGGCGATTTCAAGTTCTCTGAAAAGGATCTGTACCTCGGCAGCCATAATGGGAATGAGTTCACGATAGTTTTGAAAGACTGTAACTTCCAGGGTTTCGAAAGTGAACCTTTCGAACGACAACTTGAGATCGCCCAATCAACGCTTGACCGCGCTATTGCCGATATTACCAAGAAAGGCTTTATCAACTACTTTGGCACACAGCGATTTGGTACCTACGAGATTGGAACGCAAGTTTTAGGAATGAAGATTCTGCAGGGTGACTTCAAAGGCGTCATTGAGGATATTCTTTCCTTCGACCCAGGCTTGGCCGCCACCGACCCAAAAACATTGCAAGACGACAACAACAACAACAACCGTCTCATTGATACGTACAGAGCCATGGCGCTGGCCAAGTACAAGGATGGCGATGACGTAGAGGCAGCAATCAAGGGGCTTCCAAAGCGATGTAATACTGAATCCACTATTCTCAGGCACCTCAGTAAATCGCCTAACGACTATCACGGTGCCATTCTGGCCATTACCCGAAACATGAGAAACATGTATATACATGCCTATCAGTCGCTGGTGTGGAACTTTGTTGCGAGCAAGCGCTGGGAACTTTTTGGTGCCTCAGTCGTGGAAGGCGATCTGGTCTATGATGAGGCAGATGGAGCAACCAAGACCGGAACGACTGGCCAAAACGCTGATGATGACGACGAAGAGAACATTCATCTCACGGTGATGGATTCCACCAGAGAAGGTTCCAAACAGCCTGTACGTGCATTGACCACGGAAGATATCGCAAGCGGTCGTTATTCTATCAACGATGTCGTGCTATCTATTCCTGGAACTAACGTTGTTTATCCTGACAACAAAATTGGCGAGTTTTACAAGGAGTTCATGGGCAAAGAGGAAAACGGTGCCCTTGATCCTTACAACATGCAGCGCTCTCAGAAGGCATTCAGTTTGACTGGTGATTATCGAAAGTTCATGGGTAGCTTTGTTGGTACTCCATCGGGCAGTGTCCGCTCTTACACACATGACAATGATCAATTGATCCCTACGGATATGGACTTGATAAAAGCACGACAGACCAAAGCCCGCGCAGAGGCTGCCGCTGCCGCCCATGCTCAGGGACCAGCAACATCTGGATGGAACTCTTTTGCAAAGAATGTCCAGACCGACGAGCGCACGGAAGCAAGCGAGAAGTTTGCTGTTGCCCAGCGACGAAAGGCCGAAGAAGTCGATGACGGTCCTTCTGACGTACGCGTAAAAGACACCTGGATCCAGACATCAACGGATGGAAGCAACAAGCGAATCAAGGTTGATTCTACTTCAACCGAGGTTGGTCACGAAAACAACGGATGCCAGGAGGCCGATAGTATGGAGGTCGATAAGAAGCCGATTGTATCACAAGAAGCCGCTCCACTGCCCGCAGAAAATACTGAACTGTCGAAGCACGATGGAGCCAACGGCACCTCGGCGCCGGAGGTTAGTACGATAATCTATCCCATTACCGAGGAGAGCTGGTGGACACGCTTCAAGAAAGTTCTTTACAAGCTTTACGATGCCACTTTTGGAGACCTCTTGAAAATATTTAGTACTAACACTCTCTTGCGCAAGCCATCTTCCAAATCCCCGCAATCTGAATCGGGCGCTAAGACTATACTGCCCGAAACAACTAGTGAGTCTGCTAACGAACAGAACCCTAAAGCTGGACCATCGCCGTCCGTTGACACACCCATGGCCGACCCCTCCCTGGACTCTCAGGTAGATGCCCCTCTCAGCCCAGATACTGCAAAGGAGTCGATGCAACAAGGCCACACAGTACCACCGACTGAAGGACAGAAGATCGCGATCGTTCTCAAGTTTTCACTAGGCTCGAGCGCATATGCTACCATGGTGCTTCGTGAGCTTCAGGGTTAGAAGCCGCCAAGCACTGAAGTGTCTATTGAGTCCACCCGTGCCGTGTCAACTTTGGACCGAGGTAGCGTTTAAAGCGGATGGGGAGCGATGGCGAAGCTTTGATGACCTGCTACAAAGGAGATCGCTGCGAGTTGGCTTTCGATCAATCTACAAACCAATCACTGCACTCTTTGGGTGGTGGTCCAACGGTTTCACGGTATCTATGATTTGCTACGTGGAATTGCCAGCTTCAGTATTATTACTAGGGATAGTGTTATAAAGGAAACATACCACGTGGAATCCCCTCCAAAGTTGCAAATGGTTGAGTGACGAGGGCAAAAAGAAATAAGGAATGTCGTCTACTTTGCAGTTGTTGCATCCTGGTATTACGTATGAGCACAAGTAGATATCCTAGTTGCCCAAGTGCAATGAAGATTTGTTTTGCTTTGATTATATGCGTGTGCTTCTCAAGTCATGGGGCAAATGTTACGCTTAGTGAGCCGTCAGAAAGTGATCCATGACAGTAAAGCGGTACAGACGAAAATGCATATCTGACATACCTCGGCTTGCCTAAATTTTTTTTTACCTTGCCGTAGCACATTTACCGCCTGCAGGCATTAGAAGTATAGTTTGACGGGCCTCTCATCTCCACGATAAGCATCCCAAAAAATGTACGAGTACTGTTGTGATCATGTAGTGGACCAGGTCGGTGGCACATACTAACTGACTAAATGGTAATTATCCGATTCGTCAGCTGCTAGACTAGCTTACAAGTAGTTTGTTCACATTACACTCCACACAATCTTCCAACGAAAGCACCGATTATGTACCTCACGTTCCCTCAACCTCGTTGATTCGAGGCATCGTCACCATGCCACCAACGAAGAGGGAAGCGTCTTCTAGCGTATTGGGCGCAGTCAAGTCAGGCAAAGCCTCGACTGCTTCGACTACTAGAGCAGCGACTCCGAGAGACCTCGATAGCAACGAGGACGAAGTCAACTCCTCGGGGCAAGTGCCAATGCCAGACGACGAAAAAATCTAGGATGCTGTCAACAGGTTTCTATCGCCCACTACCAAGCTCAAACCATGAGAGGGCCGATAGATGGTGCCAACAGGCATTTGGGACGAAGAGAAGGCACGGTTTCTCTTACCTACGCCTCAAGCCCGACCGCCAAGACCGGCCTGTCTGGATTAATCCTTAGAAAGAGCGCAGTATCCGAAGGTCAAAGAATTTTAGCCCATTGGCCGATGACTTCTTGATTACCGTCGCCGAATCTCTGTCGCGTCTTACCTTGCTCTACGAGTACTCCCTCATCACGTATAGTTCAAGTATACCTATAATGTTATGAAATCATGGAAACTCACAACAGTCAAGGTCTGGCTAGATCCGCTCTACACCTTTCATTTAGGTTCCTTACATAGCGATGGAGTATCAACAGAAATCTGCAAGAACTGCTCAACTGGGCTTAGTGTGTTACACGCAAGTTAGGGACATGCTCATTGCCTTCCTAGTCTGTTTTGATTCTGCACGAACTTACGTTAAATTCTGCTAGTCATCGCTCAAAGCAATTTATTGTTATGTGCAGTGTACTATTCAAATCACTTGCGCCAGCATCTTATGGTATATTAATATATACAGTGTAGTGCCGCCGGTGACACAGAACATTAAACGTAGCTCGCATTGCAACCAATTCAAAACTCCAACTGTGCAATCATTTATCCTCGTGCTAACAAGCGACAACACCATTGGATATAGTCATCTTATCGCGCAGCTATCCCATGTACGCGGCACGGTAGGTGCAGTGATATCAAATTCGCGTCGTACCATCGTGTTGCACCTTCGCTTATCACATCTCAAATTTCTGACAGGAAGCCAACACCGCCCTGCGGTGACATCATTGCAACCCTGTCCGGAACTGCAAGCGGCCATTGGTTCGCCTGGTCGCGAATCACAGTGAATGCAGACTTAAAACGTATTGTATGCATCAGGCCGCCTCTCTATCGTCCTTGCTAATATGTACGTGTATTTTCGGTTGAAAGCTATTCTGCTATTGTTCCGTATGTTTCGAACTTGGCCGTATCATCCTCGGCATAAGGTTTGACGATCTAGACTCGAGCTGGCATCGCCCCTTGCCCCTTGCCCCTTGTCCTTTTGTCCTTGTCTATTGCCCCCGGCTCTGCCTAGACTAGTCTTGGTCCTCAACTGCGAGCTGCAGCCTGCAGGTGCGGCACTGACTAGCGTTACCAAGTCCAAAAATGATTAAATCTCCACCTCGTTGTTGATGACGAAAAATTGTCGAGGTGCATTGTGCTTTCGGGGGTCTTTTTGCACATGAATTCGAATCCAATTTCCCTCCTGATTCGACCCCCAGCCGGTACTAAAGGAGTCGGAGGGATTATTGTTTGGCCCTTCCCGCTGGCTCGCTGGGCGTTGCGCTGTGCAAAGGGATGCTGAGTTGACTTTGGAACCGGTCGCTGCCGCGCTGAGTTGGATTAGTTTCTCACAGCCATTCTTGGCTGTTGCCAAGCCTTTCTTGTCAACTGCTTGGGAATTCGACTTCCACTCGACCTTTATCTCCTATTTGCCAACGACTTGTTCCTTCAATTCCTTCACCTCGGTCGACCCGTCACCAAAGCTAAAGGTCAGCGGCTCATTGACTTGCTATCGTGTTACGAGCTCGAGCTCGAAGCACAACTCCGTCTCCAACCGGATTCGATCCAGCACTTGTTGTTAAATGACCATCTTCAAAATTCTTAGCGCTTAACGCTAGTCATTCAGTTTTGCCGAACTCCAAGTTCGCGCGACTTGACCCGTGTGAGTTGCAGCTGTATTCCCAGCTTTGCCTCTGGTTCTGCTGGCTTCGGCTCTGGCTCTGGCTTTGATCCTGAGAGATAAAACCTTAGCAATTGCGCCTTGTCTAATACTCCACCAACCGCTATCGTATAACCAAGGCGCATAATCTCTTGCTTGATCGCCGGCCTCTGGTTGCAGGAGGTGAGTCGCCAACCTGCAGTGTTGCAGTTTCCTTGAGTTTTCAGAATGTCTCTTGCCCTTACCCCTTGGAATCTGCTCTTCGTTGTGTCACTTGTCTGTCATTTCTGGGACAAGACATCAACGAGCAATGCTCAAACAACTCCTTAGTACCAAGGTGCACTTGAGTGCATTTGGGTAGAATTAGGGCCTGCACAGCATTCATTATCCTCCCTCTTCCTATGATTCACGAATCCTATGTCCATGTTGTCTTTGCGCTCCCGTATCAATATAGGGGTTTTGCATAATTCCGAACCTGCCGCCAGTCGCATTCTCTTCGGCATGGTTCTATACTAAGCTCTGCATCAAAGATTGTTTGGAATCGTGTCTTGTGTCGGTCATTTGTTAACCGTTCTCATAGCCCGCATTTCGTTCACAGCTATCATGCTTGATTACCAAACTCCTTGTACAGACTCTAAAGCTTCAAAACGGCGGGTCATCACATCCTGACTTTGAGTCTGACCGTCTCCTTTGCACTTCAATCTAGCATCCAGACAACAGCTTTTCCGTCGAACATGGCGACTGTGAATCTAAAGGAAGGCGCGCAGACAGTCGGAAGATGGCTTTTGACACTCCGACCGGCATTTTTGTCGCCCAATCCACACTTCAACTTCATTACAGTACATTATTTTCTCATCATTGGCATGTCCCTTCTCGCGTCAGTCCTCATTTACGGTGGAGGTAAAGGCGATTTGCCTTACATCGATTCCTTGTTTTTCGCTAGCGGTTCCAACACTCAGGCCGGCTTGAACACGGTCGATGTGAACCTCTTGAATACCTTCCAACAAATCGTCATCTTTCTTTCATGCATGGTCACCAATCCTATTTCGATCAATTCTGCTGTTGTATTCCTGCGTCTATACTGGTTTGAGAAACGCTTCCAAGGAATCGTTAAGGACGCGAGATCAAGACGGGCGACCATCACCAAAACTCGGTCCAAAGCGAAGAACAATACCACTGATCTTGAACGTGGAGTGGGTGGCAGGGACATCAGGGTCATGCATGGCACTGCAAAGGCTTCTCGAATGACAAACGATGGAATCTTGCTTGACGACTATGAGATGAACGGTACGAACAAGCCATACCCAGGATTAGAACAACTAGACTCTCACACACAAGGCCCTCCTACATCACCTAGAGCCATAAAGTTCTCTGACAAGGTTAAGAGGAGTGATGTTGTTCACCATGATGAGGATGCGGTGCCGATCCCTGGCCAGCGGACAGAAGCCGAACATATCGCGATCCTGCAAAGGCAGCGAAACGAAGAACGGGGTACGCTTCGCATCCCAGGGCCTAGAGACGCCGAAAGGGGCGTTTTGCCGGAGGAGCTCGATGACGACCAGTTCGACGAAGACTACATCAGCCCAACAGACCAAATACCGCATATTAATCGCATCACATCCTCGCAGTGTGACTCCTCGGACCCGACACGTGTCTCTTCGAACCCTGACGGGCAGAAGACCATCACAATTGCAGAGCCGCAAAATCATCCCAAGAGGGCCGAATTGCACGATGACTTTGAAGCGGCTACCAAGACCATGTCTGCGCTGAAATTTCGGAGACCTAGACGCAATTCTGAAAGATTACATCACACGGCTACCAACGATTCTTCACATGTCAATCCCTTGAGGCGCATCAGGACCGCGTTGTCTCACGGCAAGCACACAGATCCCATGCCTTACCTCAGCTGGCAGCCGACTTTGGGTCGCAACTCGGAGTTCTTGGACTTGACTGAAGAGCAGAGAGAGGAACTTGGTGGTATTGAGTATCGGTCACTGAAAACCTTGGCAGTGATCACAACCTGCTATTTCTTTGGATTTTGGATATTTGGCGTTCTTTGCCTTCTACCTTGGATCCTGGTCAACAATGATTATTATGGCTCGTTTGTCGACAACGCGAGCCAGAGCAGAGTTTGGTGGGGGTTCTTCACCTCAAACTCGGCTTTCATGGATCTTGGCTTCACTTTGACGTCTGACAGCATGAATTCATTCAACACCGCAATCTGGCCACTGTTGTCTATGTCGTTTCTCATCATAATTGGCAACACCGGCTTCCCCATCATGTTACGATTCTGCATCTGGGTCACTTCGCTTTTCGTCTCTCGAGGTTCAGGGTTGTGGGAAGAACTTCGCTTCTTGCTAGATCATCCTAGGCGGTGCTTCACCCTGCTCTTCCCTTCGACAGCCACTTGGTGGCTTTTCCTCATACTCGTGGTTCTCAATGGGCTTGATTTGATATTGTTCATCATTCTGGACTTGGGGACCGGCGCGGTTGCTGAACTACCCCTCAACATCAGATTCCTAGACGGCTGGTTTCAAGCTGCGTCGACAAGAACTGCTGGGTTCTCTGTGATTAACCTATCAGCCATCCATCCCGCGGTCCAGACATCATATCTCATCATGATGTATATATCTGTGTTCCCCATCGCTATTTCGGTTCGCCGTACAAACGTCTACGAAGAGAAGTCGCTCGGTCTTTATGGCTCGACACAGGAGAACGAGGAGCGTAACGAGAACGGATTCTCCTATGTTGGAGCCCATTTGCGCCGTCAGCTCTCTTTCGATTTGTGGTATATCTTTATAGGCTACTTCATCATCACAATTTCCGAAGGGCCGCGCCTTATGTCCGGCGACATCTCTATGTTCGCAGTATTGTTCGAGATTGTCAGTGCCTATGGTACCGTGGGGCTCAGTCTTGGTTACACAGGGATCAATGCGTCATTGTGCTCACAGTTCTCTGTCGTGGGTAAGCTTGTGATCATTGCTATGATGATTCGCGGACGGCATCGTGGTCTACCATATGGTCTGGATCGAGCTATTCTCCTACCTAGTGAGTCTCTCAACCGTAAGGAGGTCGAGGAAGCCGAGGCAAGACTGCAACGTCGACAATCCGCCGTGTCGCTTGGACCACGTGCGATGAGCTTGGCTCGAGGGCGTAGCCGCAGTGTTGAGCGCCGGAACGTCTTGACTTCGTTCCTTCATCCCGGTCCAACATACCCTGCCAATTCAATATCTGTATCTAAAGCGGACACTATCGGACGCCACTCTTTCGTGAGATCGCATGATGGTCTTAGACGCACATTTTCTGAACCCGGCAGTGGCGAAGATGAGTCTGACAGATCTGCACCGAAGCCACACAGAGCTGAGACGCAACCAGCGTTACCGCATTAGTAGAGCAGCGAAGACGCGGCGTCGGTTTCGAGGCGAAGTTCGTTGGCCAACACTTTCTGGCGCAAAACTGTACATTGGTGCCTGGGTAGCACACGGTGATTTTGATTTGATAATAGGCATCGGCGTCTGGAGAATGCGAGTCTTTGTATAGCAAGTTGCATGGGAGGGATAGAAGCATGGGAGCATTGGGTACAATGCTGCTTACTAGAAGTGTATACACGAGGGGGGAATTGTACATACCACACAGCATCGCAAGATGCCTTCCTACCTAAGCATACGCAGTAACACATAAGATATTACTTGATTTGATCGAGCTTTGCTTTTCTTCATGTCTTGTGGCAGCGGCGTAATAGGCCAAATTATGTCTTATGATCTGGTGCTGGCCGATGTGTTGCACAGGGAGACTGGATACCATCGCAGAATCTGTGTTCACGTCCGTTGAACCAATACTATATTATGTAAGGTAGCAAACATGGGGAAGTATTTCCGGGCAGTCATTTAGACGTCTTGAAGTTGCTGTCCTACCATGCCGTGGTAATTTAGAGAACTAAACTATCTGGAAAGACGTGGAAGTAAGGCCCATATTTTGAAGTGGAGGGTTCAATGAAGAATGGTATCACGGTACACTTTGTTTCACAAAAGTCGAAGACCTAAATCCAGCCTTGAGAGATCCGGCGCACTACAAGTCTCTATCTGTCTGACCACTTTTTGCCACCGAGGTCGTTCTGTCACAGCCCCCGTCCAGTTTTACATGATCCGTCCAATACACATCCCAGAGGACAAACTCTTCACCGTTTACAGAATAACGAGGACGTTACGCTGGTACGGCGAAGCTCCTCAACGGCTGCGAAAGTCCCGCGCGCGCCCTCGAGCGAGTGCTTTCAATGACAGACATGATAAACTTGTAGTGTTGCGTGGTAAACCTGCTTAAATCGCCTCAAGAATCCACAGAGGCAAGGACTGGCTACTTGCAGAGTGTCTCTGATGTGTGCTATGGAATGATGAAACCCGAAAGCCGCTGGGCGTAGCCGGTTGGTCCGAATGGAGATTAGCAGTCTAGTTCAATATCATACAATGGGTGGTCGCATCCACATCAGGAGATGCTTTAAGCCTTGCGGTTTCACGAAAATTTCCCCATCTGTTGTCTTCCAGTTCGAGATGCTCCCAAGGTCTACTGTACAGTGCTTCCGACTGGACCACCACCACCACCACTGGCCACGGTCTAGCAAGTACCATCCGAGCACCGATTCGAGTTCTTGGTCTCGGTCTTGCCCTATAATCCGGGCCTCGAGGGTGATCGCCGGGACACGTTATATGCGGACCATGGCACCCTGTTCCAGCACTCGACGCCCTTCCGGGAGCTTGATCGTCCCGTCGGCGGTCGTGGCCTGTATGGTCTAGGGCTGGCCGATGCTCGTGGCGCCGGGCAAGCCTGTCGAGATAGCAGCAACAGCAATGGCGAGCTTCATGATGTTTGCAGGCTCCCAAACCCCCCCCCCCCCGGTGGTTCGATGTGGTGTAGTGTATTGGGAAGCGCGGAAATTTCGAGAACCAATGGCGTTGGTTATGAGCTTCTGGAGTCTTCTCGTGCGGAAGCTGCTCGTCTAGTACCAAAGTGAATCACATGTGAGTTTTCTTGACAGGAAATTATCCAAGTGGTCTCAAAGAAGCAAGAGCACTTGATAATGGGAAAAGCCGGGATCTCTGCTCCTGTGATATGTAACAAAGTGCACCAACTTCTTCACTGGACAAGGCAAGCTGTACCTCCATGTCCTCTCTTCCACCAACATCGTGTAATACTCGACAGCACCCTTATGTCTGGATCCCTTACGTGACGAGCATCCCCTGTGGAAAACGACACTAACTAACCCTTTCCAAAAATACGAGTGATTGGTTTTTTTTCTTCCATGCAGAGTAAGGATCACGTAAATGCTCTCATACAATTTCTTCTATCACAGTATTTTGAAAAATTCCACGCCATACCCATGCATTTACCGAACAATGGCCAATCAGAACTCCATACTTTGGCAAGTTGAGATGACTTGCTCTCGGTTTTCTCGACCACTCTATGCAGCTAGCTGTACAGCAGAAGGGAATTACTAATCCTCTTCATCGCCCTCAGCATCGAGCTCTTCGTCCGAGTGGGCAGGAGGGGTTCGAGATCTCGATCGACCATTCGTGTCCTCATGGACATTACCATTCTGATGCACTTCCTCGTCGGCAGCCTCCTCCTCCTCACCCTCACCCTCACCCTCAAGGCCATAAGGATCGCGCTTGAAACGTTCTGCCTGCTCCTTGATCTCGTCCGAGGGATCATCAACAGTGATATCCAATTGGTCAATGATCTGCTCCTCTTCGTCCGCAATTCCTATCTTACGAGCGATGTTCTTGGTACGCTGTGGCCTGATTTGAGATCGCTGCATGACAGGATAATAGTAGACAGCCTTCTGGTGCAGGGACGATTCGTCATCATTAAAGGCGATGATGAGTTCCTCGTCATACTTTGACCTGTGGTCAAGTTCTGTCTCGTGGGCGGTCTCGTAGGCGCGTAATCTGGAGAACTGGAAGCAGCCTTCGGAATCGTGCTTGTGAGGGTAGAGGGATTCATCGTCGTGGTTTGGGTTGTCGAGGTCGAATCGTTGCCTAAACTTCTTGCCGTTGGATTCGGTATCGTTGAGGTAGTAGTCGTAGTGCATGGTGTCGGCAGGTCTAGGGTTGTTCTGAGGATCCAGTTCATATGCCTCGCGGGCAGCCTGGATGGCGGCTTCCTCGACGTCAGTCTTGGCGATGGGCCTGAAGACACCATTCAGAAGGCGGGAATCGTATTTGGTGGATTTGCCGACGGGGTTGGTAAGAAACTTGATGGTGACGTAGGTGCCAGAGTCCGGGAAGGCCTCCAGGTCGGGCAACAAGGGGTAGGTTTCGACAAGCTTGAGGTTGCGTTTCGTAGGGTGCCGGATACGAGTCTTGTCCCTGAGGTTCTGCTCGGTAATGGAAAAGCTCTGGTCGATCTTTCTCTTGACATAGGCAGGCGAGTCCTTGTCAGGCTCCGGAGAAGCCTTCCGCTTGGCTATGCGGCGAGCTGCTGGGGTGGTATTGAGAGCGCGGAGAGGGTTGCTGCCCGTTGCCTTGGAGCCTGCCGAAGAGATGTACTCGGTACGGCGAAGGAAGGAGACTGCGGCGTTGTCCGTCTTGGGCTTGCCTAGCTGTTGTATAGATCTGAGCAGAGGCTTGTCGTGTGGGTGTGGTTGAGGAGCTTGTGCAGGTGCCTGGATAGCTGCAACAATGGTGGTGTCAGTACTCGTTTTGGATGGGGGGTGAATGAAAAGAGGCACCCACAACTCTCGTCTCCATCAAAGATGCCTGGCATTCCTACCAGGTCCAGTGGCATACCAAGCTCGGCATCGGCCTCGATGTTCAGCGGCTGCTCACGAGCGAGCCGCGACGCAAAGCCAGGCTCTGTGTATTGGCCACTTGCAAGACCGGTGTTGGGAATATCGAGTAGCTTGGGTGGGTTCGGGGGCGGAGGGAGCGCATTAGAGTATCGGATGCGCGCAATGAAGTCCTGGTGAATTGGACGATTGTCGCTGTTACGCGACGAGGACGCCATCGTGAGGGAGTTTGGCCGGCGGGTGGGTGCTGGCAGAATGTAGCGTAGCGCAGCGTTGCGAGTAGAAATTGCTATCTATGTAAACAAAAGGGAGAGGTGTGAGCGAGAGAAGAAGAGCCGATGGTGTTGGCTCAAGATATGAAAGGCGCGCGACGTGATGAGGATTTCGCAAAGTTGCAGAGCTCGTCGTCAGGTAGCCGGCCGAGTCGCGGAAAAGTCCCAGTTGCAGTTGCAGTTGTAGTTGCGGCTCCAGCTCCGGCTCCAGCTCCAGCTCCAATTTCAATTCCAATTCCAATTCCAGTTGCAGCTGGAGTTGGCGTATGCGTCGTCGTCTGCGAGGCTTTATTTAGCGCCAACTTACCTCAACCTCCGACTAACTAAACGCTGCAAGGCTGAACGAACCACCACCACCACCACCGCCATCAGTTACACAACTAACCTCAACGATAAAATCAGCTTCTTGACTTACAATTGATATCTCTTAGATCTGCATTTCTGACAAGTCAACTGTAGGCAGAAAACGAGGTGTCAATCCGTTCCAAGTCGTGGAGAGTGCTCCAAGAACACTGAGCCAGCTGGCATGTAGTGATACTGAGGTCGTCTTGTTTCCCATCTTTGAAGCATGCATGGTACTCTGCGCTGTGAATGCGTTGCAGCCGACCCGCCTTCTGTCTCATATAAAATAAAATAAAATGTAGTATAACAGGAACAACCTCGTATTAATATTCGTGTCATTAAACGGTCTATTCTGTGATCATAATCGGTTCCCTGCCCCTGATCCTGATCCTGATCCTGACCCTGACCTAGACCCAGACCCAGACCCAGACCCAGACCTCGACCCAGGTTCTATTGTGAACTTTTCAACGCTTGATAGTCCACTGGATGCAGTAAACATGCGATACTGTCGTACAGCTCATGATTCATGCCGCTGCCTCGTATCATCATGATCCTTTATACAAGAAGTGTAGGCCCTCCCCAAACCAACTCCGTAGCATACAAACCAACCTCTCTTGTACTCCTGCTCCTCGGTCCATTCGCTGCACAATCTGACCAAGCCAACACCGACTGATCATCACGTCAAACCACATATCGAACGCCTTATGAGGTGCTGCTCTTTCCATACTTTGCCTTGCCGAAGGAAAAGGGGACGTATTTGTACTTGATCATGTGCTGGATCTGCTTCCTCACTACTCGGGTGTTAGCGACCTGTTTCCGCCCACAGGAAAAATAGGCCTTGGGTTTGTCTTACTGGTCAGAACGAATAGGATGATCCAGTACATGACGAGGACAGGCCAGAAGACGGGCACGTTGAAGACCTCGAACCAGCTGCACAGGAAGCCAATGCCGATGGCGCGGGTGGCGGCGTGCCAGAACTTGAACTCGGGAAGGCGGCGGATAAAGGGACGGAACTCCTCGTCCTGCTTCGTGGGGAGGCCGCCGGCGCTTCCATCTTCCATATCCATGGAGCTGTCAAGGGCCTCGACCGAGGGGTCGAACTTGGGTTGGAGGAAGGCGAGGAACAGGTTGAGCAGGTAGATGCCGAGGGCATAGGCAACTGTACAAGGTCTTAGCCAACCACAACTCACGGCTACAGATCAAGGAATGCTAAATGCGTGTGCCGTACCAATGTACCAGCCCTGCGCCAGGAAGATGCGCAGGAAGAAGATTAGGAGGAAGCTGGCTGTTCCAACCCATCGGTACGTGACGAAGGGGGTGGACTTGTCGAGATAAGCTTGGTATTGCTGTCAAGGGAGTGTTAGTCTCGTCATTGTTGTTGCTCCTGTCTGATGCGACAATGCTCGGGCGATGGTGGGCTGACGAACTCTCTGGATCTTGGACGTCTGAGCCGTGACGGCTGCGAAGGGGGTCTGATCTTCGTTGATGCTCTCCATGTTGGCGGTATTGTTAGAGACGACACGATACGGTAACGTAATGGACAGGCTGTCGGGAGCTACTGCGTATGCGAGTTGAGATGGGCAGGAGGTTTAGAAAAGAGTTGGCGGCTGGGGTCGAAGAGTGATGGCGAGCAAGACGAAAAATAAAATAAAAGGTTGCGCGAGTGAACATGAAATGAATACTGTAGCAGCACTACTGTACGGAAAGGGTACTTTGCACAAATGCGCGTCGCAAACTTCCAATGAGATCTGCACTTTTCAAATGGTAAATCTGTCCAGCATCTGGGGGGTGCCGCCAACCTTTTGGAGCCCCTGGGGCAAAGCATCGGGTTAGTCAGTACTGCTGTACATGCAGTACGTATGTACATGCTTGCAGTGGATAAGATACTGCTGTAACCTAGCCCAAACTGCACAAGCTGGGGGGAGGGGGCCCGGCCTGGCTGCTGTAGAAAGTGGCTGTGCAACTTCTTCACCTCATAATTTGATTAAAATCGCAATCACACAGCTGGAACAAAGACTAGACTGAGGTCAGTCTAGTCTAGATTAACGTAAATGCGGCCACCCATATATGTTATAATGCCGACTTTCCACTCATGATGGATACGCATACATGAGAATTCAAGTCCCACGAGCCCCGGAACTATTCTATACATTGCAATCAACTCCAACCGTACATAGTTGCATTTTATGCCCACCATCTGTCTTACCGGACCACCACGCTCTAAGCTCATGCCCTGCACAAAAAGTATAAAACAGGGTTCTGCTGAGACTGACATCCAGGATGAATCACTTCGCAAGTGCTTTGCTGATACTATCTGCCATATTCGATGGCGTGTTGGTGCTTGATATGGAACTTCGGATAGCACTGAATGACGTCCTATTATCGCTAGTTCGTTCTTGGAAGCGGTACTGCAATGAATCGTTGACCTCGAAGCGGCTGGTAAGATACCTCGTTGAGTTGCGAAGCTGGCTTGACACCTAATTTGCTCTTCGCCCTGAACTTTATAGTTTCTCTTTGCTTCCAGACCGGAGAACACTTCCCCTCACCTCTTCTCTCCAGGAAACGCGGGGGTTTGGCCTAGACTAGTTCATAATGCTCACGAAGCCTTCGCCCTGAGCTAGGCGTGAGCACGAGGCTCTTATGAGCTCAGTGGGACAACATTACAGCACCATATCAGTCAAAGAAGCAAACAAATTTTAACAGGATAGTTGCGCTCATGTGGCGCCTCTGCTACCTCACGGCTTTATGTGCGGCATTCGAAGCATTTGACACAACATAACTCATAGCACCATTCAATATAGTGAATGTGGTGACCATTGTAAATAGACGTATCACTACATACTGCATGGGCCAATAGTAACATATGTTGGCACCGTCCAAAGGCATGATTTGGTTTGGTTTCATACCTTTACCAAGATGTCTTGCCGCCTTCTGAAAAAGAAGCACTACGTAGGAAAAACGGTATTTATACTGCAATGCATGTAATGTTGTTTCCTAAGTTAGGACAATTACCATATAACAAAAGGACGCTCCCCTCAAGGACTGAACAAACTAACTGCAGTGCTTGGGCTTTCAACTAGAGCCCGCTTTGAGCCAACCAATCAATCAATCTATCGGGAGTCGGACCAATGAGCGTGTGTGCATCCTTACCGTGCACAGGAAACCCACTCTGAAAACCTACCCCTCAGAGTTTGACGAGATACTTCTCACATGTATTAGGCACTATAACAAGTCCAAGCGGAAAAAGAAAAAAGGACAAAACAACATGCAAAAGAATATTAGGATTAGTCCTAATTATTGATGATGAGAGGGGGATTCGAACCCCCGCCTGTGAAACAGATTGCAATTCCGTAATTGTATTATAATTATGAAGCTTCAGCTTGAGTGCAACGCCTTAGACCGCTCGGCCATCTCACCAATTTGTTGAAGAGATTGTGCTTATTAGTAATCATGATGTATCAGAACCGACAACAAAGTCAGCGCCTGACTGATCTCGCTGTGTCGATCTATTTCGAGCCAATACCTGCGCAAACAAGACAAGGCAGACTGTATGAATAAGTGATGCCTAAAAATAACGAGCCCAAACTACACAATGCAGTATGAAGTGTCAACTGAACTTTCGCTTGGCGTTCCTTGGATGTGCGTTAGCGTTACGGATCCGTATATTGACTAAAGACCACCTTCCCATGTGTGGAGTGACCAAAGCAAACCTTCATAATTACCATGTACACAGCCAGATAATAATGAGACATCAAGTGGCAAAAGTCATGGTTGTTTAACATGAACACGTCTACTGCATTTCTTCTACCTGTGAATTCGGACTCGACTTCTAATCCTCATGAAGAGCTATCATAAGCTGTTATAATCTACGCCTTAAATTCCACGGCGGCTATGTGTGGCTTGCCTACCACATAGATAGGACTAGTTACCGAGTAACTAGATTCCAATGACAGGAAACAAGATGGCTATCATGATGTACTCGTATCCCACTCTATCCATTGTTATCTCACCGTACGGCTTTGATATCATTGGACCGTGCAACCATCAAGTAGGAAAATTTGAAAGTGAAGTTTGGAAAGCTGTTGAGCTTTCTGCCAATAATCGGGAAAGCGACACAACTCGGAATGCTAATTCTTTGCTTCAAAAGCTCCAATTGAAAAATTCATTGTTCTATGTACCGAATTCTTGCATTTAAGACTAAATAGATGACAATAAACATGCAATTCCAAAAGTAGCACAACAGTATACCAAGCTTGTAATAAATAGCCTTTAGTCCGAATGACTAGCAGGCGAGATACTCAGCTTTAGATAGAGGTGACACGCATCAAGGATTGACATACTGCGTAAGCGTGTATCTGTTCGGCCTAGTCTATCGAGCTAATTATATGGTGCAGAGGAAATGGCAACGCGTAGACGCTCGAATTTAGGATGGTTGTTTGCGCCGAACACCTTGGTAGCAGCCAATCAAAGTTGTTTGGCCAGTTTGTAGTGATATAGAGATCCTGATCTGAAAGCTTATCATTATAACACGTGCATACCGCTATGACATCGAGATGTCACATTTTCGTCCATGAAATCGCATCATCGCCATTTTCGGGGAACGTCACTCGACTTCCTGAAAGCAAAGAAGTTACAGATTGTGTGCTATTTTAGCTGATTTATTTTTAAACTTTGCTTACAGCTTCTGTTTCACCCAAAATTTCCATCCCTCTGGCTTCGGTTTGATGAAATGGCTCAGGGAAGAAAACCCGATTCAGAAAAGGATGGGGTATGAAGTGTTTTGAAGATAAATTAGTCATTACTCCTAGGTACAAATATATGTCAGTGTTTGGTAAGATCTAGCTATTTGGAGTAGATGCTTCCGGGAAATTCATGACAAGTACCTATACACACTAATGAATATTTTTTCTAACCTAACGACTTCTTCATAGCTGATTCCGAAAGACACTCCAAACGTAGTACCTGGATAACACTCCCTTTGGCGCAGATTAAGGAGCGTGTCTTGACCTGTAGAGACAAGCCTAGCTAGTGGTCACTTACTTCTATGTGTATTAATCGCAATGCATGAGTTTTTGTTGATTGCATGAAATGGAAACATAAATACAACGAAACAGTTCGTGCGGTCTGTGATGGTAATTCGGTCAAAAAAGAAGAAAAGGAAAGAATAAGAAAAGAAGAAGGAAAAACCTATTCAGCATATCCACACCAAGTACCTATAATCTTGTTGGCCTATTGGGTCGTAGATAAGCACACAAAGAATATGTGGATTATGTGTTAATTGTATGGAGGAATCATTCCAGTCAGCCAGTTAGCCATCATTCCAAGGGAGGCTATAGTAGAACTAAGACTTGTCCATCCCTAGGCTCTGATCCAGTCCACAAGCCAGCAAGTATATAGTACGCAGTACAGGCACTCTGATGTCTTTCAGCTTCGCCAACTTGACCACGTTTCCAACAATAGCATCCACCTCGATATTCTTTGAGGCGAATGTGTCAGCCAACATGGACGGCTGGACACCTGGCAAGTCTCGCTTCGCAGCCCGACCGATTTGGAAATCAACCAACTCCTCGTCGATCTTATTGTATCCATACGCCTGCGCAACTGACGCAATCTCCATCATGACGTCTTTTATGAACGGTAGAACATCCCCATTAACGTCTATGAACTGCCTGTCCCGTAACCTCGTCAGGGCGCATATCGGGTTCCATGACGTGTTGACCAACAACTTGGACCATCTCTCCCCTTGGACATCATCGTGTAGTTCAGCCGTGGCGCCTGCTGAGCCGAGGAGATCCACGAATGCTCTTGCTGCGTCTTTGGCCGTCTTGGGAGCATCTGCGGGAAATGTGCCCACATGCAAGAGCTCGATTTCCTTGTGTTGCACAACTCCGGGGCTAACTTGTGTCGCGGGGAGATATACCACTGTACTCAGGAGGGGGTTATTGGGGAACAATCTGTGGTATTCCTCTTCTATTCCAATGCCGTTCTGTATCAACACAACTGTGGTACCTGGAGATACGGCTGGCTTGATGATATCCGCCGTAGATGGATTTGTGGGCAGAGCTTTGCTGCATACGAGGATATAATCGAATGGCTGCCCAGGGCTTGCAGCGACTGCATCACTGACACTTTTGAATATCGCTGGCTTCACATTGAGCTTCTCACCCCAATGACTTGAGTTCAGCGTGAAGCCATTCTTCGATGCCTCCTCGTAGTTGGAGCGACATATAGCTGCGATATTGGCGGCAGGAACGGCCTGAGAGAGAACCCAGGTGTAGACTGTTCCGATACTACCGGTGCCAAACACCAACACACGGGGCGCCATTCTGACGATTTGATCACCGAGTTTCCAAGTGACCGGCGAGCCCTTGTACTACACTGTATCCTCACTCGGGGCGAGCTCCGATCTCGTTTCTCGAGCTGCAGGCAGTGTGCACATGCCCCACGCCCCCACATGTTGTAATACATAACGGGCTTGGAACAACCAAGCCAACAACGAACTCTGGATTGGAATCAAATACGAACAACTCGTGCTTTTATCCTGTGGGACTCTTTCGGAGCGTGTTTAATATGATATGGATGCACGGGTGCTTTGGCAACACATAGGACATTTTCTTGTCGGCGCGATCCATACGACCACCACTACATGATGAATGGTTGCGAACTCCTACAACAATTTACGACATAGCGCATAATAACCTCGAAAATATCAATGGCACCGTGGTGTAGTGGTTATCACGCTTGTCTCACACACAAGAGGTCCCCGGTTCGAGCCCGGGCGGCGTCATTTTTGAGCATTGCTGCAATTCTTGCATGATTGAAGATGCCTTTTTTGGGGGGTTGGTGTGATAGCTTTGGTACCAATATAGCGCAGTTCAGCAAATGGCGACATCAACCTCCTATGCTTGATAAAACACATTATTGGTTTTTACACTGCGACAGATCACACCGGCAAAACCTATTGCCAACGCTTATTATGATGGACCTGCTGGCTATAGGTGACAATAAGGCAGGATGTGTATGATACAGGGTATCAAGCCGTGGTTCTATTTGTGAGAGACGGTGTAGGACCCTGAGAGACTGTTGGTATCCGAACCCATCTCGCAGTTCAGTTGCGTCGACAGTGCTCCGAACCGCCGAGTCACTGTGGTGCTGTTTAGCAGGGCTGTAGGGCAAGCAAGGCTTACTCACACCTCTTGGGAGTCATCAATAGATGTTGGAATTATCCCTGGTATTATTGCTTTGGCGCCAAGCGGCAGGTCCGGCCCGATCACATATTTTCTCAGCACGCAAGCTGCAACACACAGCCTTCAGTAGCATGCACAATGTATGTTGGCCGATAAAGGCAACGGTTCATTGGCCACGTCAGTCCACTATGTCGTTTTGAACACCAATCAGCGTCTTCCAGTGTCCATTTGGATGCCGATTATCATGTCTTGTGCTCCTAGATATGTTGGTAGCCTCTGAGGATGGGGCTGCAGATATTTGTGGTGAATCATATGTATGCCATCTCCCCTGTCGGCTATGGACTGGCTGGTGTGAAATATTTTGTTGGCCTGGAGGCAAACCAAAGTTTACCGATATCAGCTCAGCAGTAGACGCCATGACACCAGACGATACGCCGAAAGTCGTGCGTATAATGGCGAAGTATTTTTTGCCAACAGCTCTCGCTTCAGGGAAAAAGTACTCGGGAGCAGGATTGTCTCAGGCTCATGGCAGATAACTTCGCAGAACCCATTGTGCAGGGGGATGTTAGAGTCGAGTCTGATTAATTCAGGAGGCCTGCCTTCCCGCGGATATGATCTTCATGTGCGGAGAAACACTTTTCGACCTGGATTCTCTTTTCTTGGGATTGGTCCCTTCCACCACGTCGACGCCCGATCTCAGATATCGAGGACATATGTCAGCGGCATGGTCTTCGTCACAGATCATGGAGTATAGGACACGGCAACGACTCGGAAACAACCATGTCAACGTGAATTTGCTGCATTTGCTTGATGAGTTTCGACCATCGTTCGCAACTCATTCTAAGGACCATGTATACAGTGTGCTAGGAATGGTGCAAGGCGATGAACTCACGGTACTGTGCAACGCAGGTTATAGTATTGAGTACGGCCGCGAGACAACGTGCGTTGAAACTATCATAAGAACAGCGACTGCTATATGTATGGTTTTACGGAACCTGGATATTCTGTCTGTGACTTATCTAGTGGACCAGTTGAAAACTGCTGCTACCATAGGAAATTTCCCTTCATGGGCCCCTGTCTGGTCAAGCAGGCTAGTAGATATGCCTGAGGGTCCTGAAGAATCATGCTCTCTCCTCGATGAGCACATGGCCGCGCTAAACTTATGCCGGCGCGCGTACAACTTCGCTCAGTCGAAGAACAAAGATAACGAGAGTGCAGATGCCTCGAAACTCCGGCAGTCGTTGATAGAGGTGTTTGGACCAGGTAGAAATCAGAAGATCAAATGAACAAGCTCAATGCCTTGGCAGAAATATTGGATAGGTCGAAAGCTGGTCTGGACACAATGCGGGTTGCTTGCACTGGTACCTACCAAAACTCAAATTGGAGACAAGATTATGCTCTACAAAGGCAGCAAATTGCCCTTTGATCGTGATAAGGCCCGCTAACTTGTCGAATCAACAGGAGTTGTTGGGTGCATGTTATGTGCATGGCATGATGCAAGGAGAATTCTGGAACGCTCAACGATGCTCAGATGTGGAGATTATTTGAGATCGACAGTGGCCGGATGTCGATCAGTAATCTACATATGTACATATCCAGCGATGCCGCGACCGTTTGTTTTCTGCTGTGGGCATGCATGCTTGCCCGAGTAACGTCTCGGTAGCTAGCTCAGTTGCAATGAGAATTGCAGAAGTGCAGAAGTGCAGAATTGCAAGTGTTACACTGCACCGGCAGTTTGGGTGTAATTGGTAAGGCGTGGAGCACTGGCAACGCCACAGTTGGCGACTCAGCCACAACCACTTCGCTACTGTAGCCAGCTAGCCAGCCAGTCAGCCAGCCAGCCAGCTAGCTAGCCAAGGTAGCCCCTGGTTCCAGGCCATTTAAGCTTGGTTCTCAATGCAGGATGCGGCAGTTTGACATCATCGGGGTCTGAGTTGTCGGAGGCCTGGGGGTAATGACACTCCAAAACCTGATGGTGCAACGTGAGAACGGTGTGCTGGTGCTACCAATGGCGCCCGTCGTCATTCGAATTTATCGTTTTCCCTGATCTACATACTTGGTACATAAGTCTGCTTTCTTCTGCCAAGGTCTAACTTTTTTTGTTTGTTTTGCGACTGGCCTTGATTGAGTAAAGAAATCAGTTGTTTCTGAAACCCAATAGCTACTCTCGCATATCCCCACGTACAACCCAAGGCTATTGAATTGGTTCGCTTTTGGAGTCCGGCGTCCTAACAGGAGATCCGCCTCTCGTCTCTCCGTCTACTCATCCTTCAGATGGCAGCCTTCATTGCAAAGAAGATCAGCTCCAAGATCCTTGGCGAATCATTGGAGAACAAATGGGGAGCTAAGGTAAGTGGTCAATACAGTGTTCCGTTTGTGGCAAAAGTAACATTTTGTTTTGTTTTGGCTGGCTGTAGGACCCCCTATTCGAAACTGTTCCCGCAACGAGACTCGATGGCAAACCTTCGGGAAAGACAAAGAAAGTCAAGAGAGCCCTCCCACCGGGCATATCTGAACACGATGCACAGATCCTCAACAAGGTCAAAAGAAGAGCCTATAAACTGGATTTGAGTCTGTTCAGTATTGCCGGCATACGATTTGGCTGGAGCAGCGTCATTGGTCTAGTCCCCTTGTAAGTCAAGGCCTTTTTCTTCTTCTTTTTTCCTCCCCACGACTGCGAGCTAACTGTTGACACAATAGTGCGGGTGATGCTGTTGACTTCTTCATGGCTGTTATGGTAATCAACTCAGCTAAGAAGGTAGATGGTGGCCTCCCATCCGGACTTGTGCTGAAGATGTGGTTTTGGGCGTGTCTGGATTTGGTCATTGGCCTCATCCCATTCCTTGGTGACGTTTTTGATGCCATTATCAAGGCCAATTGCCGCAACGCCATCTATCTAGAAGAGCACTTGCGCAAGCAGGGACAGCAGAATCTCCGCCGAAGTGGTCTACCCATTCCCGAAATCGATCCTAGCGATCCTGATGAGTTCGACCGACTGCAGGAAGGACCGGAGAACAGACGAAGTGGCCGCCGAGCCCAAGAATCCGGCGTTGATTCAGCTCCCGCTATGCCGCCACGGCCCACCGAGGCTCGGGTTCGCGACGACCGACGCGCTGGTGGTGGATGGTTTGGCAGGAGCCGCCGCGCGGATGAAGAGTCGGGTGTTGCAACTCAGCCTCCCACAAGAAAGTCGACTCGCCGTGGATAGCGAGCACATTCGCCTTCCAAAGATATGCCAGTGGCAACACTCCAGTGAATCGTCTGGCTGGACCATCTCTTCCGTCCCAACCACTGACCCCAAGCGTGGTGGGTTCTATGCCTGAACCTTTCTGCTTGACGGTGCAGGGCTGATCTGAACGAGACGGGCGGGGAAACGTGACGGTCATTTTGTCACCATTGTTGGGTTAAGATCCCGATTGTACGTATTTTACGAACGCATAATGAGATGAGAAATGGGTTATGGTGTAATGAGGGTTTGAATTTGTATGATACCATTATGTAGCACAGTTATTAGCACTCGCCTTGTGGGAGGATATTAAGTCCGGTCAATTACCAGTTCCCAAGCTCCAACTTTAATCTATTCATATGGAAAACATAGCGGAAGTGGTACATAGCAAGAGACATTTGAAATGGTTGTTGGTTGGAACATCTTGGTCTGCGCAGTACGTATGCAGGCCGTGGAATGTTCCGCCGCATCACGTATATATTCGAGGAGGGCATTAAGTTGAGCATCATGTGGAGGTAGAGACAGCTTCTTCGATCCCAATGTATAGACACGGATGATGCTCTCCAAGGTTAGTGAGGTTCTCTTTGGTGATGTTATTTACAGTTTGACGCACCCTGGCTTCATGGAACACACGATCAACCAGTAATTTGGGTCGTGATGAACGCATGAAAATCGCTAACTTAGATTAATCAGTGTTTACTCACTCAAATCTTGGAACCCATAACCTCGTCATCTTTCGAGGATGATTCCATTTAGCAAAAGCGACGCGCCTGGCTATTCTGGAGCGCGTTTGCGGCTAGAAGTTTCACTAGCACGATCTGATAACTGTGTGCTCCACTATACCATCATCATCAATAAGCGGTTTATCAGCTTTACCCAAGCACTTTGGTGGCTTAATCCGTAATTCCGAGCAAGCGATGAGCAATTTGACACCCAACGTGGAGTCTTCAGAAATTGTTTATCAGATCGAAAGCCTACCTGGTCGTGTTGGGTCGCGCTGGGAACGCCGGCGACCCTCTCGACCCCTGCTCTGGCTTTACGTACTCGGATACGCCAAGCGGCTCTAACCCGCAATCTTGAGTGTCAGGACCGAGCGCGTTGAGTGGGAAACTGGGAGGAAATTCTCAAACAGAGTATGAGACTGCCGTGTGCAAGCAGAAGGAGAAGCGGGCGGGCATCCTTTGACAATGAAGAGACGGATAGAACCCTGCATGTCCTACCACTCAGCCTTGCATATGATTGAATATGAGCATCAACCGTGTTCTTGTTGTTGACTTGTTTAAGTGTGCTTCGGCAGTGGAGCTGGACTCCATTCAGTATACGAAAGTAATGGACGAGCTCTGCCCAGCTCGGCCCAGCTCTGCCCATTAAACAGGCAATCCTGCGACGAATCTGGGCAAGCCCGGTGGAGAGCTAGATCTCCGTTTGTCTTGATTCAAACACTACGGATTGCAGTAGGTGAGGTTCCCCTGGTCAACGCGTGAAATTCGCGAAATCGGTGGCTGGTGGGGTGGTACTCCGTGCTACCGAGCCATTACAGGGAGTCGCGTCTTTGTCTTTTGTGTGATTTTCACGCGTCTGGGCTACTTAAAAGGCCTTGCCGACACACTAGAGTAGAGAAACCAATTCTCGCCGGTCTCAACTCAACCACTTTACCACAACTCTTAAAGACGCGACACAATCCCTGCAGTAGTCTTTGAGTCACGAAACACTGCCGTTCTCGCTTCTGCATAACCAATTCAATCCGCATCACAGATACCTGTCAATCGCAATGGCTGTTGAGATCACTCCCTCCAAGCAGGTATGTACATGACGTCGACGCACTGACGCGCCACCTGGCGCCAGAAAAAGAGAGTCGTGACAACTGACATGCATTACTTCGCAGGCTGCATCCGCCCTGGATTCCTTGAAGATGGAGTCTCCTGTCAAGAAGATCGACTTTGCCGGAAAGGAGAACGCTCCCTTCGATGCCGATGCGCCCCTCGAGATTGAGACACCAAAGCCCACCATCGAGGCATCCAAGGAGGACGTTGCAAAGGCGCTGGCTCCCACGATCAAGCCAGACGAAGCCGACGAGCCTCTTTTGCGGGAGAATGCTCAGAGATTCGTCCTCTTTCCCATCAAGTACCACGAGGTTAGTGGGGTCCTTCCCCGACGCGTCTCTCACGCGTATAGTGGCATCGTGACGCGCCAGAGGCTAACCTGACCTCATCTAGATCTGGCAAATGTACAAGAAGGCCGAGGCTTCCTTCTGGACTGCCGAAGAGATTGACTTGTCCAAGGACTTGCACGACTGGAACAACAAGCTGAACGAGGATGAGCAGTACTTCATCTCCCACATCTTGGCCTTCTTTGCTGCCTCTGATGGCATCGTCAACGAGAACCTTGTTGAGCGCTTCAGTGGAGAGGTTCAGATTCCTGAGGCTCGCTGCTTCTACGGCTTCCAGATCATGATGGAGAACATCCACTCCGAGACATACTCGCTGCTCATTGACACTTACATCAAGGAGCCCGCCCAGCGCACCTACCTCTTCAACGCCATTGACAACATTCCCTGCATCCGCAAGAAGGCCGACTGGGCACTGCGGTGGATCACCGACACCAAGTCCACCTTTGCTCAGCGCCTCATCGCCTTTGCTGCGGTCGAGGGTATCTTCTTCAGCGGTGCTTTCGCCTCCATCTTCTGGTTGAAGAAGCGTGGTTTGATGCCCGGCCTGACCTTCTCCAACGAGCTCATCTCCCGCGATGAGGGTCTGCACACGGACTTCGCCTGCCTGCTCTTCTCCCACTTGAAGAACCGCCCCAGCAAGGAGCTCATCCAAGAGATCATTGTCGATGCTGTCAACATCGAGCAGGAGTTCTTGACCGAGGCCCTGCCTTGCGCTCTTCTCGGCATGAACGCCAACCTCATGAAGCAGTACATTGAGTTCGTCGCCGACCGTCTTCTCGTCGCCCTCGGCAACGAGAAGGTCTGGCGCTCCTCCAACCCCTTCGACTTCATGGAGAACATCTCTCTTGGCGGCAAGACCAACTTCTTCGAGAAGCGTGTCGGTGACTACCAGAAGGCTGGTGTCATGAACAGCACCAAGAAGCCCGTCGTTGAGGAGTCGCCCAAGGAGAACGACAACGGTGGTGACTTCAGCTTCGATGATGACTTTTAAACGTCTCATCCCAAGTCATTGCTGTTCCCTTCTCTCTCTCTCGATACCCCTTACTATCCCGATAGAACACCGCTCTTGTGTATATTTGGCCTGGCGCTTCTTTTTTGTCTATCCCTACTCCTGCATGGCATTAGAGGACGAGCGAGCAATCCGGTTGCAACCTGATCTCGATCTACTCGCATCTCTTAAGTCATTTATGTTTATAGTTGGTCGCACGCAGCACATGTTTTACTTTGGTACAATTTTGGCGTTGAGGGGTTTTATGATACGGTTTCTTCGACCGGCTTCTGGGTATAGGAGCGGACGGTCGGCGCATACAGGAATCCATGGTACGGGGAAGATGGAAAATGAGATCACGTATAGGATATGGAAGTGTACTGTCGCACTTGGTGAATAATTGCAGAGATGATGAACCGAATCTATTTGTGTTGGACTGCATTTTGTGACGTGATATTTTTGACCGTAGCTGATTGTCTGCCGTGTTCAAGTTGTGGCCCATTCAGGGGGCCATGCGACCAAGTTCTCGTGACTCTTGGCCTTTTTGAAACATGAACAGATGCCTTTCCTGGACAAAGCTGTATGAGTACCAAATTCTAATGCCAGTGCAGCTATCCAGTATGAGCAGTATTTCGTGTCGCATCTCTCCTTCTTCATGTGCCCGACGATTTCGGCAGATGCCCAAATTCCCCCGAACGCCTTTGCTATGCCTAGATGCCGCCTCTGCTCTCAGTTTTTGGATTCCCCCTAACCTCAAATTGTTGTCCGCCAGCATGATGGCCGTCCCCTTCTTGGCTGGTCCATGCTTGAGATGGCTGCTGAGAGAGCCTCGCTCGCTCCAAACGCAGTCCCTACCAGGTTCGCATCCCGATTGTTTGTTCATCGCTTGCCCTTCTTCTTCTTGCCCTTTCCACCGGCGCCGCCGCCACCCTGCTGTGCCTGGGGCGGTGCGCCCGCACCCGCACCCGCCTTCGCTGCCACCGGCTCAACCTTCTCGGCAGCAGGCGTCCCGGTGCCGCTCTCGGGGGCCTCGGAGACGACGGGGTCCTCCTTCAGCTCGGGCAGCCCGGCCATGGGCCTCCCCAGCTTTCCCAGACTCGTGATGAGGCGCGACACCTCGGCGGCCTTGGTGGTCTTGTACTTGAGGGTGGTGCCCGTCTTGGGGTCAAAGGTCTTGAGGACGAGGCGGCCGCGGGGCGGCTTGGGCTCGGATGGTGTGGCGGCGGGGGCTCCTTCTTCCTTTGCGGCGGCCTTCTTGCGGTGGGGGGGTGCCGGCTTTATCGAGTAGGCTGTGGTGATTCTGGTGGTGCTCGGCCGTGCCTGGAGCAGCAGTTGCGATTGCCGCAGCCACTCGTCGGCGGTGGCGTAATAGGGCATTGTTCTGGTTCTGGGGCGCCCTGCAGGCTATTGTGATGATGATGGTGTTCTGATCGGCCTGTTGGCTGCGCTGTGGTTGGGAAGAATGTCGAAGGGGCCTACGGGGATGCTGTAGTTGGCCGTGCGAGTGTGGGTTCAAGGGGGGCTTCTCTTTCCCATGCGATGGATTGAAGAAGGGATAAAGTGCGCCGATTTTTGGCACTTTGCTGCTACCTCTAACGTTACTCCGTAAGGACTTTAGACAAAACCTGGGACCGATGTTTGGTGGGGTTGGGAGCTTTTTCTTTACTGCCCCAATTCCGCGGGGATCTGGACGGCTCCCAGCGCTTGTTGTCTCTATCCCTTGTGTGCTGTACAGCGGTAGCACTGTATAGCATAGCGTACCAAGTATCTCGTAACCTACTGGAACCAGTTGGACATTTCAGCTTCTTTCTCATCAACTACCAAGAGGAGACCGGAGACTTGGAGCTGGAGCATCTAACCCCGCCATTGGAATTTAACGCCAGCCTCGACTAACCTAACTTCAGTCAACCTTAGGTGCTGCTGTACAGTACACACCTTCTGTACCTTCTTTACCAGGCTGCTTTGGAGCCTCGTCGACATTTGTTTACTTCTTCATCCATCGCAACACTGCAACCATTGACGCAGCACAGCTTGTCGCCAGGCTCGCCCACAACACGGTTGGTTGGCTCAATGCCAGCATCGCTGAACGACGCCTTGCTATAGTTGTACAGGTCGTCGAGCGCGACCCCATTCGCCATGGCGTCTACACCCATGGACTTGGACGGCCCTGAATCGTCGCCAGCGAACGGCACCCCCTCAACCTCACTCAACATAACCCGAACCCTGGGCAACAACCTGCCAAGCACCTCCACGGTCACGGATGTGATATCCGGCTTCAGGCCAACAAAGGTACCACCGCGCCCCTTCCTGGACCAACCACTGTCGCAGCAAGGTCTGTCGCATATGAAGAAGTCTTCACCCACAAAGACGTACATCACTGCAGCCAGTGTGCGACCTCATGCCCCCAAGGAGAGCTCTCCGCTCAAGAACAGTCTCATCCTCCCTGATCTTGACGAGTCTCCTCCGACGCCCCCTGCTTTTGCACTTGCAACTCCCAAGAGTTCCGGCCCAGAGAGTACGGCCGTGCCAGCTTCTGACAATGAACAGCTATTCAGGCGCGATGACATTAAGGATGGCCGCCCGCAGCCGTATATTCTCAGTCTTGACTACGATGATCCTGGCGAGCTTCTCATGACTTCGGAGAGCGACGATACGATTCAGATTTACAAAGTCCGTGAGGGCCGGCACGAGAAGCAGCTACTAAGCAAAAAGTACGGAGTCAAACTCGCCAAGTTCACACACAACAGCTCGAGCGTAGTATATGCCAGTACAAAAGTCAATGGTGCCGTACTGTCTAGCGCCTAGTTGAGGCTCCGGACCGTGTGCTGACGAGTTGACAGATGCGATACGGTACTTGACGACACACGACAACGCCTTTATAAGATATTTTGAAGGCCACGAAGCAGCCGTGACTTCCTTGGCTATGCACCCGGGACACGACGACTTCATATCTTGTAGCAAGGACAACACCGTCCGGTTGTGGAACGCCAGCACCAAGAATGCGACGGGAATACTGAACCTCAACACACCATACCTGTCGGCCTGGGACCCGAGCGGCCAGGTCTTTGCGATAGGCTCCCCCAACAGCGGCCAGATTCTGCTCTACGACCATAGAAACTTTGACAGGGCACCGTTTAACACGTTCGACATTGGCGAGACATGCGCCTTCGCAGATGCGGCCTATGTCTTGAAGGGTTGGACAAAGCTGGAGTTCTCCAATGACGGCAAGAACCTCCTTCTGGGCACCAAGGGAAATGGCCACTTCTTGATCGACGCATTTGAGGGTACCTTGCGAGCATACCTGCACAAACCGAATGGTGGCACTCGGAGACTAGCAGCGGGCGAGGAGTCGGGCGTTAATGGAGCCTCGGCCGGAAGCTCGAGCAATGTTGAGGGCAGTGGCGACTGCGGCTTCAGTCCAGATGGCCGATATGTTGTTGGTGGAGGGGCGAACAACAAGCTACTCATCTGGGACACGCTTGGTCAGGTGGACGAGGACAAGACTTTGGAGCCTGTCCATATTATCGATAGCGAACGGCCGGCATCTGTGGTCGCCTTCAGTCCACGCTTCAACTTCCTTGCAACTGCGGATCAGGAAGTCGTTTTCTGGCTGCCCGACCCCCATGCGTAGATCTCGGGGTGACGGACGATTAGCGGAGAAGATCTTCAGCTAATGCGGAATTATGACCTGTTCACGCCATGGAGACTTGAACTCCCCATAGAGCCATCCAGCATCATTCACAGGCACAGAGGCGGCGCCAAGAATGGCGAGCTCATGGCCAATTCCGCCTTACAATTAGAGCGGTCGCAAGGAATCCAGATCAACTATCTCACGAATATCTACCATATTGTAGGACGGCCGCAGGTCAGATTATAGCGATCTTGAGTTGATTTCAACAACAAGCACCCTGCCGGTGTGCAGCAATACCATGGCCATTAAAACGGCCTCCAAAGGGCAGAAAGCCAGAAGCGAGCCAGGTCACAACAGACTATTTTGGCGAAGCGGCTTACACAAGAAGGCTTTCTAATTGCACTTTCTTCCAAAATCCCGCATGCTGTCAGTGTGAAAGGTGGTAGTTATCATATTTAGAAACCAAGGGGGGTGTTCAATGAGGAAGATACAACAGAAGAAACTGGAAAGATCTGTGGCAGCATCGGAACTATTGATACCCTCATTCGGCATAGCAATGGCGTTCGCAATGGGGAAAACGGTCACTTGAAAAGAGAAACCTATATGCTATAATTCTCCTGTGCCCACGCGTTCTCATCTGCTTGTCTCGAGGACATGGTTGGAAAGCTAAGACATGCATCCTTCGGCTCGTTCTTCATTGACTGAAAAATTCAATGGCCGCTTCTTTCTGGCCATGTTTAAGGTGTCCATTATAGTACAGTTCTATACACGGATATGCTACATGCCAACGCCGTAATGATTACTGCTTTGTCCGAGCAGCGGTTGGTCTCCTATCTTCATCTCGTACATCACATCAGCATGTCGACTCGTCGAGCCAACGTGTTTTAGTACTGAAAATACACTCGTTTGCTGTGCCCCTTCTCGCTCTACCTCTTGCCGCGTCCCTGGCTGGGCCTTCCGCCACCGCCACCGCCCCTGCCGCCCTTCTGGCCGCCCTTCTGCGACTTGCTACTGAAGACGTTCCTCGCCTTGCGCCAGGCGTCGACCAGGTGCTCGACGTTGCCCATGTCGTGGCGGGGCTGGCGCATGAAGGTCAGCCTGGCCCTCCTGGCGCGCTTGGGCCGCCTCCAGATGATCTCGATGCCCTGGACGGTGGGGCTGTAGATCTTGTACCACATCTCGGTGCCCGTCTTGAAGAGGGTGTTGCGCAGCAGGATGGCCGTGTCGACGCCGGCGCGGCGGATGGACAGGCAGACGCCGGCGAAGGGCTCGCCGCGGCTCGACGACACCTGCAGCACGTCGCCCACCTTGGCGGCGTCCGGGTTCTTCTTGCTGAAGAGCTGGGTGCGGGCGCCGGTGCGGTCGAGGCGCCGGATCTGCTGCGCGTGGTACGAGACCAGGGGCGAGGGGTGCGCCGCCCGGGCCGAGGGCGGCGGTGCGTAGACGGCGAAGGCGGTGCGGATGGGCTTGGCGGGGTTGTTGGATGGGATTACGTCTGTTTGGCACGTGTCAGAAGAAGAAAGGTCAAGTGCTGCTCGGCGATGGCAACGGTCAGCGTACGGAATCTCTGTGGTGTCCTCGTCGCGAGGCCGGGCGGTGGTATCGAGCCTGCTGCGGCTGCGTCTGTGGTAGGTGTGACGGTCTCGGTGGCCATTGAGCGCCGGAACAGGACCCTCTGCTGGCGGCTTTGTCGCAGGAGGGTCTTGACGGGCCCGAGTGGCCGTCTCACTGCAGCTGAGCAATTCATCGTGATGGTCGGGTCGGATCGAAGCTGGTCTTCCCCATCTGTCTGGGAAGTGGTCGAGAAATTGCCCGAGGACCCTCACAAGCTTCAATTCAAATTCCCAGGGAGCCAGTCGGAGCTAAAAGCAAAATGTTGTTCCGGGCCGTCAGACCACCAAAAACGCGACCAGACAGTCCTTGTCACCCCGCTGCCACCCCTTCTGCCGGCCGCGCGCGACTGCCACTTGAGCACCTAGGTTAACGTTAGTAAGGATGTTAAAGTCGGCCAAAATTTCTGGGAAAGCGCAACCGCGAGGCGTTAAAACGAAACGAAAACGACAACGACAACAACGAAGCGAATCGTACTTGTGTAAAGATCCCGGAAGGCAAAGGGAATGCAATTGGCTTGAACCAGCTGGCAATCGAAATCCGCACACGGTAAAATCATGTCGAGGAGGACGGTGTTGAGCGCCGTCACCACTGGCAATGGCGCATTCGAGGCCGTCGGCCGGAGGATACCACAGCATGCATCACGAAGCTTCACCTCGACAGCCCAGAGGAATGGTACGATCCCCCCGCCCTCTCCCAACAGCTGCACGCGTGCAACTCTTGATGCCACGTGCTATATATGTACATACATTTGTCCATATACATATATATAAATATATGAATATATAAATAAACATATAAATTGATGTATAAATATGCTGACAACACCTGAACAGCAACAAAAATCACACACTTCACGCCGACCTCGTCCGCCGAGCTCGACTCGGCCCTCTCCACCATCCGCGAGAAGATCCTCCTCCCCTCCTACCTGACCCTCGCCCAGCGCAAGAAGATCATCAGCTCCAAATGGGCCAAGAAGCTGCAGGTCGACCCCATCACTATCGAGATCGACGGCGAGCTCTCCAAGTTCCGCTACATGAACCCCTTCTCCGGCGACATCCCCAACACCCGGAAATCCGTCGTCGCCGCCGTCGAGAAGTTCGACGGCGCCAGCGATGACGACTTCGCAAACCTGAGGCCCTTGCTCGAGGGCGTTCACGCCACCGGCCGCCGCCTGAGCGACGACTTCTACGCCAAGATCCTGCGCATCGTCGGCCTGAAGGGCCGTGTCTACGAGCTGGTCGAGCTGGCCAGGGGCAGCAAGAAGACTGGCTTCAGACTAGACACGAGCGAGAAGGTCAACGAGCTGCTGCACTTCTGCCAGCTCAGGGCCCTCGAGGCTGAGTGGAGCAGGCCCGAGACGCAGAAGGCACTGCGGTGGGCCGAGGAGGTTGTAGAGCTGCTGGAGGACGAGGCGCATGCACCGAAGACGGCGCAGATCGAGGGTGACTTGCCCCTGAACCGGGACCCCCAGGTTCTCCTGGCCCCCCTTCACCTGGCTGCGGCTTTGGTGGTCAAGGCTGGAGTGCAGGAGGAGAGGCTGGTCGCCAAGGTCAACAGGCTCTCCAGCACCATCGTCAAGTTATGGCCTGCCGGTCACGGCTTGAAGAAGCTGCACCAGCTAGAGCGCTATGTGGAAGACATGGACTACCTTCTGGACGCCAACAAGTTCGTGGCACTGGCGACTCCCTTGTTGCATGGGCTGGAGCTGGCGTCGCAGGCCGTGTCGGAACCCGCACTGGCCGCAGAGTTGCAATCGCGGTCCCGGACCCTGAAGAGTGAAATCGAGAGCGCCATCAGCGAGGCTGCCAAGAAATCAAAGAACGGAAGAGGCGAGGTTGTCTATCAGAAGTTCTACGGAGGCGAGAGCTCATAGACCACCATAATGTACGAGTAGAAGACATTGTATAGTACCACCCGATTGCTCTCCATCAGACATGAAAGAGCCAATAAGATGTGTAATACCAACACTGTACATATATTCTCTATCTATATATATACACGATCTTGAACCGCTCGCTAGCTCAGAATGACGATAACCATGGCTTTCAGCGGGACTGCACCGATCTTTTCTTGTCCATCTATATGCCTGTTCTTCCGTCTTCTACGGCAAGACGATATACCTCCTCAAGCTCTCCGGCACGGCGTCCAGCAACTTCTTGCTCTCCAGCCATTTCCGGCTGAAGAGACGATCGGCATACCTGTATGCGCCGTCGCAGAGCATAGTGACCACGGTGTGCCCGGGGCCCAGCTTCTCGGCAACCTCCTTGGCCGCGACGACGTTGAGCGCGCTGCTGGCGCCGAGGTACAGGCCCTCCTCGTCCAGGCACCGGTACACCATCTCGATGCTCTTCTCGTCGCTGATGTGCAGGCTGCCGTCGAGGTCCCCCAGGTCCGGCGCCAGGTTGTCCGTGATGCGGCCCTGCCCGATGCCCTCGGTGATGGAGCCCCCCGAGCGCTCCTGCAGCTTGCCCCCGGACTGGATGTACGAGTGCAGCACCGACCCCGGCGGGTCCGCCAGGAAGCTCTTCACCCGCCCCCCGCTCGCGTCCTTGAGGAACCGCGTCGTCCCCGCCAGCGTCCCCGCCGTCCCCGTCGCGCACGTGAACGCGTCCACCTCGCCCCGGGTCTGGGCCCAGATCTCCGGGCCCGTCGTCTCGACGTGCGCGCGGCGGTTGGCCGTGTTGTCGAACTGGTTGGTCCAGACGGCGGCGCCGTCGCCCTGCTCGCGGACGAGCCTCTCGGCGTGCCGGCGCGCCTGGTGGTTGTAGTTGTCCGGGTTGTCGAAGGCGACGGCGGGCACCGGGTAGACCTCGGCGCCGAGCAGCCTCAGCAGGTCGATCTTGCCCTGGGACTGGGTGTTGGGCATGTAGATGACGAGGCGGTAGCCCTTGGAGCGGCACACGTGCGCCAGCCCGATGCCCGTGTTGCCCGCCGTGCCCTCGACCACGGTCCCGCCCGGCCGCAGCTGGCCCCTCTCCTCGGCGTCCAGCACCACGTAGAGCGCCGCGCGGTCCTTGATGGAGCCCCCGGGGTTCATGAACTCGGCCTTGCCGAGCACCTCGCACTGCGTCTGCTCCGAGATCTTGTTGAGGCGGATCAGGGGGGTGTTGCCGATTGCTAGTCAGGAGAAGACGAGGTCAGCAAAAAGTCGTCAAGCCGAATGAGTGTCCGTGAGCGGTGCAAGGGAGAGACAGGGTCCCTGAAAAGGGAGAAAGAGAGGGACAGAGTTTTGACAAATCCACGTACCGCCAACCAGGCCCTTTGCGACGCCCTGGGCTTTTGAGACGCCGAGTGTATACGGACTCGGCGGGTTCGCTGCGGCGACTGCGCGGCGTGCCGTCGAGGTCGCGAACCTCCTCGCACCTATCCGAAGTACTGCTGGCGCTGACATGTTTGCCTTCTTGAAGATGGCGGGAAAGAAGTTGACTTCAGGAGCCAAGGCTGAACGAGGGAATAGCTTTCGGCTAGAAAGCTATTTTGGCGGGGCTCTGTACTGTCCTGTCTCTTAGCTTCGACGCCGGGATCACGTCATATCCACCGGTGCCGGCTTTTGGACGATACGCTGTCCGGCAGTCGGTTGTCCACGCATATTTGTGGGAAGGGTTCATGTATGTCGACAGCATATTGATGAATAACTATATAGTTTGTATGTATATATATATATATATATATATTTATTTATTTGAAACAAATCATTCTGATCGTTGTCAGGTAGTCATTAGACATTCTCATTACCTCATCAGGATGCATATATATCGTCTCCCGCAATTCGGGCATCGTCATCATTATTAACCTCGTTCAACCCTGGGCCCTGTTAAGCAAATGCCACGATCTCAATCTCTGCCCCTTTTTCAGCAGGTCTTGAATGTCGGGTCAACTTTCAGTGACTCGTACAAATGGAGCCGGGAATAGACCCTTCTTCCCCATGTAGGTCCCGAAATACCACTCCCCATTCACATCTTCCACCTCCCTGATATCGGCCCCCTTTGGAAACATAAGCTCATCATTAGAGCCAGCGTCAGGATACCATGACCATTTAGCCGCGGCCTTCATACCCATGCCGCCTGCAGGAGGAAAAAGTTCTGTCCATGATCCTCCCTGGGGCGAAGCAGCGGCTACATCAGTGCTCACCAGCCTCTCAAGGGTAATCCCACTGGCTCCTCTCCACTGCCATACCTGGAAACCCGGGGTAGGCGACTTGTATGGCTCCATGTGCAAGTCCCAACCACCCACAAGGTCTTGCGTGATCTGACGTCGTTCTCCGCCGTTGCTAACCTGAAAATTGATCATGACCATGCGATGACCATCGAGGCAGCGCCTCCAGCCGAGATGACCGTTGTCCGCAGCTATGCGTCCATCCTTTTCCAATTTGTGATAACAACCAACACATATTTCGTACTCTCCCAGGTGCGTATCGGCGACTGTACTGCCAACTGATACAACAGGTTGCGAACATGTATAGCAGTGTAACCTCTCTTGGGCAGATGCCATGGCAGTTTGGCACACGCTGCATGTTGTAGTAAAAGTCAAGGGCTTGAAATTGCCCATGGAGACTGCGTCAGGCCCAGTATAGAGACTGGCCGACGGCGGTGGATCGGGCACGCGAGGGCTAGGTGGAAACTTAGAGTTGCCCGAAGGTGATACGTAGGTCAAGGGCAGCAGGGCGTGTGTACAGCCTCGACCTTGATTGACACAGTCGTTGCAGAAGCCCCAGTCACCTTCGTTACATAACTCACAGCGCCAGTAGCACCCGTTGGCCCAGGCCAAGCACCCTGAGCAGAAGACGCCCATCTGAAGTCTTCGCATAGGGTCATCTGTTGTCAGCGTTCGCCGACCATCTGCACCGCCAGGTAAAACTTTTGGCGGGGTGAACCGATTCGACGTGAGCATGTGAGGCCTTTCCAGATCTGGATGTCCATTTGCGCGAGCCTTTTCCCACTTGTGCCACGCAGAATATCCGAATCCGAACCAGTGCAAGCAACCTTTACCCTGTCGATAGCAGTCTAGACAGATGTTCCAATTTCCACTTCTACACTTCCCACAGTTGTAGTGAAGATCATATTCGATATGAGTCTTACTGCAGCGGGCACATGCGATCGATGGTTCCTGGTAGAACTGTGACCTGGCTCTGTGATGACCGCTTACAGGAGACACGGGCGCACCAAGACTGGGTAGTGGGCTTTGAGGCACCACAACCAGGCTGGCCGGGCGTTGCTTCACACGCGTGCTGCTGGCCGTAGGCGTTGATGTACCGCTGTCAAGTTCGGCAGGCGGCGCTGTGTTTATCGCCGTGGCCGCACGCTCGCCAAACGACAGCCCGAGGCCTACTGTAGCCTGCTTTCCGGGGGTGGTGGTTGGCATGCTGGAGCTCCTGTCTCCAAAGGAAGGGCGCCGACGTTCGACTTCGTGGTTCCGATCCCGCAGTGTGAGATCGGTTTGCGACCTTGCCGCCGGCTTTACATCCGCAGTGCGCGGCCTGATAGGTTCTGTTGCACTTCGCGCACCGCTAGATGTCCGCCTCCTTCGCCTCTCGGGACCTCTCACTTCCAGGTGTGTTGCCGTGATGGGGGGTCGGCTCCTCAGATCGATCTGGCTTGTCATGCTTGAAGTTCTCGTGTTTTCCGAATTCGCTCTCTGCCGGCTGCTTGCTCTGGACCTATCCACATTTAGGGGCCTAGGACTCAACGCCGCTAGATCTGTGCGACTAGAATGAGCGCTGGTGGCCGGTCTTCTAGACGACTCTTGCCGTACCCTCTGAGTTTGCCTTCTTCGATAGGCTTCCGTTATCCTTTTGCTTAGCTCGTCGTTCCGGCTCAAGTCTATGTTGTCGAGGTCCAGTCCTTCCAGCAGTCCCTCTTCCTGTATCTGTCGGGCGAACTCCTCGATCTCTCTTTCTATGTCCAGTGAGTCGACACTGGAAGAGCTAAGCAGTGACCTTATAGATGCTTGATGCTCAATCGGCCTGGCCCTCCTCGTCCTCGATGAGTCGCGTGACCTGTGTTGTGATTCGCTTCGTCCACGGCGGCTCTCCTCGGCCGGTCGTAGGTTGCCGTTTGACTCAGCGCGCTGTCTCCTCTCTCCATCTCTTCTGCTATGGTGGCGCGCATCGCGAGTTCTCGAATCTCGGCTACTGTCTCTGTCTGACTGAGAGCTATCTTGCTGCCGTATTTGGTGCTCTCTTCTGCGTCGATGATGGCTTGGCCCTGGCGACTCGACTCCCAGATCCGCTCTTAGGCTCATTTCTCTTGCCTGGTCCAGCATCTGCCTTTCCAGTTGTTCCAAGCGTCTCTCTTCGTGAGATTTCTCCTGGGCTCGTATTCTTGGCAGCACGTCGTCGCCCTGCTTGTATTTCTCCAGCATTTCCGCCTTGTCCTCATCGGTGCGTGTCTTGTCCGGGTTGGCTGTGAGAAACATGTCCAGCAGCGTCGCGACCGTGGCATTGTGCCTCGTATCTCTGACGGAAGCCCTGCATGACGGGCATGTGGCAACTGTCGTGCCAGGTGGTGGTGGGTTCGGTGAGCTTTCAGCTATCGTCGCTTGCCATGAGAACCAGTCCTTCAGACAAGAACCACAGTAGGTGTGCAGGCAGTCCAGCAGTGTCAAGGGCTGGAAGAGGACCTCGGTGCAGATCTGAGAGACGGGTTGCCCCGCGTTAGCGATTTGGCCATTGGCATGGGCGCTGACTTGACAGGCGGTGCCGCACTGCCGTGGGGGAGAGGTCGCTGGAATACTCACCGAGCATGTCAACTCCTTCTCCAGGTCAACTCCCGGCCTTGGAGAGTCCATGATGCGGGTCGAGTTCGAGGAATGTCTATGGCTTCGACAAGTAAGCCGTTCATGCAGGTTATCGCATGAGTGCCGTGTGCATGCTCAGGGTTAATATGGTCCAGCGTCGAGGACGATGACAGCCGGCGACGGTGGGGGGGATCCTGGTTGTGAAAATGTCAGGCCGAAATGTCAAGTCAGGATGATGCCGGGGACGCATGCAAGTCTCATGAAGCGACTCAGTTCGTATTCTTTTCGCCTAGTCCCGCCTGCATGGTGGCGCATCACGGTGCGATGTGCCCCATGGAATTGACTAGGTTAGGTCAAATTAATATAACAAATGGGAACACAGTTATGATGAGGCTGGCTAGTCAGTAGTAGTTGAAGTCTCCCCAAGTGGAGGGTGGCAGATGCAGATGCAGGTGTCAGTCAGTCAGTCTTATCTCACTGTCAGCATTGGATCTTCGAGGCAAGGCAAAGGCATCGTGGGGAGGTCTACTGTCAGTCTGACGTTGAATGTCTCTCATGTCGGCCGACAAAAACAGCATCTAACTTGACCGAGCTTGTGTCGCTGCTGAGTCAAAGCCTGCCAAAGCCTGCGAATAGATGCCCGAGGTTCCTATTGCATCACACTTTGTTATTCTGCAAGTGCAAGACACTGAGCCGTTCTTACCGGTTCGGAAAGGCATCCAATTTGGTCAGCCCTATCATAACGTCCTTAGCGAGCTGAACCACCCCGCTTCAAGCTTATAGGCTGCTATAACAGTGGCTACAACATGCGTGCCTTCAGTGCAGCACCCGCCCTCTCGTATATTCCAATAGATTATACAGCAACAACATTGTCTTGAAATAGGAACATGCATTACATTGCTTCTTCGCTCAGGTGTGGTACTATACCCCCGATCGAGATGTTTATTGATGCGTCCATTCAGCCTTCTTCTTCTCCGCGAATGCCTTCATTCCAATCTTCTGGTCTTGACTTCCGAACAAGCTGTGGAACACTCGTCTCTCAAACTCTACACCCTCTCTGAGCGGTAAGTCCTGGCTCTTGTTGACGACCTCCTTGCAGGCTTGGACGGCCACCAATGAGTGTCCCGCGATTGTCTCAGCTGTCTTCAAGGTTTGCTCCATCAACTCCTCGTAACTTGTGAACGCCTTTGCTGCAAGTCCCCATTTCTCAGCATCGGCCCCAGTGAATGATTTCCCTGTCAAAATGAGCTCCATCGCTTTGGATTTGCCAATCGCTCTGGTCAGCCTTTGGCTTCCACCTGCTCCAGGGAGAGTCCCAAGCTTGATCTCCGGTTGTCCGAAGTTGGCTGTTTCCGTGCAATACAGGATGTCACACATCATGGAGAGCTCACAGCCACCTCCCAGCGCATGGCCGGACACTGCGGCAATGATGGGCTTCTTGATTTGGGTGGTTAGGTCCGACCATGACTCGATGAATGAGGTTGTGTAAGCTCCGGCAAAGGTAAGAGGTTGCATCTCCTTGATATCAGCTCCTGCAGCGAAGGCCTTCTGTGAGCCTGTCAAGACAATGACCTTGATGTTTTCCGATGTTTGATACTCGTTCAATGCCTGATTGAGCTCTTTGATAAGAGGCGTGCAGAGTGCATTTAGAGCCTTAGGCCGGTTTAGCGTTACTGCAATCATATAAGTCATCTGAAGCTAGGTGGCTATATGTATGGTAGGATGAATACCTTGACCAACACCGGGTTTCGGTTCTGAAGTCTGGATATATTCGTAGGCCCTTGCTGGCGTCGCGGAGAATGAACGGGCGGCTATAGGCAAACTGCTCAGCTGGATACGCGAGGCAATCGGCCGCAAGTTGCGTAGAGAATTCATGTTGTAACTTGGTGGTAGCTTCAAGTGCGATCAGTTATCGAGCCCACTATAGAGAGTTTACTCGAAAGCGATACACAATATCCAAACAAGTGTTGGACTATTGAACTGATTGCTGATGAAGTGGTGACAAAATGGAAAAGAAAGCCGTGAACCTAAGACATTTCCAAGTGAGTCGCCCTGGCAATTGGATATTATGCCGAGGATATCCAGTGGGTAACAGCGTCCCCAAGCATGAGGTCAGAGCTCCATTACAGAGCTCCAGCACGGGCAAGCTATTGATACTAAAGCCCACATAATTGCATAAACTCGAGAATTTATGAGTCTAACCATAATGCACCAAGTTATCCCATACTTCAATATCTACTGAATAACCTCGAGGATGATTTGGCTTGGGTAAGTGTTCAAATGGAAGGCCGATAGTAATGAAAAATCAAATGTAGCCTCCGTAGCCTCCGTGATTTCTATATACGCTTCTGTGACATTCAAAAACAGTGGGCCCACCGTTTTTAGAACGATGGTAATCTCAGGGTATATATTCGTTGCCACAGCTTCTTATATAGAAATCTACTAGTTTAGTAGAGGAACGAAACACTCGGAGCTATACATCGAATCTGACGCGATCGCGAATGAAAGGGGTAAGCTTATATATTACAAGACCACTGCATAAGTCCACCGTTGCCAAATAAAGCATGCCGGAGGTTACCTTTCATGTCGTTGTTACTAGTAATGTCTCTAAGGGCACTGGCATCAAAGTTTCACGAACTTCGGTAAGATTTATTCGACTTGAAAGATGGACAGGTGTGTGGGAATTAGACAGTCTCTCCACGAATTTTGAAACGCGCCACTTGACAAGATGGATTTTATCTTACTTGAAACATTACTTTTAGTATGTATGCAATTCTCAAATTTCTCAATAACAACCCCAACATTTTAGCACGCTTTTCTTCTTTTCTAATGTGTCGATCACGTCTCGCCGGCTTCTTCACCACCACCAGGCCCGACCAAGACCGCACATGTTCCATAATCGGGCTGGCATCCGGTCAGTAGGCAGAGCAACGCGCATTGACCGTCTAGAGTACAGCAAAGGCCGAATTTGCTACTACGACAAGTATATCCGGTTCCAGGACCACAGGTTCCGTCCTCACTTGGAACTAGAATCGTTGGTGTTGGGCTGGTAGCAGTTGTAGTGCTAGTCCTCGTGGTAGAACGAGATGTGGAAGTGGAAGTCGACCTGGAGGTGGACCTTGATGTGGAGGTGGACGAAGATGTGCTGGTCTTAGTGGTAGAAGTCGTCCGAGTGCTGGTCGTGCTTGGGACAGTAACAGTAGTCGACGAAGAAGTGGCCGACGTCGTCTTAGTGGTAGTCGTGCTTGTGGTAGAGGGTGATTTGGTAGTCGTGCTTGTGGTAGAGGGTGATGTGGTAGTCACAGAGGTGCTCTTACTAGTAGAAGTAGGCGCGCTAGTACTAGGAGCAGACGAAGAACTACTTAGACATCCAGAACCCCAAGCAGGCTGGCAGCCTTGGTCGCAGTAATCGGTGGTGTTTCCACAGTAGCCGTATTGCGAACAGCAGTTGCCGAATTCAGAGCCTACACAAGTGATGCCATTGCCGCAGTCTCCGTCTTCACTGACGACTGCGCCTCCGGTTGGGGTGGGACTCGCGCCTGTCGACGAGTCAGCGGCCTGTCCAACAGTCGTTCGTTTCGCCATGGCAGCCTCACCACAATCAAGCGAAACCGTAGGAGATTTCACCGGGAAAGTGTACGCCGGAACTGAGGAGCTGCCAGCTCTGTACCAGTTCGCCGGTGGATCACCAAGACATTCTCCAACAGTTACAGAGCGGAAGCCGTAGCTAAAGAGGGACTCGAGAAAGTAGTCTGTTAAATTGTAGACAGTCTGCCAATGGATGTCGTGCTCGATCTGCAGGAAGTTGGCATCACACGCATCCGAGTTGTCGACATTCTCATCCCAAATATCCTTGCTGGCTTGGATTAGGGTTGGGTCGTCATTTAAATAACCCTCTGTGTCTAGATCGAAATAGATGACATGGTAGCCTAGATCATACAGCATGGACTCGCATTCATCTTCACAAATGGAAAATGGAGGCCTGTCTGAAGTCAGAACATGGAGACAAGATTTTGAGAGTTTCCTAGGACTGACCTCATGTAAGTTGGGATGTACCCCAAAATATCGTTCAGCGCAATCTCATTCCAGATCATCTGGTTTTGAGCTTGAGTTGTTGTCAGTTCGCTGAAATTCTGGTGCGACCAAGTGTGACTCGCGACTTGGTGGCCCTCGGCGGCCATTCGCTATTACGAATCAGTACCCTACAGTGCATCGTTCATTACATATATCAAGACTATACCTGAATGACAGCCTTCCACGGCAAGTCAGGGTCATTGATAGGACCTTTCCCAATGTTGTTACCCGTGATGAAGAAAGTGGCTTTTGCCCCATAGTCCTGAGAAGATATTAGCACTTGTAATTCTACGATAATGGTGGGAGACGTACCTTGAGTTTATCCAGGAGGTCGCTGGTGTAGTTCCAGGGGCCATCATCGAAGGTCATTGCAATGTCACCCTCATTGACGCAATCGTAAATTCCAAGTCCTCCATATTCTACATTTCCGACTCTTTTCCTTGCAATAGAGGAAGTATCAACCCCACTCGGCTTTTGATTCGCGTCGCAACCTGGACCATAATTGATCTGGCAATCCGGTGCCTCGCAGTAGTCTATCCCCAGGCCACACCATCTTCAGATCAGTCAGTACCATTGGAAGTCATTTGGCAAATATGATAGGGCTTTGGGTGCTAACCCTTCCGCAGAACAACAATACCCAGCTGCACAAGTGCCACGACCTGAACCACATTTCCCACTCTTGCCGCCGCCTGAGTCATTGGTGTCAGCGGCATCCCTTTTGTCGATCCTGACTATCTCATCAAGCACATGAGCCATTCGTGTCTGGGAAGTTTGTTTGGCTGAGATCCTCTTTCCCCTGAGCTCTGACAGCAGTCTCCGTCCTCCGGCAAGTTTTGGTAGAGGACTATGCGCAGCTGACAGGCTGGCAAGGCCCAAGAGGGTGAAAATAACTAACCAATGCATGGTTGCAAGTGAAATGGTGGCCCTGAAATCAAGACAAGTAGCTATGACAATCAGGGGAGTCAGAAACCATGAACCATTAAGATGACCATAAGCTATAAGATGATACTATGTTGCGGGAGCCTGCGAAAGTCATCGAAACGGACACTTTGCAACGGATCCTGACTACTTATTATAAAAATCGATTTTTCTTTTCTTTTCAAGGAAAGCCAGTACGGTACTAATTGCAAATTTCGTAGTAGCTGCAGGCCACAATAACATGCGGACTTTGACGGATGGAATGGTACATTTCGAATATAGCCGGATACGACCCAGTTGGCGTGGCCTCTGCATAGAAGCTGTTCATTAAGAATGATCCCCAAATTGTAGCTGCATCTTTTTACCACTAATTTCCGGGTACCCGCGCGGTGGAGAAAATGTGAAAGGCACTCATGAGGCGCCCATTCGTTAATTGAATTCAAGGAGAGTTGTTATATCATTCTTGAGGTTGAGGTCGGACCTGATTAGCCACAAGTATGTTCCGAAGAACCCTGCAACTCAAAAATATCGTGGTATGGAACGACACAACGTCAGAGCAATGTGTAATATGGTCTATCAGATCATATCTGGACGGGTTCAATTCTGTGTTAGCGTTGAGTTGTGGTCGGTGCGATTAATGTTACCATTGAAGTTGGCGAACAACCTTGACCAACTAATCTTCAGAAATAGAAACTCGTTCCTGAAAATGTTTTGCATAATATCGGAATTGCATTCAGCTTAACTGCGAGATCTGCACACGTAATGTTTTATGGCTTTCCGGGGCTTTGCAAGACGGGTCGTGGATTTTAGGCGGAATAGATTGACCGCATGCGGCCTTGACCATTCGGAGCGACGCCTGAATTGCTGCAGTGTAACCCAATACATAAATTACTCTGTTTTATTGCTGAATCAATATATTAATACGAATGGATCGTTACCTCTTGCCATCTCATACCTAGCAAGCTGACGACTGCTCAAATTCATACAACACAGTTTCGACCAGAGGAACATGGCCCACAGTGTCGACCATCAAGATGGGGACTGCCGAGGAATATTTCCCCGAAGATCTCCTGTCGATGCAGACCAACACAATATCTGCCAATGATGCAGGTTCCCCCTTCGAATGGCTCCGCTCAACGTTAAGTTATCAGAGTTATCGGCGACGTCAGGATCGTAGTTCTTCCAATGCAACATTGTACGGTTACCGTACTTCACGACATCACTGATCCAGGTCGAGTGGCCCCTGCAATCAACGGATGGCTTGGTGATAACATCGATTTCTGTGTGTTGTACAAGTCTTGGAACTTGCGAATCCACTAGTGTATTCGAATTCAAGTTGAGCAAACTCCTTTCGCCCTGTCCACCGCTTAACGCCTTGCCGTACTGGAAATAGAGGCCAGTAAAAGCTGGCTGGGTATCGTAAGAAAAGCTATATCCTCATCGTACACCTAACCTACACCGGAGACACATGCTCAAAAACATACAGTCCGTCTTAAGATTGTGTGACGCTTGGAGACGCCGGAAGGTTGCCTTGCTTGTCATCTCCTGGGCACCGTTCGCTTTCCAGCTTCATATCCATGATGAGGCTCAGTTCCGGACAATATTCAAAAATTGCCTTTCTTTGTGAAGCATCTTTCCAAACGGCATCCGGTAGGTTATTGCCGCCATCTCTGACATGAAACCCCATAGAGTTTGGTATATAAGTGTCTTCAACGGCTAACTGGCCTTCTGTGCCAGAGGCCACTTTTGCGCCAGGCAAGACCCATACTCTTGTCCCAAACCATTCATCTTCTGGCTGAGTGTCATTAACGCGCTCTTGAAACTTCAATACGCGTTTGATAGTCGATATCCTCCGTAGGGATAGTCCACCATTGCCAGAAAATCTGTCATTCTGTGTTCTATGTGGACATGTCAATCAGGGAATCACGCACGAATAGGGATAGCTACATACCTAGGTGCCCCTGCCCAGTCCCAATGTAGCCAGTCGTTGAGACTTGTCTCTGAGTTGGCGCATAGAATGCTGTCATACTCGTACTTGAGAAGCCACTCGGCGCCAGGGAGGAATTCGTCGTAGAAGCGCATATCAGTCAAGGTTCTGTGAATAGCTTCCTTGCTACCGATATCCCAAGGCTCTGGAAGAACCATCAGATCCAGTTTTCCTATGGCATGCTGATGCTTTGTAGCATAACTACGGCCGACGCTGACCACTGATTTGTTAGAGCCGACGAAGACGAAGCGCCAATCTGACGGTACAACTGTGATCATGTGGAGAATTTGAGGAACCAGGTGTGGTAACGGTCGAGGTTCAATCAACAAAGCAACTTTGGAACTGTTGTACTTGAGCCGTGGGTCAACGTCCACAACTGCTGCCTCGGGACTCCAGTCCACTTTCACGGTGGGGATCTTTTCTATGGCCTCGTCTAGTCTGTTCTTGAAAGATTCCTGAATCCGTGGTCTATAATGAGGCAACAGGCCAGCAATGTACCATCTTGACAAGAAGTTAGCGAGCAAAACAACGAGGTAAAGTCGCATTAACATACGTGATGGCCAATGACAGCACAATAAAAACCTTGAATCTGTTCACGGTAAAGATGCCACCAACGATGGACGATACGGAGCCGGTCGCCATGGCGCTCATTTTGTGTGAATTGAGATTGAAGTAAGAGAATATGCTGCTATACAATAGAGCCGACAACAGGCGGAGTTTGGGATGGAGGTCGCCAAAGCCAAGAAGTTCGCAATCTTTCGGTTTTCGAGATCGGAGGTCGCGGATTGTTAGGAAAGCATCATAGTGTCATAACGACTGAACATGAAGGCAGTCGATCTAGTTGGTTTCGTATATAGTAATTGCGTGTCTCCCAGGAGTAATTCTGGTTGACAACTTTGTAGCTGGCAAAGTGTCCGTTGGACCCGTGGAGAGGTGAGCAAAAAGAGGATGTGGATGAAGCAGTGAGTGCGTGTCTGTAATATTGCGCAGAAAGGTAATTCAGTTCAAGGCAAGGTACCTGAGATGACTGTTTGGCCGCCCTCTGTACCAAGTACGTGGGGTCCGGCAGCTCCACGACTTACTGCAATTATTACTGCGTGAGTAACAGTACTGCGTGCCACTTGAGGTACGGATCCCTACATGTAGAAGCTGACGACGTATCCCGGCCCTCTGGCGCGCAGGGGCATGAGTTCTTGGCAATGCGGGATGGTACCCTGCTATACTTTAGCGACTCTCCTTGGCATTTTTGGTGCTACGCACGTTTCAACGAATATCATATCTTCTTTAAATTTTGGCAAAACCTTCGACACGGAGGGGATTGATAAGATGACAACTTTCAGAGTTTAATTTTCCGAGTCTGAGTTCGCTCATCGACAGCAACGTGTTGAATGGGGGGTGTGAGCCAGGGTTCCTTACGCGTTCCCACCTTGCATTTCAGATGACCGAGCCGCTGAAAGCTTGATCACTCTTTGGCGAAACATTTTCCTGTCAAGCAGCTGGAGGCTGCATTCCCACAGCGATCTTGCCAGTTTGCAGCTCGAAATCGAAGGGATGACAAGTACTACATCAACATTGTAATCCGGCGAATCACTCGTCGAGCGCATCTGAATTTGTCTTGAGGTATTTTCTTTTGCCTAGCCTTGGGCGACATTGGCACACTTTACTTTATGATACTGGAACATTGGCAATTCCCGGCAATCTCGCAATACTCTCTCCAACATTCGTGCACTTGTTGCCCAGCTGTTCTTCTCTCCTGATCGAATCGAAAGTTTGCACCATTCACCTGTACATGTGATTTTCAGGGTACCTAAAGTTGCTTGAATTTGTTAGTGACGGTTGACCCCACGGTACGCGTAGTAGTTTGCCGGGAAGTTTGGCCTTTTGCCCTTTCGAGCAAGGCCCGCATGCATATAAGGCTTTTGATAAGCCGGAACTTGCAGCCACTCACAGGGATGGCGAAAATCTATTGTCACAACAGAATCACCACCCATCGGACCACATGAATTCGAAAGTTTTTTCCTTCCCCCTTTTCGCGTGGTAAAGCACTTATTTTGAAGAGGAATTGTCGTGTTACAGCACTTATGACAGTGGCTGATAGCTGAGACGCACAATTCAACTGATGTTTCTGAGGCCTGAAACAAAAGTGGTAGCTAATCTCGCAAGGAACATGACTCTTGAGCTTTCGCTGCTACGCGGCCTCGAACAACGTGCGTGGCTGAAGGCAGTGTCCAACGCTAATAGAACAATGTATCATATGTACGGAGTAGTGCTCTCGACTCTAATACCCCAAGAATCTAGTCAATTTATTTCGTGTTTCCAAGTCGCAGACTAGACTAAAATAACACTTGTGCTCCAACACATGCCCGTCGGGATTGAATCCAACTTCCAACTCTCGCCTTGAGTTCTTCATCCATCGTACCATATCTTCCTGTGCGATGCTAGACTACTGTAACAGCGTTCAAATAATCGCAGCAAAAGTTACGAATAGGGTTGCTCCATATTCGTGTGTGGAGTATTCTAGGTTGTAGTGGACTGCTCGGTGCCAAGAAAAGCTCGAGATCGCTCGAGCTTGCGTCACCTTGTAACACATCTAGCAACAGCTTCCCTGTCATCCACTGCATCGACTGGAGGGCCCTCGTCTCTGACATAGGCGCTGCGCCGGCTCCAGCGGAGTGGGCTTGGTCAATTACAAGAAAAGCTTCATTCGCATTTGAAGCTGTTGTAAGAGCTACCGAAGCTAATCGTATTCCCAAGCTATTTCTTCCGGAGCTTGCTTTCGAACCTCTGGTGGATCTCTTTACTACCCTCTGGTATGGTACCCTCTTCGCCATCTTCGATTTCCTCCGGGAAGGAAGAGATGACCATGCAGGACTTATGGGATAAAACAAAGCTTTTGGCGCACGGTGGATGGTCGCGAACTACGAAGCGGATGCGACTGGCCGGTGGCTTGTTGATATTCATGTAAGTGATTGTGACCTTTTCAACCTATCATTCCTGGCGGGCTATTGCTCACACGATAAAAGAATAGCAACCGCCTGGGTTTCACTGCCGACCATACGGACGGCGGAATATCCAAATATTCCCAAAATACACTTGGATTACCCTGAGCCGGTAGTATCGCCGTACAATGCCAGCAAGGTCGCTTTGCTGGTCGAGAACCGACCCAACCCAATTCTGGCGCCTTTGTTGCTGCATTTCATGTCGGTCGTGCCACCAGACTGGCGCTTCCGTTTCATGGGGTCGACCGAATCTGTGGCATTTGTCAATAAATCAGTAGCCATTCGAGAACAGGTCGATAACGGCAAGCTTGACTTGACGTACATACCTTCCAACATGAGCACCATAGGCCAGGAAATGATCAGTCGTTTCCTCACAACACTTTGGCTCTACGAAGTCGTGCTGCAACCAGCCGAATGGCTCCTAGTATTCCAGACCGATAGCATCCTCTGTGCCAATAGCCGCCAGAACATTAACGATTATCTGGACTATGACTGGATTGGTGCACCTTGGAACGTTGGCGGCCGGTATGGAGGAAATGGTGGCCTGTCCCTGCGCCGCGTAAGCGCCATAATCGAGATCCTGCGAGATCAGATACGAGTCGACGGGTCAGAACCCGAAGATGTATGGCTAGCAGAACGATTGGCACATCGACACGGTGCAAGAATGGCCAATGGTTCCACGTCCCTGACCTTCAGCGGAGAGATGCATTCTGGTAAGGCCACGAAGATCGATCACGCTTCAGAGGTGAATGACACCGCACTCGAAGCCGCCAAGCACGGCGATTATGTCGAAGGCATCGACGACTGGCGACAAGGCTTCTATGAACCGATGGGATACCATACTGGAGGAAGCGGCAGTACACTCCACGGCGGCATTTGGGGCACGCCAGAACAAAGAAAACATATCTGGAACTACTGTCCCGAGGTGAAGATGACGCTTGCCATGGATGTGGCTAGGTTCGTACCGGGCAGCTGCCATACAAATTGGAAGAGAGACTCTGAAACCTGGGAGAGTTCCGGGTCCACAGGTGAGACAGGGGCTGTCGGTCTGGATAACAGCGGTTACGGTCATGGCACCGAGATCATTGACGGCGTCGAGTACCCTATGCTACCTCCAAATCTAGCGCCTTGGTGAATTTGACCATGTCTCCCAGCAGATTTGTGCACTTGGCAAACATGTTGCATTTGGTGGTCAATCAGTGTCGGGCCCAAAGATATAACCTGAAGACAATGTTGTACGAATAATGCTCATTGACGAGCGATACCATTGAGCGCAGGAAGGGATATCGGACAGGCGTTCATGGATGTGGCGTACGTTTTGACTTTACAGGTGGGGAATGTCGTCGGGCATTTACATGTCTTGTCAGTTGCATTTGCAGGAAATCGGCGTTGTATCTAAGGATCATGAAAAATGGGCTACTTCAGACTTTGTCTGTCTGCAGAAGAATGGTGAACAGAATTGACAAAAGACATCTAAGGATCAATGTTACGTGTTTAAAAAGAAAATTGACTCCCCCCCGCCCCCCCGAAAAGGTGGCGTGCGGTTGTCTGCTGACTTAATGCCAAGGCTTCGGGTCGATCCTCCAAATGCAGTCGAGCGGCACGCATATGTGCTGCATTAACCCCGGCCCAAAGAGAAAGAGAAAAACATATAAGCGAGTTCTCAGCCATACGCACACTCGAAGTTCAGGTTCTACCTACACGGCTTGGCATGCTCATTCAGCTGTACCTGCCAACTGGTTACCCGCGTTTCGTTACATTTTGTATTATTCGATCCATGATTATACTGCTGATCCATGTTAACTACTAATTATACAAGCAAAACTAGATGCTTGGCACGACCAATCTGTCATATAATACGACAAGGTCCCAACCCGTAGAGCAATGTTGTCAATTTAAGTACTTATAGTCCACAAACATCACCTCGCTACCCTTGGGGCTCACAAGCTCTCACTCACCTCTTCCAATTCCACTCACCTATTTCCTCCCTCCCATTCTCTCTCTCTCTCTCTCTCTCTCCCTCCCCTTCCCCACCCCTCTACAACTTGACCTTCTTCTCCCATTTGAACCCTCTGAAGTCCTCCTTGCTCGCCACCCAGACCCGGGCGCCCTCGATCTCTCCCCTGCGGAGGACCTCCTCGTAGACGCCTGCGAAGTCGCTGGCGCGGGCGGCCCCCGTCCGCGCGGCGCTCTCGTCCACCTCGACGCGCAGGTCCAGGTACACCTCGACAAAGCGGACGCCGGAGCCGGCCGTCTCGCGGGACGCGGCGTTCGCCAGGCTGAACAGCGCGCCCTGCGTCATGGCCGGCAGCGCGCGCGCCCCGATGTTGCCCTGCGAGCCCGTGCAGAGCGTGAAGGAGGCCGGGGCCCCGAGGGACTTGAGATAAGGGAACGTTGCGCGGTAGGCGACTTTGGAAGAGGGAGAGAGGGAGTCGGGTTAGCCTTTTTTTTCTTCTACTTCTTCTTCTTCTTCTTCTTTTCTTTTCTTTTCTCTTCTCTTCTCTTGCCGTGGCAGAGCGCTGATGGTGATGTTGGTGATCCCCGAACACATAAAAGCAAAGTTCGTGCGTGGAGGAGTAAAGAAATAAGAGGAAAATAAAAATTTAGACTTACAGAAATTAGACTCAAAGTTCTGCGTCATAGCCACACGCAGGTCCTTTGTGGCTATTTCCGAGAGCGGCGTCTCGCTGTAAACACCACCAGCTAAGAAGAGAGTTGCCGATGATTAGAACAGGGGACTCGTAGTTTCATGTCTGGGATCCATCTCTCTTTCTCCCCCAGCTGATGACTAAGACTGCTTACCGGTGCTGTACACATGCTGAAAGGAGGGCAGCTTTCCGGCCCTGACCTGGTCTACCACGCCCTGCACGCCGTCGTCGGCGAGGACGTCGGCCTCGACGGTCGTGATACCCTCGCGGGTACCGACGTTGTGGAAGAGCTTCTCGGCCGAGGCCTGGTTCCTCACGATGGCCAGCACGTCGCGGCCGCTGTTCAAAGCGCCTATGACGGCCGAGGTACCGATGTTGCCCGTGGCTCCCACCACGAGGACTGTCTCCTTGGTTGCGGCCATTGCCTGGAAAGTTAATATTTGGGTTGTGGATCGAGGTATTGTTCTCAGGCAATTGTTGTGTTTCTGGTAGCCGCTTTCAATAGTGTACTGAGAACCCGAGCTCTTATGGTGATATCCTGAATCCTTCTCTGCCTTGAACAGACGTTCATATTAATAGTTTGCTCGCTGATATGAAATAACTGCAGCTCTATAATCAGCCAGTTCGGTAATCTCCAAAAGTCCGGCTGACAAACATACGAATTGCCAAGTGTGGGGCCCATATAATCTCACTTACAGTTGTAAGGCCAGTATAGAGACATCCTCAGCATATTGCTTATCAATCAGCCCGCGAATCAGATGACAGCATGGACTAGCAGTGTGTGGCATCGCGCTTCGTGGAGAGCGAGAGCGAAACTTGTCACAGGATATGCATAAATCGGGGTGAACTCACGTGATTCCATACGTTGTAGCCAAGATATGGTGTTTCCCTGAATTGAAAAGAGAATCGACGAGCAGAACAAGCGATAGGGTCAATTGAATCGCTGCGCAGAGCTGATGACCTGCAACAAAACTCGGTGCGAAAATGAGCCGACCGAACAGAAAACACCTTCACGACGGGCAAAACGCTTCGTAATAATTTTCATGGGAGGGGGTATATTGGGTTTTTCTTTTTGCTCTCTTTTGTCTTTGTACAAATGGCGTTTTTAGACTACCACGACATCATCTTGTCTGACGTACGCATCATTCCCCATCGTCGAGGCAAGCAGCAGCATGGCCGCTCATATGATTTTTCATTTGGCCATAAGCACCATCATAGTGCTTCACCAACCATGGCACCAATGGCGCCGCCAATTTCTCCAAACACCACTCCCTTCAAGACAGTCTCTCCCATTTCCTCTGCCCAGTGGCCAGTCTTCTTGAGACGTTCTCTCCATACTCGTTGTTCGTGGGTTTCCATTTCGTCCCACGATTTGGCGGGGCCATGCACTTCTTCATTGTGAATGTCCGCCTTCAGAATTGGTAGGCCATCCGTACCAACCGCAGCAAGATCTTCATGCCTAACGATGACCTTCTCGTGTTCTTTCGGGACTACTGTTTTCAGGAGATCACCGAAGGTCTTGGACCCAACCACCGGCCCATGACGGGGAACAACCTGTAGAGGGCGAGTCCAGGATGCTGGAAGGTATTTGTTTGTGCCCAGGACAGGTGGCCCGAGATGTGTAGCCTCCATAAACACTTGGCCAATTAAAGCCATTGCCAAAACCATCAAGGCAAGCATGAACAAGAGTTGATTGGGCGAGTCGCGCTTTGATGGTATCGCAACGACGTAGCGTGTTGGTGTGACGGGTCGTCCTTCCTTGGTTGGGGATGCCGATTTGTCGACATGTTTCTTCAAGGGTATGCTGTGGACAACGGCAGTCTGTCCCAGAGAAACGCTGGCTAGCTTGAGGGAGACCTCTCCCCGTGGTCCCTCTGGAGGGGTGAAGGTAGAGAAGTTCAAGCCAGTAATGGCTTGTGGGTGAGCCGACTCAATGGTGTGGAAGGGAGCCAGGTTTGCCAGCAGATCCACGCCGTGCTTGGCTTGATACTCCAGTGTGAAGAGGGATATCGAGCTGTCTTGGCCAGAGACGGCAACGACGTATTGCGACTCGCCTTGGTGATCAGAGGGCGTATCGGGAGGCGTGAGGTTGCGGATTGCCAAACCAGTGGACCGTGAAACGGACTTGGGCAAGTGCTTGACGACAGCTAGCCGGGCGTTCTCTTCTTCCTTCTTGGGCAGACGGTAGCCGTGCAGGGCCACTCCCTTGCCTCCAGCATTGTTGGCGACTGCGAAGACGAAGCCAGGGGACAGGTATCGCAGCGAGCGGAAAGAGGGTTTCGGGCCGTCGTTGGCGACATCACCGGTCAGAGTGTAAACACACTTTGGCTCCGAGACCTCCGACTTGGAGACGTCGACGGTGAAGATCTCGTTGTCATCACAGTATGCGAGCTGGTATGTGTCGGGACCAGTCTGTATGACGTCCAGGTCCATCGCTTCATTTGCAATCTCCAGGCGGCCCCGGGGTTTCCACCTTGCGGTACCAGCGGCAGGGACATTGAAGATGGCGATCTGGTGTTGTTTGGCGAAGCCGGTCGAGACGGCACCGAGTTGGGCTCCAAGGGAGTGTTTAATGAAAGGCTGGGAGAGCCTGAGGCGACGTTGGAAGGTATCCGCATCGGTGGATGCGAAAAGGGTCTCGCGTGCGGTCTCCGGCAAAAACGAGCGACTTACACCGCTATTGTTGGGTGGTGCATCTGCATCTAGGCTGGTAGAGGGAGCACCTGCATGTTGAGCTAAACTAAAGATGCGAAAGTGTTGGCTTTCCCCTCTCTTGCACTTGTCCGGGGTGCCATTGATTCCTGCGAACACGTTGTTTGTCTTGTCGTTTCGCGGGCCGCCGACGGCTATAGTCGCAACGCTATCTTCTTGCGCGCTCAGTTCGAGTTCGCCCGCACTTTCGACGTCGGTTTGGCTGGATACTTTTAGGAGGGTCTGCAGGGCACCACACAAGAAGGGGTGCTTTGGTCAACAAAACATGCCCGAAACAAGCCCATGTCTCTAAAAAAAAACGGTGCTGGACAACATGAGAGCTGACTTTTAAGACAATAAAATAGAGATGACATATTAAAAAAAATAAAAACAATCAATCAATCAATCAATCGATCGATCAATGACAATTAAACAAAAAATAATAATAAAATATAATAAACATACGATCTTGTTGCCCACACCGTGTCTGCCCGCTCCCCCGCCACCGCCTACGATGAGCTGGCTGGCATCCTGCGGAACAAAGTCGCAGGCCCACAGCGGGCAGGAGAGGGTGATCTTTGCGCTCGGCAGTGTTCTCTTCACCATGGTCGCGTCGCGTAGTTGTTGATGATGACTGACTGCTGTAGGGTGAGGCAAGAAGTGTTTGACGGTAGCAGTGGTGGTGGTAGCAGTAGTAGGTCAGTAGTAGTACAGTCAAGATAACAATGCTGCCATGCTACTACTGTATGGCATGCATGTACGTGTGTATTGTCAAGGTTGGTTCTGCGCGAGACGTCGCGGTGCGGGCGCCGAATTTGACTAATCTCCTTTTTTTTTTCCTTTCATCTCACAGGAGCTGGGAAATTGATGACGAACTGGGGGGGGGGGGGGGGGGGGGGAGGCAGGCCATTCACCAGAGAGGAATACGGATCCGTAGACAAGGCCAGATCTCAGCTGCCCAAATTTTGTCCACTGTCACGGGCGAAGACTGGAGGTTCACAGGATCCGCACGTACTTTTAGCGACAGCCTTAGGCCCTTAGCCTCGTCTACAGCGCCCGCTAGCCAGCTAGCTTCCCCTCCTCCCCCTCCCCCGGGAGCACAAGTTTAGTGGAAAGTCCACACAGAGCCTTCTACATAGTAGGCTGCAAGCGGACCGATGGTCCGTGCTGGTCTTGTTAGTTCGAGGGTCCAATTGAACCTGGGGTAGGTTGGACTGCCCAGCTAGTTCTTTCGGTATATCTTGTGATTGTGTACGGAGTAGTTCATGGGGAGAGTAAGGTGATTTTGCACACACGGAAACCAAAGGGTACCAGCTTCATAGATTGTAATGGTGCCATGCTGCTTCAACTGGTATTCACACAACGCAACCCACCACTAACGTTAGAGGTCGTGTTTTAAACTTTGACATATGGTTTGGTCGAAATTGAGGTGTTTGTTTGTTCTGCTCATCCCAAGCCCCCCATAGGCTATAGTCTAGTCTGGTCTGGTCTGGTCTGGTCTAGCATCTACTGGTCTGGCCATGACAGCCCAGCTTATCCAACCTTATCCTGCTGCGTTCCTACTAAGAACACTTACCGAACCGAGTAATAACTGAGTTTATATCCATCTGATAATGGTGGAACTGCAAGAGGGATCGACCGTCCCATCCGTCATCTTTTCTGTGTGCCACTTGGCTTGCCAGCTGACCCATCATCCTGCTTTGTGTATCCGTAATCTTTGACATGTCACGAGTGCTGGGTGGGCTTGGGCTGGACTTGCATCTTTATTATCAGTCCAAAATCCAACACGCTGGAATAATACACAAGCACCACAACTGCATACAATACGCGTGGTCTTCGGCCCGGTGTCTTTCCGCTATCCAAGGAGGATAGATACTTTGTTCTCAGATCAGATCGTGTTGTAACAATGCCGTGAACTGATAGGCGAAACCGGCAATAGGCCGAAGCGTCTGGTGGTAAGCGATCGACGTGATATACCAACGACATGAAATTTACAGAGCTCTGCGCACTTGTATTGCCTGTTGCCAGTAGATGCCTATCTCCAGCCGGTTTTCTCTTGGCCCAGGTCGGCTACTACGACTATGGATTGCCCAGCGTTATGTATGCCTCAAACGATCGCCGAGTTACTGGCTTGAGGTAAACTTCTACGTTTTAGAGCTGTCTTGGAGTGTTATATCCCTACCAGATACCGAGATTATGCTACTAGTGATACTCCAGTGTCAGGCAATATCTGCCACGAGTATTGGCAGCAGTCTGGCTCGATTTTGAGGCACTTGATTTGTCTTGACATGCATACGACACCCAGACATGATGAGTTTCAAGGCAACAAAGCTACTATGCGTTGAAACCAACCTTTGATAGCGTGCCGTGAAACGTTACTAGCCATTGTTTGTGCGTTCTAGTAAAGCTTTCTCTGATTTGTAGGTTGTAGTACTCACCTAAGAGAAACAATTCGAAATTCAGCCTGGTTGACACACTGCTTCGAACCCGATTCGCAAGTTTCCTTTGTTTTGGGGCGAGACTTTCCCCTATCTGTCAAATCAACATCACTGCTGATACTGTCTTCCATATGCTCTCTCTGTGTCTTATTTCCCCCTATGGTGATCAAAATCGTTCACGTATTCCATATATATCTCTTTAGCGTTAGGTTATTGTAGAGTGAACTCGTATAGCCGTCACAGTTTACACCACATTCGAATAAGGCGTAGCAGTTCAGGAGCAAATGTCAAGCTGGAGCACCCATGTCACTGGTGACCACTGTCAGATAAAAGTCCACACGAAAGGAAGGAGGGTGGAAAGAAAAGACGTGGCAGAAAACCGAAAGGAGGTTTGAATTAAGTTGTCGACGCTAGCTATGCGGGCCGGATATGAAGCGGCCAGGCGGATGGGTCACCAAACTCGGCAACCGTGCCGGCTCGCATGTGCAAGGGATCCCAGACTATGCGTCCGTCGACACGATAACCAAGGATCGTGCATGCTCCTTATTTCATTGTCGCAGCACCCAAATACAGAGGGCTATGTAGTACTAGAGGGAGAACCACTGCTAAGCTGACTCGGGCTATATGATATGCCCACCTGTATTGCAGTCTTTATCTTGTCCTGGTCATTCGTAAAGTCTTGTTTCGGCAAATATACGAAATAGTTCCTATTGATTCCCCCGCTATGTACACCTAAACAAAGATTGATAAATACACAAGCTCGATGCAATCTTATATTATCCAATATTACGAGGATGCGCCGGAACCTATGCTATTTTAGACCTATACAATCTGAAATTTGCAAACAAACAAGAAACACCCAATCATCCTGCTAAGTCCACGAAGACTGCTAAACGCCAGTATAGTTTGTACACGCTGGGGTATGCCCAATATCTGTTTCAAATAAACAAGACCGAACAAGGTATTCGCCACCGAGCTAGATCTGTATTGTTGTGATAATGCAATCCGGTTTTGTAAAATGCCGCTCTGAAGGGAATAAAAACACATTCGCACCATGGGTCCGACAGATGATAGATAAAACCCCTTAATTGCCCTCGGTAAACCTCAAAGGTGCCATAACTGTCGTGTTATAAAGTGTCGATTGGCATCCTATCAAATATGCAAGAAGAGATTCATTCAGTTGCTCCACGTCGGTCGCCCGACTAATGCAAGGTCTTTCTAGTTGATAAACACGCAAAACTCCAATCTGAAGATCTTCTTCGCCTGCTGCTCGACCAGGTGCGATAAACCCGACGTATTTTATTATGTTGTGGAATGTATTTCGTCGCAGCAAACATAAGTTGTTTTGCAACTGGCCCTGCATACATCCCACGGCGGAGGAATCAACGCTGTCCGAGATCGCGTCGTGGCCCGCTCGGTTGAGTAGCCCAGCCTGTTTCGTAAGACTCTCGTTTGACAGGTGAGAAACTCTGAGGTGGAGCGTTACTCGTGGGAAGATGTGCCGGAGCTTGTGCACCAGAGTGCTGCTCCAAGCGCAATGGCGGAAGTCTCTCAGGGCCCGCCCCAGCAGAAGGAGTGCCAGGCTGTGACATAGGTGCGTTGTAGTTCGGTGGAGGGAGCGCAGCTGCGTAGGTTGAAGGACTGTAGTCGAGTTGAGGATCTGTACGGCGTCTCCTTGAAGACCTTTCCCCAGTGACAGGATCACCTGCGCCATATACCGTGGCTGGGAGACGAGGCGGAGGAGGTACACCTTCGAGGGCTGGCCTACCGGTGAATGAAGCTGCACCCCTTAAGGCAGGGCTTCTTGGCCCCTGGTAAGCTAGGTCTGAGATGCTCGGAGTGCGGTAGACAACGTCCCGTAATCGGTCACGGTCGGCTCGATATGTTTCGCGTTCCGACTCCAATTCTCGAATTCTCCTTTCGAGCTCTCTATTTTGTGCCTGCAACCTTTCTATTGCGCTGTCCTTGTGCTGGTCCTTCTCCTTTTTACGTAGTCTGAACCTGGCTGATGCTCCCGCATTTCTGAGTCTTTTCTCATCAGCCTGCCGCGAAGCGGTATTTCTTTCAATGGCTACTTCTATATGCTCTCCACCAGGCGTGGCGAACATAATGGTCGACTGTTCCTCTGACATTCTGGATTCGTGTGCCCCTTGCTGTGGACTATGTACAGATGTCCATCTTAAGTCCCCGGGGGTCAAACCCGGAAAGCCTTGCCCGACGGGTCCATTACTTGGTGGGTATTGTAAAGGAGGCGGGAAGACTGGCGGTCGCTGCGATCGCCCAGGAATCAATTGTTGTCGAGGTGCATGCTCGTGTGAAGGCGAGGTCGGGTGACCAAGCATTGGCTGTGATGTCAACCTTGACGAGACACCTAAGCTTGGTAGACTGCCGGATCTTGAGATTCCGGGTAGCCCTGAACTGCTTAAGTGTGGCACCGATGGTTGATCAGGCTGGGCATGTGGTGATCTCTCGACACCAGCTCCGCTTGGCACAGGGGCTCTTCTGGAATCCGTAACGATAGGACTTGGGTAATGCGATTGTTGAGCATGAGGTGGTCTTGGTGCTGTGTCGTGGCTCACGCTACTTGCTCTGGGAGATCTAGGCGTCAAATAATGCCTCGGACCTCCAAGTGCGGGCAGTGGATGGATGGCACCCGGAGAAGACTGTGCTGGCACTGACGTGCCTGAAACAAATGCTTCTCTACCGAGTCGTAGATTTTCTTGCGGACGGGGAATTCCATGTCCTTGGAACAACAATGGCCGCTGCGCTGATTGGCTAGGTCCATACTGGGCGGCGGATGTACCTATGGAACTGCCCCGTCCTATCGATGGTCGGGCAGAAGGCGTCGGGATGGCGATAGTGGCGGGATTAAGGATGTTGTGAACACCTAAGCTTCTCTGACCATGCTCTCTGTGTACGCCCGGTATGCTTCCCCTTTCTTGGAACTCATCCTCGGAAGGCGGATCACCTCCGCTTCGCAGACTCGATCGATGTGCTGCCGGAGAAATGTGATGGACAGAACTTGGAGACCTTGACGGAGGGGGCGAGGCCGGACGAGACGCAGGACCCCTCTGCGACATCGAGACCTGTGCCCCTGCTGGGAGGTGGTCCTGAAGACCCGGACATTGACCACCACTAAATGCGTCTCGAGGAGGCTTTACTGATTCTGGTGAGCTGGTGACCGGGCTGCTCCTACCTGATCTGGCCCAAGTCCTTTCCGAGCCCTGGTCAGTCGTTCCTCGGATTGTCCGGGTTGGATGAGTTGGGCGGCCAAGCGGCTGTATATGATGGCGCTGACCCTCGGATACAGCCACGGCGACGGGATTATACAGTAGATAATGGTAATTTGTTATGCTAGAGCCTTCAGCAAGTGCATAGGCTGTCGGCGGCTCAAGGTTGACGTTCTATGCTGCGTACACAGAACACGAATCGTGCTCAACTTGTGTCTTGTTCCAGAATTCGTCTGCAAACCTCAACGTAGCAAGAGAGTTAGCTAGTAAGTTGGTAAGTGCGTGTTCTCTGTCGTGCTCGCAAATTCCCCTTATGAGGTGCGAAACAGTTTCGATCTTCGGCCACGAAACCAAACAACCAGTAACACAGTCTGTAGCACTACTCGATATAGAGGGCAGCTAAAGTTGCAAGAACGTCAAATAGATCTTAGTACAGGATAACCACGAAAATGGCGGCTAATCCCGGATTGTGATCAGTCGAATGAGAAATCGAGCGGCGGGCGAGTTAAGCTTCTTGAAAGTAGCCTTGCGTCCTAACTGGTGGCAGGTAGTCTACTGGACAAAAACCCGGAAGTGGATGGCGAAGAAGAAAGGCCCAAATACCGAGATTCGTAGGAAAGGTGAGCCTAGTTCCCGCAATCCGTGAGAACAACTGAAGCGAATCAGAGGTTTCGTATCCAGGATGTTACTCGTTGGCAGAGTGGTGGCGGTTAAGCTAGTTGCAGCTGTTTCGTCAGCTCTTTAGTTGAAGGTGGCTCGTCCGGTTATCAAGATTAAATGGATTGATACTTGTTGCAAGTCAACTTCCCGAAGATTGTGTCATGCTAATACAAGCAGCCATAGCGAGTCTGAACAAAGCCACATCTGGGGTGGGTTTTGCTTATTAGTTCCCGGGACACAAAAGATCACAGACTTAAGCGTGTGAGGAACTACTCTTATCGGAGCTCTGCTGCTCCACCTAACTTGTTCTGGTAATGAAAGACTTATGGGTATGGGGGTCCGAAGAAGCACTCGAAGGTACCATAGAAGCAAGCTGCCAACCATCTGGGATTGGAACGGTGAACGGGGTACAGGTGGTTCAGGGCCCCCATGTCATACTTGCAAGGGTACTTGAACGTCAAGCAGGGCTTAGGAGTGGTTCGTTGGTACCCGTAACTTTGGGGGGCTTAGGGTGCTAGGATCCCATGACGAATTACTTTTTTAACTCGCTGCTTTGCCGTGAACTGAGAGCATGATGCGGCCGTGATCTCAAGGCAGAAGACAATGTGGTCTTAGCCTTGACCGCCTTGCTGCACGTCACTGTAGCCTCTTTCGGGGTGGGATACCTCAAGTTAGTGACCCTATCGGATATCGCGCAGTATATGTCAACATCTCATAAAACTGCGAGTTTCGTAATAAATGGTGGGGGTTTTGACGGAATCTACAGAGGAGATTCTATGGATGTTGGCATGGGGTATGGGAGATATAGAGGCTTGAGCACCTGTTTTGTCGCCCATTGTGGGTGGCCGGCTTAGCAGACATATGGCGGCGATACTGCAGCCAATGATGATGTGAGCAATGTCCTCTTGGTCTTGCGATGACGACCAGCTAAGCCGATGGTTCTACCGCGCCAATCCCGTGAACATAGCATGATGATGGTAGGTAGCATAGCGAAAGGCAAAGCCAATCAACGTGGACGTTCCTTAGCCACTGTACAGCAGGTGTTGGTTGGCAAGAGAAGCCACTCCGTATCCCATTGCTATTCGTCAACAGAGCTTATGCAGATGGGAGTATGAGATCTACTGGTCGAAGTGAAAACAGTCATCGAATTGTGCGCTCACTAGCATCATACCCACTCATCTAGCTTTTCCAGTCATGAAGATTGTGTGATCCAAAGCAGAGAGGCTGGAGGATAGTTTGGAGGCACGGACCGGCCGTTGGAGGATGCTTGAATGCGGTGTGAAGTAGCATCGTCTTTGGCCTGGCTGTCCATACTTCGGCAGCTCATAGTGCTGGGCATCGCTCGTTAGTGCTTGTAGGTGACCGGTTGAAGTCAAGACCGGTGGATATATGATCAATCATTCGAGAAACTTGCTGGTTTGTGGCATAGTGCGTGGCTCGGACGAGAGTCAAAATTCTTGTGCTTGTCTTATCTTGTCTAGGTCAAATGCACGTGGCGGAACCTAGGGAGCACCCACGGACCCTGATGCTAGCAAAGAAAACCTCCAACAGCTACAGAGCACATAAAAAATCGCTAGTGCGGGTTGGTTGCAGTCCATTTGTATTATCGACACCGGGGGACGCGGAACTCAGGTTTCCCCAAGTAAGCATGCCCTTGTTAAATCCTACAGCGGAAATGGGCGGGCTACGGGGCACTCCCACGCGAGATGCGACATAAAAAATGCAACCAGGTTGATCCTCACCTGGCCCAGTACCTATGTGAGGCCAACATTAGCCTACCGCTTACAAACTTTGCTTCCCCTTGGCCATTGCGCGGTACGTGATGTCAGCTTTGTTAATCGAAACATACTAACTACTGTACATAGTAGATCCTCGAACCCAGTCACCTACTATTACGCACATACAGTTGCATCATTTCCACAAACGTCAAGCGCAGGGTCACCGAACGTGGGGGAAATGAATGCCTTTCTGGAGCCGGGGCCCTTCCCAAAACACTGCTTCAAGATACTTTCTCATTCTCTCACTCATGCGTACGATACGGGTTGTAACGCTGACATCCAAATAGGGTGTTGGCAGTCAGATTCACGCAAGTCGCGTACCCGTCAGCCCTGCTTGATCAGCTTCTGGTGCAGGCTCAGGCTAATGACTCTTCCGTCTCGGTTGTGAATGCTGTTCTTTATCATACACTTATCACAAGGCACATATCACATTTCACATAAATCCAAAGCTTTCGTTCATCGAGCGCTTCTGAATGGACCATACATGACAAAAACAAACTTGAGAACAAGCTACCCTGGCAATGGCGATGCAGTCATTTGCATGTCAGCCATGTATGTATCATGTACGCGATAATGTACGATATTCTGCAAGGACCGCGAGATTGCTCCCACCCTGAAAAGCAAGGCTCATTCACTGCGGCCTGGTATGCAACCACTCAACTCAAGCACAATACAAGACTTTCATTGGGTAACTCATAAGTACAAGGATTCTTTAGCTATGATCCTGGTGCACCCAGCAGACTGGGTGAGGAGCCACAATCTATGCCGAGTCAGGATTAGACTTATGCTTCTAGGGTGGGCTGCAGCGTTGCAGCGGGAGAGTCGAAATCTGATGTGCCAGCAGGGCTGCAAAGGCCACCCGGGTACCCTTTGCCCTAGTAATGACGACGGTTAATCACTAGAGACATTCGCAATTTGATTAGACGGGCTTTGGATAAAATTAGTACCATGATTGAGTGTTGCATTCCTTCCGGTTCAAAAGGAATTTCCTGGTTGATGCCCTTGAGGTCAATGACTGCGCCACCGGAGCACATTTCCCATTTTAACAGGGGGATTGAAGGTGAGCGGGTGCCGGTCAGAATTTTATTAAGATAATATCACGAGATGTCCGTCACCGGTACATAGCGTCGCAACCTCATACCCCCAGTTCCTAGTCATAATATACGTTCTTAATTCTCTTTGCAGCCGGACAATATCCTTGATGCCAAGAGGCGCCATCGTTGACCAGATTTGTCACCGACAAAGCTTGCTCCAGTCTTCAGCTTCTACTATGTACTTAGCACCACTGCAGCTGCAAAGCATACACGTCATCTACTATGTACAGTAATCTGTAGTGGATTAAGTCTATGTCATAAACGAAGCCATGAGCACGACGAAGATGGCAGCGCGTCGGAAAGTCCTTGGTCTCTTGTTTCTGCGTCAACTTGCACATTCGCAAGTCTCAAATGTCAGAGATTGCAGGTGTTGCTACGAGGGAGGGTTTATCAAATGCGTACAAGGACCTTTTGCACATCCTCAAACATTAATGTCACGCGGGGATGGTTATACTATGTATCGTTGGGCACCGAGCTAGTTGCGGCATTGATACCCGTAATGAGTGATGATCAAACCCTGTCATGGACAACAGGGAGCCTCATTGGTACTATTGCTTCGTTCTCGTGTGTTTAGACGGGCTCAAGTGACATGGAAGCGGCGGTCGTCGCTGAGATCCTTTGCATCCAGCAGGTGATTGCTTTTTTTGAGGACATATGCAACACGATTTACCGCGGAACGACATCCAAACATCTTGCAGGAGGATCGTCAGTACGTATGCTTGCCGGCCCGTTCCTTTGTGGCAGCCATTGCATGGACGACATTTCTGCCACTACCCATCAGATGAGTGCCAGCCGGCGCTTACAATGAAATTGCACGCTCTGTCCTCTGATGCCAATTATTACGGCATTTAAGAGCGCGCCAGGAGTCTGGAACTCTTGCCGACTGGCTCCGTGTCTAATGGGACATAGATGGGACTACTTGAAAACTACCATGTATGGTATGCAGGTCACATCTGCAACTAACAATCTCATGCTGCAGCCCTGGACATGGGTTTGTCGAGTATCCATTCTCGCATTCATGGTCTAGCTCCTCGCTCCCAAATCCAGCTGCTATGAACAGACCGGCCAGGGCTTCCGCTAGAACGCATACAGGAAGACAGTGCGATCCAACCATTCGGCAGTAGTTTCAAGTTTCGTATTACATGGGGGAATAATGCTAATATGGTTTTTGTCAACCGCCACATATGCTGGCGCTATTTTTGGCCACATACAATCCAACTGGTCTTGAAGAAGAAGAAGAAGCTGCCCCAAATACAACACCAAGGCACTACGCAATCGCCCATCCAAACCCGAGTAACTTCCAACGGCTAGCTGCGCAATGCAATGTGTTGGCGCGAAGTCACCACAAATCAGCCGTCGAAGTTGTCTCGAAGATCGGTGATGTATTCTTGATTTACTTCGGCGGCATCGCAGACGACAGAGCATATCACAGTGGGCCGAATGGACAGTGATTCAAAAAGCACAGCACAATGCATTGTTAACAAGTTCAGAACCATCCGTCCACTGCTCTGCTCCTCTTTAGCTCACCCAAAACTCTCAGACTAACCTTCCTGCATCCAGTGCAGATCATGTAGGAGTGTGCACCGCTGGGGCCGACTAGAGATATGCGGGACGGCACGAATGTTGTCGGGCCCTCCATCTCTGACGGAGGGACAATGCAGCTAGGTTATGCCCTGTTGTGGGTTGCAATGGGCTTTCCGCCTACTACTTGATCCTCCACTCGGCGTCGGCAATCTTCCAAGCTTCTGGGATCCAAGAAGCAATTGTTTTCGCATATATGCCAATATTCGGCAGTTCTTCTTCTGCGCTCATCTGCAAAGTTCCCGCATCTCCTTGGATAGCAGTACTCCAAGCTCTTCGCTCGGTTGACTTGATGTTGTTTCATCCTACACAGCCCTCTCTTCTCGTTCTTGATATCTTACATGTCAATTACGGCGGTCACACATTTGCAATGGAAATGGCGAAGCGGTCAAGCACCAACAAGGTAAGGCCCCGGTACATGCGCGATAACGCGACAGTATCGAACGACAAGCTGCTTCGCAAAACCTTTAGCACTATTGAACCCCGCGTCTATTCCGGTGATCCGCGGATGGATTGTGAACTTGCGGTCTGGTCACGCAAACAAGCCGTAGTGGAGTTTTCGTTTCATCACAGGCTGTGACCAAGTCACCGCCAACTTCTCTGATCATGCCGAGTTCGCACAAAATCACATGGGGCCACACCGCGTCCGGTCCGGGCAGGTTCTGCCACATCTATTGTGTTATTCTCGTCTAGATGAACTCTGACTGTCAAATGCCTGTGCGTGAGAGATGAACCGCAGCACTACATCCCGAGTCTGGATGGATTGTCGAGCGACGACACCTTGACACTGGAAGCGACGTTGCAATTGAAGCGAACCTCCGAAGATGCATATAAACGACGGAGAAATACCAACTCTGCGGAGAGAAGGGCCGTATGCCGTTCAATCGAAAATTGTCGCATTTAGGCGACAAAGTGTCATAAAATGGTCCCATATTAATACCTGAATACTTGAGGATGGCTCTCTCCTCTTCTACGTGAAATCCGCCGATTGAGACAGTGTTCTTTCTAGTTCTCCTTAAAGCGATCGCGATTTCTTCGTGTGCAAATCGAATTGAGTTAAACATTGAACCGATCCGCTCCGAGGCCCGCATCTCCACCTACCGGCGCCCCGTTCACGCTTAATTGAAAAAGAATTCCAGAGCTCTAAATTTGCCTACTTGCTTTCTATTGTAGTTACCGAAGAATCTAAGCTCCTACAAAGACAAGGTCGCCAAGATGTCAAGCGTGGCCGCAGGTCTGCAAGAATGGGAGGTGAGGGAGCCTTACATCAAGCTCCACTGCGCACTTGGTGAGGGGCCATACTATGAGAAGGCAACAAACAGCCTGCGTTTCCTGGACATCATCAAGAAGCGCGTGCACACGGTGGACCTGAACAAGGGTCCCGGGTCGCTAACGACGCTTGAGTTCGACATACCGATTGGTGTCACCGCCGACATCGAGGGCGTGGACCCGCAGGACCGCATCCTGATAGGAGCCAAGCACGGAATGGCGGTGCTACACCGCAAGACCGGAAAGTACGAATACATCACCAAATTTTTTGCCGAGGAGAACGTGCGGATTCGAGGCAACGATGGCGCTATTGATCCCCACGGACGCTTCTGGCTCGGTAGCATGACCGACTTTGGGCAAGGACCTGTGCAAGCTGAAGGTAGGCTGTCGCTTGTTGATATTCCATATCTCCGTGTCTCCATGATGGCCCAATGACTAGGAGTGCGTTGGCTTTGGTGCTGCAGCTTGACATTGGGCTCGACATTGGGCTTTGGCTTTGGAGATGTACTGATCGTTTCAGTAGGCGCTCTGTGGTTGTTCCACTCCACACAACCTGGTCAAATCATGAAGGAACCCGTGTCTATCCCGAACTCCGTGAGCTGGTCTCCAGACAACCGGACCATGTACTTCACGCATTCAACTTCGAAAGTGATTCATGCTTTTGATTACTCGCTCGATGATGGAAGTATCTCGAACGAGAGAGATTTCTTCATCTACGAAGGCCAAGGCGATCCTGATGGCCACCGTGTTGATGCTGAAGGCAACATGTGGTGTGCTGTTTACGGTGATGCTGTGGTGCTGAAGATCTCACCCGATGGCAAGCTTATTGGCAAAATACATATGCCGACTAAAAATATCACGTGCGTCGAGTTCGTAGGTACCGAGCTGTTCATCACAACTGCTGGTATGGAGGAAGGTCAGGGAACACCGGAGCAAGTCGACTTCAGCGGCGGACTGTACAGAGTTGATGTTGGGGTAAAGGGATTGCCTCCGTACGACTTCAAGCTGGAAGCATAGAGAGCTAAGCGCTCCCTAGATTGAACCTCCAAAAACGAGGATCATCACTTTCGTAGATATGGCTCACAACCGGAATGAGATAACAATTTGCACACTCCCGTAACAGTTGCGAAAGCTGCCGTCACTATAAAATCACCTGATAGAATGCGGAATAGTGTAGACGATCCCACCTGCGTGGCTGGTGGAATTGATTCCGTGGGCAGCAATTACAATGCATATGATGTCAGGATTTGAGCTCCTGAACTATCCTGAGGATCCGTATTGCAGCCGTTGGACAGATGCCAGGCCCAACACCATCCGTATAAAAATATACTGAGGAAAAGAAGGAGAAGAAAAAGAAGAAGTACTCTACATTGCCGCTACAGCTCGTTTGATAAACTGCACTGTCAACTTCTGACAGAGCGCTTTTGGCATGGCATCAAGAACCTCGTCTGCTCGATATTGTCGGACGGCAAGATGCCAATGGAGTCACTGACTGTCTTTTATCATGAGGTGAGCTGGCGACGAAAGTCCAGCGCTTGATGTAGTTGTGGACTTCTGGGTTTTTCATTTGCAGAAAACGGTTTCTTCTTCGTAGGCTCGCGATCATAAACCCTTTCATATCTATTCCCTTACTTCCTTTGGGGATACCTGTGTGAGGAGTTCATATTAAACTACGAATAAACCTTGGTCATGTCACAGTGCATAGCGAAAACCCGAGCTGAGCACCACCAAGCCACCTGGGCACGCCTGCACAATCTCACCCCTCGCCTTGGGATCTTCCGCCTCCGCAGCATCCACAACCTCGAGGGCTTCCAGCTTACGGTTCTCTCGCACCAGACAGAAGCGGAGGATTGTAGCGAAACATATCGACGCAAAGACAAACACCGTGTTCGCCGTCATCGCGGGCAGGTAGCGTGGACCATTGGTCGAAGGGTACATGTAGGGCGAATAGATCTGGGCAAAGTTGCCGACCATGTTGGTGAACGCGAAGGCCGCCGCACGTTTCTCCAATGGTCGCGGGAGCTGAAGTGGACGAAACAAGTCAAACCAGCGGGTCAATAAGAGGGGCGTGGCGGAGGACTTACGGTGGATGATATCCAAGCATAAGTGACGTTGAAGCTACCATACACGCCACCCAACATCAGAAAGAGCGAGAAGTACCTCGGCGCCAGTGTCGTCGTGGCAGCCCCGATGATATAGCCCAGCATTCCAACAGCCAGGGGTATCACCAAGTGCAAATATCGCTGAGAGCGCCTATCGCTTGATATCGAGATGGCCATCGCTGCGATGGCAGCAAACACGTACGGGGGCGCCACCATGAGCAGCGACTGCACAGACGAATACTTGAATGTGGCGACGAGTGTTGGGACGAAGGACGTCACGGCGGCTGCAGTCGTCTTGGTGATGACAATGGAGGCGAGCAGCCAGACTTTGTAGTCAGCAACGGCCAGTTTAACGCCGTGCAGAATAGGCCCGCGCTCGTCGTCTTGGCTGCCGCTGTTTCTTTGGAGACGGTGAACTGCGATGGCCCGCTCCTGCTCTGAGAGCCATCGTGTAGTCGTAGGGAAATCTGGAAGAAGGAAAATGGACAAGAGTGAGAGAAACACGGTCACGGTACCTTCGAGAATAAACAGCCATTGCCAGGAGTAGAGACCATGTACACCATCGAGACCGTACTGCACGCCCGCACCCACCAAGCCGCCAAACCCACCAGATAGCAAACTTCCGGTGTAGAGGACTGCGGTTCGAGTGGCCAGCTCCTTTGGAGTGTACCAAGATGATAGGAGAAAAAGTGCACCGGGAAAGAATGGAGCTTCCAGGAACCCCAGGAAGAAACGGCAAATCACCAAACCCTGGAAGCTCTTCACGGCAGCAGTACACGCGGAGACTATTCCCCTACCCAACCAGTCAGTATTAATCGTAACATTTTGCCAGTATCGACACACCAGAGAGCCATGCAGAGCGGAAGGTAGATGCTCGGTCGCACACGCGTAAGCAGCATATTAGATGGAATCTGTAGGGCGATATAGCCGGCAAACAGCACTGATATGGCAACATTATATTCGTCGCTTTTCAGGCCCAGGTCTTTCTCGATACCTTGTACCCGGGCATTAGGGAGAGCCTGCCGATCGAGATAACTGTGTTTCCGATTAATCTCCGAGCAACCGCGGCACACCCTGAGACATGGAGGTTTGTTTACTTGAGAACTATCATGACAACCAGCACAGGCATAAGTCTCCAGTCAACCTTACGGACAAGCTTTCTCTCCAAGGCTTGGTACTCGTTTACATCGCTGGGCAGCAAGCTTGGCGAGGCGTTTCTGTCGCTGAATGCTGCATGGCTAGCGTGGTTAGCCACCTCTGTTTGGAAAGTCCTTGGCTTGATGTGCAATGTCATCGTGGCGACGCGCTATTTTCGGACAGGAATAACAAATCAAGCATGAAAGAAATGACAAAGCCATCGGCGTCCAATTTACGCGATTTTGTCTGACCTTAAGTATCTCCAGCTCGTCGGTAAAGTGCCATCGGCGGTGGTAGCCGAAACCGGGGGAAACAATATGTTGTACGCCATGATGGTCGGTAATACATGCATATACCGGCGTGATAGTACGTGCGTCGCGCGATTCCCGCGAGATGATGGGGTAAGGCCTCAGACATACACGCCTAACTGGTTCAACTCGATGCTTCAGACTGCATGGAGTCCTTCTCCGCACATTAGGGATCCCTCGACACGCTCCACCCCCACAGCATGGGGAAGCAAGAGTTCGGAAGTTGGCCGAGCGATGCACCCTTCGATCGGCGAGGATGCGACGTGGGCAGCAATACGACTATTTGCCTCTCGGCACATCTCCAAGTAGGCAAACCATTGGTATACATCGATGAAATAGATTCTGCGTTGAGAAAGGCTCGCCATTGCGTTTGATCGTGCTGACGGGGGTTGCAGAAGTCCCCGAATATGGCAGTTAAGTGGCGTATACAAGAGATTATGGAGACTACAGGTAATTCTTCATGGTCCTATATGATATGATATGGAATAGCGATGAAAGTTCTCATACTCGATTGGCGCTTTCAAAGGGAGGCCAGTAGTATCGCAGGTAGACCGTTGGGTTATTACAGTTGGAATGGTACATGTTCGCGTTTGTGCGACTTCGTGAACTTGTTTCTGTATTAACAACTTTAAGCAGCGTATGCATTTCGAATTGACCACTTTGGGAAGGTTGGGTGTGTACCAACCCAGAGAAGGATATTCCTGGGCCAGTATGGAGAACATGTCAGCTCATATCTGGGACTGGACAATGTTTTACAATGAAATTTGTTTTACTTGGTTAAATTCAGTTGTTGCATTGATAGTTCAAGGTGTCGCGATATTAATCTCATCCTATACTGGGTATCTTTGCAGTAACGCTATATATTACCAACTTTAACTTGGGACTCTTTTCAGGCGCATATGCGCTGTCTTGAATTTGTCTGCTGGCGTAATCTTGATTTGTGTTCTTGGTCACGGACTACAACACGTATCCGCCTGCACCGACACAGCTCCAATCACGAACACCGAGGCCTTCTTCGAGCTCAACGCACCACCACAATGCTTCTTTTGCCTTATCAGGTTGGCCGCTTTCTTCATGAGCCCGAGCTAGAGCGAACCAGGCATCCGAGTAATTCCAGCCGGATCCGAGTTTGGTCAAACCAGACAACAGACCATATGCGCGGTCTCTGGCAGCAAGCCTATCAATAAGTGGAAGCGACTTGGCCTTGTATGGCGCAGGGAGCTCTTCAACCGTCCCTGGTTTGATTGACTGCTTGTTTGGCAATGGCGTTTTGCCTGGTGGGTGCGATGCGGTTGAAACCGTACCCTCCGCCCCAAGGCCCAGCGGCCCAGAAGGTAGAGCGGAAACTGCAAGGCTAGACTTGGGTCGTAACGCCAGAGTATCTGAGCCCAACATTGTGCTACTTATGTCCACTGGCTCACCATCCGGTCCGGTGATGCCTGGGATGGCAGAGTGTGGTAGGATAATCTCGGCGTAGAGGTCGAGAAGTATGTTTGAGAGTCCCACGATAGCTGCTGGATGATTTGGATAATGCATCAAAGCTTCCTCAAATTCAGCCCGTCCATTGTAGGGGGTTTCTTCGGCCACTGAGAGGTAACCCATCTGGTTCTATTGTCAGTAATACGTCAGGTCACATAAATCGAAGTTTGCTCACCTCACAGTGGACGTCAGCCCATAGCTCCTCGACACTCTTCTTTCCGCCCCAACCAGGGTGGTTGGTCGCAACATAACCCGATGAGTCTTTCGCTATGTCTGCTTCCATCGCTGACACAAGCTTCTTGGCCTCGTCGGCTGCTCCTTGCGAATCTCTATACATGCTTGCGCGACGGTAGAAAGCAGCAATCAATAGCCACACCTTGATCAGAACTGTCTGTCGCTGTCGGCGTACCTGTTCCACAGGAAATTGCAGAGTTGGCAGTGGGTTTGGTGGCGATAATGAATCAAGCATGAGCATTTCAGAGTTTGTCGACACCCTATTGGACGACAACGATGAATCGAATCTGAGGAGTCCTCTGTTCTTGGAGAAGGACTGCTGTCTGGCGATTTTATCCTTCGTGTTCGAGGCAAAGAAGTCAGGTCGATCATTGGCGGCCGAGTCACCCAAAGGGGTGAAGTAGGCATCTCCATCAGATATGGTTGGTTGATGGCCCGATTGACGCGGGGCTCCAGTGCTACCCGCTCGCCGCCGATGGCTGCTACTGTCACGCTTCTTCAGACTATTGCCTCTCTTCATCGATTCACTCCGTTTTACAGAACTACTTCTTCGCCCCCGCACACTGCTTGCCGATTTTCGAGAGCGCGCATCTGACTGATCGGTGTTATCCCTGGTAATCTGAATTGTTGGAGCAGCAGTGGCGGTAGTCGTGCTGGTTTGAGCAGTTTGAGGTCGTTCGGGTGAGTCGGACTTCTCTTCGATAGTGCTGGACTCCCTGAGCTTACTGGTGGCCCTGCCCCTATGGCCGAAAACACTACCCCTGAGGCTGCGCAAGGTTCCAGCAGAGCTTTTTGGCACAGTCACAGGTGACGTTTGAGTTGTCGGTGAAGGCGCCGTGTTCGGCTGAAGACTTCCAAACAGCCTGGTATACAGGACAAGTAATTCGTGACTGGCGTTGACCGCTACCTCTGGACCTTCGAGAAGCTCAACAAGTGCGAGCTGTGTCATTTTCACCTCGACGATGCTCTCTTTCTCGCTGTCATCCATCTCATCCACAAGGGCGGGATGGGACAACCCATTATTGGCCTCCGCCTCGTTAAGGTGATCGCTTCGGAACTGTCCTTGTAACCCTTGCGGCCCGAACAACACTGTTGGATCGCTGAACTGTTCGAAAGCTCCCTCGCATGCTCGTGCAGCCATAACGTAGTCTTGTCGTGCACTAAGTAGTAAAGCAAGGAGGTGCCACACTGGTATCAGGGAGCGCTCACGCCAATAGTTTCCTGCCGAAGACGAATTGCCAGTTGTTTTCTTGTTAGACATTAGTGCAGCCTTAACAATGTCAATGGCCGCTGTTAATTCTCTGGACTCAGCAAGCAGGAGGCCAAGGGTGAACAGAGTGCGAACGTCGGTGGGATTGCCTGTATCTGGAGATAAGGACTTTTGGAAGCTTCGAATTGCCTTGCTCTGGATCTCCGTACGAGATGCAGCATCAAAGGTCTTCCTGGCCCACTGAGCTTGTGAAAGGCCAATTGCCTGCCATGCCATGGCGTTGACCTTGGCTGGTAATCTTGGGTGAAGAACCACACCGTTGGCATTCTCCTCTGGCAAAGATGTGATGTTTTCTTCCGTGTTGGGAAAAGGAGCTGGTAGTTTATGCAGCATCTCTTCCAATTCAGCACCCAAACCATATGCTGTTTCAGCTTCGTCTTGTAAGCCGTATTTGCACAATGCTGTCACTGCTGTGGATATCGTTTCCAGCACGGTTGCATCGTCGTCAAGACTTGGTTCAGGATGCCCAGTCTTGTCAACGCGGGCCTTGCCCTTCTTAACAATCTCGAGATATGAATCGAAAGCTTTGAAGGCCAAGTCAAACTCTGCAACAGCAAGGTGGACTGTGAAGAGATGTCGCAGAATCGCAGTCGAGTGAAAAGTTTTGGTTGCTGCACGATAGAGTATTTCAAGAACGCCACGACTGAGACCTTCTTTACCACCTTGTCCAAGGTCATGCTCATGCCAATTGCGTCCACCAAGAATACTCCAGTTCTTCATAATGAGACCTATGAAATCCTCTATCTCTTCTCGTTCTTCGTTGGCGCGAGGGAATGTGGTCTCGCTCAGCAAGAGGGACTCATAGGCTGCCTCTGCTTTCTTGAGCTCTATACGTAACTGACTCCTGGTAGAGGTCTCACTTGTGGTGGCATTGATGTGACCGGTCGGGAAAGGCAGGCCAAGTTCCAGAATACTGGAGACCGCCATATAGTACTCACTCCACACTCGTCTCCTAGGTACAGCTCCTCTGAAGCCATGCCCCCCGACAAGGGGGGCGCCTGAAGTCCCCTGAGTCTTGGAGGTCTCCCAATACCGGGCCCAGGATCGGAATGCTGCCAAGACATTTGGATCTTGCAGAGTCTTTTCACCTCTCTCCAGAGCCTGAGACTGTAGCATACAGAACTCGGTGAGGAAAAGCTCTGCCCAGAACTGTAACTGTTTTCGTCCCTTCTGACCTGTCCAGACAGTTGACAAGGAGGCCAAGGCGGCTTCGAAGACGGCGAGAGCCTGGACTCTTTCGTTGTTCCTCGAGAGGCAGTTCGCTTTGAGATATGCGGCTTTCAGACTACATACTCTCGTCCACTCGGAGACATCATCGGGATCTTGCTCCAAGACGCTGGGGAGGCGGACCATGGCGATATCGTATTCCCCGACGGCCCAATGCAACCATCCCAAACACACCTGGGCCTGATACTTGTCCTCGTGGAATGTGTGTTCGCTGTCGATGGCGTCGAGAAGTTTGGGCAGAAGGTTCGTGATCTCGAGGTCCTTGTGGGACACTGCGGTCTGGGGCCGAGCAGTCTGCTTCAGCTGAGCTTTGGTGATGGCATGTTCGGTCTCGGCGGTCGTCGCAAGGCCTACAATACGTTGAATGGGACTGGTTAGACATGGAACAGAGGCAATGCACATGATATAATGTGCTATGCGCGCAGGCGGGTCGTACATTGTCTGTTCGGCGCATGCTTGCGTATTTTTCGTACCGTCTCGGGCACAGCATCCCAGTCATCTTCACAGCGGCAGTTTTCCAATTGTTGCAGATAAACCTCAGCCTTGGTAGGTTTCTGCATTGTTGGGTTGCGTGTTAGCCATTGGCCGTGGGTCATGATTGATACATACGTAGCATGTGAACAGAACTGAACTTACCGTCATGTTGGCGGCGCAAACGGGCTACCCAGCAAAATGAGCGACGATTATTAGGAATAGCAGCACGCACTGAGCATGCTAAAAGGCAAGGCAAGGCAAGGCAAGGCAAGGCAGCAATTGCTGTCCGTGAGACAAAAAGGAGCACAACTAAGCGATGCTCCTAAAATCGAAATCATGAATGGGCAATAATATCGGCAGTATTAGAAGCTTAAGCGGGACGAACGTCACCTCCCCCTGCCTCCTTCTAGACTACATGTACAGCACCCCTGGAACGTCGGGGTTTCTTGGAACCTGGCAAGTGGCGCATGGAAAAGCCCACGGATGCCTATGTACGTACAATTGATTCCGAGTGGGCTTCCACTAACCTAACAATAACACTGTAATAATAATAATAATGATATGATAAGAAATGATCTCGAGACCACTGTAGGTCTGTCAGTGGGTTTTACGATGGAAATAAAAAGCCAGCAAGGTTGGAGGTATCGACGGCTTGCCTCTTGCCTCTTGCCTCTTGCCTCTTGCCTGGAACCTTCAGGTGTTAGTTGCCCAGCAATCACTAAGGTTACAGCAAGGTTAACTTACGGTACATGGGGATTCCTACAGTACACAGCCAAAGCACCCGATGAGGGGGCTAGATTAGTGGCTGGCACCCGCCCAGCAGCTGCGAAGCACTTCGCCAGCAAGCAAAGACAGGCACATGATAACTAATATGTGCAGACGAAAGGTTAGGTCTGAAAAGGTACTGAATTCGTGGAAGAGATTCATCATCGGCAAGATTCATCTCTCTATTTATCTTGATTGGTTCTTTCACATCATTCAGTTCTTGCGACGTTCTCAACATCACTGTCCGAAGAGATGGCCCCGGCCCCGTCAACTTTTCTGGTTCAAGACGTGAATCGTGACATCAACAGGGATCTTTGGTCCCTGGACTTCGAGACCCACTAAAAAGTTGAACGAGACTTTTCCAATGCATTGAAGATTCGGCCGCGACTTGCAAACCTTATCCGACTGCGAGTCTTCATGCTAGGTCCTGGGGTATTCTCATGATATATACAGGTTTCTCGACTTTGGAAGTTGGCAATCACAGTTCTTTCTCCAACTGTTGCACAGTGCAATAACCGGTCTTTCATAGCTGCGTCGAAAGAACTGCGCTTATCATAATGTCTCTCGTCGCTTTGCCGCCGGAGCTTCGCAGTATATGCCGGAAACTCACTGCCGTCAAAGTAGAACAGCTTCCCATCCTGTTGCCAACTTTGCTCAAGGACCTGCAAAGATGCCAGGGCCCTCTGTCAGAACCTCAAGAGTCCAAAAGCAGTGCCAACTCGTCAGAGGCCGCCGTTTTAGTGCACAAGCTCCGGACACAGATCAGCGCGCTCCTCAATGGCAGGAGTATCGAGGGCCATTTCGCTGCTGTCGCCCTCATCAAGACCTACATCGAAGCGGGAGGATGGGAAACTCTTCGTACATCCGAGCCCTGGGTCAGGGGCCTTGTGTCTATACTTCAGGTGAGCTCCAGGTATCTCAAACCCCATGTTTAAACACTAACGCATACCAGAAACGAGATCCCATGGCAACGAAGGAGTTGTGTGTGGTAACTCTTACTAAGATATATGCACTTGCTCAGAAATACCAGACTTTGGTGCGAGAGATCGTCACCCCTAGTATTTCCACCTTTGCAACTGCATGCATTCAGATTTTGAAGCCAGCAAACTCAAACAAGACAGCTGTAAAAGCACCCCTGAATTTCACTGAGACAATATTTGAAGCATTCTCCATTCTAATTCCCCTCTATCCCACCACATTGCGGCCATACGTTGGTCAGCTTCGCTCTGTCACACGAATATACCTCTCACCTACAAGCTCTGACGCGTTGCTTGTTCCCCGGAGTCTACAGAGTAGCAGTCGCAGACTGGTCACTCGTTTGCATATGACAGCAGCTAAGAACGGTGGTGCGGACGAATGGACCAAACATGTCAAGGAACTGATCAAGGAGTTCCACGAGACGGCCGATCAGGTCTTCCGGGCCATACAAGAGAACTGGGAGCCAACAACTGGCTATATACGCCAACCAACCAGTTTTGATGCCGAGGCAACCGGTGGTGGTGACTCCCAGGAGCAGTCACCACCATGGACGGGCATTGCAGCTGGAAGCGAACGGATGATTGGTCTCTTGGGCTGTCTTGCCGATTACCTACGATGCGCAACCAAGGTGGCTGTTTCAATTCCGATAAGTGCGTTAATCGATTTGGCTACGCGTGTGTCCTTGATCATTCCTCCCACTCCTGGCAAGGACAAGAACGAAATAGCCCAAATGAATCCGACTGCGGGCCGGGAAGAAAAGGACGATCTATGGACAGTGTTCCCCGACATCCAAGTTGCCACCCTCCAGTTCGTGCTGGTCTTGGTACAACGACTAGGCGCAAACTACACCCCATTAGCTCAGGAGACACTAGAACAGGTCATTCGAACCGTTGACTCGGGCTATCGCATTCCGGAGATTCGTAAAATCACTTTTGCGATAACTGCGGAGCTGCTACAACTATGTGGTCCAACAATGTCAAAAGCTCAGGTCGATGCCCTTTACCTTGTATCGATGATATCCTGCCGCGACCTGCTTGGGGCTGCCGGCCACATCAAGGTGCCAAAACAACAAACGCTCACGGCTCAGAACGGCACAAAAGCGAAGTCGGCGACACAAAATGCTGACGCTTTCCTCAAGTCGAATGCTGAAGACGAGTCTGTATCTGTTTCTCTCGACGCAGAGCATCTTGCCTCGGCAGAACTGCTGCTCACGACTCTGTTCAGTCACCTGCCTCAACATCACATCAACCCCGACCTGCGCTCCCGCATGCTCCGAACCGCTATCTTGTGCCAAATCAAAGATGCCGAGATCGCCAGCATTCTCCACCCTGCAAAGGACAAGAATGGCAGAACGGCACAGGTTATCCTCCCATACCTCCACCAGCAGTTCCCCCGTGACGAAGTTGTCGAGATTCTCCGCTTCAACTTCCGCCCCATCACTGGTGGAAAGAAGGGGGATATCATGGACATGGCCGACGAGATGGAGATCGAGACCGAGGAAGCGCCCGAGAAGCCCACCAACGGATTTACCTTTGATCGGCCTTTCCAGGTATCTTCCTCTTTCGCCACGACGGGTGCCGCCGGCGCAACCACGGCGGCGGAGGAGCCGGTCGTGGGGCGGACCGCCCCTTCCGCACCGGGCATCGCAGCCGAGATCCAGCCGAGCCCATTCTTGCCGCAGCCCTTCATGCAGGGGGCAGCAGTGCCGGCCGTCAACCCGGTCGCGGCAAACACGATCCCTCTCAAGCGAAAGAGCGAAGATCCGGAATCTCTGGTCGCATCGAAACGCGTTGATGCTGCTAATGTCGCCACGCCTGATCCTGGCTTTGGGGTCTTGGGCTCCTTGGTCGAAGACACGCTTGCCATGGTCCCTGCTCCCGTCACGAAGGTGGAAGACAAGATGGAAGAAGATGGCGAAAGTGATGAGGAGAGTGTGCATCTGAACATGGATCTGGACTCAGATGGCGACGAGGATGAGTAGCTGAGCATATATCTTCCACAACAATACAACGGCGAGGCACAGACATAGTTTAATGGGAGATCTATGAATATGTGTTGAAACAAAATCAAACCTTCGATTCAAGTTCGAAGCATTGTGCTACCAGTCTGGCCACAATGACACCAGAACGCCACGCGCCATTTGCCGAGATTTTAACTACTCCTGTGCCACACCTGAAACCACCCAGGACTCCTCACATCCATGTCCTCTGATATAGCAGTAGTATACATATGTAATGTCGACCTTCGAACGCCCTTGTCTGTCTCCGTAAAATGCCGTGTATCTCCCGCGCTATATGCAAGTATGTTGTTTACTCGGCCTCGCCCATGCAGACTATCCAAGACTTCGTGAACCCTTTTTAGATGGAGAACTTCTGTGTTCCCATGAGCTTTCGAGACCCTGTCAATACTCTAGTCGGCTCCAGATCCGCCGGGTCACTGATGCTCCTCTGACGCTCTGTCCGCCCCTCGTCCCCAGAACTGCTTTCTACTTCGTCTCCACTATCATCGCCGTAAACGATATGTCTCAAGACGCTCTTATCAAACATCTCTATCGCCATGTGTCGGTCGCTAAGCCGGTAGTGATGGTTTTCAAGAAGAGACAGCACCTGCCTAAAGAGTTTGGGCTGGCGAAACCCGGGTACTTTTTTGTGCCTGAGTTGGATGAGTTCAAGTTTGGCTCTCTTGTATAGAACCATGTCGCCAAACTCAACCATTATTTCCAGGATTCGCTGGTTCGTTTCATCTGAATCTTTCATCACGGCTGGTGGCGCTTCGATAATTGTCTTCTGTGTGTCTGGAAGCGCCACTGATGCCGCTGTCTCATGTTTCCAGGGTTGGAATGAGAAAAACCTCGAAAGGTCTGTCGGCAAGCAGAAACCAAGCGACGTCCCTAATGGTGTGGTATTAGAATCCCACCCTAACTCGGAGAGTATCTCGAGTCCGTGCACAGATCGTGAGATCAACCCGAGTACGAAGAACGCGGTGCCTCTCAAGCTCATCACCTCGTGTGACTCGGCGATTTTGACAATGTGCTCCACAACGTCGGTAGACTCTAGGAACGGTGCCCCAAGCTCCATAGAGCCCACATTGCCAACTGCCCACATGCAACCTTTGACCTTGGTCATTGTCTCAGAGTCATCTGATTGCATGCCATACTCGCGAATAGTCGTCGAGAACTCCTCGAAATGTCCCTTGTCCTCCAGTAATCTGCAACCTTCCTTGGTCCGCGTCAGTTCGCGATAAAAGTGAGGAGGGATATGGTTGTCATGATCCACATCAAATTCGTCCTCATATAAACTTAGGCGGCCGGTGTGATCGTCCGGCTGATCCACAAACGAACGTGCTAAGCTCGCTTCTATAAGACTGACGTAATTGTCGTTTCGGCCCAAGAACCAATCATCCATTTCGTTGCTGATATAGTCAAGTCCGTCGAGGTAGTGATATCCGATAGATGTCGACAAAAATCGGAGAAGCAAGGGGGCTCCTATCTCCCCTAGATGGTCCAAAGCTGGCCTACACTCCACAATATACTCAAGCAAGTGTTTGGTATTGCATGCTTTCTCCAGGATCTTCACAGCAGTCGCGCAAACCTCGATTTCGGGGTCATATAGCTGAGTTACAAGAAGCTGGATCGCCCACTTCGCATCAGAGACAATCTGCCCCGACGACGAGACCCGTTGGCCCGTGGCATACATCCGTAGAGCATTAGTCGCATGAATGCGTATCTCTTTAGTACCCGCTGTCAGCGCCTTGGACAGCAGTACACGAGGATGACCTTGTAAGCTATAGTCGAAGTTTGCTAGTATCAACTTGATGAGATCAGGGCGCTGGTTGAAATCAATGATGTGATATATCATATTGAATATTCGCCACCGTTCAAGCATTTGCAACCCCTTCGGATCACCTGTGAGAACGCCCAGCATAGGGAAGTAGCCACCACACAGATAGTCGGTTAAATAGTCCCTAGAAAACATGGGTTTCTGCGCTGTTAAACCACTAGTCTTTTAGGTGTATTAGCACGTTTGTTTCGGTTCCATCATTTGAGATCGATGACTTACAGGATCGCATTGAGCAAGGCATTCGGCAAGCTGCCTCAACAGCTTGTTGTCTGATAGATATCTTCGCCCTTCTGGCGATTGTAATAACGTGTGCATCAAAGCACAACCCACCCTGATGTATTTCTGCGAGTTTCGATGACTTTTTGTACCTGAGAAGCGATACTTGAAGGGACGATAAAAGCTCATGATTCTTTTCACGAACTTTGAAGCTTTGATCGCTTCCTCCAATCTCTTTCCGTTGGTTAGTGGTCCTTCAATGATTCTTAGAACAATGTCCCAATTCCATTTCAATGGGTTCGAGCTTCCAAGAACGCCCGAGTCGATGAGAAGCTGGCGAAATGTCGCATCATCCGTGTTCATCGAAGCATTATTCTTGGGTGTTTCTTCTACTGAGCCCAGTTGGTCAAGACTGGCACTAGAAGGCAGACCGAGACCTGACGGCGAGGATCGAAACAATGTCCGACTGACGCTGCTAATCTGGTAGACGACACCTGTAGCGTTGAACCTGGTGTTGTCTTTAAATTCCACGGCGGAAGAGAAGAGCTCCGGGAGTAATTGTAGTTGGCTGCTCCATGCCTGGGGAAGTAGCCGACCAGCAAGCTTGAGAACTTCGCCGATGAGTAACGTCGCTTTGCGTTTCAGTATGGAGACCTCCGGTTCTTGCGCGATAACAAGAAGGCTCTGCAGTAAGCCTGCCTTGACGAAGATGGCCAGCAGCAAGGATGTATAATGTTCGACGAAGTTCTGTTCAGCATTTTCCTCATCGTAAGTTGTACTACCCTTAGATGATGTGGTTGACTTCAAGCTGGCAACTCTTCCGTAAGTCGTCAGTCGCCTCCCAGCGAGGAAAGTTGTCGCCCAAGCAGGCGGTTTTATGCGTAACAACGAGAAGAGCAAGTCTATCACGGTTTCCCGAATAGCAGTATTGGGCAACAACAAGCTAGATATTAGAGCTCTGATAGCCCTGAGATCGAACATGGACAAAGACATAAGCCCTGACCATGACTTGAGAGCCGTCGAAACAGCTTTCGAGTTCTGTTTCACGACACCCTCGTAGGAGAACAGTACATCTGTAAAGGCAGTGAACATGACCTCCAAATCGTACCCTGCCCGCAGATACTTTCGAGAATTGGGAGAATTTAGCAGGAACAGGAATGCAGACACCAACGACTCTGGAGACTTATAAGTCCCTTCAGCAAGTGCCTCAGATAAGGGTGCTAGACCACCGCAAGAAGTAAGCAAAGCGGGATCTCTGAGGAGAATCTCGGCAAGAGTCTCTATGCATATTGGGCGCAAACGGTCCTCTGCATGCTCGGCGACAGCTACGATGGTTCTAACAACAGCCCTTGATATCTCTCGTACTCCATCTTTGACATCGAGGAAGACGCGGACGAATTTGAGTGCTTGCTCACGTTCGACATCAGCCTTCCGATCCTTGGCCAAGGAGACAACGACCATGTAGTCTGTGTTGAGGCTTCGGATCTTCTTCAAAGACGAGATGTCCGAGATGGCATATCGAACCATGCGATAACCAGCAGCTACCACTTCTCGGCTATCGCTCAAAAGCATCATCTGCATCCGCTCGCCAAAGATAGACCATACCAAGTCATACTTGAGTGTGGGGTGTTTCTTGAAGAGGTCGACTAGATTGTTGGCGCGGCCGACGTAGTACTCGGCCGTCAGCCCTTCTTGCTCCAAAGCCTGCAGGATCTCTGCAAGCGCGAATGTCGGAGACTGCTCTGCCGGCTCATCCAAGTCGGACCCAGCACCACTCCTTGACGCACTTTGTGGTGATCGAATGCCGCTGTTCGATAGCAGTCCTTCAGTGCGATTCCGCGTGGGAGTAGCTGGAGTTGCTTTGATCCTTTGTGCATCGTCAATTCTCTGCCTGAGCTCCTTGATTTTCTTGTTTGAAGTGTTCAATTCGATTTCAATGCGTTGCCTCTGGTCCTTGGTTTGCTTGGCCTTCTTGACATTGAGGGCTTCCAACATGTTCTCGCTCCCCTCCCGAATCTTCATTTCACGGCTCAGCGCATCCTTCAGATGGTTTATGTTTTGCTCAGCTAGCGATAGCTCTTCTTCATCTAGCTTCTCCAAATTGTATGTGTCGGCGCGTGAACCGCTTCTTGGTGCCGCCATCTGGCTCCGCAGCTCGGAGCTGAAGCTGCCAGGAGCGGGCGAAGGATTGAGCGAGGCGGCCCTGGGCGCGAACGATCCCTTTGCCCCATTTGCGGTTCCTGGAGGTTGCAGTCCATCTCGTTCTAAGCTGGGGCGCCCCGTCGCGACTGAGGAATTGATCGACGCTGTTGGCTGTGGCGCAAGTGCCTTCTGGTTCGATGTTGCAGAAGTGCTCAGCATTGTGGCAGTCCCAACCAACTGTCCACCATCCGGGACGATTCCCGCGAGCGGCTCATTCGAGTTATGTTCGCATAGATGTTGGTTTTGAAGAAGAAGAAGAGAGACGACCGGGGTGCCGATGGACGGCGGTAATCTAGGCCTGCAGTTTGAGTCTGTGTGTTCCCTGTTTCTTTATGCTTCTGTTGTCCCCTGGCTGCGCGGCGACACTGTATATTGTGGCTCGACTAGCAATTTCACCAGCTCTTACAAGCACATGTACTGTGTAGTCCGGCTAAGCTTGAACAAGCTCGAAAATCCTTGGCGATAAAAGGGCAGGGCAAGGCAGGGCAGGACAAGAATGGCCGTTTTGGAGGGTGGGTGAATCGCTGCCGGTTCCTTAAATGCACCAGACGAAGCTGTCCGCCTGGGATTTGTTATGCGGCCTTCGACTCCACGATCACCGCATTGAAAGCCGTCAGTGGTATATGGAGTAGCACGGGTCCGGTGTTGTCGGTGAGGGCGGTGTTCAGAGGGCTTGCGATCGTGGTCGTTTGCACGGCTGAGGTGTGGTACTTGCAGTTTTGATGTGTTTGAAGGACTGGGTCTTATGAACGTGGCGGGCGGAATATAGAACCACAAGTATGGGTCAGTCTCTCGGTGCTAAAAAGCGTGTCGGGGGTAGTCGTGTATCGGTATCGCTAGCGACTGTTGGGTTTGATCTGAGCAGAATGCATCATCATCATCATCTACATCAGAGGTCCATTTCAGGATCCGGGATCTGTGCACTGCGCCAAGAACGACACAGGCAAGGGGGCCGCTCGCCTAACGCCTAGCCAGGCCAAGTGGGAGCTGAGTGGGAGCCAAGTGGGATGAATGGCCAGCCCTCTTGAGCTGATGGCGTTAAGTGCATACATTCCCACGGTAGCTACATGCAGTACACACATGCATACTTGTATACAAACATACATACATACATACATACATTACTGTGGTTGAGGAAGAGCGGGATTTTCAACAGCTTAGGTTAGGCTACTGCATAAGCTATATTACATGAATATATACTCACATACATACGTACATACATGCATACGTACATACAGGCTCACAGTAGACCATTCTTGCACCCATTGTCAGCTTGGACTGTTAACGTCGGCTTCACCGTTGACAGCGCGTCGTTGAGGGGGACCGCAACAAGAACGTCTCAAAGACTATGATCATAGTATCTACACACTTGCCTAGTTTCTCATATGCTCTCACCATCTTGCCTGTTCATCGCCTCCTCTAGCTAGCCGTGGCTATGCTGCTCTTTCTTTTCTTCCAACAAAGGATGAAGGAAGGTCGCCAGTCTGAGAGCACTATTAACGTCTTGTGCTGCGAGGCGTGGGGTTTGTACTGGAACTGTAACGAGCCACTTATTGCCGAGGACTAAGGACAACATCAATATTGATTGTCGATGTGACACTCCTACATTGAGCTTCCTGCAGTCATGGTGCTGAGGAGAGAATGCCACAAAGGTTAGACTAATTCCAGAATGGACACTCATGTCGACTTTGAAATATAGATGCATTCCGACTCATCACTATTGATATGCTGATGCAGGCTATCGTTCGTTCATTCCCATTATGGAGGGCATTGTTTGTGCAACATGTCGTACGATGTCCCAAAATGGCTGGCGTTGTGGTGGCATCTTATCTTTCATGTGCCGTTAGACCTGGCGGACTTTACAGCGAACTGTACTGAGTGTTTTGACCCCCGCAATCTGCAGCTGGCCTGCAAAGCCCACCCCGCAGTTGTACGTCGGCCACAACCTAGCTTTGATGTCCCAGATCTCTTGAGCGCCTTTATTATCACTTGTCAATATAATCTGTCAAACTAACACACAAGTTCACAAAAAAACATGTAACGTAAAAGGATGGCCCATTTATAAAGTCCAAAATCCACGTGGCTCTACAGGGATCGTCTCGGCTCAAGACCTGCTCTCGTATGACTCGACAGATCCGAACGTCCCCGTTGCAATGGGCCGTCGAGTAGTAGTACTGGATTCCACACGGGCTGTCGGCGCCTTCCGTTCACTACCCACGCTGGATTGCCTCCCTATCCGGACAGCTCCCAGCCATTCGGCGCTCTCAGGAGAAGGTTTCGGTCAACGGCGGGAAGTGTTCAACTATCCTGCCGAACAGTGCGTCGGTTCAATGTTGTCTCTGGAATGAACTCATTCGCCAGTTTACTTAAATAAAGCCGGCTGCTCCTTAGTGTCTTCCCGCTGCCCTTCCTCTTTGTCATTCCATCGTGACTTCCCACACAGCTGTATCTTTCCTCCTTGGTGTAACGTGTTATCGAAGCGTTCGTATTTCTTGATACCCCCCTCCTACATAATCTTGCATTGCATCATCCAACTTCTACATGAACGCTAGTGCTATTGCTCACAGATCTCTATCTGCCATCTCTCAGATAGCTGGACATCTCGCCCCCGAAATCAAATCAAACACCAGAAACATGGCTCGTCTCTCTGCAGCCCGCTACGGCAAGGACAACGTCCGCGTCTTCAAGCGTGACAAGCTGGCCGACGGCAGCGAGGAGGTCACAGAGTTGACTGTGTGCTGTCTGTTGGAGGGCGCCATTGAGGAGTCATACACCAAGGCGGACAACGCTTCTGTCGTCGCCACTGACTCGATCAAGAACACCATCTTCATCAAGGCCAAGGAGTATCCCATCAACCCCATTGAGCAGTGGGCCGCCATGCTGGGTCAGCACTTTTTGGACAAATACCCCCACATATCCGTCGCCAATATCGACATCATTAAGCACAAGTGGACTCGTATGGTCATTGACGGCAAGCCGCACCCCCACAGCTTCTACCGGGACGGCGAGGAGAAGCGCACCGTCGAGGCGCGCGTGACCCGTGAGGACATCGTCATCAAATCCTCGGTCAAGGACCTGCTCGTACTGAAGAGCACGGGCTCCATGTTCTACGGCTACGTGCAAGACGAGTTCACCACCCTAAAGGAGACTACAGACCGTATTCTGTCAACGTCCGTGGACGCCACTTGGGAATGGAAGAAGTTCTCAAGTGTCGATGAGGTCAAGAGCAATGTCGCCGCCTTCGACAAGGCCTTCCAGGCCACAAGGGAAATCACCTTCAAGACGTTCGCTGAGGAGAACAGCCCCTCGGTTCAGGGCACCATGTACCTGATGTGCGAGAAGATTCTGGAAGCAGCGCCCGAGACGGCTACCGTCAGCTATGCGCTGCCCAACAAGCACTACTTTGAAATCGACCTCTCATGGCACAAGGGTATCCAGAACACCGGCAAGGATGCTGAGGTGTATGCTCCTCAATCGGGTCCCAACGGTCTCATCAAGTGCACTGTTGCAAGAGATTAGGCTGTGTGGTTGACATATAGAGCGTATTGATTTAAACTGGTTTTGACATGCATGATGACTAGTACTTGTTTTGGGTTGTTTATTAGCAGAGCAATTGAGCAGATGTACTCGGCAAAGGAATTGGTAGATTACTACGGAAGCACGCTCGAATAGGAGGCGGGCTAACGCACAAGAAATTTCACCACGGCGTTTTGCCAATGGTACTATGAATACAGCATAAACTTTAGACACATAATATCGTACATCAATTGTAGCAATGTGATATTTGAAATCATGTCTCGGGTTTTCTCTTGGGGATACAGACAAGTACGGTAGTCTCATTGTTTAGCTTCTCAAACTTATTTTGACTTCTCTGTTGCAAGAGTGGTTTTGCAGTGATTTGAATGGTGTCTCGTGTCTTGCAAACAAGAATATCTGCCAGCTTTGAGAATGCATAAACAGCGTGCTTTGTGTTGTCAGCACTGCCACGCTACCATCAATGATGTTGTTAACATAATCTCGGTGTAAGGGTACGTTTAGCTCCTATTTTGCATCCCTAATTATAACGTTCGATGCGCTCACCTCTACACAACGTATGTTAGCTTGTCAAGATACACAACGCCATGATTCCTTACTTTCCAAGGCTGCTGATATGGTTCTCACAATACTTACCGCATGTTACATGTCCTAGCACGTCCGATATATCACGTCATGTTGCGTTTCAGTCGTCCTCAGACCTGTCACCATCCCCACGACTAGCCTCCAAATCTCTGCAATCCCGCAGGAAGACATTGGATTTGAGAAATCAGCTGGAAAATCGACATATAAAGCTGGGCGATAAGCTATGAGATCGTCCATTATAGGTACATGGTCGTAATACATGCAAATGTACAAGGTTCGGTTTTTTTCTCTTTCAATATCGAACCAGCCGCTTCCCCTTCTCTTGATATGATGATAGTCTGGCCATCGGGGCTTAACGGCCTATAACTTCATCGAATCTGCCTCTCTGATCGCCTTGACAGCTTGTTCCCAACCCTCCTGTCCCACCGGCTTGCCTCCAAACTGTATCAGGTTCTGCTTGTACGGATGGGCATCTCCCTCAAACGCCTTTAACCTGGCCAGACGCTTGTCTCTTAACCTATTCTTGGGCAGCATACCGCTGACAGCTTTCCTCAGAACCTCGGAGCCACCATACTTGTCCATCAGGACATCCATGGTAACGCTCTTGAGCGAACCAGGCCGCGTGTTGTGTCGGTAGTAGGTCTTTTGCCATTTCTTGTTGCCAGTAGTGTGCAGAGCGGCGCAGTTTGTGACGACGACGTAGTCGCCGCAGTCGGTCGAGGGGTCCCAGGTCGGCTTGTGCTTGCCCATCAAGATGGTAGCTATCCTAGAGGCCAGACGTCCGAGGGAGGGCGGCGTTACACCGGGTTGTGTAGAGAGGGTAGGGTGAAGGGTAGAAGCCGAAACATGGTGCCATACTCGCGAGTAGGAGAGCTTGGTCTGAACAGAAGGTCAAATCAAGTGCTTTGGAAAGCGAGCCGTAGCTTGGGAGGGCCGTCAGGGGAAAGGGGAGCCGAGCTTACCAGTCCGAGTGTTTGCGACATGTTGGTGGATGGAGGGATCTTGTCCCTATGCACAGGTTTGACCAGCGATCTTGCCGACGAAAGACCAGGGCAATTGACTAAAAAGAGTCCCTTTGCGCCGTCGGTATCGGAATCACCTGTAATTCGAGATGGACTACTGGCGTATGCACCAGACGTCGAGGTTCGAGATGCGCGGTCCCCAAATTTTCGATAGGAGCCAAGTCACGTGCCGATAGCGCGTTCGACCTCCAAGCTTCCCACTTGTACATGTACTACAGCACAAGCTTCCGAGAGCTTGGATTGGCGTGATGCTGCACATGCAATTCAAACGTGCAATTCTTAAACATTAACCCCTCCTGGATCTCACTGAAGAATGGCGCGCCGTCCCCCCGCCGAGTGCGGAACACTTGTCACAGAATGATGGAGGCGATTTCAAAGCATCCGGCAATAGCCCCATTTTGATTGGAAATTTGGGCCGCCATTTGGTACATAGGTGAATAATAATAAGAGAGCTCTTGTTTTCATTCGTTATTTCTCGTTGGACTATGCTGAGATATTTCCACAATATCTCATTTCAGTCTGTTGCTACTGCGAGCGGATCCGCGTCCGTTGCACTGTTCACTGCGTCATACTTCCACCGACTGCACACGGACTATCATAAGCGTGAGCCCAATATACCAGCAACGAGAATGACCGTCAATACTGTCGACCGAAAGGTCAAAACCCCGTTCCAGGTTCGTCTTATCCAAGTGCATGTCAGCGTATAAGGATCCGACGGTCGAACGTTCTGGGGGAACGCCCGAGGGAGTAATCATGGCTGACCAGTGTTCGTCACCAGACGCTATTCGCCGTTCATATGACATGTGATTCTTGTGTCAAGTCTGTCTCGGATTCACTTTACAGTCTTGAAGGGATCACCAAGGTCGATGCAAACCTGAAAGACCAGTCAGTAACAGTTGAGGGTACTGGTAAGGAAATGGCTGTCTGCGTTCAAATCAGGTGACTAGTCCAGCTGACGCAAGATCTTAAACCTGCAGCTGCGCCGTCAGCGATTGTAAGCGCAATTGAAGCAACTGGTAGAGATGCTATCCTTCGAGGATCGGGTACATCAAACAGTAAGTCCCCCGGTACTTGCTTTTCATGTCGGATAGTTCGGATACTCCGCTACAATCTAGAGGTTGGATAACAAGCAAACTGTGGCGTGATGTTTCTGACATAAGACAGGTGCCGCAGTATGCATCCTCGAAACGTTCCACGAAAATGCCAACGAGGCACCAGTGCCCGAGGTAGAGGGCGAGGGAGGCTTCTGGAAACAACGCGAAGTGAGAGGTCTAACGCGTTTGGTGCAGGTATCGCCAGAAACGACATTGGTTGATATCACATTGCGTGGAGTAGACCCTGGTAGATATCGGGCATCTATCCGAGAGTATGGAAACTTGGCGGACGGTGCAGTATCTGCAGGTCCTGTGTGGGCAGGCGGCAATGGAACGACACAACCTAGAGGCTTGCTCGGGTTCGTCGAGGTCGGTAAGAACGGACGAGGATCCATGTTTATCGACCATCCTTTCCAAGTGTGGGAGGTTATCGGTCATGCGATGGTAGTGCACAGGGAGGAGGTTGCCGATGGTCCACTTAGCAACGACGAGAATACTGTTGTCGGTGTTATTGCAAGGAGCGCTGGTATGTGGGACAATGACAAGACCGTATGCTCATGCACGGGTAAGACGCTCTGGGAGGAGCGGAAGGATGAGGTTCAAAAAGGCATGATATAATGGCATGACCACGAGCTGGGCATACATTGAGTGCACATGGAACACTGGTGGTCCCTGTCTAAGACATTACATGCGTTGATAAACTGAATCCGAATGAGTATCATGGATTACCTCGAGACTGAAAGTCATGGGCCGTGATGACACCATATGCCTTCCTGCGTCAAGCCAGTACCGTCTCTCGCCAATAGTTTCCCAAGTCTGAACTTGGTCGGCGAGCCATCATTGCTTCTTGGGGAAGGCTTGGAAACCGTCCGTTGAGCCTGTCAAAGAGGTCGGCGCGACGCAGCCCTTATACTGGCACCACGGTGGTTCGATTCCAAGGAACTTCTCGAACGAGTAGGGGTGCTAAGCGCATCTTATACACAAACAGCGCTGCACAATGCCGTCTTCAAGAAACAATTTCCTATATGCTCGGCGCGTTACTCAACATCAAGTATGCAAGAATCAGGCCACTTCCTCGTGTTGATGTGCTCTGATGCGACGCACCATGGGAAGTCAGCACAGGGGAAGGGAAAAGCTTAGCCTAGCTATTAAGTGGCACCCACGGACAAGGGACCTGGCAGCTCTTCCCCAGAGGCTGCGTAAGCGAAGGACGAATTCAAACCACGAAATAATTGATCGCACAGACACATTGTCAACTGTGAATATGATCTGACCATACAGTTCGGCACCTTGGCTATGCAGGGGAGTGATGCATTTGTGCCGCCATGGATGTGCTGATAGCTACCACGTGCGGCGGTTGCACCGAACTACACTATTTCTCATAATGCAAATTCCCGAAGACAATTACAAGCGATCAAATATTCATTTACTCGATACCATGAACGAAGCTTGGCCATAGGTCTATTTCAGGCTCCGAGAAAAACAAACATGTGCCAGTACTCGTCTGAACTCGTTGCTATGTGTTTCCATGCCACAGGGACGTATAAACCTGGGATGTAAACTCGTCGTAGACCTTAAGTTGATCTGGTACATCTCCGGAAGGCAGGCAAACACGAAACATCTCATCGTGCCCCCACTTAATGGTGACCGGAAGTACTCAGACGCGGTGACAGGAACAAAGATGAGACGAGTGAGCCTCAAATTGATCCTGCCGAGAAATTGTATGTTCCGACTATTTGGAACAAGCATTGTCGTGAAGTGTGAATCATGACGTGGACGTACAGATCTGGAATGACGAACCCAGCTGGGATCATCGAAATACTTGTAAGTGTCACAGGATAACCTTGAGTTCTCTCTCATGAAAGGCCGAGAAAGCTGCCACATGCCGTCAGCGGCGCTTCTTCATGTGCTGTAGAGCAGTAATTAAGAATATTTGAAGATCTCAGTTTCTGATTTTCGAAACGCATAGTTCTATGCATCGGCATTGACAAACCCTGTAAGTAACAAAGAAAAGGACGGGCGAATGCATAATCTTCTGGAAGAAATCTACTTCAGGTCACGGCTAGGAATCATCGACGCCAGGGTCTGTTGCAGATCAGACGATAGACTATACCCTTTGTGATGTTAAGAAAATTATTATAGCGGACGCTAGCATACCATGCATGTTTACGTCCCCCAAGCGCATCCAGAGTATTGGGTCGAAGTCTTCATCAGCTGGCTCCGAGTATTAGGCCGAGCAGAGCGGCATAGGCTCACAAATCTTGACAGATGAAACGGTAGAGCTCATGATGCATCACCTTCTAATGCAATTTCACATGAGAGAGAGTGAGGTTGGAATTCTGGCAAGTAGCTTGAGATTCCGAATATGCCTGGTGTCCGCAGTCTGGTGTGGGACTAACCTAAGGTTAGGTACTCTGATCTCGTGGGGTGCTCAGCGAGAAAGAAAGCCCCCACTCCTCCAGTAAAAAGGTCTCAAACTGACCCAAGACAAGCCAGTTTCGCAATAAGGTTTCGGGATTCAGGCTGTGGCCAAGGATTTTGGAGAGGATTTGGCACAGGCGGGAATATCCTGCTGATCATCAGAAATACAGCAGATTGGCGAGGTGGTTGCAGTGCACTTGCAGTCTCAGTCTCGGGGAATTGCCTCATCGAAGAAGCCTGAATAGGACAGCTAACAGGTCAATTGGGTGATGTGGCCTTTCGGGAAGCAACAGCTAATCAAAACACGAAAAGAACATTGGTGATTTACCAAGTCATTTATGCGGTAGCATTTGCGGTAGCAGTCAAGAGACGTCGAACGTCTCGGTACTCACATATTAATCAACACTCTCATCTCCATTGCGAGGTCATGTAGTGGCTAGTCAACCAGGTGCTCAAGATACAACAAGACGCAACTCAGGCTTTAGTGACTGAATGGTAATTGGCTATAAGTTAAGCAGAAAGAGCTTTTGCTAAGATGTCGGGCCGGTGGCAGAAAGTTTTTGAACGCCCAAGAAATCGTATGCGGTGAAACAAATAACTAGCGTCGCCTGACAGGTAGAATATCCAGAACTGCTACTACATAATTAGCATCTACTTTTGGTTACCTTCCAGCAAAGAGGACTGTTGGCACGATGCAGTTATTATTCAGTAATTGTCCCGAGGCCACATACGGTATCGGGGGGGAACGACGGTGTGCACTCTACGCGCCCTTGGAACACGATAGCCAGCATAGCGTCCAATGAGACGCCGAAAACGTGCGCCCCATACCTCGCCGAGGCTCCACAACCAATCATTACTAGTTCGTACACCTGGAACACTTGGTGCTTGAAGATGACAGGGCATGGTTGAGTGGCACTTCCAAGTTACGCTATATGGCATGGCATTCATGCTCATACTGCCCTTGGCTCTATTCGAATACCGGCTTAAACTTCTCGTGAGAAGCAACAATCCCCGCTTCCTCTTCCTCTTCGTCCTCTTAGCAAGGGGCAAAAGCTGGGCTAGAGGCAGTTCCAAGCTTATTGAGATCTTGGGAATGATGAGACGAAGGAGGAGCCAGGACAGATGATGGCTACATGTATGCTTATGGACATTTGAATCTTTGTACCCGGCCTTGGCATATTTGACAACCCGCCCACCTGAGTCTGATACAAACAGATCTACTTGTTCTCAAACTGCTGATATCACCGACGTCTTTGTGGTCATAGCAAAGCGGCCCATTAGGTTTGTAGAAGCCAATGATCGTCACAGAACCTGGGCGATCGTGGGAAGCCGCAAGTGGCCTCTCGATATTTAGGCCATGATTTCCAATGGTTTGGTGAGGGTACTGGCACAATTTAAAATTGCGCCTATAGTCGTTCGAGCAAGCTTGTCGAACAAGGCCACGATCAGTCTATTATAATTTATCGCCCATCCTAAGCGCCGAACCCGACCCCTTCACTGATAGGACAATTCAATAATAGCTTGTTGCTTGAGGTCAAGTACTAACCCCTGCCCCTAGCCGTTTTCCCACCCCCTGGGGGGGGCCTGCACGGCGAGCGCACAGGCGTCTAGGATCGTTTTGCTTGTGAGTACGTTACTCCGTACCCACTCCAAGCCAAGCGACGCCCCCAGGTCGGATGGGTTACCGCATACTGCATGATATACGCAGCAGGTCCCAACCCTCCGACCAGACTTGTTGCCCGTGTATTCCGTCTAACCTTAGAGGCCAAGCAATCCAGGGCAAGCCATCGAGTTCTCAGTGAACCGACTCCGTCCACTCTCCGCCTCTCTGCAAGCGCTGGCTCGTCCTGCATCCACTCACTTTTATTGCAAACCTCTCAGCCCACGCTGCAAGTGTTCAGATCTCATCACCAATCTAACGCAGTCTGTCTTTCCCGTTGCGCAATTTGACCACAGCAAAGTGTTGCTCGTGATTTCGAGAACGAGACTATCATACTTGGCTACGAACTAGTCCTCGTACGTTGTACGTGGCTGTCTTTGCACTTGTATCGGCCTACATATCCTACATATCCCACATATTCCGCCGACGACGTTCCCAGGAACTTGGGTTCGCAAGCGCGCGATACCTATCCGAACCAACAACCCAATCCCTTGGGGGCCCTCCTGGGACCTGCATCAAACAAGCAAATCGCCTCACCAACAGCCGATCAATTTCTGATCGAATGCTTACACATTGAAGACCGGACCGTTGATCTACTTTCGTTGCTGCAATTTGGGACAAGTTTTCAACCCAGAACCCAAGTGAAGAGCGGGGAAACCTAGCCTGCGATTAGGCGCACAACACACGACACTAATACTAGCCGATCTCGACGACCAGAAGGACTACTAAAGCCCGTCCCTCCTTTGACCACCAGGCGAAGTGGGCTATTCTTTCGGTGCACCAAGGAAACAATTCGGTCAACGCATCCCGGGGATTGTCAGTCGCAGGGCGACTCGCGGCCTCTTGGGGTTCTTGACTTTGGGATCACGACATTCAGTTAAACTCTCATGCTTGAGACAACATGTCGCTGAAACAAGTGAGTCAGAACTCGACTGTGACCGGCGCATTGCGAGACTTACAATTGTGTAGGAAATAGAGACCTGGGTATCGGCCCTCGGCCACTACGATAACAATGAGTTCGACGAGGCGCTGAAGAATTTTGAGGGCATTGCCGATACCTCCAAGATTCTGTTTAATATGGGAGTTATTCACGCAACGCTAGGTGAACATGAAAAAGCTGTAAGTTGACCGGACCACAATGGCACATATAGCACCTGCTCATGCATGTCACAGGTCGAAGCATACCAGCGAGCCATCAAATTGGACCAATACCTCGCTGTAGCTTACTTCCAAGAGGGCGTGTCGAATTTCTTACTTGGCGACTTCGAGGAGGCATTGGCCAATTTCAACGACACGCTTCTATATTTGAGAGGAAACACCATGATCGACTATGCACAGCTGGGACTTCTGTTCAAGTTGTATTCTTGCGAGGTCCTGTTCAACCGTGGTCTTTGCTACATATATCTGCAGCAGAAGGATGCTGGCTTGCAAGATTTGCAGTATGCAGTCAAGGAGAAGGTTGTGGAGGATCACAACGTTATCGATGAGGCCATCAGAGAGGAGGCAGAGGTGAGCAACTAAGGAACATTTCCATTCTTGAGATACTAACGTCCACAGGGTTATACCGTGTTCTCTATTCCAGTCGGTGTCGTCTACAGACCCAACGAAGCCAAAGTACGAAATTTGAAGACAAAAGACTATCTGGGCAAAGCCCGCCTTGTTGCGGCCTCAGATCGTGCGAATGCTTTTACTGGTTTCGCCGGCTCGGAAATTAAGAATGCAGGCAGAGCAAACGACAAGGACGACCGCCCTACCGACAACATTTCATTTGCTGCTACGAACTTGGTGAAGCCTGGCATCCAGAGTCGCGCACGGCAGCAACCTGAAGCTCCAGCTGGTCGCAATGGTGCTTTCCCGCCTACTCCGCCTCCTGAGAACGACAAGCCTCCCCAGATGAGCCGTGGTGCCTCGGTACGAAATGGACCGAAACCGATGCTGGCCAAGCTCAACATTGAGCCGCCACGATCGAATAGCTATACGAAGACGACTTCACCCCAAAGCAATCCCAGCGAGCGGAGAGCACCTACTAGGGCTCCTTCGGAGGCAAGATCACCACCACAGCGTGGTTATTCGCAGCGGGATCAAGGTAGACGCAGACAATCTAGGCCCCCAAGAGACGCTACGGAGGACTACTTGGACGATGTCTACGAATCATATAATGGTGGCGGCAGTGATTCGAGAAGTAGCAGGTCGCAGCCCCGCCGCAACCAGCAGCGCTACGGTGAAGAGGAGTTTGATGGCAGTGATTACGACTCATTTGACGAAGGGGATTTTGAAATGGTATCGAGCCGAAGACCAGGTGCAGGATCAGTGTCAAGCTCGTCACGAGGTCAATCGAGAAGACCGGAAGCCCGCAAGATTCGAATCAAGGTGCACGCCGAGGATGTCCGTTATATCATGGTGGGAACTGCAGTAGAGTTCCCAGATCTTGTCGATCGTATTCGTGACAAGTTCGGCTTACGAGGGCGCTTCAAGATCAAGGTTCGCGATGAAGACTCGCCTGAAGACATGATTACCATGGGAGATCAAGATGATTTGGACATGGTCATTATGAGCGCAAAGCAGGCGGCAAGAAAGCAGAGGCAAGACATTGGAAAGATGGAGGTAAGTTTTCTCTTGATGCTAAACCGTGCACAGGAACAAGAGGCTAATATGCAACAGATTTGGGTTCAAGAAGTTTAGACTTTTCTATATGATTTGGCGGCCATTCACATACAACGATACCCAGCAATTTCGATACGAAGTAATGACATAGTAACTTGAGACTTCCGCATCTTCGGATCATCGCATCCCATTTTACGCTGCAGATTTGCTGCCCAAGCCAACGCCCCTTATTTGTAACCAATGGCTCATTTGAACGTGTTTGGGACCAAACTAGCACATTCCGCTTCGATACTTCGTCTAGTTCCTCTGCATCGTTATTGTTTGCAAACAGCCTAAAGCTCGGACGGAACAGCACGAAGATTATTGGCCAGTCCACCATTGAATTGACTCTCTCCGAATGCGGCGAAAGTAATATTGTCTGGACTTGTTGGAACAGAACCGTGCGTGGCATTATTGCACTTATCTTTTTGTTTTTAAGTTTCGTTCTTATCAAATGGTGTCACGAGGAATGAGCGCACCAGTCCAGCATTATAATGAAGTAGGATGGCATGTTGGCGAGATCAGGAGCGTGTGATTGACAATCCGGAGTGCTGTCGGTATAAATATTGTGCAAAAGCGCCGCTTGCGGCCTGGACAATGGAATACATCAGCTCCCTAGCGGTATAGATGACTGCATGAGGGGCGATAATTTCGATTTGTCCTTTGTTTGCGGCAAGCACATTTCACTCCTCGCTGTAATAATAGAACAATTGTCATTGTACATTACATGAAAAAGAGCACCTATATGGATTTTTCATCACTCGCGGCGACTGACTCAAATATGTCATCTGAATAATGCCCCCACACCCCGCTTCGCGCCATTAAAACTATGGAAATCATTGAAATCTTCACACAACGCCAGGACTACGTTGACTGGAACAACACACTATACGCTTTGAAACTTCGGAAAGGTGAAGGAGAGATCGGAACTGACCAGCTCATGCACCTATCACGCCTCGTGAATATTATTTATACGAGGTCATAACTTCTTGCTCGTGTGATTAACCCCTCAAACTTCTTGGACTATAAGCAGTCTCCTTTTTGTGACAGGGCAAGGAAACGAGAGAGTAAGGGAAAGGTCATAATGAGCACAGGAAAACTTGTTCAGAATGGCGTACCAGATATTGGTCGACGGATTCAAGGAAAGGTGCTGGTGATTGCGGGCTCGGACAGCTCGGGTGGAGCGTACGTGCCTCTCCAAATTGTTACCTCCTTGGCATATTATAGGTCTTCAATGCTCAAAGGCTAACTTGCGGTTCCAAACAGGGGCCTGGAAGCGGACCAAAAAGTCATTGCGGCTCATGGCTGCTATGCCATGACTGCCACCACAGCATTGACAGCACAGAACACCACAGGTGTGAGTGGCATACATCATGTGCCTCCTGAGTTTGTACGAAAGCAAATCGACGCTGTATTCCAAGACATTCGGCCAGATGTTGTTAAGACAGGTAAGTCCTTGTCTATGTAAGAGACCCTGGGAACCGATATTGACGTAAAAAGGCATGCTGGCATCTGCACCAACTATTGAGATGTTGGCCAGAGCATGTGAAGAGCACGATGTCAAGAAGCTTATTCTGGATCCGGTGAGTGTCACCTACCCTGATTGTCTTTCTCTCTGAGATGTTATTGACGAGAGCAACAGGTCATGGTAGCGACAACAGGCGCCGTCCTTCTACAGCCAGAGGCTGTGGAATACCTGCGAACGCTGCTACTACCACGAACATTCATCGTCACACCTAACATCCCAGAGTCCAAGCTCCTACTCTCCGACGCTGGCAACGAGCCTACAGAAATCCATAATATTGATGATCTTGAGACGCTGGCCCGAGAAACACAGAAGCTTGGACCGGAATGGATTTTGATCAAAGGCGGCCACGTGCCTTTCAAGAAAGACGGAACTGTTGCCAGGTCACCCGAAGAAAAAGAATTGATTGTCGATATCCTGTTCGGTGAGGGCAAAATTACGCGGTTTGTGAGCCCGTACCAGGATTCGAGGAATACCCATGGGACGGGTTGTTCCTTGGCCTCGGCCATTGCATCAAACATCGCAAGAGGATTGGCACCTGTGGAGGCCGTAAGAGCAGCCTCGCAGTATGTTGAAGCAGGTATCCGAACGGCTCCTGACTTTGGGCAAGGCAACGGCCCGCTGAACCATTTTCATTCGGTATACACGCTGCCGTTCACACCGTAAGTCGTCATGGACCTTGGGCTATACGCGGGTATTGATCTTGCACTAGTGGCCGCTTCATCGACTATCTACTCAGTCGTCCAGACGTCGCGCCAGTATGGCACGAATTTGTCAATCACCCCTTTGTGCTGGCCATGGGTAGTGGCAAATTGCCCCTGGAATCTTTCAAGAACTACCTGATTCAGGACTACCTCTATCTTGTCCACTTTGCACGAGCGAATGCTTTGGCTGCATACAAGGCGAAGAGCATTGCGGACATTGCCGCGGGCGCAAAAATTGTCACACACATCAACACGGAAATGTCTCTCCATCTGGACTACTGCGCCGGATTCGGTATTCCAAGGGCTGAGATCGAAGCCACGGAGGAGCAGCAGGCTTGCACGGCATACACGCGGTACGTGCTCGATATCGGGCAGTCTGAGGACTGGCTTGGTCTGCAGGTCGCTCTGGCGCCGTGCCTTCTGGGCTATGGCGCCATCGCGCAGCTGCTACACGAAGACGAGAAGACGGTTAGAGAGGACAACACATATTTCAAGTGGATTCTGAACTATATCGCTGAGGACTATACCACTGCCGTACAGACGGGGAGGGAGCTGATGGAACGCCATGCGTTAGATCAGAGCCCGAAGAGGGTTGACGAATTGGTGAAAATTTTTATCCATGCTACAAAGGTAGGTCCATCTACGGCCGACAGATATGGCCACCATGTCATACCCTTCTGTTTGTCGCTGTTCATATAAGATTCCTGCGCTAATACTCTTGCAGATGGAAATTGGATTCTGGGAGATGTTCCCTTATGAGTAAGGACGGATCTATGAGAGGATAATGTCACACACTGGCTTCGATTATGAGATAGCAACAGACAAAAAGAAAGTATGGGCGGCGCAAGTTGACATAAACACAATAATGAGAGTACACAGGAAACCGCCCGCGTTTGCGTATGCATAGTAGCTCGTTGTTTTGCACTCAGTGGTAGGACTCGATTGTGGTAAAGTTCTTTCTTTCTCCATGAAGTCTCCCAGATGCATGCAACTTGAACAGTTTCCTTGACTAGTTGCACCTACCCAAAACTGCATTTGGGTGATGGAGACTGCTTGTTCTTGACCTCACACAACATTTGGTCGGAGTTTGGAAGTTGAGGCTATGGCGGTTTCAAGCTCCGGCTGCTTTGTAATATGCTGCAGTACTGATCCACTCTCGAGTGATATGGGCCTTGTCGAGGTCGCTGTGTTGGAGGGAAGAATGCTGTAACCTAGACTAGTACAAATGAGATCTGGCGGATCTCAGACCGGAAGAATTGGACGAGCAAGTACGAAACCTCGACGGTATTGTAACACAAGGCTGAGTCGAGGGATTGCGATTGCGATTGCGACTGCCAAATGCCATCAACATCAACAAGAAAGACGCTGCGCACATACGGTACCGTACGTATTGATCCGTTATCAATGCCCATTCCTTATCAATGGAAGGAACGGCCGTGACCCGTTTATTTATTAGATGCTGGCAAATGCATCAACTAACCTCTAGGTTAGGTACTTAACCGTACAAGTATGACAGAGAATGCAGGGGCTGTCCGAAGCGCACGGGCCATAGGCCTCAGTAATTGGCCGGGCTCGGGTCTGCTGGTGGAGCGCTCCTCCAGGCTAGCAGACCTCAGGTTAGCTCTTGCTGAAATAATTTTTTTGCCCAACTAGACCACCCTTGTTGCCTTCGAGTTCCTCGCCTCTTTCAGCCATCAAAACTTCCATCCACCCAAACAACCACCCGTCTCAATTCCTTCATCTACTCAACCAACTCTTTGTGTGACCGATCTATCTTCGCACAGCCTCTCATTTCGCGACCAACAGCTCGCTTTAATACACCTCGACCTTCCATCCAAGTTGCGATCGCGGTAGCTTTTTTGCTCAACCTCGATAATCTTGCGACATCTGCGCTGAGCGCTCTGTACAACTTCACCCCATTCTTCCCCCCACAACCTTCGACAAGTTCATCATGTCTTACGGCGGTGGCTACGGTGGCGGTCGCGGAGGCGGCGGCGGCGGCGGCTACGGCGGTGGCGGCGGCGGCGGTTACGATAAGTATGGGTCTGGCGGCGGCGGTGGTGGTGGCCGTGATTTCGGCAACGGTGGTGGCTACGGGTATGTTAAGATCTTTGTCGGATCGTGCGAGTTCTCCCATGCTTTCTCCCACTCCCCCCAGCTTGTCGGAGAGAAGTCGGATTAATAACACGGTTGGGGATACTCGCATTTTCTTGCTTCCAAATTCTGATTCGCTCCTACTAACATGTCTTACAGTGGCAGCAATGGCTACTCCAACGGTCACGGCGGCGGCGGCGGTGGTGACCGTATGTCTAACCTCGGTGCAGGTCTGCAAAAGCAAAACTGGGGTTCGTGATTCTTTTGAATTGTCACTCTTGGTAACGTGCTAACAGCTTTGTTACAGATCTCAGCGCAATGCCTAAGTTCGAGAAGTCATTCTACAAAGAGGACGATGCAGTCGCTGCCCGATCCTCTCAAGAAGTTGACCGATTCCGAAGAGACCACCAGATGACCGTCCACGGTAGTGATATTCCCAAGCCCGTCGAGACCTTTGACGAAGCTGGTTTCCCTCGATATGTCATGGACGAGGTCAAGGCACAAGGCTTCCCCGCTCCCACAGCTATTCAGTCCCAGGGCTGGCCCATGGCTCTTACTGGTCGTGATGTCGTCGGCATTGCCGAGACCGGTTCAGGAAAGACACTCACCTACTGTTTGCCCGCTATCGTTCACATCAACGCCCAGCCGCTTTTGGCGCCTGGCGATGGCCCTATCGTCCTTGTCCTGGCTCCCACTCGTGAGTTGGCCGTCCAGATTCAACAGGAGATTACCAAGTTTGGTCGATCATCTCGCATTCGAAACACATGTGTCTATGGTGGTGTTCCCCGTGGTCCCCAGATTCGCGACCTGTCTAAGGGTGTCGAGGTCTGCATTGCGACCCCTGGTCGTTTGATTGATATGGTTGAGAGTGGCAAGACCAACCTTCGTCGTGTAACCTACCTTGTTCTCGACGAGGCTGATCGTATGCTTGATATGGGTTTCGAGCCCCAGATCCGCAAGATCATCAGCCAGATCCGCCCCGACAGACAAACCCTCATGTGGTCTGCCACATGGCCCAAGGAGGTCAGAGCCATGGCTTCTGACTTCCTGAATGACTTCATTCAAGTCAACATTGGTTCCCTGGATCTCTCTGCCAATCACCGTATCACTCAAATCGTCGAGGTTGTCAGCGAGTCCGAGAAGCGTGACAAGATGATCAAGCACCTCGAGAAGATCATGGATGACAAGGCTAACAAGTGTCTCATCTTTGTTGGCACCAAGCGTGTCGCTGATGAGATTACTCGATTCCTCCGTCAAGACGGCTGGCCGGCACTCTGTGCGTATTCCTCCTTTATTCGTATTGCACTACGGGCATGACTAATTTTCTCCTGCAGCTATCCACGGTGACAAGCAGCAAAACGAGCGTGACTGGGTCCTTGACCAGTTCAAGAACGGCAAGAGCCCCATCATGGTTGCCACTGACGTGGCTTCGCGTGGTATCGGTATGATTATAAACCCCATTCCTCCCCTCCCCCCGTAGCAGCTTCCAGCAGAGGTACTTCCACTGTGCTTTACTCTCATGTATGCTTAGGGGCTCTCTCTATTGTGCACAAACTTGCCTGATCTCGTGTTTCGTGGTTCTCTCACTTCCAGGATTATTGGGATCCTTTGTATAGCAGCTGTGCCCGTGCTGCTATAACATTTGAGTTCCGCCCTGTGCCCTGCTCTCGTTTGTCGCACAAGGGCGGAATTGGCATTTCTTGATTCTTTCAAGCTGTCTCTTGATTCCAATATTTCCCGAGGACCCCGGACCGTGTTCAATGTCTCCATACTGGCATGTTGACGCAACGGACAGCCCCATTCTCCACGGAGAAAGCACGGATCTATATTTTTATATATTATCCGTTGCTGGGATTGCTACACAAAACCTTGCTATCTGAAGCTAACCTGTATCGTAATCAAGATGTCCGTAACATCACTCACGTTTTCAACTACGACTACCCGAACAACTCGGAGGATTATATCCATCGTATTGGTCGAACTGGTCGTGCCGGCCAAACTGGCACGGCCATCACCCTTTTCACTACTGATAGTAAGCCGATCATGTGCTATTTCCTCATTTGGCCCTATATTAACAACATTCTCCAGACTCCAAGCAGGCTCGTGATCTCGTTAATGTCTTGCAAGAAGCCAAGCAGCAGATTGATCCTAGACTTCAAGAGATGGTCAGATACGGTGGAGGTGGCGGCGGTCGATACGGCGGTTGGGGCCGTGGCCGTGGTGGTGGTGGTGGTCACAGAGGTGAGTCCTTGTGTCCCTACGCGACAATGTGAGCTTTTCGACTGACATGCACATAGGTGGCCGTGGTGGCGGCGGTGGTCGCCAGTCTGGTGCCAACGATCAACCCCTTGGCGGCAACAGCCGATGGTAAACTGATGTGATATCTGCTTGAACTCACAGCAGCGAAGCTCACTGTATTCTGCCTCAAATTTTCGGGGAGCATGATAGTTCACGGTTGTTTTCTTCTACATGCACATATGCAACAAAAGTCGGCGTTGGGGTTAGAGGGATTTTGATTTGACATTAGATTTGGCCTCGAGGGTCTGTTTGAGAGCCCATATCATGCCATTAATCCGAAGCGATCCTTGGTACCTTTTGTAGGTTACTAGGCTCAGTGTAGCAGATAGCCCTTCAGATGGTTCAGGAATTTGATCTCTGAGGGGGGAGGTGGAAAGGTAGTTAGCTAATAAGCTTGACGAAGAGGTCTGTGTCTGGTGCCGAATAGGTAGCAGAATAAATTGTATTCTGTTTCGAACAGGAGGTGTTTGTCCAGTGAAAAACCTGATGTTGAATGAAGTACATGGCTCTGACAGAATCTCCATCACTGTTCGCCTGGAGTTGGACGAGTGAGAGTTTGTCGAATAAGAAAATACAATGATAAAGACGGACTGGTGGAATACAGAGTCGCGTGAGCTTTGAAACACACCTACCCTACGATTGAGATTACCAGTTGTAACTAATATGTAAACAATCCGGCCAAATTTATTGGTATTTATTATATTACATAGAGTTGATTGAAATTTCATGAGGCTATCAGTTAAGACTGGCTCATGCCTCGGAATTCATCATTTGTTAATAATATACAGATTAAGCTTAAGGTCGTTCTACGTTAAGTCAGTCGTTTACGAAAGATGGTATCCGAAAAAGCCACTGCCAACAAACGGTGGGAGATGAATAAATAAAAAAAGAATTCAGTATTCAGCTGGCAAAAGTAATGGTGGAGAGGCTGGGAATCGAACCCAGAACCTTTTCCATGCTTGTGAAACGAGTTCATCGCATGCTAAGGAAACGTCATACCACTAGACCACATCCCCTTGAGACATATATGATATATATGGAACTGGTCACCACGATGGTGATTGGATGAAAATTGTCTTTTAAAGCGACACTAAGTAGCAGCACACGTGGAAACTCGTTCAGATGGAAAACTTTGCAGTTAAGGGGATGAAAATGGGGATAGGAAGAATGTACAGATAGAATGGTAGGTAACGAGTGGATACTAGCTGAAGGGGATGGATGCCAAGCCATTGCGTACTTATGGGCATGGAGATTGGGTGGAGATGGGCAGAGGTGGTAATCATGCAGGGTTATCCTCCATTGGCCGAACTCTACGCTCCGGAGACCGAGTGTAGTCTGCATATTAAGATGAACCGGAAGCTAGAAGCAAGGAGCTGATCCTTATACGGTCAGGCTCCTCAAGAGCAGATGAGTTGGTTGTTACGCTGGACAAGCCGGCTCAGAGCTGACATTTGAGACAGACGGCAGCCAAAATAACATGATAGTGTGTCGCGGCCCTTATTTCAAGCGTCATTTGGGCACGACTCCTAAGTATCCCCAATCCATGCTCAGTGCCCGCGGTGATAAGTACTAGCCTTGTATAAGAGTCATCTCATAGATATAGCCTACCTCTAGCCATAGCTATACCAGTGTCGACCTTCGATGCTGGTAGATCTTGAGTCCGATACGAGTCGAGTATCCGTGAAGGTCGACTTGATCCCACATGGCGAACGGCCGCTACAATGTCCTTGTCGCGGTAGTACTGGTATGAGAGCCAAATGCTTGCATCGGCATTGCCCTAGCTTCACGACAGGCCACTAAACAGAAGATTTGCATCAATATCAACTTGCGCGGTCATATGGGCCACAACTTTTATCAAACACCAGCGCCGCCCAGCATGAACCCAGGACTCCAATACTCCCATTCATCTGCTTGTTTGTCCACCCAAAGCATGCCTTCGCCCAGCAGATCTTCAATCACAGTTTGGCTTCGGGCCCTCGTCCACCTCAAATTCACCATGAGCATAGAAACGCTCACATAGCCCAGAACTTGTACCGCTTCGAGCACGGCACTCTGATCCGTATTCAGCTCCTTCGGCACGCTGCGGATGTAGCTCTTATTTCCGACCTTGACCACTGAATGACTGCTTCCCAAGGGTTTCAGAGTGTCGACTGCTCTCAAAACATCGTCCTCTGTGACTTCAGGGGCACCTTCCATCCGTCCGCGCATGAGTCTGTCTCGGAGCTCCTTGACCCCAATCAAGCCGCCATTCTCTCCTCGCGTTGCGCTGCACGTCTCGACTACCCTGACGGCAAGCTCGAAATAAAAGTCGTTCACGCTTCGTCCCAGCAGCTGTGCCCAGATGTTTCCGGCTCCTGAACCAGATGAGGATGAAGAGTTGGATGACGCCAGGGGATCAACACCAATTGCGGCGCACATGCGCGCAAACTGGGCGCGGAAGGATGGATTGGACCGGATGTCCTTGGCATGAGTCTGGGCGAATTGTTGAAGCAGCGACCGAAACACGGAGAGCTGCGTTTCTAGTGCCTGTGTATTGGTGGTACGGAGTGAGGTTCCATGAGAGGCGAACTGGGCGGAGGTGAGACGCGAGCGGTCGAAGGCTGCCAGGCCGACACCTTTCCGGGACATGTTGACGACAGCAAGTAGACCCTACCGACAATATGTAGACCTGCTCATGTATACGTCGTTTCGCAGTATGTCTAAATGCTGCTATTAATCTACAAAGCGCGAATTTAGAGGTAGACGGCTTGTCGCCTAAGCTAGAACCACCGCAGCGACTTGAAGATTGCACTTGTCTTGGCAGTCCTCTTGCTTTCAGCGTTGGCGAATTTCAAGATTGAAGATGATGAAAATCTGTATGGGAGTACAATACTCATGGTTACGCCAGCCCTCTTGATTTCGGAGATGGCATGCGCCGCCAGTACACATGCGCATTGCATCCTGTTCCTATCTCGTCCCCCTCATGTAAGTAAGTGACTGGCAGGGAGGTGCTCGTGCACGTGCCCTTCCGTCATCGCCATAACTATGGACGTTATCAATGTCGGTTCCAGAGCAGGTCCGTGTCCGATAAAAAGAAATCCACAGCTGACCTCCAGTAGGACTGCTGATAGACGGCAATTATCCGGTTAATTCCCCACCTGCACCTCGTCTCTTCACAACCGCCTGGCTCCGTGCCAAATCGAACCAAATGGAGACTAGCGCATTCCGAGGGCACAATTTTGAAAACCCTACGAAAAATCTCCAAGGGCAGTCGCCGCCTCAACGTTGCTAAGCAAGCAAATCCGAAGCCGACCCTCTTTTCTACGAGAAGCCCGTTTGAGATTGCGATATCCTCGACCTCACGACAACCACAGATCAGCAACTATGGCTCCTACCACCCAGAGCGTTCAATGCTTCGGCAAGAAGAAGACGGCTACTGCTGTCGCCCACGTCAAGGTTGGTTTTTGACCCGCCCACTCTGGAAGAAATCTGCGAGCGACACGAGAGAAGAGAGAAGGAGGAGGAGGAGGAGGAGGAGGAGGAGGAAGCCATGTGTGGGCAGAAAGAGATCAGGAATCGCTGGTGACGGGAAGGATCAGACACAAAATCGCATGAAAAATACATACAAACCGAAGACAAGGCCAGTGTAACTAACAAAACTTTTCAATCACAGTCTGGCCAAGGCCTCATCAAGGTCAACGGCCGTCCTCTCTCCCTGGTTCAGCCTGAGATCCTCAGATTCAAGGTACGAATGACGAAATCCCTCCGATACATGACTGCACGATCGAATACTCCTCGGGGGATTCTTCCCTTGCACCATGATCCCTCGTTGGACTCTTGTCAATGCGCCACATCAACAGCTAACAACCAAAATAGGTCTACGAGCCTCTCCTCGTCATCGGCCTCGACAAGTTCGCTGGTGTTGACATCCGCGTCCGCGTCGCCGGTGGTGGTCACACTTCCCAGATCTACGCCATCCGTCAGGCTATCGCCAAGGGCCTGATCGCCTACTACCAGAAGTTCGTGGACGAGCACTCCAAGAACACCCTCAAGGCTGCCTTCGCGCAGTACGACCGTACCCTCCTCGTTGCCGACAACCGTCGCTGCGAGCCCAAGAAGTTCGGTGGTAAGGGTGCCCGTTCCAGATTCCAGAAGTCTTACCGTTAAACGGTTTGCTTCTTGGTGTATCTGGTGGTGCTGTTGTCTGCTGGGGATGGAGGGACACGGCCGACTGCTTGTTTATCCCCCGGCATAAAAGGGAAAGCTGGATGGAATCCAAACCGGTCGTGCTGGACGTGATGAAGGAACGACGCATGGGTAATCTTTCTATGGCTCCACAGCGGAAACGGACGGCTACTATTTTGCGTTTGGTCTCAACGGAGTCAAAAAGAGGATCCTATATTTGACATGAAAAAAAGGGCTTATGTCAACGCCTTTTGATCATCAATGCATTTGCAATGGCAGGTTATTCTCTCTGCCTGGGTTGTAAGGGAATAGGCGAATGAAACGTCAACAAATTTCACAAACTCCTTGGTCCCTCATGCAAACTGTCTCGTCTTGTCCAGGAAAATCCGGGGTTGCCCCAAGCTGTGCGGTGTACTGTTATAATATTGTCGATGGTTTTCTAAACCCCTTCAAAGGTACCATTCGCTCTTACGGGATCGATGTGTCCTCGCCTATTCTAGGAGTTACTGCGTAGCCGCCGATGTTACTTGTTAGTAGTTGTGTCGGTATCACATGCCTATATATGTCAAACAAAAGCCATCATTTATCCCATCTAGGACCCTGCTTCTACCACTTCCATACCTTCGACTTTCGGGTGGTTCTTTCTATTGTTTAGGTCAATCATGACGGAGCGAAATGTTACGCATAACCCCACAGAGAACCTGTCACTCCGATTCTCATCGACGGAAACTTTGTCAAAACTGGCTAATCATTAGGAGATTCCCCAATCCCTAACACCACATCAGGTAATCCGAACGAAGCGACCGCCCATTCAGCTCTTCCTTTATTCTCTCAATTTTCTTTTCCCCCGGTGGATATGGTCATCCTTCCAATCTATCTTCCGCTCTGCACACTAAGATCCAGTAAACAACTCATCTCTCCAGATGATAGCTTATCTGCTGTTTGTTGAGGGGAGAGGAGAGTATCAGTGGTGGCATCGACTGCATCTATACATTTCTGAATAGTAAAACGCCAAACTCTTTGTTATGCTAGGGACTTAGGTCCCCGAGGAATGAGAGACCGGGTCACCCCATCCTCGAGCCAGCATGGATATCGTAAGTCTATCTAGTAATTGACAGCGAAAGAAGAGGAGAAGATGGAAATGGTCCGGCTTGCAAATCAGAAACAGCGGCCAGGACGAGAATGTAAGTATGTTTGATGGTGTATTATGATATTGTGAACTGTAGCTTCATGGACTTCTTCAAGCGGATTGTATTGTTCAGACCAATAGAGCTGTGAAACCTGTCCCCTCCCGAAGGCTGGTGAATACAGCCCGTCCGATCTCGGGCATCCTGCATCCGTGTCAGGGTCCGTGAAGTTGGCCGGTGCAGGTGTACTGAACTTGGTAAATGCGGTTGGCTAATATTGGTAAATCGTGGAATACGCCGAGGACGACGACCGTCGAATGGATGTAGGCTCTGGCTAGATACCAGAAAACTCGCGGGAAAAGTACCACGTGTCACTTTTCTCGACGGTTCACATTCATTAGGAGAGAAATGATACTGCCGAACAGCATTTCATCAAACTTGTTCCAAGCCTCATCGGAAAAAGCTCGTGGGTGGCCTTCAAGAGGGCTATGTCAATAATAGAATCTCACTGGTGATTATGTAGCTGGCTGAATATAATATTGACGATGATCTTTACGAGCATGTGCACAATTTTACATAACTCTTCGGCTTGTCCGGATGTTGATTAAACGATTCCGTGATATTGACTGGATCAAAACGACAGCATCGTCGGTCATATTCCTCATTATAGGTCCAGATGATGTCGTGGTGTGAATGGGAATCAACGAGATGTGAGGTTGAATAGAAGTATCATCAATCCGAGTAATACCTGTTTTCAAAGGATAATAGAGGTCATGATGCACCTTCATGGTACACAAATAGGACTCAACACTACCACATCGTACTGACCATCGGGGTTCATCACTGGCCTCCTAACATGAAATATGGCCATTTGACTGGTATAGAGCCTACATCGCGGCTTGATCGCTACAGCTAACCAACAAATCAATCGACTGAATTTGACCGGTCTTAGGGGGGATGCTGTGCCGTGCTACAAACAAATCCCTGAAGGAACCTGTTTTTGACATTTGCGCAGGCTCCTTGAGAATCTTTCCAGCTGTTTGCAGGGCAGCGAAACCATGATCTCTACTGGACCTCAGCAGAGCAAGAACGCTGAACCATGTACAGTACCTTTTTCGTTCTGGGCGTAGGTTATTCCACAACCGGGGTTCACACAGAGCTCTCGAGCAAGATCATGGGGACATTCCTGTTCCAGACAATATGTCGAAACCCATGATGGTGGGCATCTCAAAGGAAATCTGCTGTGAACCAATGGGACCTTCATTTCCATTAACTATTCTTCACTGATAATACACGGTTGTGGACAGACGCGGCTCTCGGCCATATCCGATCGACAGGGGAATTGCAAGTCCTCGAATAGAATAACGTTGCAGCGTGTTGCTGGTTCGACTGTTCTGATGCCTCGACAAAGAACTTTTCCTTAACTCAATGAGTATTCTCTTGTTTGATCCCGTCTACTGATGTAAACTGGACAATTGGTATACGGTACGAGGTGTCGTGTACCAACATAATCACTTCACCGCGGTGTGGAAGTGGGTATTGAGTTTTCAACACGTCATGATAAGCAGCGTTATGAACTTGTCGAGTTTTGTCGTCCAACTTGAATGGCATCCATTCTATCACAAGGGTATTCTTGTCGTCGAGCGAATATCATTGGCGCTGCAGAACTTGTGAAATGAAAATTCCATCACAGGCGACTCACTTGCATCACAGGAAAAGCCGTGAACCACATTCGTGTTTGGGGTTTGTTGATCATTCTGGTATGGCTAACATACGTATGGTCCGAGAAATATCACAAGTGACAATAAATCCCAATGAGAACCCACCCAAGCTGTAATCAACAAAGGCCTACACAAACGCACTATATAACCTGATGTCATCTTACACATCTGTTCATTCTGAATTAATTTATTGCTGCATGGTCAAAAAATCTGTCGTTACAGTGTATGAACAAGGCAGTGAGAGCCACAAGAGAATCATTAGGATTGAGCAATGTTACCTCACAGAACTGTCAATCATAGGTAGCAGATGTGATGAAATGGGATTCTCATACCCTTCACGTGATTTGACTGTCTAGATATCAAGTACCGGTCAAATATATTTTATTTGTTTCTGTATACTATAGCCTTCTACATTTAATAGCTCAGATAGGCTAAGCTTTAGTACACTGGACATCTATTGCTGGAAACCTCGTGGCAATAATACAAACAGGCACTCAGAGAGAGAAACGTGTCCTTGGAAGGGGGAAGGGGGGTTTCTCTTCAAGGTCATTGGGGGAGGGAGGCTGGCATTTGCAATGACCTTTGAGCATTGTCTGGGTTGTTAAACACTGTCTAGCCAACAGTAAACCAACTAGACCTCAGTGCCAGTGAGAGCAATTCATAGGTGTTACAGATTATGGGATTGGGGTGTTTCCCTACATACGGACCTTATACTTTTGCATATCGAATTGACCGTCACATTCGAGACTCAGTGATATCAATCATGATAACTGCATATAAACTCCAACCACAAACCTGATAAATGACAAGAACGTTTCGTAGTAGTACCAGTTGGACTCAGGAATGGGTTCGTGATTGGTATGTCTTTAGGTTGGATGCCCCCTTTATCAGCGTTTAACTAACTTGGCCAGCACTATCAGCCTACATACCAGAGTTCTTATGTCAGAAGTTGGCGCCTTTGCTACCAGAACCCTTTGTCGCAATATGGGTAGAGAAGAATCTTCTGCTCCAGCTGGGCAGGCTAAGCCCTGGGTTATCAGTTACAATTCGGGATTCATGATCTGGACAGCTCCTAAAATAAAATGGGAGAGATCACTACCCATTCACCATACAATAGGGGCTACATTGCTTCATAGTTTCTGGTAGTGTATGAGGCGTGATTCGTACACTTGAGTATGGAGTGTACCACTGTCAGAATCTCGCAGCTAAAACCTTATGCGGTTGTCAATTCAATCACCCCTAGCGTCTATCGAGCGACAACGTTCCAGTAAGCACGCTATTGACAAGTTATTCTAGATGCCGCATCGACCGCGTGTGCGGAGGGTTGGGACCGTCACGTTCTCGAACTCGGAGTCATGCCAGTCGGCCCTGACTCGCTCCGCTTATCAGGTGGCTGGCCGGCGTGGCCAGGAGCCCCCTTTCCCCCTTTAATTTGGGGGTTGACATCCGCGCCGATTTTTGCCACGAAGATCCCAGGCTCGCAACAATCGACAAACGCGGAAAGGACGCGAGACTTATTGTTATTTCCTGGAACGTGTGTCTTTGCTGTGTCTTACTGCATCAGGAGTGGCCGCGTGTGGCGCTACAACTTTTTGCAAGTGATTGACCCTGAAATTGTTTTTACCATGCGACCGTGCCTGTAAGCTGGCAATCGTGCAGTCAAGAGTTCTGGGCAGATACATTTCGTGTACAGATTCCTGTTGCGCTCTTGTGCGCTAGGCACAGTTTGCTCAATCTGTTTAAAGCTGTCGATACTTTCCATGTCTAGGTTGCTCTGCGCGTGTGTATTATGTTTGATTGGTGTTGACTTGCACGCGATCATGGGCTTACATACATTAACCTCGCGTGGAAGCTTTCTATTTGCATTATTCATTGTTGATATGACCAATAAGATCTCGACAACAAGCTCTGTCTGTGACAGATAATCAATCACGTTCAAAAGCTGCTGCGTCCGTACGTAACTCCAAGAGAACGTAATCGTGGCGCGCTCGGGACGGTTCCCCCGCAACTTTTGAACGCAAACCTGATGCTACTTGTTCTAGTAACCGTTGCGCCTATTACTAAGTAACGCGTGTGTGTGGAATGTCTCATGAGATCATAAGGCGGACTGTGTACATTGCTTACATACGAATGAAGCGCGACAACTATCATAGGTATTGACTGTAGTATTCTCGATGTTCGTGACCCTTGCAGTAGATAATAAGTTAGGAAGTTGGAATGACTAGCAATTTGAATGATCCCGAAAAGAGGAGAGAACCTTACCATGGGAAGCATGAAACCAGGCCAAAAAGACGCACTTTGCCGTTTACCAGCACTCTAGATATGTCTGAACTTTATCCTGTACAGCAATTCTTTTTTGTTCTTATTGCTCGAAG